CACGCGAAATTCGAATCGAACATAATCGACTTTCGTTGCCTGCCAGACATTTGATTCTCTTCCTCAGCCGCCATTGAATCGCTCACTCCAGACCAGACTTGGCGCTTGACGAGTCACTACAAGAGGTAGTTCTATTCCTCTCTCCCCGTCCGACATCTGGCAGCTCTCGAATGGTCAAGTTCGAAGTTCTGTTTGGAGTGAAGAGCGAACCCCGGGTCCAGCGACATATACTTGTATCGTATTACTAGTGTGCCTTTCCTGTACGTCTCCTGTACCAAGTCTCATGTTCGCCCTTTGCTCGAAGTAGATTCGCAACTGAGGTTAGTCGCAGCCGGTTTAAGCGTCGAGTCCGCTCGTTGCTCTGCCCCCTGCTGGCTCAGCTGGTGGTGTTTGGTGGAGTCACTGGAGGGCTCCATCTGTCGGACATATCGAAAAGTTTCGGATGCTAGAACTACTCGTGTTGGCGTCCGCGAGGCAATAATCATGGTGGTGTTGAGGTCTTGTCGACTAACCATTCTCCAACCAGTCATACCCGTCATCTCAGCAGTCAACCATTTCTATTTTCGTGCCGTGGGCTCTGTGGCCAATTGCCCTCGAAATCATCGACAGACCCCAGTTCCACAACCAGCGACCAGCGACCAGCGACCAGGGCCAGCAATATATCCTCCCACACACACCAGGCGCACACCAGCTGCCGGAACCGCGACCGCGACCGACCTTGCACACGCACTATCCGCTACTGTAACACTATAGCCTGGGAGCCTGCACCCTGGCCGTCTGTATTGCCGACATCAACACCTCACCGCCCTGGACTTGCGAATATCTCGACTTATTCTCGAGCTGCAAACTCTTTCTCTCACAATCCCTTCTTCATTCACTTGTGCTGGTGAAAAGATCCAATCGAGCAATCGACGTCATCTTGGTCTTCGTGCGAGTCCGCCGACGTTCACTCGTTTGTATCCACCGACAAGACAATTTACTTTGTCTCTGTAACAGTTCTTTCGCCAGCCGCCTCACCTAGTCCGAGGGGTTCTCGATCTGCATCCTGGTCAAGCCCAGCCCATCACTCCTGCCTCGAAAAGCGAACTCACCCCCACATTCCAGCTTGTACGTACCTTTTCTCTCTCATTATTTTCTCTTTTCATTACCCCATTATTTACACAGGTACCAGCTCGTCGGTCATATTGCCCCTCGAAGCGTGTATTTGTCACATGGCCACTCCATTATTTACTAGTAAACAATATACAAGCCACAACGCTGACGGCATCTTGTGATCTTCTAGGTGGCGACGTTGGTACCGAGGCAGCACAGCTTCGCGGCCGGCTTCTCAATTGTTTCAATTCGAGCTCGTCCCAATCGAAGGGGTCATGAGCATTTATCGATCTACTTGCGAATAGGAACATTGATGTGGGAAGGAGGGAATTTGGGACTCCAGCAACAATGGCGGACGAGGAACTCGAGCTACGCCCCCAGCACGCACCGAACGATACAGTCTCGGGCATGGGTCCTCTATTGAACGCTGTTCATTTCCACTCTCCTTGGATACTGGCAGTCATCTTCCTTCTGGTTTTTGTCGCCAACAGTATTCTCACTGCAGAACCAGCGGCATCCGCAGCGACGTACCCAACCGTTACTGGACCGGGAGGAAAGCCATTGCCACGATCTGCGGTGAAGTACAAGGAAGAATTGCAAAAATGGAGGAAGATGAAAGAGTTCAGTCGCGGCCGAAGGAATCTTTTTCTGTATCTGCACGCCGGATTGCTTGCTACTTTTCTCCTCAGCGGCACCAATATTGTCATTCACGCCCTAGCAGAAAAGGACCAAGGCTGGTGGTGTGGTGAAGCTACAGCCGTAAGTCGCAGCTCTGTCACATAATTTCCTGTTTGCTGATCACCATCGACAGATATACGTTGTCGGCTCTGCGTTCTTCTACAGCATAGTGCAAATCTCTATGGTTGACACTAGCCCCGCACCAAGTATTGTACACCAAGTTACATGGATCGTGGCCCTCGCTGTTGAAGTCGTATTGCTGGGGGGTACAATTGCCCATTCTACGGCCCCTAATCACCGGGATGTCAATTCTCTACATTTCGGAAGCGATGTGCGATACCACGATCTCAATGATTGGGAAATTGTGGATATTGTCATCGACATTTTACGGGTCTTGTTTCTGCTGTTCCTGGTTGGCTTTTACGTGCTATTCTCCATGGAGCGGCTCCACAAAGAAAAGCAGGAAGCTGCTGGACGATTTTCCGAGACCTCTCCTCTGCTCGTCAACGGTCATGCCAACGGGAATGGTCACGCTCATACAAACGGATCCATTTCTAATGGACATGCCCATTTGTCGGGTTCCGAGGACGGCAATACGATTAACGGAACTCAGACATCTACTGCAGTAGGCACGCCCGCCGCTCGTAGAAGTCTCGACGAGAGTCCAGCTTTCTACAAGCCAACTACGGCGCCAAACCGCACGTGGTGGGAGTACATTCGCAGTTATTCCTTGTTCTTCCCTTACCTTTGGCCTGCCAAAGCCCGCCAACTTCAGATTGTTGTCTTGATCTGCATAGGTCTGATGTTGGCACAGCGAGCAGTCAACTTGGCGGTTCCCTTCCAGATAGGAATCGTCACAGATGAGCTTTCCGACAAGAACAATCATGGAATGCCGTGGCTGGGAATATCATTGTTGATAGGTTTCAAATTTCTTCAGGGGAGCTCCGGCATATTGGGAGCTGTCAGATCTGTGCTTTGGATTCCCATATCGCAGTACTCTTATCAAGCTTTGACTACCGCATCGTTTGAACATGTGCATAGCTTGAGTCTGGATTTCCATCTTGGCAAGCGAACTGGAGAAGTGTTGTCTGCTCTGAGTAAGGGGAACGCAATCAACAATTTTCTTGAACAAGCCACTTTCCAGGTACTACCAATGGTCGTTGATCTTCTCGTTGCTGTAATCTATTTCGGCATATCCTACGACGCGTACTATTCGCTCACAGTCGCAATCATCACCTTCTCATATCTGTACCTGACCATTCGTATGGCACGTTGGCGATCCGAGCAGCGTCGTCAGATGACCAATCTGAGCAGGGAAGAAGAGGCTGTTAAGAACGACTCTCTTACGTCTTACGAGACTGTCAAGTACTTTAACGCTGAAGACTACGAATTCAACCGCTATCGTAAAGCCGTCACCGCTTTTCAAAAGATGGAATACAAAGTCACAATCTCGCTTAATATCCTTAACATTTCTCAAAATCTGGTTTTCATGACTGGCCTATTGGCAACCTCCTTCATTGCATCTTATCAGGTCACTACAGGTCAGCGCAAGGTTGGTGACTTTGTGAAATTGTTAACCTACATGGCACAACTCCAGCAGCCGTTGAATTTCTTCGGCACGTTTTACAGAAGTGTGCAGAGCGCGATGATCAGTGGTGAGAGACTTCTCGAGCTGTTCAAAGAGCAACCGACTGTCATTGACGAACCTTCTGCTTCACCTATGCCAGCATGCGAAGGCCAAATATCGTTTCAGAATGTAAAATTTAGCTACGATGAGCGCAAGCCTGCTCTGGAGGATCTCAGCTTTACATGCCGACCTGGTACAACTACAGCTTTTGTTGGAGAGTCAGGTGGCGGCAAATCCACCGTTTTCAGACTTCTCTTCCGTTTCTACAATGCTAAAAACGGTAGTATCCAGGTTGACAGCAGAGATATCAAAGATATCACCATCGATTCACTTAGGCAACACATTGGTGTTGTTCCACAAGACACTATTCTCTTCAATGAGACACTCATGTATAATCTCAAGTATGCGAATCAAGACGCTACTGATGAAGAGGTATTTGCGGCATGCAGAGCTGCATCTATTCATGACAAGATCATGACATTCCCAGATCGTTACAACACTAAGGTTGGTGAACGTGGTTTGCGTTTGAGTGGAGGAGAAAAACAAAGAGTTGCAATTGCAAGAACTATCATCAAAAATCCACGTATAATTATGCTAGACGAAGCAACTGCAGCATTAGATTCAGACACAGAGCAGAATATCCAAGAAGCGTTACGAGCGTTGTCGCGAGGAAGAACAATGCTCGTTATCGCGTAAGTTCATCCAAAATGGTTTTATGACACCGCTAACTCCTTTAGTCACCGACTTTCTACCATCACTTCAGCAGATCAAATTCTCGTCTTACACGCTGGAAGAGTTGTTGAGGCTGGCAGTCATCAGGAGCTGTTGGCGCTGAATGGCCGCTACCATAACATGTGGCGGAAACAGATTCGTGCTGAGCAGGCTGCTGAACAAGCTTCTCGTGCAGTTGCGAAAGCTAAAGCTCTACAAGAAGCTGCGCTTGCCCGACCCGAAAGCCCGGAAAATGGAGGAGGAAGTGGAGACAGCAGCGACGGGAGTGAAACAGATGGTCCCAGTTCAACACGACCTGGTCAGAACACTGTTTCCAGGGCCGTATCTCGGACTGTAAACACTCGTACTTCTGGTGCCTCTATTGCCGGATCGAATCACGAAACCTTGGTAAATGAACCGGAGGACGAGAATGAACATAGCGGCAATATAGGTCAACATGTCCCAGTTGAAGCTCAGCCGTTTAATACGCCACACACCCCTATTGACCGTCGATAATCCTCCAAATACCACGCGGAGACCTTACGATCGACGCTCGCCACATTAATTACATCCTCATGACGTTGTATATCGTCACCTCTGAATACAGAGTGGCTGTCTTTCCTTTTTGCTCGAGATTGCGTTGATTTCAAATGGCATATAACTTCCTAATGTGAGGAGGCCTGCTCACTCTAATACAGCACATGTCTTGTTTTCTTGTTTTCACGAATTTCCTCGAGGTCACATTGCTGCTTACAGTGCAGAATTGAACCATGATGGTTCTGGTGGCGGGGCATTAAATGGTGCATGAAACGGCGGTTAGCGATTGCTTTTTGAGGGTTTCTGATGTCTGTTTCCAATGGGGCTGCTACTTTATGATAGATGATGGCGCCCGGGTGGGGGGAAAGGGGATTTGCTTTCTCTGTATTTACAAAAGAAGGTGATGGATGTGTGCTGAATTGCGGGGTCACAAAAGTAACCTTAGATAATAAGATGCAAATCACAAAGTTACAAATTTAAAAAGTTCACAAAGCGTACCTAGTGAAAGTGAAAACTCTTGTATAACTGAACCTATGCTACATACATTCAATGCCTATTCTAACCCAGTCTCTCCCGCCCACCCCAAAAACAGTCTTCACGTCTCTCCCCGGATATACACAATACGAACACAACTTCCTGGCTTAACTTTTTCTATCTGTACTCAGGACGAACGAAATCGGCAAAGTTCTTTGGCTCCTCGTAGTTGTGGTGACCATCGCCGTGTCCGTGTCCGTGATCGTCATGGGCGTGGGGATCGTCTTGTGGGCCGACATAGTCCATCTTTAACACGTTTCCGCATTCTGGGCAGCGCTCGACTGGGCGGTCGCGGGACATCTAGGAAAGAGGAGCGCGTGTTAGGGGGTTGGGACCTTGTGAATGGAGGAGGAGGGATATTAGGGGAGAACGTACGGTAAGCCAGATGGTAACGTGGGAATCGGCTGGGTAGCCGGTACAGCCTGCGTATTGCTCGTCGCCGAATGATTTCACTATGATGGGGTTGTCGAGCGTGCCTATTCCGTCCTCGTATCAGCCTTTGGTTCTCCCGACCATCCGACGACTCTCAATTGCACTCGCCGTCGCCATTCTTACCTTTACGCGAAGCATCCAAAGGCTTCATATCAAAGATATCCACACCCTGCATCTTCCCCAGGATCTCCAGACGCTCCAATCCAGTCGCCTGGTCTAAGTCGCTGGGCACGGTGCCGACGGGCGCTCCGGGTGGGATGAGATCGGCTTCGCTTTGAATCTCTGTACTTTTCATCAGCCCCCATCCAATCCCCTTTCCCTTCCCTAATTCATAGGAGCATACCTTGGAATTTCTTAATCTTCTTCTCGCTCCCACTCCCGCTCGTTGGAGTCGGCGCAGCCGCTTCTCCTGCTCACACCATTAGCCTTCCTAATCAACTTTCAAACCACGCCATATCACAGCACAGGGGGGGAGCTCCATACGGCGCACAATCGAGGTAGCGAAGCTGCGTTTTACAGCTGGAACGGCGATGGCGCGACGCGCGGCGAGCACGGCGGTGCGTTGGAGGAACATAGTGGTCAATTGGGTGGTTTTCTTGGGTTTTGGGAGGGTGGTTCGATGGGTTCGGAAGAGCGTTGTCGTGAGGGTTTGGATGGGTGGGTGCCTGAGGTTGGGGATGGGAGCTGGGGAGCTAGTTTTTTTGTGGGGTCTTGAGCTTGGGTTTGACATTTGAGAGTGAAGAACTTCGTCCACAAACAAAAGCTTTTTGTCCAAAATGATAATTGTGATGTATCTAATTGATCAAGCATCTATAAACTTTCCTTTCGCACCTTGCTATTTTAACTTTCGGCGTGGTTGTCATGTTGAGAATATTCGACAAGACCGTGGTCCATGGACCATTTCGTTACGAATTCCCCATGATTTATAAAATACTCTTTGAATAATAATTATACTAACTTTGGTTCTGCTTTCCAGTTCTCCTCATGGTGTTATAAATCAATATAGATGGACTGAAGCTGCCGACAAAATGTATTTCTCAAGTTGGGCAGTCCAAAATGGACAAGACACAGTTAATGACAAGTACCTAGGTATTCGCAAAAAGCTTATCCAATATAGCATTAATATTACTTCGTTACCTAGTTATCTGGATTTCTATCATAAAATCGACCTTCATTTTTGTCATTTGTTACTTAGAGACTAGTGGTAAACGGCGAGCGAGCAACAAGCCATTAGTATTAAACTACCATCATTATAATAGATTCCCACTATAACCAGCAAGAAAGCAAAAACATCAGAGGTATCATTCGCAGCGCCTTGAAAATGCCTAAACATGTCAAACCGAACCCCAAGAGACACCATTTTTGGTTTTTCTGACTATTCCATACTGAACACCTCGTCATACCGCTGTCAAAACGGGACGATAGCTGTAGCTAGAACTTTGTTCTTTTCTGACGGCCCAGCCTTTGATCGCGATGACGGTGATGATCCATGCCATCAAGGCAGCTATCAGACCCATTGAAACCGTGAAGATAAACATCGCATCCAAGCCGTTGCCTTCAATGGCCATTACGGTGTCACGAGCCTTTCCAAGTTAGTTGAATGTCTTGGATTTGAGAAGCTTTCACTTACTGAAGCCATGAAAATGAAGCCGCCAGCCATTAAGCAGAATGAAGTGACGAGTTCTGTTGGTGGTCTTCCTGGTAAAGTCGAAGTCGGTGGCGCAATGTAATAGATGATATATGTCAATCCTCTGCAAAACGCAGCAGCAACAAGCAAAGTTCCCCACTGCTTGTGGATCATGGTCGATACCATAGAGTCTTGATGATGTGAACTCATCATAATACCAACGAGAAGTGTGACAAGTCCAGGAAATGGATTCATAGAGAAGCCATAGCTCTTGGGTTCTACCGATTGTTCCTTATTTCCTTCTTGCTCGTAATTCAAATCCTCGGTCGTCACATTGAGATAGTTGCGAATTTTACGAGATTCAATAAGCAAACCACACTATAATAATTAGCTGGGAACACGCTATTTCTAGAGCATGACTTACCAAACCACCGCCAATAAATAGAAAAGTGATAGCTAGGTGCTCCAGATCTTGTGCCGTCCATTCAGAGCCCCAAGCATTCAAATGTTCTAGAAAAACATTCGTGATGCCATAGATAAACACTAAAGAACTCTCCACAAATTCAGCTGTTCGTAAACTCTTCTTCGAGCGTTTGATGTTCCAGGCCTAAATGACTTGTCAGCCTATTTTGTCAACACGGAGACGGTAGACGTACCCAGCCCATTTCAGACCAACAACCTGCCCAGCGAGCCAGAGACATAATGCCAAACCCAAAGAACACACTACCCTTGATGAGATGTGCAAGTCCACTGAACACTCGATCGCCCATCTGAAGAAAATTCATTAGCTTTATGTCATAACATCGAGAAAGTATTTAAACCTACGAAGAAGCCCCCATACGTTACCCAGCCAGTCAAAAAGCCGACCCATGCCAAGAACAAAATGCTGTAGTCTGCCGAACTATACAGCAATTGAATTGCTCGTAGAAGCCTGGAAGCAAATAACCTGGATGCTTTTTTCGACAATAATCGATTCAGCCTGGTGCTCTTCATTCCGAGCAATTTTTCCTCTTCTTCCTCGTTAGCCTCTCCTAATAAGTCGTTTCGCATATTGCATAACGGCAATTGATCTGATCCCGTAGAAGACATGGATTGACTTCTGAGAGACTCGGTGTTGGGCTCTGTTCCATGGCCACTGTCATACGAAAAACGATGGGGATCTTGAAATCGAAGATCATTTATCCGTTGGTGCTCTACCATGACTTCCTGAGAAATTGGTATGAATGAGACTTGCTCTTCACCTTTTTCTTGAGGATCTCGTTGAGCATATGCGCTAAGCATCCCTAGGAAGACTTGTGCTCCCGCAACCCATGTCAAAATCCAACCCAGCTTGTGATGCGCGTTATTGGGGTACAAGTCGGGCGTGCTTGCGTTGTATGTAATGGCGAGGAGAACCCCAACGGTATTTACGGCGAGAAATGTAAACTGAACCAGAAATCGGTATTTCGATCTCGAAACTGATAGCATGATACCTGCGACGTTGATTAACAAAAAAGTTCATTTTCTTGTGGGATACAGAGTACTCACCAACGGGCAGTATAAATACCCAGCCAATTGTCATGAGTATAATATGCGCCGTCATAAAGCCAGCGTAGGCGTTGTGGTGGAAATAAGTCTGCGAGTCTGCTATTTCTGTGCTTGCCATCGCAGCCGATGGTTCCCCCATAGCTGTGTTCGTCTCGTCGTGGCCATGTGCATTTGCTATGGAAACAAGTCCCGAGAGCAGAATGCCAGTAAGTGCCTGGAAGACTCGCGAAAGTCGCTGCATATGATGTCCTTCGTGTCGCAAAGGTGTCGCAAGCTAGTAGGAAGACTACCTATGTGAATGTGAGGAAGAGACTAGGAGCGTCCCACTTCGGTTATACGGCCAGCAAAGTAACCTATTGCTCCTTCTTCCAGCGAACACACACAGTACTTGTAATCTGATTTGAGTCGGTTTTCGGTATCTGGTATACAAGCAATCCGTGGTCGTTGCCAGACTTTTAAATTAACAAAGGAATAAGGTCTCGACCTTTTTAGTGTTGAGGGAACGTCATTGAACGGAATGGTCGAGAAAGAAAGCGACCGAAGAGTCCGAGTTTATAGTCAGGTTCCAGGATTATGTTGTTGCTGGAGTTGCACCAGGTGCGAGATCGAGATGTGTAAGCATGGGCGATGGAAAATCGGCATTGCAGTTTAAATCTGGTGCTATTCGTTTGTTCGGAAGCGTGGTACGTATGCAGATGCAGTTGCAGTTTACGAACAAAGAACGTCTGACTCAATGCAAGGGTCCCCACCCAAGCTTCTTACGGAGTACCTACTTCGAAGTACCTATAGTAGGTAGGTCTGTTGGAGCTTTCCATAGAAACCGTTTGCGGAGTCGTGGAAATGTGGAATGTAAACTTTTACATCATTTTTGATTAGTTCAGATGTTGTTCCTGGAAGCACTTCCGGATGCTGATAACCAGCTAGATTTCGAGCATCCAGACAGTATGTCATTTTCATAGGCGCTGCGGTATCTCGACTCGTGTTTTCTGTTGACATAGACATTATTAATAACGTCGTTACTGTGAGGTCTGTACAGATGCTCGACAGGGCTGATAGAGAACGGACGATGCTCCGTTAACCTGTCGAGTGACGGTAAAGTCGCCTAAGTGTCCCCACTTCTTGGCAAGCTCAGCGGTCGTCTTCTGAGTGGTTCCACATCCCGTCCTTTGCAGCGGGAGTCGCATCACGCCACTAAAGGTCTCGGAAGGTTCGGGAGCGGTTCTGGGAATGCCCTCATTTTGGTTCTTGGATTTTCAAGTGAAAAAGACTAAGCGCCATTCCTTCTCTGCCCTACTCTTCCGCTGGTTCAGCACAAGAACGCGACATTCGGACATGTTCCGTGCATTGGAATTCCCGCAAGATGGTGGAGAGTAGTGTCCCGATCATGGGCTTCTGCGGCAAGAAATATCGTGGCGTAGGTCTTGTCGTCGACCATCCTCTCCTCATGACCTCTGTGACGCACACCGAATGCTCTAGGTAGTAAGCCTTGGTTGCATAAGCAATTTGACTACAGTACAGATTCCATTACGGTTGGGTTCCAGTAACATGCACTAGCTCGTGACTGGCAAGACTATCATAAATATATCTCGGCAATTTCACAAGGGAAAGTCCTGCAACTGGTGGCTTACATACCGCGCGGCATTTTCATCCGGTGCTGGATGCGACAAATCATGGTGAAGAACAAGTCTAGGCAGATAGGTAGTGTAGCCATAGCTGCTTATGTCAAGCCCGGCTCGATCCGCTTCTCGAGTACAACAACTTTGTTGGTACTGGGCATTGGCCAATGTCAACTTGAAATTCGTGTCCTCTGCTACACCGCTTGAGATGAGAACACTCTTGGGAGGAGAGAGAAGATTTTTTATTTTACATTTTCTTCTTATAGTGAAACTGCGACGTTGCGCTTGTGTTACTATAGGCCGGGCCGTAAAGGAATGGGGTGATATCTCGTGAGGGTGTGTGCAGCATCATCAGTGAGAGTGGCTGGGAGAGCAGAGAACAACACTCCAGCCGGATTGTCAAATCAAAGAGCCATCCATTTCTGTCCTCTCAATCCAGTCGGGCCATAAGTGGGACGACTCACAGCACTTCACAGCGCAGCGCGATTTTTGAGGCTCCACCTGTCTGTCTTCAGATTCTCGACGACTTTGTCCTCTTCTTGCAACTTGAGAAGGATCTGAGTGATACCTCCGTTTGCTGGTAGGTGAAGGTTCTCGGGGACATCTTTATAAATCAACTTGACAATCTCCATCGACGTCCACTCGTGAGGGTCGCTACCGCTGGCCTCGTCGCTTCCAACTTCCCTAGCAGTTTTCAAAATCTGGACCACTTGGTCCTCTCGCATTTGACGATGCTTGATGTATTCAACAATTTTACTTGGTCCATCGTCAATCACCGGACCGTGTCCAGGATAGGCTCGACCCTTGAAAGCGCCTTTCATTCTGTTCAAGCTTTTGATATATGCATACAGGTCTTCGAACACCGCTGTACCATGACCTAGAACATTGTCACCTGTGAACATCGCATCCTCGTTCTCGAGCACTAAAGCCATGTGATCTTGCGTATGTCCGGGAGAGTAGACTGTTTGCAAAGAGGCTCCTTCAACTTTGAACTGTTGGCCATCCTCGATGTCTTCCTGACCGTCGCTTGGTTGATGTTTATAGATAATTGTACTCGGCGAATATTCAAGTAGATGCTTGATTCCCCCGGTATGATCATGGTGCCAGTGGGTGATGACTGCCTGGCCAACAGTTGCATTTTCTTTCTGTAGAGTGTCTTTCAAGGATGCGATCCATGCTGGCTTTCCCTCTCCTGTATCAATCAGAAGCCGCGATCGTCCAGTCCCAATTAAATACGTGTTTGTGCCTTTTCACAAAAAGTTAGATAGAAAGAAGCTGAGACATGTCGCAAGCACCTTGTAGTGTAAACTGAATGCTGTCAGTAGAGGCAGAGATAATCAAGATTAGATTGGTCATACTTTTCCAGGATTTCCCCCCAGTATCCGAATGACGTTCGAGCTCAGTCTTTCCACTTCTCGTAATGGCACAAGCTGAGATGCCATATTTAAAAATTAGTACTTGGACTTTTGTTTTGACTCATGGTCCGGACAGGTTTCCCTCTGTCAGATATGGTATCATTCAACAATCTTGAGCCTCGGCAATGTTGCTCACCCAGTTAGTAGTGGGGTTCCTGATCACGTGAGGTAACCTTCTTTTGTCGACATCTACTTATTACAGTAGTACTTCGCCAATAGTAGCGCCCGACTCAGATACCTAAATTACATCCAATCTTGAAATGTAGTGTAATCGCTTGGAGTAGTTCTATTGTACTTTGACAGTTCGAGCGTAAAAGCTGTAGACTTCTTTCCGAAAAGGAAATATTTTGTAGGTGGGAAGGTGTGGTATGTACTACTTCGTACTCCAGTTGGTGATGTCCAAAGGATATGAGCTGAGATTCTTTGAGCGAAATCCACACAAGGTTGGAATACGGGGTATATTGGTCTCATGATTCTTGACGAAATCTAGATCTGAACGAATCTGTGGTTTGGAAGAGATGGGCCCATATTGGTTTGAGGTTAGAGCTCGTGGAAGCTAATTATCTGTTGATTTGTGGAGTCCATGTCCAATTTTAGAGTGGACAATCTGTCAAAGAGGACAAAAAATTCTACATGTGATCAAGAGCCAGCCTGCTGCGAGAGACATTTCTTGATGTTTGGTAAATCCTCAACTAAAATCAGCAAAAGTGGCTGCGGGAGTATTGTAAAAGAAAATAATCTTCGTCAGATCAGGTAACAAATGTGTTCTAAAGTTGGAACATAATGTCGACTCATCACAGCAAGTATCTGAGCCAAAGGTTTGTATAGTGAAAACTCTCATTCCTGTACGAGTAGACTCGGTGGGTAAAAGTAACGAAGTTTGTGTTGTCCAGGCAAAGTTGTCTGGATGCGTGCACGGACACAAAGATCTAAGTGCCTGAGGTATGATCTTGGCACGCTAAAGATCGCGTCCATCAGTTGGGATAATTCTTGTCGCCATCAAAAGTATCACTTCCTTCCCCAACAGGAGTTAGGATATCGTTTGGCATCACGAAAATGTCGTCGATACCCCCTCCACCACCACCAGGATGGAGCTCATCAGCTCCTCCCTCGTTACCACTGGGTGCGCCACCCGGTGCACCTCCTCCCCCAGGCTACCGACCACCAGTAGATCCTCAAGTGGCCAAATTCGCAGAGAAAAAGAAGCAATGGCTGCGATCGCAAAGGAATCGATTTGGAGAAAAAAGGAAGGGTGGATTTGTGGAGACTCAAAAGGCGGATATGCCACCGGAACATCTTCGAAAGATTGTAAAGGACATTGGAGATGTTTCGCAGAAAAAGTTCAGCAGTGACAAGCGAAGTTATCTTGGAGCGCTTAAATTTATGCCTCACGCCGTAATGAAGTTACTGGAGAATATGCCGATGCCGTGGGAGTCTGCGAGGGAAGTCAAGGTCCTATACCACATCAATGGATGCCTGACTCTGGTCAACGAATCCCCAAGAGTTATTGAGCCCGTGTTTCATGCCCAATGGGCTACTATGTGGGTTTGTATGAGGAGGGAGAAGAGCGACCGCCGACATTTCAAGCGAATGCGATTTCCACCATTCGACGATGAAGAGCCGCCACTTTCATGGTCCGAGAACATCGAAGACGTAGAGCCCCTGGAACCAATTCAAATGGAGTTGGATGAAGAGGAGGATGGTGCGGTATTCGAATGGTTCTATGAGAATAGACCTCTCCTTGATACGCCACATGTCAACGGACCTAGTTACAAAGAATGGAACCTTTCCTTACCACAAATGGCGGCGCTGTACCGGCTAAGTCACCAGCTGTTGAGCGATCTGGTGGACAAGAATTACTTTCACATGTTTGAGCTGAACAGTTTTCTGACAGCCAAGGCACTGAATGTTGCCATTCCTGGAGGACCTAGATTCGAACCACTTTACAAAGACGTCGATCCCAATGACGAAGATTTTGGCGAATTCAACGCCATCGATCGCATTATCTTTCGCGCCCCTATCCGAACAGAATACCGAGTCGCATTCCCATTTCTGTACAACTCCCTGCCCCGCAGCGTGAAATTGTCGTGGTATTCGCATCCTCAAGTTGTTTACCTGCGCGCCAAAGACCCTAGTTTACCCGCCTTCTACTTCGACCCTGCCATCAACCCTATCTCTTCTAGATCCGTTGAGCCCAAAAATATAACAGTTAGCCATGAAGATGAAATATTTGGGCCGGGAAATAAAGAGGAGCCGGAGGAAGATGCATTTGAACTACCGGAAGATGTTGAACCTTTCTTTAACGACGAGGAGTTGGCCACGGACGATACAGCAGCGGCTATTGCCCTATGGTGGGCACCATTTCCATTCGACAGAAGGTCAGGTCGGATGGTGAGGGCTCAGGATGTTCCATTAGTGAAGCAGTGGTACCTTGAACATTGTCCTCAAGGTCAGCCAGTAAAGGTCAGAGTATCATACCAAAAACTCTTGAAGACTTACGTCTTGAATGAGCTGCACAAGAAGAAGCCAAAAGCTCAAAGCAAGCAGAGTCTGATGAAATCGCTCAAGGGCACCAAATTCTTCCAACAAACCACGATCGATTGGGTTGAAGCCGGTCTTCAAGTCTGTCGCCAAGGTTTTAATATGCTCAACCTCTTGATTCACAGGAAGAACCTGACTTATCTTCATCTTGATTACAATTTCAATTTGAAACCCGTCAAAACCTTGACCACCAAAGAGCGAAAGAAGTCCCGTTTTGGAAACGCCTTCCATCTTATGCGAGAAATTCTGAAATTAACAAAGTTGATTGTTGATGCTCAAGTCCAGTACAGACTCGGTAATATCGATGCTTTTCAACTCGCAGATGGAATCTTATACGCCTTTAACCATGTGGGCCAGCTGACTGGAATGTACCGTTACAAGTACAAACTCATGCACCAAATTCGATCGTGCAAGGACTTGAAGCATCTCATCTACTATCGATTTAACTCTGGGCCTGTCGGGAAGGGACCTGGCTGCGGTTTCTGGGCTCCCGCTTGGAGGGTTTGGCTGTTTTTTATGCGAGGTATTATTCCCCTCCTGGAGCGATGGCTTGGAAATCTTCTATCCAGGCAATTTGAAGGTCGACACAGTAAAGGAGTTGCAAAGACAGTTACGAAACAACGTGTTGAGTCTCATTTCGATCTGGAACTTCGCGCCTCGGTTATGGCCGATCTGATGGATATGATGCCAGAAGGAATTAAACAGAACAAGGTCAACACAGTCCTGCAGCATCTTTCCGAAGCTTGGAGATGTTGGAAGAGCAACATTCCTTGGAAGGTTCCTGGTCTGCCAGCACCCATCGAAAACATTATCCTCCGATATGTGAAAAGCAAGGCAGATTGGTGGATATCTGTTGCACACTACAACAGAGAGCGTATCCGTAGAGGTGCTACCGTCGATAAGACTGTTGCAAAAAAGAACTTAGGGCGTCTCACGAGGTTATGGCTCAAAGCCGAACAAGAGAGACAGCACAATTACATGAAGGATGGGCCATACGTCTCCTCTGAAGAAGCTGTGGCCATCTACACTACCACTGTTCACTGGCTGGAATCTCGAAAATTCTCACCCATTCCATTCCCCAGTGTGTCATACAAGCACGATACCAAGATTCTCATTCTCGCGTTGGAACGTCTCAGAGAGGCATATTCCGTCAAGGGTAGACTCAACCAGAGTCAGCGTGAGGAATTGGCCCTGATCGAGCAAGCATACGATAGTCCGGGTACAACCTTAGAGAGGATCAAGAGATTCCTTCTTACCCAACGAGCATTCAAGGAAGTAGGAATCGATATGAACGATAATTATAGCACCATCAATCCGGTCTACGATATTGAGCCAGTGGAGAAGATTAGCGATGCCTATCTTGATCAATATCTTTGGTATCAAGCTGATCAACGACACTTGTTCCCAGCCTGGATCAAGCCTTCCGATTCTGAAGTTCCGCCATTACTTACTTACAAATGGGCTCAGGGTATCAATAATCTTGACAAGGTTTGGGAGACTGCAGATGGAGAGTGCAACGTCATGATAGAGACCCAACTATCAAAGGTTTATGAGAAGATTGATCTTACTTTGCTCAACAGACTGCTGAGACTTATTATGGATCACAATCTTGCGGATTACATTTCGTCAAAGAACAACGTCCAACTCACATACAAAGACATGAACCACGTCAACAGTTATGGTATGATCCGTGGCCTCCAGTTTTCGGCATTCGTTTTCCAATATTATGGACTTGTCCTCGACTTGTTGTTGCTTGGCCTACAACGTGCTAGTGAGATTGCTGGCCCACCGCAAAGTCCTAACGACTTCTTGCAATTCCGCGATCGAGAGACCGAAACGAGACATCCTATTCGATTATACACAAGATACATCGACCGAATCTGGGTGTTTTTCAGATTTAATGCAGAGGAATCGAGAGACTTGATTCAACGCTTCTTGACGGAACAGCCAGACCCTAACTTCGAGAATGTGATCGGATATCGAAACAAAAAGTGTTGGCCACGAGACTCTCGTATGCGACTTATGAGACACGATGTCAACCTTGGACGTGCTGTTTTCTGGGATTTGAAAAATCGTCTACCGAGGTCCGTCACCACAATCGAGTGGGACGATACATTCTCCAGTGTTTATAGCAGAGATAACCCCAATCTTCTCTTTTCCATGTGTGGGTTTGAGGTCAGAATCTTGCCAAAGATCCGAAATCAGAACGATGAATTCCCAGTCAAGGACAGTGTGTGGTCTCTGGTCGACAACACCAGCAAAGAGAGAACAGCCCATGCTTTTCTTCAGGTGACTGAGGAAGATATCGCTAAGTTCAACAATCGTATTCGTCAAATTCTCATGTCATCTGGGTCAACGACGTTCACCAAAATTGCCAACAAATGGAATACAAGTCTGATTGCGCTCTTCACGTATTACCGTGAGGCAGCTGTTTCAACCGTCAATCTTCTAGACACCATCGTCAAGTGCGAAACCAAGATCCAAACAAGAGTTAAAATCGGTCTGAACTCCAAAATGCCTTCTCGTTTCCCACCAGCTGTATTTTATACACCAAAGGAGTTGGGTGGTTTGGGTATGATCTCCGGATCTCATATCCTTATTCCAACTAGTGATAAGCGTTTCTTCCAGCAAACCGACGTAGGAGTGACCCATTTCCGAGCTGGAATGACACATGGCCACAGTGAAGACACCCTGATCCCCAATATTTTCAGATACATTATTCCTTGGGAGGCGGAGTTCATCGACTCCCAGCGAGTATGGACGGAATACTCTCAGAAGCGACAGGAAGCGAACCAACAAAACAGAAGACTCACGCTAGAGGATCTCGAGGACAGTTGGGACCGCGGATTACCTCGTATCAACACTCTTTTCCAGAAAGACAGAAGTACTTTGAGTTTCGACAAAGGTTTCCGTGCACGTACGGAGTTTAAGACCTACCAGTTGATGAAGAGCAATCCTTTTTGGTGGACAAGTCAACGCCATGACGGAAAGTTGTGGAACCTGAATGCGTACCGTACGGATGTCATCCAAGCCCTCGGTGGTGTTGAGACAATTCTAGAACATACCCTATTCAAAGCCACCGCGTTTCCATCTTGGGAAGGTCTCTTTTGGGAAAAGGCCTCAGGCTTCGAAGAATCCATGAAGTTTAAGAAGCTTACGAACGCTCAAAGATCTGGTCTGAACCAGATTCCGAATCGTCGCTTCACTCTTTGGTGGTAAGTGTTTTTCTTTATAATGCCTCAGATCTTGTCACTAATTTACCATCCCCCTTCTGGTCGAGCTTTCCCTAGTTCACTATTAGATACGTTCGAAGTCGGCTAATTTTTTTGTCGTACAGGTCACCCACTATCAACAGAGCCAACGTCTACGTTGGTTTCCAGGTCCAACTAGATCTGACGGGTATCTTCCTTCATGGTAAAATCCCGACGCTCAAGATCTCTCTCATCCAGATCTTCCGAGCACATCTGTGGCAGAAAATCCACGAGTCCGTGGTAATGGATCTTTGCCAAGTCTTCGATCAAGAATTGGAACAACTGGGTATCGAGACCGTTCAGAAAGAGACTATCCATCCAAGAAAATCTTACAAGATGAACAGCTCTTGTGCTGATATTCTCCTGTTCGCAAGTCACAAGTGGAATGTTACACGGCCAGCTCCCTTGTTCGACACGAAAGATGTCATCGAGCCTACCACCACGAACAAATTTTGGGTTGATGTCCAATTGCGCTATGGTGATTATGACTCGCATGATATTGAGCGCTATGTACGCGCAAAATACCTCGATTATACTACCGACAGCATGAGTATCTATCCATCCGCCACGGGTCTCATGATTGGCATTGATCTAGCCTACAACCTCTACTCCGCTTATGGCCAATACTTCCCTGGTTTGAAGATGCTTGTTCAACAGGCGATGGCGAAGATCATGAAGGCTAACCCAGCCTTGTACGTTCTGAGAGAAAGAATCCGCAAGGGTCTTCAGCTTTACGCATCAGAAAGTAACCAAGAATTCTTGAACTCCCAGAATTACTCTGAGCTGTTCAGCAATCAAGTCCAGCTTTTCATCGACGATACCAACGTCTATCGTGTTACGATCCACAAGACTTTTGAAGGTAATTTGACTACCAAGCCAATCAACGGCGCAATCTTCATCTTCAACCCACGCACTGGTCAGCTATTTTTGAAAATCATTCATACCAGTGTTTGGGCAGGTCAAAAACGTCTAGGTCAATTGGCCAAGTGGAAAACTGCGGAAGAAGTCGCCGCGCTCATTCGATCATTGCCAATCGAAGAACAACCTAAGCAGCTAATTGTCACTCGAAAGGGTCTACTTGATCCCCTGGAAGTTCACTTGCTGGATTTCCCTAATATCTCAATTAGAGCATCCGAGCTGCAACTTCCGTTCCAGGCGGCAATGAAAGTCGAGAAGCTTGGTGATATGATCCTCCGAGCGACTGAGCCACAGATGGTATTGTTCAATCTCTACGACGAATGGTTGAAGACAATTTCCTCCTACACGGCCTTTTCCCGTCTTATTCTTATTCTCCGTGCCCTTCACGTAAATATGGATAAGACCAAATTACTCCTCCGACCAGACAAGACCGTCATTACGCAAGACCATCATATCTGGCCATCTCTATCGGAAGATGATTGGATCAAAGTCGAAACGCAATTACGAGACCTCATCTTGAATGACTATGGCAAGAAGAACAATGTCAATACTTCCAGTCTGACAAGTAGTGAAGTCCGAGACATCATTCTGGGAATGGAGATTAGTGCGCCGTCTATGCAACGTCAACAGGCTGCTGAAATTGAAAAACAGCAACAGGAACAGCAGCAGCTTACCGCAGTGACAACCAAGACCCAAAACGTTCATGGAGAAGATATTATTGTGACAACTACATCGCAATTCGAACAACAAACCTTTGCATCAAAGACGGAATGGCGGACTAGGGCCATCGCAACCTCCAATCTCCGTACTCGAGCGAACAACATCTACATCTCATCTGATGACATCAAGGAGGACGATCATTACACGTACATCATGCCGAAGAACATCCTCAAGCGATTTATCACGATTGCAGATCTACGCGTTCAAGTTGCCGGCTACCTATACGGATCTTCGCCCCCCGACAACGATCAAGTCAAGGAGATCCGATGCATTGTGATGGTCCCCCAAATCGGAAATACACGCGATATCCAACTTCCGCAACAACTTCCACAACACGAGTACCTCGAGCAGATGGAGCCACTAGGAATCATCCACACGGTCTCCGGCAATGAGCCGCCGTATATGAGCGCTGCGGATGTCACGCAGCATTCGCGCCTGATGAATGCACATAAATCATGGGATAAGAAAACCGTTAGTATGACGGTCTCATTCACGCCAGGGAGTGTATCTCTTGCCTCTTGGGCGCTTACACCTGCAGGATACAAATGGGGTGCAGAAAACAAGGACATGGGAAGCGATCAGCCTCAAGGATTCAGTACGAGTATGGGAGAGAAATGCCAGTTGCTTCTCAGTGACAAGATACGAGGTTATTTCCTTGTTCCAGAGAACAACACATGGAATTACAGCTTTATGGGAAGTGCGTTTGGTGGCATCGAGAAGAAGCCGGTACATGTCAAGATTGACACGCCGTTGCCATTCTACAGCGACCAACATCGACCACTCCACTTCCAGAATTTTGCAGAGTTGGAGAACCTGTTCGTCGACCGAGAGGACGTATTCGCTTAGTGTTATGGCGGTGAGAGGGAAGGTTGCGGTTCTTTACGAGGGATCTACGGCATGCAGGAAAATTGGCATGGAGGATGGGATATGTGTGCGCTGTTCACGATGTGAGGCGCGTGTATGAAATCTTGGTAACGGCGTTTGATGTGAGCGGGGAGGGTGTTGCGATTGTTCGTTCTGTGTAAGCATAAAAAACCTGTAGGTTAATTCCACGAGTGATAGCTCTTGTATGTGCATAAACTGCGTGATCGACGGGGTCTTTCTTGGGTCTGTCCTACTGGTGTTGTTGGTGTGAGGCTCTTCGCCGGCGGTTAGGAGGTGTGGACGGATGATCAGCCGGGGCATCATATGCGAGTGTCTCTCATGCAGTGGCTGCCACGCAGTCGGGAGTGGAGTGCAGCTCTCAACGCAGGAACATGGCAGACTCGCTTGGCGCCCTTTGGAGTTTTGGATATTTTGTCGTGGTGGTGATGGTGTGGAGATGCGAATAGTTGCTCGAATACCAAAAGGAGTCACGACAAGTCTTGTCGAGTAAGTGTCGCCAAGCGATAACATGAATCTCAATCTCTTTATCTTCTTGCAATCCGGTACCTTTCCGGTGCTGCCGGCATCGTAGTCGTCGTCGTAGGAATCATAGTTCGTCTCTCTTATGATTGTAATGTCCTGCCGAACGCTGGCTCCATGGTTGCTCCTGGTGAGCGGTGCCGTTACAAGCAGTCCAGAGCGGCCATCGGGTCTTTCTGCTGTAGGGCTGCCGTACCGCCGAGGGCCGTTTGACTCTGCAGAAAATGGTATCACAAGCTTCATTAATGGCCCAAAAAGTGAATTGAGAATTGATTTGCTTTGGTACGGTGCAGATGGTTTGGTGGTTCCAAACCACCTGGCTGCATGGCAACTTCTGTTCCGTTCTCGTCTCCGAGTCCTCCTCGAGGTTGTTCCTCAGTGCGCGGTGCTGCAGTGCAGTGCAGTGCAGCGAAACTCCCCGCAACGTCTGTTCGGTGCAGGTTTCTTGTTGACCTCGTCGTCCATCATCCATCGTCGCATCCATCAGCTATTACTCATCCCTCACCTCTCGACTCTCACCACTTCCAGCTGCTTCCTCCATGATCACCGACGCTCACCAGCCAAGTTTTGCCCTTTCAAACTGCATGCAACGGCACTGCTGCACAGACACACACACCACATCAATGCAAGAGCATTCATACCTTGTTCAGACGAAAGACCGTCCATGATCCGTCTCTGCTCCCTCCAGCATTGCAGCACATCATCAACGTACCGCTCCAATAATGGCCCAGGACGACACTCCCAAAGACGGTCCCAATTGCTTGTTCGGCCGTTTTGCTTCTCGCAAGCTTACCAGTGTCGAGCCTCTCTGAACGTGCTCGAACCTCGCAGCTGCCAAAGTTGACTTTTCCCCGGAGACGCGTACAACCTTCTGGCGATGAAGCTTTTCACCTGCTGGATCGCCTCGTATGACGGTCGATTTCTTGGAACTTGACGGCCTCGCAACGCCAGACGATCATCCAGACTCGGCAGTGACAGCGACGGCAATGCTCGTGACAATTCGGCACCTTGAGAGAGATTCCCGTCCATGGCCGCAAGGAACTGCCCTCGAGTGAGGCATGACAGCTCAATATCTCTTCGATATTAACACCGCCAACCGCCAGGATGCGTTTGCCATGGCAAGGTCAGGGGACAGCGAATCTTCCATCGTGCAGATGAGAGCCATGCTGACGATGATCTTCGATGAACAATAGACGCGGCGACTCATACAGAAATCTTTGTTCACACAGCACAGCAACACCTTCAGTCTATGATCCGCGAACATGCTACTCCCACCACCCTCGGTGCCTCTATTTCCTGGTCGAATACGGTTCGACGATGCCGTGATGCGCATCAAGGGCGGCAATCATAAGAGCAGGCGCATATACAGATATGATGCTCCCTCTCGTTTGATCGTTCTTTCACCTCACCACTTCGAGCTCCGGCGCGTCATGGCCAAGCAGCACACGCTGAGTCTTCGCAACATCGCCGTGCCAGCTGCACAGCGGACGCTCAGCAAACACAAGCAAGTTAATGTTTCCGAGGCACTATCGATTTTGTTCTCAATCTCTCTTCTCCGCCGAGTTTGTGTTCTTTATTTGGCTGCATTACTTTGGTCATTTCCGTCGCGAACATCGTCGCCCTATAACTGCACGCGTCGTCGAGTTTTTAATATAAGCTAATCCATGTGCATTAACACACATTTCGAGAGGCGTCTCGCTTCCGAGAATAAATGCCTGTGCTGTTCACGAGCGTGAGCCGCCTCCAGCCTCCAGCCTCCAGCATCTGCACCCAGCGCAAGGTCTCAGGGTGCTCTTGACTTCTGTGCTGCTGCCATGCGTGGGTGGATGCGTCGAGCTGGCCACTGGAGACCGCTGAAGGGCCCTGTGGGTGGGGTCGATGTCGTGAAGTCCAAGCCCCTGGGACCTCCCTCGTCTCTCCCAAGGGCCCCTTGCCTTTCCGAACAATGCCTGTGGACCCTGTCAGCAAACCTCCAAAAGTTCTGGTGGTGGTTAAAAAAAATGTCATTTGTGCCCATGGCCCAAGAGGGTTCGACGAGGGGTGCACTGCTGAACCCGTCTAAACCTAGGACGGCAGCATATCCACGGGTTTCAGCGTCTCCCCATGAATACCATCTCGCTGTCCGCCTCGTCGGTGCTGTTCTCCGTTCGACCTCCCTATCATCATCTGGCGTGGATCCGCTGTGTCTCAGAAGCTTCTATGCAGTCTTCCAGAGCTCATGCTGGTGGACGGCTCCAATGAACCAAACCTGAACCGCGGAACTTGGCAGACAACATGATGAACGTCGTCCTCCCTGCTTGTCATCATGTCATGGCTCTCTGAAGACCGTCCCAGGCTCCCCTACCTGCCCACACCCGGCTCGGGATCTTGTCCTTTACTTGGTTTCCCCTTTGGGCTCTGCCCTACACATGGCATTAATCCAAATGTTGATGCCCCCCATGAAGTCAGTTCACAGGCCTTTTCGACAGCCAGGGCCAACACAGATACCGTCTCGACTCGATAGCGAATCATGGTGGTGCCTGACTGCTTTTCAGATTCGTCTGCACTTTTAATTACTAGCCTAGATCTGGTCAATGCCGGACTCTCGCAAAGTTCAGACGAAGAGATATAATGCCACAAGCGCCCCCTACAAGTACTGTATCTCTTCTTACTCCTATACCACCCTCATTCACTACTACCGCCATATCAGCGGGACAGCGCCCCTCACGGAAGAAGGTTGACCCTCTTGTTTGGAATTCCTTCATAATATTTGTACCGTAACAGATGTTGTGTCGGCAAACCAGCAATCGACGTTGACCTATATCTCAGCATTATATAGACAGCTTTCCAAAGACGCACAGTCGCATCACACCTGAAAAACAACCAAAAAAAACATTCACAGCGTTCAAAAGCCCTCTATAAACTTAACACACCTCAGCAGTGATCCAGCACGTAGTAAGGCAGCCCCCAGCGACCTGCGAGAGCAGTTCGCTGTGGCGGAATCCATGCATGTCTGGGTATCGGCCAGGCCACGATCCCAACCCATACATCGACTATGTTCCTCAACCAGAACAACATCCGGAGGAGCGTGTCTTCGGGCATGGAGATATTCAGCATACAGCCGGACCAGGCCTTGCCACACCTCATGGTCATTACGGAGCGCCATCGCATCAACCACAGCATCACCAGCAGCAGCAACAACAGCAGCAGCCTCATCCCCAACACCAGCCATATCCAGGACCGTTGGCTCCAGATATGGCCCACCATCAATCTCCTCAATACGGTGGTGGGCCACCTCAGATGATGTTTGCCCCGCCAAGGGCCATGCAAACACCTACAGGCTCGAAACGGCAGCGAGATGAAGATGAAATGGAGGCGATGGGGAATCTACCTGCAATGGGAGGACCACACATGGGGGAGATGTCTATGCCTCCACACATGCAACAACCATCGATGGTGAATTTTGGCGAGTCGATGCACACACCACAGCAATTTCACGGCCATGGGCTTCCTCCGTCGCTTCATCCTTCGAAAAGAGCTCGAGGCGAGGACCCAAACACCGTTATGCTTTCCCCACCATCTGGGGGGGCTCCAAGTGTAGTTGGCCATCCAGGCATGCCAGAGCCCGCGCTTCGACCAAGGGGTCCAAAACTCAAGTTTACTCCAGAAGATGATCAAAAATTGGTGGACTTGAAGGAGAACAAGAATCTAACATGGAAACAAATTGCGGAATTTTTTCCGGGCCGATCTTCTGGAACGTTGCAAGTCCGTTATTGTACAAAGCTCAAAGCGAAGACAACACAATGGACTGACGAGACCGTAAGTCTTCTGAAAAACGTCAAGCTAGCAAGTTTCTAACATTCTATTCAGATCCAAAAACTGCGGACTGCGCTCCACGACTACGAGCAAGAGAAGTGGCGCATCATAGCACAAAAAGTCGGCACAGGATTTACATCCGCCGCTTGCAAGGAGAAGGCTATGGAGTTGGCTCAACCTTTATAGCATTCAGTGTCTCCAGCAGAAGCACCCGCTTCTGATCTTGGGGACGCAGAATTTTAAAAGCTCACCGCAGCGACTGGAAACCATTTCCAAAAGGTTCGAATCTTTAGCTTTCGACCCGATATACTCTATCAAATCCAACATCTACACCAACATAAAAGTTTAAGAACTTTCCTTCACCCATAACTGAGATTGACCCTCGCCCAGCTGTCCTCCACAGGAACGGCCCGACGGCATATAGCCAACAACTTCACTTCTTCACGCTCGTTTCCGCGACTGGAGCGCGCTATTTACAATCTCTATTTTCTCTTTTGACTTTGATAAACCATGATACCATCTACAATAACGACTATACACAAACTTCTAATTTCCGCTGGGTGGAACTAGCCAAGGAGGCAAGACATAACGGGGAGTTGGGGATGTCAAAGAAAGCGAGCACAGATGCGGCGTAATATGTGGGCAGTTTGACGCTCGGGGTACATATCGACAACGAAGATATTTTGTCACATATACAATCAGGTCGATCAGAGAAGACCTTTTTGTGGCACATATTTTTGCACTAAATATTTCAATTTTTTGTTTATCTTGTTCAGACACTTTTTTTTCTTGGACCTTTCGCGTACACCACCTGTTTTTGTTTTTTGAGTAAAAGACTATACCCCAACCTCGCGATTGCGGCATTCATTGTCTACTTACATTCTTAATACTTTTAAGATAACTCTACTTTTTAATTCTACATACATACTTTTTTGGTGGAGAAAAACGGATTTTTCTTTTGTCACTCGGTACGAACGAAACTCGATGATTTGGATGGCACAGAGTAGACTTATGGATATTGGAACAGGGAAAGGTGGGAGCATGGCAAAGGCATTTTTGGGAGGAAAGGAATCGGAAAGGCCCTGGGGACTGGAAAGAAGACTCTCTGTGCTTGTGTGTGTGTGTGGGAAAATGTGAATAAAAGATTAAGAGGATTTCAAGCGCACCCTATAGATTAAGCTAGTAGTATATTTTTCGAAGAATGTCCATAATACTTTGGTTACTGTTATCCTGCGCCTAGACTGTTTGGTTTGCTTTCTGGTATGTCTTCCAAGTACTCGAGTTTCTATTTGCTGGATCTTGATCGCTAACATGTTTGGTAGTTGCGCTTACTATCGCGGAAGCCAGACTCATGAGCCGAGATGTTGGCATTGAGATTGGATCATATATCAGATCATTCGAATGCTCAGAACTCGCTTTACAGCCAGTAAGGGCATTCTCATGTCAACGGCACAAACTCACGGCTTACTCTAGCTACCCGCGTTTGGCTTATGGCTTCTCACGGCGCACGACTCGCTATCAACAGCCGCGGCGAGGACGAAGGCTACGAGGTACGTATCACATTCGAGCCGTCTTTGACAGGTTGGTTTGTTAGCGGAGGAGGCGTGGTACGGGTTTCTTTGTAAGCATATTGTAAGCCTTTGGATTCTGGTACAGGCTGCAATGATTTCAAAGCGAACCTAAGTGCCGAGACAAGTACCGTGGGGTTGAGATCTTCAGTGGGTTTGGGCTTTGCTGGAGATGCTGAGAGAGAGGATACGGTATACCTACCTACCTGTCTTTCTGTTCGAAATCGGTACCGCGAGCTGCGTGTTTGCTGGCGTTGCATCAGAGAAAACACGTCTTCACGCACCTATCACACACTCCCGGATGGCGAGCCGGCCGAATACACCAGAACGTGAAGTTCCGTTGCCTTTCTTCACGAGGCAATCATGGATGGCGAATCGCAACTTCTATGACGTGGCTCTCGCTGAGAGGTCGGACGACGAGTGTTAGTTGGTGTGTTATGGATATCCCATCCAGGGTTTTCCACGCATGATCTGCCGATGTAGAGGCTCTGGAGCATACGAAATGGGGGTTTTACTCGCTGGTTGCGTGCGGATTTTTACAACGGCAGCAAGCTTGAAAATGGAAAAGAAAAGATTTGAGCGTTTCAGATGTCAGCAGTTCGAAGTCGTTCCGGGAGAATGGTTGGTGTGTGAGGAGTGGCGCTGCGTGGGAGGGGGGGTTGGTGTATGCATAATTGAGGTCTGATATGCCTTTATGCGTTGGGATCTTCGTGGGAGTGGTTTGTTTTTGGGATGGTTTTGGTGATGTGGTTTTGCTGGGTGGTTTGCTGGTGAGGTGGGTGCTGGTGGTTTGTGATGGATGTGTTCTTGTGTGTTGGATACTGCTGTTGAGGGTGCTTGTTGGAGATGGTCGTGGTGGTGATGAGGTGAGGTTGGCTTGTCGTCGTCGTTCGTGACCCTGGACAAGCGAAACTCGGATCTTGCGCATCCATTGCAGAAATCGGAAAATTGTTCATGCATAACCTTTTGGAAGTACTTTGCCAGGCTGCCTTTGGATCCATCGCCGTATCGTTACAGCAGACTCGATAAATTGATTCTTCTGCTTGGAATTCTTGCTATTGATTGGCATCTGATGGTTGTCGGCCATCGCTGTGGGAGATGGTGGGGTGAGAAGGCGCTTGTGTGGGTTTGAAGGGTCGAAATGGACAGGGTGAAGGAGAGTGCCAGAGAGGAGTGCAGCTGCAAGACAGGGCATGGTTGCAGTCAAGGTCGCATGGAAAGCAGTGGAGTGAGTGTTTCAAAACGAACCGTGCATTGCTCTTGTACCTTCGTACCCGCAACCTTCTTCCCCCTTTTCTAGAACATAGAGGGGCCGAGATATGAGATATGGAGGAGATTAAAAACAATGTGCCAACCCAAACATCCCGCCATGTTTCTATTCTCGAGTACGGAGCAACCTTGTATGCTGAACGATACTATGGGTCCAACCGAGATTTCGACGTCAATGGGTTCTATTTTGGCTCAGAGGAATGGGTTTAAGGTGCTTATCTATTGAAGATGTGCCTTCCAAGATACGACTATCCCTCGTGCTTTCCTTATAAGAGCCACAACACCGAGACTTGGGAGCTGGAGGCTCATTTCCTGGTTGATGCGGTAGACCATGAGCGCAACGGTGATCGACCGGCCAGGCAGACCGAAACCTTGAAACATTCTTTCCATCGTGACACCAGATCCGGAGTTCGTGACGGTAGCCATTCGTGGGGTTCACGCTCGCAAGGATACATGTGGACAAGCATGTCATTTCTTTGTAAGTCTGTGTCTGTACTTTTCTATTTTCAATCGGATTCTCCCGCCAGGCTGATTGCGAGGTGTAATTTAACAAGTAGCAATGCAAAGTCGCTGAAGTTGGCATTAAGCGAGAATCTTGTCAACTTCAAGACCACTTCCTAGGAGCTTGCAGCTGCTTTCGCATGCAAGCCGTTCACAGTCATGTTGCCAATTGGCGTAACGGCTACAGTACGCGCCTGGCAGCTTCGGAGATTTTACGGTGCTTTTGGGGTATTTGATGCATCATGCTCGTGGCAAGCCTGTCTCTGCTGCAGGTGTTTTCATGGGATGGTACTTCGTTGGTGATTTCCAAGTCACCAGGTCGACTTGACACGGCTCGTTTAATCTTTGCAAAGTATCAAGTTCTGTCGTTTCTCATTTGTATTTCTCAAAGGGCGACACGCCGGGCCTTTCACCAACTCCAGCTACATCAAACCTCGAGGTAGAATATCCGAACTATGCGCCTCCGAGGCCTGTTGGAAGGCTAGATGTGCTGAAAAGACGGCATTGGTTAGTATCCGGCTGTTCTACAATCTCAGGATGTATCATGCATGCACTGTCAAGTATCGATTTCACCTTGGAGTGGAGAACTGGTACAAGGCATCTAGACTGACGGGTGGTACCAAATGAGGCATGAGAAGGTCCAGTAGGTCTTGGGGACTTGGTACAAGGTAGCGAAACTAACGGACGACACCTAAAAGGGCATGAACAGGTCCAGCAGCCAGACAAGCAGTATTTGCCCTTAATTGTCTAAACCAGAAGAGAAGTGGACTATTGCTTCAAGACCTTGTTCTCCGTTCCTGCAAGTGCGAAGGTCAAGTATCACGCAGCACATTATGCCTTGTGATTCAAACAGCATTGATTCATTTCGAGATTTTGAACATGGCTAAGTTCTAATCAGGTTACTGAGTTGGAAGCTGCAGTTCGAGTCGGAGTAGAAAGCAAGAGTTTCAAGGTAAAGAGTTTTGTCATTGCATGGCAGTGAAAGTGAGCAAGACAATTACTGAGATTCTCGCTACAAACTATTGTTTAGAAGTAACTGCACACTGTCAGTCACGCGAAGGACCCCGTAGATGCTCTGCAGTTTAAGTTTGAGATATTCCATGATGAGTCAATTTATAGTGTAGCTCAAATTGTAGAGATAGGAACATTGCGAATAAAATCCATATAATTTTCGTTAGAAATTTAAATTTATGAGTCAAATTACTTTTGCCTTTAGTCAAGTAGCAGTTGATTGAGCAGCTACCTGTCGAGTTGTGCATATCAGAGCTTTTAAGTTTGTCTGTCTTGTATGGATGTTGTGGTTTTGCAACATTTGTATAATGAGAAAAATGTTGAGAATAGAGGCTTTGAAAGCTATTATTGCTAGGTGAAGTTATCGCACTTCGAAGTGTCTATCTAGTGCCGTGGCTGTTCTTGCTCAGCTTAGACCGTATTCCACATAAGGCACTTCTTCGGTTGTTCGAGTTGTAGAGAACTTCTTTATCTAGATATATGCAAGTTAAAGATAGAAGAAAAAAAAAATCTACGATATCAAGAGAGGTTGCAGACGGATAATGCCTTCTCTAGAGGTCATAGTATGCTCGATTTTACGTCAAACGAAACGGGCATGTATTCCGATCTTTCGAGCATTTCGGAGTTGATAAGAACACTACAGCTTGTCGGGTAAATACATCATGTTTTTCTCTCCTTCTATTTTCCAAGCAGAAAATGACGATGGGTAAATCAGTGAACAATGTGACCTCTCATAGCTTCAAGTCACTGTTGAAACTTCATTACTAGAACATACAAGTAGTATAGTAATCCGGACGATTATACTTTGAGAAAGCATCTTGCAAGTAGCCTACTCCGCTACTCAATCGGTGGGATTGGGGTTATAGTAGGACAAAGATCTTCTGTACCATGAACCAGACATCTTGAAATGCTGTACTATTTTCAAAGCTAATACACATATCGTAGGCTCTACTAAGTTATAGATTGAATTTTAGTATATTGAAATAGCCAGAGACTGTTTACACGTTACTAACAAGGGGTAAAACTGGAACACAATTAGACGAAATCAATTATTCAAAATTTCATTATTCCCAGTGATACCTCCTCGCGCTAGACTAAAATAGTTTATTTGTAGGTTTATTGATACTGTTACTTGCAAGATATTACGAAGCTCAAATATCGTTCAGAGCACTGCTTACCACTGAGTGACGGAGGTTGAGGCCCATGAAAGCTAAGACCGTTCGATGAGATATTTGAATCTCGGAGAAGAGAAAATGCAAGAATGGTCAAGTTCCGAACCAGGACAAAACCAAAAAAGTCCTCTCCTGTCATAGCATTAAGAAACACCAGCTTACACTCCATTCCATACATCTCACAATTAGCAAAAGTAGCAAGGGTCTATTAGACAAGGACAAAGCATTCAAGAAGATCAACTTTACACTTGGTTACCTTTCTTCAATTAGAATTCGGAAATTCTGTTAATTTACAAAGTTTGGAGACAACTATGAAACCAACTTTCATTTTTCAACGAGGCAAATTGTGACGACAGAACCCACCTTACTCATATTTCTGGTACAAGATCCTCATATAATGGATTTCTCGTGTGATGGACTCTTTAGTTCTACAACCAATTGGACCGTCTTGCGGACTGTCGTGCTCGTATGAGCACTTTTTACAGAGTGTATCAATGAAGTGTCTTGTCTTTAGTGAAATTAGAGTTGTGAAATGTTGTGAAATTCTTTACTCTTGATTAAACATCATTCTATATATCGGATACAAAACATCATTGTTTCTCTATTATTTCAGCAATTATTTTGCAGAGAAAATAACTGAAGACATTAACTTATGTCTAGAGTTGAATAATTATGGATGTTTGACCCTTAAGAAAGTGAGATATATTTGATATATGATTTGAAAATAAAGAGTTGTTACTATTTGCAAGGCTGGATTCAAAGTAAGCTTCTAAACTTAATACTACTTCGGCCCATTTGTATGCTGGCTCTTTCTTGTAAAATCAGGCCTCAGGAAGCGCTTTTTCTTCAATACCGGAGTATATCACTAACATGATTGTTGTCACCGTAAGTCTACATAGTGTCATTGATAGTACTTGGTACTTCAAGAAACTACCCGAATAAAATATTACAGGTTTATTATATTGTTTGAAACTGATGATAACTAGAATGTATTCTGCAACCTATAGACTTGCGAGATTGAAGCGTCATAGAGTAGACAACTTTCAGTAAGTATGTGATGTTAAGGAATGCTAATATGCCCGCTGAACTTTATAACGTGCTACAAGTTCCTTTGACATTGTAATTTAGAACTTTCAAAAGAGTTGATTCCGAGACTTTTCCCAGTAGGATCGTAGAGTATATGATAAAAACAGACAGCGAGGCAAAAACTTATGGGATGTATGAACTTGTTATGCTGTAAGGGCAGATGGCAAGCAAAGGGTTTTTCGAGTTGAAGGTTTATGATAAACGTATCGTGGTTCCTTTTTACTTAGGTGCTGCTGACTTGGGATACTGGAATATACTGAACGGTTATGCCTCTTATCATTTGGTCTGTTATTTTACGGATGGTAGTAATCATGAGAAATATGATCGTGATGACGAGAGCTAGGCAAGTGGGTCGATTTCGCCTTTTTACTATGCTAAACGATCTAGGACTCAAATATCAGAAGGCTCAGAAATTCGTAACACGTACTCATAATTCTCCTCCGGAGTAGACCCACATGAAAAGAACCTCCCTATGTGAAATCATCTTTGCGTTTCCCAATCGCGAAATTCGCATCCTTTTCTATACCCAGAGCTTGAAAACACCCAGTTCTCAAACTTCATTAAAGAGTCCCCAATCCTTAATCTTGAAGCTCTCCCAGATTTTCGCAGCGAACTCTACGCTTTCTTCAATCAGCTTTCCCTGCTTTCCAATCTGCATATCAATCTCCTCAACCGTGTACTCTCCCTTGATATGTGGCACATTGATCGTGATCAAGATGTCCGTACTTTCCTTTTCCAGCCGTACCAGAGTCAGAACAATCGCAGTGAAATCCGGGTTTTTAGAGTCTGGTTTTAGTGGCGGGGTTTGTGTTGCTATCAGAGTGTAGGCTGGGATATCCTCACTGTTGAGTTTGTTAGATGTCATGTGATATGAGATTTCGTGAAGGGAGACAAACGGAAGCTTTGAGAATTGAGTGTTTGATGTATTCCAAACCTTGACGGTATCATCATCTGAGTCGACGATGTCTTCAAGGTGGGTGGTTAAGGCTGCGCCGTCGATGGCTGGACCACTGCCAGGTTGACCCACGCGCTCTACGATGTCGAAGATGATGCTTGTGAAGCCATCTTTGTCGAGGTAGACTTCCTGGTGGTCTGGAACTTGTCGAATTGTGCTAGATGTATTTAGTGTGCTGTATCACCCGAGGATATATTAGGGCTGAGATTTACCTGACGTCGGCGAAGTTGGAAGGAAGGTCGACGATGAGTGCCCCGCCAAAGAGAGGGGTACTGCGGAAAGTTGTTGTCATGGTGACTCTTTAGTTAGGCACTTTTTGCGATCTTGATGTGTAGTAGATGTTGTTTTGCAAAGTAAAAGTTGTAGTGCCTTTGCGCTTTATTTAGCTCAAGAGTTCAATCACGCCAGCCTTCTTGTACTTGAACAGTGCTCAAGGCAATGAGTATCGTCAATGATTCCTTGATGCCTAATTCACTAGGACGATATTTGATGACTCTGATACCACTTGTCGAAGTAATGACTCAGATCGCGAATAAAAAGAAAGGCTCACTTGCGACCAAAGTTGTATGAGTTGGAAAAGTGGCGGCGACGGAATAGCAGCCTCACCAAATCTGTAGTGTCGTACTTGGTAGCGAACCAAGATGTGCATTCCATCCAAGAAGAAAAAGCTCGCTTACACGACGTTGCCTGTGTTGAAATCCACTTTTCAAAACCGTCCAAAAATTCTTTTAAATGGTGAACAGGATCCCATGTCAAGAGATCCGTACCAAAAAAACCAAAAAATTCTGAATGATCAGATGTTGGTTTACAAAGATTGGTAGAACGGAGTATATTGGGCATGAACCACGGTCATCTCTGGTAAAAGGCAAGAAATGAATTCTGAGCTAGTTTGTCCCACTCCAATCAAAAAGTGTTCTTATTTGTGTTTATAAAGTACTACCTCTTTCTGGCCGAAGTGAACCCGAGCAACGAGAATCTTGACTCCTTCCTCACTTTGCTCGTGCTGCTTTCACCACAATTCAGCCTTAGAATCCCTCTTGTAGTAATCAAATCTGGAACTGCCCCCGAAGCTGGGATCAATTCTTCATATCAAATTTCTTTGTCCCTCCTATCAACTTTTGGTATGACCTGATTGTTTAGCTGTTAGTTCTGTAGCTCCGTGATAGTAAAGACCGGTGGAGCATCAGATATACAGTCTTGCCGGAATCCAAAATTAGTACAACCATCCAGAAAAGTATGGAAAACCATTGATCCTCTTGATATGTAAGCTAAATGCTCTGTGAATATAAGAGATCCTCTGGATTTTACAACTTTAGCTTCCACGCTGTAACGCCTGGGCCTGCCGAGCTGCATACGCCAAAAGACCCCGCGCTTCGTCCCGTTCCCCAGAGACGTCTTACAGTACCACATCCATTGATCTCTTCCCCACCAATACATCCTCCAGCAGGAACGCAACAATGTCTTCCCTAGCATCCTGTATATTCTGCAAAATCATCAAAGGTAAAGAAACCCTCGTTTCAACTCAGCTTCTATCTAGCTTTCCCCAGAGTCCAAGCTAATACACAAACAACCAGGCGACATCCCCTCCTTCAAACTCTACGAATCCGAAAAAGTATTCGCGTTCCTCGACATAAACCCGCTTTCCAAGGGCCATGCGCTGGTAATTCCAAAACACCATGGCGAGAAGATAACGGATATTCCTGATGACATGCTGAGTGAGATATTGGTACGTCTTTTATCTCTGAAAGCGGACGAGTTGCTATGGTTAGGAGAAGGATGGCGGGAGACTATGGTGGGCTAATATGTATGGCAGCCGGTGGTGAAGAAATTAGTAAAAGCGACTGGCGCGGAGAATTACAATGTCCTGCAGAATAATGGACGGCTTGCGCATCAGGAGGTTGATCATGTATGTTCCCTGCGCGGATATACTTGCCATAATGCTAATTGATGTTTGCAGGTTCATTTCCATATGGTATGTAACCTCGGTAATTAATGGGAAAGCATCTATAAATAGAGGTTATACGGTATAGATACGGCAGCGTTGTACTAACATCAATAGATCCCAAAACCGAACCAAACTGAAGGATTGTCAATTGGTTGGCCACAGCAGAAGACGGACATGGATAAGTTGAAGGCTTTGTTTGAGGACATCAAAAGTAAGATGTGAACCATTCTTGACAGAAATCCAAAGCACTACAGGTGCGATGTCAAAAGCATCACGAAGAGCTAGTAGTTGGTGAGCTGTATAATATAACGAACAGAGAATATCATGCTATTGATTCATGAAGTTATGAATGAATCCGAAAGCCTAAAACTCCCCTCTCGGTTCGTTACAACCTGAGCTCCATGTATAAAACGCTAGGAGTAAATGCATCTTCTAAATTATTGAACGTATAACTATTAGTCTAGTGCAGTCGTCTAATCCAAATCCGCCGCTGACGTCTCTAATTTGGGAGCTCCATTGGTCAATGGAGCTTGAGCTGAAGCTGCCACTCTGGATGGGTAAAACTGTGGCTTTCCTCCGGGACCGATCAAAGCAACACGATCATAGTACGATCTGGCTCGCACGTAGGGGTCTAGAACCCAATACCCATCTCGAAGGGTATTTGCGAGCTTGAGCCTTGCCTCTTTAGCAGCAACTGCGTCTTTACTATCAATCCAATTCTTGGTTGCTGATTCGTATTGTTTGACGACTTCCTCTCTTTCTGCGATTAATTTGTCTCTCGTCGCTGTATCCTTCATACGATCATTCTCTCCCGGAGTTGGCTCAATATATTGGTAAGACCAATCTTCTTGACCGCCGAGCTCCTTTAGAATATTTGATTTTGGGACAAATTCTTCCATCTCTTGCTCGTTGTTTGTGAAATGAACCTTGCTTGCAACAACAGGGTCCAACCAGCCCCTGATGATCTTCCAGATACCTAATGAGGATTAACGATAGCTCATAAGACGAGAATGTACTAGACTAACCTTGGAATATCCATGGCGCTTTGTGCACAAGTACAACACCCAAACTCTCTGGATAATTGGCTTCGAAGCACTTTATCATGAACTTAACAGGAGCATAATCCTATTACCAGAATGAGTAAATCTCTTAAAACATTCGTAGTATTTAAACTTACCATATTCGCCATTGAAAACCCCGTCAGATCAAATACCACACAGGCGGTATCAGTAGGGGGCGTAAGAATCATGCGCCCTGTCTCGATAGTAAAGACAGTATATCTTTCGAGACTCTCTTCACTCTGCTCGCCTTGCTTGTGAAGACGAGCCCTCACAAAACACATGGGTCTCCCTTCCTTGTCCGTACCATGAAAGAAACTCTTTCCCATTCGCATTTGAGCCAAGAAATCTTCGGCCATTTTCTTTTTCGCAGCATCACTTCCGCTGATGTCGGCTAATGCTGTGAGCTCGCCATTCTTCATGATATCGTCGTCAACATGAACATCTGCAGCCCTCCATCGCATGGTCGAGATCATCATGATCAATGCTTTATTGACATCCCATTTCCTTGCACGAAGGAACCTTAACAATAACGCATCTGGGTGATCGTGCTTGACCATACTCCAAAACGTTTGCCTTAATGTCTCCGGAGGAATGCTTGCTATTGCTTCATGAAATTCTTTTGTCTGGCCATATTTGTCATTTGCATCTGCGCCAGGCGCGGCTGCCTTTGACCCCGAGTCCCCTGATGCTGTTGAATCGGTATCTTTGTTACCTCGTCGAAACATTCCCAGTCTTTTCTTCTTGGGCTTTTTCGAATCCGCCGGATCCGAGTCAACATTTTCATTTCCAGCAACCTCTGGAGGGGCCTTATCCAGCACACCAAAAACTTCGAGAGTGACAACCCATAATTCCTTCAACTTTTCCTCTTCTTCTGCGGTCAGATGCCCCACTCTGCCAACCTGATTCTCTTGTGACATATCGAAGTCCCCAAAATATACCGCCTCTTTGTACTGTGGGGATTGCTGAGCTGGGTCTTCTGTGCGTGTATGTTCCGTCCCAGTCTGGAAGCCAGTAAAAGCGTAGGCAGCGAGTCCGGCGACAAGGGATACAATCAGCAAAGAGCCCCAAGTGCCGTATCCGCTTTGTAGAGGAAGTAGATCTTGTGAAAAGTTCTTCTCAGTGGGATTGTGTGCTCCGGTCTCTGCTCGCTCGAAAGTGTGAACCAACTGTCGCGGCGCTTGGGAATGCTCTAGTCGGGCAAATGACACTCTCGAAGACTGTTGATGATTGGAATGACGCTGAGATATGTACTGCGATTTCTCGGGCCCTTCTGGTTTATGGCTGGAATATCGTTGGTATGATATTCGACCTGTTGGGCTATTTGCAGGATCAAATGTAGCTTGCGGCACTGCGTTTGTTTTGCGGCACAATGGCGATATCCTTGGAGGCTGTGTAAGTCGATTATGGAGTCCGAATCGCAATATGTTTGCTGCCCTAGCCCTGGGCATTCGTGTGGTCGTAATGTAGTGGGGATTTTGATCGAGGTGGGGGACTCTCAGTCAACAATTTGAAAGATTCTCGAAGGGTAGGATGTGTCTAACCACGGCAATGGCACACGCGACGGAAACGATAGGACAGTATGCGACTGGGAACTGCGAAGAATACGGCACAAAAGTGACAGGAAATAAATGATATTATTATTACACTCATCCGATTAAGCCGACGAGTCCACGAGCGCATGCGCCTCTCTTGGCGGGAGATCTGCTACATCGTCATTGAGTCGGCCATTTGTTTGCGGGGTCGGGAGCACATCGGCTCGGTTCGCGTCGCGTTTGTTGCTGGATCGCAACGAAAACATTTAGATGGGAAGAGAGGCACAAGTAGCCAGGCCAGGCAATTGTCAACAAAGCCCAGACACAAGATGTCCTCTACCACCCCACAAGCAGGAAGTTCTTCTAAGAGATCAACATCTGGAAATCGCAGACCCATTTCCAGACCTACAACCCCTCTTCGTCCATCCTCGAGATCCTCGTTGCGCGAATTCGGCAAATCAAGTGTAGGAGGAGCGTCTGATGCGCCTATAGAGGCTTTCGAGCCTGCTTTTGCAGAGCTCTCGGATTCGATGGCAGATTTGGAAGCAAATTTTATGCATTTGCAGTTAATGCATGAGAGTCTGGCGCGATTTAGTGAGAACTTTGCTAGCTTTCTGTATGGCTTGAACATGAATGCGTTTTGTGTCGATTTCCCAGAGGTATGTTCAGAATTTGCATAGGTAGGAGCTGTGGTAGCTGATTCAGACTAGGCGCCGATACCTGATTCCTTTCGACGGTCACGAGAGGATGATAACGAGTTAGGTATGACAGAACAAGGTAGCATTTTTCACCGCTAAGTGGGTTATAGGCAGATCTACCAATTCAGAGAGGTTCCGCGGTGATATTGACGGGGAGACAACCTTCATGTATTTTTCTTCCAACGGAATCCTAATTATCCTTCTAATATTCTTAGGACCACCGATACATCCTTCGTCGACAACCCTCCTACATCATCAAAAGCTACCCCCAAGTTTTCTACTCCCGCCCCAGCATCGCGGATAGGTGGAGCCGGTCGAGGAGGTATCCCTTCTGCTCGGGGTGGTGCTGCTCGAGGAGGCGTTAGAGGGACTCGTGGGAGTGGGCTGGCTAGAGCAGCAAAAGGTCGTGGTGTGAGATAGTTAGATACCCCAAGCGCGAAATGCGCCCCCGCATATGACCAGGCATATTAATTGTAACTGGATTTAATGAAGCGCTTTCATGTCGCAACCACTTCCTCAATCAAGCCTGAATTCTCCATCTCAACTTCCATGTCTTGCGTTTTCTCCTTCGCGGCTTGTCGTGGTCCATTATCTGTCCGGAGGCCCACAGCAGCCTCTGCTTCCTGTTGGGAATATGCCCCTTCTTTTAGCAGCTTTAGTCTGATAACATTTGTAAGTTCCCTGCTCCATACTATTGTATAGATCTATCATATATACCTTCGCTTGTGCGTGCTTCCTTTACGGTGCCCGACCAAACTATGCTCGCTCTCAAACCATTTGGCGCATTCGACGCAGTAGAATTGACCTAGACCGGGAAGATCTTCAGAGGCCTTAGTTGACTTGTGTTGCTGAAGATGCTTGGGGGAGCGAATGTCTGCCGCGACCTGGTCGACATCCCTATAACTTATTAGCTATGGGTCAGATGGTGGGGTTGAAACCTGTGAGTTTTTGAAACTCTGGACTCGAGGATATATTCACACACCTCAAACGTCTTCTGGTCTTCGTACGTGTTGACTTTTGTGGAATACCCATTATGGCAGTTTGCGTCAAATGTAATTGTAGATGCGATCTCGAGTTGCCAATCTAAATTTGTCACAGCCTGTGGTTCGCTTCAAAACGTTGTCGGGTGTCCCCAGATGTTTTTTTTACAAGGCGAAAATTTGTTCCGGTCGGCAAAATACTGCTCTGGTGGGTCCCAAACAGCCTCGGCGAGAATGTGAATTGCGGCCGGAAAACCGCAACCGGAGTTTTGAAGCAATAATGAGGACCAGACTACTCGAGTATCTAAAGACGATGGCAATTTCTGAAATAGTTCACCATCCGGAGCTGACGGAAAGTAGACTCGCTGTTTCTAGAATGAGTTATAGTTTTTACTCACAGTTAGGAGAATTTTGTGTACTGTAGTGGTTGCAACCCAACTGACCTTACATTGGTGTTACTTGGCGGCCCAATTGTCTTTGAGCTGGGAAATGTATAGTTCAATGTTCAGGGTGGTTGGAACTCTGATATAGAAAGCATTGCAAAGCAAATGATGAAAGCTTGATTATCTATGGGAAATTGAGATTCCTGATACTATAGTTATATGGAAACCATAAAAGTGTTTTCGGTTTTCTGAGAAAGCTGTTGGATTTGTCTAGCAAGCCAGGAAGGATCAAATTGAAATATGCCTAAAGGATAGAATGACTATCCTGACCCGTTCAGAATAGAAAACACGAGATGTAGACAACCCATTTCTTTTTTTCGAAGACTACCTGAAACTTGGATACTCAAAGTCTAGAGAGAATATCATGTAGTGCGTTGTCGCGGTCGACTAATGGAATTCGACCGCTATCTTGCCTCCATTCGTGAAGGAAACCTAGAAGAGCCATTTGAACCAGCGTCATGAATTAGTTATTTGTTTCCACAATTAAAAACGTCTAGATTACTGAGAACAATAGACAAAACATATGATATTTCGTTCAACTGTCCGAACAAATACCTATCGTCTTTCGACTGCCGTCTATTTACCTCACTTGTCTGCCTGCCGTTCAACCGATGGGATGTTTCTATCTAATGACAATAGGTAGGTAGCGGACTCCTCGTAGGCCAAGGCAACATAACAAATATCGCAGATCCATAATTCGAATAATCACGAGAAAATTCTCGAGGTCTGCAGGCAAATTCCTCATTCACTTATTGGTTCGTTGGTCATTAAGAATTGTCAAAATTGTTCTCAGTCTCCCCCACTACAAAAAAGCGTTCTCGGAGATTCTGGCTGCCTCGCTTGCTTAATGGCTTCTGCCATTGAAAACACCGGCTCTCCGATTCGCTGTTGACAGCTCCTGCTCCCCGCCTGAGTCGCCTTTCCTGGCTCGTGCCGTGATAAGCTCGCTCCATCGTGGTCAAGCTCGGTTGTCCACAACATAAACCTCAAACCTCTTCCTTTTCTCCATTCCTTCTCTGCACGAATCTGCGTCTGCGACAACACCTCAATCGCATACCCTCTCCACTCCCTCACAATGTTGGCAACACGACAGGCCCTCGTGGGTGCCCAGCGGCGAGCTGCTGCTTCGCTGGGTATTCGTAGAATGGCCACAGTGAGCGATTCTCCTCTCGATAAGAAAGTGAGGCAGAACAACCAGGAGCCAAACAACTTTATCAACTACAAGAAGATGTCAGAGAACCTTGCGATTGTGCGCCAGAGACTTAATCGTCCTCTGACCTTCGCCGAAAAGATCCTTTACTCCCATCTCGACGACCCTCACGGACAAGAGATTGAGCGTGGATCCTCATACCTCAAGCTCCGCCCGGATCGAGTAGCTTGTCAAGATGCCACCGCTCAGATGGCTATTCTCCAATTCATGTCTGCTGGCATGCCTTCAGTCGCCAATCCTACAACCGTACACTGTGATCATTTGATTGAGGCACAAGTTGGTGGTGCTAAGGATTTGGCTCGCGCTCAAGACATCAACAAGGAGGTTTACGACTTTCTTTCTACATCTTGCGCAAAATACAACATTGGTTTCTGGAGACCTGGTTCCGGTATCATCCACCAAATTCTCCTTGAAAACTACGCTTTCCCAGGTGGTCTGTTGATTGGTACCGATTCTCACACTCCTAACGCTGGAGGTCTCGGAATGTGCGCCATTGGTGTCGGTGGAGCCGATGCAGTTGATGTTATGGCCAACCTTCCTTGGGAATTGAAGGCACCAAAGGTTATTGGTGTTAAGCTCACTGGCCGGATGTCTGGGTGGACAGCACCAAAGGGCAAGTCACGGTTCCGTCGCAGTGCACAACACCACAACTAACAACATCACAGATATCATCCTTAAGGTTGCTGGTATCTTGACTGTCAAGGGTGGAACTGGAGCAATTGTGGAGTATTTCGGCAAGTGTCTCTTGTTTTTAGACACAATATCATTATTCTAACTGGATATTTAGGCCCCGGTACCGAGACACTCTCTGCCACAGGAATGGGAACGATTTGCAACATGGGGTATGTTTCATTGAAAACGACAAGTGCAAATTACTAATTGCAAGCAGAGCTGAAATTGGTGCTACCACTTCCCTCTTCCCGTTCAACGACCGCATGTACGACTACCTCGCAGCCACCAAGCGTTCAGAAATCGGAGACTTCTCTCGTGTCTACGCAAAGGAGCTTAGAGAAGATGAGGGCGCCGAGTACGATCAAGTCATTGAGATCAATCTCAGTGAGCTAGAGCCCCACATCAACGGACCTTTCACTCCAGATCTCGCAACCCCAATTTCCAAGTTCAGCGAAGCCGTCAAAGCCAACAACTGGCCAGAGGAATTGAAAGTCGGTCTTATCGGCTCATGCACGAACTCCTCATACGAGGATATGGTAAGTTATAACCCTAAATTATGCGCTTTTAAGTGCCGCTTTCTAACAAAATATCTAGAGCCGCGCCGCCTCTATCGCCCGAGATGCACTCGATCATGGTATCAAAGCAAAGGCTCTTTTCACTGTTACGCCAGGTTCCGAACAGATCAGGGCCACTATTGAAGTCTCTGATACCCCTTCCTTCATTAAATATCAAAAGCTAACCCCTAATAGAGAGATGGTCAACTTCAAACTTTGGAAGAATTTGGTGGAATGGTTCTCGCTAACGCCTGTGGAGTAAGCGAACCCCCTATGCTAGCCATAGCTCCTTCCTCAATAATTGTACTAATCACTATAATAGCCATGTATTGGTCAATGGGACCGAAAGGACGTCAAGAAGGGAACCGCCAATTCCATCATTTCCTCATACAACCGAAACTTCACTGGACGTAACGATGCCAACCCTGCCACCCACTCTTTCGTCACCTCTCCAGATCTCGTCGTTGCAATGACCATTGCAGGATCGCTCCACTTCAACCCTCTCACCGACAAGCTAAAGGACAAGGACGGAAATGAGTTCCTTTTGGCTGAGCCAACTGGTGCTGGTCTCCCAGATCGCGGATATGACCCAGGACAAGACACCTACCAAGCCCCTCCAGCTAAGCGCGACGCTGTCAGCGTTGCTGTTTCGCCTACAAGTGATCGTCTGCAACTCCTCCAACCTTTCAAGGCATGGGACGGAAAGGATTTCACTGACATCCCAATTCTTATCAAGTGCCAAGGAAAGACTACCACTGATCACATCTCTATGGCAGGACCTTGGCTCAAGTACAGAGGTCACTTGGACAACATCTCAAACAACATGTTGATTGGTGCAACCAATGCTGAGAACGGTGAGGCCAACAAGGTCAAGAACTTCACCACCGGCGAATATGATGCCGTGCCAGCAACTGCGAGAGACTACAAGAAAAAGAACATCCCATGGGTTGTTATTGGTGACTGGAATTACGGAGAAGGTTCTTCTCGAGAGCACGCTGCTCTCGAGCCAAGACATCTCGGAGGTATCGCTATCATCACTCGCTCATTTGCCCGAATTCACGAGACAAACTTGAAGAAGCAGGGTATGCTTCCTCTCACTTTCTCCGACCCTGCAGATTATGACAAGATTCAACCATTTGACAAGGTAAGCCAAATTCCTCACTTGTCGGATGTGCCCCAACTAACACCTTACAGGTTGATCTTCTCGCAACTGAAATTGCTGTCGGAAAACCAATGACCCTCAAGGTCCACCCAGCTGACGGAGGTGCCGCCTTCGATGTCAAGCTTTCTCACACTTTCAACGCTCCTCAGATTGAATGGTTCAAGAACGGTAGCGCACTTAACACCATGGCGAAGGCCAATGCTTAAACTGGTTTGATTGAGGTTGGGGGTGTTCGGGGGTTTCATCCTGTGTATTTTACCCATAAATGTGAGGGATTTCCTATTTGTGCATATTCGACCGTTGATGAGCCATTGATTATCGACAGAGATATCTCTCTGCTGTGTTATATATGCGATCATGACCTGCATAGCTCATATTTGATAAATACCATTTGTTACCATTGGTTACCATTGTTTCTCAATCTGTCTGGTTTGCCTAGTGCAACTAAGATAGCGCTCTCTTGCCCCGGAATTGTATGGCTAGGTAATGCACCGATATTCACATACCTTAAGATTCATTAAAAAAGTTGGGTTGTTTTTGGTTACATGACCTCGTGAAGGACAAAACAAGTGGCAGTCACCTACCCGTAAATCTTAGACTAAATAAGAAGTCCACTTCGAACAGACCTTAAAAACTCTCATTTACTTAAAACGGTTGACGAAATAGGAATAATGTTCCAAGTTAAACCACTAAATTACGATATTTCGACAATTTAGCTGAAGAACTATTCTGGTTCGATTGCCGCTTATTTTGTCCTCCGCGAGTTGACCAAATGTACGTCTTGCCCGACCGAATTTTGAAATATGATTCGGCGCTGCGGTGAACAATGCTACTTGCCATAACCTCGCAACAATGCCTTTAAAGAAATGATGTAGAACAAAGTCTGAGTGCATTTCATTTACTGAAAATCATAGACGAAATATCGATATTTTGTCAACCTGATCGAAGAAATATCGGTTTTCGACTGTTTTTACTGCTAAGGTTACTTACGTCGAGGAGTAGCCTAGGTCGCTACTTACAGTTACGTCAATATTTGGAACGGAGTCCTAAAGTGTATTACTTACTGAAAACTGTAGATATAATCACGACAGTTCGTCAACTGTGTTGAGTCAATATCTGATTTCCACTGCCACTTACAGTTGACCGCGAGCTGCAAACATGACTACTGGATCACTACCATCCATGTGCTGGCCACTTGAAGCAGCGTAATATAATTTGTTATCGACTTCCAAGTTATAATTTTCTGTATTTCCATCTTTTGAAGTTCTATCCGGCTTCCCGGCCTTTTTTATGTCCTCCTCGGCCTGTCAGCCTTGTTCTTTGTCAGCAAGGTCGCGTCTGCCCGGCGCCTCATTTACGGGATACTGGGGAATTTGCTAGCTCGACATGTTTTCCTAACTTCCAATCTTGAAGAGACAACGATGGTAGCGCCAGCACACAATTCGGATTGAATGAGAGACGAGTAATCACCAAATACAAACCGCGACCGTAGCGAAGTTCACTCCTCCATCGACTTCTGAACGAAATTAAGGACAGTTTCCTCGAATCCGTCGCATCGAAACTGTAAAATCTATCCAATGGCTCCAAGCCTCCCTCAGTTCTCGGCCGCGCGCATGCGCTCATATGTCTTCCGACTTCCTCTTTTTACAAGGGCGATTATTGCTATCATAACATTGTTATGGCTTCTTAGCATGCAATCTGTATGGAATGTGCAGCAATGGGGAGCATTAATACCTAAAGAAATAGGGTTGGCATCCAGTTAGTGCCTACCAAAGTCCATATAGAAGAGCTATTACTAATATTGCTGTATAGTGTATCGAACGAATACTTTCCCACTCGTACATAACGGATTCTTTCATACCTTTATAAACGTTTTTGCTCTCACGCCTTTGCTGGAGAGATTCGAGGCGGAATATGGGACTCTTACTACTTTGGCGCTTTTTGTTGGACGTATGTTACATGAGTGGGGATTCGAGAATTGAATAATCGAATACTGACCGAATTGTAGCTTTGTCGACAATTCCAGCACTATTGTATACGTTGATTGAAAGGGGGCTCCTTGGATTAAACACTACTGTACTCGGTTCCAGGTGAGGACTCATAGTATATGCAAAACAAGCTTTGTACTAACATTTCGGCAGTATATGGGTTTTTACATTACTCGCTATGGAAGCTGTAAAAACATATAAGACAAATCCCTCCTTCCAAATAGGAACTGTGAAAGTACCTACTTGGACTACGCCACTGATCATCGTGGTTTTCACATCCGTTTTAATACCTAACACCAGCTTTTTGGGCCATCTTTGTGGACTCGCTTTCGGCTATGGATGTAAGTTTAACCATGATTCAAGCGCAGTATGTGGACTAATGGAATCAGGGGGCCTCGGATATCTGAAATTTCTTGCACCACCGGAATGGGCTCTCAGATGGATTGAGGGAAAGCTTAACCTACTTGGGAGGTTGCCACATTATGTATCTGTCGACCAGAAAACTTACGGGAGGTTCGGCGTTCTTCCAACCACGAATACCTCAAATATAACAATACCGCGCGACGGTGGCCTAGAGATGGGACTCCAAGGAAGCACGCAGCGGTTAGGTCCATAGTGGGAGTGTATATATATTACACCTTGTGCACTCTTGTATAAAGACATTGCATTTGGCGGCGTACGGTTGACTGGGTTAGCTAGCATAGGAGGCTCGGATTGATTGATTAAAGGCTACATTTATAATTGTACTTCTATTAGAGAAGATTGGAATTAGCGACAGGAAGTTCAAATTTATATAAATCATTAAACCAGTACCAGCACAGACCATTGTTGTGTAGATGATATTACTTGAATTCGTGATCGACTTGGTAGCAAAGAAAGTCGGCCGATCCAGTCGCGTCGCCCAAGCGTCAACCTCGCGATGCAACATCCTCCTTTGCAAACCAAAATGACCCCGCGGTGACCACACTCCTTTCGATCCCAAATAAAATGTCGGGACTACTTTGTATGCCAAATTCCATCTCTATGGTTCCTTTGCTGATTATTCCTAGCTTCCGGCGCTTTGTTACGTCGGGATCCTCGACTCCTCAAGGTGCCCCCATACCTGTCCTTTCTATGCATTGTGATCGGTGTAGCATGGCTCCTCGTTCTTCCCCTCGACAACTATTCCCGAAAGACGTACATATCGGAAAATGCACTGTTACCCGGGCAGGTCCATACATATTTTGCTGGGAGTGATCAGAATGTTTTTAGGGGTTACAAGAAGGAGGTAGATGCGCTGGAGGGGAAAGGGAATACTGAGTATGTCTATTTCATTTTCGGGACTTAAGCAGGGCACCATATCCTTTGGAATAGAATCCAAACTGATTCGGGTCTGAATGGAGCTAATGGAAAGCAGGGTGAACGATAAACTCGAGGAATTCTTCAAAGCTTCTGGCCTAAAAGTCGCAAGACAAAAGTACGAGTATAAAAGTGCTGGGGAAACATATTCAGGAGAGAACATTTATGCTATACTTCATGCGCCCAGGGGAGATGCAGAAGAAGCTATCGTGCTTGTTGGCGCCTGGACAAATGTTGAAGGAGAATTGAATAAGAGTGGTGTTGCCCTTGTGCTCACTCTGGCAAGATATTTCAAGAGTACGTTGCTCTGGGTACTATGAAGGAGAGGTTGATACTAATATTGTTCAGGATGGTCGTTATGGTCTAAAGACATAATTTTTTTAATAACGGCGGATAGCAGGGCTGGGCCTCAGGCTTGGGTAGATGCTTACCATGATACGCATCAGAAGGGGATACAATCTCTGCCGGTGAAAAGTGGTGCTCTTCAGGGTGCCGTTGTCATCGACTACCCATTTGACCACAGATTCGAGTCTATTCATATCGTCTATGATGGTATTAACGGACAGCTACCCAACCTCGATCTTCTAAACACCGTAGTTGCCATCGCTAGTGGCCAAATGGGAATTGGAGCCTCCTTACAGAAGATGTGGCGGCATACCGATACCTACAAAGATCGGTTGACTACTATGTTAAGGGGAATGCTGAATCAGGGACTCGGTCATGCTTCTGGCCCTCACAGCAGTTTCATTCCCTACCACGTCGATGCAATCACCCTACAACCTTACGGGGAGGGTTGGCAAGACGAAATGGCCATGGGAAGAGTGATAGAAAGCACGTTTCGAAGTTTGAACAATCTGCTCGAGCATCTACATCAAAGTTTCTTCTTCTACCTGCTAATGCAGTCCAGTCGATTCGTCAGTATTGGCACATATTTACCCAGCGCTATGCTAGTTGCCATCAATTTCACCATAATGGCAATTTTCCTCTGGGTAAAGAGTGCGTCTCCACCAGCGACGGCTGGCAAGGTAGCTTCAGCGACAGGGGAGAAATCCGCTCCATTGATGTTGGTCCAGGAAGGAGATGCTAAGGCTCTTGTTCCAGAGATTTTCGCTGAAGAAAAAGAGCGTGACTTCTTTCTACCGCTAGCTGTGGTTGTCGGCTCGCATTTCTTGGGAGTTCTACCTTTGTACTTGTTCAACCATACTCCAGAAATTGTAGGTTTCAGTACACGATGAAATCAGAACAATACTAACTATCCCATTTAGATGCTACCAGCAGTCTTCTTCATCTTCGCCGTTATGAATTTCGTCTTCCCATTTTTGGCATCCACGGTCTTAACTCGCTCTTTCGCTCCAACAAGTCAACAATACCAACTGATCAAAGCTTTCTCTCTCCTCTTCCTCGGCATGTTTCTCTCAACATTAGCAACCCTGAACTTCTCCCTCGCCTTCCTCGTAGGACTTCTCTCAGCTCCTCTGACGTACATCCGCTCCTATCCCGGTCGACCAATCACCACAGTATTCTTTATTGGCCTACTCAGTTTGCTCGCGCCTACAACCGTGTTTCTGGCTGGAACTACCTACTGGAATCTGGGAATTGGTGAGGTCTTGAAAGAGGCGGCTTTCGGATGGGATGTCTGGGGGATGAATACTCAAGTTGTGGTTTGGTGCGTGTGGTGGCCGGCGTGGGTTGTGGGTATGATTCAGTTGGCTGGGAAGCCAAAAGATGAAGGGGGAAGTATCAAAATCTAGGTAGTGGTGATCTGAGAGCGTATAAAATATATTGAAACATCTATTTTCTAGGGTAGTTGTACCTGACATGAAAGACAATGTATGCCTTTTTATACTTCTTGATACTAGATGTGATCGCAAGTAGCGGCGAATAGCTGAAGACGCTGTGAAGATCCAACGAGTGACGAGCTCGAATGTTTAGAATATGACATGGCATCTAATGCTGCTCTGGCAAGACATTCAAGACTTGTACCATCACCAGAAATATGGATTGCACCCCTAGACTTACATCACTATAAAGTTTTGTGAGGAGGGGGAGTGAGAAAGGTCAAAGATGAAGGATTAAGCGAGCATCAAGCAAACAGGGGTCTGGCCACCATCACGTGTAGCCCTAGGGAAGAACTCTTGGCGCTTAACTAATCGCACAATCAATTCCTCTTTTCGCGATCTTGAACGGGGTCAATCATCACGACGAAGTTTATCGACAACTCACGACAAACGCAAAAATGGGAGACTCACGCCTCAAGTACCGTCGCCGCAACCCGTAAGTGCCAACTGAACGCACCTTGTCACCAATTTCCAAGCAGAAAAATACAGAGCTTGGAGGCGGCGTTTTCGTCGAATTATTTCTTCATGGGCTGGACGAGTACTAACACCCCTCTGTACAGATACAACACCTCGAGCAACAAGACCCGAGTCCTCCGCACACCAGGAGGTAAACTCACACTCCTTCACATCAAGAAAGCTGGATCCAAGCCAAAGTGTATGTTCCTACGTTCCACATCCTATACGGCTATGTCTAACCCACAAACAGGCGGAGATTGCAAGGCACCACTCAGTGGAGTAAGTCACACTTCTCATCCTCATGTTGAATGGCACGGAACCTCTCGATCGATACAACGACTTCATGGGAGACGATGAAGAACCTGTTTGGAAGAGTCGACAGCACGATCGCAACCAGCCGTCGCCAATACATTCGAATACCCTTTACGGTCGGAAAGAAACCGAAACTCGAGCCGACTTATCGCAAACGAAGTGCTCTGCTTGGAACTACCAGCTAACCTATATCTCTTCAGATCCCAGCTCTTAGACCCCGCGAGTACGCCGGTATCTCCCGACCAAAGAAGACTGTTCAGCGCGCATACGGAGGATCAAGATGTGCCAACTGTGTCCGGGATCGTATTGTTCGTGCATTTTTGATTGAGGAGCAGAAGATTGTCAAGAAGGTGCTTAAGGAGGCTCAGCAAACCAAGAAACGTTAAGAATTCTTCGATTGGGTTGTTTTCGGTGTTCGACTGGATGGGCTTGCATGGTAGCAGGATCGCTGTATCTACATCAGGGCTTTACGAAAAATCATGAGGGATATCTGCGGAATTAATCACGATGGTCTGTGATTTCGCCGCGATACAATCCATATATTAGATCCGCTATACCCTTGTAGTCCTCAAATATTCTCTCGAAATCCTACAGCATTCAAAGAACGAAGCATCCAGCAGGGAGAACGATGTACATGACGGTATTTGACACAACGAACCTGCGGAATAGATATGCGCACTTCAAGTAACTTCGTCTGATTAACGCGATTAAATAAAACACCACTATTATGGTTTTCGATGAGAACAGGTTTATTATTTTCGCATTGGGACAATTATCGCCAGCCTTCCCCGGCTCCCGATTTCCTCTTGACTCCAAGACAATTAACCTTACCATCAGGAAGACTGAGCCAAGTAATCGGGCATGAAAGAGATATCAGTTGGTACTGAAATTAAGTAGTTGGCATGCAAGGCTGTTATATACTTTCTTTGTCCGGAATGTGATTCGTTGATAATGTCCCGAGCGTGTGGCTGACTTCTCCGCCTTGCTCAACCTTGGAAGCCTCGTGTGCCTAGTGAGTTCATTCATATTACATCTTGTGACCAAAGACTGGCTCGTGAACAACACCATGACTTGAATTTGAATCATGTATACGGAGTTCTATGCTTGAACACAGTTCGGATCTCTCAGAATACCCTTATCATCACTCAACGATGTCTCCAAATCCACCTCTCTTTGCGTCTGATCGACGAAGCTCCTCGAGTCACTCTGAAGAGCGTGCTGCCGCAGAAGATACAGCGCTTCTGGGAAACCAACGGAAAGACAATTCCAGCCCTCAGCAGAAGTCAAGATTCTGGCGTGAAATTGGCTTGTTTGCGTGGGCATTAATCGCTACGGCTGCAGTTATTGTCCTCGCCGTCTACTCGCAACACCAGGGCTCTAGTGGAGATGGAAAGAAAACATCGCCCAAGGGCAAGAAGAACCTTATCTTCATGGTTAGTGATGGAATGGGTCCAGCAAGCCTTTCCATGACTCGCAGCTTTCGCCAATTTCAGAGTATGTACTTCTACTAGTTCATGGATATCTACTGATAGTAGGCAAGGCGGTCTACCCATTGACGATGTACTCGTCCTCGATCAACACTTCATCGGCTCATCGCGAACAAGATCCAGTAACAGCCTGGTCACTGATTCTGCTGCTGGGGCTACAGCATTCTCCTGCGGAATGAAAAGCTACAATGGAGCTATCTCAAAACTACCAGATCATAGCAGTTGCGGTACTGTGCTTGAAGCCGCGAAGAGGGCAGGCTATATGACGGGATTGGTTGTGACAACGTCGATTACAGATGCCACGCCGGCTTGCTTTGCATCACACGTGGATACGCGCGCCGAGGAGGACTTAATTGCTCAACAGGAAGTCGGAGAACATCCTCTTGGTCGAATGGTGGACCTTATCTTTGGCGGAGGTCGATGTCATTTCTTGCCAAACACAACTTCTGAGAGCTGCAGAGGGGATGGCAGAGATATTACGAAACTCGCACGGGAAAAGTACGGGTGGAACTATATTGATAACAGGAAAGATTTTGATGGGATCAGGTCGGGAAGCGCTGTCAAACTTCCACTATTGGGGCTTTTTGCACGCTACAACTTCCCATACGAGGTATGTCATTGTATACTGAAACATGTCTGTGCTAACCATTCAAAGCTTGATCGCCGAAATATGAATGATATTTATCCTTCTTTAGACGAGATGGCACGAACTGCTTTAAATGCATTAGAAGCTGCTACGCAGGACAGCGATAAGGGTTTCTTTCTCATGATTGAAGGAAGCCGGATAGACCATGCTGGCCATGGAAACGATCCTGCTGCTCAAGTAAATGAGGTTTTAGCTTACGACAAAGCATTCGCTAGTGTGCTCGAATTTCTAGATCGGTCAAAGACCGAGAGTGTACTTGTTTCAACTAGTGATCACGAGACTGGTGGGCTCTCTATTGCTAGACGTAAGTATTTTTTTTTTCACATGTTGGTTCGACTACAACATGTCCCTCTTCATATTTTCTGAAGGCTCCGAGTATATGTCAAATAGGCTAATTCGTGCTAGAATTGGATCCAACGTACCCCGAATACTTGTGGTATCCAGAGGTGTTGAACAATGTCTCCAGTACTGCCGAGCATTCTGCGCGTCGACTAGCTTCATATGTGGCAGCTGGAAGCAAGAATGTTGAGAGTTTCATTCGAAAAGAACTCGTCAAGAAGGGCTTAGGTATCAAAGATGCTACAGACGCCGAGATAAAAACCATCATCGCCGCTCCCAACTCATATTCTTTCGCTAGTATGATTAGTCGTCGTGCTCAGATAGGCTGGAGCACTCACGGGCATTCTGCAGTCGACGTAAATATCTATGGAACAGCAGGTTCGGAGAGGTTGAATGGAAACCACGAAAATACAGAAGTCGGCAAATTCCTCCGCGATTACCTAGACCTAAACGTAGACGCCATCACCAAAGAGCTAAACGAGAAAGAGAAGGCCAAATCCGCATCGACAGAAGAAACTATACGGCCATTAGTAGAGATGCATAGCATGCCCGATGGTATAGACGATGAACTCTAGAGGGAAGACGGTACACGGATCGCATTTCATGGGCGTTTTTCTCATTGCTTAACAATACCCTTTGCTATTCTCGCTTATCACTTAGTTACACCGAAACGGATAGATTTGTTGCAGAGTTTGGGCGTGTCAAACGGTCGTTCCGAGAGTTACGCAGTACAATAGATTTCGTTTGCGTATCAAACCTTTTGTGAGTCTTAATTTGCTTGCTCGCCCAATCCTTTTCACACTGTGTCCAAATTTATCTAGTCTAAAACATATTTTTTTGCCAGCTGTTCTCAATCCGGAGAGTAGTTTGTTTGGTTTTGATATTGTCATTATGACTCTCGTGTTTCAAGTCTGCTTGACTTTGCTACGCTTCTCAGTTTACCTTTTTGCAATCAACTCTAGCAATGTCGAGGTATCACCAGTTTCTGAGATTCTCAGCAGAATGCTTGATTGACATGACGGCAACTACATCCACTGTATGCGTTGGACTGTGTGCCAAAAAGTCACAACACATCAGACTTTGGATTGTCGTTGAAATGGAACGTGAAAGAGCGTATTTCAATCTGGCGAGTCTTCTCATAGACTTCTCGTGTGAGAGGTTTCGAGCTTTCTGTCTTCAATACTGGCTGAACTGGCTTCTTCCATCTGTACTTTTTACTTCTACTACATATGTGTTAAATCATCATAATTCACTTACCTATTCACCAAATACATCACACCCAGTCCCTCAAACCAAAAATCTTCAACTCATAACACCTTTCCCCATCCAAACCCTCCATCCAACATCTACAACCTCTCTCCCACACAATTTCTCCACATCCACATTCACCTCCACACCCAAAAATGTGTAAATACTACCTCACCACCCCCCTCTGCGGCCACACCACCCTCCTAGCCGGCCCCTCCTGCTACGCCCTCTTCGCCCAACTCCAACGCATCAACAACCCCGTCGAGCGCGCCCGTCCCGGCCTCCCCTTCGATGTCCCCCCAGCCTGTCTCCCAAACCCTTGGAATATAAATGTGTTGTACACCGGTGACTATTGTTGTGTGGAGTGTAGGAATAATGGGAGTGTGGGGTGGGTGGAGGAGAGGAGGGGGTTTGGGGAAGGGGGACAGAGGGGCTGGTGTGGCGAGAGGGATGCGAGGTTTGGGCCGGGGAGTGAGAGGATTGGGGTTGGGTGGAGGTGTTGAGGGGGTGGGTTAGGATTTCGGATGTGAGGAGTGAGAAGCTCTTACCAGAGTTGCATGATCAGATTACGAACTCTCGCATCTGTGTGTCGAGTGGATCTGACGGAGGGGGTGACTTTTGCGGAGGTTGAGAGGTTTCTGTTTCGGTGGAGGTGTTGGTGTTGTGTAGGAAGCTAATCCTCGAGTTGAATAGTTGGGCTGTGGATTCTCGCATGGCATGTCAAACAGTGTGGTATATGGCACTCTCCTTTGGGTTGCGTGGGTTACAACGGAGAGACGAGAGAGGTGCGGATCCACAAACTGATGAAAGCATAGAATATAGACTTCGGAGATAAAGATGATGCTTGGAATATCTATATAATCGAACGATCGATATAGTACGCCATTTTTGATGAATAATTTTCCTGGTGAATGACCGTATAGATTTAGATGTGTCCTGAGGATCACATCCTCAATGTTACAGAGCGAACCCTCTAGAGGTTGCCCTCCCCTCGCCTAAAGCATGGATATAAAGCACTGACGGGTCGACGACAGGCGGCAAGCTCAAGAACTGCTTATCTGCGGATGACTGCCGGTTGAAACTCAAGTTCTCCGATCGGAGCTTGTGGCTCTTTGAGGTGGTCTCTCGAGGTCTAAGTTCAAGAGTCATCCAAGCCTGTCCATGAGCTGTCTTATGGTTGAGCCTAGCGGGTGCCTTGTTTGACGCGGAGAGATAAATCTGATTGATGTTGGCTGCTGCCTGTTTGCAGGTCTCGAGTCTTCAGGTTCTTCTCGCCTCAATCAAGCTCTTAACGGCCATAGTCATTTGACATAGAGGCGCCCGCGGGTCGTCCGTGGCCGCATATCCGAGACAAGAAACGTTTTGTCACTATCACGTTGCGTTAGCTAACGCCATTGAAATTTGGGCCAGGCCTAGGGGAGTAACTTAGGCTCATTGTAAAAGCATAAATTTTCTAGTCATTAGCTTTTCTCACCTCTTGGCTAGAGTTGCTCGTATGTGCTCCTTCGCTAGGTGAGAAGACGCCGAGACGAGGAACTCCTTCACAACCCAGGTAGCTCACTACCAGAATGTTTTGTCAGACACTTCAGAAAATTCTGATCCCAGGTCAGCCCAGCAGAGGCGTATCAGCACCTTGAAGGGTTACTTCAGAGCAGCAGTAAGAAAGGCAACTGCATCATAGTCGCTCAGACACGAGACAAGAGAAAATCACTCCGGCGGTTAGAGGTGATATCGTACGGAGAAGTCCTTTACAGTATTGGCTGTAATCTCAAGCAGAATAATGTTTCATGCTACCCAACCCTGCTTGCTGGTGAGGCTGCTTTGCTGCCCCCCACGACCTTACCGTTGACCATCTTCAAAAAATAAAGCTCCCCGATAGGCCAGAAAACTCTTCAAAGCCACATGGCAGCATCCGTTTTTCATAACCAAGAATCCGGAACAGTAAAACCGCAAACTGGCCCCAGTTCAATACCAACCGCAGCAGATCGTTCTGTGAAGACAGGTCTATTGTGACACAAGATATGCCGGAATGGTATACCAGGAGAATCAGAAGATCACGCTTAGCTGTGAGAGTCATTCACTTCTCTGGCCTTTCCGCGACGAGGCTGTGGTGTCTCAAGAAGTTCGGTGCAAGCATCTCTGGCTGGAGACAGTTGGGGGTCACAGGAATCTATCGGCGGAGCGACTCCAAATCTTAGTGTCAAAAAAGGCCACGACGATACGAAAGGATCCGTATCACTCATACGGCAGTAGAGCCGATGTAGATGTGATAGTTGGCAAGTCGAAGTGCAGGTCATGTCGAAACTTAGCAACAGGTCGTCGAGGGTCAAGCCAGCATATGTTGGTGGCCCGAAGTCTTCAGACTGGCAAGGGGGACTACCCTGTACCCATTGTGAGACACCAAACGTAGAGAGTGTTAAGATGATTAACTATTCGGTCTCTGTTAGCCCTCATTCGCTTATGGTTAACCCAGAGAGTAGAAGACTGGTCATATCGAAAGCAGAAGTTGCTGAATTGCCTGCTCAGCAATCACAAGAGAAAGCCTTGCGGTATGGAATGCATGATCTCCGACAGCACGATGATCTCAGGATGTCGTATTGAGGAAGGCAAGTACTGTAAAGGTTCGATAGGAAACCACTAGTATGATATCCCAATTCGTCTTACAGAACTTACAGAATAGAGAAATGAGGTTGTGGTGCTCGTCAATGTCGAGAGTGTGGCTGGTGAGGGGAGCAAGCACCATTCGGGGATTCCTATTGGTAGAGGCAGTGGTGGTTCTTTAGCGGACATCGTTGTCGTTCAGCGTTTCGAGTCGCCAAACTTGGAGCTCTTCATGATCAACAACGACAAGCAATCCGAACATCACAATGATAATCTCCCGCATCACATCTGCATATCACGAACTGCAGCCGGACCCGTGGATCTACCCACAATGAATTGCGAATGGTACCTTTTTTTGCTTCATTTGCGGTTTCCAGACCAGCAGTCCTCTTCATCAGGTGAGGAGCGCTTACTGTGAGGCTGAGCACATCCAACACAACAGCCCCCCCTCTGTGACAAGCTTCGCGGCTCCCAACCTGTAGATACAGCACCATGGGGAAGACACCGACATCATAGCCGGGCTGCCTCCTGCATATCGAGGTTGGCCAGATGCTGCTAGGGTCCCCGCGATGCCAGACGTGTTGATATAAGAATTGCTATCCGGCCATGGCTGCTTTGATCTCGTAGCTTACCCAATACCACAGCACTGACAACAGGCCTACAGCCGCTTCGGAGAAGAGATTTATATCATTCAGCTGGCATTCGCGAACAAACATACCCGTCAGCTCTAAAGCTTCCTACCCAACTCAAGAACCCGACTCGCCATGTCTCAAATTGCTAGAAGAGGTTCTCACAGCTCGGACTCTTCCATCTCACTGTACGAAGCCTCCTCAACCCAGTCCGGACTGAATGTATCTAACACATTGTACAGCTCTATCGACACTTCCGTCCACAGCAACCTTATGACACAACTTCGCTCGATCCCGGCACTCACCACTTCCTGGCTTGAAGAATCATGGTCACCTATTAGTCTACGATATGAGCGAATTGCTACCGCGTCCCCCACAATGGGCATGGCAGTCTTGACGAGAGAGATGATGGAAATGCACATTGTCCAAACACCCAACGTTCGTGGCATGGTGGATTGCTTGCCGGTTGCCAACAGACACGGCTTCATTGGATGGAGACAGAAACTCGGCACTTGGCCATTATCCAAACATGAGGCTCGTGGTGGAAGACAATTCGAGGCTTAAGATTGGACAATCGATCGGAAGCTGTGAGGTTGCCAAAGTTTTCTCTGGCTTGAGGGCCGTGGACTGACTATGGTGGGTTCTGCGGGTTGCTGGTTAGCATATATTGAAGGCAGAGCATATGTTCTTCTCGACGGACGTTTTTCGGTATTCTATTTCTTATATATCAAACTCAACACTGGACCAGGAGAAGTATCGGATCCTTAGAGATGGTCTAGGGGGCGAGGATTCTACGTGCGTAGACGTGGTTGGTATACTTCTCCAACTTTCTTAGCAACGCTCTTTACATTTTATACGTTACTTGATTACAAATAGTACTAAATCAACAATTACTGGAAGTTCTATTATATGTAGCAAAGCTGGCTAGCTATATGGGCTTGTGATATGTATTGCACTTATCCATGTAAAGGATTGAGAAGGTTACGGGAAATTCTACTTCCTTTGGTGTAACTTAGCTTCACACTTAGCTTAACAGTCCTTCAGCCGCTTCTATTTCCAACCCAGGGAAATCGACCACCTCATCACCACTCAAATTTAACACCACATTCGACATTCACCCCATACCCCCGTTTCCATTCACCACAACCCCATTCCCCCTCGGCCCTCCCAGCCCTAACCCAATCCAAGACCATCATTTAAATATCAAATCAAACCCTTTTTACACCAATAAGAACAGCCTATCCAACCAGCTCCCCCGAGTGATGGTTATGGTTAGAACTCCATGAGTATCTGTCCACGAGCAGAACTTATGGGACCATAATCACGCTGATGACCTGCTAGACGTCAGAGAGTAGGAAAACCTACTACGCGTCAGAGAGTAGGAAAACGGGTAGAGTAGTAAGTGTTGTGATGTATATTCTTTTGTTTTTCTTTTCTTTTGGGGCGAGCGCCGGGAGGTATAGTGTTTTTAGATAGTATAGATATCCCCCCTTTTTTTGATTAATCAAGTTTCGAAATGTACGAACAAAACAGCCGTCGATTTGTTATGCAAGTCAATACAGCGTTTGCTCTCATTATTGAATGTTTAAGCCAGAGCCCACCATGCCTTGACGTGGTCGTAGTCTGTAAGTTCGTATCCAGTGAAGCAATAAATTGTCCTGAGTAATGTGTAACGCTCGGACCACTATGCCATTCTTTACCTTGGATCCTAGAACTTCCGCCATCAAACACTCAACCAAGTCATTTATTTACAAGAGGGCTCTCTTTGGGGCGAGTCCACTGTCGTCCCTTTAAGATGGTAGTCCGGCCGCCAATATGTCGAGTTGGTCCTTTGATTAGAGGTCAAACACCACGCCTCAGACCACGATTTCTTCCACATCATGTGCCTCGATCTTATTCTAATCGATATGGATCGAAACATGACTTTCCTTACCACGCGGCAACAATTACGCTCAAATCAAATAGCGAAAACGTAATCCGATGATATGATTCATTTGAGTTCTTTTCTAACAAAGATCTAGACCCAGAACTTAATTCCGAAACATCTGAAGAAATCGTTCAGACCTACAGCAGAGAGGCTCGGAAACGTGGAAGACCAACGTCTCGCAATAGTGATTTTGGCAACTCCAAAATTTGCTCCATGGCTTGAAGACGACGCATTCATCATAAAGATCCTCCAGAGTATCACAAGACCTCCGAAAAATGTGAAAACCGCTTGTGATGACATCGATGTCGTCTGTGCCTGTGTTGATGGTTTGACAACTAGTATTGAGCATATTCAGGATGCTAAAGCTTTATCCAAAACCCCAGAAGGGTTGTCTTTCATTCATGGTGTACAAGATGAACTATTACCAGGACTCTGGGATGAAGAAACTCCATCGACGGGTCACCCGGACATCATGTCAACCCTTGTCTTTTCTGGGCGTGGTGATTTTAATACCAAAATCACCTTGCCCTTAGCCAATACTCTGTTCATCAATGGTGTCCGCTCAACCCTCCAAGTATCAAGATGGACGTGGCCCTCTCCCTCTGAAGTCGAGAACTTTACCGGTATGCCTAAGAAAGTCAAAACTCTTCGAAAGGCTACTCAACTTATCAATGCCTTCGATAATATGGACACCAAATATCCCATGACGTGCATTCCTGCAGTACCTATGACGCCAGTAAGGACTATTGCAAGCGGAATGGGAAACATAGTCCGTCAGCTAAATTTTGAGCCATTCACACCTGGGCCCGCGTCTCGTGAGCTTGAGGCTGCTGTTGATCAGCACCTCAAGACTCTGAGCCCCAATAATCAACAAGATACAAGGCCAGGAATATGGGCTCTCATAGTACCCGACGAGGTCCACAGCCGTACCAATGCAAACATGAATATTTCCATGTTGAGCGTCTACGAAGAGGCGACGAAAGGTAAAGGGATATATGGCTCTCCAAATACTGCCCTTTTGGATTATGTAGGATATTGGGTGAGAAGAGGGGCCAAGTTCTGTAAAGTTTGTAAGCGCTCAACCATATCTGGGAATAAACAGAGAAGCTTGGCTAACAGTCGATAGTAAGTGGAGGAGGAGGATGGGGTGCGAAACAAGGTCTTTTATCACTCGATCCACAGTCAACGTATACACAAACCGAAGACATTTCTTCTGAGTTTATGGGCACTTCCGTAGAGGAGCAACAAATGTCGGCTCTGGGAAACATTGCAAAACCTGGTTCGTTCATTCGATTCTTCGGGAGAAGTTCCTGGTCATCGGTACCCGACAAAACAGAGCCAAAGAGGATTAAGGACTTCGATCCAACAGCTCGAAACGTTGTGGTCGGAACATGTGCAAGCACGATTGATGACATTCCAGGAGACGCACAAGATGATGACACAGACTACATCAGACTTCGAGCAGGTCATTTTGGCTGCGTAACTCAGTCTGGTCTGTTCGTCGAGAAGCAACCAAGTGACGGGGGCTCTGCGTACGAGACGAAACTCGACATGCCTAATTCTTTCTTGTTCGCGTCCATGAAATCAGCTTATATGAATCAGCCGCCGTCTGCACAACTAGAAGATGGGAAGATCAACAAGGATGAGGAAGAGAGAGATAAGTTCGAGCATCTACTGGGTTCGGCCAAGCCGACCACGAGAAGAGTAACTGGAAGGTCACAAGCAGAGACGGAAGACGAGAAAGCCCTCAAGCAAGCTTTAAAGAAAGCAGATAAGGGATCAAGAAGGTATAAATAGTGGTTGGGTGGCAGAGTTCCTACCTAACTTGTACAATTCTTTGTGTAGTCTGTAAAGTGTATTATATCTGTGTGATAGAATTAAGCTTCATATGAGCTAGTTGCGGTGTAATAGAAGATTCACGGTACGCCATGAGCTGGCACTGACCAACAAATTCTCCACCAGCTCACCAGCAATCCGGATCTTGGCACCAAAAGACAGGGAGGTGCCCACAATGATACATGCGAGGTCCCGCGAATGACTTGTTCGAAGCGGAGCGATACAAGAACACATATACCATAGGTTCTTCAAAAGTGTATGAATCCTGCTGGAGTGTAATTTTTTCGTCCATTTTAAGTTCGCTCGGAAGATTTCAAAAGCGTCGTTTATCCTATTTTGGACCCCCTGAAATCCCGAAATGGAATCCACGTCACGTGAGTTAGGGGCATTTTTCATTTCGGGACTTTTTAGTAAAAACCGTTAATGAACTATAAGTGTTTTAGAGAGCCTTTTAATAATTGTTAATAAGAACATTTCTATTTTGACAATCTTGAGTATTAATGACAACTTTCCCCCATTCAAAACTGGAGATTTGTATGATGGCGGCCCACTCTTGAGCATCATCTCTCGGTACCCCAGCCCAGCCACCTTTTAACCTGAGCTTTGATTTAGCGCGTACGGGACCATCCTCGTTCTCCGGAGAACACCTCGAGCTTTGGTGATAATCTTCATTTCTGCATCCAAAACATATTTGCGCATTATTCGCCCTGCGATTTCATTGCTATCGCCTACCTTGTTCGGGTCGTGCCGGCATCGCAGTCTATCTTTTCTGGGTTCCGGGTGTCGTGGTCCAGTCAAATCGATAAGACAACGTTGCGCCCGCGAAAAATCGAGTCGCAAATCCATCGACCTTGTCGCATTCATCTTGTCATACCGGTACGTTCACGATTATGCGGCAGCAGTCGTCGATACTATCAGCTACGCGCTTTATTAAAGTCTTCGCATTATTCACGTTCTGATTCTGATAAGTGATAGATCTCAGGAGCGCGCTATTATTTCCGTTGTTGGTAGACTTGCTTAGGAATCGAATCGCTTTCTTCGAACACTACTCAGACGCACAACTCTTGCGACATTAGCAATGGCGCCTAACCGTAGTCTCCCGGCCAGGTTCAATCCCCTGATGACCGAAGAGACACCACCGTGTAAGACGAGCCCGACGCTTTGCGCGCCTTGTACCCGCTAACCTCGACAGATGAGTCCCTCGTTTCGCGCCGCCGGCTCGGTCAGACAGATCTTGCCGTAAAGGCTGGACAAGTCGGTACATCGAATTCTACGAAGCCGAAGAATCTGGGTACATTTGATTATGCGCACCTACGAGCTCCTCTTCCAAAGAATATCACGTCTGGCATATTCCCTCACCACCCCACTCCGCTCTCATACTTCTTGATGCGCCGAAGCAGTGATGGTTACATTAGCGCGACTGGCATGTTTAAAGCTACATTTCCATATGCAGAAGTGCTAGAGGAGGAAGCGGAGCGCAAATATATCAAAAGCCTCGAGACGACCAGTACCGATGAGACCGCCGGTAATGTTTGGATTCCTCCGCAATCTGCCTTACAACTGGCCGAAGAATACCAGATTGTTCCTTGGATCAAGGCTCTACTGGACAATGCACCAATCGAGGTGAATCCTACGAAAGATGGATCCCCAAAGCCAATTAGTGCACCTCCCAACTATGCGCTTCTTCCACAGGATAATCTGACGGCACCCACACCCAGTCGTGGCCGTCCTCGCCGATCGGCATCTCCAAGCAAGATTGCTTCGCCAAAGAAGGCTACAGGCACTACCAGATCAAGAAAGTCGAAAAAGGAGGGTTCGGCTGAACCATCTGCCAAGCTCGCGAGCAAGAACCTCCAAAATTCGCTCAATGCTACCCACGAGGCATCTGAAGCTAGAAACTCTGCGTCAATGGAAAAGACTCCGGAATCTATTCAGGAAGAGTCGGAAGCAGAAGCGAAAGAAGAGCCTGTCGTTCGTGTCAACGTCGACACGGAAGTTCAGGTTAACGGCGATGTTGAGACTACGCACACACACGTCGAGGTTGAAATGCCTGCTGGTTTCGCAGACATGCCTTTGCCTGAGGACACCGAGGCTATGATTGCAAAAGCCAAGGAGATGGTTGAAGCAGCCGTAAAGGGCCAGCATCAGATTGAGGATGCTGAGAGCTTGCCAAAGAAGTCAAAGCGAAAGGCCGAGGAAGTCGAGGAAGACGACGAGGACAAAGAAGACGGACTTCTTCTCCCAGCGCCAGCCAAGAAAGCCAAAGTAGAAGTTGAATTGAAGAAGGAACGTGTAAAGACACGAGCATTGATTGGTATTAGTGCTACTCTGGCTCTTGGGTACGTTTCTTCCTCATCTTACACACAATTTTATACTGACCAAAATACAGTGCGGCTGTACAATACGCCTTTAGCGTTCTGTAATTCAGCGATTTATCCGTTTATATAGTTTCCTTGTAATTTTGGGGCGTTGTTCATTAGTGTTAGGCTACATACTTCGGGCTTCTCTGGATCATACCCCTCGGCCTTTGTCGAGTATACGCTTGAGATTGTTGTGTTGCGCTTTGGGACACCTGGATGGCGGTTGGTAGGGACTTTTTTTCTTCATTTTCAAGAGCTTCGAGATGTGCCGAGGTAGCGTTACAACATGAAAATTTATTACATAATTCCTAAACCTTCTTCCCACTTATCTGTGCCTTTGTTACTTTCTCGAGGTGGTATCGCTGGTAAAGCGATTGGGATAGTGTTCAAGATGTCAATGCTCACTCAGCTACAGGGAGAACACTCTTCAGAGAAGAGTAACCGGGAACCAAATTTCTAGCAGCACAATTGTGAAATCGGCAACGAAAGGAAGCGACTTTTGGCCTTCACATTGGAAGAAACTGCGCGCTATAGAGACTTTCCGGCTGACGGGTGATGGTCATACAGAAGCAGTCGGTTGTAAAAGCGGGTCGTTCCTTCCCTTTTGGGCCCAAAGTCGACTGTTGACTTTGAAATGGCACACCTTCCGCATCTTTTCACATCCCTTAACTTTAACTTTATCCTCATCAGCATTGTCTACCTGGGTACCAAAACTTGTTCGGTAGGGTTGTCGGGAGTTTGGTAGTCATGTCTCGAGGCACTCCTGATGGCCCGCTGCTGGGTGTGGATGACTTAGTAGCAGGCGATCTTGGAGCACAGCACAGTGGGCAGGTTACTGCAGAGTCAACGGATTGTGGTGCTGAGAAGTCAGGACGCTCGCTAGAAAAGGAAGAAGGAAGTGGAATACCAAACGAGGAGCAGAATGTTGCAAATCCAACTCCTCTACCTCAAAAGACACTCACTCCACCAAGCAAGTCTGGGGGACCATCGACGTTGCGCATCACTGCGACCGCAAAACCAAAATTATGGGCGGACTTACCGGTTTCGAATCGCAACAAGAGAGGGTTGGCGCGCAAGCAGAAGGCTTTTCAAGCTGCGGTGCCGCCGCCTTCGCAGAGGCGTGGTGATGAGCTGATTCGGGATGTTCCTGGGCAGTCGATCATTGAGGAACCGCCTTCAACAACGGCAAATGCTGGTATGGCGGATGAACAAGGTATGGCGGATGAACAAGGTATGGCGGTGGGTAAAGGTCTTGGGAAGACAGGGGAGAATCCTCCCTGCCTCGGTGTTGCTGGGTTGCCTTCGCAGCAAGTGAAGCAAAAGGAGCCACCAACCGAGTACAAAGAAGCTGATACCAGGAGAAAGCCTTCGCTCGATGAACACAATGTTAATATCAACCCAATTTGTGGACCAACACCAAATATCAAAATTTCGGATACTCAGGTTTCCCATATGGTAGAAGCGGCTGAGCATACAGCGTTGGCTGACGTCTCCGACTTACTGCCTGATGATGAAAACCTACAACCTACTGAGTCACTGATCAAGCTCAGTGCGCCGTCAAGCACAAGCTCTCTGTCTAGAGAGAATCTTGATCAAGTCCCCCTCGAGATAACCAATGAAAGGCGGAAGAATGTTCGCAAAGCAGGGTTGAAAACGTACAGTAAGAAATACCTAAATCCAGAAACTGCAGCGCAGAGAGTTATAAACGAACCAGTTGCTCAGCCTAATCATCCGGAAGTGTGTGGAGAGGACGGAAGTCTACAGGTTCCAGCACCACTTAGAAGGCAGAGGCGAGTGTCAAAGACCGTCGAGAAGAAGAAAAAGGCTCTCAAATCTTTGTTATCAAAAAGAGCTGCAAAGAAGGTTCCTCGAAGACTACCAGTAACCGAGCTTGAATGCGTTTCCGAAAGAGACAATGAACTTGAATCTGGTCTGAATGCTGATAATAGTATGTTAAATGGGTTAGTGTGATTGGGCTTCTACTGATAATTTAATTGCAGTTGAACAAGCCGAACTTTCAGATGACATGATCTCACAAGGAAGTTTTGAAGAGATTCCCACCTTACGACGACGAATTGCTCGCAAGACGCGAAAACCAGCAAGAATGCGATCAGATTCGCAAGATCTAAATCTCATAGGCTACCGAATGCCAGTGGCTCGCAATCCCTCACAGTACCAACCCTCCTTGTTGTATTCGGTATCAGATGGATTTCAGGGTAGAGAAGGGGACCCTATTGGGAAGCTAATGCGTGTGAAACAGATCACTCGACCACGAACACCTCTTGTCACAATCCTACCAAGATTTGGTACTCTTGAGCTCGTGGCGGAGAAAAATGACGACGAAATCGATGTGAAAGCTAAGAGCCAGAAAAGCAAGAAGATCATCGCGAGTGAAGCACAAATCAATCCGGAAGTTGACGAAGACATGGTCCTGCTTGATGAACTTGCTCCAGAGGAAGAAGCATCATTGATAAATGACTTGGAGCAATGTGTAGACATAGTGGAATTTGAGGACGGTGGTAAGTTATTCTGTTCTCCATCTGACTTTCCGCTTGGCTTGTCCTTTTTACAGGCCCCAGGAATACAGGTGAACTGCACTACTGCGAATTCGTCATACTTTGCCCTCTCTTACCCGATATCTTGTTGACACTGTTGTATGTTTTCTTGCGCTTTATACAATAAAGTTCCCCAAACACAAAGAGTCAATGATGTCTTGTCCAACTCGGAAATAACAACAAGTTAAAGATAGACAAGTGCCTAGCGGGCTCTCTTGACATTTTCAGTTGCATTCCCATATTTCTTCTGTCCGGTGAAACCTAACGTGATCACTAGGTCTTTTGGAGAGAGCGTCTAACACTCAATCTACATTGAATCCAGGAGTCGAGAGACTCTCCGGGTCAGGTATTACTTTGGTTCGCCATGATAGCGGCCAGCAGATGGTACAGTCACAGAAAATACAAAACTCACTCAAGCGCTCTGCACCAGAGGTTTCCACCGATACCGACATCAGGAACCTCTCATCCGAAGGCGTTGATGCGATTCTACGGCCAAAAAAGAGTCCTAGACGCGAAAAGCATTTCGAAGAAAACGAGATTTCCTATTCTGAGAACACAGGTGCAGAATATGACCGAAATATTCCTCGTGATCAAGAGCGACCAGAGCTACAACATTCTAGAAATTCGTCCCCAAAAGCCCAACTGGGCCCACCATCGATAGGAGAAATCGACGAAATTGCAAAATGCTTCAAATTAACACCACTATCTAGCTTGATAGGTCGGTTTGAGGGTCAACATATAAACGACCAAGACTCGGCAGTTGGTTCCGATGCCAGCGAGAGTACTAATGATAATCTCGGTAGTGGCGAGACATCCTCCGAGGTTTCGGAACCAGAAGATAGTTCCCCATCACAGGTGTCAATTACAAAAGAGGGTAATGGATTCATAGAAAAGGTTGTCACATACGAGGAGGAATGTTGCGAACCGGTTGAGAGAGATGAAGCTGACTCTCTGGTTTCCGAAAATGATTGCCAAATCGACCCCAAGTCTGCCCAAAATTGTTTCGGCACTCCGTCTCAATCAAACTTGGACAAGCGCCCTAGACACGATACATCTAATGGCATTGACCATGAACAACCGTCAACTGTTACTTTAGACAACGAGGAGAATGCCAGTGATTCGAGCGAGCCAGCAAGAGTAACCTTCAGATGTGGCACGCAATTTGACGAGCATATTACTGGACGGGCCGAGGAAGATTTCAGCGAAGAGGAAGTAGAAATTCCCAATCGGTTTAAGCTGCTTCAAGATAGTTTAGGTCCGGTGCATTTCGATATCTGGGATAGAGCTCAGCTAACAGTCCATGACGACCGATGTGAGACGTCTGAAGACACAGCCGAAGCAGCACAAAGTCAGGCCTCCACAAAATGGAATGGTATTGAACCAGAAATTAGGGCACCAACACACGGAAATACTCTCAAAAGAGCCAACTTCAACCACATAAATGAAAGCAAACAGTCTCTGGGTCACAGATTGCACAAAGAGATCCAAACCACAGACCATGTGAGTGCAGAGAGTGAAGTGGATACCGACTCACAAGGGAGCCATAGTGAAGCGTCTCCAACTCAATTGTCTACAAGTTTCGACACACAAGATGTTGAGTTCCAAGATGAGTCGTGGCGACCACATGCTCCACGACAAAGTGGAAAGTACATCGAGGTGGACGATGAGATTATTGACAGCCCACCACATGTTCGTACGCAGAGCAGGCTTTCTAGCTTTTACAACAGAGCCTCAAGCCAACAATTTTCGAGAAGACCTTCTTTAAATCTTGTATCGAGGATACCTAGCCCCGACCTCGATGAGGAACTCATGTATCATCACAAAGGACGACAAGCTTCGCCCGAACTTGGATTTTATCAGGAAGACACAAACACATGCAAAGAAAAGGAGAAGGAGAAGGAAAGAGAGATTCCAGAGACTCAATTTGAGAACGATGGTGCGCTTTCAACATCCCAGATGTTTTTTTCAGACATACCAATTGCAAGTTATTTTGAGCGAGCTTCGCAGGATTTGAGTAATCCAGTCTGGTGGACCTCATCAGCACGTTCTAAATCTGGCCCTGCATACCTGGCTTCACCGTCGTCGAAGAGCGATTTTGCTGTTGCCAATGCAGTGACGGCATCACAGAGATCATTCAGCTATATTAATGCACCACCAAGAGAAGTTCCGAGATATCCAGTTGAAGGTCAAGAAGAGCCAAAGATATTAGACAGGCTTACTCGCCAAGCTAGTCAGAATCATGGCACCACGAGTAACACTGGAAAAAAGAGAATGGTGTCTCTGGCTTTCAAACCACCATTCAAGAATGAAATTTGCAGGAGCGGCTCTATCAGACACTGACGACTATGCGTGTAGGTGATTAGCAAGTGTTGATGAATAGAGTACGCATATGGAAAATGTGGCAGTGAGTAGGTAATGTTGATGGATGGTAGCTAGAAGATTTGCTTGAATCTTTTGATTGGGGAGGAGATTTTGCCAAATATTGCAAGATAGGTTTGCTGGGGAATGGAGGCGTAGAAGAAGTATTGCTATCTAGAACTTAGACATCTTTAGCTCGTATATGGCCATTAGCTTCAGTAATGAAAACATTTTACTCAAAATTTCAAAAACCTTTGAATTGGAGATAGCATGCCTTCTGTAGACTATCTGATATCGATGGCATTGATATCGAGGACTAACATATGTTTTGCTCAAATATGGCTGTCATTAGCTTCCGTCATGGCAACATTGCGCCTAGGAAAGTACTTGGAAACAAGACACGTAATACAGATCATCGGCTATCGATGGTATTGGTCTATATCCAAATCATGATTATTGTCACAACCTACCAAAGACACCAGGCTCAATTGAGGCGCCGCTCAAAAAACACCCGTCATGTCACCAACTGAAACTCATCGCCTCAAATCCATCAAATCCTCACTCCCCCTCCCCTCATCACCAAGATCCAAAACATCATCATCAACCTCCCGTTCTCTCCTCTCCCTCTCCCTCTCCCTCTCCCTCTCCCCTCTCCCCTCTCCCCTCTCCCTCTCCACCTCATCACCACCATCATCCACCAACTCCACATCCTCACCCAACAACCCATCCCCCTCCAACCCATCCCCACTCCTCCTCCCCTCCCTCCCTTCCCCCTCACTACCATCCTTCTCTTCCCTCCGTCCAATAATCACATTTCCCGCGACCAGAAACCCCGCACCCAGAAACCAAAGCGGCGGTAACGACTCCGCGAAGATCACGTACCCGAGTATAGCGGTGATCAGGAAATTGGTGGATGTGTTCAGGATGGATACTTGGGTTGTGCTGGTGCCGCGTGCGAGAGCTTTGGTGAATAAGGCCCACATTATGAAGTTGAAGAGGAGGTTTAGGGTGAAGAATGTCTGTGGGTGGGGTGTTAGTGGGGGATTTGGGGGAAGAGGAAGGGGGAAGGGGGGGCTTACACCGCGGACTAAAGCTTCTATTATTGTGGAGTTTGTTTTGAGGCCGAAGAGAGCGGAGATGTGGGTTGCGAATGTGGTTGTGAGATCTGTCGTCGTTCTGAGTTTATTAGCTTTTAACTTTTTACACATCCATCTCTCTAAACAAGTCCTCTCACACCAAACCCCCTTTGAATATCACCCCCCTCTTTCCCAAACCCATCCTCCCTCCTTCCAACCATCCAACCGCCGCTTCCTCAAATCCCCCAACCCGCGAAAAAACGTGACCAAAAGAAATCCAAAACTCACAATTTCGCAAATACCCCGTTAAAAGCCGCGCAGGCACCACTCATCACCGCCAGCGCTATCCACTGCGATTTCCGACTTAGATCCTTGAATTCCATCTCTTCTTTTCTGTCTTTATTGAAAAGGGGGGTGGTGTTGGCTCTATGAGGGGGCGGATTGGCGTTGTGTCGTTGGGTTAGAGTAGAGTTTTGCAGGGATGTGTATGTGGTTTTTGGTGTGGTTTTTGTGGGGCGGGAGGGCATTGTGGGTGAGAACTTGGGCTTGGGGGGGTCAGGAGAAGTCGGATTTATTGGGTCTTAGAGGAGAGACGAAGGTGTGGTGAGTTTATCCTGTGTTTGGGGGTTGTTGTCTTTTGAAGTGGTTTGGGCTGGTCCGTGTGAGTATATGACTTGCATGCTCAATATCCTAGGATGTGAGCGGGAGTACATGGGTTTGGTTCATTGGGCAGAAGAAGCAATAGATCGAATTATATAAAATTTCTATCTATGGTATATGGTGTCGCACTACAAAATTGGCAGTTTTGATACACAAAATTCATGATCTAATTGCCTGAAGCTTTTTGAGAAATCGTGGTATAATTCCTCTAGCAAGCCGTCTCTATCATTCTGTCTCAATTTCAAAGACTTCATAGTATCAACTTTTCCGTGACCAAAATCCTAGAGCTTCCCGGTATATTTGATTCCATTCGCCCATCTCCTTGCTAGTATCTACTCTTCAATGAGGGAGCTGCGCAGGAACGACTCCCTAAACGCCAATCACCAACATCTTTCATGGCCACGAAAAGAGCCACCGATCCAGTGAGACGAGGGAAAAGGAAAGGGGATATGTAAAGAAACTCTACTGTTCCCCTTCGGCAATATAAACAGATCACATTTCAACGTGCTCTGTGAAGATCATATCCGTATATTGAGTGAATAATTCTAGGCATGTCTCCAATCACAGAAACGAAGGTTTCCAGTATCTTGTGTGTCATGTTCATATCCCATTTGCCGGTAAACACCAAATATGCCTCCAACGCCATGAACCCCTCCATAGTAAACCGCATGGAAAATAATATGCCCCCACATGAGTACCAATCTAATAGAGCGTTCTGGGAAGTAATGAAATGTATATCTCGTTATCCATGTCGAAAATCGAAGATCCCGCCGAAGGTCTTGACTTCGATGTGGTCGTCGAGGGGTTGATATCTATACCAAATCACTGGGGGTCTCCAGGCCTCTTAGCGTTACAGCTGACAATTCGTATCTTCTCGGCCGTTACTGGTTGGGTTTGGTTGTCCATTTTGAAAGTTACATCTTTGATCAAGAACGTCCAGACTTCGTCGCAGAAACGGTATGTGTCAAGATGACCCTTCAACCCTCTCATTAGCTATCTGCGCAAAAGAATACCCCACCGAGCCAAATTACCTTGAACGTCAACCTTGCCTTCACTTTCTCAGCCAATGCCTCTGTAATGCTTCGATCGAAGTTCGCTAGGATTTTCATCGCAAGTTGAGGTTCGATCCGACGGTCGCTGATCAGATCATCGAGGGTATCCGTAAGCGCCATCCCGATGCTAGATCGGGTCAGTCAGGTATAGCGGAAGGTTTGTAGAGCAAAGGCACAGTACCTGCTACGGCGATACAGCTCGTAAAAGGCCTGAGGATTTTGTGCCATGTTGAAGTCTGGATGGCGACGTGGTTGAAGAAGAAACAAAGCCGTTGCGAGGTCAATACACGAGGTGACTCCAGTCCCGCAGTTGGTTATGTCAGCGGATTGGAGCCGCAGTGAGCACGGACCATATCACTTTCAACAGCCAGATGATGGCAACCTTGATAGCTTCGACTACAACAATCTCATCACTCTCACCCCAACTCCTACTTTCAGTTCCTCTCGCAAGATGAGTCTCAAATATGGTGCTTATGGTGTTACCACGTCTTTGGCGGTAGTGGGAGCTTGTAAGGAGAGGATATCCCTCTTGACGTACTTTGCTAACAGTTACTAGACATGCTCTTCACGGGCGACGGAGAAGCTTTCAATGTACGTTCGGAATCGAAGATCACCTAGACCTGATACTGATAAACAATAAAGGTTGGACAATTTCTGGAAGATGTATCGCCATACGCATGGGCGGACATGGGAATCGGATTGTGCATAGGATTGTCTGTTGTCGGCGCAGCATGGTACAGCTTTCAAGTCTCGTTTCAATAAGCTCGAAGCTTACGATAATCTAGGGGTATCTTCATTACTGGATCATCGATTATCGGTGGAGGTGTTAGGGCTCCCCGTATACGAACGAAAAACTTGATCTCCATCATTTTCTGCGAGGTTGTGGCTATCTACGGCGTCATTATGGCAATTGTGTTTTCATCGAAAATCAAGGGACTGGACGGAGACGCGATATATTCTGGAAGCAATTATTATACTGGATATGCGCTTTTCTGGGCCGGGTTGACCGTGGGCATGTGTAATCTGATATGCGGTGTTTCTGTTGGAATCAATGGGAGTGGAGCTGCGTTAGCTGATGCAGCAGATCCCAGCCTGTAAGAACACTTCGACGACTTAAGAAACTTCACTAACACAATGCCTTAGGTTCGTGAAGATTCTTGTCATCGAGATTTTTAGCTCAGTCCTCGGTTTGTTCGGGTTGATTATTGGACTATTAGTATCCTCAAAGGCAGCCGAGTTTAGCGACGAATGATTGGCTCAAGCGCACAGGAAGTAAATTCAAGTGCCTACGTACGGATGATAACTGCAAGAGAAGAATTAGGACAATGTTGTCGTGTATACCAACCATTCCATTGCAGGCGGGAGGCGTTCTGGTAGATAGGATGTTCGAATATGGAACAAGCATGGCACAAAAGGAGTGCACTGCGTTGCTGTTTTTTATATGTATTATAACCAGATTCAGCAAATTGCAAAGCCAACTATCAACAACATTGGGCTGCAGCGGCACCGTACTTGTTCTAGTTGAAAGCGTGTTAAGTGCTTGGGAGCCTAGGTGGTTTGTAGCCTCTCATGGACAAGATAGGGACAAAATTCTAGCAACTATGTGAAAAAAGCTCCTCATCCACTGTTCAACACCAGATATATTCTCTGTCACTCCCGTGAAATATGTCGACGAGTCCTATCGCAACTCGATTGAATTCTCGGAGCCCTCTCGGCACGATTGGTCTCCTACCCTGGTCAATAAAGAACCTTAGCGCCACACGTGATTTCTTTGCATCTCACAGAACTTTTTCTTTTCAAATTCTCTCGGGCTCATCTTTACGTCTTTGACGCAGCAATGGCTTTGACGTCTTTGGAAAGCGCGAATTTCGTCGTCGAATTGACCTTCGCAGGACGTCAAGAAGCACCCCCAATGAAGAGCTAATAGCTTCTTCATTCGGCTGCTATTCACGGTTCGTTCCTTACTTCCGCGTTCAGCGATCAGCAGCACACTCGGGTTGACTCGGCCTTCGGCACCATGGGACGTTGTAAACCAGACACTGCCAGTCTGCCATGCCTTTCACATTTCCCCTCACTCCCCATATTTCCCCCACGGTAAGCTCAAGCTAGCTGTTACTACTGCTCATCTTATCTCATTGAGGAATATTTCAGGGAGTAGGCAAGGCAGTGAGTGCTTGTTCGACAAGCTACAACAACAGCCACAACCGCACTTTTCTTACTGACATTACTTCCACTTTCACAATGGTAGCCGCTATGAGATCTAACGTCAGGATATCTGCACCGCTCGTTCGGGCAGCTGTGCAACATGCGCAGCGACGGACTTTCTCTAACACTCGCTGTGTAAGAGCTCAATGGGGCTTCATAGGCTTGGGACAGATGGGTATGTTCACCCTCACGCGACATCAAACAAATAATTCAGATGCTGATTTTTACATAGGATATAATATGGCAAAAAACCTACAAGCGAAGCTCCCTCCATCCGACACTTTGCGGATTTACGACATCAATACCGAGTCAGTGAATCAATTTGCGAGTGAGGCAAAAGCCAGCTCAGGAGGAGCCGCTGTCCAGGTAGCTTCCAATGTGCATGAAGCAGCAGAAGACTCTGTAAGTATCCTTTGACCGACTCTTTACGCTTCCTCTATATCCACTTAAATGATGAGTTTGTTCCAAACAAATGATCTAAGTTGGGGTCCCCGTTTTGGGTGTACCTTCTCGTGATTTTATTACATTACAACAAAGCCAATCCTCTGAAAATATTATCTGATTCCCTCTACATCTTATTTTGCTCTAGAGACGAACGCTTGCTAATTCTGGATTCAGGAGACTACCATAACTGTTCTACCTGAGCCTTCACACGTGAAAAATGTATTCGCGCAAATTCTCAAGCCTCCCCTCAGCACCGATGCGGTAGCAAATCCCGACCGCCTTTTTATTGACTGCTCAACGATCGATCCGGCGTCTTCCAAAGAGGTCGCCAATGCCGTCCATGCGACACAGCAAGGTCGATTCGTTGACGCCCCGATGTCGGGTGGGGTAGTAGGTGCTAAAGCTGGGACATTAACTTTTATGGTCGGCGCATCAGAATCTTTGGTACCCCGTTTAGAACCAATTCTACTCATGATGGGCAAAAAAATGCTTCACTGTGGAGCTCATGGAGCAGGCTTGTCTGGAAAGCTTGCCAACAATTATCTATTGGCGATAAACAACATTGCTACAGCCGAAGCAATGAATTTGGGTATTAGGTGGGGACTGGATCCAAAAGTCTTAGGAAATCTGATCAATATCAGTACTGGAAAATGTTGGCCAAGTGAGGTCAATAATCCTGTCAAAGGTGTTGTGGATGGTTCCCCCGCAAGCAGAGACTATAGCGGAGGATTTGGAATAAGCTTGATGAAGAAGGATCTTAAGCTTGCACTTTTGGCTGCTAGTGAAGCGGGGGCTCGCCTCGAGCTTGGTGACAAAGCACGGGAAGTATACGAGGCTGCTGAGCAGAAGGAAGACTGCAAAGGACGAGATTTCTCTGTTGTCTATAGATATTTGGGTGGTAAAGAATAGACAGGTAGGACAAAACATGTCTGCAATGGCGTTGTGGTTTTGGTAGCATAGATTCACCTAGAGCATTTGTATGGAGTAGTTTGCAAGCTATGAAGCATTACTCAAACCCCACTTGGTTTTCTCTCCTCTTCTCACATCTGCTTTGTAAATTGAAGATATGTCGCACCACCACACGGCATAACTCTGTTCAGACACAATGTTTGCTACATTCAACTAATGCCGGGCCAATTGTTTATTAAAAATACAGACCTTTCATCGCGGACCAAATTAACTATAACCATGCCATACTGAGAGATTTCCAAACGCCATGCCGCACGTCCCGTTTCAATTCTGAACAATGCTGTTTCGACAATCCCGTTCATGAATCCAATCCCATCCAGCCCAGAACTTAGCAGGTTAACGCTAGACTCAGCTATCCTTCTAATCCTTCGACTGAATCTTGTTATCCATCTTCACGGCCTCTGCATACGTTGGTGGTACCCCGCCACTACTTCCACCCTCACCATTCCCCCAAGTCCCATCCTCATTCTGATACACTTGCGGCGCGGCGGGCGCTACATTCGCAGGCGCAGACACGGTTCCATAGCTTTGTGGACCAACTCTTCCACCCTGGCCTGCTCCGTTCGATGGTTTTGGCACTCGCATGCGCTGTCCGTCAGGTTGTACGACTATGTAGGTAACTCGTCCTGCCTCCGCGTCTTGCGACAGGCTTTCGTACTCGTTCTGCTCGGGGTATTTGGCAATTATGTACCAGGCGTGTAGGAGTCCGGGAATAAAGCCGAGCATGCAGAGACAGAGATTTATGAGGGAGTCAGCGGAGCAGATTCCGGTCTTGACCCATACTGGTATATGTTAGCGATGTGCTGGGAAGAGAGATGAAAGATCTCGAGATCGGTGGCGGGCGATTGCGACGCAACGAAGCTGAAAGACTGCGGGAATAGCTTACCTGCTAGTGGTGGGAAGAAGATGGCGATGAAGCCTAGGAAAGCATCTGAAGAGCACATTTTGACAAACTCTGTTTGATCACTGGAGGTTTTGCGGGTTTGTAGGATAAAAGGTGGTGTTAAGGTTGCGAGGTTGAAGAGGGTGAGCTGATAATATGCTGCCTTGTGCGCAATGACGAATGACGGGGCTGAGCCGAACCCTGGATTGAAAGATTTGCCGCTAGCCCCCGCTTGCTTTGAAGAGCCGAGACATTGAATCACGTTGCCTTCCAAATTTGGCAGTCTTACTCATATAAGAAATGGATAAGGATTGAATAATTAAGCAAAATGAATATAAGCCCTAGAAGAGAAAGATCTTATATTGTGGAATCTACTAACAAGTAGGAGTACATCAATAGAAACCTAGTAAGGTAAGGGCAGGGCTCTATGAAGTTTGAGGTAGGTGTTTTGAATGAAAATTTGGAGTAATGTTAATGTTTTCTAGCAAACATTTAATGACTATTTTCATTTCAAACCCCCCTAAGCATCTCGCTGTTGATGTTAGAGAAGCTTTCTCAGTATGGACGGAGTATGTAATGTGATAGACTAGGCCTGGCCTGGGCATTGACTTATCGATAAGGTCCCTCGACTCGGCCACCCAGCTCCGCTAGCTTATAACCCCTCGAAACTTTTTGACTCGAAAACTAGACAACTGCATTACAACTGACAACATTATAAGATGGCGGAAGATAATCTTGAAGATCCGGATCCAATCCTGAAATCCTACGATATCTATATCAAACCTGGTATGCACCAAGAGCGCGAGATCTATGTCCTCCAATTCCCGAATCGCAGCCATAGGCTACCCTACCTTGCGCGACTCGACTCACAACCTCAGAAACTTAGAACCAAACCCAATTCTGGCATGGTGGAAATTGATGTGCCTGTGGATACATGGAACTTTTACGACCGGCTGAAGGGCATTCAATGGGGAGAAGCGTTGAAAGAAAGCAATGCTACGAAGGGGAAAGGAAGCCATGGTCTACCTGGAGGTTTTGGTATTGGAGGGGTACAGGCGAGAGGAAAAGGTCGAGGGAAGTCTGATGAGGAAGAAAACTTGGGTCACCTGAATACCTTAAGTGATTTTGCTGGGGCTCTTGAGCGGGATCAGGTTCTAAAGAAACAGACTTTGGGGGGCCAGGTGGTTACGAAGAACGAGAGCAATCCTACCTATATGATCGGGACCTTTCGAAAGAGTAAGGGAACTACTATTATTCGTGTGATAAATTGCTAACTGCTTCAGATCAATTGCATCTCACACCTGTAGACCGGATAGCTCAAATGCGACCTCAATTCCACCACATAGACGCGTTGTCTGAACACAAAAGAATGAACGCCGTTCGTGAGACGCCTGCGCAAACTTCGGCCGCTCGAGCTATCCATATGTCAGTTAAATCAGGTGTTGATGGCGAGGAAGATAGCAACGACACAATGGCGCGACGAATTGCGGCTACTCAAGCAGAAAATTGGAAGCATCATCGCTATGTTGACGAAGACACTGATGAAGCATGGGCGATATACCAAGAGAACTTCTTTGTTGGTGGTGATGTGGGTGTTCACCTCGAAGCAAATGATGAGATGTTACAAAAGCTTCCGAAGCTGGCGACGAGTCTTGACGATACCGAATATCTGGATACAATCAGCGCCCCAGGCGATGAAGCGAAGCTGTCAAGAAGTAAAGAGAATAAAAAGGGTAAAGGGAAAGGGAAAGAGACGGCAATGGATGACGATAGCAGCGAGGAATCAGATATAGAGCCAGCAGTCGATAAAGGTAAAGGAAAGGATATTTCAATGTCAGGGACATAATGGTTCAAAAAGAACGGCCTTATGCTGTACTACTCGCATTTTCTGGCGCACAAAATATACCCTGGGTCATTAAATAGATCATGAAAATATCTTATATTTGGCTTTGAATTTTCTTATTGAGGCGTCGTGATACCCTTCGTGCCGCCTAGTATCACCATTGTGTGCATCTTTCCTTTTGCCCACAGGACGTCGAACCTGGAATGCAGCATACTAATACATCGATATTCTTATATTCTGAAATATAGCCATATCCCAAGATACTATTCCAGCAGGCTTAATCAACATTTTCTTGTTGTTTGCAAGTGTAAACGGAGATAACAATATATTGGCTACTAAATCCGAATTACCCCCCGATAAGCGATAGCAGCCGTCATCAAGGGAAGCTATGGAGCTTCAGTTCGACAGCTCACTCAGCAAATAATATACTCGACGGCTGCGCTCAAGCAGCCAATGAGTTTTGGTACAAAATGGCATATCTTGCTCCGATCCATCGGCCTAGCAGTGTACGGCATGCCATAAAATTAAATCTGCTGGATCCAGAGAAGGAATGTCTTGTTGTTGCGTATGTTGACCTTTGTAAGACTTTCGGAACAAGTTACTAACTCAATACCAGAAAGGCGAATCGAGTTGAAATATGGGAGCCTACGACAGAGGGGCTGGTGATGCGCTATTCGAAAGCAATTCATGGCTCCGTTTCGATGTTTGCAAAGTTGCGCCCCTCCAATGCCATTACGGATCACCTTTTAATAGGCACGATACGGTTTCGATATTTTACAGTGGCGTGGAACCCAGAAACTCAGCAGCTCGATACCATGCAGTCATTTGAGGACCTTACAGAGAAGTATATCGAAGAGTCCAATACGCAGGATCGATGTCTCGTAGATCCGACGGGGAACTTCTTCATGATGGAACTGTACCAGGGAATCTTGAGCTTGGGGAAAATCAAACTCAAATTTAGGAAGGGATGGGGAAACGATGACTATTTAGAAAAACCGGAACAGGTACGGATCACAGAGTTGAAGGTTCGAGCGTCAGCCTTTTTATATACCGATTCCAAACAACCGAAGATAGCGTTGCTTTATGAGGAGGCGAAGGGAAAGATGCGATTGTCCACGTATAGGATCGTCGATGAGAAGATGCAATTTTCAGCTTTTGATCCAGCCAGGGACCGGGAAAACGATATTGGCGACCTCGATATGGATGCGAATATGCTAATTCCCGTATCAAAAGGGCAGAGTGAAGAGCGACGGCATGTCTCCAGGAATGCAAGTCAAAATAGAGCACAATTGGGAGGAGTTATTGTGGTAGGGGAGACAATGATATTATACTTGGATGATGAGAGTAAAGCTTCGCTGGCAGTGGGTTTGACAGAAGCTGCTGCGTTTGTCGCGTGGGAACGATATGATGACTTGAATTTTCTGCTGGCAGATGACTATGGCAAGCTTCATCTACTGACAATAATTGCGGAGGGCTCGCTAGTAGTTGATATTAAGGTTCGAAAACTTCCGGGTACGACAAGCAGAGCCACGAAATTGGTGTACATGGGAGAAGGAGTCCTTTTCGTTGCCTCACATAGTGGCGACTCGCAGGTCATTGCTCTTAATTTAGAGGAAGGCAGCCAGTCGATCACTGTTCTACAAACCATGCCGAACGTTGCTCCAGTACTAGACTTTGCTGTTATGGATATGGGAAATCGCGAAGGAGAGGTTCAATCAAATGAATTTTACTCCGGTCAAGCACGGCTAGTCACTTGCAGCGGAGCTTTTGAAGATGGCAGTCTACGAAGTGTACGTAGCGGAGTGGGTTTGGAGGATGTCGGAGTTCTTGCAGACATGGAAGATATACGAGATGTTTTCTCACTACGCTCCAGTCCGACAGCCGAAGTTGATGATATCCTGGTTGTTTCTTTCCCGACAGAAGCTCGAGTCTTCACATTTGATATTGAGGGGCAAATCGAGGAAGTGGAAGAGTTCAGAGGTCTGTCCTTGGATCAACCACTTCTGCTAGTGATGAACCTCCCGAATGGGTCGCTTTTACAAGTCACCCCCTCATCAGTCACAATCCTTGGACAAGGGCCCTCGTTTGTCACATCTCAATGGACACCTCCGGCTGAGCAAGTGATAACGGCCGCTTCAGCAAACTCTGGTCATGTTTTACTGTCCTCAGATGGCACCACATTAGTGTCCTTGGACATAGAGAACGGCCTTCAATGTGTAGCGTCACAGCCATTGAGTAATTCAGAACAAGTTGCTTGCATCAGTGTCTCCTCTGAGATTCCTAATGTTGGCGTTGTAGGATTCTGGAAATCAGGCTCTCTATCTATATTGAGACTGACAGACTTGCAAATTATTCAGTCCGAGGACTTGCGGCGGATGAACAATGCCTCCATTCCGCGGGATATATGTTTGACCCAAATACTGCCGAGAGATCAATACGGACCTACATTATTCGTCGCTATGGAAGACGGTATCGTCCTGACGTTCAATGTCGACAGTAGTGATTGCAAACTTTCCGGAAGAAAAGCAATTGTACTTGGAACCCAGCAGGCACGACTTCAGACGATTCCACGAGAAGACGGTCTATTTAATGTTTTTGCGACATGCGAACACCCTAGTTTAATATATGGCTCAGAAGGAAGCGTGGTTTACTCGGCGGTAACAGCTGAGGATGCTGTCTGCGTGTGTTCATTTAACGGAGAAGCATATCCTGGATGCATTGTTGTTGCTACACCTGAGACTCTGAAGATCTCTTTAATAGACACAGAAAGACGGACTCACGTCCAAACACTACCAATTGGAAAGACAGTAAGAAGGATTGCGTATTCTACGAACGAAGCAGCGTTCGCGATTGGATGTATACACCGAGAGTTAGTGGATGGAGAAGAAAGGATTACTAGTAGTTTGGAACTGGTCGAGGAGGTTCTCCTTGGTAACATTGGCAAGCCTTTTGTCTTCGATGGAGACCTCGGACCAGAGCTTGTCGAATGCGTAGTTCGTGCGGAACTACCAATTGCTCATGGAGACGGCACAACCGCAGAGAGATTTATCGTAGGTACAAGCTATTTGGACAGCGAGGTGGCTACGACCAGTGATCAGCCCAACGCCAGGGGAAGGATATTGGTTTTCGCAGTGGACACCAGCAAGAATCTGTTCATGGTTCATAGTCGTGTATTAAGAGGCGCTTGTAGGAGAGTAGCCGTATTTGATGATGGAAAGATCGTGGCAGCCCTTGTCAAAACCGTAGTGGTTATGAAATACCTCGAAACCACCGCCGTGTCGGCAGAGCTCACAAGCTTAGCAACCTACCGCACTTCAACATGTCCTATTGACATAGACATAAGCGGCAACATTATTGCTGTTGCAGATATGATGAAATCTGTTTCGCTGATCGAATACGTTCCAGGAAAAGAAGGATTAGACGATCAACTGACCGAAATCGCCCGTCACCATGAAGCTTTCTGGTCGACAGCTGTGTTGCACCTAGAAGAGAACAGGTACTTAGAAACAGACATGGATGGCAATATCATCATCCTTGCTCGAAATCCAGAAGGAGTAACACTCGAGGACCGCAAGAGACTCGTTGTAACAAGTGAGATAAATCTTGGAGAAATGGTCAACAAAATCCAGAAAATCAACGTAGAACCTTCACCAAACGCATTGGTCGTCCCCAAGGCGTTTTTGGCAACCGTACGTCCCCTTCACTTGCTTAATTTATGCACTTGGCTAATATCTTCACAGACTGAAGGTTCCATCTACCTGTTCTCACTCATCCCACCTTCACACATCACGCTCCTCACCAACTTACAAACCAACATCGCAGCTCATATCCAGACGCTCGGAGATATCGATCATGCTTCTTACCGCGCGTTCAAGAATCAGGAAAGAGAGACTGCTGAGCCCTTCAGGTTCGTGGATGGGGAGCTCGTGATGAGGTTCCTGGATGTGGGAGAGCTGGTTCAGGAGGAGATTTGTCAGGGATTGGGGGTGGGTAGTGAGGAGGTTCGGGGGGTGGTGGAGGAGTTGAGGAGGTTGTGTTAGGGGTGTAATTTGTGAGGTGTGGAGGTGTTGTTCTGGGGTTGGGAGATGCGAATAGTGAAAATTTATGGTTGTGTCAGTTACAAGGGGGATGGTAGGCTGGAGGGTAAGGAGTAAAATAATTTAAGGCATGACGTTTATGGTAGGGCTAGCATCAGATAGGCGTCGAATGTCTCGAATGTTATCAAGTGTTCTGTCGCATTGATGCTTATTGTAAGAATAGCTAAACTTTCATACGGATCGAAGCGCAGCTATGTCTCAATATTTCACATTGGATGTCAAGATCTCTAAACATGAAATCGACTCATCTGTAAACCATGATTTACACCCGCCTCAGCACCATTTGAACATAACCAAACATACATCTTAACTTGTGAAAGCAACACCCTCTAAACACCTACGAACCTAGACATCTACAACTACCCTATTACCCTTGAGTAATTATCCAGAATATGTAACCACTATAACTAAATGTATAAACTATCCCCCAAAACAATCCCTCACCCAAACAAATACCCATACGCCCTCGGAACTACAGGCGGTCTAAAGTGGTCCCCACCTCGTCCTCACAGTAGCATCCGAAGCCCTATAAACCCCCTTATCCCCAACCTTCGTCCCCCTCCAAACAAAATACTGATAATCAACAACCATCACAATCGACAACGTAAGCTCCCCCTCCTCATCAACCCCAAAAATGAGCTCCGTCTCATACTCATCCGTGCTGCGAATCCCGCGTCTAGGTAGGTAATAAGACTCTTTCGTGCCTCGCCATCGTATACGGCATTTCTGGAATCCGTCAGGGGAGGGACCAGGCCAGCCGCCGGATGCGAGGGTCAACGTAGGGATCGTGGTCGTCGGGGGAGATTTTCATGGCGCCCCAGAGTCTGGTTTTGCTTCGATGAGCTTGCGAGGCTCGGTGGAAGGTCGTGGTGTTACTGCTTTTTTGGGCACTTTCTTCGAACTAGTCGGGGCGGCACTGACGGGTCGACCTAAAATGTACTTTGGTATAGAAATACTCAATAGCTCAATGTCTCTTTGGCTCTCTGGCTCAGGCGAAGTATCATAGTAGCTTGGATACCATTCCTCCTTAGAAGTATCTTCCCACTTTCTCTGTAACGTCGTCAGCCGTCTCCGTGGTAAGATTGGCCACTTTGGTGCCGTGAAATATCAAAGGGTTATCATTGTAGATAATGCCGAATTCGACATCGATGCCAGTAAAGTCGCACGTCGAATTAGCTGGCCTGTGTTCAAATACGAATTCGTAATTCCTGTCACCTTCACCCCCAACTGGTGTACCCAGACGCAATCCTCCATCAGCAGCTCTCCACCTACAAATCCAGGATTTATTCCTAGGAGCCGGTAGCTCTCCAGGCTCTAAGTCATACATCTCTTCGAACTGTTTAAAATTGCTGCGTCTCATAGGGCCTGGCGCCAGCCTCATAAGACGCTTTTTGAGCGATTCAAAAGAGAAGTTTGCGTATAACTGCCTCGGAGAACTGTGGGAATAGTAAAACATGCTGAATTCAAAGTCGGATGTGTCGAGATTGGAACCCTCAAGCTTATTAGTTATCTTGTAATGACCTTGAACTTCCCAAGTGTCTAGGATTATTGCCGAAGAATTGGTTGCTTGTGCGGTCGATGAGACGTCCCCAATCAGACCATGATGTGAGCTTGATCTTTCATTTTTGTGTCTCGTCTCCTTCAAAACTGCTGTAGGTTTGGCTCTGGCTATTGGTCCATATTCGGCCGCGAATGCTTTCCATTTCTTTGAACGTGGGTTCTCATACACATTGGCCTTATCATCTGATGTGAAAGCAATCCGCTTGAACTGAGGTTCCTCATCTTCATTTTCTTTATTCTCAAAAATGTCGGCTCCTCGCTTCGATGGGCTCTCTTTGAGGCCTCACTTGTTGATGCAGAAAGCTTAGAATGGGAAGTAGTTGGTGGAGAAGGCGACTTGTAAGATGCCCCTGATCGAGTTTCTCGTGCCATTGTGTCGTAATGTCTTTGAAATTCTTGCGACTGTTTATTGGTTTTGGATTAAGTGACGCGTGAGCATGTGCAGTCGCGTAAATAAGCTCATCCAGTATGACGTTAACAAGGTGGGGTTAGCCTTAAACAGGCGTCGTAAAAGTCGAAGTTTATATATTTGCAAAGCTTACTAGCAGCTATATGTAAGCTGATTACTTGGTCGTATAGAAGTATAGCTTTTCTAAATAGATATTGTATTAGACGTTAAAACTTTACTTAAGGTATATTTGTAATGTATAACACAGAGAGATTTATATAACGGCCTAAAATATATATCTTTTTAGCTTATAAAGTCAACGTTCACTAACCACCTCTTACCATAGTATTATAATCATCGTGTTAGTCTTGATCCTTACATACTTGTCCAGAATATATAAACACTATATGGAATCCCCACAAATCTTCAAAAATCACCTCAATGTATACAAATACGCATACTCAGCAGGCACTATAATCCTTTCGCAGGCTGACGAGATAACATAGTACGTAGGGTCCCACCTTAGATCAAATAGGTCTTCCCATTTTTGCCGTAACGTCCACGGCGCATCGGCTGCTTCGTTAGTGAAATTAGATTCTTTCGAACCTCGGAACAGAAAGGTATTGTCATTATACTTTATAGAAATTTCGATGTCTATGGCGGTAAAATCGTGCGTCGAGAAATCCGGGTTACGCTGGAAGCTAAAGTCGAAGTTCAAGTCACGCTCGCCCCCTACTTTCTTGTTCAAACGCATACCACCGTCCCTGGCCCTCCATCTCATTCTCCAAGTCCTATTCTCAGGACCGGGCTGTATGTCAGAACGTAGCGTGCAGTCCTCTTCAAAGAGTTTCACATTGCAGCTTCTCCTGCCCGCAGGTAGTTCTATCTTCGTGGGCGCAAATCGCATGATGCCATCCTTCAAAGAGTCAAAGGAGAAAGTGGCATAGAATTGCGCGTGGAGCTTTGAGCATAATAGAATATGCTCATAGAATAATTAGAGACGTCGAGGGCTTGGATGGGCCACACATCCCGTAATCTTGTAATGGCCCTCAACATCCCAAGTTTGCGCAGTCTCCGCTGTAGGAGCCAGCTTATCAATGGCTGTTGAATTCAGACCAAGAGGGATACGGCCAGTTTTATCTTCGACGCCGGGCACGACAGACCTTCTTGAGATTGAAACTGGACGTTTGACGGGCCTTGCTACCGGCTTCTTCGCTGCTACATTTTTCGGGTTTGCAGCAATTGGTCTGCCTTGTAGTATATTGATCCTGTCCTCTAGCGCAGAAGCAATTCGTTTGAATTGTGCCACAGCATTTTCGTTTTCTTTGTTCTCAGAGCTGTCGAATGGTCGCTTTGACGGAATGGACGGAATCGTTGAAGCGGTCTTTGAGGCCTCGCTCGCGGGTTGCGGAAGCGCGGGAATCGGAATCGGAGGATAAGATGATATATGTCTTTCCTGACCTGGTCTCTCGAGGCATCTTCAACGTTACCGCCAGGGCCGTAAAGAGATCTTCGATATTGCGGGTGGTTTGTTGACTTGAAATTCAGGTGACGCGTGCGGTCGCGTAAATAAGCTCATAAGGCTGAAGCACCCTTGTTAGCTAGCCTACCTGCCCCACTGAATTTAATCCGTCCTCCATCAACCTGCAAGCTCCGAGCTGCAACCCCTCCAGAGAGCTTCAGCATAATGTCAATACCAGGATTATCTAGTATTCCTGGCCTTGGGCAAGCTCCCGCCACTGTATGGGAATCCTTAACTGCAATTTTGATAAATACTAAAGCTAATTTCGACCAGGCTACCTTTGCGCCAACCTTTGTGACTTCAGCAACTGTTGTCCACGAGTTACAAGCTAACTCGGAATGGCGCTTCGAAGTTGCCTTTGGGACTAGCATTGAGGTCAAGGTATTTTCACGCTGAGTCACTTTGTAAACGCATCTAACAAACCCTCAGCTCCTCTCAGGAACCGCTGAAATCTTTGGCACAGAACTCGCCGAGAAGCACACATACACATTCCGCGGAACGAAAGCTGCCATTTTCACATGGCATGGCTGTCGAATCGAAGTCTCGGGGCCGTGCGAAGAGTATGTAGCGGAAGACACACCTATGATTCCATATGTGAACACACACTTCGCTTTAGAAAGGCTGAGAGACGAAGCCAAGGAAAAGGGAGCGGAGGGACCAAAGGTTCTTGTTGTGGGACCAAACAATGCGGGGAAAACAAGCTTGATTAAGATGCTAGCGGCTTATGCTATCAAAATGGGGAGACAGCCTATGGTTATCAACACGGACTCAAGAGAAGGGATGTTGTCGGTACCAGGGAGTTTGACGGCAACGCCATTTTCCTCCATCATCGATGTAGAGCAGGGATGGGGGAGCAGTCCAACGAGTGGGCCCAGCCCAGTGCCAGTAAAGTTACCATTATGTTACTACTATGGGTTACCTAGTCCCGAAGATAATACAAGCATGTTCAAGCAAGTCTTGACTCGGTTGGCGTTAGCAGCAGCAAGTAGACTTACGGCTGACCCAGCAGTAAAAGAGACAGGCATGATTATCGATACTCCAGGTGCCATGGCCCAAGGCAAGGAAGGTTATGATTTGATTTCACATATAGTTAGAGAATTCTCAGGTGAGTCCCACCCGCTGAGTAAGTTTTATAACTGACATGTCGTACTAGTAAACGTAATCATCATCATCGGCTCAGAACGTCTCTACAGTGAAATGAACCGTCGCTTCGCTTCAGGAACCACCAATACCCTCCCTATAACCGTAGTAAAACTAGACAAATCAGGCGGTTGCGTCGACAGAGATGAGACTTACCTCCGCCATTGTCAAGAAGCAGCGATCAAAGAATACTTCTTTGGCGACCCCAGAAGAACTTTAAGTCCACACACCCAAAATGTATCTTTCGACGAAGCAACCATCTACCGCATCCGCGAACGTAAGCTCTCCCTCCCTTTCCCCCCTTTCATACTAATGCCCCAACCCAGCAAACAAAACCGACACCTCCTTCCTCCCCGGCGGCGAAGCAGACGCCATCTTCAGCACCTCCCAGATCTACGATAAATCCGACCCTTCGCCAGAAATGCTGCATTGCGTCTTTGCCATTATGCACGCCACGCTACGAGACTCCCAGGAGACGATTCGAGACGCCAGCGTGATGGGTTTCGTGTATGTGGCAGGCGTGGACGAGAAGAAACGCGTGATTAAGGTTTTGGCGCCGCTTAATACGAGGATTTCGGATCGGCCGATGGTGTGGGGGAGTTGGCCGGAGATGAGTGGGAGTTTGATTTAGAGGGATGGGCAGGGGAGGTTTGATCTAGTGGGACGATATGAGGGGTGGGGATGCTCAGATGATGATAGGTATTGGGCAGGTGTGTTGTTTGGTGAGGTGCCTGGTTGCAATATTATGGGATAAATGTAAGATTAGTTGAAAAGCGAATTTATGATTCATTATCACTACCTCATATGATTTATCAGGTAATTCCTGCGTATCACTAAATGGTCTTCTTAACGCCAATGGAGCTATAACATTGAAACGTGCTCAATCTGAACTTGTAGATAATTTCCACAGGTGTATGATCGATGACCTCAACGCTAGACAGGATGAAAACACAGAAAGTTCGAAATTAAAAAAGAAGTAACGAAAAGCCGACCCATAGGATGGAGTCGCCCATAAATTTCCCCCTGCGGCTAGAACTTCTTCTTCATGCTCTTCCAACGAGGCTAAAATTTAAACCTATTTAAAATTTTGGAGCACTATAGTAGTCATGTCAAATTACGTGCTTGTTTTGCATTCATTCCATCAGGTTGATGATTTCGTGATATAGCAGATGGGTTACTAGTCCTTTGACGCTAGTGCAACGTCTACTTGTTTTCTTATTCCAATTTATCTGGTAGATTCACAGGGGTAAAGATCACTCTAGTTACGTTTTTTCGGAATTCTTTTGTCGATGGAGTAGGAGAAACGCGGTCCTTATTTCGTGAAGTACTGGTGTAGGTAGGAGATATATGTTATAACATCATGACTGTGACTTGGTTGTGTTAGGTCTGATTGTATGTTGTGAAAAGAAAGCTTCATGCGTGTTTTATAGTGTGGTATTCATCTTGATAGATGTTTAGCTGTATTATGTTACTGCTATGTGTACCGAGTGTGGAAGTATGGCTCTAGGTAGAGTTTCAACCACGAGGGTCAAACTCTTAGATACCAGTTATAATCACACTTTAAACAAAGCCACGGTAGACCTTGTCTCATATATATCTTTGCAATCACTATTCTCATGATCCCGCAACCCCATAGAAACCAAACATACAAATCCTCAAAGCAGCATGTCAAGACGGTTCTCCCCAGTAAACAGCCACACGACTCTTGTATGTAATCTTCTCTTTTTATCTCTCTACTTATTTATGGGTATCTAACAAAACACGGCAAGCAAACTATATAGTTTTCCATCGCCATGCCTAACATCAAGGACTTGATCCTCGTAACTCCATACCCCCCATCATACCACTATTTAGCGTCATAATCGGCTAAAGCCTGGGTTTTCATAGTCTCATATAAGGAGTTGGTTACTCCGCCGCCAACTCCCTCAAGATCTTAACCACGCTCCTGACGCCCGTGAGCGAATTCTCATCAGGACCCATCCCAGGCGTCCACTCCGCATGTGCGAAATCAATAACATTTACAGCGTAAATTTTAGGACCTGCCGGTTCCAGCTCATCGCCGTCTTCAGAGGAGCCAGAGGTGCTTTCATCACCATTGGCTAACGTAGGGGGTGATCGGCTAGCTTCTTCCATGGCCGATCGCAGGGCCGCCCCGTCGCCCTCGAATACAAAGAGGAGACTCGAGGAGAACATGCGACTTTCTTGGTTTTCGAGAACGTCCTGAATTCTCATTACGTCTGTGAGAAGGGCTTGCGCGACTAGTCTCCCGAGTTCCTTGTCGATACCTGCCGACTCTGCGAATATAAAATTTCGAAACGCTTCTTTGACGTTGTGATTTCCTATGAATACCTTGCCATAATCTTTATCAAAGATTTTGTAACCATCCTCGTCGACGTCTTGTCCAGAAGCGCCGTGGCCCTGCCATACTCTCATACCTGCCACCCTAAACCCAAACGTTTTGTGTGTGGTCTCTTCTGTAATTTTGTCAAACCGAGTCTTCTTGTCTGGATGCGCATCATCCGCCCACAACCGTATCCCCAATTTCGTGTCCATAATGTTGGGTTTCACAAAACCATGTGCGGCATTTTCTAACACGAGTGCCTGGGAAGTGGCAATTTTCTTCGTCTGCTTGTTGTTCTTGGGCGGGACTACAACTTCGGGAATTGTATGCTTCGCAATCAGGGCTGCGCTTGCGTCCTCGAAAGAAGTTACTTCTTGATCCGCGTCCAGAGTGAGTGTCCCCAGATACGTCGGCATGTACTCTGCGAATTGGGGATGCGACGCAACAGAAGCTTCGTAAAATGCTATTTCCGCCGCCGTACAAGGCTTGATGAAGAGCTCCCCATTGACATCACATAAAGTGCCATCACTAAACCCACGTCAGTCGCTGCCCAACCCCCAAGCGGGTATCCTGCGCGCATAACTTACTGGCCTGCAACGGCATGTTGGTACTGGATGAGATCCGCATGAAGAGGTAACGGTTTGGCCATGGTAACTTCGAATCAGAGAAGTCGGCTTCAAAATCGCAACTGCTATGACTCTATCATGGTGGGGAGGAAGAGGAGGGAGAGGGAGGAAGGCGACCGTGTGCGCGCGGACTCGTGCTTTTTGTGCGAGGAGATTTGACGCAAAAGAAAGTGTTGTTCTCTCGTGAGAGAAGGCTGAGCAGCGGAACGTCGAAGTTATTGGCAAGCAGAGACAGGGTGTCTCGTGGATCCTGTACTTTTATATGCAGTCGCATGCAGGTTGGCGCATGCGCAGTTGGTCGGTGCCGTTGGGCAGTTCGGAATGTTGGATACGGGGATGAGAGGGAGAAATGTGTTATAGCAAGGATGGCCAACTTGTATAGAGGTGGAGTATTGGAGGGAGGAAGATGTTGAAGTTGGGAGAATAAATCTGGATTGGACTGGGCCCGGAAAACGGCAATGGCGCACCCATTCACAGCAAGCGAGGGGTAATTTTAGGGGGCCGTTACTCGTTAGCGGTCTTAGCATCCAGGTCCACCACGCTACAACTAACAAGTTTCTGGCTCTTGTTTGTTAGTGCAGGAACATGACAACGACTGGTTCAGCTAGGAAGCGGTGAACAGTGGCACTTTGCAGGTAGCAATCAACCTCAGTCCATACAACAACTATTCGTCCTGCACTGCGCAACCCGAGATACCTCTCCGTGGCAAAGCATAGCCCACCTACCGACGGCAAATGGTTACCTAGCATTGGAAGCTTTATTCCGAAGCTCTGGAAGGGCTGAACCCATGTCATCTAACCTTCCCTTAAAGGACTTTGCAGTAGACGAGGCGAGACCGAGTATGTATTCGAGCGTTCCTATCATTTCCACCGCATGTCGTATAGCTCAGCTGAGAGTTTCGGCGCCGTATAAGAGGAGCTGATATAGCAGTAAGGTCTATAGTGTCTACACCCATGTTGAAGAGACATTTTCATCACTTAGCGCGGTAGATATTAGACAGCATGTTGAATGGGGGCTTGGGCAGCGAGAGGGACTGACTAAACGAAGAGCTGACCTGTCTAGGAACATCATTCGAACAGATTGTCTCGGCGTAAAGGCACTCCGAATTCTTGTCAGCAGGTTTGTTCACTTGATGAAGAGACTCGAATATAAATATTCTGTCATTTTCATTAGAGAATACCCCCTATTGCGGCAATGAGCTTGCTCTTGCAACGTTCCAAGCGTGGTGTGTTTGCTATTGACAGCTGATGCTCCTGTCTCACACGTACCATACTGCAAGCTTCCTCCTACCACGGAATGACAGCATTTGGATTGTGAAGTACGGAGGGTGAACTCTTTTGATTGTTCAGAATTGTTGGGATCTCATGATGAGTCGATCGCATTCAACAACTGTTCTTCTGTATGACATTGGTCAGCCTTTATTTGTGCAACATAAACAAAAGTTGGATTGGAAAAAGGTTGGAGAACTCTTTCTGTCACAGTGGTCCTCTCATTCCAGTCCAGCAGCAACCGAATCGTGTTTTGACTACCTAAGATATGTTGGAAAAGATCAGATGAGCTTAAGAAACACTTCTCAGCTTTGTCTCTGTCCAGAGTCTGGTCGGGCGGACGCAGTCATTTCATTTAGCGCTGTAGTAGCATCTATAGACACGAGCTCGGCCTAGTCCATGAAAAATCAAGCAAAATAACTAAACGCTTTTTATTTTACAACTCCACCCGGGGAAGTAAATACGGTTATACTCCAAGCTAGTCAACGCTTGCTTCCTTGAACCGGCAACCATAATCAAGCCCTTCAAAGACCAAGTAAACTTTTCGCAACCGCTTTTCCCTCCAATCAAACCCAATAGCACGACTATTCAACAGCCATCTCACTCTGCATCATCCGCTCCTCCGCATCGGGATCATCCTCAGTAGGACCAGGCCTAGTATTCAAAACCGGCTCCTTCCAATCCACCATCTTCTCATTCTCCAAACAAGTATAGAAAGAGCAGAAGAACCCAGCGTGGTCAAAGAACTTGAAGCCGTTATCAATCTCTCGAACTATCATTTCCACTTTCATTCCCACCTGGATAAGCTCGATTATGTCGGCGTCGACATAAAAGGTTTCTTCCTGGGTAGATAATGGAGTCTTGTTTGGCGCCTCGTACACGTCACTTTGTGGCCCTTCCCACGGTTTGCACTTGAAAAATCCTAACATTCCGTCTTCCTCTTTGGGGAGTTCAATCGCTGTAACCTCATAGTCCCTGGTGCTGCTGATAACCACGATGTCTGCTTTCTTCCAAACATAGCCTAGGGCGTCAAGAGCTTGAACTCCTTTTTTGAGGACCTCCTCCGCTTTCTCTACCGTCATCCCGATCGCATGTTCTTGCCAGGGTTGATCAGCTTGGTTTATGCCGAAATAAACACCACCGAAGAGTGTAGAAAGAGCGATGTTGAAGTTTCCAGGTAGTTTTTTCCCAAGTCGTCTGATGGCGTTCAGCTCCTCTTCAGCTTGTCCACAGATCCTACGCGCAGCCATGACATCCTCGACGTATTCGGGGCAAACCTCATGTTGGAGGACGTAATTGAGAAAGTTTTTGATGACGGCGCAGTACAACTTGATGAGCTGCTCGCTTTCCATCTCCAACTGAGTAGGGATTCTATAGGAACTTCAAATGTCAGTCTTACATTTTTATCGTGGATGGAAAGGTGAAACCTACAAGAACCCTTTCGCAACACCCTCCCAATCGACAATCCACTTATCACTTTCAGCCGGATCATAATACTTCTTGTTTCCAGGTCGGACGAAATCAGTAGCTTGGATGGCAGCAATCTCATCAGCAGTAGTCGTCGCCAGCGTCTCATCATCTAACGCGCCTCCAGTAAAGGCCTTGTTGGTCGATTCGATGCCGCCGAGAATGAGGTACTTGTTGAAGCAATTGGCCTTGATTTCGTCGAGCTTACGACGTGCACGGTAGCGTTGGATACAGGTTTGGATCCGATCTGGAAAGGGACGGGTTGGAGAATACAGATCGTGGCGCTCTTCGATGGCTTCTTCTGGGGTAATTGGCGGGTCTGCGTAGAACTCTGTTCGTTGCGTCAGCTTCAATAAACAAAATTTCGAATGCAGATCTTACCTTCGAAGCCATTTGGCTTGACCTTTGGGGCTTTTGGGGTTTTGTTCGATTTCTTGCTTTTCTTGCCCATGTTGATGATGTGTCGTTATTATCTGTGTGATGTAGTTGGCCTCGAAAGGTGTTTTGACGTTGGGGAATCTGGGGGTGAGTAGGGAACTTGGCGAAGGACAAGAAAGTATACGTGGTGGAGAAGTGATGGAAGCAAGAGGAGCAAGTGGAATATTACTTGACTTTGAAGGTGACCCTTCGGAACCTCAATTTAAAGAACTTGTTGGAGTGAATCTCGATCCAAAGTCAGTGAAAGCAGTAGTGAAGGAAGGATGCACTAATCGAAAGGTCGAAAAGCAGATTCTAACAAACAATGACAGCAAACAGCTTCCGCACAAATAGAGAGAAATCGTGTTGTGACCGTCAGCAGAACTCGAAAGGCAATCACGAATCTCGGTACCTTTCACCAGCAGATACTGAGAACTCATATTACACTACTGAGCTGCCAGCTCGAAGACTCAGCAATCTTTCAACGACTTTCTATCGTCCATATGTCGTCAAGACACAGCAGTCTCGCGAGGGTCTGTTACGCCATTATGCCCATCCCCGATTCCAAAGATATATCTAAACTTGTAAGCTGATTATGCTAACTATTCTTTTGAACAACAAAAACTCAGACCGACTAAGGATAGCGAGATAAAGCGAAAGACTTGCTCGTATAGAATTCGCGTTTGAATTCGATTAGCAAGTTTCGAATTAAAACCTGGGTTAACGTTGCCAACTAGCATTGGTATTGATGATCAGCAAAATGTATGGAATATCCAGTGTACCCTTAAACGCCTTCGCTCGTTTCCTATAAATGCTGCAAAACCCACGTCGAGCTCTTTTCCACAATCTTTGAGATATCTTTACCTCGTCTCTCACTTCCAACAGTACAAAACAAGCAAACCTAACGCAGGAAATGTAGACATAACCAGCAGAAGGCGAAAAACACCACAACACCTCCAGCAAATATCCATTTGTCCTGTTTCGCCCTCCGTTCAACCATTCGAATAGTATCACCACTGATACCTAGCGTGTTAGCCACAGTATACAGTTTCTTCTGGGTTTCCTTCAGCATTTCTCTTTGCTCTCCCAAATTTCCAAGTACTGCCTGGCCCCTTGCCAGATAATCGTCCAAAGCAGAATTCGTATGCGCAAAGAAATCTTGTTCTCTTAACGCATGTGTCTCTCTCGCATAATCTCCACTACCCATGGCCATAGCAGATCTTGAACCTTCATTCCCCCACGAGTTGTTTGATGTGTTCGCGGCAATGGGAGCATTGGAGTAAGGGTTGTCGGGCGTCGCTGTGTTATGAGGTCGACGTCCTGAAAGTTCCTGCCGGTTGGTGGTGACTACTACATCTTCACTTTGTGCTTTTAATTCTTTGAACTGTTCCCGGAACGACTGGAGTTCTGCTCGGAAAGACTGAATTCTCTCGTGGGCCTTTTCTTTTTTGGAAGGGTTCAGTTCGGTTTTTGCCAGCTCGGCATAGGAGTCTAGGGTGCGCGAGAAGGACGTTAGAGACGCGGAGATTTGGCCGAGGAGTGAGGGCGTCAACTGTGTGCCAGAAGGAGGTGATACAAGATCGCGTTTTAGAGAAGTTGATTGTTTTAAAGCGGTGTTGAAGAGAGTATTCTGGGTAGTGGTTAGCCTTGGATGTTCTAGAGCTTGCAGGCGATGGATTTACTCACCATGATGGGCGGCGGCAGAGATCAAGCAACCTTGGTGTCCTCATGCGCGACAATACGAGAACTAGGTGTACAGGAGAAAACAACGCACAGTTGGTGGACTCAGTATCTTGGGATATGTAACCTGAAAAGAGGATGATGTTTGTAAATAAAGACGTGGCCAGAGGAGTCAGAAAAGCGGCAACACAATTAGTATAACGTTGCAGTTGATTGAGTGATGGTAAATGGGTTTATTGTTACATTTGATTTATTAGGAGAATTGGAGCAAAATCAACTGAGATATTTTTTGGCCTCTACTGAAATTACCTTGAGCTTAAAATGGTCGCAGGGCGTGAGCACATAAGGTTGTCTTCCAACGTTCCCGCGCTGCTTTTCCAGCCTCGTCTGGTAGCCTCACCGTGGCACAGCATGGATCGCGCGCGGAACCAGATTTTCCCCTCCGACGGGAGAGATTCCAATGGGAATGTTTCAGCGTTTCACCGCTTGATCATCAGGGACCTGGACCCTGAGAAAAGACGCCGTCCGCCGAGTACGTCGTATTTGTGCCTGATAATTCCGCTTTACACGGTCTCTTCAATCTTTGCAGCTGAAGTTGGGATCCTTCGCCGTATCAGAAGCCAGAAAAGTTCGGTAAGGTAGATCCTCTATCCCCCTGCAGACCGAGTTCCTCAAAGACACATGTCAGACATCGAAATGGCAGAATGCAAACTCAAGACGCTACCATATCTTTCCTGGCAATAAGGCCCGGTGATACGCTAGAAGTTGGTATCTTGTCGCCAAACTGGGAAGGACCAGACCACAGAAAGGCCGCTTCAAAGTTCCCGAGGGGCGAACCTCTAGCTGCTGCTTCACTAACTCGTAGTTCGTACCATCTCTCGTACAGAGGACTGTCCCTAGGCTTCTTTCTGCCTTGTGAAAGCCAACCACCACCACCATCAACAACACGTTCCTGACCTAGAACAGCCTTCCTCCAGAACATCAACATCTTCAATTATTATCCTCCAAGTCGACCAATTATCTCCAGCCTGTCATTCGTTGCTTTCTTGGATCACCTGGGGCTCTATCGGTTCTGGTCTTTTGCTGCGCATTCCAACGACTTGGCACGAACCTGTTTCCTCCCACTCACTACGATCGTCATTGTGTGTTGAAACAAGACGGCGAATTTGAGCGCCGCAAACATTGAATATTGCTGGAACGCCAGGAACACTGCACGGCTTACGGCTTCGCGGGTAATACAGGCAATTGCTTTTGCGCCAGCATTCTTGACCTTGTCCCACCGCGTTCCTCAGTTCCAAGCTTCAACAGTTGTTCAAAGAGTCGCAAAGTCCCACCTTTGCGATCAAATCGCAGGAGGAACTTAAGCAGTGTCTTGAGAAGCTCGCAGTAGCATCCCTGTTCTGAACGGCTTGCAGAATCGCTGGAGGTCCGTCCGAACTGGATGCTATATTCAAGAGCTCAGCTAATGCGGCGCAGATAATAAAGCAGCCAAGATGCCTTCAATTTCATCGACATACCTCATTCCCGCCATCATACTCAACCCCGCCTTCATATTACATCTCATCAACACTTTCGTATCCTACTATATCCCCTCACCTCCGACCGCTTCTCGGTCACCGCATCCAACATTCGAGAAATTAGGGCCCCTCCCTGGATCAACTCCATATATGGATATGCATGCCGATGACCAGTTATGTTGGTCGTACACTATACTCATGGTTATTGTACAAGTCCTAGCCTTTGGAAAGGTCTCCGACAACAGAACGGCGAGGAAAACGGCAAAGTTGGCTAAGATTGAAAGGGAGAAAGTCCGAAGGGAGAACTCGGAAAGAGGTAGGGTCGAAAGACTAGAAATAATCTCGAAACTGGATAAACTTTCCTCTGAACAAGAAATCACTGGAGATACGCCCCCAACACGCACCAACGGCAAACCAGTTTATCTTGCAAATGGTAATGGCGCGGCCAAGACGACTCCTAGCCTTCCACAAGCAGGAAATGTAACGGAGAGCGAGGAAAGTACGGCAGAAACGAGCGAAACGAGTGAGGAAGAAATGATTATATGAAATTCATTTTTGGGCTGTTTTTTGCATGTGAGAATGACAGGGAATAAACTGCGGGCGTTTAAGATGTTTGACAGGCGTTATGAACCGAATTATTAAGTGTTCTGGTTGGGAAGCAGGTAGACAAAATTGGTCGGTCAGAAGTACATATATGATGACTTTAGACAAGAGAGTTGACGTTGGGTTATTACTGAAGCCGGAAGACCCGAATCTCACATTGGTTGCTTACGCAATTGGCTTAGTCCTAAACTGAACCTGAGAATTTTGAGGCTTGGCTCTTGAACCCCTCTACACCTTCAACTCGCTACATGATCGTTTTTACGAATGGATCCTCGAATAACGATGAAACGTATTCATTGAACAGTGCATCGTTCCCATCTTCTATTATGTTACTCCCTCTAGTCGAACTATTGTCTGATTGCAGATCCCCATAATTCAACGCCTAGGTACGAATACCTTTTGAGGTCCAGGGTACACCGCTGCCGATAGCTATGGATCCAACAACATTATTTATCCATTAAAGCTTCTAGGTCAACCTCTCCTGTTGTTTTGAAGAGCTCTGAAATTTTTACGCTATTGTTACAATGTGAGCGACGTATAAGGAATTAGCAAAGCGGTTCATAGGTAGTGATTCAACCATAGTCATCATTCTCTTTGTTGAGTCTTTTGACCAGGTAGGTCGCGTTCTGAAACCCCCAACTAAAGGCAGTTATTATCTAGGTTCAATAATTGATTCGACTCTATTTATTTTGAACCGCTTTACTTCGAAGTACTAAGCGCCCAAGCTAATGAGGTTCGAGCATGCAAATTACGTCGAGATTCTGCTAAAAGTTCGATCCTTCAAGACCAGTCGAGGTCCTAATTCGCTGATTAGTTCGTTTCGTTACTGTAGTATGGGAGGATTATTATGTCCAGTAGGAAGGTACTTTCGATACACGACAATTTTGCACTGGGAATCTTGCTCTTAGGAGACAAGTTTCCATGAATCAATTCCTGTAATTACAAAATACTGTCTTGGAATTTGTTGAAAGGAAAACCAGGCTACTTGACGCCGTTCTTTAATCGCCACGGGTCAGAAGACCTTCCTCGTGACGGCGCGTGAAAGTGGGGGATTTGGCCCAGCCCCGGTTCATAGATGCACGTCGACCAGACTCGATATCCAACGCTCATTCAAACTTCCACGCTCAAAACACAAAGTACACCTATTCCGATAGATAAATTATATATTCGCTAGTATTTATCGAGAGTTTGAGATCATTTCAGGCCTGTTGTTACGACTGCCTGAAGGACGCGTGGCTTAAAGAGCACGATTACCGAATTCGCAGCGCGCATCGCATCCACCGCACGAACGTTTCTATACTTTCGTGTAGTGTTTACACCCCTCACTGGCGACGCGCTCTTGCTACAAGTTTCCGGTCGATCTTGACAACGATCGACGGAACATACGATATACTGATGGACCCCAAGGAGCAGGCAATTGCTGCCCTTAAGCAAGTTGCACAGTCAGCGGCTCATCGCGAAGACGCGGGTAAAATCGCCTTCAACGCGACGACGGGATCCGACATGACAACATCAATGGCCCATAATGATATAGTCTCAAAGCAGTCGGGCGCTTATGACCAGTCACAAATGGCGTCAGAAATCGATGCAAAATTAGCTGGCAAGCAGGAGGAACAGCACTTCACCAATGATGCGGGTACCATTCAGTCATTAAACAATGGCGACGACAACTCGCAATCAACCAACGATAGCCACGGCATCGCGACTCCCCCCACATCTGCGTCTGAAGGATTCTCATCGCAAAGTACAAATCAAGATGGGCCATTATCACAGTTATCACAATTGTCACAACTGGCAGCAGCGCAACAGCCATTAGCAAGCAATACGACGCGACCAAAACTCGCAATCTCTCCAACTGCTGGACAAAAGAGAACAGCTGATGGGCAGGTCAAACTGGCTCAATCGAGTCCACCTTCTCGCGTGCAACCCCGCGGTCATTCTAGGAACGCTAGCGCAGTCAGTAATATTTCCAGTACAAGTAGTAGGATCGGTGAGGTGAGACTTTCCAAGTCTAATTCACGGGAAACACGCTGACAGCGCCTAGATATCTGCTGAATTACGAACTCGCCTTTCTTATGCTATGGTCAAGGTTAATAATGGCTGGCAGTCAAATTCAATTGACGAAGTAGAGTCTTTAGCATCCCAAGCAGGATCACCAACCTCATCCAAATCCAATTCAACATTGCATGGCCGACGTAATCTCATAATTTCCCCTCGTGAGGCCTTGGCTAGCGTTCAAGGACAATCTGGTGGACCAAACATTATTACACAAGCGCCAAGTGGAGACTTTGATCTATATTCCAATTCAGGACAACCAACTCGAACATATGAATCATTCTGGCGTGATCATTCAACAACGAATAACCCTGGTAGCAAGTTCTCTTCTCAGCAATCAGCTACCTCTCCCCCTCCACCGAGAGGACTCGCACCGCCTGCAGAAATCCGGCCAACCATTTCTTCAAGAAGATCTGGAACTCCCAAATTTAGCAAACCACCTGCAATTTCGGGACAAAACTCTAACTCATCTCTTCAAACATCCAACCCAAGGACGCCAAATCGTGGAGATTATCGAGAGCACCCCACAATCCAAACACCCACACAGAAAACACTTCAGGAACAGGATGCTATAGAAACTTTGTTATTTATGAGTAGTCCTGGTAACTCTGGAAATATGGCACATGTCTTCCCTCCTCGTAGTCAGATTTCACCTCAGGAGAGTCCTCTTCGAACAGAATTCAATCCACAATCAAGGCAGATACATGGAAAGAAAGTTGGATTCGATGTTGCAGCAACAAGCGAAAGAAGCGCTGGTAGTAGCGCGTCTAGCAGTGCCGCCTATAGAAGGAGTCGTGCTGGAGTGGTAGCCAATAGTAGGGAGAGAGAGGCTGCCGTCGATCAAATGATACAAGATTACGACTCCAGTAGCGACGAGGAAGATATGGCCATGAAGTTTACAAGTCCCAGGAGTACGCTCGCAGCCGGTCGATAATTTCACCAAACTCAAAACCGGCTTCCATTTTCTTTATACATAGATTGCTACGGCTATTCTCTCACATACATATGTCCACGGTTTCTACGGCGTTTAATCATCTTCGATTCGCATGATACCACATCTGCATTTTTCCTCATAGGGTCATCATGACTGACGATATTTCTATCACTATCTATCATTAGATACTGCATATAGGCACATTTTCGGAGTTTTGGTACGGTTCACATAATGCATTGGATATGGGTTTTGGGCATTTTGGGATTATCTGGGAACTGCATTATTTCTATTATCATTGGGACGTAGTATTTGGGCTAGCATTGGACCGTAGACAGATGCACATATGAGTTGTTGGTATATACAAATACTATCATCAATGTTCTGGTTGTTTCCCTACCGCTATTGACTTCAACACCTCTGAGATGAAGCCATCAAACAATACAACCCGCTTCAGCTCTCATTCAGTATGCGAGCACAAAATCATACAGCCGTTAAGAATACTACAGGGATTCGCTTAAACCCCATCCACAACCACAATCTCACTTCGTCCCCTTCCCCTTCTTCGCCCCCTTCTTCACATCCTCACCCTCCTCAGCAGCACCTCTTTTTCTCTTCGCGCCCTCCACCCCCTCCTCCTCAGCCTTCTCCCCCTTCTGCCTCGCGCTACTCCTCTCCCCCTTCTTCGGCTCCTCCTTCTTCTTCACCTCCTTCCCCTTACTCTCACCCTCCCCCTTCTTCGGCCGTCCAACCTTCTTCTTCCCCTGATTCGCCACATTCTTCCTCTTCCCCTCCACCTCCTCCTCCATATCCTCGTCCCCCTCCCTCTCATCCTCCTTCAAATCCGTGCTGGGTGTCTCCGTCGCATCTTTGCCCTTCTCCGCATCCTGTTTCGTCGTGCTACCTTTCCCTTTCTTCGCACCCGGCGACTTGGACGTCTCCGCGCTCTTCTGGGCCTCGGACTTCTTCTGCGGTGGCCCCTTCACGGGTTTATCTTTTGAGCCCGGCTCGTTGGTGTAGTCGCCGCCTTTTGCTTCGTAGGTTTTTGCGATTTTGTTCGCCTGCGCATCTTAGTCTCACACATCCCTTCAAAATCAAAAGGGAAGGGGAACGTACTTTCCAGGCTGCCATCTGCCCTTTTCCGGACCCGTCTTTGTTGGTTTGTTGTTTTACTTCTGCGCATCACTTAGTAGCTGTGTTTATGGTTAAGGAGAGGGGAAATACCTTCAGTAACTTCCTCCTTCAACTTCGGATCCGTGGGTTTTCCTTTCGCGGACGGCATATTGAGATATTGCGAGTGCGAAAAGGATCGTGTGCTCAAACTCGTCTTATCAATACAAGATAATGTTCTCAAAACGAATCGATTGAATATCATAAACTCCACCAAAAAGTTGAAGATATTTCTCTTCTTCTCCAGAATTCGCAGACTGTGCAGTTTTAAAAGGAAGGATGAAGCAGCGCAGCCTTATTAAAGTTTGCAACACGCAACGCCAAAAGCAATTCACGGTGGTTGGGGGACGGTGTTGATGTCATCATCCACTATGCAATTTGGATTGGCACTTGCACCTGCCCTAACCCCTTGCACAGACAGATCCGATCGGGTGCTGGATACCCACTTCCCCGGGTTTTTGTTAGCGCGTACCTGCAGCTTGCTTACCAGTTCTTGAGATGAGATTTGTCTGTGCATTGCTTGTTTGATCTTGTGCTGGAGAGTGGTAAGGAGGAGTTGTGTCTTGGTGGAGGAATTTGGAGGTTCTTGGTTTAAGGTGTTGTTGGGGAGAGATGGAGTTTGGTGAGGTGGTTGTTAGTTATTGGTTGGTGATAAGTGGTTAGGTTGGACAAGGTGTGCATTGATTCCAGAAGAATCGTATATACACGAGGGTTTTGAAATTTCACTGTTTTTATATACGGGGTGTCTCTCTAGATTTTAAATCTGTTCAGCGATAGAAAAGTGAAGAAAAGTTCATGATTACCGCTATATCTCCCAAATCTTCTCCTGTAAAATTAAGCGAGAGGAGCACCGTCCTAATATCGATGCCAGAAAAGGTGTATCCAAACCTCCTTCCCTAACCCGTTATATTCAATCTGTACAAAAGAAACATTGTTATGTACTTTCGACAAAATGTTGAGAAAATTTCACGTTCTGGGTAGAGACCGTAGAGTAAGTGGGTGTCCCGTCAGGTTTGGAACACACTGGTGGAGCGATGAGTAGAATACTATACATGAGAATGCGACGAACTGAACATTCTAAAGGTTAAAAATACAAGGGTTAAGCTTACATAAGTCAGGGATCAATTAATCTGCAGTTTGATATGAAAATATTGTAGTCAAATTGATTTTGATGTGGTGATCTTGTACCCTTCTCGGCAATCTGATAAATAAGATAGTGACCTATGCACCAAGAAACATGCTTCTTTTATGGAAAGAATGAGGTCTTCGAAAGGTGTTTTACAGGAAAGAGTCTAGATCGACACCTCCACCACAAGCAGTTGTATCTATAGAATAGGTTAGCACCTACTCCATTGTTCAAGATATATATAAAACTTACCAAGATTATACTGTTTCGCAACAGCAGAAGTCCAACCACCCATGAAAGTGGTCACAGTATTAACTCCCGGTTTCTTATCAAACTGAACAGCCCAGAGCGGTAACGAAGACCCAATATCAGTAGAGCGAGAAGCAAACATAGAAGTCCATTGATTCCTAACCCAGTCAGCAATATCCAGTTCTCAACAGAAAACAACTCACCCATTAGCATAAATCCCCCATTTCCTCCCCGTAGCCTTAAGCGCCACAACCCACTCCTTGGCCAACTTCTCATTCGCAGCAGCCCCCAAATTCCACGCATTACACGGATCTCCACTCGCCGTACTAGTCGGCTCGATATCAAACCAGTAATTCGAAATCACCATCGAATTCGCATCCACAACCCCCAAAAACTCCTGAAGCTGAGCAGTCGGACTCTTGCAAGCCACGCCTGTATCCTGCGTCCCCGTGCATGGGAACATATACGCATCGATCCTCGGAATCCCAGCTGCTTTCGCGGCTGCGTAGTTCGTCGTAAAACCCGCCTTGATAGCTCCGCCTTTGGCACATCCTTGGATGTAACCCTGCAGAGCGACGACTTCGAAACTACTAGCCGCACATGTCCAGAACGACGCACTTGGGGTACTCGAGATATCAATTCCCAACTTTCCCGCGCCAACACCTCCGCCTGAGCTTTTAGGCGCGCAGCATTGGATGTCTGATGGACCGGGACAGTAGCCGGCGTAGAAGGAACCGGAGCATGTTTGAGAGGTGGGCTCACATACTCCGGTGCCTGAGGGAGGTGAACAGGATGCGACGCAGCATTGGATGTTGCTTGCTCCGGGACAGTGGCCGGATATGTATGTTCCTCCTGTGCAAGGTGAAGAGGTTGTAGAGCAGAAACCTGGACCGGAAGGGGTTGTGCAGAATGTCGTGGCTCGTTTCTCGAGAGCCGTGGCCGAGATACTCGATGCGAAAAACGCTAGAGAGAAAGATGAAAGCAGCATTTTGAAAGTTGACTTAAAACTAGTCATTCAAAGCTTTAGGATATCGTCAGCTACACACTCTTTATACCCCCCACCAAGCCCCCTCCCGATCATCCACCCCGCAAACACTTCTAATTTCTCTTGGATAATCCCATCCAATCCTTCCATCCACCATCGTATTCCAATGCTGCCGATAGTCAATCAGGCATTGATTCCTTGCCGAGATAATCGTGGTGTGGCCCGATTTCGTGCATCAGGGCTGAAAACGATCGCTAGGAAATGCGCGAATACAGCAGGTACAACGGCGTGGTGGCGTGTGCTTGTCCCGCTTGTGCTTAGCTGCCGGATGGGGAGATGACGTCCTAGAAGGGTTTGGTGTAGGTTTTGTTAGTTGGACTTATGGTTTTAAGGTGTGAAATTTGGGGGTTTTGAGGTCGGATTTAGGAGTCGGGGGAATGGGGTGGGAGAGATTACACTCGCTTGATACTTGGTAGAGAAGCGAGTTTACGGTTAGCTCTATTTAACTCGCACTTATCCTAATTTTGGGCACAGGGTGTCGTATGATACATTCATTTTCATTTCGGCTCAGAAATGATAGATGAAAGTTACTTTAAAAGGTTCGGCGCTCTCCGAAATTACGTTTTTGAACTTGATTTACCAATCGTACAATTGTAGCTGGCTGCGTTGCATTGGCTGGTACATTTCTTTTTATCTGAAGTGACATTCTCTCGCTACTTACTTGTTAAAATGGTAAGATGACCCGTTACATTCAATACAACTTATGATGCTTTGCTAACAATCCCTTGACAACTTGGACAACTGGACAAGACGATAAAATGAAGTTAAGAGGCTAAAGAAATTAAGCACTTCTCTATACCAAATTCAAGTAAATCAGGAGCTCGTCGAACAAGCACTTAACACTCTGCGACTTATCAATGAGGTCTTAACTATAGTTTATTTCCCACCCTCAAAATGTACATGAAACATCGACCTCCCCCCCAGAATCTTCGCCTTCGTCCCGCTCATCCCCGTCTTCTCAGCCAACACCCCCATCTGCACCATAATCCTCGCATGTTCCGGCGTCTCTCTCCATCTCATATGATCATCAATACTTGCATAACCAAAAACCCCGAGCAGAGCAACCATTTCACCAGTTGGTTCTGTGTCTTTTGGAAGTGTTTCAACAACTGTCGACTGTTAAATTGAGAAGGGTATGAGGTAAAAGGGAACTTACTCCAGCCAGTTGCTGAGCCCCAGGATTTTCCTACGGTTTTGACTTCGTCGCCGACGTGGGACATGTCGTTGTCCATGCTGTATTTCTCTGCTTCACCGTAGCCTGCGGGCATGTTCACAAATGCTACTTCGGTTACTGGTGCGGTGTAAGCAGCCGTAGGGTCGGATTTGAATTCGGTGTACGCTGAAAAGATTTAGCTACTTCCAAGTAAATATGCTGGCGCGAGTTAAATCCTTACTTATGAATGGTGGGTGCTTTTTGACGTCAGATAATTCTGCCAGTCCAGCTGTAATGGTGGACTTCAAATCTACAGACTCGAGCAGTCTGTCATGATCGCTTTTCCATTTCCAATCTGTCTCGATTTTAGTATGTTTTCAAAGTGGTAGAACAGCTTGAAATACCAATTGACCAAACGAATATGTTATCATCCTCAACTTGATGTCCCTTCGAAATCAGTTTCACATATCAAAAGCATTTAAGCGATTGAAACCACACACCCAGTATTGTCTCAGAAACCCATCTTGTGATTTAACAATATCCGTTAACTTCTGAAATGCTTTCATTTCTGGCGTATCATTTTTAATCGCAACTCCCTCCTTCACACGAATCAGGATGGTCTCGGTTAACTGTGGTGTCTCCATGTTTGAAAAGCGTTGCCAGTAAGCGACCTTGAGAGCCTGGATTTGGCAGTAATAGACGAAGCTTATATCTGGTTACTGTCGTGGTACTGCATGTCAAAGATGGGGAAGGATTGCATGAGTCATTCTCGCTCATATGGACTGTGTACGCTTGTGGGTCCTTTCCTACGGAATAAAGCATCTCATAAGTGGGTTGACATTAATCTGCACCGCAAATACTGCCATGTGTTGTACCACACCGTGGTTCTTACTCCTTGTCGTCTAAAACGATCTGAGAGTGAAAGTGTTAACTCCCGTCGTGTCTTAAGGACTGATGGGTCCCTGGACACTTCGGCTTCAAGAGCTACTTCCATTTTAGTCAAAATTGTCTCCACATCTAGCATTTCTATTGGTAGATTATACAGAATTACATGGATAATAGTGGAGATTTGTCACAGTCCCGTAGTCCAGGGACCCCTTAGTCCTTAAGACACGACGGGAGTTAACGCGTGTTTATGTGTGTGCTGATATCAATCGCTTCTCGCTGAGACTTTTGCCTAAAATATCTGGGTTTTGATTACTCCGATCGGATCCTTCCCTCCTTGGGCTGATATCAAACAGAGCCCGAGTATATTGCAAGCATGGTTGGTTGTTTACCAGCACTGTGCGCAACGAAATGTGCTTAACGAAATGTGCTTATATTTGATGAAGCTACGCAGACTACCATTTTAAGTGAGGACTGAAACAGTTATGAGCCAGTGTAGAGTTTACTTGCTTGAATTTGAGATACGCTATATCTTGGCTAAGACTGGGGTCAAAACGAAGTTAACTCTGAAATACGGCATGCTAATTATTGAATAGGTTCGTTTTTTTGTTTGCACCTGTAATCAAAACAGAAGAGATTTAAAGGCTTTGGCGAATTTAAGAGCAAGTCCAGCGAATCATGCAACGATCAGAGTCTAGACATAGAAGTTAGCCATCGCAAGGTGGTGTCACTCATGATACAGGCTTGTAATTCAATGCATTACTGTATTCGAGATACTAACATTAGTCTAGCACGCAATCCGAAATCAATAAACCCATGAGTAAACACCGACGCTATGCAAAAGTGCACCAAAACAGCAACGAAGTATCTGACTGGAAACCCGAACCCAAATCTAACCAAAACCAAAACCTAAACCAAACCTAAACCAAACCTAAACCAAACCTAACCCAAACCCATACCAAAACCATACCCAGAACCGAAGAACCGAAAATACACACACCAATCCCAACTCACCTCCCTCACCAAAACCACCCTCTCCCCCTCCTCCTCCCCAACTTCCCCTCCCTCCCCCAAATCCTTCTTAATTCCCTCTCCCTCTCCGCCCTCCCCTCCTCCCAGACAAACCTTTCACCCCTACTCTTCCTCTCCCTCTCCCTCTCCTCGAACCCTGCGCGCTTCACATACCGTTCCGAGATCGGATCAAGGATATACCCGTCCCCTTCCCTCGGTACAAAGTGCGAGTGCTGGTCGCGCATGAGGTACATGTAGAGCGGGTGAGACATTTTCTGGGCAGAGCGAGAGGTGGAGTTAGTAGAGGGCGAAGGATCCATAGTGAAAAGCGAGACTTTGGGGTGGTGAGAGGCGTGGATTGGGTAGTAGTGGCGCGAAGAGAGACCGAGACAGGTTGAGGAGACTGGGTCTAGGGAGGAGTGGATTTGGTGTTTGAGTTCTGGGGGGAGACTGTTGAGGTTTGTGCGTTTGGAGCGTTTGGAGTGGTGTGATTTGTGGTGGTGGGTTTTGTGTGATGACGTTGAGGGGGCGTGGGAGTATTCTGTTTGGCGGGGTTGGTATGAGGTATGGTAATCTTGTTGTGACGTTAAAATCCATTACTTTGCAAGTTGAAGGGAAGGTATTACCTTGAGAGTAGAGGTTCGAGTAACCTCCGCTTGGATAGTTGTAATAAGCACTAGGTGTAGGTGCGGCTCTAGGCGTATGAGAGCGATGCGCTCGTCGAGTTTGACGATGACCGTGATGTTTACGTGTATAAGTAGATTCAGAATGAAGACCGAAGAGTGCACGGAGCGAGAAGGGAGATCTATGGTAGCGGTTGGAGGTGCGCATCGCAGATGCAAGGAACCCGTGCTATTGTGACGTGTACAGATACGGCAATGCGGTGTGATAACCGTATGGTATCTATGATGGGTGAAAAGGGCTGGAGAAGAGAGAATCGAAGGCAAGAAGACTCATGGTTTGAAAGCGGGAGAAAGAAGGTAGGAAAGAAGAGAGTGAGGAGAGGAGAAGCGAGTTATGAATGATCTTATCATCATGATTTAGCTCTTTCTCTGAACCCAACACTTCAAAGCCTTGAGAAACAGGGGCTACACGAGATCTTAGCACACTTGAGCCTCCCAAACCGGTCATCCATCCCCATCACATCGCAATAGACATTCTCTCTTTCCGACCCCTCCACCCTCCACCATCCACACCCCCTTCCACATATCGACTATCTCCCGGCGCGGTCCCACCCCTCCCTTCCCGCTTTCCCCTTTCAAATGCAACAACCAATAACCACAAACGCCCATCAGCTGCATGCTTCTGGTAGTGAGTTCAGCTGTTGGTGGATACAACTGAGGGGAGGACGTCATGGAGGGGGGTGGGATGGACGTATCAGAGGGCTGAATCATACGACCAACCAGATTCCTGACTCTTGCGCTCGGCTCAACCATTGGGGGGCCTCGTGATGCGATGTGATATCGACTCGGATTGGCTGAGACATTGATTTGTGGAGGTTCGGAGGCGGGCACGTGGTGTGAGACAGAGCACGTGATCAAGCCGGTTTCGGATTGGACGACTTGACGCTCAAACTTGGATTTCGAGTTGGCCGGGACAACCGCGTTCTGATATGATGCCCATATTGAAATACAACCTGCCGGATAGGGAGGGTCTGAGCATAAGCGGTTTCGGAGGCGAGCTCCTATATCAGCCGAATCAGGAGTCCAGAGGGGTCGAAAGCAGGTCGACAACTGAGATCAGGTTTATCTCATCGACGCATCTTACCTCACCAGGTGTGGGTGGGCTAGGCTATGCCAATGTGGCTCAATAATCGCAGAGCGGCCGCCTTGAATTGAGGTTCACTCGTAAAGACTAAAGATAGAAGAGGCAAAGCGGAAACTCCGGCGTGAGATGTTGCTAATTGACAGGGTTTACTGTTGCATTGTTAGCAAGCTGAAAGACAAGTTGGAATGATCAGGAACCAAGTTTAACTGACCGATAAGAGCGGACTCCTGAACTTTGTGTACGAGGAAGTTGAGTCATGGAAAGGTACCAAGAGACTGTGTAAGAGAGAGGTATGTAAAATGTGTCGTAAGCGCGCCAACAGAATGTGGCGGTCTTTTGTAAATGACTCCCTGTGCTTCAGTAGTATGCTTTCGTGGGAAACAAGGTAAATAGGCAAGGATGTAGATGTTGATGGTTAAGCTACAAGCCGAAATATTGCAATCCAGGTCATGACTGCGATAACCATAGCTTGTACCTACTGCAACTTTTGTACACTTGATTTGCCAGATGACCGTGGTGCGCAGAGCATTCTCTGGTCATCTAGACATATCTCGGTTGCCGGTAATTTTTCTCGGAGTACAAGCACCAACGAGGACTGTGAAAGATTCAGCATACGCCTTCGGTCCTGTAATTTATCACTGCTTGCGCAGAGAATGACTACAGCGTAAGTTTCGCGATCTGCAAGTTGGATAATAACCGATGGGGAAAGTGATGGGTACAAGTAGTTCCTGACAAAAGAAGGCACTCAGCGCGAGGAGACCAGGAAAAGACAGGGAACAGATAATGAACCGAACTTTCCAGCATGTAAAATGCCTAACGAGATGGAATGTGAAATTCCGAGTGAAAAATTGATATTGACATAGAGTATAACAGAGTGGAAGATGGTGAAATTTCGCAAACAGACTTTGAAATAGGAATAACGCGTTTCTGCTGTAGACTCGAAAACCAATGTTGAGTGATATCCTCGATAGTCATGACAGCCACCGTAAGAAACAAGCCACAGTGATAGTTTGATAAAATATATGCATATGAATCCCCGTTGGAGCGTTGCTTCGGCAGAAAATTTGCAAAGCACTTGCTTGTACGCGATGTTGACGATAGATCTGAAGCAAGCACACCTTTGACAGGCAATGGCTTTGAGAATCTATCGCAGGATTTGAGCAATCGATTCAACAACGCAGCAACTAATACCAGTACATATCGAGAGCATCGTCGAACGAATGTGAAGATAATTCACGGAATCTCAAAAAATCGAGCGTGCGGTGAGGGCGAGGAGCGTGTTTGTTCCTGTCGAAAGCAAACACGCGTCTAGCCTCACCAGCATCCGTCATTTCGTATGTTGCAAACTCGCGTCTTGAGACGCAAAATTCGCGAAGATGATTGAGGAGAAAGATTGATTTATAGAAAAAGGAGGAGCATGTCGAATCGACACAAAGTTCGGCGGATGTTGACGTGGCATATTTTGGTCACGTGCGTGGGGATGAAGACCGGGCCGGCTTTTTGTTGATCTCCGAGACCTGGTGCCGAGTTGAGAATAGGGGGCTCCTGGTGGACAAAATAAGTGGCAGTCAAATTACGATATTTCTTCAGTCAAGACGACGAAATATCATGTATTTGGTGGATTAACTTGGCACATATTCAGATATTTATTCAATTGTTTTGAGTAACTGAGACATCTTGAGCTCTATTCGAAGACGATTTATGCATTGATCAGTCTATAGATTAGTGGGCAGGTGACTGACACTTATTTTGTCCTCTGCGAGAATGTCAACCTCGACTTAGAGGTGCAAGATTGTATCTACGACCATGTCGCTCTCGAACGCAGTCTCGTTCTTCGACCCAACATAATAAACGATCGCTACACGTCAACCGCGGCTTCTAGTCTGCAAGCTACTCCTTGAAGATCATGGATGATCAGGGTTCTGTATGCTATTGAGACTGGGAAGCTAGCTAGTCCTTGCTGAATATATTACATTCTGATAACCATCTCATAGCAATCTGACCTCTCTCCAGATAGAGCCAAGTATCTAGAACTGATACCCCATCTCCCTCAAAATATCAAAATGCGCCTCATCATCAATCGCGCCCCCATTAACTACAACCTGTCTCCCAGCATACCGACTAGAATACCCCGTAACTCTCTCCGCCACCTCATTAGCCTCCATCAGACTTACCAATCTCCTCTTCCTCTCCCTCCCTTCTCCTTCCATCTCCTGATCCGCCTCAACACATATCTCATACGTCCTCTTAACATTGTTCATAGCTCCCGCTTCGTTCCGGGGGAGGAAGGATTCCGGAGCGCGATGAATGACGGATTGAGCGTAATAGTTGTCGGTGATTTGAATGGGCTCGGAGACACAAGAGGAAATGTACATGTCGCGTGACATTTCGAGGGGAGTGCGGCCTGTGGCATTTTCGCGGTAGAGGAGGGATGGGTTGAGAGAGATGAAATGCGATGCTATTTCACTCCATCCTTTTTTGACGGCCTGGATTTATCAGAATTGCTGGTTTGAGAGTAGGAGTAGACGGGACTTACTACATGCAGAGGTAGATCACCCTCCCCATTTATAATTTCTAATTCCTCGCCCGCTGTGCACCGAGTGAGGAGAGATATGAGATCCGGCTTTTTGTATTGATTACCGCTGCATTGCATCCAGTATGCAAGCGGAGTCAAGGCACCAGCGGAAAGCGACGTTCGCTCAAGCAACATGGCCTTCACAGCCGATCTATCGAAGAGATTGATTATTTCCTGAATGAGTTCAAGATGCTCTTTGGTGGGAGCCGAGTATTTAGAACTGAGACTGTGAATGACGTTCTTAGCCTCTCGGTCCCGAGTACGCTGGTTCGCTCCAACAGAAAGAAGGTAAGCTATCACGTCTTTGCGTCTGAGGAGTACCGCAATTTGAAGAGGCGTAAGGCCTTCCGCAGACTTTTTCTCAAGGGTTTCTGGTGCGACGGTGAGAACATGTTTAATCAAAGCGAAGTAGTCCTTGGTGTTCTGTTCGGATTTTGGATCTGGGTTCCAGAGGATCGCACAGTGAAGGATTAAATCGCCTAGACAAGATTAGCATACCTTTAGTTTGTCAGGATTCTAAAACTCACAGTGAGCTCTCATCCATGTAGCAATGGTCTTGTCGTAATCTTCTCCCATGCCTTTGATGCGCTTGTCAGTTTTATGGTTTTCCGCAAATTGCCTGTATTTGCGCATTGGAGCCTCGCTCATGAACCATTCAACTGACTCAATGCTTCCAACATTAGCCGCATAAAGGAGCGGAGGAATTTTGTTTTCAGTAACACCGGTGACAAAAGTATTTGGAGGCTGTGCCCAATCCGCCCGCTTTTTGCCGCCAACTGTCAACCCTTGATAGTGTTTGGGCTTTGTCTTGATCTCAATACCACTCTTTTTGATCATATCATTAAGAGGAATTCCGACACCAGACGACTCGATCATCTCGGCAAGCATGGCTGTTTGGCCGTTGCGTATTGCTTCTTTGAAAACTTCTGGTTCGATGGTAAAACACTTCTGATCATCATCTTCTTCAGCAAGAAGCTGTTGTTGTTCTGTTCCGATCTCGATGACAAATCTTAACAATGAAATATCGTCGGTATCTACAGCATGCTCCATGAGCGTACAGACTTTGCTGGTGTGAGCATCAACGTCGACGAAGCGAGCTGCAGCACACTTCCAATTGATCATAGTCAATGGCATGACACTGCTTTTGACCATGTATGATACGTCGCCAAGATTATCAACAGTGAACTTGTCACTGACGAGTTCAGAGAATATTGGAAGAACCTCATTGTCGTCGTCTGAGTCGTCTGTATCCTCTTCGTTCTCAGTGATCATCTGCCAACGCTGGCGTTGTCCTTTATTGTCGTCTTTGTGATACTGTACCAGACAAATCTCGATTATTCTTCTTGCCAAATCTCGATGACCCCTAAGAACAGCAATCGAAAATGGGCTGAATCCGTTCGAGTCCTGTATCGCAATCTGTAGAGGTGAAAGTGAAAGTCGCTCGTTCCCTGATTCCCATGGTGCCAGGGTCATAGATTTGACCGTTTCTACATCTCCATTCCAAGCCGCTTCAAACAACATTATGTATCTGCTCTTTTTCTCTTCGTTCATATCCGGGCTAGTGAAAGTCCACGTGGATTGGTATGGCGGAGTGATAGGAGCTACGTATTGAAATCCTTGATGATTTGGTCGTCTATTTACTTCCTTATGAAGTTCATAGAACGGTTTGACACCAGCTTTCAGGAGTGCTTGTTCGGTTTCTTCCAATTCAAAAATCACTGCTTGAATAGCAGTGCGTTTCTCTTCGATCCCGTTTTGAACCTGCAGAAGTGAGCGTTTGACACTTGAAAAGCTTATGCTGGTCGTTCTTACCTTATATTCTTTTGCCTTGTTGTGTTGCTCCCACTCGGTGTTGTTGGCATTTTTCCTAGCTCGAAAGCCTGTCAAAGCAGTAAAGTACTTGTATGTACCCTTCTTTAAGCCACGTAGATAGAAGGTTTCATCCATAAGCGTCTCTGGAGATTTAATGACTGCCCCATCTTTGCAGAGGCACTCACGAAGCTCCTTGAGTTGATTCTGAACAACATCAAGAAGTGTTTCACCATTATAATAATGGGCGTGAGACGGGTCTTGAACCAGCTGATACCCTTGTGGTGTCATAGTTGCAGGATCAGCACCTTTCGCAATGAGCTCCATCACCACTCTGCCCATACTTCTTTGAGCTGCCATTAGAACCGGTTGTGTTATCTGGAGATATTGCCGCATGTTCTGTTCAGATGTGTAGTTGTTCTTGGCCCACTGGTTTCTTTCGAGGTACACTTTGATCCATTGTTCAAACTTCATAGTAGGTTCAGCCCCAAGGCTAAGTAATTTGGAAGCCATATCTTTATTGCCTGACCCGATTGCTGAGAGGAGCGGAGAAGTAATGTCAGAACCCCATCTAGACGCCAGATGGTTCAAGACGCCTCTCGCAGCCGGTTCATCATGTTTAAGGACAATGTCCAAAAGCTCGTTCTCGCCTTTAGCAACAAGGTAATGAAAGGCCGTAATTTGATTCATATCGCCCTGACTAGATGTCGCACCTAGTCGGAGAAGCAGCTGTAGAACTTCCTTGGACTTTTCGGCCGGCAAGAAGATCGTAAGAACAATAGTCAGGATCGCTCCACGGGCACCTTTAGTATCGGGATCAATCAGTTTGACCGGGAGTAGAACATCTGCACCGTACTCAGAGACAAGTAGCTCGATGATATCGAGATGGCCATTCATGATAGCGAGATGGAGGGGAGACAAGCCATAATCCCAAGCAATAACGTCGATTTCGTAGATATCAGGATCGTCCGTCGAGTCTTCTGGTACACCATCCTAGTATATTGTGAGATGATAATCCAAATCTGCGCTCGACCAAACACTTACATTTGTTCTGTCTTCGGTTTGGACTTTGACGAAAGAGCCCATAGTCATCGAATCCGAGTCTTCACTGCCCAAAGTAATTTCAGACGGTTCCGAACTGGCATCATCATCATTTTCATCATCGTCATCAATATTCATCGTTAGGCCTTGCAGCTTACGCTCCGCTTGTTTTGCTTCTCGTTTGGCGTCTTTCTTCTCATCTTCCTCGGCTTCATTCTCAAGACTCTTATCCATCAATGCTTTGACCATCGCTGCATTTCCACGGGCGGCTGCAATATGTAGAGCAGTTTTACCGTCAACAAGCCTAGCAATCAACCGCGCACCATGATCTATAAGGCACTGCACAATTTCAGGCGTTGAAGACATAGTTGCAAGATGCAATGGTGTGCGTCCTGTGTAGTCTCGTCGATTGACCTAAGAATAACGTTAGGAAAAAAGGTTATCAGAGGGCGTCTAAAACATACATCAACACCATCTTGTTCACACCAGTCCTGAACATGCTCTAGATCATTATCCACGATTGCTTGGCACAAACGCGCCGTGTCGCCAACGTATGCCATAGTAGTCCACTCATCATCTGTAATAGGATTAAAGCTCCCAATTTCTTGTCGTCCGGGGTCATCTTGAAGAAACCTGAGATCTCCGGAAACATAGACCTTGCTCTCCTCTTCCGCGACTTCGATTTCTTCATCGGTTTTCGGCATAGGACAATATCCACAACAATCTTGGATAACTTCCTTAGCAGTTCCAAAGAAACAAGGATGCCTATGGAGGTAGACTTCTCGGTCTTTGGGTTGGTTCCACTCGGCGTTGAGTAAAAGGTCTTTGGCATATAGTAGGCGGTTGATTCTCGCTGCATCATACTTTGGCCCGTATGGCACGGTCATAGTGTGATAAGAAGAAACATCTTCCTGTTCGATCCAATCAGCGACTTCGTCTTCCTCTGCATCTTTCAAATTGCCGGGACTTCGCCAGTTGCCACGCCATCGGTTCAAAGCCGGCCTACCACGCTCTTGACGACGCTGTTCAGTGTAGCTGTCGCGGTCTGAAGCTTTTGGGAGCAGTTCTAAAATTAGAAGTCTTGCTAGCCCTTGAGTCCGACGGAAAGAACGCTCGAATATTGTAGGGTCAATAAGAGAACGGTCAAGAAGTGGCCAATAGACTTCGAAACCACGATGACTATACTTAGAGAGACGATTTTCGTAGGAGGGAGAACGACGACTTAGATCGATGGTGTTACACTGAGTCATGAATGCTGCGAGCGCCTAGAAAAACATCGATCAGCAATTTATTATTTACTCAAACGATTTCGGGCACCTAGGAAGAACATCGTCTGGCAACCAAGAGAGAGGAACAAGAAAAGGGAGTCTTTCTTACTCTAGGGGCAGCATAAACTTGCTTTCCATCGTATGCGGCGCAAGCACAATCAACGTCAAAACCCGTGATGATCTGCGAGACAGAGTCGTAAAGACGAAGGACGATTTGGACATGTCGAGTAGGGTACTGACTGGCAATTGTGATGGCGTTTTTGGTTCGAATAGTTGTTACCTCGTGAAGAATACTGTCCCTAACGTTTTTCTCGATCTCGTCAATCTTGCGAAGAGCTTGTTCTTCATTCATCCCATATAAGAAGAGATCAACATCGCTTGCAGGAGCCAGATGTTCATGGTAGTACTCCCGCATACTACGTTTACTCCCGGACCATTCTTTTGGAACTGGTAAAAGCGCCTGTAACATCTCCTCGTCAGTATTGGGCTAGTAACTAATTGTTCCGATATTAAAATAGAAGAGACTTACAGTAGTAACCGAGCTACCAGCAGCAACAACATTAGCCCAGTCCAAATCGATCAATGAGCTCTCTGAGAACAAATTAAAGTTCTGCTGGAACTCCTTGAAAGAAGTGACCATAGCAGCGTCTCCGGTAGCTTTCCGCACATCATCCTCCAACTCCATTATGTAATGAGAGGTTTCTTCATCAGACTCTGCTTCCAAGTCCCTGGCTCTGATCTTGACATCTTTCTCGTGGCCATCAAAGACCGGCACCAGATTGACGTTGCCATCTTGAACCACGTGGTGGCCAGGATCTTGTGCGTAGACCTTTCGTAGTTCTGATTCGAAGACCTTGAACGGCTCTAGGAGTTGCCCAATTGGCTCATTTGGGTGTTGCGTAATATAGGGAATGAAATCCTTGACCTGCGATGGTAGAGCAGGAATGTTGATCTCGACAGGACCCTCAGAAGCTGAGATTGCCATTTCGAAGAAAATCGCAAGTGACGACTGATAATAAGTTTCTAAAATTTGTTGACTTGTGGAGTAATGAAATAAAAACTATCAGAGCGACAAACGGATGAGAAATGTCGAAATGTGAATTGATCAATTTGCGAGCAGTAATTAGAAGTCAGATTCGACTTCACGATAAACCTGACATAAGAAATAGCAGACATCTACCATGTTAAATATCTTTAAAAGTCCAAGGATCGCATTGATGTTGAGGAGAACTTGCCGTCGCGTCGATCTAGATCACCTCACGCGTTGAGTTTGCCTGGAAGTGATGCGTGAAAACGTGACTTCGTGATTTAGCGAGCAATCTGCCTGCTGGTGCCTGGAAACGAGCTGTTATTTTCTCCACACCAAGCCTTCGAACAGGCACACGCCCAGTTTTCGGAATTGCTACTTCTATTATTAGAATGCGATGCCTTCTTCATCTTGAATCAGAAGTTTGTCCTGGCGGATACTATCAAACCAAAATCACTCATTAGGCGACGACTTCGAAGAGTCTGGGAGGTATAGTGTCTATTCCCCATAGTTTTTTCAAATGAATATCAAACACCATACCATGCAAGAAAGTCCAAACCCAAGGACGCCGTATTATTCCACAGGAACCGAAACCCCGGGAGACTTATGTTTAGTCCACCCTTCCCTCATTGTTCTTTCCTAGAGTGCTAGGACTTTCCGGCTCATCGTCACTCATCAATCCTGCTAGCTCGAACTCCTCGGCATCTCGAATTTGTCTCGAATCGGTGTGAGCATGTCCATTCATACGCGGGGCTCTGGGCGGTGCGTCCTCTCCGTCCTTTGGAGGAACTGCCGGCGCCGAGTTGGTTGCATAGAGGTGCAATAACATGTTGGTGAACAAGAAAATCAAGAATGAGAAGCTGTACAAAACGAGTACGTAAGAAACATGGGTAATTCCTGCATCTGAAATTAATTCCATTTGCTCCTCAGTTGCTCCCATGAACAAGAATCCTGAAGCGTAAAGCAACTGCGAACTCGGTTAGTAACTAGTCCCTTAGAACGGGACATTTATTTTACTTACGAAGGGTGGGATGTATTGAAAGCTGTTGGCATCTCCGTCCTCTGAGATCGTGTTCCTGTCCCTCAGAACAAAGGCGACTTCAATAATTCTCGTGAGACCAGCAGCCATCAATGTATACCCAAATGCAGTGTGGACCATAGTACTGAGTGGTAGGTGCTGTGGATGTGCGGACATAGCCCAGCCAGTAATGAAAATGACGAATCCAGGAATAAAATTTCTCTTTGGTGCACCATCTCGTTTTCTGCTAAGCCAGACACCAGCCAAACCCGCACTCCACCAGATAACGCCCATTGTAGTGTGTTGGATATCGTTGGCGACCCATGCTCCACCCCATCGATGTTCCGTGAACGTATTGACGCATCCCCAAGCTGCGATAATGGCCGAGTCGAAGAATTCTTGCGATCGTCCGGTGCTCTTCAGCCAAGCTTGTCCAACCAACATAACAATCGTGAGCATGATTCCGTATCCGATAAATGCGCTTCCCATGATGAAATGAGCCAGGCATTGTCCCAGGTGATCATCCCGGCAGAATCCGAGAGCTGTAATACCGCCAAATAGCATCTGTACCCAGGCGGCTACAGGCATTGCTTTTCCAATAATTCCATGACCATAGACTGCGACTTTCCTGATCTTTCCGTGAAAGCCCTTTGTGATATGGAATTTGAGGTAGATTCCAAATACGATTTGTACGGCGAGCATCAGCATCAGCCAGTTGGAGAACGAGGCGTGTACGTTCTGCGCGAATGCCCTCCCTTTGTGCAGATGTCCCAAGAAGTATGCCAGAACCGCGATTATCGTTCCTAGTACCTGTACTGGTACATGCCATCTATTTCGTACGATCTGTCTCCCTGATCAGCGGAACTCGAATGTTTAATGCATAGACACGTACCCCGAGCACCATTCCCGTTGGAAATATTATGCCAAAACTCAGCATCATCAACAGGATATGTGTCCATAATATCGCGTCCTATTCTCCTGTTAACCTTCGCTCTCGAGAGACGTCCTTATTTGATCCGACGTACCAATGGCTCTTTGCTCATAGCCTCGCCTTCCGCAATCTTCTCCATATTGTGTCCTCCGTGTGCTGCAGCTCCCGGTGCAGATGTAAGAATACCAACAAGACCCAACAGCAGACTCGACGGAACACGATTGCTAAAGCCCGCCATTTTTGGATCGAAGGGGATTATCGCGCCCAAGGGCTTTCGAAGTGGGGAATTGCCTGTCAATTGTTTCGAGCGTGGGTCGTCGTGTCCAAAGACAAAGGGTCTGAGTGTCGCTGACGGGTTGCCGACCTACAAGAACAGTTAAGGCCTCGTCGAGGTTCGGATGGATGAAAACCAGAGTTAGAATCTGGGGAATACAATGCGATGTACTGTCGAGTCGAAAAGAGAGTTGTCCGTAATTCATGGGAGGTCGTGGATTGGTGGCGGAGGATTCGATAGGGGGAAATGGCGGATCCGCGGCTCAATGCAAATGACTTTCGGGACTTCAAATTCGAATCAACTTGCTCAATTCGTAAGCCAGCTCCACATGGGACACTCTACCATGTTTATACGAAGTATTCACAACGGTCGATAGACGTTCCAGTCTTTCATTTTCGCGGTTCAGAATACCACAAAATACACGTTTCAATGAATACCGGATCACCTATGTCAGCTTTCATATTCAGTACCGAAAAAACCTAGACTGCTTGTACACTCTATGGTTCTCCTTACCTTTATCATCTAACCAAGTCACCACAACCACTTACCATTTCCTGGATGCTCAGAATGCAAGATTCAATTCAGAAGCAGAATCAAATCACGTTCCGCTTTGAGCCGAAACTCGTTTTGCGTCCGTAGATTTGGATATACTCAACTCTCGAAATGACTCTTTTGTGCATCTGAGATGGAGTCATTCTCTCACTTGACAGTGTCCGAAAGTCAGATCTCATCTGCAGCGCTTACTTACTCGTCATGCCTGATGATTTGGGGGTTGATTGTAGTACTGGTACTGATATTAAATTCCTTACCATTGGGCATCTTCGAAATTATCTTCATCCACATTTACGAAGACGAGTGCTGATCTTATAGAAATACACCGTTAGTACTTCAACGCTTGCTGTCTAGTCGGTTACAATATTCCCATGGACAGTTAGCCACGCTTACTTGAGTCTTACTTGAGTAGCTCATCCAATGTTATCTATGTATCATCACGTGTTTAAGATACTTGAGGTAATGTCACGTTTTGAAAGACATCGTGTGATGAGGCGTACGGCACAGTACTTTCACTCCATCTTTGAAATAAGAAAATGCTTGTTTGTCCCCTGCCCAGACGAGATAATTGCTCACACAACCTTGGAACCTACAGGGCTGGAAAGGACGATTGATGACTCATTGTACCAATATCTTTGAAGTTCGTAACTCTAATTGGCCATTGGCATTTCGACCCTTCGGTGGCTTCTACTTTCCGCGTACTCCTATAATTCTGACCAGATCTTAGGGTTGCCTAGAAGAAGGATTCGGATTTATATAACGACCGAAAGTTCACTCATTGCGGAGTTTTCGTTGGATTTTGTTGAAGCCTCAATATTTTATTTGCTACCTGCAACGGGTGTCTACATATCAACCACGCTGCCGCATCTTTATGCAGGTGACTGGCCGGATTGGGTGTGTTTTTGGACAAGAATTGGATGCCAGATAACTTCGCGTAAATTATTCTGTCATGTCGACGACTACGGAGGACACTTCCCCTCCTGGGCTTATAAGTGACACTTCTGTTCGGAGGAAGCACCCCTGTGTGAGTAAAATCATCTACTTGTGGTACTTGGCGAACGAGATCTTTAGCGAATCCTGCCATCATCTCTTTAGTTCCAAGAGATATCACGTTCGGCTACGAAATGCCCATATAACCTTGTGGCGTTGTTAATTAGGGGCTTGAAGCACTCGATCTAGTCCATTCTCTTTTCGCTGATAGGTCGTGTTTCATCACGAGCCTTGCAATTCATAATATCTCATAGTACTTAACATTACAACTATCACTAATTCTGTAATAGGTTCTCTGCCAACAACGCAAAGTCAAATGTGATCGCGATGATCCTTGTGCTAATTGTAGGAAAGCAAGAGTGGAGTGCGTGTCTTCATCCATGCAGCCACCTAAGCGTCGAAAGAAACGTTTCCCAGAAGCAGAACTACTAGCACGTATCAGGAAATACGAAGCTCACTTACGTTCATATGGAGCAGATATTGATGCAATTAATAGAGAGGAGGTTCCACTACCTCCACCCGGCCTGAAACAAGAGACGTCGTCTTCTCCAGCGGTTTTCAAAACGTCAATGGAACAACTTGAGGATGGGTATAGATCGCTATCTGTGAGAGAGTCTCTCAAGCACGTTGAGAAGTGAGTTCGCATTTCCATTAGAGTATCAATATTAATAGTAGCAGTAACTTATCAACTGGCCCTCTTGACGAGGTATGTGGCAGGCTGCTCGTGGCACCGAAAGCAACGTTACTGACCTTCTTAGTTTCAAGAAGCTGATCTGTCCGAGGAGGACGAGACCTTTGATGGCGCTCTAACAAAGACCTACGATGCAATTCCCATGGACTCAAGTGAATTATTCCTTTTCCACTCATCCAGCACTGAAGACCTTGCTGCTCTTCATCCACAGCCTGTTCAAATCTTTCGGCTTTGGCAAATATATCTAGACAATATAAATCCGGTTTTCAAACTCTTCCACACACCTACAGTACAGCAAAGGATTTTAGATGTCAGCGCCGACCCCCAAACTGCTAGTAAAAGCATGCACGTCCTCATGTTTGGAATCTACACCATGGCCGTCACTTCTTTAACCGATGAAGACTGTATGTCTTATTTCAACGAGAAGAGGGATGAGTTGATAAAGAAATACCAAAACGCTGCAAAGTTAGCGCTCGTCCAGGCCCGATTTATGAGAAGCTCAGACATGACCACTCTTCAAGGCTTCATGTTACACCTGGTAAGCAATACATCATACCCATTACGTTGGTTTCTCTGTCCAAAAGGATACCTTCCTTTCGACAGCAACAATGGATCGGGAGAATTTCATAAAATGTCGCTGCCTCGGACTCTACCCTTTCCTCTGCATTTGCCGACTCTAAAGTACCTTTGACTACTTGTGCCAGAGCTGACACTTAAATAGTTTTCATGCTTGAACTTTAATGTTGATCCTCGGGCTCTGTTTTGTCTTACCGGTATCGCAGTACGAATTGCTCAGCGTATGGGATTAAACTTTGACGGCACAGCATATGGGTTGCCACCTTTCGAAACTGAAATGCGTCGAAGACTGTGGTGGCAGATCATCTTTCTTGACAGCCGTGTGGGTGAACTGGCAGGCTGTCCACCTTCGATGTTGCAACACCTACGTACCACTCGAATTCCTTTGAACGTCAACGACAGCGATTTGTTCCCCGGTATGCGTGAACCTCCAGTTGAGCATACTGGTATCACCGAAATGATTCATGTGCTCCCGAGATGCGAAATCATTAAGCTGTACCTCGAGGCAAAGCTTACCAACGTCCCTGCCCGAGTAAGGATTCCAGACAGCCAGATTGACGAATTTGAAGCGTTTATTGAAGAGAAGTATTTGAAGTGGTGTGATGATAGTGTTCCATGGCACGTATTAGCGAAATTGGCGACAAAGACGGCACTTGCCAAAGTTAGACTGGGAAATTACAAAGATTACTTGATGGCTGGGGAAAAGTTGACGGTGGGGATGGATAATTCTTTAAAAGAAAAGATGGTTGGCTGCTGTCTGATTATGCAGGAAACATTTTTTCTTATGGCCCAGAGCAAGTCGCTGGAGCGTTTTCAGTAAGTAATGAGCCCTCGCTGCTAAATCTTCTTCACACAATGCTTTTGGGGAACCGTAATTAGTCAAGCCTATCTTTCTACTATGACTTAAACAATCGAAGCTAATTGTGTTTAGTTGGCATATTTTCAAGAATTTCCCGTTTCCAGCAATGGTTTTTATCTTATCTGCTATACGAACAGGTATCAACGCTGAGTAAGTTATTTCTGGAGTTGATACCCAAGGTAGATCATCGTCTATTCTTGAACTTGAAAAACTAAACTCTATGTGATAGACTTGAAGACAGAGCTTGGAAACAGATAATGGTTAGCTCGACCGCGGTAAGAGAAAGGATGAAACTCGAGAAGGAATCTGTCAGCAACCCACACCAGCCGGCACCTTTCAAGGACGAATTGCGGATGGCTATTGCCAACTTGACCGTAAGTACATTGTTCATATTCGAATTCGTCGTCCACTATGTTGTAGTCGATACCAATATGCTTACCCAAATTATGCTTCAGTGTAAGGCATGGGATGCCACCATCATCAGACGCCCAGAGCTCCAGACACCAGACTTCATCCAGCACCTACGCATGCAAACAACCGAAGGGCGAACGGAGGAAAAGACCAAACGACGAGATGTGAACTCGAGTCCTGCGACTAGTCCTCCAGAAACTGAAATACCTAAACCCACCACCGATGGTGTTGGATATTCCGCCTTCGGAGATGATTATCGATGGATGTCTCAGCCGAGCATGTTTAATAATAATGAGTATAATATGGAGATGGGTTCGGAAGGGCAGAATATGAGTGGGATGATGATGGATGAGGCGATGGCACAGGATACGACGTGGAATATGTGGGATGAGTTTGCGCAGGCTGGTGGGAGTGGCTTTGATAGTCAGATGGGAGGGCAGAAGTCGTGGTAGATATGGCAAGAGAGGGTAAATGTAATTATACCAAGTTCTGGATAAGGACTACATAGGCACTCGACTCAATTAGATAGACCTCGAGCAATAAAAAGGGGATATTCAACTCTATCAAATTTCATAATTATGAAACGGACACTACCGACTAAAGTCCCCTTGTTATTAATCCCCTTCAACGGCATTATTTTTATATCCGGCCTAAAGCCAAACTCATTGTTTCGCTCGGCTGCTTCACTCTCGTAACAACAACATCCTCACCCCTTCAAACCCCATGCTTAACAACCCTCCCACAAAACTTTTCACGCCCTTTCCCCTACAACCCCCCTCCATCGCACAAATCCCCTGCCTCACGATCATTAATCCAACCGCATGACCAACTCTCGTCCCCTCATCCCATCTGTGCAATCACCGATTCCGGACAAAACCCACCCAGGACACCATAACATTTCAATCACAACCTCGGCGCCACCAATTATCCCCCTATACCAATATATGAAACAAGCCTTTTGCTTAACGCCGTCGTGTTAATAAGCTACCTACACAACAGCATATCGTCATTTCTGGTCTGCGTAGTGTTGGACCCCTGACTCCGCGGAGCTGTTGGACCCCTCATTTGCAATCCTATGCACGAGTTCCACGCCCAACAGACACCCATAGAGAGATAATATTTGGGTTATAAGCAGTATTTCGCAAGCTCATAGGCCATAAACCAGCGCTTACTACGTAAAGGTCGTTGGATGAAGTAAAAATCCGACCTAAAAAGGTACCAATTGAAAGAAGACATAGGACGCGCTAGCCAATCCCAAGAACCGACCCCTACCTACTGCCATTTGCGACCCTTACCCACTGCCTGTTCCGGCACTCGACATCAAGACCCCATATGTCGCGGAATATCAGAATATCATTCCTACCACACCGGGATACTTGTCAATGTGTACGCGCTGCGGTACAACAATGACGCCGCGTACATAAGCAGTTGATCGGTCGATTGCACGACGGCGGATTGGTAAGGCTGCTGGTTTTGGATTGCCGGTATCGCGAGTTCGTGTGATTGGCAAGGCTGGATGAGGGGGATTTGAAAGCAAAGGAGTGTGAAGGTGGTATTGCAGGTGGGAATGGGAAGTATAAGTATGAGGGTGCTGGTGTTGAGTTAAGGAGCATTCAGTTTTGGAGATCTACAATTGCAGTTACATCATCGGAATCAGCCTACTACATTTAACTTACTATTACTACGAGAACTTCAGAGAAAAGTACGATTTTGAGAATCAGGATATCATGTCTGCGAAAACTATTGCTGTTATCGGCGCTACAGGTGGCCAGGGAGGGTCGGTTGTGAATACCTTCCTCGACGCTGGGTTTGCTGTGAGAGCTATCACGCGCAACACTGCTTCTCCCAAGGCGGTGGCACTTAAGGAGCGTGGTGTCGAGGTTGTGACTGCTGATCTGAATGATCTTGATAGTTTGACTAAGGCGTTTGATGTAAGTCAATCCCACTTAGTGAAATAGATATAGACTGACTTGTATCAGGGCGTCCACATCATCTTCGCCGTAACCGATTTCTTCGAGCCCTTCATAGCCGGCGGCCCAGACCACGCCATGAAGATCGAGTCGGCGCAAGGAATCAACCTCGCCAAAGCCGCAGCCGCGACGTCTACTTTGGAACATTACATCTGGTCGACGCTCCCCAACGCCCTGGAGATTTCCGGCGGGAAATACCTGATCCCGCATTTTGAGGGTAAGAATAAAGTTGACAAGTTCATCAAGAGCGATGAGAAGCTCTTGAAGAAGACGACGTTTCTGTGGGTTACGTGGTTTGCGTCGAATGCGCTGTTCCCGCCTTTCAAACCTACGCTCCATGCTACGTCGGGGAAATACGTGCTTTTCCAGCCTGCAATTGCAGAGACGCCTGTTTTGACGATCGGGGACCAGACCAAGAACGTCGGCCCATACGCCCTTGCAATCGTGCAAAAACCAGAGTTCACGCTCCCAGGGAAATTTGCGATTGCCAACTCCGAGAGCCAGACGATTGGCAGCTTGCTTGATATCTGGGCCAAGGTCACGGGCAAGGAGACGGAGTATGTGAAGGTTGGGTTGGAGCAGTTTGATCGGTTCTTTCCCGGTTGGGGACGAGAGATGGGGATCATGATGGAGTATTGGGAGAATTATCCCGGGATGCAGGCTTGGAGTGGGGAGGATCTGGTTACGGCGAGGGAGTTGGGGTTGGAGGGGCAGGGTCGTGCTGAGGATGCTTTGAGGGAGTTGGAGTTGTTGTAGGGGTTGTGAGGTGGGATGAGTGAGGGTTGATGTGGTGGATGTGTGATTTGAGGTGGAACTTGTGGGAATTGGATAGCTTTTGTTTTAGTGAAAAGTACTTGTTGGTTTTTTGAGATTTGAATTTGGTGAAGAATGATGTGATACTTGAATAGGCGTTTGAAGACTCACAAAAGATCACACATTAAGCCCTCAGTATGTTTTCCTTGACTTTCTTGCTATTAGCTGGGTTGGATATCCCTGAGACCTAGGACCTGACCTGAGCAGTAGGACATCAGCTCTTATCACGTGACTCGCCTCGAGCACTGAAAAAGTAATTGTCCAAAGTCCCAGTGCCACGACCTGGAACTTGCTCAAAGTAAGATTGTTGAAATTTTAACGAGGCTCGTGTAAGAGTTGCACTTAGATGTCATGAGCAGCGCAGCGTCGGCCAGTGAGCATTGTAATTTCCTCGAAATTCTCCCAGCAATGACCTGTGTAGAGCATTGTAAACAACTCATCAACTCCACAAGAATCTTTGAGTAACTGTAAATAATAACATCATTGTGCGCCCGATCATGCAAGAAGACATGACGTGAACAAGGTAGATTGTAGAAGATCTTCTTCGAGATTAGAACAAGGCTGTCCTGGATTTGAAGACAATAAAGTTCTAGAAACCTGCTTTAGCGTCGCTGCAGAAATGCGTTGCGTGTTCCTGAATGCTTCGCGTTGTTGGGTGGGTCTGAAAGCTCCCCAGCCTCCAGCAACAACCAACCTCCTGATCTCATGTCCCATTCCTACGTCAACCGATGAAACAAAACAGATGTTGATATTTCTGTGTGTTTGTATCTCATCACACAAACTCTATTTCATCTGATCTTCGACATTTGATTCCTCACAATTCCAATAATTGCTCGAGTCAACCGGTAGCGCCCGCTGTCTCATATCGTAGTCTCGATAGGCTTAAACTTGCTCTTATCCACCCCGCCACGACCACGACTCAAGTGTACCTCCCCTCTGTTTATAGTTGCAGACAACGAGGATACAACGAGAATAGCTCTACAGAGCGAGAGGAAATCAAACACTTGTTCTACTCGAGAATATTCTCACCACCTTCATTCCATTCTCGACTTCGAGTATCACGATCAACAGATCTTCCCGTACTCGAGTCTCGAGTACGTGCAACCCTCGTACACACGTGCGAGGATACACACGGCTGCAACTTCCACAACCTTGCACAAATTATACCGACGCATGAATTTCGCTTCAACGAGTCTTCCTGAATTCGTCCAGGACAGACGAGGATAGCCTCAGCTATAGCTGTTCCCAAAACATATAGAGGACCGTCTCACCAACAGCAGGGCATCGAGTCCCAAAGAAGAAACGAGCCACCGCGAAGGTTTATGCGATATTGAACACCGCCCAGTCGTTACTCAAGCAAAAACAATGTCAGACTCAATCTCCCAAAAGTCGTCAGGTCTTGACACATGTCTGCCGTATGCAAAGACGAATCCTCATCTCTCGAATGAACTTCGGTCGGTCACTTCATCCAGAGATTCGTCGTTGCAGAAAGTATGGTCCGAGGATTATTACGATGATAAACATGCTTCCGAAGGACCAAGTTCGCAGTCTTTAACCGATTCGACGACTGATTCACAAACACATATAGCTTCGGGGCAAGAGCCGAGCAGATCAATGGCTAGCGAACAACAAAATTCACCAAAACATAGAAGCCACTCGCGATCTGTTACCGACCTGCTTCCTTTCCGATCACCTCGACAAAGTTCCTCATCCAGGGACCAGAGTCCGAGCAAACAGGATATCGAGACGGAATTCATGCCTACCTTTACAGGAGACAGAGATGGGGTTATAAAGGTGGCAGATAAATCAAGAGGGGGATTGAGCTCTTGGTTTACTGGGTCATCAACACCAATGTCGTTACCTTTTGGAGAAAAGACGCTGCCCGACCTGCCTTCCACCACTTCCTCAAGATCAGTCTCCCCCGAGCGACCCACGCCACAGAGACGACCTACATATGGCAGTGCTATACCATCACCAAAACCACAAACCGGCATGTTTGGAGGATTCTTTTCGAAAGCACCTGTGGAAGAGCCAAAGTTATCACCTGCCGAGCTGATGAACGATGAACTCCTTACTCTCGATATAAACGCAGCTCTATTCCCTAATGGAACACCAGCCGATCCCTTCTCTCCAGCGTCTTTCAAAAACTTGCTCCTCAATGCCGAAGGGATACTCCAAAAGCTACAGTCTGCATATAAAACTCAAACATTATCATTACACGAAATTCAAATCGAAAAGTCAGTGATGGAAGAAGAATTGGAGGAAGCAGGGACGAGAGCACAGATGTACAAGTCACAGTTAGAGGATATGGCCACCAAGGTACAAGAGTCAGATGCGGCATTATCTGATTTGGTCGAGGAACTTGCGAAAGAGAAAAAGGCACGACAAGAGGAGAAGGAAGCGAGGGAGAAATCTATAGCTTTGGTCAAAGAAAACGCAAATGCACGATCCACGAGGATACAAGTTCAGGGTACAGAGGACGAAGATCTCGGTATTTCAGATGCAGTCTCGCCTGGAATCAGAAAAGATCGTAAGATGTGGCGTGGATCGGCGGATATGAGTACTGAAGGAGAATCGGATGCAGAATCTTTTGGAGGCGATTCAGTCTTTTCGAGGTCGAGATCACCAACTTTCACCATGAACTCGGTATCGACGCGCGACGGCACACCAGAAATCCATCAAGCTCAATTCGCAAGAATGCTTCCCAACACGAACCCACCATCTCAACGACCAAAACAGCAATTACAACAAAGAAGTACATTTCAAAAGATCATGCAGGGCATTTCAACTCCAGCCGTCGCGCAGAACGTAGACAAAGATCCTTATGGAGGTATTGGCATGGGCGACGAAGGATGCAGCAATTGTCGAGGCAAAGACGCGAGTGTAGCTTGGGATACCGTTGGTCTCTTACGAGCTGAAAACCAAGGCTTGAAAGCACAAGTCGCCACTCTAGAAGAAGGCCTTGATGGCGCTCTAGCAATATGCTACGGCATCCACTAGTACGATTATTGTTACAACTCGAGACGATAGAGAAAACGTTGTATCGATAACACCATCTTGGAAAGAAGGAGCCACACAAACATACGCACATTAACAGAATTATTTTGGCTAGCAGGCAGAAGAGAGAATGTTATTGATACCCCCACGGAGATAAAATTGCATGGGTCCTCGAGGGCATGGAAAGAAGGTGTTTTGGAGCATAGCATATCGCTTCGATTCTTTCGTTACTGTTGATTTTTCTTCTTGTTCATTTTTAGCGTTTAGCGATGAGGGGAGTTTGGGTGGGATTCGTTTGAGGGGTGAGAGTGAGGGTATGGAGAAGAAGGCGTGCATGATGTATCCATTTGTGGCTTGAGAGACATGAGTGTTGAGATGGGTAGATTTGAGATGAAAAATTGAAGAAAGTTACATAAATTCTTGAGACTTGAGTCTTGAATCTATCTTTTTGTGGATTTATGTTATATTCAACAGCTCATAAGACATTATCACCTGTCTAACCCGACTATATTCTCATCCACTTCAAATACGTTCTCAACCCGCAAAACCAACGCAGAGAAAACGTCCTTAAAACAAGGCCTGCTATTATCTACATCCTCAATCTTCCGTGACGGAGTAGCTTCTCCACACCCTCTCAACCCCTCATTTTTCCATACCCTACGCACAATACACCCTCCCATCCTGATCACCCTCGCTATTGTGAACGCGTGACCGTATACACAGGCGGTGGACTCCCCTCCCCATCATCCCTCCCTGAACCGCTCTCCGGCCCAGCAACCTCCACCTTGGATATCCCGCCGTGGAGTTCGTGTTCGGTGGTGTGGTGGTTTGGTGGTGGGGGGCGGCCGTGTGGGCCGACGGGATTGGAGGAGGGGGGGAGGGGGGAGTGGCAGCATTTGCAGCAGCAGGAACCCATTGTTTGTTTTTGGTGTGAGGGGGTGAGGGAACGTGGCGAGGGATGAGTGAGGAGGGGGTGAGAGGTAGACGACTTTGGATGTTAGGTGTGGTGTGGATGTAGGCGAGTTTGAGATTAGTGCGGTGAGAGGGAGATGCGATATTATCAGACAGAAAACGAGCTAAGTCGTAACGTCTCTTTGAATATCAGGTGTAGATGTCGCAGACGAGATTCGTGAAGTTTGAGATTGTCGTGATGAGGTTGAAATAGTTGTCGTTGGTCAATGAGCTGCTCCATCCCAAGTCTCGACCACAAAAATCAAATTTCGAGCCAAGATCATTATATACTGTATCTTTTCCAACACAACTTCCACCTTCACCCAGATCAACCCAATTCATACCCATCGAGGACGCGGTTGATGGTGGTTGTGTTCAGGCATCCAACATAATTGATTGGGTCGTTCGAGGGGGATGACGACGCTCGCTTATTGTATTGCGCGCGACTCGTGTTTTTGATGTCAGGAATAGAAAGGACGGATTTCATTCGCTTTTAGATTTAAATGGTTGTCGGTATCCCGATGTTAACGCAGTTGGGTGACATTTTGATTCCGTGGGAAAGAGGAGGGCTGGGATTGGCAGAGGCGAAATGAGCCCATCCCTCCGTCGAGGACTAAGAGAATGGAAAATGACAGTATGGGGTTTTGGTCATAACCTGTAGGTTTCGTACGTGTTGAGGGTTATATTGTCAAGGAAAACTAGGTATCTTAAGTGAGGGTTTAGACACTATCTTGTTCGAGTTTTCGTGTTCTTGGTTTTGGGTTTCATCTCGTTCATTTTATGCCGCTTGGGATTTGGGATTTGGGATTTGGTGAAAGTGCTTATTGGTGAGCGAAACAGTATTGACGTGAGTTGGGGATAAATAGAAGATATGTAAATTCAAAACCCACTTTTACGAACCAACACATCCAAACGCAATAAGTCAAACCCAAAGAAACAGAGAGAGAAAGGAAATACTAGGAAAAACATTCATCCCTTCTCCCCAAACAACCTCTCCCCCGCCCTCTCAACAAGCATCCCCATAACCCCCTCCAACTCCCCCAAAATCTCCTCCGCAACCCCCCTCCAACTCTCCACCGTCACGATCTCCACCTCCAACCTGCGACCCCCCTCCCTCACAAACGCCTGAAACTTCCACTCCCTAAGCGGTTCCATGTGCGGATACACCGTCTCCATCCTACACTCCGCGCCTAAGAATCTGAGATTCTCAACATGTTCGACGTCCTGATGCACCACGCTGTCGAACCAGCTCGTCGCGGGCCAATCCACGCAGTGCTCGAGGAGTTCGGACAACCCGACGGCTTCGTGGGCGGAGGACGCTAGGTGTTGGGTTTGGATGTAGGATAAGAGGTCGAGAGCTGTCCAGGATGGTTGGAAGAGTACGCGGAAGGGAATGTATTGCCAGCATGGCCCGACGACTGGGGAGGAAGACGGGAAATCGATGGAGCGCCCGCTGACGACTTCGCCGAATGTGACGTCTCTTGTTTTGAGGCGGTTGGCGAGGAGGAGGGCCCAGGCGGCGGTGGGAAGGGACGCGATGGTTGTGTCTTTTGAGCGGGACGAGATGTCAAAGGTGCAGGAGGTGGCGTAGTGGGTGGTGTTTGTGATTGGGATGTCTGGCTTGAGGATTGAGAGGGTAGAGCCGGCGAGGAGGTTTTGCCAGTATGGCAGGGATTTTGGGAGAGCGTTGTTGAGGACGTGGTAGGTGTAAGCTGAGAAGGGGGTGGATGGTTCGACTGGGGCAGATTCGTAGAGTTGGGAAAGTTGCCGGAGCATTACTGGCAGACAAATCTCGTCGTATTGGGCGTGGGAGATGCGGAAGAGGAGACAGGAGTGGCCGGACATGGCGCGGACGTGCATGAATTTTACAAAGGCTGAGCCTAAGGGCATTCGGGTTTGGACGTCGAGATTGCAGAGCGATTTGGAGAATGTTTCGATGTCGTCTTCGATTTCGTACTCGATTATTGGGACTTGGATGTCTTCGATGACGACGGAGTAGCATCGACCTTCATCTTCGACGAATACTGTTCGCAGAATTTCATTACGAGCTAAGAGATCCTGACATGCTTTGTAAAGACGAGTCTTGTCAATTTCTGCATCAAGATAGAATAGTTCGTACCGAGCAGAGAAGCGAGGGATCTTGACGGTTCCTTGCACAGCGACAGTCTGAAGTGGTCGAGCAGGTAGAACGTCAAGAATTTTCCAACTCGGGTTCGCCAAAGAGTTTTGGATCTTGTTAGAGACAAAATCTTCCACGTCATTTATATCCAGAGCTGAGAATGGTTTTGGTCCATCTGATACAGGTTCGCTGATAAGCGAGTCTTCAAGTATTTTGTCCATATTGATGAAGCGTCTATGTTGAAAGATTAGACCAACGTTTAATTTGAAACCATCCATCCTAGCCTCAGCAACAAGTTTCATGGCTGAGATCGAATCTCCCCCGAGCTCGAAAAAGCTGTCATCAAGTGTTATTTCAGCTGGGTCAACCTTAAGGACGCGAGCCCATAAAGCTTGGAGTCTTTGTTGTCTTGCTGTCAGTTCAATAATGATTGATTGCTTCCGTTCTTGCGGAACGACCCCAGATACTTTGACTGCATTTTTCGGTCCCATCAGAATGATAGATCCATTTGCGGAATATCTCGCCAATAAACTGGTTGGGTGTGAGCTGACCATCTCAGATGATGAAGTAGATGATTCCGTAGATTTTATGTCAACCAAGAGCTCTCCAATAGCTCCAACTGGGAGTATAGTTTCTGAATTTGCAGGATCAACTATCCGTGTTGCAGTAATCTGTTTGTCTTCACCAACAACTTGATCCAAAGAGTTGCCTAGACTCTGTGAACCAGTTTTACTGAGACGCTCAAGCTCATCAATGTCCGCCGGGCTCAATACATTGAGATCTTTAATCAGCCGTTTCGGCTCAGTGCATAATTGTTGTACAGTTCTCCCCAGCTGATCAAGAAGTCTCTCCATGACAGACATCTCCACCATCTTAGAATCAAAACTTGCCATGATCAAAAACCCATCAGCGTCCAGTGAAACCACCAACATGAGACCATAACTATTGAACTTCAAAGCTTCGCGTGCAGCGTCTTCATCACCTGCCGGAACAAATCCATTGGCTGGTCTGTTTTCGCTAGGTCTCATTTCTTCCTCTGGCTCGGCATTGGGATGTAATACTAATCCCATTCTCAGCTCACATGCTTCCCGAGCATCCGGACTGAGCCGACGGATGTGCTGAAGACCCATATGCTCGTGAGGGATTCTGAGGACAATTTGGTCGTGGATTCCTTGAAGGTAATCCGAGACGCTCGCCTCTTTATCAACAACGATTCGTACTGGTACTGTGGTAATCATAGGACCTTCTATCGTTTCTACTCCAGCTATAGGCGCATTTCTTCCTGTAAGAGTCTCTCCGAAGACGACGTCGTTGGACGCGACGTATTGAGATGCTATAATCGCCCACGCTCCACGGAAGGCAGTGGCGAGTGTAATGCCAGTAGATAGCTTTGGAAGCGTAACATAATGTTCAAGCAGGGAGTCAGCTTTCTGTTGATATCCAGGTTCAGGTAGTGTAGGGAATTGCAGTCCATTCGCTCCGTCAAGCCTCTGTCTCCAGAATTCTGCTGAGCCTGTTCCATCTGTTCCAGCTAGGTATTTTATAAATGCGCTGAAAGGGGTAGGTGTACCTATTTCGGAACCTGCGTATGCCAAATTCACACGATGAATGACCCTTGGCATTGACCATCCGTCGTAGAGCGCGTGGTGGATGGTCAAAATTAAATGAGCTTTTCCTGTTTTCTTATCTGATTCGATGTATCCAAAACGAACCAGGGAATCTCCCAACTCCATAGGAAGGTTGCGATCTTGCTCTAGGTATTCATCCAAGTCACTGCTCTCATTCCACAGAATCTCTCCTTTAGCGACGACTTGCATCAATCCGTGGCCGGGAACTTGGACTACTCTCGTACGCAGTATTGAACAGTCTGTCGCCACTTTATCGAAAGCTGATTTGAGTCGTTTTACAGTCTCAATATTTGGCAGCTCGACAACTCGCTGAGCAATATAAGCTTCAGTGACTTTAGCTGACAGAGCAAGTAATCCTTCTTGAAGTGGTGAGCAAGGATAAATGTCTTCGACAAGCGACGAATCTAGATGGCATAGTTTTGCAACCTCAGATTTGGCAGATTCCACCTCCCAACTGGCTTCAAGTAGCGAAAATGGTGGAACTTCCAGGTTCTCTTCTGTCGAGATCTTACCAGCAAGTAGTGCTAACTCTGTCAAAGTTGGGTGCTTGAAAACATCTGCTACCGATAGGGAGACGCCTTTATTTCTGGCTTCGGCAACAAGTTTCATCGCTTTTAGCGAGTCCCCCCCTATCGCAAAGAAGCTGTCGTTCGCGCCGATCTCACTATCTTTATCAAACATTTCTGTCCACAACTCATGCAATCTTATCTCCATATCTGTTGTCGGGCTCTGTTTCTTCACCGCCGCTTGAACTCGATATCCTGCAAGTTGCTTTTGCGACAATGAGTTGCCTATTTCTTGTAATCGTTTGCGATCAGTTTTGCATGACACCAGCAGTGGCATCTCCTTGAGCGGGATATATGCTGTTGGAATCATGTATACTGGCAAGACTGAACTTAGGCCGTCCTCCATCTTGCTCAAGTCCTGCTGAAGTTGACTGGAGAAGGACAAAACATCCGTTGTAGCAATTGAACCCTTCTCACTGTGCTCAGACAGAAATGCAACCAGGGTATCTGCACCACCACTTGGGTTTATTACTTCAACCGCAACACTAACCCCCGCTGGGAGCCTTTGTCGCAAATTGAACTCAATCTCACCCAGTTCCACTCGCTGTCCCCGTAGCTTGACTTGTCTATCCTTCCTTCCTACAAATACTATACGGCCGGAACCATTTGGGTCATATCGAACCAAGTCACCAGTTTTGTACAGTCGCCCATGTCGCCCTGGTGTAGTTGAATGTCCAGCAGTCAACCATTTCGGGTCTTCGATGAATACTTGAGCTGTCTTTTCTGGCTCATTCAAATAGCCAACCCCGACGATAGGTCCTTCAATCAATAGTTCGCCAACCCCTCCAAGATGTGTCAATACGTCATGATTGTCCGGATCAACGATCCAAGTAAGACCACCAACTCCTTTGCCGATGGTCGTATAAATCTTCTCTACTGTAACATCATTATTGATCGTACATCCAACAGTACATTCTGATGGCCCATATGCAATAATAACCTTCGTCTTTTGCCCAAACGAAGCCGCATCGCCCGCTGTCACTAACTCTCCACCAAGTCCCAACACTTCCAGTGATTCCATGACATTTCCGTCAGCCTCAAGTACTCGTGCCACTGAAGGTGTCATGTGTGCCATGTTAACGTTCATGTCTCTAATAGCGCCGCTCAGATCGTTAACGCGCTGCTCCTCGGATGGAACGCAGATGCAGCCACCTTGTGCAAGAGTACAGAGCATACAATCAATCGAAACATCGAAAGCATAAGATGCGAAGTCCAGAACCCTAGAATGCGGTCGATAGCCAACTGCGTCTGCTCTTGGCAAAGCTCCACTGGTATAATTGGCATGCGTGAGAATAATACCTTTTGGTTTTCCAGTGCTCCCAGAGGTGAAGATAGTGTATAAACCAGCGGATGCTGGTACTTTGTCGAGTGGGTCTGGTGGCAGTGGGCATTGGTCTTGTAACAAATCATTTCCTACCACCAGTACGTCCGCATTCGGCGCGAAGTTCGATGCTAATTCGGCTTGTTTGGTAGACGTAATAACTAATCGTGCTCCTACTTCATCGGAGATTATCTTTAGTCGGCCTTCTGGCTGGTGCGGATCGGTAAGCACGAAAGTTGCACCAACTTTCATTACTGCGAGTAACGCGACAACAGTCCATCTCGATTTCTCGAAACATAATGGGATTGTACTCCCCAAACCCATTCCAGATTCTTTTAATCTATAGGCGAGTCGCGTAGAGAGTCCATCAACCTCCCCATAGTTGAACCCTCCATCCCATGAGACAACGGCCGACCGGGTCGTGTCTTGTTGCGCTCGCTCACTGATGATATCTTGCATGCATCGATCAATTGTAGGAGGAACCACGGCATTCCACTCCCAAAGCTGTTTCGACTCTCGCTCGCTAACTTGTATTGCCTGGCTGACAGATTGATTTTGGTCAGACAGAACTATTTGGAAAATGTCAAGGAAGGTATGGATATGAATTGTAGCTGTATTTGGTGTAAGTTCGAGCAGAGTATTGGACAGCCGCAGAAGGAGCTTCGGGCCGGAAATCTGGCTTGATATTGCTAATTGAAACTGTGTACAAAACTGGTTAGGCAAACTTAGATTTCAGATATATCAAAACAGCCAACACACCTGAGAAGTGTAATCTGCATCTACTGCTACTGTTGAAAGGTTCAAGTCACTGCTTGTTGGGGAAAGACTACTTTCGTCCAGCAACTGCCGAACCGCCAGCAGGGACTTCGATATTGGTTCCGCATCGTCGAAGATAACATCTTTGATAGTGGCAGTGGTGTTGTTGAAAGCGTATTGGCTGTCCTGGTTTTTCTCCGTATTACGATATACAAGAAGTATCCAGGAAAGGAGTAGCAGCGCCTGGCTTTCTCTCAATTCCAATTCTGGAATGTCAATTGAAATACCATCCTCCTCGAAAGCATCTGAGTCTTCATTGACATTGAATCCGTTGCTATTTGTTGTGCCTAATTCGTAACTTTGGACCGCGCCATTATCCTGGGTATCATTCGCAGTGTTATTAAGCTCGCATGCTGTAGATTCGTCGCCTGTCCCACCAAATAGCTTACCATTCTGTCTGTCGACGGCTACGATTTCGGGTGTCAGGTCGGCACTTTCATTGTTATCCAGATCCGTATCAAAATGTGCTGAAGGGGGTGGCATTGCGAAGTTACCATCAAATGTGAAGATAGATATCAAGATAAAACTCAGAGCCCCGGGTAAAGAGAAGCATTTTAGCAGCAACCTACTTTGTAGCTACCCAGTGGAGCAGGGAGCGGGCATCGTAACACTGCCAATATTGTTGTCTAGGGAAAGGTTGCATTGCATCGACCTTTACCTTGTCCTTGGAAACTTACCCAACATAGCTAGTCTCCCGGTGATCTTGCATATGCAATTGCAGTGAGAGCCCCGAGTATCACAGGTTAGAACGTTTCTTGTTGTAGGCAGGCTTCAGATGTCGAATGTTGCATTGAACATTGACAGGCTTTGCTATTCCGCTTCATTCACGACCTCAGATTACAACACAATGTATAGCCCACAGTACTGTTGTGTAGGCTGTATTCCTGATAGTTTAAACGTTACGAGTGTCGATAATGGCCGCATAACAATGGCACGACGCCGCGACGGAGGGGTCAACTCAAAATCTTATCAGATCCGAGGAGTGGAACCGCCAGAGGGATGGCGGGGGTAGTGACCCCTTCAAGCTGTGATGGCGTGAAGCTGGGATGGCAGAGTAAACATGAGGAAGTTGGCCCGGCATGGTTGGTAGCCACTTGAGCTCTGGCGTTGAACGATTCAAGAATTAGCTCAGAAGGAGATCCCGAGGTCGGAGGTGTTAGTAGTCGATCATTTTGAGGTCGAGGCCAGCTCCGAGGAGAGTATCGAGTAGCTGATTTCTACCGACGGATAATAATGTATTTGAGGTCTTTTCATCACCAGACTTGTGGTTTGGTGTCCGGCAGAGCCCGTGGTCTGATATCGAGCCTTTCAAGACGACATTCTGAATTTTTGACGAAGGGACCCGGAGGCTGGTCAGTGGTTAATTTCTCCATAGCAATAGGAGGAAGAAATAATGTGCAACTCGGTTGAAACGGTAAAAGGGGTCACGTCCACATGAGTGAAGGTCCCGTCTTGGGAGCGTTGTTGACATGCGGATGTCGAGACGGATGAGGTCGCTTCGGTTAGCAGATGAAAATTTTTATCTTATCTGATCGATCTGATTAGACCATCTGATTAGATTATGTGATGCCAAGACCTAAGCGATCCGCCCAAATCTCGCACCCCCCCCTCCGGGAAATTGGGCGGGCATGGCATGGATCCTCTTTCACACTACAATCTGCATGGTGACGGGTTGACAACTTCAAAACCCGCATCGCAGCGATGTCGCAATATTCGCCGGAGTCAAGTGGGAGTCAAATACATCAGCTCATCATGTCAGGTGATGTCCTTCGATTCCCTCCTTTCGTTAGCCGTCGGATGGCTGCAACTTGTCAGTCAGGTACGCACACTTTCAAAGCAATAATCGCCCTTCTTTTCTCCAACGAAATCCACACCGCGGCCTTTCAGATCCAGTGAGAGGCGCGTAATTCGGTACTTGACACTCCTCGTTCGGGAGATCCTCGTAATGCTAGCAAAGTGGAGGAGCGATGATGTAAGTGAGATGTAGATCTCAGGAATGGAGCATAAAGTATCATATGCCACGTCTGCATTATGGATCCTTTTGAATGGCTCATCTGTTATGTTGAATCCAATCTTTCATTTGCACTGCAGGGCTCAAAGTGTTGATCAGGATAGTACTGTACGTCTTTTGTTTTATCTCTGTCAACACGTACTCATGACTTATGTCACGAAGGAAAGAGCTTGCTCACGTTGCAAGTATCTCTTGCAGATCGAGAGCCGAGTGAACCATGTATCTGAATTTTGGAGTTTTCTATCATGTCTTACCCCATTATTTGCGATCTGATAAGAAGTCGATCTTCCAGCTATGTGCTTGGCTTTGACGTAGATCACTTGCAGCAAGCTTTACCCATATTACTTGTACCACAACCGCTTTCTCCTGATATACTTTCGATTCCGTCGTTTCTTTCTATAACATCAAACCCGGCTGCCACCCCGAATCTCTACTACCCAATCAAAGATACATCTCCGTCATATCAGCCATGCCTTTGATAGTTTTACCAATTACACCTTCCGACATCCGCTCCGTATACGATGTATACTTTTCCGCTTTTGAAGGAAATGTTATGCTTGAGATTTTATTCCCAATGGCCTTCATAGACGGAAAAATCACAGAAGAGTTTCGTGCTGGACACGCTACTCATCAACTAGAGTACTTGAAGTCTACGCCACTTGAGCACACGTTAAAATGTGTGGACACCGACACGAACGAGATTGTAGGAATGGCGGTGTACGGGGTGTATTTCAAAGAAAGACAGTATGATGAATACAAAAGTCCCTCTGGGTGCGAGTGGTTGGAAGGCCAGGAGAGAAAAAGATGCGAGAAGCTTTTAGTTCCGTTATGGAAAAAGAAAGAAGAGCTGTTGGAAGGGCGACCACATGTTTGTATGTATCACCAAAAGATATATGCAACAAATACTAACAAGTGCATCTAGACTGTCAAGTATTAGCTGTCGACCCTAAACATCAAAAACGGGGTATTGGTGCTTTACTCATGCAGTGGGGTATCGACGTCGCAGAGAAATTGAAGGTTCCAATCTACCTCGAATCAACGCTTGCTGCTGTGCGACTCTACGAAAAGATGGGATTTGATAGAGTCAAGGGAAGTGTCGTTCAGAAACCTGAGATCACTGGCCTCGACCATGACATTGAAGTCCCCCTTTTCTACAAAATGCCAAAAAGTAACCCTAACTTCGATTTTGGGCACCTGAAAGACAAAGGATACACGCATAGAACTGAAACCAGAACAAGAGTCATGGTATAGGATATAAGTTTCTGGTGAGAGATTTGGGAATTCTGAAGCATTTTATTCGCACAACCTCAGGGATGGCGTTATGGAGTTCAAAACATTCCTAGTCTTCGTGGTCTACGGTTGACTGAAGGTTGCATTTGTTAGCATCGAAAGGTACGCGAAAGCCTAACGTAATAATTGAAAATTCTCAGAATACTTTCCACATTCAACGCGCTGCCGTTGACTCAAGCTTGATAGGTGTTCACAAAGGAGAAAACAGAGCTAGAGACTTTTGGGCAATCATCGTGCGACGGAAAAAACAGCACACAATAGGGAAAGTGTAAGATGCAAATACATCCCGCGAAAGGCCTCGTCCATTTCAGAGCAGGACACAGTTATTGCCCGAAGTAGTAAAAGTCTCAACATCAATCTTTACGATGTTTCGTGTCATTTGACCTCCGCTGAACACGGAAAGCTCAACTCAACCCCATACCAATACTTCCACAACCACCAAATTAAGATCTCCATACATCACCGCACCATACCCATCCAGGAAAGAAACAAGAAATCAAGCAATAATTTGACGGCAATTACTCGTTGTCATCTATCATGCAAATCACCCTCGTCTATCTCCCGCACCGCCACCTTCCCCATTCGACCAAGATCTTGCCCCAGAAGCATTGGCATCTCCAATCGGCAGCTACAACAACTACCGCCACCAGTAAGGCATAGCCGACGCATCAAACACATTTACGTGCACCTCAAATGCTACAACCCAATCGATGGCGACATACCAAGACGGACGCACGATCTTGGTAAGGAAGGATGGTCGATCAGTCGTATAAGCGAATCCGCCCAATAATGATCGCTCGCGCTTTCCGAGCTTCTTGTTGTAGAATGCTAAGAGTTGATGGAAAATAAGGTTTGTGAAGAGCGTTCCTGGTTGGTTTTTGAAGCGGATTTGCCGTGTCTTTTTCCGGCTTGGCTGGGTCGGAATGAGGCTTGTTTGGGAAGTTGAGCGTAGGGCTGCTATTGAGTTATGCTGTGGGAAGGTGTGAGGCTCTTGGCGGGTAGGGAGGTGTAGGTAGAATAAAGGAAGGAGCATGTTGAAAGCTGATGGGGGAGTACATTAAGGTTCAAGTATCTCTTCTCGATACAATCACTGCAAATTCTATCTTTAAGTGTTTCAGCAGTTTTTAATAACTTATCATAATGCATCTCAAACTTTCTCTCGGAGCTCTCGTAGCTACCTCTAGCTTGTTGGTATCGGCGGCTCCAGCAGCAGAGAGTCTAACCAAAGATGTGAATCTTCGATTGATTAAAACCTCTGAGTCTGAGGCTACTTGGATTAGTGAGGAGGACAAGATTACCAAATATGTTGCCAAAAACATCAACTTCATTGATATAACCGACATCAAGGTAAGAATCCACCTGCAGTAGAGAATTAATGTCCGCTAATGAGATTATAGGATCCTGAAGTGCTAGCAAATCTTAACGGCGAGAGTGAAGTCAGATTGACAGCGGCCGCTGCCGCTGTTGTTTACCCTACCAGTCTTTCTCACACCGCAGAAGCCAATACAGCGATTGCCAAAATCAATCAGACCAACCAACAAGGATGGTTAACAACTTTGACTGAGTAAGCAGATTCTTGCACTTGATCAGCATGTTTTTAACAAGGCACAGGTTCTATACCAGATACTACAGAAGTGCAACTGGTACTCAATCATCCACTTACCTTTTCAACACGATCACCACTATTGCTGCTGCCAATCCAGCCATCAAAGTGACCAAATTCACACACTCGTTCAACCAACCTTCTATTATTGCCAGAATTCCTGGTACCTCTACCAACCTCGGTAAGCAGAGGAATCTAGTTAAGATGAGGTGACTTCGCTAATGAACAAAGTGATCATTGGTGCTCATCAAGATTCCGTTGGAAGCACTTCAACAGGACGATCTCCAGGCGCAGACGACAACGGAACCGGAAGCGTCACCATCTTAGAAACCTTCCGAATCCTAGCCTCCTCTAAATTCGCACCAAAGAACACTCTCGAGTTCCACGTAAGCACCTCATCTCCAGCCCTTGAACAAAACTAACCATCCCCAGTGGTACGCCGGAGAAGAAGGCGGTCTCCTCGGTTCCGCAGGTATCTTCGCCAACTACAAAAGCACAGCCAAAACCGTCCTCGCCATGCTCAACCAGGACATGACAGGTTACTCCCCCGCCGGAAAACCAGTGGTCTACACTGATTACACCAATGCCGCGCTTACCACTTATCTCCGTCTCATCGTCACCCAATACACGGGTATCACTCCATTGACCAGCACATGCGGCTACGGATGCTCTGATCACGCAAGTGCAACTTCAAATGGATTCCCAGCAGCCTTTGTTCATGAGGAGATCTTTGCGACTAGTAACCCGAAAATTCATAGTGCGAGTGATACTCTCGCTAGTGTGAATTGGTCGGCGGTTTTAAGACATACCAAGGTAAGCTCTTACCCTGACAATCTCTCTTTGTTCACAACACTGACTTTTGAATCTAGCTCACCGTCGGTTTCGCAATCGAGGCTTCTTACTTGTGATTACGCTTGAATGGTGGGGGGCACAATAGAAAGGAGAATATAGATTAAAAAAATGAATAATGCTTTCACATACGACCATAGATTGTGGAAAATAAGGCATCCCGTCCGCTCTGCCATCTTCAAGCCACAAATCGGCAGATTAGTAGTTGGGTGGGTGACCACCAGCGAATACCTTCTGTTGTATGTTTTGTCCCTCTGAACTTTTTCTTCCTGGGATTATTGGTGGGGAGGGTGCCGAGAGGGAGAGATGGGCTCGCGAGAAACAAAGGAGGTGTTAGAACCTTTACTCATTTTATTGAGCAAGTGAGCAGGGGATTCTGATCATCATCTCTTACTATACGGAAAACATAGTGTTTCGTCAACTTAAACGTGAGAAACTCACGTTTCACTACTATTTACTTTGTCTACTGCGACAGTGGTCATGGTCTGGACAAGCATTTGTTACATGGAACTGAGAGTTTGGTGATAAGAGTGGAACATGTGAGGTCTCTGAGAAGAATGTGGGAAACAAGTGTTCATTAGTTTGGTTTGGTTGGTTTCATGAAAATCATCGTAACTTCCACACAACACATAGTATCTTCATGAAGCACTTCCTGGTCGAAATATACGTTTGGAGGCTAGTGTTTCTTTCTAAAGTACAAGAGAATATTATATTCTTCCATTCATGTACTTTGACTGGTGAGGACTCGGTTTGATGGACATTCGAAGTTCATGTTGAAGTTCATGTAGCAGAGGCTTGAAGTAAAGTCTATGACAATGTTTCGTTGTGGTTATACATTGAAGAAGCGTAGATGTTTTCGGGCAGTAGATATTTATGAAGGGATAAGCATAATGAGTTTGCTCTTCACTTATCGCAGTGTAATCATGACAATGCGGTCCTTGCGTTCCTTTAGTGTGAGACTACGACCTCTGCCCACTCTTCGTCATCACATCCTCCACTCCTTTTTGAACACGTATGCTTGGGACCTCTCAAACCGCTGATTCTTTCTCTTCGTAGAGAGCTCGCAATATTCCACAGACACCACCAATACGATGTAAATGGTCTACAAGTTGACACATGTCTTTTGATATCACAAATAAGTTGGACTCTTGTTCTTTATATTCTATTTATGCAACAGAACTAGCATCCTCTTTGTCCATCCACATATCTCGTTGCTTTTTACCTAGAGTAACTGACCCTTCTCCATATGAACAAGCACAAAAAAGTGCAACAAAACAGTCAACTCAAAATCCAACCCCCCACCTCTCCTAATCTCTAAAATATTCTCTCCACCCGCAGCACTTTTCCGCGTCATCGCCGCGAATTGGTACTCCGGCCCCCTTGGAACATGTACGAAGCCCGATTTCGGCACAAAAGGAAGTTGTCCACACCACCACAGTCGATATATCGGTTCTGAAGAGATCTCCCACGAGAAATTATGTGTTATAGCTGCTCTACCCGGAACCGTGATGATCGGAATTGGTGAAACGATGCCGGTGAGTAAGACAGTGCTACTGCGGGTTAACGGCCACCAGGTCGAGTTAGGATCGTGAGGTGAGGAGACACATGTTGTAGCTGCTGGTTCGGTCTTACTCTTCTTAGGATTGGTGGATAGTCGCGCGGCTGCGATGGCGGGAAGATTGGGGTCATTAGCTGGGAACACTTGGATGTCGCCTAGCTTGGTGGAATCTGACACGAGCTCGATGCGGTATATGGGGGTGGGATCGATTGTTAGAGAAACGTGATAGCTCGTTGGAGAATCACGGACGACCGTGAAATAGTCTACCTGGCCATCCTTAACTGAGCACGTGTTTATTGTGCCTGCGATTCGGTTGGTTGTAGTTTGAATACTAGTAGGTGTGGACTTTTCTTCAGAATCGTGCTTTTCTGAGTAAGGTGGTAGTTCTGATGGGTTGTGTGACATGTTGAGTTGTGATGTTGGTATTGAGTAGGTCTTGAAAAATATATTTTTGAGTTGATTCGTGCAAATGGATTGAGTGCTTGATGATGTGTTGAAAATGTATGCATTTCTAAGTGTTTTATAGCAATAGATCCAGTTACGAAAAACACAAGATATCTAGGTGATCTTCTTTAATTCTTCTCGGTGAGAAGCTACCTCACTCAACTATTGACTCAGCCATAGAAGGAGGCTGTGGGAGCTCGAAGTGCCTTGCCTCGAGGAAGTTGGAGGAACAACGTTTCAGCGGCAAACCTTCGATTGCGTTGTCGAACTACCCACCATTGAATTCAAACACATGTGCAAACCTTCCATCTGGGAGATAGCCGCTTATAATCCTGTTGGGTCATACCCGGCCCTTTTCGAATGTTGCTTTCATAATACCAACATTCGCTTAATTTGCACGTTGTGTTACAACACTTTCCATTGGTTAGACCAGCAACTTCAAGAATCCTACCAACAGCTTCAGAAATCCTACGAGATAATCGATAAAGGTTATCGCTTGCTGACCTCTTGGCTCGCCGCCCCTTTTGTGCTTACAGCATACCTCGCTTAATTTCCACGTTGTTTTACACTAGGCCGTGATTGGGTTGAAGTGCGTATATCTTGTACAAACTCAAGAGAGCATAATCAGAGGATTGTCTCTCTGCTGAAACTCTCGTGCTCTCGGGGACTGCTAGAGAATTTCTAAGGACCATCCCCCTGACGCCTTTACACTGCTGCGGTGTCTCACACGCGGCGGATCCTGAAAGATCATCGCTGAAAACCACTCTGTAGGTTAACTTTATGATACAATCTGGCTAATCTGTGCGAGAATTTACCGCTGATTTCATGTAATTCCATGATAATCATACAATCGAGTAGGTGCTATAGGAGAGATGACATAACAAGGATTCTAGGAAATACAGTAATACAATGCTCACCACAGGTCTGGGCGATTATTGATGCTTAATCAGCGTCTTTTACTATCAGTTGGTCCTCGTCTCTCGGTAAATTTTAATATCTACGTCTTACAAATTTACTACCTACTACATCTGGATTCTGAGGGAAGGAAGGCTATCTGCCCAGACTACTCTTTGGGGGAATATGGTTGTAGGCATTTTTGGAATAAGCAATATAACACAAATGTATTGGCTGTATGCTTCTATGCAGGGATGACTCTTGAAGAGGTGAGGTACCCTACAGTATGAAGGCTGTTCCGTGTAAAGAGGCTGGAGTCAAAACCGCGTGCTTAGCTTTCACAGATATTCTCGTGGACGGTCCGTCAACCCGTGAGTTTGTTCATGTACCTAGCCACCAGGACCTCATCCATTTCACTCTTACCACGAGCCCAAGCAAAGATGATGATTCCAGACGCTCTATTCTATGTGGAATGGATACCATTATGAAATATTCCTTGTAAGAAAAGTATTTTTACAATTTGTCGTCAGGAATATGCTGCTCAATAGGTACATGGGCACATGCTCTGGGACTTCTGATAGCTGTCATAGGAGCTTTTGTGCCTCTGACTCTCTGGATCCGCTCTACTGAAGGAACTCACTTGCCATGGGACTTATTTTGGTAGAGCATTAGGATTATGATCCAAAATCCGAGTTCATCATGAGCCTCTTTGAGGCGGAGAGGAAGTCACAATGGATATGGATTGAGAACGTAACGGTCCTCTTGATGAACAAAATGTACGAGAAGTAACAAGTTACCAACATATAAGATGGCGCTGAGCAGACTCATTTGAATAGAATCATCAGCATCAACAGTATCAACAACAATTACAACATCTACACACAAACAACAAGTTCTACCAATTTTCTTCCAAGTCTCTAGTCAGCAAATCACTTCTCTCTACCCACCTCAAACTATCATCATGCGTCTCAACGTTGCAATGCTCTTCGCTCTTGCGACCACCACACTCGTCGCCGCCAAGCCAGTCGACGAGCCAGTCAAATGGAACGACAGAGACATGGAAGCACTGTAAGCACCCAACATGCACTTAAGAACTCAGAAAACTAACATAACCCAGCTACAAAATCGGTGCAGTCGGCTGTGCCGTCGGCGCCTTCATTTGCAACAAAAACGGACAAGTCCTCGGACAAGACGTCTTCCTCGGTACCGCATACTGCTGTGCAGGCATGGCAGCCGCCGTGACAGCTTCTCAGGGCCCTCGCTTCAAGGAGTCAATTGCGGCTGTCGGTGCTAAGGCCAAGGTTGGCAAGGACGGTATAGTTGCTGGTGGAAAGTATGCTGTTAAATGTGTCAAACATGTGTGCAAGGTTGTGGCCAAGAAGGCTACAGGTGGGAAGAGATCGATTGATGGGTCTACCTTCCAGGGTGAGGTTCATGTTCCGTCTGAGGATGGGTATATCGTTGCGAGATTTGTGGAGGTGGAGGAGCGCGAGTATGCTGAGGATGATGCGCTTCTTCCTCAGATGGATAAGAGTGGTAAGAAACATCAAGAGTAGGGTGTCTTTGGGATTTAAGAACTTGAGGTGAACGGTGTTTGGGATGCATTTGTTATGGGGCTGGAGCGAGCATTGGGCTGGAGTAAGGAGAGGGCATTGAGATATGGTTTTGATTTTGGGTTTCGGGTTTTAACTTTAGTCACTCGTTTGAATTGGTGTATATAGAGATAGGTCTGGACAGCATCATAGGAGTTAGTAGGAGAGCCTGAATCAATTTATTCCGACAAACATAACTTTTCTTGAGCAAATACATCTGAAAACGCATTATGCATGTTCTAAGAGACTGTGATCACAACACAATCTATTCTTGCACTTCGTGATTTACATAAGCTTCTCTTAACCGAGAGATATTTTATGTCAACAACTCTCCAGAAATCACTTTCATATTCGTTTATGTTGTACAACTTAACGAGTTGCCTACATTATAACTTGGAAAATGAGTGAATAAATCTATAAATCGACCCAAAGCCGATCCCGTTCAACTGATTTGACAAAGGCTGGGGACCAAAACACTGAAGTGACCATTCGACAATAATGTAAGCGAATCTTCACGTTACGTCAAAACTAATTACTTTTCAACTATATTAAATTAATATTAATTTATGTAAAGAGGTACATGATAAACAATCTTGTCTGAACCCGAAAGGATAAATGAGAAAGAAAATGATACCTTCCCAACAAGCTCGTGACTAAAATAAGCGAATGAATAGGGGGAGATGCGGGGACTTTGAAAGATAGTTAGCACACCATGAAAGTATTCCCTTACTATATAATTCAACGTCAGGTACAACAGTACATCGCTATACTTCATGAACACACATCGAAAAACGAGATTAATTCTCAATCTCAATACCCTTGTACCCAATACCGCCAGACAGAGTCTTATCCAACCTTCAACCCTTACCCGCGGCGCGACCCCTAAAACCACATGAAATTTCCATCCCTCAGAGCTTCACTATCATAAAAACCACAACAACCCTCACAATGTCAACCTCCAACTACACCCCCTTCCCCTCCTCCCTCCCTTCAGCCCAGCCATCCACTAACCCCCACTTCCTCCCCATCATCCGTGCATTCCTCCCTATCCCATCACACAAAAAGACACTAAGACGCTCGCGAATCTAGCTCTTCACACAGGAATTAGCGTGTTTGCTTGATCGCGGGTGTTGTGAGTTTGTGAGTTCCTCTTACACTGGCTTAGGGGGAGGGCTAATGGGGTAGTGCGCTCCTTCTGAATTGGATATTGGATTTTAGGGTTTCGGGGTTGGTTACGTTGGTTTTGGAGGTGTAGAGGCTTGGGGTGGTGTGGTTTGTTTTCGAGGAGGAAGAGGTATGTGGACGTGGAGCGAGATGGGAGGAATAAGACGAGAGGCCGTGATGGCTCAGAGGTTTGAGTTGTGGATCTGGGGGATGTGAGGGTTTGTGGACGTCTTTTCCATGAAGTCGTCTGGAGCGAGGACATTTGATTACTGCTTTTTTCCAGCGAAAATACCCTCTTGTTTGTTAGATTTGGAAGATACCTTTGAATTTCTGTATCCGGTAGTTACATTAAAATTATATTGAGGTCACGCAGACAGGCAAAGGAGCAAGAAAAGGAATGATAGGGTTTCTGAGTGAGAAGGACGAGAGTATCCACCGCGAACAGCGCGCTGAGAAAGAGTCATGGCAGAATATCGCTGTTCCATTTTTCAAGCAGACAGACTTGATCTCGTACAACCTACGAGATATACACCTTCTTCAATTCCTCGACATCAAACACATCACCCGTCCTCAAATCTTTGACCCTACCCGGCGCCAACCCAGCTTTCCTACTATACTCCTCCAAACGTCCCGTCCCGTACACCCTCCGATTTGGCAACAGAACCAAATCACTTTCCACATGACTCGATGTGTGATGTGCCCATGGTACATTCCTAGCTAGGTCATTGACTTCCGTAGAACAAATTGGGCAGATGGAGGTTGTGATGCTTGAGTGTGAAGTGGGCGAGATGGAGGAGGAAAGATGTGACGAGTGACACGAAGGAGTTTTCAGTGCCGATAAACCGGCTGAGAGGGCGATATGTAAGAGTGGTGCGGAGGGGAGGGAGAGGAGCAAATTATGAGTTTCCATAAACTTGTTTGCAAGGGTCGTCCATCTCTGGGGGCTGTATAGCTGTGTATATATCTCCGCTCGAGTGCCCGGTGGAAAGGCAAGAAGACCGCATGCTTGAGAGACCTCCTTCGGATAGGTTTCTTTATAAGGAATGAGGAACTTTTTGGCATGCGTTATTGCCTCAATTAGTTTAGCGGGATCTTGTGTTCTAACTAATTCGATATACTGTTGGAATCGGAGCATAAATTCGAAGTTACTCTGTTGCACTAGTTAGCACTTGTATATATGCTGGGTTGATTCGAGCTTACCTCCATCTTTCTCAAATCCTTCTTGTTTTCAGAACACCAACTCAAAGCTTCATTGACCCTCCCACACCTCAAGCTTTCCCTGATTTTGCTCATCTTGAGGAATGTCTCAACATCCACTAGTTCCTCTATACCTCTCTCCTTCGACAGCACAGATGCACTCTCCTTGTACCCGTTTCTCAACATATAATCGACCAGTAAACGGTCCAGTCTCGTTCGACTCCATTGCTCGTATTTGACATCTTCATAACTCTGCATACCATATAGTTCGGCCAAGTGCTTTATGCGACTCGCAGATTGTTGCTGCAGTCTAGCTTCTTCCTCTTGACATTCTGTGAGTTTACGTTTCAACCCTCTCATGCGAGCCAGCATTGAATCAACATTCTTCAGGACTTCATCTGGAGAGGAGTTGGCGTCTAATGAGGAATTGGCTAACTCGCGAAATGAGGTTTTGACAGCGCTACTGTGGAGTTCGACACTACGTTGGGCGACTTTGAAGTTCTTGCGGAGAAGCTCGAATGGGAGACGGAGGAGGGGTTGATCCTATAATGGAGATTAGTTGAGCTCCTGGCACAGGAAATGACCTGTCAAGAAGGTGCTCAGCATACAAGAATCAGGTGTGTTTCTGGGTTCAGCTTTGAAGGCTTGTGATCTGCCATTTCGACTGTCGTGATAGATGTTGCGGAGGTTTGTCTGCGATATCCTGATGCGGTGTCTAACGAGGGTCGAGCTCCAAGAGAGGTGATATTCACAGTCTGAACTACTAATATTAACCCATCCGGCTCACAAGTATACTGAATCAGATGTGGATTACCAAGTACGACGTCTCAAACGCTCGGGTTAAGTGATGTTTACAAAAAGTTGGGTACTTGGGTGAAGTCGTTTTCAAGCTGTCTCGGACGAGCTCGGGCTTGAGGTACGAAAGTTACAATCGTTATCGCGACGTCAGTACGGTGGACTGCAAACGCCATGTGCTCAACTTTTTCAACGGGGATGAACACGATATTATTTCAACTCATATGGTAAAATGTCATATAGGTAGTATATGAATTGCAATTAAGACGTTTCGCCTATTTCGATATGGACAAGATTAAATGTGCTCACCTATGCTTAACCAAAATTTCAGTTGGCATATTAAGGTTGGTTAGAGTTACTCCTATTATGGTGTACAAGGTGAACTGAGTCGAAACCTTAATCGTTTGGCAATAAAGATTATTCTGAATTGTACGATATTTACAGAAGTTTAGAAAAAGAAGCCACAGAATACCGCACCATTCTGGCTTAAGTTCTGTGGTGTCGCTGCAGATTGTCGTCCAAGTAGATAATACTGGTTTCTTGGACCAGGTGTAGTAGCTCACTGAGACTGCAGTAGAGGGAATAGTCGTGAGGCTATGGGGAAAAACTAACCGTCTCTTAAGAAGATTACTATGCTACAAGACTTTGATTATAAGAAGTTACACTACTGTTAGCTTATACGGACTTCTTTCACATGTCTATTGTCCGAACTTCAGAAAATCACCCAGGAAAGAGACCGGCTAAACGAGTAGAGATGCATCGGCTGCTGCCCACCAAAGTCGACCTGGAGTAGGAGAGGATTAAAAGCAACTTTGAGGTATGGTAGAAGATTGCAACAATGCAATGATCCTTATAGGAATCAACAAACGAAGGTGTTGTACCTCAGCGACGAAGTGTTTCCCTCTGCCCCTCTTCCCAGCCTTTCGAGAATCGTAGTAGCTCGGAGGCAGGAATAAGATTTCCCCGGTCCGCTAATCACACCCTCATTTAACCGAACGAATCACCATGCCTGATGACCAAGAGGTGGCTTCCACATCAGGCAAGCGTGTTTTCGGCCACACCACAGTCAAAACTCAACACCTGACCACTTCACGTGTTCCCCTCCTCTTTTCCTTTCTGATATCGACCAAAAAACCGACGATTGTAGACCAGATATTGACCTTGCGTTCAACAAGAGGGTGTTCTCTGTGTCTCATCACTGCATCCTTCATCATACTGATATTCTCTTCCATCCTGGTTTGCACAAGCCTCGTCCACCAATTCGCTTCTACCTTTTCGAGCAGGTGATCAGCTCGTGATCCCAAGTCAGCAGACTTCCGTCCATCGCAACCATCAATAATACAAGGAGATTCGCATCGACCATCAGACCAAATTGTCATATTTGATGCTCGACTAGATCTTCTGTTTCGACAGCCGTCAAAAGGGAGCTGCAATCAACCTTTTCTGCGCGTTGTGGACATATCTTTGTCGCGTCGCATTCGCAATAGTAGGAAAGTCGGGAGGTCAAGATAACAAGACGTGCAAGGTATGTTCGATGCCTAACTGCTTTCCTCTACCCCCCAGCCCCAGATTCGCTTGCGCCGTACTCATATCCACCCACCACATACTATCATGTCACCAATTCCACAACTCGTGGAACAGTGAGATTATACTTTTGGTTCGTGAGTGATGGGCGTAAGAGCGCATCTCCAACGGCATACGGTTTCACGCGACATATGATTTAGGTCACTCTTGCTCATCGTCCAACGGCCGGACTTCACCGCGTCTGTCGTTGGGCGAATGCCAGTGCGCGTCAACCTCTTGTCACCGGATCGCAAACACAGAGTTGCTCTGCTACTGCTTCTTCCCTTTTTGTTACCACGACGTCGCCGTCGCGCTGAACATCTTGATTTCATTTGTACTGCACTCCGGCGCTCTCCTGCGGCCGTTTGAATGCCTGATATCCGGGAGGTCAACGACCTTTCCTGCTCCAGAGGAAGTTGCCTGTTTTGCGCCAGATGTCGTCAAGACCTTCCTTGTTCTTACAGACAGCTCGCTGAGGATGGGCTGCGTGTTTGTTAGAGCAGCAGCAAGTGCTTGCAATCCAGTTTCGCCGTCTCATCCACTGTCAATATCCAGTTGCTGTGTGCTACATCAACTGCAATGACACGTGCTAACCTTGTAGGTATCACTCTAAGAAGCACAGAAACGTTCGTTTCGAGAACTCGTGGGTGAACTACTGCATCAGAGCGTTTCGAGAACATTGGTCAGTCGAATCAGCACTATTTGTCGTGTAGTCTAGGATCAAAGGACTTTTGATCGTAGTACCTGTACAAAGCTCGGCCGAACACGTCACTTACTGCTCCGAACAGTCTTCAGATTAGGCTCAGCATTAAATCTACCAGCCTACCCCTTCGAGGTCATCTGCGCCTCGTGGAGCCCTATCAGTCGATACATACGAATCGTACCCCAGCGCGTCACGAACTATACACATATCTTCCAAGATGGCTGACATGACAATCAACGAGTCAGGCTTGCAGGAAATTGCCAATGCCATGCGACAGGATGCAATTATGGAAGGACACAACAACATGCAGCACAAACGAAAGCGCGACTCGGAATCAGCTGATGACACGAGACGCAAGCGTGTGTCCCCCAACTCTGGAGAAACTTTACAGGATTTTAGTGATCTTCACCACCAAGGTGACCAGAATGGATCCTCCGAGCATGCCTCTGCAACAGCTGCCGCGGCACTTCAAGGAATCTATCCTTCCATGAGCATTCCTCAACCCACCGAAGTAACTTTCGCTACCCAAGGCTCTGACTCTGATCGCAATCCTGATGCTTCTTTCATGAACGATAGTCAAGCAGGAGAAAGCTTTATGGAGCAATCTCAACCTGTACGCGCGCCCAAGCCTGCTGTGGGATCCGATGAATGGCACAAAGTGCGGAAAGACAATCACAAAGAAGGTAAATTATCAGCCCATTTAACATGTCAATAGTGATGCTAAGCAAACTGCAGTGGAACGTCGCCGCAGAGAAACCATCAACGAAGGCATTAATGAACTTGCCAAGATTGTACCTGGATGTGAGAAGAACAAGGGTTCTATTCTTCAACGTGCAGTGTCTTTTATAACACAGCTCAAAGAAAACGAGACCCAAAATATCGAAAAGTGGACGTTGGAGAAGCTTCTAACAGAGCAAGCCATTGCGGAGCTTAGTGCCAGCAACGATAAGCTCAAGAGCGAATGCGAGCGTGCCTGGAGGGAAGTGGAAACCTGGAAAAAGACTTGCCAGCTTGCGGGAATAGATCCAAAGAAGGAGCTTGAGAACTAGAGTTTTCATCTGGCTCGATGGGCGGTTGCTCACACTGCAACCATGCGGTGTTTACGACTTCGATAAAGATGATACCCACAACGATTGACGATTTCGTCTGTCGATGATCCTTCTTGTATGGACTTTGCCTTCATTATTGATTCTAATTGGAGATGTACAGTGAAAATGTCGATAGATACAGCATACCAGCTGCCTTCTTTCGTTTGACGTATTTCGTACAGAAAAGAGGGAGGATTTTTGTGATGATGACCAGAACGCTAGACCGAAACGTCGGAGGCTTTTTCTGAATGGACCTGGCGTATTTTTATGGATTTTTTAACAAATGAATTGTGCCTCTATTTAATCCTAATGTGTATTGTGACCTGTGCTTTGATCGAGCTCTTGTTGAGTGAAAAGCTGAACGATGATTATACCATGATTATTCGGAGAATATGATAAGGTGTCTGAGGCGATCGTTTCTAATCGATTATAGGCCGGAGTGATAATTTCAATAGTGTTTATAAACAAATCTACGGATTTGGGGCTGAAAGTCAACGATAGAGGAGGCTGAAAGAAGCTTGAGCTATGACACCGAGGCTCTCCAATCATTTGGACAGGATTTGACAAGATCGTCATACAGCTGCTTTCTACATTGGCGGAGCCGTTGACAATACGTTAGATTAAATCTGTACGACTAAAAGATACACATGATGGGGAAAATAAGGCGATAAATGACCTTTGATTATAAGGGGGGTTAGAATCTAGACATGAATATGCCACTCCCCGCATAACCGTTTGTACAGGGGTAAGCTCACGGCTTTGTCATGAACTGGAGGCGGTGGGAGAAGCTACCTAGTTCACCGGCAGGCTGGCGCCGACTCGACATTCTCCACCACTGACGCGCATTGTGTTCGGGTTTACATAGTCGACACGAGAAAATATATTTCATCTGGTCGATAGATACATTCCATCTGAAGTTTTGTATTTCGTATTCTTCCTAATACCCTATAATTAGCCCCCCGATCCAAACAAAAGCCTCGGTATCACCATATCGCCTCGCAAACAATATTGTGGAGAAATTATAATATCACAGACTTCTCGGGCTTAAGATCACGAAGCCATCCGCCATGGGCGGCGCCGCTCAGAAACCTCTTTATAGCACAGGATCCTTTACTGGTTTCCACCGCGAATCGATAAGCAAGCTGGGAGCAGGTTATCTATCCGCGGAGCCACATACCAGACAGCCATTATGTGCAAATGCAGAGGGATGGGGTCCGTTGAGTAAATACAGATATGACTTCACGCCATGTTTTATGGATGTGTGGGTTGCGACTGTTGCGGCATTTGGTGTTATAGGAGGTGCGGTTGCGATCTGGTGGCTGCTGAAAAAGAAACAGAGCTTTGTTGTGGAAAAGAACTGGCATTTCTGGAGTAAACAGGTCAGTTATTTCCGAGCATCATGATGTAGAGGCTGTGAGAGATGTGGCAAAGTTAAGGATGTGTCGCTAACTCATGGTGACACCAGGCGCTGATTATTGCAATTGCCCTCTCGGTGGCGGTTCAATTCGGATTCCAAGTCATTAACTATCCTGATGTTTGGGCGGAAGATTTTCGAGCCTGGGCTAGCATACTTACAATTGTGTCTCTCGGATCCATATTTACCATCCAATGGCTCGAACATAACCGATTGCGAAATCCTAATGGAGTAGTGTTATTCTACTGGCTTCTTCTACTCATTGCGCTCAGCGTCAAACTACGAAGTTTGATTTCGCAGAAGTTATATCAAGAAAATGAGGGATATTTTATTGCATACTGTGTTGCCTACGGACTTTCATGGGTTGAGTTCGGTTTGGAATGGCTTGTTCCGAAGAAGAAGAGCGAATACCAGGCTTTGGAGGACGATGACGAATGCCCGGTTGAATATGCTACGGTCTTTTCAATCCTTACATTTGGTTGGATGACACCTATGATGAGATATGGATACAGCAAATATTTGACCGAGGAGGATTTATGGAATCTTGCGAAGAGAGATACAACGAAGGCTACATCCGAAACCTTCAGCGAGTCTTGGGCACATGAGGTGGAACAAAAGAAGAATCCTTCATTGTGGATGGCTCTTTTCAGGTCATTTTCCGGGCCATATTTTAGAGGAGCTCTTTTCAAAATCGTTTCCGATACTTCTGCTTTCATCCAGCCCCAACTTTTGAGACTCCTCATCACTTTCGTGGACTCATATCGTCCAGGTAAAACACCGCAACCGGTCATCAGAGGAGCTGCTATTGCTTTGGGTATGGCTGCTGTGTCGATCACCCAGACAATTGCTTTGCATCAGTACTTCCAGCGTGCCTTTGAAACTGGAATGAGAATTAAGACAGCACTGACAGCAGCCATCTATTCGAAATCACTGAAGCTCTCCAACGAAGGAAGAGCAGCAAAGTCAACTGGTGACATTGTCAATTATATGGCTGTTGATACACAACGTCTCCAGGATCTGTGTCAATATGGTCAGCAACTGTGGTCTGCACCATTCCAGATTGTCCTTTGTATGGCAAGTTTATATCAGCTCGTTGGCTGGTCTATGATGGCAGGCGTGGGAGCTATGGTTTTGATGATACCTGTCAATGGATTTATTGCTCGTTTCATGAAGACTCTGCAGAAAGAACAAATGAAAAACAAGGCATGTCGATATTCCGAGAAAATGTTGTTTTGAAATTGACACTAATTTACCTATAGGACTCGAGAACCAGGCTCATTGCAGAGATTGTCAACAACATGAAGAGCATCAAATTGTACGCATGGGGAAGCGCATTTATGTCTAAGCTCAACTATGTTCGAAACGACCAAGAATTGAAGACTCTCCGAAAGATTGGAGCTGCTCAAGCTATTGCGAATTTCACATGGTCCACCACGCCATTCTTGGTCTCATGTTCTACATTTGCTGTTTTCGTTCTCACGAAAGACACGCCTCTCACTACAGATATTGTTTTCCCAGCTTTGACTCTTTTCAACATGTTGACCTTCCCGTTGGCCATCTTACCAATGGTCATCACTTCCATCATCGAGGCTTCTGTTGCGGTAGGACGTCTAACGTCATTCTTTACCGCTGAGGAGCTCCAGCCTGACGCTGTGGTTGTTCGAGGCGCAGTTGAGGAGAACGGGGAAGAGGCTATTTCTATTAGAGACGGTACCTTTTCATGGGATAGACATCAGGAACGAACAGCATTGGAAAACATAGACTTCACTGCGAACAAAGGCGAGCTTTCTTGCATTGTAGGACGAGTTGGTGCAGGCAAGTCATCATTCCTACAATCACTTCTCGGAGATCTATGGAAAGTCCGAGGAGAGGTTATTGTTCATGGGGCTACCGCATACGTGGCTCAACAAGCTTGGGTGATGAATGCTAGTGTCAAGGAGAACATAGTGTTTGGTCATCGATGGGATGCTAACTTTTACGACAAAACAATCAAGGCTTGTGCTTTGACAGAGGACTTTGCTCAATTACCTGATGGAGATGAGACTGAAGTGGGAGAACGTGGTATCTCGTTGAGTGGAGGGCAAAAGGCACGATTAACGCTGGCAAGAGCTGTTTATGCTAGAGCTGATATCTACCTCCTTGACGACGTCCTATCCGCAGTTGATCAACACGTTGGAAGACATTTAATTGACAATGTTCTTGGACCGAATGGGCTTTTGTCTGGAAAGACAAGAATTCTCGCCACCAATTCCATTCCGGTCTTAATGGAGGCTGACTTCATTTGCTTGATTCGAGACGGGAAGATCATTGAGCGTGGAACATATGATCAACTTATGGCAATGAAGGGTGATATCGCAAACCTTGTTAAGACTGCTGGAACAGGAGACAACTCCAGTGAAGAAGTGTCAAGTAGTTCTTCGACTATCACCAGCGCCAGCGTCGAAGAGGATAGTCAGGAAAAAGCCGAGGAAATGGAAGAAGCTCAGGAAGGACTCGCTTCATTGCAGTCAATCAGACCTGGAGGATCGGGAGTGAAGAAACGCAAGGGGAGCTCTGCGACCCTGAGAAGAGCAAGTACGGCTAGTTTCAAGGGTCCGCGAGGCAAACTCCGCGATGAAGAGGAAAACCCAAAATCAAAACAAACCAAAGAGCATTCCGAACAAGGAAGGGTCAAGTGGAACGGTAAGCAACACGCTCATTTTGGTACTGTTAGAGACCAAAATCCCTTGCTAACGTTTGATAGTGTATGCCGAATACGCTAAAACAAGCAATATATATGCCGTCTTAATCTACGGCTTGATGTTAGTCGGCGCGCAAACAGCGCAAATAGGTACGCATTTTCTTGCATTTCCGAGATCTCGCAGCTGCGAGTCATTGTCAAGCTGCCAGATACTAGTGCCCTCCAGATACTGATTTTCTTGCAGGTGGAAGCGTGTGGCTTAAAAACTGGTCTGAGGTCAACGGCAAGGCTGGGAAGAATCCACAAGTCGGCAAGTACCTGGGAATATATTTTGCTCTTGGTATTGGTTCATCGGGTCTTGTTGTAGTGCAGACCCTGATCCTCTGGATATTCTGTTCGATCGAGGTAAGTAGCCGATGGCAACGGCGTCGTGCATTCTGCAAACGCGCTTGCAATTGCGCGGAAGCTAATTTGCATGTTCCGGCAGGCATCAAGGAAGCTTCACGAGAGAATGGCTTTCGCAATCTTCAGATCTCCTATGAGCTTTTTTGAGACGTGAGTAGTCATGTCTATATCTTTTCATCTTTCTAATTGCGCAACAGAACTCCCGCCGGCCGGATTTTGAATCGCTTCTCTAGGTATGTCAGACTCCGATTTTTCAGGTTATATCTCCGATGGTATGGGATTGTTAAACTCTAGATCGCCTAATCTTGTGCTGCGCTGCATTCCTTTTTCTGGGAACCGATCAAGTGCGGTGAGAGGCAGCCAGCCCAGTTTCAGGCGTTTTAGTGGTGGAGGCCAATCATTGCATAGTGCACGGCGGGAGAACTAGTGTCTCTTCACCCTGTAATGCAACGCTACAAAGCTCCATGTTTGTGGTTGTATCCCTACACCCAGATGACGAAGATAATTTTGTGTAGTCATGTATACCGAGGCTAGTTGACGCTGTTTTACTGACGTGAATCTAATTTGTAGTGATATTTACCGTGTCGACGAGGTCAGTTGAGCCCCTAATCCACACGCATATGCACAGACTGACTGACCATTGCAGGTGCTCGCCAGGACCTTCAATATGCTATTCGTTAATAGTGCTCGCGCGATGTTCACGCTTGCAGTTGTCTCAATTACCACCCCCGCATTTATCGCCCTCATCATTCCACTATCAGGTGTATACTATTGGGTCCAGCGTTACTACTTGCGGACGTCTCGGGAACTAAAACGCCTCGACTCTGTCAGTCGAAGCCCAATCTATGCCCATTTCCAAGAATCTCTCGGTGGCATCACCACAATTCGGGCATACCGACAGCAGTTACGTTTTGCCATGGAAAATGAGTGGCGGGTTGATGCAAACCTTCGTGCATACTTTCCTTCTATCAATGCAAACAGGTAAGTTCCTCACACCATCTTGTGTACAAGTGTGGCTGACCGTATCGGAGATGGCTCGCTGTGCGACTTGAATTCCTTGGCTCCATCATTATCTTTAGTGCCGCCGGATTCGCCATTATATCGGTTTCTACGGGCAGTGGTCTGTCCGCTGGTCTGGTTGGACTAGCCATGTCATATGCCCTTCAAATTACCCAATCCTTGAACTGGATCGTTCGTCAAACTGTCGAGGTTGAAACTAATATCGTGTCAGTGGAACGAGTTCTGGAATATGCACGACTGCCGAGCGAAGCACCCGAAGTCATCCACAGAAACCGGCCACCAATCAGTTGGCCAGCTAATGGTGCCGTTGAGTTCAAAAACTATAGCACGAGATATCGTGAAGGATTAGACCCGGTACTCAAAAACATCAACCTGGATATTAAACCTCATGAGAAGATTGGTGTTGTCGGAAGAACTGGAGCAGGAAAGTCGTCTTTGACGCTATCCCTGTTCCGCATTATTGAGCCGACGGAGGGGAATGTAAACATTGATTCGCTCAACACCTCTAGCATTGGTCTGCTTGACCTCAGACGGAGGTTGGCGATCATTCCACAGGATGCGGCTCTGTTTGAAGGCACCATTAGGGATAATCTAGACCCCGGTCATGTTCATGACGATACAGAACTATGGAGTGTTCTAGGTAAGCTTTCCATCCATGCTGAATTCACGATATTTCGGAGTGCATCTGTGTTGGTGGGATGGAGATGGTTCCGTAGCACCTCCGTGAGACGTGAAAGATCATATCTTGCAGGCGGCGATGTGATCATGCAAAAGAAGAAACCCAATGCTAACACTCCAACAGAACACGCCAGGCTAAAGGATCACATTGCGACTATGGATGGTGGATTGGAAGCCAAGATACATGAAGGGTTCGTTACTCCAGCTTCCATTTTCCATGCGTCATTTTCACGTTTCCCTTTCCTCCGCCTCACTTTTGAATCTGTATCACCCTCCATTTGCTTGCCAGCACATCTGTCCTACCGTCACATAACTATATACCACATGCGCTCTTCCCTTGAATTATTCCTGCTCCGTCTCCCCGATCCCTTCTAATCATTTCCTCCGAATCTCACAAGCGGAATTCTCACCCCCTTCAAATCACATCCCGCTGTTCTCCGCACTCCGCCTTATGTTCTCGCCCGACGATATAATCTCACCAAACATCGCACACGCTAACATATCACACAGCGGATCCAACCTCTCACAAGGACAACGCCAACTCGTCTCCCTCGCTCGTGCCCTTCTCACACCATCCAACATCCTGGTCCTCGACGAAGCCACAGCAGCTGTGGACGTTGAAACAGACGCCCTTCTCCAGACTACCCTGCGCAGTCCACTATTCGCGAAACGCACCATCATCACGATCGCTCATCGCATCAATACCATCTTAGACAGTGATCGTATCGTGGTACTAGAGCAAGGACGGGTGGCGGAGTTCGCGAGCCCAAAGGATTTGATGGAAACGAAGGGGTTATTCTATAAGTTGGTTAAGGAGGCGGGGTTGGAGGGGAATGTGAGGTAAATCCGCGAGGATTGAGGGAGAAGCGTGACACATTGTATATTTTATTGTTGGATATACAAAAAGCGTAAGCCTCCTTTTTTTTCAAATGAAGAAAGGGTTATCCAGAAATGAATCCGAAGGGATGATGGTGAATGGCGTGCGTGGTGTTTTGTGGTTGTGGAGTTTTTAGAAAACTTTAAATATTAAATGTAAAGACTAAATTGCATCGTTATCTGTGTGAATCCGTTTCTTTGGTCTTTCGAGGCATGTAGCTTCTGTGGTGTACTTGGTTATAAATGAGGTGAAGAAGAGGTAAGGAGGTTAGTTGAGGAGAGCCGTGTCTGATTAATGTCAATATGTGACGTGGGGTTTGTATCTTGAAAATGGCGAGAGGTGGGAATATCAGAGGTAAATATGGGAGTGTCTGGTTGACCGTTGATGCTCTTCAGTCTATGACTCTACCATGAGATTGCGGTATCTTAATATTTTTGTTCAGTTGAGGTTCATTCTGATGACTTCGTAGCTATGTGAAGTAATGATATATCTACCTGTAAGAAACTCACTACTTCAGTCTTTCATCCAAGCACATAATTCCGTGAAGTCGTTATACCTGTGACGAGACATCAAACCAAACACTCCTTTAAACATCGAACAGCTAAGCAACTCTCTTTTTTTCTCTATGCAAGGAGGGTCTGACTTATAAACCTGGCTGGGTATTCTAAACCCAAAACCCAGTCTACCCTCTCCACCACCCTCCTCGTCTACCACCCACTCCCCCCTCATCCCCCAATGCGGCTCACTCTCTCCCCATTCAAAATCGGAGACGAGAAAACCCCGCCCAAAACGCACGTAAAATCACTATATCTGACATACATACACACATCCACACACATTACACACGTAAAAGCCCCCAAAAGCAGTCACACTCGGAGACGAAAGAGAAATCGGGAGACGAAAATTTCCCCGCGTTTTTTCGTGCGGAAATGCGGTGAAGAAAGGACGGTTATGGTGCATGTGGTATGGGATGGATCATGGTTGGGATTGATGGGGAATTGAATGGTAGGAGATTGGGTGGTATGGTGGTATGGGATGGGATGATGTGGGTTTATTCTCCGAGTGAGTGTTGGAACAGGGTGATCGCATGGGATTTTTGGGGTGTGACTTGCGTTTTGGATGTGATGGGTTGAATCGACGATGAAAGTGTGATGTGTGAAGAGCACTTGAAAGGAGGTCAATAAGCTGTTCCTACGCGGGAAGTCACAGTCTGGCTTTGATTTTCAGAGGTTAGAGTAGAAAAGCTCTACATGCTATAATAACAATTACTTTTCCTTGAGTTTTGTTACTACGAGTATGGTTTAGCTGTCCGTTTACATCGATAAAAAGGGCATGACAAACAAATCTCCCAAGAACCAAGATGCTCGAAACATATACCTGTACTTATGAGCATAGGCTGTGTGTGATATCAGATTGGCCAGCCAGAACAAGCAATGTAAAACAAGATTGTTGAAGAAAATCCCTGGATCATGGGAATGGCGATCTAGCGAGTAACTGCATTGTTGACTTTCAAATGCAATAGGAGGGACGTTATCTCTTCGCCAATCTTACGCAGAAGCCAATTAGGGTTTGATATGGATATCTGGGGTTCTTCTCAACTAGCCACTGCCGGTCATGCGCGAAGTATCAGAGTAACTGCTCCGTCGCATGTGAGCAGGGCGTTCAACGAACTGCTCCGTCGCCTGAGTATGGGCAGAGCATTCGTCCCAGCTCTAACGATATCCTTGAGGGTAAGTTAAGATAAGCGTTTGTTTCCGGCTTTAATGGTATCCCCTGAGGATGAACAACCAAAGCCTTGAAGTATATCCATCGAACGTCCTCGGACAATACCGTTACCAGGAGCACGCCGAAATATGGAGAAGAAAGCGCCGGCACTTACAACTAAGCCTACAAAGCTCGGATAATTCAAAACCGATCATCGGCGTCTTGAAAGCGTTGTGATTCCCTGGATGAATGGTCATGCAAGCTGACACTTGTGCGACTCGAGGTTGACCACCGATTTTGCCATCCTGAAGCGTGATAGATAGCTATAGGCTACCGATTTCCATGAACTTGGGATCTGGTTACATTACAGGAGATGGCTCCGCAAAGAAGAGGATGGGGAGTGCTCGCTACCACTTTGGTGTCACCAACTTGTACAACAGCGGAACATAAGCTGCATTTCGAAGACTTCCAATCAAGCTCTTTCAAACATTTCGGAGCGGCAAGCTCGGGAAAATGTTGATAAAACAAATCCAGCCAGGATTTGACGCCTGATTCCCGATTCCTGAAGAGGTCCGCACTTCAACATGGATTCAAGTATTGCTCCGCTGGGCTGTAGATATAAGCCGAAGTTGATATACACCATCGAGCTGGGTTAAGGGATCAGCGGCGGGGTGGCCTTTCGAGTAACTTTAGCGCTGCAAGATGAATTCTTGACATGAGTTCCAGATTGACTTTCAGCCACTTTCTGTATTTTGACAACCTTTGTATGGTGAGCGGTGTGCCTCATCGAAGTGGCTTACTCGAAGCCTACCAAACCGATTCATTTACGGCGTTGTGGTGACCCTTTGCCTGCCTTCGAGTTGCCCGACATACGCTCGGACCCTCCTTCCGCGCAAAAACTTGGAAGAATTGATGATGGCAATCGGTGAGTGAGATTGGTTGTTTTCTTCTGCTGAAATATTGCACCCAAATGGAGAGCGATCTTTACTCAATCCAATTAAGGCAACAGGCAATAGTGGCGGCAATCGATAAAGGATTCGAAAGAGGGGAACGCCTCCTCTACCTCTATTTCTTGGCAGCTGATAGGGAAATATATTTTCGGGCTTTGTATTTGGCAAGACTTACATCATAAAACTTCTTGCGTCTCGCGAAGCTCAGAGCGACTGAACCGCCCGACACGCGCGTCCAATCGCCAAACAGCTGGATTCGTTGAATGCAAGATCGTGTTGTTATGGCGAACGCCGCATGTGAGAAGTGACTTGTCCCTTTGGTTGCTCCAAGTTCAGTTCAAGTTTCCTGATCGATCGACTGTTGCAGTATAGACTAGTCCTTGCAGAATGACGGGTAGTAGCGTGTCGGGGAGTGTTGCCATGCTCCGCGAGAGCATATTTGGGAATGTTCCTGTAATGTTCCTGTCGAGGGTCGACGCTAAACAAAGAGTTTTCAATCGCGTGTCTTGCAGAGGCAGAAGATTGCATATTGCAGTTGTGGATCGATTTCCGGAGACAATTCCGAACTGTATGTCTTAGAATTCGGCGTTGGATGGCGGACATGCGTATGTCCTCATGCAGCATGTTGGATCACTGGCTTTCAGATAGATGTGTGGAGGTACAAGAAGTAGAGGAGGGGTTGGAAAAAGTTGGTCGATTCAGGGTCTTGGAATATATTGAGGCACGTGTGAGGGTTGCAGACATGAGTTCAGAGTAGGTATCAGGCAGCAAGGCAGAACGAATTTGTCCTGCGGTTGAAAAAGGTTTGCTGACTCAGCCGTCATTGGTACCAAAAGTGGGCCTCAGAAACCAGACCAGAGTTGATGTCGAAGTCGCCGACTTCAAAAACTGCGCATATTTACCCCTTTTCGACTACGACAATATGGTGACATTATGCCGGTTGGTGCTGTTATTACTGAAACAACTTGAACCTGTTGCTGTCATCAATGCTACCTGGCTCACGGTCACGAGGATGAATGAGGAGTAGCACCGCATTGCCTTCGAAGATCCTCATCAATTGAGAAGAGAGTATCGATACTATACTCTCTAGTTCATAGAAGCCCACGCTGAGCGTTTTACGATACCGTGAGAGTCGAACTGTGGTACCGTATACACTAAATCACATCTGGTGAGCAATGCCGTGGGGGGCCTATAGCGCATAGAATAACGTGGGATGACGACTCCGTATTGCTGGATCAAACGCCCTTGCATGCCGCCGGCTTGATGTCTCTGGGGTATTTTGAGCACTTCGGACGAATTGAGGGGATGTCAAGCCGGTGCGCATTATCCTTCAATTTCCGCCTTGGACACTTTGAGCTGTACGATGTACTAGCCATGTTCGGTAGAGCCTGGCAGTGGCAGAAGAGAGAGACTTTTGTTGAGCTGCTTACCTACAGTACTCGAGTATCAGATATATTGAAGACGTGAAAACTCTCACGTATCCGTACCGACAGAAGACTTCGCACAGTCCGTCCACGCAATCTCAACACATCAAAATCTGAAGTCTCGGCGAGCAGGACCCACAGCGGTGTGTTCTAAAGATATTGATCGACTCGGTCAAACAGACCGCCGGTACCATAGTGGCGCCATTCTGATCTCACGATCCAAAACTCAGTTTGAAAGCGGTTCGCTTGGTGTTTACCAGGTGAAGTTGGGGCAAGACCACAAGCGAGGCAAGGAAGCCGCTGTCAATAATGTCAGGGCCAGCGTGGTGTCTCAATACGGATGTGCTAACTTAGGACGACAGACGCACGCTCCAGTAGAGCGCTTGGTACGGCGATAGTTACTACTCTTGATCTAGTACAATTTTGTACCTGATGCGTTTGAAGCATTTGCATTTTTCAAAGATCGACGATCGGTCGGCTGTTGACGACTCCTGAATCTAGCCGAAGGGAAGTACCGTTAGCGAGGGGGTAGTGGTTCGCGTCGCAACAGCAGGCTTGCTGTAAATAATGAACGTTATTAATGCAGATATAAACATAACGGATCTACCCCTATTGACATCGGAAAACAATTGCACACAAAGATGCAATTTATTGGTATTCGGGTTTTGTAGCAAAGTGCTTGTGCGTTTTGCTTACTGCGTTACGAGTACAGCACGGACCTAACAAATATCCAGGAGCTAAACGCCACTCTTGCTTCGAAGCGTCTCCCTGGTCGAGGACGTCGTTCAGCAACCTGGCACTCCCTTCTCACCCCTTCTCTTGCTCCTCCACTCCCGTCGCCAGCCCTGTCAACTCTCATGTTTCTTCCACATGGCCCACGCCGCTGGTTATGGGTCAGGACGGATGACGAGGAAGCTACTTTCCATGGCTTGTCGACAGCATGGTCCTTGAGGCATGAGATGCAGACGTGCTTCGAGAGAACTCACTTAGTTGGGCGATAGGAGAAAGCGAATTGCGTTCTCTATCTCCATGTACTTCGTGTGTACTACGCACCTTGACAGGAGTTGGGACGATGCTATTGGTTTGTCCCATCCTGCAGTGTACTGTACGTTGGTATATCTCGCGTGTCACTGCTTTTGTTCCTTTCCGCATCAGAAGGCAGGATTGAAAAATCTTTAATTCTTGCCGCCAGATGCGCCTCCTATTGTTGAGTTGCGCAGTTTACGCCGTCCTGTCATCAAGTGTTTCTGGTGCTGAGAGAACGCACAGCATTCGAATAGCCAGCCATCAACATCCACCAGAGAAGAATGGGGAATTGGCTGTCCAAATCATGGGCGACCAAAGCGTTCTCGGCCCTAACACCCAAGCATGTCCGTCTGAAAGATGATAATGTAACTCAATCGCCCTCCACCATGGATGTTTACCGAGACAACCAGGTTGCACCCAGAATAGAGTGATTTACGGCTGGCTTCTTCCAAACCCCGGCTGGAAATGTTGGAAGCTGGGACGGCTCAGAAGGACTGGAATCAGAACTTTTGCTTCGCTTTGGGGATTTTAGGGCGCTGCGTGGTGTAGAATTGTGGCTAGTGAAGCGAGTCTCGCAACTGTGCGTATGGAGCATTTGCGCGGCGATGTTGGCGTTCATCCGCCACTGAGAAATATCCCCCACGAATCCCCACGTTTGTGGGTTCTGGGTTCTGGCTATAGGTGACCCTGAAGCCACTTATGGATATGCGCATGTCCCCTTGGAAGTCTAGGATTCCCGGAGGCAAACCTTATAGTACGAGTAGTAATCCAGGGGGACTGTACGAGTGAGGTTGCCTTTCCTCTAATTTTGCTGGCAAGAAGCAATACATTTTCCTTAGTGTCCGTGTCCCGCTCCCGTTTGAATGTTTCATCGTCTCTCCTCCAATCATCACCAGAAGGGCCAGTCAAACACAAGATCTGAGACGGCTTTTCATTCGTTATCCTCGCTGTGATCTGTGCATCTCGTGCTAGACTTTATTTTGGGTCCTTGGCTCCTTGTTCGCCGAAGGGTACCCTTCCTTTTCAAGAACCGAATCCCGACTACGAAAAAAATGTTGGGAGGATTACTATACAAACGCAACATAGCCAATACACCAGCCTTGAAAAGTGTTTTACATTAGTAGGTGGGTAAGGACAACTTGTCACTTCTTCAGCCGAATCGTGGCTATAATTGCGGGGAAGAGCTAGCTACCGCAGTACGACATGTCTCCGAATCACTGCTCTTGATTCGCCTAGCGCAGAGAGTACATCTAAGGCGTTTCTTATTACGGAACAGGTTCCCTAACAAATAGAAAGAGTCCCATCTTTCCATGGCTCTCGTCCGTGCTGAACGTCCGTCAGGGCTGGTCCAGGAACCGTTACTGATCTACCCCTCCATGATGCTGACAACGATGAGGACTCATTTCCTGATCCCAAAGTTGACGGGTGCGTGCCCAAGTCGACGCCGCTTGTCACCTTGTGGACTGAAAATGTACGATTGGTGGATGTATATTTGCGTGTCTCCAGCACCTCGGGATGGTAAAGTACTGTTGAGTCGCTACTTCAAAGCACTGGAGTTGATGCTGTGCCATTTCAATCATGACCCAATTGAGTGGCCTGCCCAAGACGAGCCGTCTTGGATAACCTGTCTGCTGGCATCTGGCATCTGCATAGAAGCGAGCACTGCAGACAACACCACTCACCTCTCCGGTGCCTGCCCCTCTTTGCCTGCTTCCAAACCCGACCTTGCTTACCTTTGTTCCCTTGGATTAATAAGAAGCACAGCATCAGAACATCAGCAAAGTTATCACAGCTCCATGTGATTGCTGTCCGCATAGTGTCGTGGCAGGACGAACAGCACCACAGTGAGAAGGACCAACCTATACAACCGCGACTATATTGTTGTCTAGGGCATCACTACAACCTTGACTACCTACCCTGCTCGAGAATCGCAGCCCTCGGCCACATGTTCTAAGATTTGCGCCGGGATCTCACTTCTATATCTGTTCGCACCATAACCCTTCCACACGAATTGGGGTGAGGGTCTAGGGCTCACGCAAAAAGTGTCGTCTACGTATTTCCGTGTAACATCTACTCCGTACCTCCAGATAACTACCACTGGTTCACAGACCTATCGCAGGGTCTAGTCTAGTGGACTGCTACAGTAACGCGCGCTGTTCTCCATATTTGTTGTTCCAGATTTGCCGGTCATTGCAATTCGCTTCGCTCTCAGCTCAAAGAATATATCTCCTCGAACAAGACTTCAAGACCAGTAGAGCCTCCACCGACTGCTGCCGGCTTCCGTACGAGAGAAAACTAATCTAGCGACGGATGTCCCATACCCGTACCCGTCAAGAAGCGAGTGTTCTCTCAATAAGTGATAGGCCATCAGACACAGAGATACAGTTGTGGACAAAAGCCGTCAGGAGTCGCTTTCAAACGCCGACACAGCACAACACTCAAACGCTGAACAGTTGTGTCGCGCATTTGGTTCTCGCTGCATCGCTCTAGCTTTGCCGAGACTCTTGAGCAGGTTTCCGTGGAATCGGCTTATACGGCTACGGGTCTCGTCTCGGGGGGGAAGGAAAAGTTCGTTTTTCTCGGTCGGTTCCTTCTTGACTCTAACCTGGCATCCATCCAGCTCTCTCATCGTCTTGACGCCGTGCTCAATAGCTGCTGAGATCTTGAGCTGTCCAACTCCTTCACTTACAACACTACCGTGGATCTTGAGCTGTACCACGGTTATACTGTGTCCAACGCCCAGAATACTCCGCGCCACCGTTCTCCTGCTCGTCACTCCACAAAATCTCACAAAACGGGCAGCAGATCACTTCGGCAGCCAGACGACAAGATCCACTTCTTTTCTAAAAGCAAGTCGCACAGCACCTCGACTTCACCCTTCCATTTGCTTTTCTCACTGGAACCTGTCTACTGCACAGTATCCAAGACCTCCTCAGCCACAGATTTCGTCTTTATATGCACTATCAGGGGTGGGTATCTTATAGTCCACTCAAACACCGTCCCGCTCTTTCACGCCTAGACCCTCGAACGCACATCCTTTTAGGTTCTGATACAATTAGCCTTGAACCCCGATCAATTCTGATAAACAGTTCTCAGACCTCAAACCACAGCTCACAACGATAGCTCGACTTGTACCTTCTGCATACCATCTCAACCAGGGACTCGCTTCGGTCGAGACCTCCCTCTTGTCGCCGTTATGGTTAACAATAGAGGCGGGCAGTCGATGCCGCAAGGGAACTCGATATATTCGAGGGACAGTTATTCTCGAAACGATAGAGCATTGATGGACTGTTCTCAAGACCGTGGATTTGCAGCAACCCCTCAAACTTACCCCTTGGTATGGACATTGAACCTGTGTATTGTTTCATAACTGACGAATTTAAGCCTATTGACATTGCTCTAAGGGAGTTTGCACATATTCCAGTAACAGAGTTTGTCATTGCAGCCAGACTGGAGAATGGAGAGGAAAAGACATATACTTCGCCTTCGTTAAAACCATTTCGGGCCAAGATCTTTACGGATCAGTTCAAGAAGAATTTTGCACATTACAGTCGTCGAGTCTGTGATGATAAACCATACTCAGCGAATCCAGGTCGGAGAACATTGCCGAGTACAACATTGTTTTTTGCTAATTTAATCTAGCTTATTCTCAGGATGGTATGTACAATGATTTTGACATTGATACGAGACACGGAAGCAATGGCGGGGACTCATCATCATCAGACGTAAACAGATTACATTATCGTGGCCGCCAGTCGAGGTCTGAGGATTCTAGTGAAGACATGACTGGTTGTAAACGAAAACGACCTCATTTTTCTAGCAACGACATGCCCATTCCGGTACCAACCCAGAAATTTGAACCTCTTGTTATTGGGAACACCAAGAAGGTCGAGGAGTTTTATGCGGTCAGATTCAAGGACATGCAGCAATCTGCGTGTAAGGTGATGGGAAAGGCTTTTGTAAAGTTGGTCGAACCGAAGAAGCAAACACATCACCCATACACGAAAGGAGACTGCAAAGCTCCGCCATGGTGGCCCGAGACTTCTGGAGAGCTTGGTGTTCGACACAAAGAGCCTGACCATCTGTACAAACCTGGTAGCTCTTCCTGACCAAACTATTGCATGCTCCTTTCATGCTAACAATTACAGAACGTATCCGATTACTTGTACATATACTACGTATGATCATCGAACCCACACCCACGCAATGCGATACGGTGCAGAAATTGGAGTTGAATGTCAGAAAGCTCGAAGAAGTGACAATGGAGGCAATGTCAAATTGGTTCAATGATAAAGAGCATCCCGACAATGCTTCAAAGAGAAATTTGCTCCGGGAAGTGTTCAAGGTGGCCAAAGCCGAGGAGAGTTACCGGAATGGAGAGCTGGGTAAGTAGATTGTGGTTGTTTTGTACTTTGACTAATAGAAGGTAGACGCCGATGTCGAGATCCAAGTCATGACAGGAGAGAGAGGTCTGGGAGAGGACACGGATGCCGAAGATGATTCTTTTAAGGAGGAGGACGAGCAAGACACTATCGTTCCCACGAATCACGCGAATACTCCAGAACTCGTTTCGCCGTCAATGATGTCCACGCATCGACAATTCGAGCAAGAGCCACAAGCATTGATCCATCATCGTTCACATCCTGGAATGATTCGCACATCAAATCCACAGCACATAGAAGAAACCTATGCAGATCCGAATTACGGTCGTTCACTTTCTTTTCAACACGTTCATAGCCCCAACATCCAAGATCCGTACCGAGCGAATCGAGGATTTGTACCCAATGTTTCGCCAGGCTTTCAAAGTCCTCAGCAAAGCATGTACCAAGCACCATGGTCTAATTCCAACCCCATGGGCATATCTACGAATTTCTGCGCTACAAGTTCGCCAGCGTCGGCACTTCCGCCTGCCACAGCTTTTCAATTACCTGCACCTCAGACTCCTCATAATATGATGGTTCCTCGCATGCACCAACCTTTTGAACTTCCTCACCAACGTTACGATACAGCTCCTGCTCTGGGTCAATTACGAACAGGGAGCTTAAGCCATCCACATCAAATGCAACCAAGTCCAACGGTTGGGTACAATGAATTTATCCAGGACCCGAATTCCTACCAATCCCACGAATCAAGCGTCAAGGAGGAGCAGCAACACCACCACCAACAACAACTCCGATCTACATAGTTCAGCAAGACCACAAATTCGTCGCATCGGCGGCTGTATCATCTACTTATACTTTGAACGATCCAGTATTTCGACCCCGTAAAAAACAACCGGCGGCGCAAGCTTTCCTCGCTTATTTCAAAAGATTGGTTATACTCACTTGCTTCTTCAAAAGATACCCCATCAATTGCTTCATCAACCTCGTTTCCACTCGGCGGATCTATTCTATCAGCAAGCGAGCATCGACCCGAAAAGTACATCGCATACCAAAGAAGACTGGGCAGGATGTTGTCTCTGCATTTGCGTGGTCCCCTTGCAAATTAGCACGTACCTTGCACAGTCACGTCGAATCCGCGTGGCGTGTATCACTGTCTGAATTCTCTTTCCGTCAGCATCTCTAAGATTGTCTTTCTCATCCGTCCGCGAATATTGTCCGTTTTTACTGTTTACATATGGGTTGTTTCCGTTTTCTGGTTTTATCACAAATGTCTGTACGGTCTCGCAAAGAAGATATGATTACGCGTTCCCCAAGATATCCTTAATGATCTGCATTTTTACTTGCGAAGAAAACAAAACCACATACACCTCTTTCCTTCTTCGTACCTCGCGTGTTTTGTTTTGTTTTTTGATGACCAAAGATGAGCGAGAATTGGGAAAATGGGTCGGATATCTGCGCGTTAAGCGAGTATGCATGCGTTTTATGTTGGTGGTGTTATTTGTCTGCGCATTTTGGTTAATATCGTAATAATGTGGGCGGGATATCTTCATTTTTATTGCGAAACCAGGTCGGGAATGGAATTTCCGCTCGGCAAGATGGGATCGGGAGAGTGTCTAAATGTGTTTGGGAATTTGGATTGGGGATTATAGGAAATTATTGGAGTATATATCAGCAAGCTCGCTTAATTTTATGATCTTATCAACACATCGTCCGGGACTACCATGCTTTGTTTTCCGAGATACAACCTCTCCAATACAAAGATTGGTCTTTGAACTTTCCTTTAGATACATCATAATATTTCTCGGCATAGGAAGATGTTGAAATTTTGACTACGTACTCCTTTCCAATGCAAGAAATCCACAGGAAAAGTACGCGAGAATATGAGACTATATGCAAATAGTTGCTCATCATTCCGCGGTAATAGCTGTAGCTGACAGAAGACCTATGATGGTAATTTCAATAGTATTCTTGTCGTGGTGTGCTCTTATTACTCCTCATGTTTGAACGTCGTCCAGAAACTAGCTCAGCAAAAAAAAAGCTACGCACAACATGGCGTTCTCCCCGTGTGATCATTTGGCGAAAAGAAGAGAAATTTTGCTTCCGGTTAGTTCGTTGTTATAACCTTGAGCCGGAGTTAGTCATTGCTTACATTTGGTAGAAGCTGGACAGAGCAAGAGAAATGCATTCTAGTTTGTGGATTATTAAACGAAATTGCGGAAATGACTTTAGTTACTACAAAAATCGAAGCCTTTCATTTGCTATGCTTTGAGATCTCACTAGAAGTACCAGTGTGTAGTAAGTTTAAGGGGCCATCTTGAAGCATCTTCTTACGCGGGGCAATTACCTCCAAGAAGTGTAAGACACTCGGTCCTCTACCACTACTACACTTAAAGAATTTGAAGGGTTGGTGAAGCGTGAGACTCGTAAACAGTCTCTCTGCTCTTTGTCAGGATAGAACGGTGATCTCGGTGCTGTTACATTTCTGTGCTGTTTGTTTGGCGATAATAGCAAGATTACGGACACTGACATGGCCAATATCAGTCAACTGTTTTTCATTTATTACTTTGCGATTGTCATCTCTGTGGGTTTTGGGAAGTCTGTCAGGGCTGATTGATCAAAGTTGCTGGGTCAATACGCGTTGAGATTCTTCGAAGATAGTAAGGAATCTAAAATTGACATTGATGATGATACGAGTTGAAATTCATCAAAACTAGTGACACGAATCTGATATTGTCGTTGACGATTAAGTTTCGAGCTTTTAATTGGATCAACCACTTTGGATCACCAGCCTTATACAATTTCATTGACTCAACCCCTGGAAGTTGTTTGACTTGTTCTTTACTAGTCGATCATCAAGATGTACATGGTGAGATCTCTGTTCTGACTACTCATCAACTTTTCAAATGAGTAATTACATGTAATGATTGGTCAATTCATCGATTATTTGGTCAATTATTTGGGATCAGCGAATGGGACAGCTAATTTATCATCTTAAATTTAGATTTGGAAGATTTTGTGAAGTTAGGGAAGCTATATCTAAACTCGTGGTATACGCCGTACATCTAAAACCCCTACAATCACCGAAATATAATATCGTTAGTAGTAAGTGCTAGAATCGCTATTTCAGTCTTGGAGGCTTTCCACGTTTTGAGCTCAAAATAATTGCCTAGCACTTTATCACAATTAGCAATTAATCGTTTTTTGAGATTAAATGTTTATCAGTTTAAATTTTCCATTAATGAACGCTATTATAAGTACCACGGGCGACGGTGAAGTGACCTAGTAGTTTTTTATTGAATAAAAATTGGTGAAAAGCGTGACCTTAGCGAAACGAGTATCTAATTAGTTCATTGTTATGCAATGATTAATGGGACGATAACTGATCAATAGTGCTATCGTATTAGTCCATTCAAAAAATGGTGAGTACCTAGGTAGTTCGGAACAGATCGCTTATAGGGAGGCGTCACGTCTTCCACAACAAAAACACCGTTTGCTTTTAGAAAGAAGATATTGCAACACGCGTAAACGCAACTTGGATTTATTTGGTTTAATATATATGTACACATTTTGTTGGAAGAAAGATCCATAACGCCAGCGACTAATCCCTACCCTTCTGCGGATTTAGCGAGGCAGACCAACTACCTGAATGAATCCGGGGGGTCCCGCTAGAGTATCAAGTCAGCAGGATTACATTGGCTTCTTTATCCAAAATCAAAGCAATCTCCGATCACAGAAGAGAAATATTGTATTGGTCGGAGGGGATCATGTCGTTTAGGAAAGTAGGAAGAACGAGAGAAGCTTCTGGGGAGGGCAGAGCGCAGTGAAGTACGGGATAGACTAAATCATCAAGTGAAAGTAACTTACGCGCTCCATCCTTGCCGTTTTCGCCGTTTTGGCCATTGCTTCCTGCTTGCCCTGGTCTAGAACTTTGGGTTAGACTGCGTCTCGAAAAAAAAATAAGAGTTACTCCTAGACAGTTGATTAGAATCCGTTCATAGATGGCTCCAGACAAAAACTTACACTGTCCGGGCTGTCCTGGCACGCCAGCTTCGCCTTGCGGGCCAATTCTGTACAATGTGAGTTTGTAGTTCCTCTCCAAGAGATTGAATGTCAACTCACGGTCCTTGATTGCCTTGAAGACCCGGTCTAGAGCTTGTTAGCTTTGCTCAGAAGTAGGGAGAGCCAGCTTACGGTCCAGGATCCCCCTTATCCCCTTTGTCCCCCTTTCCTTCGGTTATGTTGTAATAATAGTAGTTGTTGACGGTTGACACGATGTTGGTTGGAGTTGCCACTGGTGGCTTGGGCGTCGGATCATCTGCCAGTTTTCGGATCCAAGTGGTCAACAGAGCCTTTCCTCCACAGACCTGAGTTTGATTCCCCGCGCATCTTACTGTACAAGAGAAGTCTGAGACTTTCTTACTCCGACCGTCGAAGGAATTTCCGCAATGGCACTGCAGTCGAATTAGCAACGGTTTCGCAAAGTTTGAAGGGGATGTAGTGTTGTACTAACTGTATTTCCGTTTTCTACTGCGAATATTAAGAAGTTCTTACAATATAGCAAGCATTTGTCGCGGGTCATGGACGTGGAGGTAGCACGTCTTGGCCCTAACGCCTGGCCTGTTGGATTCGTGAAGCATCCCACATATGGATACTTGTAGAGAGCCACAGGAGTTGGGTTGGTAGTTCCGCTGTTTACTATTCTCGAACTTATGAATATTACAACGAAGAAGATTTCTAACAGATGCATGGTTGCGATGCGTACAACAGTCCAGGCGCTTCTTGCGGCAGCGTTACCATATGGGCTGATTTCTTTGATCGGTAGAGAAAATGTAAGTGAGAGGATATCTATTAGACTAGTCGAGGGTGGCAATGCCAATTTACTCTACATTCCAAGATTTGGCGGGGAAAACATTCGAGCTATGAGGTGTCTTACAAAAGCGACGATGGTAAAACAGGCATTATTTCCTGGTTAATCTCCACGTTCATTTCCACGAGTTCTCGTGCTTTATGTCTTTCATCCCTTATGTCTCAAGTTTAATTCCGACAAACTCTAATAACGTGTACCTCGAGACAACAAGACCACGTGCGAGTTACAGAGTTTCTTTGTCTTACGGTTCCAAAAGCTAACATCTGGAAACACCTATATTCCTTGTTTACTCTCTTTGCTAGAAATGAAGAGCAAGTTCTGATCTCAACAGGTTTCGAAAGCCCTCTGTGAATGAAAAATGCCAAATCTAAATTATTTTAGACTGCCACTTGTCTTGTGCGGTTTCATTTCAAAAGCGGAGGTTCTCTCCGAAGGAACATGGCATCTACTGCTAAGGAATGCTGACCACGCCATGAAAGTCTGGACTTCGACGCCACGATCTGAGATTTTTCTTCATCACACGACGACTTATATTTAATTTATAAAGCTTCCCGTTCCCCTCACAGTGTGTTTTAAGCCATACCGACCATCGACACTCTTTTAAACTTTCATTCTCACAGTCTTTCCTTCCAGGTCTTGATTTACATCTACGCCAAAATGCGTTTCTTAACCGTGCTCGCCGCTGGCGCGTATCTTTCAGAACATGTCACCGCGTCTCCTATTGTGGAGATTACTAACCGCATGGTTGAGAGAAGCCTTGAATCTCGTGCAGTTTTCACCTACCAGGGTTGTTACTCCGAAGGAACCAGTGGAGGAGGCATTGGTGCCGGAAAAGCGCTCGTTGGCAAGACTGTCACTGCTCCATCTGGTGGATTGACCGTTGAGTATTGTGCGCAAAGCTGTGCCGGATTCGTCTTGTTCGGTCTTGAGACTACCACTGTAGGTCTCAAAAGGGTATCTGATTGCTTCATTTGCTAAAAAGCTTTCACAGTGTTATTGCGGAAACAGACTTGAGTCAGGCGTACTTCCAGTGTCTGCCACAGCGTCTCAGACTTGTGATACATCATGTGTCGGAAACACTGCACAGATCTGTGGTGCTTACCAAAAATTGAGCATCTGTTAGTTGAAATCCTTCATCTCGGGTTCCATCATACCTGAGTATCTCGACTAACACTTGCAACAAGACTTGATATCTGGCGCAGGCTCCCCTGGTCCTCAAGGAATTCAAGGTCCAACCGGTAAGTGTCTCTCGCTGCTATTGAGACCTCCATATGCATGATTCACCTGCTAAAATTCGTAATAATAGGACCCGCAGGTGCGGCCGGCGCCAAAGGGTAAGGCCGTCTAGCTCCATCAATCTCTCTAAGACAGCTAACATCGTTATACAGTGCACCAGGCGCCAAGGGGTAAGTGCTTTAACTCTATAAATCTTGAACACAGCTAACATCGTCAGTGACACCGGCTCGCAAGGAGCGGTATTTTTTGGATTCTAATCTTATCAAATGTCTCTTTCTAACATCATCAAGGCTGGTGCTGATGGGGTCGGAAGCCCAGGCGCTCAGGGTAGGCGACAATCGATTGTTTGACAGGATTCAACTAACGTCTCTTAGGACCTACGGGCTTGCAAGGACCACAGGTATGGAGACTACCGGGGAAGGAATGAAGTATATCACATACAGATTGCTAACAATCCTATGGGGCATACCAGGTTAATATCTCAGTTCTCGTTGAACAAGATTCAAGTTCTTGTTGTATTCTAACGTTTACGCAGGTGTTGCCGGGGCGGCTGGCTCGACTGGTGCGACCGGGGTAAGGTTTCTACGTCATCTAGAGTCACTTTGCTAATCGTTTATCAGTCAACCGGTCCGCAAGGCCCAAACGGCAAGTCTCTCCCTTAATCTCTACTCTCTATTGACCGGGAGCTTGTTTTATCTTTATAAAAGGCTCTCGGCTGCTGAGCAAGCAAAAAAACACGTATGCTAATTATTGGATAGGTCAAAACGGCGCTAGTAAGTAAATCGCTGAGCCCCAAAAGATCAATGACTCACAGAATCATAGATGGACAACCTGGCCAAGCTGGAGCACCGGTAAGACTTCATTTCGCACGGAAAACTACGGCACTGACTTGAAAAGGGACCGAAAGGTGACAAAGGGGAGGCTACCAATGGTATCAAGTAAGGAACTGTCATGTGAATTATGTAAAAAGACTCTAACACGACAGCAAAGTGGTGCCCCCGGTAACCCAGGCTTGTGAGTCCTTCATCCAATCCTGTTTATGTGAGGTAAAAGCTAATGAATCTCTAGGCCAGGTCTGCAAGGCACAACTGGGCCAAAGTAATAAACTCCTTCCCTTGTTGGTGGGTCGTACTAACTCTTAAAAAGAGGAGCTGCCGGTGATACAGGAGCACCTGGTAAGTGCCTCCATTCATAAACTATTCTGGCTTATTGCTAACTTCCTTTGCTAGGTGCCGATGGTAAGGCTAATGTCTAATTCCTCTGGTTGAATATCATACTAATGTTAAACAAGGCGCCCAAGGACCAATGTAAGTCAGAAATGTGTTCTATTCAATTGAGAGGCTCATATTTATCTTCACTGGTACCTGAACACCTGAAACTTGGCGTTCTGTTTGTTTGGGTTGGATATGGGATGGTTGTCGACGACGATCACCCTCGCTTAGCACTTCTCGCTAAGCAGCCCCTTCCCACGCGACTTTGGGATCCCTTCCACATTCAAGAGAGAAGGATTCAAGAAGCTGACATTTCAAAAGTGGCGCGACAGGCGATACAGGTGCCCCAGGTCCGGTATGTGATATCTGATAACAGTCACGACGTTAGCTAATCACGTCTAGGCCGGTCCATGTCGCCCAGCGGGAAGGAACATGGGATTCGAGTCCATTGCCAATCCTTCATACGACCGTAAGCTCTTTGGGGACCCCAAAAGCGATTTAGCTAATCATTACGATAGAGCCATGGGATATCTCACCAGGTTTCATTAACAACGTAGCCTACAGTTTCAACAGCAGATTAGAACCCAACGCTGGCTTGCAGCACGCACTTCTCGACGTGAGTCAATAATATGATTGACATCTCCCCCACACCATACTAATTAAACATCAGTTCACATTGGATGGGGCAAGAAGTGGTAGATTTGAACAGGGAGATGTCCAACTTTGCCCCGGCACGACTTACACCTTCACAGCTGTGAGTACATACCGTTCACTCATGAGACAGTTCTAATAATCCCTTAGTCTCTCAAATGGACTGCAACAGGATCTTCGACCACTCCTCCGATCTGTACCATCTACTTCTACCTCGGCCCCGATGAGAACAACCTTTCCGAGCTTGTCACATTACCAACCCGTATCGATGTAGACACCATCGAGAAGGCAGCTCTCCCAACTTCCTATACCGAGTACACCGGAACTTATATTGCAGGTGCTGGAGATGAGTCTGATGAATTGGTCGTCCTCATCGACTGCGACGGAAATGCCGAGAACTTGGGGTTGATCTCATTCGACTCTTTCAGACTTGCTCCAACCGTCGTGTAGAGTCTCACCTGATGTACATCAGATTATTCTTACTGTCAGAGAAGGCACTGTCGACGACATGATTACTTTGGACTTCTACAAACCGTCATTTTTTGGATGTGTTGTCCCATATTTATTTCTAGGCGGTAACGCCTCTACCTTAATACACACCGTTTTAATATTCAAACCCATCTTTCGATGATTGAACACGATGACGCCTTCTCCTTCTCATGAGTGATATCATCTTGTCATCATAAATCTAGTTACCTACAACCATCTGACAGCTTGAATATCAAGCCCCAGCCCAGCCGAGTGTGTTCACTCGGCCAGTCATCTGCCCGATATCCTCAACTTTCAAGCCATTAGCCCAAGACTGATTTGTTAAGATCCTCTTGACTTTTTTCGGTACATGGCTCTCGAATCCAGCGTTTTGCGATTCATCGTGCCTTCCCCTCCAAGCAGACTTAAAGACCTCCTGAACTTTCTGTCGTTATATTCTAAGCATAAAATCACATGGGAGTGCCACCCAGCATTAGCTCTGTGTAACAACCTGAGATGATGCTCCGACTTCCGGGTCCGCGGTACTGGTTTCACGATTCGACCTCGAAAATCATTGACATGATGATTTTCAAGATTTTTGCCAAGTCACCCAGGATCTTTATCTGCAACATTTTGAAGTGAATTCTACAAATTACTTTCGACCTTCGCGTCGTCACGGTGGCGTAACTGACACTAACTGATCGACAGTCACTCGCTGGTGATACAAGACACGAGATCAATTTTTAGAACTAAAGCAAATTCAGGTGTAGCACCGACGTATTGTCAACTTCTATTCGGCCATATTCTAAGTCAACGGCACCAATAATGGAAATATCGTAGCCTATAAACATCCGGGGGTACACCAACGGCCGCCATGAGGTACCTTATACGTCTTCACGTGTTACCAAACGGTGCGTCTTTATGTCGAATACCGAGTATTCACTTCGACGCCCAACGTTTAATATCAATCATCTTTCAAGTGATGAGATGAAGCCAAGCCAAGCAGCTGTATAAATTATGTTATTCACGTTCATCGGTCTCTGGCAAAGGCATCCAAGTTGACTTATGCTGCTGCTGTCAGATGTTGTATCTACTACCAATTGTTGCAAGAACCTCTTACAACGGGAAGTCTGTACTCATGGTCTTGTAACAATCTATGACAACCCGTCCTATCCAAGGAGACTTCCTCCAACCACAAGTAATTGAAATCAAGCTTCCATATCATAGCAATCCACGTTTTGCAACCCTCCTAAGAACGGAGGAGTGAATTTACAATCCAATACGTTGGGTTAATCCATTACGTTGGGAAGGAAGTGTGCGCATCAAGACGATCGTCACCCCTGCCAGCTCGAGGACCGGATGTTTTGTATTCCGTACATTTACTTTAATTCACAGTACAGGTACAATTTCATTCCATGTATCCGTGATAAGGAAATATTCACCTTCTAGAACAGATAAATATCTCAGTACCTTGGCTCTGAGTTTTCTTTCCAAAAAATCGGCGACCCTTTTGACATCCAGTTCTTCAGTTCATATTTGCTTTGGGCCAAAAGAAATCTAACTTCATCCCTAAACGCTCTATATACGTCGTCAAATATCCACCACCGTCAAGATGAAGTTCAGTAGCCTTCTAAGCCTCCTGCTTGGAGTTGAAGTCTGTACTGCGTCTTGGTTTCAACGTCGAGCCACTCCTTCGGTTTCCAACATTCAGGAGAGAGATACCATCATCGCTCCCAAAGTGATTATCATCACAATGGTATGTCACCTTACTCCTACACCACTTCCGAGCTCATGACACTGACATGACATCTCAGTTTCCTCCTGAGGCCGATGCCTGGCTCCATCCAGCCAATGTATCCAACAGCATCGACACCCTCCTTGCCCAAAATATTACCGTCCCAGGCTTCGCACCTCTCTATCCAAAGATTCACTGCCAAGCATCCGGTGAGGCTTGTCTTCTCATCACTGGCGAAGGAGAAATCAACGCAGCTTCAACCATCACTTCCCTTGTCCATTCTACTGCTTTCGACTTGCGTCACACCTACTTCCTCATCTCCGGAATCGCAGGTGTAAATCCCAACCAAGGCACCCTCGCAGACGTGATATTCGCCAAATTCTCCGTCCAATTCGGTTTGCAATACGAGTTCGACGCCAGAGAAATGCCAAAAGGATGGAACACAGGCTATGCAGGTCTGGGTGCCAATCACCCAGATATGTATCCCACCGCAACCTACGGCACCGAAGTCTTCGAGCTCAACACCAACCTGCGTGATATCGCCCTCGGATTCGCTTCATCAGCCACATTGATTGATTCCCCTGAATCCGTCAAGTACCGCGCAAACTACAACCTCCAAACCGCAGCAAAATCCACCCCCAAATTCAAACAAGCAATCCGCAAACCAGCAGTCAAGAAAGGCGATGTCATGTGCTCAGACGTCTATTACACCGGCACCCTGCTCGGTGAATCCGCAGAGAATACCACCCGACTCTACTCGAACGGCTCCGCAACCTACTATATGACCGCACAGGAAGACAACGCAACACTCGAGGCCCTCCTCCGCGGTGCCGCGCACAAAGTCCTCGACTTCTCCCGTGTCATCCTCATGCGCTCTGCTGCCAACTTTGACCGTCCACACCCCGCAATCACCAGCTACGACAACCTCTACACCGTCGTGCAAGGTGGTTTTGGCTCTTCGCTGAAGAATCTGCAGATTACGGGTACTCTTGTTATCAGAGGGATCATCAATGAGTGGTCCACACGCTTTGAGCAAGGTATCAAACCTAGCAATTATATTGGTGATATCTTCGGGACGTTGGGCGGCACACCTGAATTCGGACCCTACATCGTCGGTAACAACCCCGTTCAAGGACGTGATGTAGGTGCCGTAACGGTAGCTGGAAATCCTGTTGGGAAGGGTAAGTCGGGGTATCACGCCGCTTTGAGGGCCCAAGGCTTTTAGGCTTAGGAGTTCGTCTCTGTGAGGGTTCTTGTCTTTGAACTTGATCTCTCTGGTGGGTGTTTTGTGGCTCTCTATCGGTACTCGTCATTGTAATGGTGGTGTTGGCTATCAAGAGTTTCAGTCTGGCCATGCTTTGAACAGAAGGCGTCTATTGCCATGTATTCGTTAGATATTGTTGACTTTCGGTCTATCATGAGTGGTTTGTCGGAACATGGCGCACATATTGAAGAGATTCAATCATGTACTTGCTTATCCTGGATACTTGTCAGCTACTGTCCAAGGATCTTGTACTGTATTGAAAAGACTTTACATAGAATTTAGTATCGAGCTCTTACTATTGAAAATACACGTTTCTTCTACTTCTTGACCAGATAAAATATCTAGTTGTGAGAAATCTCGAGACTTTTACCGGACTCCAGATACAACAGATCTTACGTGGTTTGGTATTTACATGGACATTGTTCGCCCGAGGGTATGTTTCCACAAATGCTTCTACGATGACTGCGCATCCAGAGGATGTGTTCTTTCGACCTATTCGCCCAACCCCGATCTGGTCGGCAAATCAGCACAACTCGCTCCAGATTTTTCGCTTGGTTCCAGTCCCAACCTAAAGGTTCCCTAGCACAATTCCTCATACTACCGCTCAACAACATCATCCAAAGTCCCCTCAAACCTCTCCTCCCCCGTCCACCACCCAACCAAACTTCTCGTCCCCACAACATCACCCTGCCTGGCCAACGCCGCAACCTCCACATTCAACGGACTGTCCACGCCTCCCTCCCCAAGCAGTCTCCCCACCGCCTCCAACGCGCCCACCACGCCAAGCACAGGCGTCCATTCCTTCCCCAGCAAATCCATACATATCTCGCCGGTATCCCACGATACATTGGGATGGCATATCCGCGTCACGAACTTGATATTTGGTGCTACTAATGGGTAGTTGGCTGGGATCCTGATGGAGAGGAGCCAGCGCCCGTTGGCATAGCCAGAGGTGGAGGGGAGGGATGGCGAGGGGAGGAGGATGGCGGAGAGGGCGAGGAGATTAGAGGGTGAGGAGGGCGCGAGTTGGATTAGAGGGTGGGGTGAAGACTGGAGGGCGCCGAGTTCGGTTAGGAGTCTTTTTGTGGGTGTTGAGCGTGAAGAGCTTGATTTGGAGGACATCTTAGGAGGGTAGTTGAGAGTGATGCTATTATGGGGTTTGTAGCTTGACCCTTGATTGGGGGACCGCGACCAGGAAACTGGTGAATGTCTGCTTTGAATGATGGTAAGAGGTACTGAAATCTTTGAGGTCTGCTCGTGGAGGTCGTAGAAAACTGTTAAGTCGTGTTCGTTGAGCATATGATGGTGTTGAAGCTGTATCTCTATGCTGAACCGCGGCCGAGGTTGATCTGTCGGTTAAACATCGGTTTTATTTCAACCTGCTCAATCATTCCCTCGACCTGGGATGCAAACACTTCGGTATTACACAAACGTTCGCCTGTATAAATTGCAGATGCCAAAGCAGTACGACAGTCAAGAGGCACCTACCCGTGCAAGTAAATTGTTTATGATATTTTGTATTCATGTTTTAAGATATCTATTGTCAATTCTTATCCAAAGTCAATCAAGCGCGAGTCCGCGATCTACATGGTTTTTGAGACGCGTTGTCTACAAAATTACCTGATTCATTTCTTCGTATCTCCACTGTTTGGTACCATTCGCTCGTCTCGTCTGTTTAATTCGCAAAATCACTTGTTGTAAGCGTCGCGGGAACAGACTGGTATTTTGATAGCAACAAAACTACTGGCCGTTTGCACCAGTCAGTAGTGCTGCATCAAACACCAGTCGTCAACAAGGCTGAAAACTTCGCATTAACAAGTCGTCAGCCTCTGTCCTTTCTTTTCCCATTCAATATCGGCACGGATGAGAGACGGTACTGACATCAGCCCATCCTTCGCTCTCCACCAATATTGTTTTGTTTTGCTCTCGAAGGGCTGACCTGAGATTTTGGCGCTCTTCGTATCAAACGGATAGGTGAGTGCCCTGGCATCCGTTCGAATACGAAGGACGGCGGATACGCCGACATTGGCTGTCGCGCTACTTCAGCTGAGCTTTCTTGGCTATATTTTGTGCGGAGACAAACCCGTAAATATACTTCCTCTGCGATGACGAAATATGTGTTCTAAATACGTTTGTTTGTGTTTTTTGTATGTTGCTAGCCATGTGCCAAATTTTGGTCTTTTAACTTCAACTTTAGTGACTTCATTATTCCTTCGCCAAAGATCTGTTTATCTATTTCCTGTAAACATGTTCTCATTCATTTACTCTGACAGTTCGGGATGAGTATGGAGGGTGAATATAACGGAGAAATTTTACATAAATCCTCCATTTTGTACAGCCTCTCATTTTGAATTTCACCCCATGCGACTAGAGATATTTCATGGATTCAAAATGAAAGGCATTAGCTTTTGTTGATTACTTAAAGTCAAAGTCCAAGTCTTTTACCGTGGCCTATGATTCTAGTACACACATAAAAGAGAGGAGTGTGCCCATGCAATATCACAGGGCACGTATGAGTTTCGCTGCCATGGAATGGCTATTCACTGCTTCTGCACTTCCACAAGTTACAAATGAATCAATCCAAAGGATCATCTGGCCGAGAAAGAAACTTGATATCCAAAGCTCCAGAGTCCAGACCGTTCTTTCGTTCTTTCAATGGCCCAGGGGGCCTGCAAGCCTTTGAAAGAGGCCGAGGAACCCACAAACACTTATGTCTAAATTCTGGAGATAGATAGCACAAAGATTTTGATTCTTACAAAACAAAGGGTGATAATTGACTGATGAAGAAGTCTTCCACCCAAGCACTCCTGTGTTGAACTGAGTTGGTTGATAGATTGTTATACAAAAGCTTTTGGGCAGGCCGACCGATATCTTGCTAATGATTTTAATCAAACTTTTCAGGTAATTCATTTCGGGGAAGCGAATATCATTCCTTCTTCAATTGTTTTCACGGCTGCACATCAAAGAGAACTATGCTACTACGAGAAATACGGAGAGACCTACGCGGCTACATGCTAATAATGAACCTACCTGGTTGTTGAGCCATTGTACATGACCTCTACAATCCCAAGCTACTGCTTTTAGATTTAACAGCCAGGCATGAAAGTCGTATCTGATCCCTTCAATCACATAAGGCAGAAGATCTGTAGCTTTAGCTATCTCGTCTCTGCATGAAAAATGGCAGATCGAAAGAAGGTTGAATATTCGTGGTAGATTCCAATGCTTACAACCGGTACTTGAAACGAATTGAAGTATCTCGATTCACTCCAACATCTTCTAACAGCATCGTCGGAAGATCCTAAACGCACTCAACTATCAACACGAAAATATAGCATACTTTGTGAGTTCCCAAGACCTTGTCTGCCGAATATATGGGAAGTTTGGCTTTGAAAGTGTTATGGAATGAGTGCTGGCAATGTTCGTGGCCTTGAAATAGGCGAGAGTAAGGGGTTCGCGGGTTATAGAGAAGAAGAAACCTATAATTTATGCAGTCATTTTGGCAATTGAAAGCCAAATTGCTTTCTAGCTACAGAAGTGTCGACCACTGGTGTGTTGACCATCATTGCCTTAAATTGCGAATTCGAAAAATAATTTAACGACCCCTTGGTGGCGAGGCTTCTGCAAATTCTGGCGAACTCTCGCCGCAATCTGCAAATGTACCTAAGTGGACGATAGCACTTAGAGACTTGAAGTTTATTTTCACACTCGACATTTATAGTTCATTAAAGATTTTCAACCTTTTCCAAGGTCGTTCCCTTGAAGATCTGACTACGTGGTTGGCTGACGCTCAATAGGAAATCGATCTTCAAAATCAGGGTCCCTTGGTGCCTCGCCGGAGAATGGAAGTGGGGCGGTGTGGATCAGGCTTAGATTCACGATTGCGAGCGACAAGGCGCATCGATTCGCTGGCTTCCGTTTCCATCATTGGATCTGTTCGTGGGTGGAGCTGGAAACATCTCGCTGAGACCGTGTGACAGGCTCAGAGGTGAAATTGAACGAATTTGATGCTTCCCTCCCCCCTGTACCGCGCTGGGACCTGGGCAATCTGCCAACAACTCTCGCTGCAAAGGGGCAGTAAACAAATCAAATGACGATGTTGTTTCTCATGGGACGAGCTATTCTTGTACGGGTCTCCGTTCTGGAAATGAACACTGTCCGATTGCCCCGCATCGTATTCATGGCCGTTGGAGGAAAGTGATGAGATTATGATGGCCCAGGAGGGCGGCGTGTTTGCTTTGTACGTCTGTTGATCTTGCATTTAATCCAAGTCATGTACGATTTGTGAGATTTGAGTTTCTCAGGGGGGCGGCACTGCAGCGGGAGATGGATGGCTGGAGGGGCAAAACAATAAGGGGAATCGCGGTTAAAGCCAACATTTGCATCTGCAATGGCTTCGAAAGGTGGGATGGGGGTTCAAGGTAAACACGCAAATGTAACCTCCTCGGTTGGGGAACAAGACTGCGTAACCATCACGTCGCCCTGCCAATATATCCTCATCGGCCCAGATAGATGAGCGTTGCGTCTGTGAGAGGTCAAGATGCAAGTCCGGATCTCTTGGAGCAAGACTTGTAACCTCCTTGTGTCTCCTTCTGATCTTGTGCGATGGTTTCCCTGATAGGGAAGCAAGATGCAGTTCGTTGCGTTCCTTTTCGCTTCCCCCTTTGCCTCGCTTCCCGTACCGAAAATTTACAGCAGAAGCAGGTGATTAGATGTTTTCCCACCCCCAATTAACCACAGGGATGGGTGTATGTACTGTACTGTACGCTGGAGATAACCTCCTGGCTGGCAGTGAGGATGGTGCTGTGAAAACAGGATTTTGCTGGTCGTTATGTAGTCTGGCAAGTGAATGGCCACTCCCGTCAGTGCCAGACGTTGAAACAGACGAGCGATCTTCTCTGCAGACTTCCAGGTCAGTCTTCGCGACTTAGCTCTCCTCTAGAATGCCCGTGAGTGCAGAAATGACTCTGCTAGTGCCTGCCGGTACGGTGATGTCCTTGTTTTCTGCTTTAATTGACGAGCCTCGTAACTTCGTACGTTCTACGCGGTGCAGTAGTTACTTCTGTAGTCGCTTTAGACGTTCCAGTCTTTCATACTCGTCCTCGTCTCAACCTGCAGCTGCTATTCTCCTAGTCTCGTCTTCCTCCTCTCCTCTGCTGCTGGTTCCTGGCGTGACGGGTCACGGCTCTGCTATTATTTCCGGTCTCACATGAGTTCAGTCAGGGTTGCCTGCTCATACCCAGGCCCATTTCCCTCCCCAGCAGCGCTAACGCCTGCCAAGCGAGCGCCCGTACCTCCCTCTTCCCCCAAAATCAATTGTTTGCCTCGCCCTACTGGTGCACTCCTCCTCTCCCCGACATCCAAACCTCCAACATACATTTATTACCTTTTTGGCTGCACCGCGCGAAGTCTCTCTCTTTCTGCAGAGATTTGGTCTGTTTATCGGCCGTCCGTTCCTTAACCTACACTCATTTAGAACACTCATCCAGCAGCAGCAGGAAAGGCCAGGCAGCCGACCGTCAGATTACTTCGTACCCACCGCCCATTCCCGAGCCATTTGAATAATCACCGCCTGCGAAATTAGAGAAGACCTTCGATTGCAATTGTACAAGCAGAGGCATTGCTTGGTTCTCGATCAATAAAGTTTGTGGTATTTTGTTTGATTTGGCACATTTACGGCTTCGTCTTCGCAATCTTGTCGTTCACTTTTGATTTCTCGACTTGACGAGAACAAACGTCGACGCTACGAATTCTTCAAACTCCACCACCTCACCTCATACTCTTCATGCCATCGGTCTAGTTGGAGGGTTTGACAGGCCGCTGTGCGGGCTTTGCGAGCATGGCTACAACTAATAGAGGAGTGAACGATGCCGTGTCCTTCACTCCGAGCCCCCTCGATCTTCGTCCGATGACCGCGGATTCAAGTGGCCATCTCTCACCATCTTCGATCGATATTCCCTCTCCTCGATCGAACAATGGTCCTCTACCTCTCCCATCATTCGTATTCCCAGCGAAACCGTCATCTTCAGCACCTTCCTCATACTCAAGAGCCTCTGGCAGACGTCCTGTATCTGCCATCGAGGTCAAAGGTGGACTCGACAAGTTAAGCGGAGAACGCGATGCACTTCGAACACCAGAGTTGCCTGCGTTCTCGTTTGGTTCCTCATCTACCAGTCCTCCCACCTCTCCACGATCTCGAAATATCCCTTCAAGACCAGGATCACATCAGAGAAGCACCAGCGAATTCATTGGCGGAGATGGATTGCCAGGCAGTAGAAATGCTCCAATGTCTTCATCACCAACGAAAGGCGATGGTGCTCTACCAAGACCCCCAGGCTTTGGCCCTCCAGCGGGTCGAAGAGGCCACAAGCACGTTCGATCCGCCGCCATCTCTCATGCCGATATCTCAAAGATCTTGCTGCCACCTACGAGTCCGACCATCATACGAGGAACTTCTGCCCCGTGTTCACCAGCAGTAGACCGTGACCTGCAGGACTCTCCATTTCCAGGCTCGTTCGATCCATCCAAGCCACAAACCGTTTCCGAACCGACTTCTGGTGATATTGAAAGTCCAAAGGAACCCTTGAGAGCGCTCAGTCGTGCAAGAGTTGGATTCTCCGATGCCCTTGAATTTATTCCTCGTCCTTTATCAGTAGTTTCATCCGACAGCGCTTCCACTGTGAGGCAAGGCCATTCCGTGTCCAACAGCATTTCCTCTGTGATCTCAACTGGTGCATCCTCGCCTCTGTCAAAAGAAAAACGTGGCATTCCCCAATCAACACGGAATCCGACCGATACTCGCCCACGAACAGCAGAGCCAGTTTTAGATCATGACCGCACGCAACATCACGGCGAACCAAAACGCCGTAATTCTATTCCTCTGTTAATGGAGGCAGCAGCTGCTTCCGTCTCTGCCCCATCTACCCCTAGATCAGTAAAGAAATGGACATTCTTTGGCCATGAGACAAATTCGGGCGATTCTTCGCCCAAATCCCCGCCAACCAGTGCTGAACCGGCCGGCAAGGAAGCCAATACACCTGCCGAAGAATTCCACGACGAGCCTGAACTCACAGCAGCAGATGAACCACTACCTTCGATCGAGCCAACAAGCTCGAGACGTTCCTCCATCTCCCGCAAACCTAGTAAGAAGCAGAAGAGAGTCAGGACATGGGCAGGATCGATACTTGGCCGTAAATCCCGACAGCGAAGCCAGAAGCCAAAACTAAGTCGTAGATCACCCACTCCACCACATAGATCATATCCTCCGGTCGACGAAATTTCAAGAGATCCTTTCACCTACCCATCAGAAACACAAGCATTAAGGGTTGAGACGGACAACAGTATATCATCTTGGAAACCACGAAAACTTCCCCCACAGGAAGATGACTCCATGAGCCCAATGATCGATCTGGACGCAGCTCTAGGACCATTCAATACACCATCGGGTTTCGGTGACGACTGGGAGATCTCACAGAAAACAGGACCTAAGAAGAGAGCTATGCATAGTGCTGCTGGATTGGGAGGATTCACAGGCCCTGGCATGCACTATCATAGGCGTGCGGAGAGCGCACCTGAATTCGAGAACCCTCGTCCTCGATTTGGTTTGCACCGCCTGGGAAGTAGCTCTACAATGGCCATGGAAGACGTTTCGGAAGAAGATGAGGATGACTGGGAAGACGCGAAACCATCCTCTGATAAAGAAGATGCCAGTACTGCTGGAGACGATGAAATCAAGACTGGATTGGGCATTGATATCAAGGTTGAGGACGCCGAGGACCAAGAGTCTGACAGGGAAATTGATAGTGCATTGAACAGAGGAGTGAAGCGTAAAGGCAGCTCTTTGAGCGAAGGTGACCGTCGAACGGTTGGCACGGCCAAGTCAGAACACTCTGCCACTTCTCTGTACGATGAACCTATCATGGAGGAGCCAGCAAAACCCATCGAGATTGTTGACGATTCAACCTCCTCCAGGCCGGACTCCAGAGCACATTCTTCCGATTCTACCGCAACACCCCCCTTCAGACCACGATCTGGCAAGGAATTGGCTCCTGTGGATATTCAACCGTTTTCACAACCATTTTCTTTGCAGCCAAATTATCTTACGCCGACAAGCCCTCGATCTACAACTCAGTCATCATTTCCTTCGCCACGATCTCCATTCTCTTACGACGCACAACGAATCTCTACCGCCCCGTCTTCTGTCACCGACGAACATGGCTTTCAATCTTTGCTACTTGGTGAGCCTGGTCCAGAGCTGAGACATTCTGTTGATGAGGCTCCTTCTCTTACTAGTAGCAACTCGACAACGACCAGAGAAAGTGGTCACCCAAGTGCTGGGAACCCTCAATTTCGTGATGGTCAGAGATCCGCTTCTTTGTCTTCGGCAGCAATTTCACGTAAACGATCGAGTATGGCCAGCTTATCGCGACTTATCAGCAGCTCCCATGGCGAAAAAAGCAAACTTTCTATTGAATCTCGTGCTCCTGCTGCCACCGAGACCGAGAAGAAGGAGAAAAGCAAGAGTAAGCGTATCAGCCGCCTGATGCAGTTTTGGAAGCCCAACAAAGAAGCAACTGCTTGATCTCAACGACGCTTACCATTTCCTCTCTTCGGTAAAGCACCTACTCTACTCAGCTATTATCGATCAAGGCTTCTTGCTTAGGACGTGTTTCCGCAGTATATTATGAATAGAAGCTGTTGATACTACTTTTTTATTTGTGGAACGCAAGACATTGGATCTTGTTTCCTTTTAATCGTTTGTCTATCACATAACAGCGGCGTATGAGCGAATTTCCGGCATCAGCAATTAAACATTTTTTGCGATATATATTTCGAGTTCTTACGCGACAAAACACTCAGCATATGCATATTTTAAAAGTCTCTGAGGGTTAACCGAGTGGTGGATGACGTGTTGTGGGAATTATTTGCACAATTTTAATGATAGGATGGTTTATATTTGAGGTTGCTTTGGGCGCAGCAAGATGATTTGGCAATTTGCCTCATATACTGGCATCAGACTGGGAACGCCCGCTTTGGCAACAAGATTTAGAGAGGGCATATTATAGGAGATGATGGTTGCGGTCTGTGAGGGTTCTTTTTTCTTCTTTCATGCTTGAGACGATAGGGGAACATATGGCGTATTCTTGTCCGAATCCACATGGCGCACACAAAGTTGCTATTTTTTTGGCTTTGGCACTTACCGGCTCGGCTCATGGGGCTGGGGATTCTTTTGGGTTAAGTTGAGGCCTAGCAAGCAGCTGTTTGGACGAGATGGGATGGGAAGGATATGAGATGCTATCGTGGTAGAATAGTACGTACGCTGGCAGATTGGAAGCTGCGGCGGGGATAAATAATGAATATAACTTATGTACACATTTTTGAATGGGCTTTTGTGGTGTGATTTGCCTTGCAAAAATGATCGTTCATCTCTAATAATATTCCAAACGAATACACGACCTCGATCTCAGGATCGCTTCGGAAATGTGCCTTGGTGGATAGTCGACCTTCAACGCTCGCTCTTTCCGTTTTGCTGTCGCGGTGCTCCTTCCTAGCATAACAGCTTTCGAATCATGTCCTCCACAACATGCATCAATTTCCTATTCTCTTTGATCGCAATCTTTATGACAGTCTGTTTACGTTGCTTAAACGAATGATTGTTTTCAACATACCATCATAAACGCTGACCTTTCTGCGAGATATGCAACACTATGCTGGCCGATCTCACGACGAGAGCAAGGAAAGGGAGCAAAAGCGTCAGAGAGAACATGGCCGAAGGCGGAGAACCCGGGAGAAGAAACAGGACAAAAATGTGTCAGAGGGCACATTGATTACAGAAACAAGGCTGCTGGAGAAGAAGATCGTAGAGCCTGCTATGAATGCGGACGATAGTTACGTTCAAAGATGGCTTGCAGGAACGAGGGAAGAGAATGCTACACAAAATGTGGTAGAAACGAAGGACGAGTCGAATTATATCATAGGTTAGTTTGGAACATTTCTATCATCTCCAAGTGCAACATCACAAGAGGAGCTTGCCAACATTCGTCAGATTCAAAATTCAACACTTCGAGTAACCTGCGCAATCAACCCCCTCTCGAAAGCATGGTTCAACCAGGACAACGGGGTCATAAATTTGGTCAATCGAAGAAGAGGCATCGATCCTTATCTGATAGTTCTATCTTGCCGTCACCTCCCGAGCCAGTCTCGAATGAGCCATCGAGAGATGATGCCAACTCGTCGGCAGAGGCGCGCCGAGTAATTAAGAGACACCGGTCCAAGTCCCGGATATCTAGCATAAGAACTCTTGATCACCAGCAAACTGGAAAAGCAATGTTCGAGAAAAGAGCGCGCCACAAGACTCGCGAGGACCGATATGAACCGAAAGCCAAAAAGTCAAAACAGGACAAGGGACAGGAGAAAGACACGAAAAGAACAACGTCAAGACGCCTTAAGAAGCGTGACAAGAATAAGCCAAAGAAAGATGGAGCTGAGCTAATGCGCAACTTTTCTTCGAAAAGTATAGGCCAAGATCGACTTACAGTATGTATGTCACTCGGGCGTCACTTCAACATACTGACGAGATACAGTTCCGCCCATCGTACGGACTTGGTTTATTCAACAATGGTCGTTCATCTGATCCTACGACTAGTGGCGGTGAGTTATTTATCATGTTTAGACGAATCACTAATAAAAATTGGATATCTAGTCCCTGACCTTGCGTTTTCTGAGATGGATTCCCTTCAGCAGAATGAGAAACGTCGACATACAACCGAAAAGGAACTTGCAATTGCTAAGTCCCGCCAGAAAGAGAAGAGGAAGACATCAAAACCAGTAGAAGACATCTCGGCATTCTTCAACCAATTTCGAAAGCCACTCCATGAGATCAACGTGGAAAACGGCCAAAAGCGTTCGAGGCATATGTCAAAGACGGAGAATGCTTGCGAAAACCCCACAGATGATAGAATACATGGATATGCATCTTCAGAAAGAGTTTCGCTACCCAGGAGAAAAGCATCTGTGTCCATCAATGCGTTGCCCCGGCGCTCTTTGAGCTACGTAAGTTGGTCAGAAACGAGATACTCACCAAGTCGGTCTGAACGAAACTTCGGGACTAGTAGCATATATAGACCCCCAGCTAGTCCCACCCCTGAGTCCGTCTGGAGAACCCTAGAAGCGACAGGAGTCTTTCTCGATACAGGTATTCAAAGTGGCCATCAATATTCTCATTCATCCGAAGAGCGCTTGCCGCAAAATGAGAATTCCGAAGTGTTGAGGCATGTCCGCCAACCTTCTGCTGAGATCGAAGCCAACTCGGATAAAGACAGTTCTTCAGTCTCAGAATCATCAAACGACTCTTCTTACGAGAAACCCAGAAAGAAACACAGAAGAGAACGATCGGTCCATACCCGCGCGACTGCTATACTACGCCAGGATAGTGGCGCTAGCCAGAAAGAAGATAATTATCGTCATCGAACTTATGATAACCAAGATTTACGAAGATTTAAAGCGTCGCCGCCAAACCGCCACGAGACTGCCCATCATGAGAAGAAGAAGCGAGATATCAGCGACAATCGTGTTGAAAACGCTCCCAAGCTTAAAAGAACGGGAAATGGTATCACAGTAGAACATTTCGATAGAGAGTTAGGTTGGCATCAAGAACCAGACCACACCTCTTCTCAAAGTACACCCCCGATACATCGCTCTGACGCTCTTGTGCCAGAAGTAACTGTGCCAGAGATCACGAAAGAAAATCCCATTAGCCGTGAAGAACTTGCAAAGCGCGCAAAAATCAGGCGTCCTGCAACGACCCTGCCGGTTTTGAAGTCTCAGAAAGACAGTAATCAGCTTGTTGAACAGAGGCGGCCAACAACCGTGGACCAGACACAAACGTCTCGACCACACACATCTAGTCCACATCGTTCGCGACAGCGGGAGCCAATACCACCGCAGGGCACAACGAGCCCATCGAATGACAACAATCCTAAGAAGATCTTTTCGGCCAAGAAATCAGATGCAACCCATAGAACAACCCTTAGTGAAAGGGTAGCTAGGATCGAGAAAAACCTTGCTAAGCAGAGCACACCCATACATGTCACTAATACCCAAGAGAAACCAAATCCTAGCCCTGTAGCTTCTCAATCAGAAGTACAGCCAGAAGAAATAACCACAAGGCTGGGATTACCGCTTCGAGGAGGATTTCAGCACGAGATCGTCCCAAAGGCTAGGTCGAACATGGTTACCGATTCCGACTCTCTTTTCTTGAGGCAAGCCCAACAAGGAGATCATGACTTCGTTGAACATAGATTTGAAAATCTGATAGACGACAATGACGCTATGATTTATGGAAGTCCACCTGTTATGATCGACCGTCCATATCTTGGTGATAATCATTTCGACGAACTGGAATTGCTGGATGATAAAGATGTGCAAGGAACACCTGCTGGCGAGGGCGTGTATGATTATGAATATGAGGATACGATGATGGAGCATGACAATCTACCACTCGTGTCCCACACGGAGAATTGGCAGCATGCATATCAATACGACGGCGAATATCCGCATGATCCTTATATGATTGGGGAGAAACAGCTCAGTGAGAATTGGTATGAATACGACCCGCCACACAATAACCAACAATATTTTGAGCCGAGAGTGGATGGCATGGAGGAGGTAGATAATGACGCATTTCAGCACCTTGATTTCGAAGGAGACATGTATCCTATGGAACGTCAGCCATATCCTGATGTAAATGAAAATTATTGGTAGATTGAGCACAAAGTTTCTGAGCTGATTTGAAATGAAACAAAAAGATAATAATTTCAGATCTGATTTCTCAAACTCTCCCAAATTTCGCTCTCACTCTCTTTCCGCTTGACCTGTTGTTGACTATATATAAAAACACTTTAAAGACATGGGTTTTTGTGCAAAAAAAGCTTTCAAGAACTCCTCTATGATGGTATATCTATACACGTGTCCATCCCATCCCATCCACCCACTAAGACGAGTTTCCTTTCCATGAAAACCATCAGATATGCTAGCAACAAAATTTGAATCAAAAATTAAACGCCAGATGTAAGGTTCTCCCCTCGTCTCTTCAACCACGGTTGGGGTTTCGGTAGACCCCTCGTTACAGCTCATGGAGAAATTGTTATGTCCTTTTATTGATGTACGGAGGTTGGGTGTCGTTTATTCGTTGTAATGGTATACCTATTCCCAAAACATTAGCATTATCTCGAGGGTAATAGGTCAAGGGAAATCATACCTTATAATTCGGCAACCCCGTCGCAGCCCTCCCCAACCTCTTCGCCATCCTCGCAAACCCCTCCGTCTCGATCAAATGATAGAAAGGGAAAGGAGGGAACATCGCACCATCACGATGCACCTCCGCTTTAACCAACAACGCCGTCCCTCCCACCCCGTCCAGCGGCACCTCCGTGTTGATATCCGCGCCCTCCTCGTACATATACGCCATCAACGTGCGGTACGTCGCCATCTCCGCGTACCCCTCGAGCAGGATATCGTCGGGCCCCATGCCCTCGCCGAGCTTCCGCGCCGCGTCGCTGTCCTGCCAGCTGTTGAAGTCGTAGGCGCGCTCCTTGACGTCCTTGGATTTGCTATCCGTGTACCGCTGGAAACAGTTCGGCACGATGATGTCCTTGTTGTGCGCGGCGAGGTCTTGGATTAGCGTTGCGGGCGTCTCGATGATGTCTGAGTCCAGCCAGAGGACCCAGGACGTGGACGGGCCGAGGGTGGTGAAGAGGAGGGAGTTGCGCGCTTTCGACATGGCTGCGCGCCGGGCCTTTTGGTTTTCCATCTTGTGCCGTTCGGCTTCGCTTTGTGAGGAGAGGGGAGGTTCGAAGTCTTGTCGTTCGATTATTATGCTGGCGAATCGATGCTTTTCTGGCCCGGTCTTCTGCGTCTTGGTGATTTGCTCCTGGAGAGCGAGGGTTGCGGCGTTTCCTTCCCGGTTTTTGGGGATCATGAACGCCAGTGTGATGAGCTCGTGTGGATATGTGAGCTTCAACAGATTATCCCAGTATTCCTGATAGAATCGTGCCAATGGCGTCAAAATGAGGATCGTCTCTCTGTTCCCGACGGGGTCGGCTGTGCTGGTGACATTGTTCATCTTGTAGTGTACTACTGGCGGGGGCTTTCTTTTGCCATTTGCCTTTTCGTTTTGTTTTCGGAAGGGAGAGGTAGGGGGGGATAGAGGATTCGAGGCCGCGTTGGCGGATCTGGCTTTCGACGCTGCTGAATCTGCGCTCGAGGGGGAAAGGAGGAAGACGAATATAAATATACACAACACCACGCCCACAACGATTGTGAGCGGGTTTGACCGCCGCAGTGATCTGACTGGGCCCATGGCGCCGCGAAATCGTAGGGCGTCCCCAATTGATGGTTTTCGGGATGGGTCTATATCTCAGGAGGACATATGTCTACTCTATTCGGAGCCGCATTCGAGTTGGGTTCCTTTTCCTTTTCGAAGTTCGCGTTATAGCCTCAGACTCAGAGCCGCGATCTGGCGACAGAGCTCGTAATGTCCGCGTCTGAACTTCAAAAGGAGGTCTTCGTGAAGTCTGATGGTGTTGAGGATGAAAATAAGGTGTTCAATTCGATCGGGCCTAGTGTGATAATCCCTGTCGACAGCCTCCAGTCCATGCTTGGCATCAGCTTAATCCGCGATACGACGCTTACTCATGAGCGGACTTGATCAGTTGAACGAATACTGAGACAAACTCGAGTTAATACGAACGAAAACAATTATTCTTTCACTATAACGGCCAATGTTCGTGGGGCTAGTAATATCTCTGTTCTTTCATTATTTCACGCATTTTGACGTTCTTCGAGCTGTCAGACACTTGAAACTCGGATGAGGTGTCTTCTTCGAAACATCTTGAACTTCCGCTACTCTTAGAATCTGGTGTCCAGTTTGCTATCAATCGACGATCATGAGCATTATACTCTCTTATTCATATCTTCGGCATTAATATATAGGTTTCATCGAGAGCAAACTCTGAGCTAGAGTCTAAACACTGTTTTTGAATACATCTTTTCGATTATCTCCCAACAAGTCACTATTGGAAGTTGACATCGATACTTCTTTGCTGTTCTTAACAATTTATGCAAGTATTTGATTGTGTAGAATTTAGAACAAAAATCAAAAGTTTTGTTTCTCGCAGCAAAGCTCAATATGCTTCACTTTACTGGCGCATCGTTTGCATGTCATTGAGAGAAGCACCAGCACCTCATGTCGCTTCATCCTGATCACATGAGAACCAAACTCCAGACACCCCAGGCGACGGGATTCTGCATCATATCAACACAATAAGGATTATGACGTTTGTTTTGAAACATTCGAGTCTGCTGGCAGCGAAATTTAATTAAGAGCATAAACATTATGCCGTGAAAGAGTAATGTCCACCACATAACGAGGCATTACTATACCACCTCCAATATCGCGTCAGATGATCATGGATCAATGCAGTGTTTGTGAGCCCGAAAAGACAGATTCGTTCAATTACCTATCAACAACCCGGAGTGCAAACGGCCATGAAATAGGTACAACGTATCTTGAGAGACACGGCAGACAGCCGCATAGCATATGAGGCTAATCACAAAGCGAAATTGAAGATCTGTTTTGTCAAACATTGATCGATCCGACCGGCAACCTATGGAGTCAGAGAATGGAAACATAGCATCAAGCAGGAGGCGAGTGATTTGGAAGAGACGTGATTTGTTCCATAGTTCGGATGAGCACAAACAAAGGCTTGGACGTGCATGAAACGGAAGAGGCGAGTGAAGTGGAATACCGATTGATGGCTTTTGGTTCTTTGTTGATGATGTGGTCACGAACTTGGCCAATGCCATGGTTTGTTGATTGATTTGCCATTGATTGTGATGATCTATGGCTCAATGCGTGGTTCTTCAAGCAATCACATCCCCACTTTGCAGGAATTGGACAGAGGATCATCCCGATTATCTGATTGCTGATTACGGTGCATGACAGGATCTTAAACAAGTTTATATACTTCCTGGCGAGTGTTTACTTTGTTTACTAAATAGCTGACTGTAAGTACTCGAGTAGAACTAGCTTTGTCGAGTAGCTTTGCACTTCGTACTAGTCTGGTGCCCAGGCTACCTCGAACTGAAAGAATGTATCCCCTAATAGCCGAGCACAAAGCTTGCATCCATAGATCTGTAAGAAACCGTGTCAGACTCAATACCAACACGAAGCGAAGCACTCGTACTTGAATACAATACACCAAATCTGAAATCATCTCGTGCTCTCACGGGCGCTGGTCAATGCCATATGGCAACATCATTGGTGGGCAAACAAGGGGATTGACGGTCCCTGACTTCCAACAATCCAAACAGGGGCTCCAAGAGGTTCAGCCTGAATCTGTCTCCACCGCAAAGTCCCCTACCAAGCGATCAACCCAGTGCTGATGCCCCCGTGTGATAGCTTCCGTTGCTGCATCGCGTCGCCTGCCCAGCTTAAGCTTCAGCGCCAAACCGGGAGACGGGCTCGCTGACTATCGACTGGCGGGGAGCCAGCAGAACCACCGGTTCGAAAGACTCAAGACTCAACACCTCCTTTTCCTCCTCCACCCCTCTACCTCCTCCGTCTTTCCTTCCTCCTCTCCTCCTCCTCTCCTCCCCTCTCCCTATCACCTACGAAATCTTTAAACTTCCATTCAATCCAATTCAAAATCTTCACAAGGGTCTTATCCACCTTTGCTGTTGGCCAACCGCAGATCGGTCGAGCAAATGGCCTCTCGCATCCTGGTATTCTTTCGGTGCTCCTCATAACATTCACCACATTCCCCGCCTCCGCGCTGGATTCGCCGAATGCTTTTATTCGCGTCGACACAAGAACCTTCGATAGCCGTTTTAAATATTTCCTGATTCGGTTTCGGTGCATCGAGTGGCGACGTCGCGCTTGACAGCGAGACTTATTCTTCTTTCCCGACAAGTTTGAGATTCAACATCACATCAGGCGGCATCTTTGTGATTATAGCTTCCCCCACCATAAGTCTTCAATCATGGAGCCGGTACCAGAAACAGAAGGCATGGAGCAATTTCGGGCTTCGCCAGTCCCAAGTCTGAGACTCCAAGAATCGTCTCTCTACGAATATCGAAGCAACGATCGAGAGTCAAACAAGAGACCTCCCACGTTACGAAGAGTGACGGATCCTATACCCTCATCACCACGTTCTCCCCAGATGTCTTCTGCCCTACCTTATCGATCACGAAATACCTCGCCATACGCTCGCGGTCACTTACGGTCAAAGTCATCGACAAGTGCACTTGCGCCCCCAATGTCGAGAGCTCAGAGTTTACCTGGATTCAATGCGGCAGGGCAGCTTCTGATTTCACCTCAACGTCCGTCGAGTCCTCTTGGGTCACCAAATCGAGTTCGCACGCCTAGAAAACCGGCAGATGAAGTATTTCCTGGGTTTCCAACGAGAAATTTGAGAGACATCAGTGAAACTGGAGGTTCTGAGTCACCCGATCATACACCTAGACCTATGGAACGAAGTGTGTCTCCTATTTTAGGTCTTCCCAGTTCTGCAAGTTATACTCGAGCCCGTCGACCTGCCTCTCCTCTACGACATCTTGCGCAACAGAATGCTTCGGCTTATAGTACGGCTCCTACAACACCATCCTCTATCAATTCCTCCCCATCATATCAATCTCCAAAGTTCAACGAAGCTCTGCTAGGAAGTACAAATTACAATGCGTTTAATTATCCTGGCTCCTACACTTCCTCTTCCGTCCCATCTACGCCTACGTCTATCAGATCTCGAAGTCCTAGTATTTCCAGTTTGGAAACTATTCCGGATTCGCCAGATGCGGAAGAAGAAGCTTTGGAAGCAGAGAGAATTGCACAATTGAAAGCGGATGCAGATGCAGCAGATAGCGGAGAAGACAGCAAGGACAAGGGAATGGATGGTTCTGGTACACGTGGTAGAACTCTGGGTGCTGGTTTTGGTAGAGACAAGCGGAAACGATGGAGTGTTTGTGGAGCAGAGAGAAGAGGTGATTTGAATCTAGACACAATCTGGGAAGATTGAGTCGGAAAAGATTTGTCGTAGGAGCGGTAGCTGGAGTTATATCCCATTTCAATGGTTGAATTGCTGGTTACCAGCTTCGAATGGTGTGTTGAAGATCCCTATTACGAGGGCAGATTTGGAGACTTGTTGCAAACACACGCAGCAACTTGTCTGGCGAACATCAGAAGAGAAATATGGCGGCGGACTCGATATATGTTTTCCTTGCTGTCAAGGTTATTGTACGATACCCCTCTGCATGGTTTTTGCGATCATTCATTTAAGCAATTTGGCATTCGTGAAAGGAGTAATTGGAAGGGAGGCAAGCAATATGCGAAAGGGGGTTATTTGACTTCTGAAACTGTACATGAGAAAGGATCAGCTTTTGCTGATGAAATGAGATTAAATTCGATAAAGAATTCTGAAGGGTGTGTGAGTTTTCTCCTTGCGCTGTGTTTTTATGTCTCGCCTCCCCTGGAACAACGTCTCCCTTCGCATTTGGCGTTGATAAATCATCAAGGGCAGTTATTTTCCAAAGATGCCCTGGGATGAAAAACAACAACCCTGGGATGGTAGACATAAAGTAAGTTCAATTTCTTTGTATTTAAAATCAAGTCTCTTCACTCTCAATTGTTGGATTATCATCACCACTCTCATTAAAAATACTCGACATACTCACAATGCAACTCACCAAAATCGTCGGAGCAGCAGCTCTCTTAGCCACCTCAGTCCTCGCAAAACAAGTAAGTATCTCACAAGATTCAGATTTCATGGCTAATACATAACAGGAAGCTCCAGCTCATCGTCTCCAACGCTATCACGACCACAACGACGTCCCAGTCGTAACCACAACTTCAAGCACAACAACACCATGCACTACATCTTCTCTGACCTCCCTCTCAATCTCTACAAGCTCCCTCTCCCTCTCCACAGCACCCTCAACCTTCAACACCTCCCTCGCCACCCCCCTCCCCGGCATCAAAACGCGAAACCGCAAAGCCAAAGGCCATAAACTCACTATCTCATATAGCAGCATCAAACCGACGACCAACACGTCGAGCATCACACATGCGTCCTCTACTGCTTCAATCACAGGCTGTTCCGCGCCAAGTACCTCGACGAGTGTGATCACCATCACGAATAATGTCACAAGCACCATCACACTCCCGTTCAACTCCACGTCCCAAACGACAACAACCTCTTCAACGACCACCTCCACAACTTCACATACAACTATCATCACGCCGCTCCCTCTCACCTCCGTGCTCCCGGCTACAGTCGCTACAGGCGCGTCCTCGGAGCTTCATCCATCCACGAGCGTAGTAGCGACGACGATTGTGTCAGGCACGCCACCAGGCGCGACGGCGAACCCGAAGGCGTTGCATTGTGGACTGCACGGTCTGCCCGTGGGCGATTACTTCCTCGCGGGGTTCGTGGAGAACGAAACGTCTGGACGACTGGACGTGTGGAAGTGTTGGAGGTATTGTACCGTAAGTCCTCCCCCCATCAACCCTTCCCTCCACCCCCGAGCTCACGTGCTGATGAAATGGTGATTTGAAGTCCGTCTTCGGCATCGACATGGGCTGCGAATCCTACACCTTCTACCCCGAAGAGGGCACCGACGCGCCCAGATGCGATCTTTATGGTGGAAGCGTCGCGCAGAGTCTCGATAGTGTGAATCGGTACGTGCCGAATGTTTGGTTTGATTTGGGGTGTGGTGCGCCGCCGAGGGGGTAGGGGGTGTGATGTGTTGAGAGGGGAAGAAGGGGTGAGAAGGGGTGAGAATGGTAAGAGGAGAGGAGAATGGTAAGAGGAGAGGAGAATGGTAAGAGGAGAGGAGAATGGTAAGAGAGGACAATGGTAAGGGAGGAGAAGGGAGGAGGGAAAGAGGATGTGTTAAGGCAGAATGGTCGAGGAGGAATGTAAGGTGATGAGTTTAAGAGCTGGGATAAGGAAGGAAGTTAATGTACGGTATTTGAAAGAGAAGTATTCGGTTCAGGATATAGTTAGGTTCGACATTTGTAATTGAGATTTCTTGAGTTGACGGCTTAGATTTGACCATCCTTTTAAATTTTAATTACTGCCTTAGTGAGGTTTAGTGTTTCAACAATCCTCGGTCATAGCTTCGGGGAAGTAGAAATTTCTCTTTCCCTCGTATAACATTTGCAGGTTGTTGCTGAGCCTGAGTTATAGGTATAGCTAACCACACATACGCCTTTCCATAATAGCTTCCATTCCACCTGTCAACACGCTTGCATAGCACGTCAATGATCCATCTTGCTAATCACGTTCTAGATTCCATGTCCTCACATTTCCCAATCTTCAACCCCTTGACAATCTCAGTCCTCAACACAACGACGCCCCGTCGCGTACGACGAATCCACACACACAAGTTGTAAACTTTGTTTTTGCCCATATGCAAGAAGCATAGAGCTACACGAACCTTTAATGGTGTAACTACAATGGGATGTTCAAGTTGTGTAGGAATGATTGTGTGTACTAGCAGATCGAACATCTAATTCGAACAAAGTGATCTTAATAATCCTGAAACCGAAATCCCAAACCATGAATCTCCCACCCAGACAAATTATCTTTCGCATCTGGAAGGACCACCTGAAAATGTAGTTCCCCTGTTGAAATTGTACGCACAGCTCAATAGCATATAAGCATTCCGTCAATGTGAAAGACGCGAGTTGGGTTGCAGATGATGCTGGTACGTCTCCTCTCACAAGTTAAACGAGTTCAGATCATCGAGTTGACGTCCGTAAAAAAAGGGCGTAAGGATGGAATAGTGCCGTAGGTACTAGGGAGTAACAGTCGGCCGCTTAGAGCGAAGGTAGGGAGGATGTACTCTTGACGCTAGAAAGTAGACTTGGAGGAAAACAATAGTTACTCTATGAGACGAATAAATTTCCCAACCTAGAATAGACTCCTTTTAACTACTTGAGCACTCACGCTTTTCTTAACCCCTCAAGCCCCATCTCCCCGCTCATCTCTCATCCCACAACCCCTCAACCCCTCATAACCCAAACCCAGAAGGACTCAAAGTAGCCCCAACTACTCCCAAACATAAACCCACCAACCCAATCCAACCGCTTAAAACTCCATTTTTCACACACCTCATCTACGCCCTCAACAAACCTCAACCAGTGTTGCACATTTGGTAAGGTATACCTTGGTACCTACCAAATAAGGCTCTTGGTATATACCTTGGTTACCAGATGTGCAAGACTGACCTCAAGAGTCAACACACCCGCCAGCCAAAGCCCCCTCCAAGCTCAAACCGATGTCCAGCTCACCAACCAGCACATCTATATCCGCGAGACACGTGCGATCCATACCAGTGTCCTGATAACCCTTCGTTACCTCTATGATCACGCGCGCTATATTGTTAAATCACATCGCAGAGCCCGGGTTTCTAGTCGCAATTTCATGATGACTGGATAGGCAAGTTGGTGAATAGACCAACGAGAGGAGTGGATTCGTAAGAAGAGAGAAAGAATACATCGGAACTTGTAGGGGAAGAGGTGAAAGAAAGAGGAATGCTGACTCCAGGTTCCCATCATTTGTCTTTTGCCAAAGCAAACCTCGAGTTATTTTCAGTTTGTGTTACTCTACAGGATGGAATTGGTGTTGTCCCTAGATACTCCGTTCCGATCTTGAGAGCTAGTAATTTAAGACCTTACTTCCCCGCTTGAACCATTCAGGCTGGACATCTAACACATAATAATCACATTTCGCGTTTCATAATCACCAATCACGTCACTCAAATCAACCCATCAATGTCAAAAAAAAGTCATAAGGTATATTCATCCTCATTCACACCCCATCTAAATATGCGAAAAAGGTAGTTTCAGTTCAAGAACCCAGTTCTGTAAGGTCGCCATAAAAGGCACCAGTAATATGCACCGAAACAATGCCGCCATCCATTAATCCAAGTCCTGGAAAAACGCTTCTATAAGAATTTCGTAAAAACAAAAGGAATCGGTGTGTCTAAAACTTTTTCTACAAGCCAAGCATGCTCATCTGTCGTCGTAAGGGACTAGCGCTGATGCTATTATCTTCACTTCCATAACAAGCCGAGTCGGTATCGATGTCCCACTCGACTTCTTCTTCCTTATTTTCTTCCGCGCCGTCCCAGCCCTTTTGCATGGCTGCGCGGGTATTCCAGCGGAGGGTTTGAGAGACACTGTTGAACCAATCGGTGCCGGTTCGAGTGACGGTTGGGAAGGGATATTGTGAGGCGGCGATGGTGACGCAATCACCTTGCTTGAGCTCAACACGTCCTTTACCGTCAAAGGAACAATATGCTGTGGCACGGGAACTGCGAGGGATAGAGACGCGAAGAAGCATGGTGTCTGAAAGCACCATTGGTCGGAAGGATAGGGTGTGAGGGCAGATAGGTGTAAGAAGGATGGCGGGAATATCTGGATGTACTAGCGAACCACCAGCTGATAATGAGTATGCGGTGGATCCTGTAGGTGTGGAGAAGATACAGCCGTCAGCTTGGACGACAGTGAGAAGCTCATTATCTCCATAGAGCTCAAGGTTGGAGACGTATGGTGAAGGTCCACGGTCAATGACGAGCTCGTTGAGAACTTCGAATTGCTCTCCTTCTTCCAAATCCTCTCCACGTCCATCACGGTAGACGGTACAGGTGAATCGCATACGAAGATTAACACGCATTCCCTCATCTCCCATAACCTTATCTAGGTGCTCCTTGAATCGATCATACTCGAAATTTGTCAAGAAACCCAAACTTCCGAGGGAAAAGGACAAAATCGGAGGAACAATACGTTGAAACAGCCAAGATGTAAAAAGCACGGTTCCATCACCCCCAAGAGTGAGGACCAAGTCGAATTTCTCCGGTTGACTCCAGCAAAGATCCGGTGACCAATATTTCAAGAGATGTTGAAATCTGGGTTGGACGTCCAATAATGCAGCTGCACCAAAACGTTTCGAATTTCGGAGCTTTGCATCCACATATACATTGACGCCAAGATCAGATCCATATCGTGGAGTGCTCATGAGCCATACTGCAAGATCTTTGGTCAAGTTGACCAATTGATTGTCCCTGGCTTTGGTGACAATCATGACATTTCGTACGGCCCTCTTGATTGGCCGACGTTGAAGTTGTTTCGATACTTCCCTAACTCCAGTTGCGGTCTGCATAAGACGGGAATGCGACATAAATCCATCCGCCTGGATCTCCTCCAAAACTCTATCAATATTCACCGCGTCATCGAAACGCTCATGGTAGAAGCATGGTGATTGTAAAGAGGCAAACCGAGCGTCGTTTGGTGAACCACCATTTCGGCCAGCGAGATCTGATAGAGCTGCAGAGAGCTTCTGCGACGTAGCCGTTGCCGGTCTATTCTCCATGCTTGAGGCGACCATTCCGTTCAGAGAAGAGGCTAGAGACAGGTTATGTGGGTTGTGATCTCTCTTTGCAGATGCCAATGCTTTCATAATAGTTTGTCTTGGGATTGACTCCACCGACAGGGCGTTCTTCTTATGGCCGTGGAAGTTGTGTGCCAGTTTGGGCGCGAACGCGGGTGATGAGGGTAAGGATGTCGAGTCGGTCCCCGGTTTCAGACCTGTCGAAGGTGAGAGGAGGCCGTTTGATGAAGCATTGTTGATGGTTGGCGAAGTCGTTTTCTGGAGAGCCTCTCCAATGCTCGGAGTTCCGGTCACTCCATCTGGTTGTGATGATTGCTGGGCAGCAGCTGGCTCGGGGGATGCAGCTTCATTTATGGAAGTCAAGGTCGGAGGTGGAGATCGGAGACTGGCAGGTGAATTGCTTGCGGGCTTAGTAAGGGAATGGGTAGTGAGGGTTGGTGTCAGAGCCGGGTGGATCGAGGTGGCCGTGGCTGTTGGAGAGCGAAGGTCTGACATTTTTCCTGGTACAGTAGACGAGGAAGTCGCTTGAGGGGCGCGAGGGGTCCACGGGTGTTGGTTTCGGCGCGGAGGTCGGTTATCGCGGGGAGCGGTGATACGCCGGCGTTAGCGATTGTTCGGGGGTTGGTGGGGTTGCTTCAGGGGGCGTTCGAGGAGACTGGGACCCTGAGAGTCAGGTGAACGAGCCTGAGCTGGAACTGTTGGTGTGATGGGGTTGGGCGTTTGATGGTGTAACTGCACGTCTTGAGCAGGGTAAATAATGACGTTGGCTGTGGTGTCTGTAGACGACCAGATGTGGCTGTTTAGTGAAATCGGCTGGAGCAGGCGCAATAGTCAGAGAACTAGTCTGGAAGTACCGTTAGTCTTTGCAACTCCAATGATGCTTGAATCATGGCAATATCCCTCATCACTCTATCTGTGGCACAGTGGGAATAGGTATACAGGTAGCAGATATAGAACCGAGTCTCGTGGTAGGAGAGTGATCACCTTGCATGCGAAGGTGGGCGAGATGGTGATGGACTTACAGAAAGACTATTAAAAGACCAAAAGTGGACAAGTAAGCTGCAGGTTACCAAAGTGGCCTTGTTAAAGGACGTTGGTTTTGATATGTCGATGTGATGACCTGGTGAGTGGCCACGAATGAGGGTATCAAGATGCCGAAGAAACGAAAGACGCCCGGTCTAAATTCTATCTGCTGCAGAAATGGTGCGGGGAAAACCAATGATAACAATCTGAAAACGTAAAGAAGATCAAAAGCGTAAGAGCAAAATGGCAAAGGCACAAGCTCTCAGAGCTGTGGATGTGATACTGGCGCTTGGGTCGAGGAGACTGGCAAGGACAGGAAGCGCGAACAGAAACTTGGAGTAGACCTTTCCTTATTATACCGGTACCGACCAAACCCTCGACTGGCCTCCACGATACCACGATGAGACGACGATGCTTGGCCGTCCTGACCAGCCCAGGTCGACCAAACTCGCCTGCGAATGTGAGGAGGATTATCGTCGTGTCGACAGCATCACGGGCCGCACTGGAGGGCCACCACGCGCTCTGGGCAAGTATCTCCCCAGCGGGAATCCACTGCGCAGTGACTTTCGCACCAGTTGCATGGCATATCTTCCGTGACAGCCAGCCGGAGCTGGGATTGATTGTTTGGCATGCTGGGCGTGGACCACTCTGCCGTTGACGGGTCACATCTGTTTGGAGACATGGTCCTTTTGCAGCCAGATTTCCGGAGGATCATACATCTGCACTCCTGAGGCTCGCCGCGATGGGATCTTGTCGTCCGATGATAATGCAAAGCACGGGGGGAGGCGTACACGAATTGCATACGTGCAACTGTACAAATCTTTGGTTAGAACGGTGGACCAATCGTGGTAATGCAACTTTCAATTCATAGAGACCCTCCAGAATAATGCAGTCAGACCGTGGGGTTGTTCCCTTCGTACGACTGAATTGGGTGGGACCCCAGAGAGCCCACAATGTTTCATACACCACCTCAAACAACTACTCGCTAAGATCGCATCTGTAACATCGGTACTTTTCAATTTCTTCAGTTCTAAATTTGTACTGTAGACAACATCTCCGGCTCTCTGTATCCTCGCGGCCCGGCCCTTTCGTAGCTTTCACTAAGTCGTCGACTGTCAATTCTGCATATGGTGCTAGGTGTTCTGGTATTCTTGGCAATGAGGCCTTCGACTTTCTGATCCCCTTGAAGGAAGCTCAAAAGTAACCGTCTAGCTTCTGTGATTGAAGCACCGTCTCACGCTGTGCATTGCACATCACCGCCGCCACCCGCGGGATTTCAAGTTGAAACTTGTGGCCAGTAGGGTCGATGGAGATATGCTGTACGACAGTGAGGTTTGAACAACCTTTGCGCAGATCAAATCTTGTTTTTGAAGGAGCATTTGAGTCGACTTGGAGACATGGTTTCCTCAACGGTGCCAATGCAGATCCTGTGCAACTTTCTCTTCCATGACAGATTTAACGAACCCGAGCATACTTCCTGTCTTTTCTTCCAATGATGCACCACCCTGCATATCAGCGTCGTCCTGCGTAGATAAGCAGACCTTTTTGGCTGTTTCGTATACTTTATCCCAATCCTTCAAATCAAAAGATCCCTGGGATTCTGCAAGTAACAAGTCTCCTTGCGAGGTAAATGCTAATACGTGGATGGATTTCGCATTTTCATATTCAGTCAGATTTGGGTTCTGAATGAGGGATGCTGAATTATCATCTGCGCTGATTGCAATGAGAGTGGACGTCAGAACCATTGATAGAGGCAAAGATGCAGAAAGTAGTGTTAGAAGAGCAGTCTGAAGGAGAACGGGCAAGACCGCCAAATGCTACAGACAGAATTAGCCCAACCATTTCAAATACAATACATATATTTCTCTCTAACCGAGCTTGCCTGCACGACTTTAGACGCCGCTGCCTCATTCTTCGGTGTCTTTGTGATCTGTAATGTGATCTGGATCAACGTTCTGGGGAAGTTGTGGGTGAGGATGATTTGGCGCAGCGTCGATTGTAGGATCGATTCGAGGTGCCTCTCCCGTGTACCTAAAACAGCCAACGTCAGAGTCGGAAGGAGCTTCAATGACGACAGGAATATGAAAGCAATATTAGAAACATACCACCCACACCAGCTGCTGGTCGTACGACAATATCGACTGCTGCTTCCTCTGGGAGTTCGTCGCGACGTTGGACTTCAATAGGACCATTGACTGCGCCAATGACTGTGTATCCGTTCTGCGAGAAGGTGGCAGATCCATCTGCGCTGTGAAGGTGTGACAACGAGGCCGAAGGCTCTGTTGACATCGCCATGGTGGTGATGACTTGACAATTGACGTTGGGAGAATATCGAGAGTGGTGAGCGCGGTGGTGGTGCGCTTGTGAAGCTGTTGCTTGAAGTCAATAATAATTTTTGTTTGCGCCCTGTCGAAGCTTCGACAGCCCCGCTAGTACGGGAGGTTTAGCGTCATGAGCGCGTTCGCGTCTGCTCGGAGCGGGAAGATCCACCACCCCTCCATGGCCCAGCTGCTATCCGCCGCATAGGATCTGCTCTCGTTCACCACAACTCCAACACACAGTTCAGTCAATAGCTGACAAAAATTCCCGATGCCGTCTATTACTGAACCGAAAGCTCAAGGGCTACCAAACCAGTCCCCTGCTATCCCGAATCTTCGAGATCGTCTTCCAAAGTTAGAGCCTCGTCGTCGCCAGGCCCCTCCTGCAAATCCTCTCCCAGTCCCTGAGACTCCAAATCTACCATCCCCTCCAGAACCATCAACAATCACCTTCGAAAAGCCTTCACGTCGAATACTCTCTCCGCACGACCATGATCTCTTCCTCTCCTCGCCGACCTACAAACTCCTCCTGGCATTTGTATTCGGTCTGACCGACTCTGTCGTCGATACACCAGTTTCTGCAGTTCGAGATGGCGATCTCAGTCCTGCGGTAAAGCAGATTCTCAAGATACTTGACAACGTCGAAGATACCGTCAATAGAAGCCCACCGGAAGATCAAGGAGATTCAAGGTTTGGAAATAAAGGATTCCGAGACTTCCTAGACCTAGCAGCGAAAGAACATTCAGCATGGCATACAGAGCTTGGCATAAAGAGCGATGGGGCGATAGAAGAAGTGTCTACATATTTTCTACAGTCGTTTGGTAACCGGACGCGGATTGATTATGGCTCTGGACATGAGCTCAATTTTATGTTATGGTTGTTGTGCCTGTACCAGCTGCGAATTATCACACCATCCGACTTCAGACCGCTCGTATTGCGAGTTTTTACACGTTACCTTATACTTATGCGACTAATTCAATCGTCTTACTACCTCGAACCAGCAGGCTCACACGGCGTTTGGGGTCTGGATGATTACCAATTCTTACCTTTCCTGTTTGGCTCTTCTCAACTATTACACCATCCATTCATACGACCATTATCAATCCATCAAAGTCTTACATTGGAGGAGTATGGGAAGGATTACCTATATCTTGGACAAGTGAACTTTGTCAACAGTGTGAAAAATGTAGAGGGTTTGAGATGGCATAGTCCAATGCTGGACGATATATCCTCGGCAAAGTCCTGGTCCAAAGTAGAAGCAGGAATGAGACGTATGTTCGTTGCTGAGGTCCTCAAAAAGCTTCCGGTCATGCAGCACTTTCTTTTCGGATCTCTCATCCCAGCAGTTGATGGCATGAATAAAGAAGAGGAGTTTGGCATACCAAGCGAAGACGAAGAGACCGAGGGTGGAGAAGTGGTTGTAATGAAAGATGGAATGAAGCACGTACATCAGATGAATAGCTGGGGCGACTGCTGTGGTATCAAAGTTCCGAGTAGTGTCGCTGCTGCGCAGGAGTTGAAGAAGCGTATGGGTGGAGGTGATGGATTGAGAAGAATACCTTTTGATTAAGTAAAATTCAATTTCAACACTTTGAAGAATACTCTGCCGCATGACCTCTAATTTTACACATCATCCTTGACAAATCTCGTTTCTTGATCGAGAAGCTATCTTCGGTGCCCCCTTTTCTTCTCGCTTAATATTTTACACAGTGAGTTGATGACTAGCGTCGGACACGAAGTTTCTTAGCACCTTCGCCTCTGCACACATACTTACTGTCAGCTATAAAATTCGGAAGAAATGTAGTAAGGTTAGGGATTTTCTTGCAAACCGAAGCAAGGATCTTTATCCGATAAAGGGGTACTTATCGATTTCCACCTCCTTAGATCTCTCGCTTATTCCTAGACATTGATAGTTTACCTAGTCCCTTGGTAATACCAAGATACTCACGAAAAGGGAGTGATATAACATACATTCTTCACAACCCTCCAATTAAAAAAGAAAAATTTCGAATAATCCTCTCCTCAATTGGACATATATACCTCTCCACCCCTCCACCTCATCAATACGTTCAAACGACCTTCCAAAAAAACCCTCTTCATTCAAACGAGTCAATCTCATAGCCTCCTCCATTCAATTCAACTCATTCATATCACACAATGAAATCTCACCACCTCATCCTCCTCCCCCTCACTCTCCTCCCACTAACTCTCGCCTCTCCCTCCAAAACCTCCCACTCCCCCCTCCACCTCTCCTTCACAAATTCCAACTCCGGCACACCCAAACGCTTCTACGAAACCTGCGAGGCCACATATGGAGGCGGTTTTATCGTCTGCGGCGACCCGAAGGAAAGTCATTTTTGTTATGATCCTAGTAAAGGAGAGGTACCATTCCCTTCAATCTTTTACATCAAAAAAAGAGAGTGAAAGAAAGTTTGGATTGAGCTGATGAAAATGAAAGACATGCTGTCCCCTCGACTTTGGATACTGCCACGCAGGTGACTACTGCGCTGCTGTAGAAGGATTTTGTTGTCATGACGTTCGTATCCCCCCCTTTTCCTTCCCTGAACTCACTTACCAGCTCCGTGTACAGGGCGAAGACCTAGACCTCTGCGCAACCCGCCTCACGTTCTCCCTCCCGGCTAGTATCGTGCCGAAAACAAGTACAAAGAGTGAGATGGCGACGGCGACGGAGAAGAGTGTGGTTGCTACTGTGTCGGTGGGGATTCTTGCTGCGAGTGGGAGTGCAGGGGGAAGGGGACAGTCCGTCGGGTTGCCGAGCACGACTGTGAGTAGACGGCCGGAGGGCACGAGTGCGGGGAATGTGACGAGAGGGGGTGGGAATGGGAATGGCACGGGGAGTGAGAGTGGGAAGGGGGGAGTGGAGTTTAGGGCTGAGGCTGGGAGGGGGGTGGGGTGGGTGAGTGGATGGTTGGTTTGGGGGTGGGTTTGGCGGTTGGGGTTGGCTTGTTTTTGTAGTGAGGTTGATGGGTTTGGGTGTGTGTTCTGGACGTTTGGTGTTGTAGGTTTGGGAGTTAGTGATGTTTTTGGGTAGGCGTTAATGTAATGATGTCAAAAGCGATGATTTGAGCACAGAACGTTTGGCGAGTCTTTCTCCAGCTCAGCTTTTCTCGTTGCGAATCTTGGCTCTGTGGTTCGCTGATTTAGGTGATTTCCAGGAGACTGTAATGAATTGTGAGTCTGAATCTTACGTACATCCGTTTTGTGTCCCCTTTTGACATTTGTACCGTTTTAAATAGTAGATCCGGAGGGTTCAAAGTATGGTATTCTTGCGTAGAATACTACCTTCAAAACGTCTAGCTACCCTCTTTCCAGCCCATTTTGGCATATTTAAGCTTCTCAATCTGCTGGGTGCGTAGCTCTTTCTAGTATATGTTAGTGAAAAATCACTTGGGTTGTATCTGATACTCTTACCTCTTCGATCGTCTCTTTCATTACATATCGTACCACCCTGACATTTCTCGTCTGTCCTAACCTCAATACTCTTGCAATTGCCTGATTTTCCACCATCGGATTCCATTGTGGTTCGAGGAGGTATACGCAATTGGCGACTGTCAAGTTCAGCCTGTAATGTTTTAGTAAGTAAAGGTCTCCAAACTAAGTGACAAAACTGAGGAAGTGTGCTTACCCAATCGAACCAGTTCCGGTAGTCATCAGCAGAATTTTGTACCCGATGTTGTTCTGAAAGTCCGCTAGTATCAATTTCCGCACGGCGGTAGAATGAGAGCCATCTATCCGGACAAAGGGAATGTTTCGGTGTTTCAGGAAGATGCCAACAAGATCCAGAGATCTCGTCCAGCAGGAAAAAATGATGCTACAAGGGTCAGTGAGTTTCTAGGAACCGGTTCAAGACTGCTCACCACTTCCCATCAACATCTCTATTCCGCTCAATATCAGCCAGCACCGCAGAAACCTTCGTAGAGAACCCATCTTTGTCAAAATATTGCCACGGTGACAAATGTCTCGTGCCACGTTTAGATGATTTTGAGAGGCTTTCTTCCTCCACCATGTAATCGCCGAATATGGTCTCCGAGCATAAAGAGCATTGTGAGCAATTTTCTTTTCCTTCAACAGGCTTGAGGCCTGCCTTTAGTTTTGTCTCGCACTTTCTGCATAACAAGTGACCACAGACAGTGAAGTTGCCACTCCTTTTCTCTTCAATTCCTTGGATGCCTGTGATTTTAATATTGCATACCTCGCAGTCAGCCTGCTTGCTCTTCTTGAGATGGGCCATTGCTTGTTGAGGGTCGAATTCTTCGGTGCCGAGTGTGGATTTTTGGAATGTTCCATGATTGCACAGACGACGAAGTTGAAGTTGCAATTGAAAAACTCCCAGATATCCCTTTTTATTGCTTTTGGGCTGCAAAGTGTTTAGCTTGATAAGCTTAATCAACTTCTCACGGGTCAAGGAGTAGTGCTGCTGCTCTCTTGCGGAAAACGTAAGGGTTTGAAGATCCTCAATTACGTGTGGTAGGTTCAGCAATTCTTTAGTCCGGCGCAGACAGATAGAATCTAGAAGCTGTCGGAGGTTATCCACACCGCTTTCCGTATGTTTCATTAAGGGTGAAATAATGAATTTTCGAAAATGATGTATGTTGTCGAGTGGCGATGCTCCGATGAACGAAATCAGTGCAACGAAATCTTCCAATGTATTCTGTACAGGTGTACCAGTCAAACACCAGCGATAGTTTGCGGTAAGCTTCTTCATGGCTTTGAATAGCTTTGTCGACATTCTCCGAATAATGTGAGCTGGGGCGAATGTTAGCAGATGTAACTGTCGACGGAAATCTTTGAACACTTGCCTTCGTCGAGGATAACGCGAAACCAATTTATTTTCCACATAGGGCTTGTTTTATCATGCGACTCGTGAGCGAGTGTATGGTAAGTGCTTAAGACGATATCTGCATCTGCGAGCAAGTTTTCGTTGGCTGTTCTTCCGTGGCCATGATATATAATAATGTTAGAGAAACTAATGCAATGTCTGCCCATAAGTTAGCCAAGTACTGAAGGAATATGTGATGTCGAATATACTCTTTTATCTCTTGCTCCCATTCGTTCAACAATACTATATTCCAATCAGGTTCACTTCTCATTCCTTGATGGGCCACTTACAAGGAGATGGAACAATAACAAGAGTTGCTTTCGATGGTACGAGTGTGGAGCCGACACTAGAATTCTTCAAAGTATCCTTGCCCTTAGCAAAACGGGCAGCTTCGTCAACAGTCTTAGCAATAGCCGAAAGCATTGTCAAAGTCTTTCCTAGACCCATTTCGTCTTACTTGTTAGTATGAGTCAAGAATCAGTACCAAGGAGGAAACATACCAGCTAAAATGCCTCCTCCAGTTTCAGGCGGGACGTCCGCAACTTTCTCTCCGGTGACCGTGTGTGTACATCTGTTCGAATGTTTTAGCGATATGACCATCCTACTATCATTAAGGTTCGTGGATTATACATACAAGCTATCAGGGCTACCATCAACTGACTTCCATAGACGATATTCTTCGGGAATAGGGCCAGTCTCTCTCTGCTGTATAAAATCTAGAGCCTCTTCTTGATATCTCATTGATGAAAGTGTTAGTAAGGTGACTGTTTCAAATACCAGGGATTCCACGCTGCAGATAGATAAAGTAAATGAAAATTTTGAGGTATGTTCTTCCCAGTACATTGGGACAAATCACAAAGTCGGCAACGCTATTTTAAGCATCCCCGAAGAAATGAGAAGTCAATAACTTGTCGTCTCAAAACTTCATAGTAAAGAAAATTCTCCTACTCACGATTTCAACGGTGTACGGATTACTCCGCAATCGATTTTGACACGCTTCAAATTCTCAGATCTTGTAGTTTTTCTGAATGCTAGCTCGACTTTTTTCTTCAGAAGTGCTTGTGAGTTGGTTGCGATGTCATTGTTGTCAGGTAATAAAGCACCCAGAGCACAGAAACTTTTACCTGATGCGCCATCTTCGACATTGTGATTGAGCAACTCGCCAAAGTCAAGCATGTGCGGATTATTGTAGCCATAAGCTGAGTTTTGATAGTCCGGAACTTGTAAGAAAATGCTTTCAGAGTTTAGAAAGTTGCCAACATCTTCGACGGATTGATTTGGGCCATAAATGATAAGATCAATCAATTCGTGTGTGTCTTTCCCGATCGTACCTTCCGCAATACTACTCCAATTTTTGGCAGGTGAGCACGCCTCGAAGAAACAAAAGTAACTACTTGTCAGCTGTGACAGAATGCTACCATGTCGTGTATTTACAACGGCAATACTACTAGCTGGATTTGAAAGTCCTGACCCGGGAGGTTTCAGAATATACACCATGCTTTTCTCTTCTTGAACGACCTCAAATAATTGCAGATTGGGATTGCCTTGGTCTTCAAGTAGTCTCTGCAGGGGCGACGGCGCTTGTGGCAATATTCTTACTGCCACTTTGTGGATCTAATTTCCAGACAGTTAGCTCGAGTTTTTGCTTATTCTGCAAAGTTGAAGGAGGCGTGGACTGTCCAAGAAGTCTTTTCTAGGTTGTACTACAACTGAGTGAGATCATCTCGAATCCGATGACCGACTTGTCCATCATTGCGGACATTTACGAAAATTTATGACCTACAATACCAAAGCACACAGTTATTGATTTGGATGCACAGTCTAGGAAATCACTTCCACTGTCAACTGCATCAAGATCCGGGAGCTCACGGTACTGATCGTAGTCTGGGTCATAAGGGTGCCACGGTTCCTCATCATCGTCTGAAAATGTGTCGTCGTAGAATCTACGTTCTGATATAGCCGCAGCTTTGGCCATAACCTCCGCCTGGTGTAGGAGGAATTCAACTTCCCAGTTCGAATCGGGCAAGAAATCCGCATTTTCGTTCAAGAAGGATTCGAAATCAACACTAGTCTGGCCATTGAGTGGTCTTTCGTTACCCTTTGGGTCAGTTGGTGTAGTCTTGTGGTGCTGAATATCGTAACTGTTTGCTCTACTGTTTTTAAAAAGACGCTTGCTTCGGTCAAATTCCTCGATAGATGCTACTCCCATGAAACGCTTGTCTAATTCTGTCACGTGCGACGTATGGTCGTTGCCCAGCCATTGTGTCTGTGTAGGTCGTCGACGCTTATGACTTGTTCGACTAATTATCAGACCGTAGTTAATACATTGAATGATCTGTTGAAAAGATGGAGAAGAACTTACAACGGAGTTATATCAGTCTCGGATCCGCTTCCATGGGACGACGAGGAACTTGAGACCGCGGAATCATCGTCGAAATCGTCACTTGAAGTTTCACCTCCGTAGAATTGGAAAGACATTTGATTCCGTCTCAGCCAACTCTTGTAATCCAAGACCTCAACAAAGCCACCGAGAATTTCCGTCGAAGAGGAACCAAGCAATGTTTATACAATGACTGACAGGGTCACACATCGAGGCTCTCATGTCCCTCAGGGAGCCTCACGTGGCGTTGCTGCGCACGCAGCGTATGATATCTCCGAAAACATGCACTTCGCCACAGCCTTGAATGTAGCCCGCACCTAGACCATTGCTGCGAATAACGCGCGCGTGAAGACATAAGAAAGTTTAGCTACGCCACAAATCATTGCACAGATGGCTAATCTAACGAGATCAATCTCAACCCTTATGAGGGTATGTCAAAATTCGTTTCCAGCCTGTTGAAAGGTTAAATCCATAATCTGTCTTCGGGTTTCGATATTGTAATTTTCTCACTATGGTAGAGTCAATGAGAACAAAGGAAAAATGTAATTTGGCGCGTTTCGAGAATAGATATCCGCTGTCACGGGTGGATGGTCTTATGACGAACCAGCTCGTAATTTCTCACAAATCCCTTTCCACAGTGCTCGCAAACGTGATCCCGTTTCTCGTGTCGCTCATGAACCCTCAGACGATGCGTACTAAGAATGTTCGCCCGTGAGAATTGTTTTGGGCATTGATCGCATTTGAATATCGTCGGGAGCTTTGTGACAGGTGGAAACTTCCAAGCAAATGCATCTGGATCGGGGTGGTAACGACTCATATGACTTTTCAACTCTTTCTCAGTGCTCCAACCAATGTACATTCTTGTGCACCCGGCTTCTGTGCAGCAAAACGGCTGGTCGTGTTTATTCGTATGCTGAAGAAGGGTGCTTTTTTGGGTAAATCCCTCGTGGAAGTAATAGCATGAATGGTGAGGGCACTTGTGCCATTTATCGCCAAAGTACTCTTGCAATTTCTGTATTCCCAGCACATCCAAGGCTTGTGGTGAAGTGAACTCTTCAAGAGTCAAACGAAGATTTTTGATCAAGACACCTGGTGGACCGAGAGCCTCTAACTGCTCATTCAGGAGCCGACTGACTTTAGCGTGACTGAGTAGTGATACAAGTGATTCATGGCATTCGCTTGTTTGTAAAGCCTCGCAGCGCTGAATGTAGTCTTTGCGGACTTTTTCGTACTCCTTTTTGTCCTTTTCTTCAAAGATCGACGACTCTGGACCATAAAATTCAATGAAATCGTTTAGAGCAACGGACAAATGGAGTAGGCCATCGGGTTTAAGAGACTTGATGGCGGATTCTAAGTGATGGTTCCAATGGAGAGTCGCATACTCGAGGAAGGCATAATCACCTTCCATTAAGTGTTTCTTTAAGGCATCCGCTGTGATATCTGGATTCAGACTGTCGAAGGAAAGATATTTCAGGCATAAAAGTGACATTTGTTTTTCTTCATCACCTTCGTCAATTGTCTGACTCTGTATCAGAAAACTTCGAGACCGGTTAGTCTGTTTCTTTTTGTGGTTGCAATAACTCACTGTCTTGCAGATGAGTGTACGAGCTGTACCCTGTTACTCGAAGAGACCTCGACCAGTGAGCCACATATATCTCCAATATCACCTGCTAGCCGACGAGATTCAAAATTAACTTGTCCAGAAATAACGTCTATCGAAAAGGCCCCTTGAATCTCCTGCCACTTAAGAGGCCGTTTTACGCTGACGATCCACCCAAGCAACTTGCGCGCGGTCTGCTGTTGAACTGGTTCCGAGTTTTCTAAAATCCTACTGAGGATACGAGAATAACTGTAGATGGAGATTAGCTCAGTCTGGTTCCTGGTACTTTGGGGAATGATCCTACGCCTTTTCCAATCCTTTAGGAAACAGATCTGGACGCAGCTCGGCGTAAAGACCTTTCAAGTTAGGTTGTGCATACAAGTTCTTCAAGACAAGTTTCGCGAATAAGAACATGCCATCGGAGCCTTCGCATACTAGTTTAATGATGTAATCTTTCACACCTTGAGAAACTCCCGTGTGCTTGTTTTCGATCTGCGAGGCGTACCAGACTGCATAATTCTCGATATCTCGTTCAACGTGCTTTTCTGTCAGATGCAGAACGTCCGGATCTTTTAGACCAAGTCTGATGTCGTTGAGGTCTTGACTGATAAAGAAGCAACGTAGTTTTCCTGGCTCTGTGCTGTTCTCATTGATAATCGAAAGAAAGAGTTTCATTATTGTCTTACGCTCTTTCGATTCACATTCATCTAGCCCATCTATGATGATAAACGACCGTGGGAATGCGTTAAGCGTTCTCTTCAGAATAACAGAGCAGTCTTGTTGGGATTTCAACGTCGGCTTGCAGTTCTTTAGACACTCATCATACAGATAAGCGAGGAATTCCGGCTTATCCGAATTTTGTTTGAGCAATTGAGCTAAAAGTGCTTTGGCTACACTAGCAAAAGTATTCTTATCTCGGTCTTTCTCTCTACAGTAAAAGTATGTCATTGAAATAGTCGTCTGATGATCACTTTTAGAAGAAGCCTTGACTAGGACTGAGGCGCCTTCAATGATAACTGAGGCGAGAATCGTTTTTCCTATTCACTTTGTCAGAAACTGATATTTAGATGAAGAATCAGACATAATAATGCTTCTTCAGTAGGAGCATATCTTCCGCGCAAAGGAAGACCTACCGGCTCCTGGCTTGCCGTTTAACCAAAGTACTGGTGTACCACAGTTGTCAGGATCCAGCCAGGCTAAGATCTTGGGCTCCTTCAAGATCCAGCTTCCTGAGCCAGGAACATCTTGGCGTTTCATAGCAAAGGTATCTTGATCCTCCGTAGAATCGGTTGCAGATAGCCAAGTTGATATCATTCGAATCTTGTTATGATTTTGTTCTTTCTCCAGGGCAGCGAAAGAAGCCTGAGAAAGAAGACGTGCGTCGCGGGACTCCTGAATTTGCTGCAAGTTAGCCGTCCTTTCGATAAGTTCTCGATGCCGAAGAAGATCGTTTAAGATTGGCTTAGTATTTTCTTGGAAGTTTTTCCAAGTTGCACTAAATAGTTGTTTCCAGGCTATAAATGTCAGTCATGGCACAGGGAAAGCCATAAGGATCCTCACCATGTTGGGTAAATACTCTCAGAGCCTTAAGGTGAAAATTCAATATATCTTCATATATCCACACAAGAATCTGTTGCATTTGTTTATTGTTCTCGCTTGCGAACATCGATCGATATTGCATGAGTAGTGGAAAATTCTCTGCCAATTCTTTGTAGGTGTTGAGAAGAATATCAAATGACTTTTCCCAATTACTTGCAACCTGCAGATATTTTAGTCATGCCTCATGGTTGAACTTTGAAGACCCATTTTGAGTCTCGGCGTAACACAACATAACGTATGTCTTGGAATAGGGAGTAAAATAGAAAGGGTGATTTAAAACTCTGCCGCTGGTCGTTCTTCACGAAACGAGTACACAGCGTTTCAAACGTACGACATAACCAGGTTCTAATTGTGCTAAAGAACACTTACAAGGAGCATGAATTTCATGGGACCCCAGACAAAGCAAAGGAGATCAGAAGCGTTCAAGAAAACCTCGATAACACCTTGATATTGTGCCATTGCTTGGAGAAATGGCTGTATTCTTGTGAGGTTTCGAGCCGTCTTGCCTTTCTTCTGCGCATCCTGCACGCCCTGAGCCGCAATTTTGAGGTCGTCGAGTGTCGTTAATTTAAATGCGGCTAGTTCTTCATGCCGAAGCTTTTTCTGGAAGTCGGCAAGGACTTTTTGGAAGCCATCTTCGATATTCGCCATCGTGATGCATTTGATGTATGGATGAATCTGCTGCGTATTGCTGTCACGATATCAAGCGTTGTTGGAAGGAGCCTTGTCTTAAGGTAAAGCCTGGTGGCTTGCATTTCGATAGCTGTGGCGGAGCATGCTGTCGAGGACGTAGCCTCAGAGCTGTTGCTGACCTAAGATTGGTTGATCGTCGACGCGTTTGCTGGTCATACAATTACATTGAAAACAGTGTTGAATGTTACAGAAATATCAATTTTCTGGCAATCAAAAGGTGCTAAGTGTTAAAGCACTCGAGAAACTCTGCTTGAACTACGCATTTTTTCGCCGAAATCATTCGAAATAGTGAGGGCTGCAGATAAGCGGAGAGAGGGAAAATAGATTGTCTGTATAGACAAACACGAAAGACTGATGATCAGCAACAGGCGAGTGAAACCAACTTATAGAATATGCTAACAGACGGTGTCAACTCAAGCTCGGTGCTGCTTTACTCGAGTAAAATTATGTCGAAAGAAGCACGTGTGAATAAGGTGGCCCGCTCTAAGGGGGAGTGGGAAGTGGCAGATTTTTGACCACGGCCTCACCAAAATAATAGCCGAAGAACACGACTTTTTACGATAAAACACGACTTTAAAAGAGTATTACTCGACAACCCACGTCTTTAAAGTTCCCAAACTTTGTTCTCTTTATCTTTTAAGTAATTAGATATACTGTTCTATTTACTAGGCTATATTATCTTCACTATAACGATTTATATAGATTTTGGCCACAAATCGGCAACTTCCCACTCCCCCTTAGAGGGCCCGCTTGGAGAAATGCCCCACATCTGTAAGCGAGCCGACTTATGCAAGGGTCGAAATTCAGTGTAAGGCAAGCTCTATATGTAATGTACTGTTGTAAGTTGTAGGTAAGTAATCTATTATGGGTAAGAGGTAGTATTGGAAGAGTAAAGAAACAGCGGAATTTATTAACTCTATCGAATTCATTCAATCTATTAAATGTATCAAAACTGACATTAACTCTATCAAATGACTTCTATATATTGTTCTATATCCATCCTCCTAGGCTCCGGTAGTCCCCATATAGATCTTTGCCTTGTTTTACCCCATGCCTACCTTTGTTTTAGTTGTAGCACCTATAGAAGAAGTAAATCCCTGTTGCTTGAAGCGATTAATTGTAGAGAAAAATTATGCAGAAAGCATCTCTGCTTGGGTGACTAAGTTGAGCAGCCAAGACACTTGATCTAGGCGTACTCTTTGCTGTTAATTTGGCTACAACTACTGCTTCTGCCGGTCACAGTTAAGCATCGTGGCCTTCCGTGTCATCTGGCTTTTCAAGTGATTACAGAACACAAGGCTGAGTAGCAAAATCGTCATTTTGGGTGTAAAATGAGCAGTATTTGCTGATTTGCCTAGTTCGACCCCGTTTTGTATATGTTCCTTAGCATTTCGATGTTACCGGCCACCTAGTTCTCACAGTTTCCTAGGTTAAACTTTGAATTTGTCCAACTTGAAAGTTGAAACAGGGATATTAAATGTATTCTATAGCTGGGTCCTCCATGGTTGAGTTTTCGTAACCACGTTACTAAAATGAGTTGTCTCTACAGATACAAAAAATCATTCATTTTTTGGCGCCGAAACATGCACTTATCTGGAAGCTCCATCAACCACCTCCGAACCTAAAGTAATACCTTGAAAATTTGTAAAACCAAATTTCGAAGTCCTTTTAGTTATTTCCCAGACGCAATACTTTTGTAATCTATTTTAGATGTCGTTATTCTATTACTTTTCCTCTCATTGTAGGATTTCTGTAAGGGTGGTCCGGGCGCCAATCAACGAAAGCTTTTCTGTCACTGTAGAGACTGTCACTTTTTCAGTTTTCATGGTGTTGTTGTTCCGAATTCGTAGATCTTGAGAGTCTAGCAAATACTTTTGAGACTCTCCCAGATTTTAAATCTCTAGCAGATCCAACCTTCCTTATTGAGACTTTGATAGATTTTTGGTGTCGTCAACCTGGATCTGGATCTGTTCCGATTTCTGAAGCTCTGGCAGACGCTTTTGAAGCTCTAAGAGAGCTTTGACGATATCACTCTGGATATCGTCCAATCTCTGGAGCATTGGCGGATCCTTAGGTTGAGGCACCCTAGTGTTATCAAGTTGTAGATCTGTTTCTTGCCGTTCATAGTCTTCCTGAAGATCTCAAGTATCTAGTAGATGCTGTAGAGGCTCTGCCAGGCCTTTGGGGTCGAAAATCGGGATCTGGATCTCTTTCAATTTCTAAAACTCTTGTACTTGCTCTTGCGGTTGCTCGAGATCTGTGAACTGAGACTTTTGATCCTGGACATCCCGCGCTCGCTCTGATAGTTCCTGCGGTCTTTTTTTTTTGGCTTTTTTGGCTTTTTTGGCTTTTTTGGCTTTTTTGGCTCTTGAAGATCTTGCGGTTCTTGGAATCTTCGGGTCCTTGGTAGGCCTTGAATCGACAGTTGATCAGAAGAAAGCTAGCACGCTCTAACGAGTTGGTTTCACTTCCTCGTAAAGTCGACTTCAGATGTTGCCTTGAGAATACCCTATAGATTCTGTTTTCGGGCAAGTACCCTGCTTAAGTAGTAGTTCTGGGTGAATACAGTATTTTCCCACACTTGTTATTCCCAATTTTCTACGGTGATGAGTCGAAAGTTGAGAAGTGATTTCGGAATAGTTTTTCGAGGGTTTGAACTCTAGGTTCGTCTTCTGGTGTTTCGTCGTTCTAACTTAGCATCTAGCACATCTATAAATTAGCTGATCAGCGTCGGCTTACCTGTCCTTACATAGCGTACGCTGTTTATGTTGTAATAATAATAAATGTTTCCAAACTCGCAACCAAATTATTCAGTCAAACATGGAGCTTGCTGAAAAGGAACCCATCATTTCTCAAGTTGAATTGGGATCGTCTCCAAGCCTGTCCCATTCATCCTCAGTACTTTGCTCCTACCTGTTCCCTCCGCATGTAAATCTGGTTTTGCAATCTCTAACCGGCTCTATCACCTCAACCCCCTGATTCCCACTCTTCGTATCCAAACTCTCTATCACAGTTTCCGCCGCCGTCTCTTTCATCTTGCCTTCCTTGCGCCTACTCTTCGTATTCAAACTCTCTATAACCGTTTCCGCCTCCGTCTCTTCCACTTCAAACTCCTTACTCCTACTCTTCTGATCCGAGTTCTCTAATACACCTTCCGCCTCCGCCTCCTTACTCTGATTCTTCCACCTCAACCTCCTTACTCCTACTCTTCGCATCCGAACCCTCTATCACTGTTTCCATCTGCGTCTCTTTCAATTCAACCTCCTTACTCTTACTCTTCGTGTCCGAAATGTCTATCACCGTATGCGCCTCCCTCTTCCACCACAACCTCCATACTCCTACTCTCCGTATTCAAACTCTCTAACACCGTTTCCGCCCCCGTCTCTTTCATCTCTCCCAGCTTATCGACCATCGTACGATCAAATAGGTCGCCGTCGCCCTCAGTTTCGGTCAGAAAAAAAAAGATACAATTGTAATCTCTCTGGACCCGCAAGTCTCAACCGGTCAATGGCCCAACCAATTTTTCTGATTGAATTTTCCTCATAGAGTCACAAAATCAGTTTTCAGAATCAGTCTCGTCCTGATGCACGGGCTTTTTCTGCGAAATGCGGTGCAAAAAATCATCAGTTTCGCACTACGAGAGACGTCGCTTAGAAGCACCCACCTTTTAAGCTCATTTTCCAGAAGATAACTGGTCGTCCCGAATGCGTGGAATCTGGGGAATCAGGGGAAGCGTACAAGAAATGCATTTAAATGCAGCCCTATGGAAAATCATTGTAAAAAAATTATATACAATTTTTTTCCTAATTTCTTTTTATTTGATTGGCAAATCTTTGGCGATGTTTGGCACACAATATTTCAAAAAAGTTGACAAAGATATTCTGAACTTCGGGAGGACTTTGCAGTCTTGAGACTTTCCTGATTGTGAAGTAAGATATAGAAAACTGATTCCAAATCATTGCAAACCATAACCTTCATCTATGGGTGAAGAAAATGCGATTTAGCAAATTATCCAGTACGAAAGCACTATTCCGATATTCAATTTAAGCGAGATTTTCTGTGGTCCAGTTTGCATGGTGATCCAATAGTGCAGTCACGAGATAAAACCAGGTCTAGTCTTCCTGAGTACTTGTCGGTGTTTTAAACAGAACTGGAGTTACTGAAAGTTTTTGCGCAAGACCCGCTATCATATTTGAACGATCAAAGGGTATTTCAAAAAATAAAACATGTGATCTAAAGTCACGAGACCATCAGCGCTTTTGCGAGCCATTGCTTGATTAAAGGAGGCATCGTCGGAATGCCAAGATGACTGGTCGGTTCTCCTGCGGAGCTACATGTGCAAAGTCGCCCACCAATAGTAGCACAATCAGCACAATGCGGTGCAAAATACTGGAAAAGTGCTCTGACAAGCCGCTCGCTTCGAGTTTGTCTTAAAACGGACTTTTGCTTCATTTTTTGCTGTTGGCTGCGTCGACAGCGAAGGTCGCCAGCAACCAGAATAGTTTCGCAGAATTTACAACAACTCCACCAAATTTATGTCATTTGCCTTCTAGATAGATGCAAAATGAAGAGAAAATTTCGGGGAATCATTTGATACAAGTAGAGGTTAGCAAGCTCCCAGTTATTTGTTAACGATTTTGAACTTTCTGTATTTCATGTCTGGTAGGATCTAACATTTTCGCTGCAGTCATAAACAGTGGTTCTAAGCATATCTCAAAAAATCACAAAGCATGGTGGATTGTTTTCCTTTGGATCTTTGGGAGTCAGTCTGAAAGAAAGATCAAAATATTGACTTGAAATTTGAAGTTATCGCGGGTAAAATGAGAGAAGGCTTTAATAAAAAGGGAACTCCCGAACAATAGATTTCAGATATTGCAGTATTTTACATGCTTACAAGAACGATGATGGCTTGGATATGAAAACAACAAATGAAATTGTAAACAGTATCCGAAAGTTTAGAAGGACTTTAAATGAGAGTGATATTATAGGAGTTACTGACGAACTTTAATAGCTTATAGGTACTAAAGAGACGCCAAGAACAACTTCTTCTGTTTAAATTTTGTTACCTCCAACCGTTGCAAAAAAAAAATTAAACACCAAACACTACGACTTCTGTAGGGTAATAGCAAAACCGAAACTAAAGTCGAAAGCTCACAGAGGTTTAGCCTCGAACGCCAAATTCGCGCGCCGCGTCGCGTCAAGTCGCGTTTTTCATGTATGAAAGTAAATACCGAGGACACTTTCTTATCATGCGAGCATTCAACCACAGAAACTCTACTCAATAAATAAGCCAAAGTATTAATTAAACTACTGCCTTTCAAATAAGCCATGTCTCAAGATCTTAGACCAAGAATTGATGAAGTTAATAAGACTTTTGAATTTCGCCCTCAATGCGGTGCAAAAAAAGTTGAAGTTGAAGGGAAGAGGATGTCGGGATAAGGTTTCGCCGTACCAATCATTGTCTTTCGCGGATTTTCTGTCTGGAGATTGTTCGGGGTTGAAAGTTGCATTGAAAGGTCGCTCATGTAATTTAATATGCGTGGCTTTTGAGGGCTGAAGGAGAACTTTGCTTTTTTTTTGACCTGTTGCTTTCAACCACCAAAAAGTTCTATATTGTTTCTCTCCAATGAAAGCCAAATGCAATTTGTTCAACTATTAAAGGTGTAGCCGAATCATTCGAATCTTGTTATCAGAGAAAACCCAATCAACCAAAGTCACCTAGTAGCGAGCTCAATGACAAAATCAAAGAATGCCTTTGCCAGCGAATTGGCATTAATACCTTTACGAACTTGCTCTAGCACAATAGCAGCTCAGCTCTTATGATTCCGCAGGCTTTTTGCTTCAGTTTTCCTTCTCAATAAGATAAAGGAAAGTTTCGTGAAGAAGTCAACACATGATACGACTACGCAATTGACGAGTTATTCGGTTTTCAGCAAGCTTGATCAAAGCCGTATAGTAGAAGACTACTCAAAGTTAATAGCAACTCAGAAGCCGCAGTGAGATGACTGTCACGTTACTACGTACATGTTTCGTTTTGGACGGTTCTTCGTCAACCAGTTACCCGCTCGCGGCAATGATGGTTTCCACTTCCAGCATGTCTGTCTGCCAATGAATTCAGATCCCAAGTCCGCCTCACTTCGAAGCCAGACTCTCACTCAACAAATGAGAAAACTTGCCTCACACTTTCTTGCATGCAGATCATTGACAATTCTCAGCCTGGATGAACCAGAAATCCGCGAATGCGGTGCAAAAAATGGTCAATCTGGACTGAGAGGACAAATAATGATCGACAGTGCATGTTAACGAGCTCGAGAAGTCTATACCAACCATTTGCCATCATCTCGCTCGCTTCACTTTAGAACCTCACATGTAGAGTTGTTAAAGTCACTGGGTCTGGCACATGTGACGTTCAAGGAACTATATACAGACTGAGGAAATAGAAAGCTTTCAAAGCTGAAGACGAACTGGTAGAGATTCTGTTACGAATTAGCAGCTCAGCTCTTATGGTTCCGTATTCTTTTCATTTTGTTTTCCTTCTCGTAGTTAAGAGAAGAGTATACTAAAGAAGTCAACAGCATATTATATAGATACACAGATGGCTCAAAAACTACGTCTTTAGAGACTAGCATACCGACAAGGTAAAATATTAGACTCTATGGAAGACAGCTTCAATGCGAAGGAAAGACTGCTATGAAAGACAACACCACCTTTTGAAATTAGTAATAAAATGACAGTCACGTTACTCTGCACACTCCGACCCATTTATCACCAGCAAACTTCCCACTTTCGTAGCGAACGGCCGCGATATTTCATCCTCCCGGAACTCCGCCTCACTAAGGCGAATCGACTCCCGTTCATCAAATCAGAAAGCGTGCCTTCCGATAGCCTTGCATTTCCCACCTGGTCAACACATGCCAATCACACAGTACGTATAACCGAGAATGCGGTGCAAGAAACTGCTCAGTCTTGAACGAACAGACAATTTGCTCATAAGGCTTCGCCCCAAGGCGGTGAGGGAATCCTACACGCTGGCGGAGACCCTCGCGGGGCCCTGCCAGGTGCAACATGCGATCCGGAGGAGGAGGTACCACACACGTGACTCTTTTGTTCCAAATTCACAAATAACTAAACTGGGTTCATAAGAGAAATCTATCACAGCGTCTTCCATTGTTCAATGAGACCGAGCCGTCTTCATGATAAAAAGCCTTATAACAATATATGTATCACATGACTCTAGCCATCTGATCACATGATCGATTTCTTCTCCTCTGAAGAACTGATGTGATTCTAATCATTCTCCGTCACTCATGTAACACAGAAAGTCAAGACATCAAATCGTTGATGATAATAAGAAGTTACAACTTAGAACAGTATAATCAGACGAGAGGCGTTCTCAAATTCGAGCCTGACAGCAGAACTTCGAACAAGACTTCTGGCGCAAAGAGAAATCAAAACAGAAAATTGAAGAAGCGTGATTTGGCTCATACTTAGACAGGAATGAAAGCCCAAGCAAACCTTGACCAACAGCTTAAGTTCCTACCAGGTTTCCGAGAAGATCGAATAACGCCCTGCAATTTCGTCCTCATGCTCAAGGAATATGTAGAGACCTGCGAACAATCTGCATTACACTAAGTTTTCTATGATGGTATGAGGAAATTGAATTCCAACAGAACACGGTTGGATTCTAGTGAGCATGCTTGAGGAAACAGCTATCAATGTAACGATACGTGATACGGCTGTATGAACTCCAAGATATTTGCATTCTACAGACGTTCTGACTACCTTCATCTCCTTCTTGTTTAGCAGACAACAGACGTATATCTACACCCCCCCACGTCACTAAGTTGCAACAACATTTTGTCTTCCACCCAAATGCGACACCCAAGAAATTTTCAAATGAAAACACCAATCCCTTAACGAAATGCCCCAAAAGAATGAACAGATTGTCGCAGACAAAAAACTCCGACCCCAAATGCCAACCCTCCCTAAAAATGGAAACTCCTTGCTAAGATGAACGAATGTGAACCCTCACCGGGTTTGTATATACAATGAAAAGTGTAAGCGAAAATATATGTGCAGAGTATAGAAGAAGATTTCGGCAGGTATATAAGCTTCACCAGGAAATACCACGCCAATCGAAAGTGCCGTCAACATTCATGAAACCCGCCTTGTCGAAAGACTTGTCCCAGCCCAGCATGATGGCGAGGATACGACAGCCCGCTGAGCTGACGGTGCAAACGATCTTATCGCTTGCCTGCCCAAGGACAGCGAGATCCATGAGATAGGCACGGCCTACTAATTCTCTTAGTCGAAGAGCTTCATCTGTGGGTGGAACTTTGACGTCGGGAGTGGTGACGGCAGTTGGTGGAAGACCATTGGGTCTACCGAGACTCCAGAACATAGGTGCGAAGAATCCACCTTCCCATCCCACTGCTTCGTCAACGAAGTTTCTCATTCCTGTAGGTCCCTGTGGTTGCGGATTGCTGATGTGTTTGTTTGAGGCAAGGCGAATTTGTTGTTGAGCCGGTAGAGCTTCAGAGAGCTCCTCAGATGCATAAACATCAGGATCATCAGAAGCGAGTAGCATGATGCTATGGGATGCTGCTTCCGTGATACCGTCATTGCCAAGCCTAGAGCCATTGAATGTCTCGCGTAAGATCTCTTTGGCTGTGTCAACATACTTCTCCAGTGGTATGTAGCTGTCTTTGTACTGAAACTCAAATGGTCGGCGATCGCCGTGACGGACATGAATGCCAACAACAATTCCGTTGATTTTTCCATCTCCAGGAGTGACGGTCTTTCCACGCATTTCGGCGATACGTTTGTCGACATACTCTTCATCCTCGTTGGCAAGCTGGAAAAGTGCTTCATAGCCTTCACGTGCAAAGTTGAACATCGGTTTCTGTCGATATACTTCCATCTTTCTCGCATCTTCGTAATAACCATTGAACCCACCACCGAAAACGTGACCGGCAGTTGCTGCTGAGACGAGAAGATGACGAGCATGATGAGGACAAGGTAGCATCTCGTGACGTGGAGGCGGCCTACAAGATGGAATTGGCGGCGACTTGAAGAACTTGTTGTAGTTCCCATATGCCCTAATATTTGTTAGCGATTTTGTCTAGATAAAATGTCCGAGGTCTTACCATCTTGAGTCGTCCAAGAAGAAAGCCCTACCCTCTTTTTTCGCCAAACCATACGCCGTCCACAGCATCAACAACGTATTGCCTAGGCCCGCATCTTGTGTTTCCAACACGAAAGTCATGCTCTTCTCACAAACATCCGACTCCACCAATCCGTCTAGATTCTCGCCAAGCAAAGATGATGCTTTCATGCTAGTTCGCGCTTTGGGTCCAGGTAACAGACCATGTGCCTCTGCCTCAGCGACGTCCATAAAATTCTTATCGACGTGGTAATAGCCGTAATGAGCAGCATGCTCCTTGTGGACTCGAGTATACATATCCGCTACATGGGTGGCCACCTCCATATTCTGTGAACATATGTCGGCATATTGCTTGGGTTCCAAAGGGAAATCGGAATCTGGAGGGATTGAGACAGTCCATTTTGCCCTTCCACGTTTGTCGGTAACCATGACAGGAGTGGGAAAATCCGGAAGTTCTGATTCCCCCACCATCTCATATTCTTCTCCGCTGTGCGTCGCCCATCCCACTGCTTTCATCGGACGATCTAGCTTTTTCGTCGAGAAACCCAGGTACAAGATCATGATAACACCCGAAATCCAAACTAATCCTTGGATGTACTTTTTTTGCGCCCGGATCGGTATTGGCTTGCCATGTCGAGGCACTAAGGCTGGAAGGCTAGGTGATGGTAGAGGCGGTGCGAGGAGGTCATGAAAGCTGAAGCGGGAAGATGTTGATGATAATGGACCTCTCTCAATACCGTGAGGTGATGGTCGACGGAGGCTCAATCGGGGCGATTTTCTGGCCGAGAGGATCATATCTGCGTGTGTGTATGTCTTTGTAAGGTCGAGGGTGGGAGGCATTGTAAAATAGTTGGCGCAGCCAAAAGAAGAGAAATATAGTAAGGTTCCGAGGGAAATACAAAATGAGTCGTCGGTGACTTGCTGGCAGTCTTACTCGTGTTTGTCTATGGAGTCAGAATCCAAGCAATAGCATCAGCGTGATACCGAAGTGCTAATGCAAGTTTGTTTGACTTCACGAGGGTCGAAGATCAACCTTCCGATTGTCGTCGAGGGTTCAGAAAGGAAGCAGAGACGAGAAAAGATACCGAGGCCGGCAACAAAATCTGTCTATGCTTGCGGATAATAGATTAAATTGAACGCCCGTTTCTGAGAAAGGTCGATACTCCGAAAAGTGGAGAAGAGAATGGAAAGTGCTTGCGAGGCGGTGGACGGCTCAAACTTCAAGTGAGACCGTCGAGATGAGATGCAGAGCCAAATGCCGGTCGCCTTGTATAGAGTTGTTCAATCAGACGACAGCCAAGGAAGAAATTGGACGACACACAGCACGATCTGCGCACAACGTCGACGGAGAAAAGGTGGATCGTCAAGTCGAGGACAACGATCCAGCAAACAGCATCCAGTGTTTCCTCAATCCGACGAAAAGAAACGGCCGTTTATAACAAAGTGGAGCAATAATGAGATGAAATTCAGGCTTCAAGCCAAAGAAGAAGATGTCGTTGTGGATGAACAAGAGGAGGGGAGAAGTCGAAGTCCTAAAGAAGGATTCGGAAACAGATATGATACGCAGCAGCGAGTGGCTGACAAGGGCGGTGGCGATCATGATTGGCGGGACCCGGTTTGGGCCTAATCTGGAGATCCAAAAGACTTTTGCTAATTGTTCCCTGCATGCGTTTCGATATCTGTTTGCATCCTTGCTGTCCGCATAATTCGATTGTAGAGGAGGACGGTACAAGTATTATCAAAAAGGGACTTGCGAGGACGATGTAAGCATAATTCATACACCTGGTTAACAGTTTCGCGGAATAGTTTCTGTAGAACTTGTGTATCAAATCCTCACAACTCTTGAAGAACTTCTCCAGTAAAGTGCAGAACTCCCTTAGCTGCATGAAGACTCGTCAATTACGTGGTGCTCCATAACCCCTATGCTATGGTTGGCCGGCATCTACAGAGGCGTGAGACGGATGAGCCAACAGAAAAGACGACTCATACCAAGGTCTTTTTTAGATCTGCAGGCCTTGCATGACTGGATAAAAGACTGTATCGGAATAGACTTTCTTGTGTGACATGTTTCTGGTGTGAAAACCGTCAGAACATCTGTCCAGAGGATGTCTTGAGCATGATACGCTGGTCGTGAGTAGGTCCTTTGAGTATATCTGCATTTGCAAGTCTGCACAAGATCTCCAAGTTATCTCTGGGCAAGTCTGTGCTAGAAAGTGGGTGATCTGTCTCTGCTCTTTTCTCGTTTGTCGTTGAGGGAGATTTGATTGCCCCTGTCGCTTCTGAAACGACCGTCAAAGCCGAACACCTCCCCGCCGCTGGAGACTTTACCCAATTAAGCAGCTAAGATATAGTACATGATCATGTGACTAGCCGCATCTCGTCCAGCCAGATCTCGAGGAGTCGAGACAAATTATTTCAGCCGCTAACACTTTGCCTCTTCACAACAAACTTCCCGACACAAGACATCACCGAGTTCACACTAGGGGCAAGCATTATTACGCAGAACGACCATTTTGCTTACGCGTTGCCCTCTTGTTCGCGGCACAACTTTTGTTCCGAAACATCACGGAATGTAGGAATTGTCCCATCACACTGTTCGGCTTGTAAGCCCAAGAACTTTGACAGCCTATGGCAATTGCACGTATCACGAAACGCATCACGCCTCTCAACGATGTCAGCATTTCATGATTTCGGGTGCCTCCGCTTGTCATATGTCCGTTTGAGTGTTTACATCCTGTACTCCTGCCGGTATCACTACGTGCGACCAATTTCCAGTCTTGATTACTGAGATATTCACGATTCTTGTTTCACGGAAGGAATTGAAAAATTCGAGATTATGAGCACTGGAATATCTCAAGCTCAGACAGGCTGGATTCTGGATTGCGGCTTTAATTTACGGCAACCTGCATCACCAAACTACGTGGCCAAGAGCCCAATATTTCTTCTTCATTTTACAAGCAATCCGAGGCTAGTGACATCTTGCCTCGTTATCGATGGTATATTGCTCATGCATTTGCATCCTTGAGATTGAGTAAGGTAGATCCCAAGACCAGTTCTTTCATCTCATGCGAATCATTATCAGTGTTGTTAGGACGCTTCTCGTTACATGTAAGACGGCGACGGTTACTTTCGTGCCACGGTATGACCTTTACCGTGTAAGATGCTTTTGTGTCAAAAGTCATCATATTTGTGACGAAGAAGTCTTGCTTGCCCGCGTTAGTGCAACGTAAGATTTACTCATCCTTAAATAAAATCATTATGATTTGGTATGAGTTGGCCAGTCATTCCAATATTTATTGACCAATGATTAACCAGTAAAACTTGCTACTTCCTGTCATTCAATACCTCATCATTATGCAAGTCCTACGGATGCGAAATGGCGTTACAGAAGCGAGGAAGTTCTGTGTTCGGAACAGAAACCATCCGCTTAAATGCTATCTCCGAATATAGACGCCACCATCTCTCAAAGTAGCATTGTGTGGGATAAATCCGACAGGAATCCGAAAAACGCATACGCTTTCGCTTATCTGACAGTGATCTGTTCCGAAGCCACAATTCTCGATTAGCAAATGAAGCGGCCAGACCTGCGGGTAGCTCATGTACTCGTAAATGCCTCCAGTGCTTTTAATCGGCTTTCAATATTCTACTGTTGACGACTCGCACAATCAAACAAGCCAAGGGATTTTGGCAAGGTAAAAACATTATTCCTCCAATGCGTAGAATATTAGAACTTCGCATTCGTTCCAACACCAATCTCATGGAAGTCAATGAAGTATGTTGACAGGCAAGCCTGAGAAGTATAAGTATCTTTTCAATTTCCACACTTTTCAACTATGAATTCATTCTCATCAAACACTTCCACCAATACATCATTACCACATCTTCACATCTCATCTCCAATCCCTCAATCCACCTTCAGCATTCAAAATGGCACAAAAAGCAGTAAAAATCACCATCATGTTCAAGAAACTCGACACCATCACAAACGAAGAATTTCACTCTCATTGGTCGAACGTCCATCCAAAGATATTTTTGGGCGTGAAAATCGTGCAGGAGAAGATCATCAAATACGCACAGGTGAGAGCACTCCCTCAAATTTGCCAGAACGAATACTAACGAACGGGTTAATAGCATCATGTCAACAACGAAGTCAGTGAAGGATTGAAAGCTGCAGGTCTACCAGTGGCAGATTACGATGGGTGCGCTGAGATCTATGCGAGGAGTGTGGAGGAGTTGATGTCTGTAAGTTGTCCATATCCTCAATTCTGACCCTTCTCAAATCACTTACATATTTGATAGGTCTTCCAAGATGAAGAATATCTCAGAGTTGTAGTCCCGGATGAAATGAGATTCTTGAAGAGAGACGAGGCGAAGATGATTCTTGGGTGGGAGGATGTTCTTTTTGATGACGGGGAGGTTAAGAGTGTTTAAACATAATACGGCGATTTCTGTGGGGAGAGAAGCGCGCGAGTGCTGTTGACGTTGTAATTTGAAAGGGGTGATTTATATGAGGGGGCCATTTAAGCGAAGCGATTATAGGTAGTAATAATTGTATCTCAATTTTTTCGACCACACTCTTAAATTATCCTTGATCTATTCTCTGTGATAATATTTCTAGTATTATCTCAAGCAATCCAATTAGTTCAGTTAAATTCCGAGGCACTTAAAAGGAAGAAATCTCATAATCTAGATCTCTCTCCGCTAAACGGGCCGTCCCCTCCGACGTCACCCAAACAAGCTTCCCTCACAACCCAAGCTCCCGCCTGACATATATACCAAATCTCATACCACTCACAATCTCACATCGACACCCTTCCCTCCCCCAAAAATGCCCCCAATACCCAAACCACACCCACATCACCACACATCAAAAGCCTCAATGACGTCACCCCCCAAACCATCCCACCACAACAGCACAAGCACATCCTTCCACAACCCCTGGCCCTCAGCCTACAAACCAACCTGGACCGAACTCCTCACCCTCCAAAACCCTCTCTCGCTCTACTCATCACACTCCCTACACACACACCCCCTCTCCCGCCCCCTCGCGGTGATCCCCCCAGATTTCACCACCACCCCCTCACACTCCCAAATCACAGGAACCTGGCTCGGTCACGCCTCCGCGCTCGCATCCTTACCTCTCAACGAGTCCGGTCGAAGACTATCCGTGTTATTCGACCCCATATTCAGCCAACGCGCCGGACCAACACAATTCACCGGCCCAAGCCGCATGAACGCGCCGCCCTGCAGCGTAGACGCGTTACCGAGCGTCGATTGCGTGATGATATCCCATAACCACTACGACCACCTGGACTACGGCTCCATCAAATCGATTGTCAAGAAATTCCCATCATGCAGGTATTTCGTGCCGTTAGGCAACAAGAGCTGGTTCCTCGCCATGGGCGTGGCAGCAGAGAAATTATATGAGATGGATTGGTGGGACGAAGTCGTTTTCACCCTCGATTTCGAACCCGTGGAGAAGGGGGAAGGGGAAGGAAAGTTTAAAATCGCCTGCGTCCCCGCGCAACACAATTCCGGACGTGGAACACTAGATCAATCCTCCACTCTCTGGAGCGGCTGGATAATCCAAACCCAGCCCAAAGAAACCCAAAAAGCAACACTCTACCACGCCGGCGACACAGGTTACCGTCGGCACACGTCATCCACAGAAACATGCCCGGCATTCCCCACCATCGGCCTCAAATACGGGCCTATAGACCTCTCATTCCTGCCCATCTGGCGCGGAGGCACGCTGGGTTTTATCTCCGCGATTGGGCTGCGGTTATCGCATCACCAGATCCCGCAGACGTTTCACGCGAGTCCGAAGGATGCCGTGTGTATCCATCGGGACGTGCGGAGTCGGTGTAGCGTGGGTGTGCATTTTGGCACGTTTGTCGGGAGCGAGAATGAGAGTTTGGAGGCGGTGATTGAGTTTGAGGAGGCGGGGAGGGAGGTGGGGGCCGGGAGGATCGGGGAGGAGGGGGAGTTTGAGGGGGGGAGGTTGGGGACGGTGGATATTGGGGGGAGTGTGGTTGTGGAGTTGTTGTGAGGGGAGTGGAGGTGGGCTGTTTGGAGAATTGAAGATGCTAGTAAAGATATTGGCTCTGGATATTCGTGAACGGCTTCCGACAATTTATGTGATTATGAAGTATGGAGATGGTTTTTTGTTATGTGGTGGAGAGCTACGATACCAGGTTAGACGATTTTAGCAAGGAGTTAATATAGCTAGCGTTGAAGATCAATGATTATTAGGTGAAAGTGAAATCCTATTTGAAAGATATAACTCGCTTAAATGAGGAACTCAACTTACCTAGGTACTCAAGACAACCTGGGAATTGGAATCGAGACAACCCGGAAGATTATACTCATAAAGCATCGGTCTACTATCGATATCACTTCAACCTTCTAACTTCATAGCTTTAGGAAAACAACCCACTATTTCATATATCAATCCAATAAAACACACATCAATGTCAATACTCTGTCCATTCGACTACCAAAAAACTAACAATTAATACTAAATTGCTCCCATCATCAGCGCCAATAATCCCGGATACTATCCCACCCACCAGACAAAATAAAAACAACCGTCACCACCGCTATACCCTAATATAAACACCTAAAATAATCCACCAACAATAAAAAAAAAAAAACTTGCCGATCGATCTTAATTTCTCTGTCTTTAAAGCTCACAATCCGCCTGACCAGCCCGCGAAACCGGGGCAGAACTAATACACTTCCCCTCATCTAACATCTCCCTCATGCGACGCGCCTTTTCTAACTCTTTCTCTTGTCCTTCAACCAATTCTGTAATCGATTTTATTTGCGTGAGCCCATCTTTAGGCGTGTCTATTCGTGTACTCTTCTTTGGAACTCTAACGAGCCAATAGAAAAAGAAGGCGCCAGCGATATTAACAGCAACAAATACCCACATGATGACAAAGTTACGCCAACGATCTTCATACTTGATTCCAAAAGATCTCAAAAACCCATCCGCAGTATCGAGCGGACAGTAAGCACAAGCTTCGGTTGCGTCCGGGTTGGTGAGATATCCCATTGAGGTTTGGATGAACGATTTCATGTACTCTTTGCAAGTATTGCCGGGTGTGGGGTCGAAGTGAAGTAGTTCAATGTCAGCACATCGAACATGAGCACCCGCCAGTCCTGTCGAGAGTATAGCACCAACAAGGTAGGTGAATGGAGAGACCCGATACATGAACGTCCAGAAACCTGGTAGTGCGTCTGGTTTTACAAGAATGCTATAAATTGGTCAGTATAGCCAAAAGTTGAAATTCTGTGCTAAACTTACCCGCAAAATATAAGAGTAAGCATGAACAGCAGATTGGCGTAGTTTCCTGCCATTCCTGCTAGCTCAACCCCAGCTTGAATCATATGTGCAAATGTACTCATGTACATCATGTAGACCCACATCAACAACAAGACAGTTCCACTGTTTTGGGCCATCGCATGAGGTAGATCTGCGTTGCGATACAGGCCGACTGGGAAATACCAACAGACGAAAATGAAAAGAGACATTAATGTGTTCCAAGGTAGTTCCACAAGGATATTTGACAAAAGAAAGACCTGCCATGAATAAGTCTTTGCTGAGCGTTCTCGGGCTTCATACAAAGATCTCTGAGCAACAAAATTAGGGAGGATTTGTGGAACAAGGTTTGAGGACTGGGTTCTGGATCGTAGACATTAGCTAAAGAAATCTTCTCGGAGCTTTGTTTACTTACAACAACATGAATATACTAAAGATTTGATTTTGCAATCCCTGAAGGGAGTTGTCGGCCATATAAAAGGAAAAGCCGATAAATAGTGACTATCAAGTATTAGCAGCGGTTAGCAGGGTAGAGAGACTGTACGAACGGCAAAAATTGACAAAGCTGCCTTAGAATAGATATAGGAAGGTGTCCGCCAGTATTGAGAATTGACGCGTTTGAAACATTCCCAAAGTTGTGTGAAGAAAGGAGCTGCAAACTCTTCATAATCTTTAATGTCCGCAACATCACTAACAGTTTCAGTTGCACGAGGTCGGAGCTCCATCTCGTCAAGTTCGTGATGAACTCGTGCGTACTCCGGGCTCTTCTGCCAAACGGCATGCCAATCAATGTTGCTGCGATGTCCTGGAGCACATCCCAATACCTCCATGATCCAATCCGCCGGGTTAGCGTTAAGTGGGCATGTGCTTGCGCCGTTTCGTTCGAAGTAGTCGATGACGATGACTGCGCTTGGTCCAATATTCCCAAAATATACTGGTTTGCCATCAGGAGCAAGAAGCAAAAGTCGATCAAATCTTTGAAAGAGCAGTGCCGAAGGCTGATGAATAGTACAAAGAATGGCCTGACCGTGGTGGGTCAATTTTTCAAGTAGATCCAATATGGCCCAGGAGGTTTGACTGTCGAGACCCGAAGTCGGCTCATCCAAGAAAAGCAGAAGTTTCGGTCGTGCAGCGAGTTCGACAGCAATTGTCAGCTTCTTGCGTTGTTCGATGTTCAGACCTAGAAGATTGTCAGCTATAATTTTGCCACAGGATATGCATCTCAGCTACCTTCGCCAGGAACCCCAACAATAGCGTTTGAATAGTATTCCATTCCTAGAAGCTTGATAACCTTCTCCACATATGCGAGCTTATCCTTCTTCGAGGTCGTCTTTGGTTGACACATTAGGGCGTTGAAGCGAAGTGCCTCACGGACAGTCATTGTTTCCAAATGGAAATCTTGCTGTTGTGCATACCCAGTCTTACGCTGAAATGATACATCTCGTTTGTGACCATCCACAAGAGCACTCCCAGATGCAATACCAACAGTGTCTCGAGTAGCAAGAACATCAAGAAGTGTAGTCTTGCCAGCGCCAGAAGGTCCCTGGTGGTGTGTTAGCGAGATTGAAAATGAACGAAAGCCAAATTGCGAAAGTTGTTCAAAAGCATCTTACCATAAGCGCAGTCAGAGATCCCGGCTTGACCCACCCGTCAACATGATTAAGGATTCTGCGGTTTTCCTTCTTGATCTTGATATCATAGCAGATGTCCCTCCAATGGAAGACCGAAGTCTGTTTATGTATAGCAGCAGACACACGACGTGATGTATTGGAGTAACGATTAGAAGATCTTTGAGATATCGTAGACTGTTCCAGGTCATCTTCTTTAGGAAGCTGTGGTCGGTGATGGCGTGGAAAGAGCAAAACCTCTCCCTTGGATTTCTTGGCAGTTATAAATTCCGTTGCAAGCAAGTACGTCGCCGTGAAGAAGACGAAAATGCATAAAATGACAAACATGTTTCTGAGAAATGGTTAATTAGTTCTCAGAATGTGATAGTTTACTTACCTCCACAGGTGTGAACGCTCATAGTTAAAGCTGAGTCTAAGATACTCGGAGCCAGAAACTACATTGAAGCCCGGAACGGCACCCACGACAGCACAAGTGTGATCGAAGCGGCCAACATCAGAGTACTCTGGTCCACTAGGTACAAAGGTTGAGCAGGGAAATTCTCGACCGTCAAACTCGTTGATCATGAGACTCTCATAGGCATACGCAATAGGATCGATATTATTGATCCATCGGAACCATGGAACCATGTCATTAATCGGAATGACAAAACCTGTGTAGACCATCAACGACAATATGAAAATAGCAGCAGGGGCAAGAGCTTGAGCCAGGGTTCGAGAGCTTGCACCAATGGTTCGGAACACCATTGAGAGCGACAGTGTGATGCAGAAAGAGAAGAGCAAGAAAGTAAAGAAGGCCCCAGAGGTTCTCCTCAAATTTGTCATAAAGTATAGAACAATGTTGAAGGAGATACTGTTGGCGACCTTGAATGGCAAGTCGACGATGGCGCTTGCAGCAGCCTCGGTGAAGGGGTGGCAGAGGGCGTATCTGGCGTGCTTCTCAGTTATTGGCCGCTGGTCGTATAAAATGATAATCTAGTAGAATTAGCGGGATTCCTGATCTAGATACAAAGCATTACCTCGAGCGCACTAGCAAATGCGTTAAGTAGAATCGCAAAGAATATCAACACTGATCTGCTGTAAAAGCTCCCGGTATTGTCTTCGAGGTTATAAAATATGCTCCCTTAACAATGTTAGTGAGTCTCTCTTTTATATCGACTTAAAATCGGAAGTTCTAACCAACGATCAGAGCTAAGATGCTGTTCGCGATGACGTTTGAGATGGTGACACTTGCATCTCCCTTCAACCTTTGGAAGCCACGTTCTACACATATACTGATCTGCTGGGATATCGACAGTGTATAAGGAGATCCTACACGCCTATATTTTGTGAGCATACACAGCATACTGAAATATGTTAAAACCTACTGGTACTTGGCTTGCCGGGCCCTCCTTGCTGCAGTGAAGTCGTTGACAGACTTCCCACCAAGGGGATACCTTGCTTCATATTCACGTATCTCGTGTCGCAGTTTAGCATATGCATTGCTCCTTTTCCATATGATAACAAACTCCTCAGCAGTCCGAGGCGTCCTTGCTTCAAAGTCGGGTCTGATACGTCGCTCGGAAGGGCTCGTAAGTGAAGTCAAGAAATCAGCTGTTGTTTGTCTTGGAGCACACTCGAATCCTAGATTGATGAAGTATGCTTTGGCTTCATGGCAGGGCCCAAAGTAGATTTGACGACCTTCATAAAGAACTGTGACTTTGTCGAACACCTGTACGTGTGAGAAACTTCAACGATTGACACGGTTGCGACTTACATCATAAGTATTTTGAGAACCTTGGTACAGCGACACAAGTATTGTTGCGCCAGCCATATCGGCAGAAAGTCTCAAGTTCCTACAAAACTCGAGTGCATTTGCACTATCCAATCCTCTTGTGCTATTATCCCAGCACTGCAACGGGCTACCACTCAATGTCGCCTCTGCAATACTTACTCGCTTCCTCTCGCCTCCGCTGATCAATCCGACCTTGCTATTGACAGTATGCCGCAGCCCAAAGGTAGCCATGGTAACTTCTACCATGCACTCGGCATATTTTGTTCTAGTGATTCCGGGAAACGTGAAATCCCGAGGAGCTCGAGCTTTGGCAGCGAAGTTCAGGGTTTGTCCGACAGTCAGTTGAGGGAAATGTACGTCGTTCTCGGCCATGTAGATGGTCTCGCCTCGGAATTGCCGGTGCATCTGGTGGGCTGGCACGCCTTGATAATTGATTCTCGAGTTCTTGTCCACGAAGAAACCCAAAGTGTCCCCTGAGATTGTTTTCAATAGAGTCGAACAACCACTTCCAGGGCGGCCTAATACCAATAACATCTCGCCTCTATTTAGAACTCCATCAAAGCCTTTCAAAATTTGGACCTTCTGTTTTCCGGTGTCCATCCAACAACGAAAGATCCTTCCAACCTCGAGCCAGATATTGCCAACAGTTTTCTGATAGTCTGTAGGACTGCCGAACCCGAAAACATCCAAGTTTGCGAATGAGACACCAATATTGCCGGACTGATATGAGTATCTTTCTGGGTCTTTTGCGATGAAGCCGACGAGGTTGCAGAGCCAACCTCTTGCGCTGAAAGTGCTGCTTGACGGATCAAGTGACGAGCCTGAGGGCACGCCATCGAATGGATTCAGATAGGACGCCAATGAATCACTACTGCTTGATGATCTAAATTGACAGAGATTCAAGTGTTGTTGATCCAGAGGCTGGAAGAGTTGTATCTCTTGAAATTCATCGTGATTGATCTGCGGCGGTTGAAGCAGGCCATTTGAAGGTGTGGTCTGGCCCGGACCCCTACCACGCGCTCTACCCGTCTTGAGAATGTCGACTGGGTCCATTTGAGAAAAAGATTGCAATTCGGTCGCGGGTTGTTGGAACTCACTTAGTTGAGAGGTATGAAATGAAGTTTGTTTTGAGGTGGGAGGCGAATGAGGACGCATCTGCCCAACGTGCCTTCCGTTCTCAGCACCATAAGCTGTGAATGTCGACTCAGACCACCACTTAACATTCCCATAGTGAATGACGGAGGCTGATTGAGGTGAACACAAGACGTTTTTCCATCATGCAGTCTCGCGCTTAATTCACTGACAAACGACCGGGGAAGAGTTATAGAAAGTACTTACCGGCATTTGGGGAGTGGGAGGATACCTACACCGGAATTGGAGGTACAAAGGATCAGTTTGGCATACAAACTTCATCTCCATCACGGTTTGTGAGACAGCTTGTTGAGTAGTTTCCGAGTCTGTGTTGCTACTGCCATACTGAAAGTAGATAATGGCCCGATATGGAGAGTTTGTGCAACGGAAACCAGCGAGACAGCATATATTATCCAATGGCATAATGCGACGAGAGTGCTCACTGGGTGTACAAGATTCTGCACGTTGAACGTTTTACCAGAGCCAAGGAGGATCGTCGCAGACGGTGGCACGAACGATTGTACTCACTTGATTGCCCCCAATGAAGCCGTTTGAAATATACAAAGGTGCGGAACTGTGCGATGGAGCATCGTGAGAATGTTGATTTCAAGTCGACAACACACCAAGTACCTGGAAGAGGCGGAGCAAGCAGGTAGTTGGGTCAGAATTTGCAACAGCTCGACGTGCAGAGAGAAGAAAAAATCATGAGAAGAAGGACGTAGAGACGAGACTTCGGGTGTCACCAACTTAGAAGCTACGGAAGAGCACGGGCCGACTGTCAACCGGACCGGACATTTCGCCCGGTACGAACCGAAGCCTTGGCCCGCGTGAGTGAGACACAGAGCAGAGCAGCGTCAAACAATTCAGAGTGCCAGCTCAAGAGTTTGTTTGAAGCGCTGGTGAGGCAGATGTTGGGGCACGATGTTGACAACGTTATCAAGAACGGACTTAAAGGGAAACAGTTTTTCATGGATTGATCACTCACTTGTCCCAAACAAATTGAATGCTCAAATCTTATTAGCCGGGCTAGCTCAAGACTAGCTCATTTGTAGTCGACATTTGTTACTCAAACCTTCTCTTCTCATGAGCACATTTACCTCGCTCTTGCAGGTGAGCTCACTTACCCTCGTGACAATGAGAGAAAAAGCTTCAAGCTCATGGCGGTGACTCGGTGAGCTGCAGCTGCTGCACCTCGTGGTCTACACGAGCGACTCGGTCGGAAAGGAATGGCACCTTTCGTACAGTACCTAGGCACTTTTAAGAATGGTACTTTCTATGATTGGCAGCATTACGTGCATGTGGCGATCGATAGCTTGTGAAGGCTTGCTTTTAGGTGCCTTTCAGCGTCCGGATCTCACGATGCCGAAGCTTGTTGGACGGATAGGATGAGCGCCCGTAAACCTCGTACGGTAAAGGGATGACTTGGTAGCGGAATCGAAGCGAGGTGAGGGAGAAATATTCCATCCTGAGGCTCTCAACAAGGCTGAAATCTGTTTAAGCGCAGTTCTGCCAGCCGTCCTTTATTGGCTCTCAGTCAATCTGACCAGGCTGGCGCCGCTAGACCACGGCCCATAGAACTTCCGACACATAGGGTCTCAATTGAAACAAATCTTCGACAACACCATCATGCCACCACCCAATCGATCCGGCTGCAGTTTCCCTTTGTCTCTCTCGAAATCCCAAAGAAGCCATGGAAACCGTCACATCGGGGCGTCTGATCTTGCTGCCGCAACTAGCGCAGCAGATCATGAAGTCTGGGACTGCTTTCGCGGCTCCTCACCACCCAGACGACCGCGCGGAGAGCAGTCCCTTCCGGTAAGAAACATTCGCTTGATTGGAAGGATGCTCTGAACATGGGCTTTGACTGTAGAACTTGCTTCTAGTCTGCACATCAAACGGGTAAAAGCCATCCCACCTCGCTGGACGGGCAAGTATGCTCTTTGTTGCTTCCACGTATTATTGAAAGCCTTGATTTTTTGTCCGATTTTCCTTCAATTGCTTCCTCTGGTCATTTCAATTCACCCATCTCCCTTACCACTTTCTCAATTGGACCATCCCATGACGCGACAGTCCTGGAGTAGAGGAGGTTCACGACCTCAGTTGTCTTTGGGACAGAGTTTAGAGGAGTTGGCGCAAGATGTATCCGGTCAACCATACGATTCTACCTTCGATAACGCCTGTTGGCGCTCTCAACAATCATGACAGCAACATTATGGTTCCGACCATGCTTGTGGGAATGTTGATATTGGGAACAATAATGGCTTTCAGCAGGACAGAGGTCGAGAAAGTGAAGAAGGTCGAGAAGTTCGACCCAGTCAAAAGAATGGGAATGGAGCCGCCTGAACTGGATCCTAAGATACCATTTATAGGTCATCTAATAGGTATGCTGAGGTGGCAAGTTGGATACATGCAGATGTTAAGGTATAGGCTTCCGATCTTCAATGGCCGGTATCATAGAGAGCTAACCTCGGGCTCCAGCTGTAAATGTCCAACATGGCCCGCCTTTACATTAAGAATATTCTCGGCGCGGGTATATGTCATTTGCGACCCTTCTTTAATACAGGCCGCATACCGTAATGCAAAGACCTTCGACTTCGGTTCCTTCGTCGTCGAATCGTCGGAGAAACTATTTAACATAAGCCAGCAAGGAATGAAAATAATACGCGGAGAAACCGCACCAGGATACGATCCCAATGGGCCGTTATTGAACGGCAACCGGGGCAAGTCTTTTCTCAACGAAGACCATAGAATCATGATGGACTCTCTATCGCCAGGAACATGTTTGAAAGAGTTGAGTTCCAAAGTTTTGGACGGAGTCGCAGGATCACTTAATGAGGTTAATGATGACGGAGAGGTATTTGGGCTTTACAGGTGGATGAGGGACACCATTACAGAAGCTTCTGCGGATGCCATCTATGGGCCAATGAATCCGTTTACTGGCAACCCAGAGCTTATAGATGATCTCTGGTACGTCGATATCTACTTCTTCACAAAGCTAAGCTCGCGAGATTGTGGTTGCTAATACATTTATTTGATAGGCACTTTGAGCGAGACGTGGCCCTTCTCATGCTACAATTCCTGCCAACATTTATAGCTCCAAAAGCGTACCAAGCGCGCATAGCAATCAAAAAGGCATTTGCGTCCTACTACGCGAACGGGTATGATAAACAAGCCAGTGGCTTGATTCAGTTACATTTGGCATCGTGTAAGAGATGGGGTTTCAGCGATGACGACATTGCCAATTTTGAGGTCTCGACACTCTTTCTGGCAACCACCAATACCGTTTCCACCTCTTTCTGGCAACTATCCTACATTTTAGACGACTCTGAACTTCATACCGCCATTCGATCCGAACTCACTAAGGTTGTCCGCCGCCAAAAGTCGTGCCGGACTGGCGAAGAACGCGCTATTCTAGACGCGACACTACTCCAATCACACTGCCCACTACTCCTTTCTTCATTCCACGAAACTCTCCGACTTGTAGGAGCAGCGACATCAGTCCGATCTGTAGTCGAGCCAGCCACGTTAGCATCCGCAGCAACAAACACCTCATTCGCCCTCCAATCCCCAGCAGTAATTCAACTCCCCTCAGGAATCACCCACACAAACCCAGCGATCTGGGGATCCGATGCCAACGTCTTCAACCCCGCGCGTTTCTTACCATCTACCAAAGCCGCTCTCGACAAAGACACCAAGCGCAAACAAGCACAAGGCTATTTCCCGTTTGGTGGAGGCAAACATCTCTGTCCTGGCCGACACTTCGCAACCACGGAGATTCTGTCCTTTGTTGGCGCTATTATTCTCGGTTTCGACGTCTCTGGCTCGAGGGTGCCTGAGAGGGCATTTCAGAAACTTGGAACGGCGGTGAGGAAACCAAAGGGGGATGTGGATATTAGTATGAAGCGACGCAGGGGGTGGGAGAATGTCAAATGGAGTTTTTCGGTTGAGGGAAGGGGAGGTGAGGAGGAAGTCAAAAACTTAGTAGTGGGGGGTGAGGAACTTGGTGATGAGTGAGTGGTCTTTGGGTTTGTGATTGCTTGGGCACTTGGTTTGGAGGCGTGGCGTATATACCCTGTGGGATCTGATTATTTTTGGGATCTCACATCTTTGGATCTTGTGTATAGACATTCCTTGATATTGGTGGTATTGGCATTGTATATACGGGGTTAGACCATCCATCAAAATGATTATATTCATCAAATCAAATTATATTCTAATTTACATCAATCTCATAGCGTTTTTTGTTACTTTTACTCATTCACAAGTCCTGTGGTGTGTTGCCACAAGTACTTGCGCAACCGCACCAATCCCAGAGATTCGCGGCCTAGCTGAGGTGGGTCATACAGTACATACCAAGCGTCGGTTTGAGGCTCAAGGGGGTGGCTTCTTGGCGACGGGAGTTCACTTGGCGAGAGGTCACTTGGCGGGTCTCGTGATTCGTTCAGAGCTGGGTAGACGAAAGCTTGGTGGGAGGGTTGTCGGTTGGAGTTGCTTTGTTGGGGAGGCGAGGGGGTGGAGGTGAATGGTTTGGTTTGTTGGGGTTATGGGAGATGGTTGCGTGGGAGATGGTTGAGGGGGCTTGGGGGTTGGATTTAGGTTATGGTGTTTGGTGTATGTGTCTGGATATGCGCTTGGTGGAGAAGGAGATGTGGTTAGGTCTGTAGAGGTAGGAATGGTGTTTGATGGTAGTTATTTTGGACTCCTTTGGTTAAAGGAGAAGACGTCGGATTGATTTGTGAGGTGGGATGCTCTCTCGCGACTTGTCAGGTTTGTCGGTTTATCTTAAATAGATCTTGGATACTAGCCTGGATGTTTATAGATGAGTACTTACTTGTGCTTACTCTGTGAAGAATTCAGAATCTAAACTAAAAGTGCTTATAAATAACTACTTTACTTTTTAAACACAAGACGTTTTTATATAATTCGTTTATAAAGTATATGATTTCATTATAACAACCACCAGAATATTATACCGGGATGCTTTAGTAACTTAGTTATCTGGCATTTCTCCACTTGCGTCACAAAAACTATAAGTTGTTGTCAAAAAAAAGCTAGTCGAACGCAAGCAGAGAAGCGTGATAGTATTAGACGTTTTAAGTGCTTTAGTCGGGTATTTATAAGTTACTAGTTAAGATCTAAGTATTGCTCTAGGTGAGTAGTGAAGATGCTATAAAGAAGGGGAAATTTAGACGGTAATTTAGAGTCTTATCCTATAAGGATGAAACACTTATATTAGCTTACTGTAAATACTACGATAATATCAAGAATTCACATATATATTAGTAAATCTTTAAAATAAGGCAGATCAATAGGGTCGAAAGATTAGTACTAGCACTAAAAGAATGTTAAGAAATAAGGTGCGCGATATCTTTAGTAGGTGCTAATATCTAGGTATACTTTATTAAGTATATAAGACTAAATGTGCGAGTTACCAGTTTTGTGGTCAACAAGACATAATTCGGTTTGTGTGGATATATTGAAGTGGAGACAAGATCTATAACATTCTAGCGAGTAATAACTCCGCTCTGCTAATGCTTTTCTTACCGTAGATGTTTACTTTTTATTTCCTCCAAAGGAAAGACATTCCGGGCTCAATCCATCAAAATCCCACTAAAGGTAATCCTCCACGGTCGCATTTTGAAGTGCATCATCGAAACTTCGTCAAAGAGAACCCCTCAGGTCTGTAGTTCGAAGCGCATTCTTGGAACTTCATCAAATTAGCCCGTTTGTATTTCTCCCTCCAATCGCGTTTTCGAAACTTCATATAGTAACCCTAAAAAAGAGTCATGCTACCAAGAAATAGTTTCCCCAGTATAATCCTGAAATTGTCCAGACATCTCCGGAGTTATCTTTTCAATAATATCCACCATTCCCTTACAAGTCTCTTCAATATCAACTCTCCCTCTCCATCCCGTCAGCTTCGTCTTGATGAAACCGGGTTCGAACGCAAAAGTCGTAATCGGGATCTTGGCTCTCTGAAAATCAAGAGCTAAAGTCTTCACGTGCTGGTTTGCAGCAGCTTTGGCCATGCGATATCTGATGACTTCACCACTGTGGTTTTGCGCACCCGATACTTGGAGGTGAACTTGACTTGGAAGTGAAGTTGAAGTAGATGACCTCGCCTAATCCGTCGTTGTGCAAAAGGGAAAAAAGACCCCAAAAAAGTCCTCGCACATCCATTTCCAGTAGAAAAAAATGGCAAGACTTACGCAACCCGGTTAAGGATTGTTGCTTGTTAATTCCCCAATAGTCGTTGCTGTGCACCACTTTCTCACTCTCCCCTACCTCCCGCCTCGAAGAGGTGGGTACCAAAGCCACTTCGAATTAACAAGAGCGGCAGAGGTAGTTCTGATGTAAGTAGGATCGTAAAGCTTTTCTGCTATTGGTTGGTGCAAATATACGAATTTGGAAATATAAAATTGAGGGTGGTGAATGTGGTGGGTCTGGTATGTGTTTGTTATGTGCCAGGCGGGAGGTTTTTGGTTGCTATGGACGGACCCGAGTTGCGGAAGGCCAGACTAAGTTCCCCTTAAAGAAGCAATAGGAGACTGCAAGATACTCGCATGTTATTTTACAAGCTTGCAGCTAATACTCTAAAGCCGAGCATTTTCCATTTCCAAAGTTGTTGCATGTCTGCTTGAGGACTTCTATACCTGCATTTCACACCTGCCGAGTTATTTATGTTGTTGCATATTCATGAGCAATTCTCATGTCGGCTATTCATCCCAAATAACTGCAGTAGCAGATTAGGACAGCTTTTTCTGGAACTAGCACAACTACTGGTGAGTCGGCCGGAAAGCGTATTGCAGGCAGAGGTCTAGAAACAAGCCGTATTTTCTGGTATCGACACAGAAGGTCTATTTGTCAGCGAACAACGACACTAACATACAAACTGATTCACCGCACACTCGAACCGTCATAAAGTATATTCTGGGCTGATATACCGGCATTTGTCTGCGATCCTTAATGGCAGCCCCCGGAGTCCTTCTAGTTCAGATAACCACAATTCTCGTCAATCTCCGTTCCTCATCGCCCACACAATACCGAAACTGGAGATCAGACGATTTTGAGTTGTAGTGAGTTTTACGTTGATGCTCTACGTCCAACTCATTCATTGCCATTATTGTAGACAAGAACTGGTCATTTTCCCTTTCTACGAGTCTAGCCTTCTTCAAGCTAGGCCAAAGCTTCGAGCGCGCAATACAAATTTGATCTCGAGTACTGGCGCAGCCCTCTTGCTTCTTCATAGACCCAAGATGATGCTTGTGATTTGGCGAAATTTTCATCTGTAGGTGGAAGTGTTGACCGGATTTGTCTGGTTGACATATTCGGCAAGCTGGCAGCTGTAACCGAGGAAAAGATCCAGGAAGATCGCCGAGATAAGTCTACTAAGTGATAATTATCAAAAGCAATTAGGCAAATATGGAGGCAAGTATGGTACTGTTGGAGACTCCGTCGTACGACGTCTCTCGTACCACGACGAAAATATCTTCACACCAGAGCACAATGTGTCTATTTGCGTACTAGATATCTCAAAGCGAGGTTGAGTCTGCAAGTATTTCTAGTCTCCTTCCAAAAGGTTATATGGCAGAGTAAACTTTGAAGTAATTATGTGGATGGATCTAGGACGCGCTCTTCGACCAGAAAGCGAACCCATAATAATGTATCGACATGTATATCTCTCAATCATCGTGGCGTAAGCCAGACGCAGACCACCACAATAACGGCAAAAAATCTGCTTCAGAGTGCGACCTTGGTACCATCGTAATACGGTTCAATGCTTGACACCGAAGTTATACGAAGTGATCCGTTTTACGCGCTTACCGAATTGTTACTCTTTGCCGCAACCTCGCAAAAGAAGTTCTTAGATTTGATGGAGGCTCAAAGCAATAAAGGCATGTATTCTATTGAACCAGGTTCTAACTTTGCAATATAGGTCAGAACCCGAAAACCATCTTGGATAGTAGTTCAAGTCACTTGGAAGTGACTCTCCAATGGATTGGAAAGCGAGGAGCTCTGAAATGGCCAAGAGCCCAAGAAGGCGCTGAGAAATCTGACAAAGCGCAATTCACCATCAAAAAAGACTATGAGATCTTATTAAGTGGGCTGATGTGCTCTCTAAGAAATGCGATAACGGTGTAAGCCTTATAACTAATGCAGCAGCGCTGAAAGAATCTCGAAAGGCAATACAGCAAGGAAAAAAGACCAAAGCAAAGTTCTTGTTAGCATTTGTTTACTCACCTATGTCAATCATCACTTCATTCTTCGGTATGAAGTTTCAGGAGTTTGGTCAAGGCCATCTAGGTCTCTGGATCGGCGCCGCAGCCATGGTGGCGGCTTTTACGATTCAGTCTATTCTTTACACGTTCTGGCACAACGCTGTACCAATATAGAAATCCAAATCTAGAATTTTTAGGAAGGGAAATTGATTAAGAACGTGCAAGGAACGTGTGACCATAAGAAAGAGGGCTCGCGATCTGGATCTTCGAACAAGCGATTATTTCAGTCATATTCTGTCTAGATATCTCGGGGCTGCTTACGAGCGTTCGAAACTCGGGGTATTGCTTCGTTGAAGCCTGTATATCTGGAGGACTCTGATAAAAGATTACTGTAGTATAGACTAGGAGGAATCAATCTCGGTTATTTTGGAACAAAAGTAAGTAATATCAGTGGAAAAAATGAAGTCATCGCAAGTCTGCTAATAAAGATCCGCTAGTCACTTAAAGTACTATCTCATATTTGGAAGTTAGCTTTATTTGATAGATAAATTCAGATAACTTATGAAGTCATCTGCATACAGCCAATTTATAAAGTACCTTTCAAGACGAGGTTTTGCTATACGAAAGTAAAGTATCATATTCATTATGATGAACATCTTAGATGATTTTCAAGAAAGCCAGTGCAGCAAGTGTAAGGGCATCCGTACCACCCTTTAGCGTTGGTTCGATGGCAGGTGCAAAGTAAGCAGAATGGTTTGCTGGGATTTCTGATAAAGTTCCATTGCGATTCGCATCGTCCCAGGTATCTGGAGCTGTTCCACCGATGTTCCAATAAGCACATGGAATTCCTTTCTCTGTGGCAAATATTGAAAAGTCATCGCTACCTGTATCTCGCTTCATTTCGGAAATCTGACTGGGAAATTGGGTTTCAAAAGTGGCAATCAATTTTTCAGCCACAGCCTTGTCGTTGACTATGGATGGAATGTCGTCTGGTTTTTTGATAGATGGCTTCTGAGGTAGTCCGGAAGCTTCTGCCTCGGCGTATATCATTCTCTTGACGGCTTCAACGACTGTTTTCCGTACTGTGGGATTGTACGATCGGACATCAATCTTGAGATCGACAAAGTCAGGAACAATATTGATCACTCGGCCCGCATGGAAGTAGGCACAAGTAATCACGGTGAACTCGGCTGGGTCAACTTCTTTTGAAACTATACCTTGCAGCCTCATTACAATCGAGCACGCTGCAAGAACCGGATCTTTGGTTCGATGTGGAGCAGACCCATGGCCTCCTTTGCCGAATATGCGAATGTCAAAACAATCACAGGCTGAAAGTGCTGCTCCAGACCGAATCTGCAAGGTTCCTGACTTTGTTGGCACCACGTGTTGACCGAGTAGAACATCAGGCTTATCGATCTTGTCGAACAGACCATCCTCGACCATGGCTCTAGCACCAGCTCCATCTTCTTCGCCAGGCTGAAAAAGAAAAATGGCTGTGCCGGACCACGTTTCCCTCGCATTGTGAAGAGATTCAGCGGCGGCCAATAGACATGTCACATGAACATCATGGCCACAAGCATGCATTACCGGGCGCTCTTTCCCAAACATATCGATCTGAGTTTTGCTGCTTGCGTAGGGAAGCTCCGTGAGCTCCTCTACGGGGAGAGCATCCATATCTGCTCTGAGCATTACAATAGGCCCATCGCCGTTCCGAAAAGTTGCAACCACTCCACTACCTCCAATACCACTGATGACTTCAAATCCTCGCTTGCCCAGTTGATCAACTGTTAGTGCAGCTGTATCAAACTCGCGCATAGACAATTCAGGATTGCTATGAAGGTGACGATATATATCCTCATATTCGGACATGTCTGGTCGACAATTATTGAGGATTGATTTCAGTACTGCATTACGGCTTTGAACTAGACACATCCAATTAGCACTAGTCAGACATAAGTGAGTCCACAACTATCCGGAAGATACATACTAGCCGTCATTTCTGTCTTAGACATTTGCGACAATAGCGAGGCGTCCCCGTGATTTCTGGGCTTTTTGATTTGATGCTGATTATTCCTGCAGCATACCTTTTGTACCCGAGAGTCAAGTGAATCGAGAGGGGAAAACCGGTTGGTGGCAGAGCCAGAAAATCACAAGCTGGCTGCCGATTGGACGGTTGTTTAGGGCCACCGATCTCCATTCCATGCTTTTCCAGCGCTTTCAAAGAGTTGTCTCGATAGATTATGGGTTACCATTATCAATTAGTCGGTCCTAGCTAGTTCATGTTTGCTTCGCTCGATACAACCAGTATACGCGAGTCAATCGAAAGTGCTAGGTAGTCTCATAGGCCTCGGCAAAGGTGAAGAGGCGCGTCCAATGAATGATGGCATGGCGCAAGAGGCACTATAGTGACGATGATATGGAGTCAATGAAGTTAGTGTACTGTTCTATATATCTTCTTCCATACCTGCTTACCCGCTTAGGACTGCAGACAGCCTTCAGATTCTAAGCACCATCAACGAGAAACTACAGCTACCTCGGGACAAAGTCGTTGGCATTTTTGAGCGATCGCTCAAGTTGTATCGATTGACAGAAGGAGAGAGTTCCTTCCGCACCAATCTAGTTCGCGTCAAGCTCGGTGAGCTCCATGGGCAGCTGAAAATGCCTGAAGCTGCAAAGTAATAAGTTCCAGATGGAAAATGACATAACATGTTTCAATGTGCCTAACCTTCCCAGAGACTTATTTTAAGAAACGAACTAAACACTTTGAGAAATCGGTATATTGAAAACTGTACTCTTCAAGAGGTGAGGATGACTTTTTTGGCCCTAAGATAAGTATACTTCGCAGAGGGGAAAATAGAGATAGCCAAATATGTAAATACCCTCTAAGATTATAACCTAGGCTCGGTAATAATTTTCCATTATTAAATTATTCTAAGAAGAGATTAACGACGTTTCGGGTAAATATAAGAGGGGAACTCAAATGATATATTATCTAATTAATTAAGCAATTGTAGTACCTTAAAGACTGATTCAGCTTGTTATAAGCTTAGTGCTATATGTAACGTAGTAGGCTATAGTAAAAATGAGATGTATCTATATGTATCGCATTTTGAAAAACTTGGGCTTTGTTTACAAACGGGTATATCAAGGTGATATATTACAATATACATAATCCAAACATTTCCTGTTACTACACACACCATGCATCTATTGTCTTCTCACATCATCTAGGTTGCCCTATCAATACAACCTCGCACCCAAATTCCTCCTCATAGCCTGCGTACTATTACTAGCACTCGTAACATTCCCCATCACAATCCCCTCCTCATTCTCATACTCCGCCCACGCACTCTTCAACCCCCAAACAGCCACACTAACCACCACACCCTCATTCAAGCCCGCTGTCTTAAGCACCATCGTATCTAAAACCCCCTCTGGGAAAAACGTCATCGTCCCCACTGCTCTCCCTTGATCCAAGAATACTTCAAGAATACTACGATCGATGATCCCCTCGAGCACAAACGTTCCATTCGCATTAATTGGATTTCCAACAGAGAATTTATCCGTGAAAAACGGATTGGTCTCGCCGAATCCGAGGACTTTACCGCGGTTCATCCAGAACGGATTGTCGCCACCGAAGAAGAAGCCTCCGGAGACGGATTCTTGTGTTTGTGAGGACGAAAAGGTGAAGTTAAGGGTTCCCATGGAGTAAGTGCCGTTGGGTATGGAGGAGACATTGCATTGGAAGTAGATTGCTTTTGAGTCGAGGGAGGAGTAGTCGATAAAGATGGAGCCGTTACCGAGGGAGTCGTTGGTAGCGAGTGGGCTGTCGAGGATAGGGCTTAGGTCGTAAGGTTGATCCATCATGTTCCAGCCTACGCGGGTAACGTTTGCGAGTTTGGTACGTCTTGGAACGGTCATGGCCGAGCGCCAGCCTTCAGATTGGCCGGTGGGAACCACCTGACTGTATTCCCAGTTCGAGGCCCAGCCAATGTAAATTTGTTCTTCGGTTGGAGGGATGCCGTAGAAGAATTGACCGGCGTAGTTGTCTTTGGAGAAGTCGCCCAGTCTGGCAGCTGCGTCAACGGCGGTGAAGTGCGTGCCATTGAAGGTGCCTGGGAAGTATTCTGTGATTGAACCGCCGAGAGGTGCGCCTGGGTTGATGGAGATGGTCAGAACCCACATTGGGTCGCCGCCTTCCACCGGCATTTGGACGAGATTAGGACATTCGTATCTGTTTCGTGTTAGCTTGGTTAGTGTATGTAGCGAGTAACGCTTACTGAAGACCGAGAAGGCCATGATGAGAAAAGTTGGAAGCATGAGTCCATTCTTTCAAATCTGGAGAGGTAAAGACTCCAATCACGAATTCTTGAGAATATGCAATCACCATAACCCAATGATCTTCATACCAGACAACTTTTGGATCTCTGAATTGTGTAGAGTTGGGAGACAATTCTAATACCGGGTTTCCAGAGTACTTCTCGAATGTATAGCCCCCATCAATTGACCAAGCAATCTATTTGCCCACTTATTAATTGATCCCGGAAACATGAAATCAGTAGAATGGCGCAAGAAGTGACATACCTCTTGAACTTGAGCATATGGAGTATTAAGAGTGTAGATTGCAACTACGCCATTATCTTGATTTGGAAAGAAGCCTGATGTGTTGTTGACATCAATGACTGCTGATCCGGAGAAGATTTGAGAGTTCTCTGTAGCAAAGATAGCAATCTTTTGATTCTGCCAATGGTAAAGATCCGTAGAGGTGGCATGGCCCCCTGTAAACAAAGGAATTAGAAGTGGCATAAGAATGTCAGATATTGTGCTTACAGTGTTGATTTCCTGCCACGGTCGCAGTTGGGTTGTCTAATGATTGATATTAGTATATGGGACCTTTTTAAGCTTCAATTTCAAGTGTAAAGTAGACGAAGATTCAATCCACCACTGAGACCAAATAACGCACATTGGTAGTAAAGATGGTAAGTTCCATTGGCATCAACGAACATTCCATTGGGATCATTCATGAACTCAGTAGGAGGCGAAAAATGGACTTGTGGTCTCCATACACCACTGTAATCACCAGCGATAGGTTGATCAGTAGGGACACCCTCGTCGAAAACGGTTGAGGTCGGAACGGCAGCTGTTGTCGAATTGGTAGGTGCCATGGAAGTTTGAGCGGCAACGGCCGCAGCCAAAAACACAACGTTCTTGAGCATCATGGTGATATGTTCGGTACGTATCTAGACCTTGACAGCTCTGGTAATTGAGACAGGAGTCCTGAGTGTTCAATTGGGAGACCGACGAGCATTATATACTTTTTATTCATACCTTGTAGATGTCTACCAAGCTCCTATGAGAGCTACCCATGTCTAGTACCTTTGATCATCATGAGCTTCCAAGCTGGCAGTAGGCTTCCCCGCTTTACGGATGCAACCCCTCGTTGGGGGACGCTAGAAGTTTTTGATCGGTTCTTAGATGCCGTGAACTTACACAAGAACGCCTAGTACGAGAAAAGAAAAGCAGCGACCTCTTTTTCATGTTCTAGACAAGAAAAGAATTCGAGCGAATCCGGAATCCCATTGGGAAGGGAATTGCAAGCGAAACTCAATTCCTTACATCAATGCACTGAGCAATTTCTCTCCCTTGAAACTACCTGTAGGTTGAGTTCTTTGAATACAATATACATTGACACTTCCGTGGAGTGTACAGCAATACATTCATGTGAAATGTATTTCTTCGTCCTACTTTCTGTATTGGAATAGGTAACTGTTCAAGATGGTCGGAAAGCAGAACCCGACTGGCTATACTTCGGACGGCGAGAAGAGCGGGGACTAGGCGAGCTTGTCGTTCATGTGGTGAGGAAAATATGCAGGTATCGTTGAGATGATGGTCGCCACCGATGCCGACCCCTCAATCGTCATTATTGTGGACGTACTCGAGTGAGATGATGTGGAGGTCGCTTTAGTTTTGGATGTCAAGTTTTGTGGCTTGGACCCGAACTCGGAGTGGCCTTTCAAGCGTGGGAAAGGCAAATCTAACTTTGCAAACTCTAATAAGAAACCAACCTTATGCTTTAAGAATTAAAGGTGGGTGGAGCAGATGGCTGGAAGACTAGACAGTTACAAACTTGCCAGATAAACTGCGAAGAAAGCGGAAAGCCCATGAAAACTCTATTGAGCACTAACTCTATGCAGGTATGCTGTGTCGGGAGATAATCCTAAATCTGGGGGGCTGGGGAAACTCATAAGAGTCTTCTTTCATGATGTGAAAAGGACGAAATGAGGTACACACATCGCTTGAAATATTAACAACAATGATACAAGCTAATGATAACGAAGTTAAAGGGAACAAAACAAATGCGGAGAGAGACAATTTGAACATGTAGAAAACTACTACGGTTTTCAAGAGACCAGAGCCATTGAACCGGCAATGTTTTGCTGCTCGCGAGCCAAACCTCTGCTCCCCTCAAAACACAATGTAGAAACACCTGCAATCTTCAAAGCGCTGATATCCTTGAATGTTATGATTGAACTCTTCTGCGGTACCCGCAGTTCTCCTTGAGTTGGGGTTGTGTATTCCTCTTTACGCGCTTGGATCATTCACATCCAATGAAGTTATTCTCGACAACCCTGGACGTGTAATCAACCACTCGGAAGACCAGTTTACGCGTTTGCAGGCGCCTCGTGCTTCATAACAAACGAGATCCGATCGAGCCAGACATATATCCGATGAAACGTTCATTGCCTATTTCGGTCTTTTGTTTTGATCCCGCCTTGCATACGCCCGCTCCCTGAGAAGAAAGTCGCGATATGTACCGTGTGCGCTGTGTATGAGTTGTGAGAGAGGAGAGCGCGACGTGTGGTCTGTGAATGGGCCGGACAGTGGATACAGCTCGAGACGCCGCAGAGGAGACAGCTATTCTTCGTAGTAACTTCACTTTCACTCTCTTCTCTTTCCCTTTTCAACATCATCCACTTCGCATCAACTTATCCCCAGCATTGCCATCGTCATATTGTGCGTGTTGTGTTTGCGTGACGGGATTCGAGAAGCTTGAGATACGGGGATTTGTGAGGAACAATCGCACGCAATTGGCTTAGCTTCGTCGGTACTGCTTTGCCTTGTACCCTCGAACTTTGGCCCCCTACCATAACCTTAACCACCTCGATCGAATATATCAGTACGCACCCATCCCAACCTCGAGTTCGCCATTTGCGCATTCAGCTGTTCTATCTACGTCGAAAGGAATTGGATAATAACATACCGGGATGTTGATGCGTCCGTGAATTTTCCGCACGAAGTCAATTATCTGGTTGCAGGTGGCAGGGCAACAAAGGTCAACAACTTTATCAGCCGACAGCAATTGCGCAACCACGATAGTACAATATTGCAAAGACTTGAGTCACCTGGGGAACTGGGGGAAACTGTCAGGGCCATTGCGCAACTATCGGCACCAAGTAGGCTGGAAGCTGGTCCTCGAGCAAACGACTGACTGCGACATCCGCCTCTGTTGTGCCCTCAATCCGTCATTATGGGCGCCAACGAAGAAGCGTACAACTCGATGATTACCAAGGCTTCTATCACAAACGCTGCGAATGCTCTAAATACACCACCTGTTGCGACGCCACCCCGCATTTCGACCCCTCCACTGGGAGGCACCGAGAGGAGGAAGTCAGATAAGAGAGCACTTGAAGCCACGAGCGTGAGGGGGGAGGCGGAAAGGGCGAGTGGGTCGACTTTTGCTGAAGCGCTTGATCCCAATGCGTTAAGTAAAGCGTTATTGAAGGAATTCGAGGATGGTGGCCGACCTCGAGAAACGACACCCGGTGGTAGCCCAAGTAGGAAGCGCCAGCGGGTGTATGGTGATAGGTAAGAATTTTTATCATTTCTTTCGAGATATGGGCATTGGATGTAGAACTGCCATTGCAGAATGGAATATCGGTGGCCTGGTCCAGAGGCTCAGGCGCGGTAAAGTGAACTTGACTGACAAACCGTAGATTCATCCCAAATCGAGAAGGTCAGGATCTACAGGCTAGTTTCAGTCTGCTTCACGACGACAGTTCACCAGCGACTCCATCAAAACAGAAAAAACGCACACCACATGGGGAATTACATTTTCAAAGATGTGAGTTATTTGCATGGAAACGGCATCATGCCTAGACTAACATTGATACTAGCGGAAACGGCGAACCGAACATTTTCGACATTACTTCGATCCGAATTATTTGATACCACAATACCCCAACCCACTCCACCAAATCTCTCACCTGATACGAATTTACTCCCTAATAACTCAACTACGAGCCATGATCCCACAAGATCGCGGACACCTCCTAATAACGGGCCTGCTTCTTCACTACCCGTCTCTCTCACACCTTCTACTCCCCATAAGAATCTCTTCACATATATGTCCCCACGCCATCACACTAATATTGCCGGCCATCCTACACCTTCGAGAACTCCCCAGAGCAGACATGGACCCAATCTCAATGCGCGATCAGAAATGTATAGTTTATCACCTGTTAGATTTGGAAGTCAGCAGATGCTTCTGAGTCCACGGAAACAACCACGGACAGTTAGCAAAGTGCCATACAAAGTGCTTGATGCACCGGATTTGGCAGATGATTTTTATTTAAATCTGGTGGATTGGGGGAGTAGTAATATACTTGGAGTTGGCCTTGGAAGTTGTGTGTACATGTGGAATTCGCAAACAGGTAAAGTTAACAAGCTTTGCGAATTGCAAGACGATACTGTGACGAGTGTCTCGTGGATACAACGAGGATCACATATCGCTATTGGAACAGGAAAGGGGTTGGTACAGATTTGGGACGCTGAAAGAGTACGAAGGCTACGAACGATGACTGGACATAGCGCCAGAGTTGGTTCTCTCGCTTGGAACGACCACATTCTCACGTCGGGTTCTCGAGATCGATTAATATACCATCGCGATGTCCGTGCACCAGATCAATGGACACGGAGACTAGTCGGCCACAAGCAGGAAGTTTGTGGATTGCGGTGGAATTGTGAGGATGGTCAACTTGCATCTGGTGGAAACGACAATAAGTTATTAGTTTGGGATAAGCTTTCCGACACACCATTGTGGAAATTCAGCGACCACACAGCCGCTGTAAAAGCGATAGCTTGGTCGCCGCATCAGAGAGGTCTGTTAGCATCTGGAGGAGGTACTGCCGATCGTCGAATCATCTTTCACGACACATTACGAGGCACAACCATAAACGAGATCGACACTGGCTCGCAAGTCTGCAATCTCGCCTGGTCGAAAAACTCAAACGAAATTGTTTCCACTCACGGATACTCCCAAAATCAAATCGTCGTCTGGAAATACCCAAGCATGACCCAAGTCGTGTCCCTAACAGGCCATACCTACAGAGTTCTATACCTCTCCATGAGCGCGGACGGTCGAACCATCGTCACGGGCGCAGGCGACGAAACCCTAAGATTCTGGAACGTCTTTGGCCGGAAACCGGGACAGCGAGAAGATGGCGACCCAGGCGGTGGTGGAAAACTAGGTGATTGGGGTGTAATTAGATGAGCGCGCTGCAGGAACTGGAATTCTGCTCAATCAAAAAACACACGTTCACAAGAACAAAAAATAGCTTCCATCACGCTTTACACGGATAGCATGAAACACGCTATGAAGGATTCTCCCTCGTATAGGGAAGGGAAAGGCCGGGAAGGCGTTTCTGATGTGGGATGATATGAATATATAAGACTTGATGTTTGCAATCTGGAATGGGTGTACTTTGCTGGCATAGCATGCGGGTTGCGGGTTGGGATGGATGGGGGTGAGGAGGTTTATGTAGCTGGTGGATAGCTATGAGAGTATATTTTAATAGAAACTTTTTCGTGTTTGAAAAAGAGTGTTAATCTTTCATTCGTTTGTGAGGGTTAAGTGATTGTAAAATGTTAGGAAGGAAAATCATTTGTTTACGATTCCCCGGCATTTGAGCAGTCTGTCAACCGGAAAGTTTCCTCTCAAAACATCGCATGTGATACTTCTAAAAGATGGAAGATGTGCTTGTTAGATAGATACTCTAGATATTGGAATGCCTGAATATTATAACTGCGGTCTTTCCCCTAAAGTCAGACAGTTTTAACACTCCATGTTTTCACGGCCGCACAAGCACTTCATCAATTTAGTAAAAGATAATCATGTAAATTATTAGCTGGTTAATAAAAAGCAAGAAGCAATAGATACGCCATAAACGCCTTGGTATATCCTATTCCCGCAGCCCACATGCATTCGATATTCCCATAATGTACCGCCGTTACTGGTAATGGACCATTCTGACACCCCTTCGTTAAGCGAAAAACACAATGCTACCGACGAATGAATTCATAACTCAAGTTAAGCAGGTAAATCACCAATCTTCCTCTCCTTAGCAACGTCCTTCGCGCCACCATCAATACCAGTAGCGCCCAATTGCTCATTCAATAACGAGAGCTTCTCAACTTGTTCACCTAACTCGGTACTTGCTTCCGTCCTGGGCGTCATCAATGGACTTGTCAACAGATCCGGAGAACTCTGCCATTTGGCGACTTCACGTTTCATCTGCTCCAATTCCTTCTGGAAACGGTTGCCAAAGACGTCGATGTAGAAGGTGGCGCCGTTATAAACGGACCAGCAGAAGACTGCTGTCAGGAAAGCGGCTGATGCGTATCGGTAGTGGAACCAGATTGGACAAGGAGCCATTGTCAGAACTGCATAGGAGTACTGGATCAGCATGAAGGCGGGTTCCTGCAAAGACTCTGGTAGGGAAAGTACAACTTTGCCGAGCCAGACCTTGGAGTAGGATTTTCGTAGCCACTATATTGTTGTTAGCACCGAGCAGAAAATCAGGGAAGTGACTAACCGTGAAGGATGTTGGCCGGCCAGCCGCAATCTTCTCTCGTCTTCTGACTGTAATCAAGAAGTGGTAGGAGAGTTGCCAGATAGCATATGGAATGGTCGACCAAAGAGTCATGGCGAGCAGTGAGTAATGTTCTTTAGAACCAACAGGCGAAGTCCTGATGGACCATATTCCTGGAAATCGACTCTGTTGAAATGCAGGTTCAATAAGATGAACCAGGCAGTGGAGAGTCACACAAGGCATTATGTGGATGAACAAACTCGTAACCTTGTCGAAACTGTGAAATACCAAGGAATTTCTCCACATCGCAATCGCAACAGCATTATTTCCAAATGCTAGACAATAGGTGCTTATGAACAACCTTTTCGAGTTCGGGAAGATCCAGATCGCAAGGAAGACCATGAAATTGACAAAATAACATAGATCTGCGAGGAAATAGTGAAAGCCCTTCTTGTGATAGGTGTAAAACCGGATGGGCATGAAGTAGAAGAGTTGGCCTGTATACCACCAATGGAAGTATTCGGGATATCCGCCAATGAGGTATCCTGATATGAGGACATTCATCACACCGCAGATGAACGAGAACTTCTCCCGAGCAGTGACTGTAGCGGTATCATTCCATCTCTCGCCAAGTCTGTCCACACTCTTGCGCATTCTTCTCCGATATTTGTCCAACTGTTCGTCGGCTGGTGGGACCCTCCTCCGCCATTCCTCGACTACACGATCTTTGGCGTGAGCGCCTCTGGTTTTCAACTGATCTCTCTGTTTCTTGACTTTCATCGTCTGGGCGGTGATATTCCTTTGTAACTTCTCAAGTTGCTGTGGTAATGCAAAGTTGTCCAACAGATCGAACACTGTTAGTTTATCTAAAGGGGGAAACGCTTCCCAATCTTCCTGATATGAGCTGCTACCAGAGAATGACGGATTCCTCGATATTCGAGGACTGCCTGGGGTCGAGGCATCAAGAATAGGTGTTTTGCTACCTTCGGGGGGTGAACCAGAGGTGTCCGTTCGAGAGACTTGAGGTGAAAGACTATTTGGATCAAATGCCGGCTCGGACTTGGATGCAGGTATGGGTATTGGGTCTGACATTTCGGATAGTGTACGTTTGTGTATACTGGCAGAAGAGATTCCGAACGAAACTCGACGTAAGACGCCGCTTCCTCTAATTACCATCACGTCAGCCATTTGTGCCAGGAGTCTTGAAGTTTGTAGCAAACATAGATCGAGGGGAGGGGTAGTGGATAAGTCTGGCTATTAAATCTTCAAAAATTGTGGAGAGCTACTCACTGTGGCCGTTTCTGGCAATACCTTTGCTCAAGTGTTCGATAGGCAAGATCAGGACGTCTGCAAGCGGGCGTTCTATGCAGAAAGATTACCCCACATGTAATAGGGAGAGGCGTGTGATGATAGATACTGCGTCAGGTAGCAGTTGATGGGGTTGATAGTGCAAGACAGCAGTTGTATTTCTACGCGTTAAATCGAAGGGACGGAGACCGTGGTGTCTTTGATTCGCTGAGCCTTGTTGATCTGCCGTGAGTTGGATTTGCACCCTCTTCTTGGATTCTAGTCAAGCAAGAAAACAATGAAAGCGTTGAAGAAAGTGGAGGAAGCGTAGTTTCTGAATAAGTACGGAGCAGGAAATTCTGTTGCATGAATAAAAACGAAACCGCTTTAATCACACGAGTACCAGCTGCTGGCAGCGAGCAGATTCAACGTCATTGTTAGGGAAAGCTGCGCTCTGTTTTGATCCCTGAGCTGCCGCATCTAAAAGCGGCCGCTTCCGTCTTTGGCAATCATGGGAATCGAGTCCAACAGGTGCGACAGAATAAGGGGTCCAATGCTGCTTTTCTGGACCGTGTATCCGCTGTGCTGGTCCAAGCTTTGGCGGAGTGTCGGCCATTTGGTGTTTGTCGAGGAACTTCACGTGATCACGCCAATATGGATCCTTGGGAGCAAACGCGTAGGCAAGTTCGCGAAGTTCGCGACCGACGACATATTATTGCGATTACAGTTGACAACGCGCAAGTCTTTGCGCCGCGACGGGTTTGATGTTACCACTATAACAATACAGGCCTTATATATCTAGTAGTCTCGGTAGCTGCACTCCACGTTTCCTTGAAGCGCGCGCCCCTCCATCCAAAAACAGTCGCGTATATTTCAAGATGGGGAAACTCGTTCGTCTCGAGCTGTTCAGTAAGTCGCACATTGATGCATGTTATGGATTATGCTCATTCCCAAACAGATTTCAAGTCCTATAAAGGGCACCACATACTTCTATTTGGGGACTCGTACTTCACATCCATCATTGGACCTAATGGATCTGGAAAGTCCAATTCGTAAGAATCACCCTTCGATATTACATATACACCCTGACATTTATCATAGTATGGATGCGATTTCCTTCGTACTTGGTATCAAATCATCCCACCTACGTTCGGCACATTTACGAGATCTTGTGTACCGCGGTCGAGTCTTGAAGACATCCAAGATCAACGACGATGGGTCTGCCGCTACTCCAGCGACCAATGGGCACGCGAATGGCGATGCTGAAGGCTCAGATGGCGAGTCGCAGTCACAGAAGCCGGCGCGCAATGATCCCAAAAGCGCATGGGTTATGGCAGTCTATGAAGACGATGCGGGCGATGAACAGAAATGGAAGCGCACAATCACAAACCAGGGCGCAAGCGAATATCGCATCAATGATCGGATCGTGACTGCCCAAGGATACAATGAAGCGTTGGAGGCGGAAAACATCTTGATCAAAGCCCGAAATTTCTTAGTCTTCCAAGGAGATGTTGAACAGATTGCTTCTCAGTCGCCGAAAGATCTCACACGGTTGATCGAAATGGTTTCGGGAAGTTTAGAGCACAAGGCTGAGTACGAGCGACTTCAAGAAGAGGCAGAACAAGCCGCCGAAAACCAAAACTATAATTTGCACAGGCGCCGTGGCATCAATTCGGAAATCAAACAATACCAGGAGCAGAAGAAAGAAGCTGAAGCCTTCCAAAACAAACAAGATGAGCGGGACCATGCGATAGTACAGCACATTTTGTGGAAACTGTATCATTTTCAACGTGTCATGGACGAGTCCAGTGCGAGCATTGGAGAACATCAAGAAAACTTGAAAGAATTTAGAAGGGGAGTAGAGAAATATGAAAAGCAGCTGGAGGACGCTCGGCAGGCAGCACTAAAAGTCACCAAGGATGTATCCAAAGTTGAGAGAAACATCAAGAGGAAGGAAAAGGAAATTGAAGAGAAAGAGAACAGCTTAGTCCCTATTGACGAGAAAGCCGACTACACGAACAGCCAGATTGAAAAACTCCGGAGGAGGCTTACTGCGCTTACGAAAGAACGCGATGAGAACCACACGAAAATGCAAGACTTGAAGAAGCAACTCGTCACTGTTGAGAAAGCGCAAAAACAGTTCCAAACGCAATGGGAGGAAAGCTTGAAGAAGCAGGGCAGGCAACTTAACGAAGATGATCTTAAGGAGTACAATATTCTCAGATCTCAGGTCATTACCAAGACCTCCAGCAATCAGTCTCAACTTGACAATCTCATCAGGACCATGAAGACCGATGAAGTAACCTACAACAGTTTAAAAGGAAAGGTGGAACTCCACCAATCATCGGTTGAAAAGCTTCAAGCAGAGATCAAATCCATTGAGGAGCGGAAAGGGGCCACTAAGAGTTCGGTGAAAGAGATTTCAGGAGAGATTGACACGAAGAAGAAGGAGTTCAACAATATTCAATCCGAGCGTGTCCGTGTCAACCAGGCTAGAACAGAGCTGGATGAAAAGCTACATGAGGTTCTAAAAACCTTGCATGAAGCCACAGCAGGTCAAAGACAGAGCGACAAGGAAACGAGAACTCGTGAGACATTGGTATCATTGAAGCGCATCTTTCCTGGTGTTAAGGGTCGCGTTGGAGAGCTTTGCAAGCCGAAACAGAAAAAGTACGATGAAGCAGTCATCACAGCGCTTGGTCGAGATTTTGACTCAGTCGTCGTTGAAACAGAGAAGATTGGCCAAGAATGTGTCCAGTATCTCAAGGACCAACGGTCACCACCCATGACCTTCATTCCTCTTGACAACATCAAGGTCACAGCCGTGGAGTCAAACCTCAAAAACTTGAGCAAGGCACGACTTACGATCGACACTATTGACTTTGATTCGTCACTAGAGAGGGCATTTTCATATGTTTGTGGAAGTTCGATCGTGTGCGATGATTTGCCTACCGCGAAGGAGATCTGCCATAAGAGAAAGATCCAAGTGAAAGCTGTGACTTTGCAAGGATACATCATACACAAGGCAGGTTCTATGACTGGTGGTAGAGGCCCAGAGGGTGGGAAGAAACGGAAATTCGAGGATCAAGATGTGGAAAATCTCAGAAAGCAGCAACAAAAGCTTCAGACACAAATCGAAGCGCTGCCAAATGTCAGCCGTAGGGGATCTGCAGAAGAGACTTTGCAGAATGATCTTAACGGACTTGAACAGCGTCTCTCGTATGCAAAGAGCGAGCTGGCAGCATTTGAACAAAACCTTGCCAGTCGCAGGAAAGAGCTGACCCACGAGAAGCGTCAACTTGCTGAAATGGAGCCCAAGTACAGAGAGAAAGAATCAGAACTGGCTTCAATCAGAGAAAAGGTGGAGGAGTTTCAGTCTGCTGTTGCCAAGGTCGAAGACTCTATCTTCAAAAAGTTCTGCGAGAGACTTGGTTACTCGGATGTTCGAAGATATGAGGCGCAGCAAGGCACCCTTGAACAAGAAGCTGCTGAGAAGAAGAACGAGTTCGAAGTCCAGAAGAAGCGATTAGATCAGGCCCTGAGCTGGGAGACTGCTCGGTGGAGGGAGGTAGACGGCAGGGTAAAGAAAATGGAGGCGCAAATCTCCACTTGGTTACAAGACATTGAAAGCTACAATGCCGAAAAGGCTGAACTCGAAAATGCAATTGACGTGGACAGAGCTCATCAGACTGAAATGGAAGATGAACTTCAGAAACAGAAGGAGAAGCTGCTTTCGAAGAACGAAAAGGTTAACGCTGCTCGGAACGAACTCCACAAAAGGAGTAAGGAGATTGACAACCGTACCAAGGCCATCACTGCTCTAGAAACCGAATTGCAACGTAACAGCGCCGGTAGATACGCTTTGCTCCGTCGCTGCAGACTTGAACAGATCACGATTCCTCTTACTCCAGAGTCTAAAAAGCTGGACAGTCTGCCAGTAGATGAAAACCTACTACAGACCGATCCTGACGAGATGGATGTAGACGAGGAGGAGGGGACTGTAGAAACGGCAGGGGTGAAGGATTACGGTATCGATATTGACTTTGAGCAGCTTGATGATGACCTCAAAACGGCAAGTTTCCTCCTTGGACTGCAATCTTCAAATGCTAACAATTTATAGCCTGATGATGACGATGTTGAAGAACAACTTCAGCAGAAGATCGCAGACCTCAATTCAGAACTCGAGAAACTGAATCCAAATATGCGTGCAGTCGATCGACTGGATGGCGTAGAGGCACGTCTAAAGTCCACAGAAAAAGACTTCGAGGATGCGCGAAAGAAAGCCAAGCAATCTCGGGACCAATTCAATGAGGTGAAGGAAAAGCGATTTGAGTTGTTCAACAAAGCTTTCACACATATCTCGGAGCAGATATCTCATGTTTACAAAGATCTTACTCGGTCTGCTGCGTATCCACTTGGGGGTCAGGCGTACCTGGATACCGAGGACGGTGATTCTCCTTATCTCTCGGGTATCAAATACCACGCAATGCCTCCACTGAAACGCTTCCGAGATATGGAACATCTATCAGGTGGCGAGAAAACCATGGCTGCTCTAGCTCTTCTCTTCGCTGTTCACTCCTATCAACCTAGTCCTTTCTTTGTGTTGGACGAGGTTGATGCAGCTCTTGACAACGCCAATGTTGAGAAGATCAAGAACTACATTCGGGAACATGCTGGCCCAGGAATGCAATTCATTGTCATCAGTTTGAAGACAGGATTGTTCCAAGGCAGTGAGAGTTTGGTAGGTGTTTTCAGAGATCAGGAAGCTAATAGTAGTAAGACTTTAACACTTGATGTAAGTTTCGGTCTCCAAATGCATGAGAACTATGCTAATGTTTCTCAAGTTACGTAAATATGTTTAGATATACTTCAAGAAAAGATGGAAAACTCGGTATAGGCTATAGGGATTGTTGTATATGGATATTCAATTTGTGACTGGTACTTCTCTTGTTTTGTGCAGAAATGCATACATCGTCAGCGAAAGGGGTATTGATTTGGTTCATTATTGGAATGGAAATCTTGTAGAGTTTATTCGAGCATCCTCTCACGTAAAACGATGGCCAGGAATTAAATGATTTGTAAATAAGCATCGAATTATATTGTCATAATGCTTCGTGGTTAAGTTATCAAACTGATTCGGAAGACTGTACAGTGAGCTGCAACCTCTAGTTCAATGAAATTACTGCAATGGGGGTAGTTCAACGGAAATGATTCATTGATGCTTCTCTTTGCGAAGTAGTTGCTGCGGTAAAAGCATTTATTGCCCGTATGAGCGCAGGACACAGGACTTTCAGCTATCAAACATATCAAATATCTAAGAATGCGCTAAAGTATGTCCGTGGCGCGGCTTTTGGTCTGCTTTGAGAACCGCAGTTCCAAGGGGATGGTTAAGCTTACATCTATGGCTTGTTCAGAGAGCCATCGTCGACTACTGTAGAACTTACAGCACTTTAGCTTCGGGAATGCGTAAGGTCGTTTTGAGCGTAGCCAACGAGCTGGTCACTATGGCGCCTAATCATTGCTATATAGGCCTAGAGAATTGAATTATACCCAGGGTGGCAGTACTTCGCTCATTGCTGGTAGCAGAGGAGAGATGTCGGTGGTACCGGTGTACATAATAGCCACTAACAACTGTCCGAGTCCGCAAGTCTTCAGGAAACACTTCAACATATAGACTCAATCTACGCTTATGATATCGCGATAGCTTCACAAAAGCTATCGCCGACCTCGGCGATGGTGCTAATCAATGCTAAGCAGAAGATCCTTTAATGAACTTGGTGCTTCTCTCATAACAACTGCAAAATGATTGATGGCAAACTCAATCATTCAATAGTACATATCCCATTTCTTATACCATATGATTTTGACTTTTTGCCACGAATCACCTATGCTGCACTCTGCAAAGACGCGTGTCGGCTGTTTCATGTGAAGTAAAGCTGTCATAAGTGAACAAAATGATGCTCTTGATATCATACGCTTTCGGGTCTCCGCTCGCTTAGCTCTCGCCCAGGGGAGGAGGGTCCCTTCTAGGTTGCTCAAGCTTCGACTCGAGCGAGTCAAGTTCTGCGGAGCAAAACATCGTCAACACTCGTTGGCCAGCATCATCGACACCAATGCAAGAGTGGCATCGGCATGAGATTTTCACCAATAATGGCAAGGTGGGATCGGGAAAAAAACAATCGACAACCGAATTTCAGGGACTTCGTCATCAGCATCCCTTTGCAGATCTCCCAAGACCGATGAGATTGTAGATCTTGGAGATATCAGATATATGGGGCATTTGAAGAGCAAAATCATATGACGAGGCACTTGTACACACAATCGATTCCGGAACAAACAGCAGGCGCCGGGGGAAATGCTGCTGCCGAGCACAACCAGCCAGTTTCTAGGCGCGTTTGGGAAGAGATCCCTCTTTACAACTATGATTTTACAGCCAAGCAGCAGAACTTCGACTCTTTCTGACACTTCGACACCAGTGGTATCAACACAAGACTGGCGCAGCTAAAGTTATGTGGTGGAGTTCTTATGGAGCCACACTGGAGCAAACAGCGGAGGACCGGCGGTCGAACTTCGATTTTGGATTCGTTGATGCGTTGCTCGGCACGAAAGGTGCAGACATTCATGATTCGTCGATAGGAAGTCTGGTCCAGAACAATTCGACAATTGCAAGAAAGATCTGCTGAAGCTATAGCAATCTCGACCTCAGCCATGGGGTTTTATCCAAAAACTCCTTTTCAATTATCGAAAAATCGAGCAACGCTTCTCCGACTATTTGCGGCTGGGGGCACGGAAATGGACATGACCAACGGGCTCGATGTCTCTGTCAGCCAGCCAACGACAGCTGGCAGCTTGCGCCATTCAAATGGGAGACTGGAAGCCGTGGAACAGACATGGGCCGGATCATCTTGGTGCACTATCTGAGTTATATCGTACCAATTAGGGGGAGAGATGAGAGCAAGGATACTTCCCGGCCCAGTGGTGACACCACGACCCGGGGCATCACAGATCTTCGCTTATTTCGTGGGGAAACAAATATCGCCAGAGGAAAGACATCGCCCGCTTCGGGATGAAGGCGGTGGGTATTCGCTGATGGAGAGAGACATACATCTACTCCCTGTTTGTATTCGTGTCAATGGCAAACGAAAGTGATCATCTAGGGCAAGGGTCCACTACAGAGTACAACGTACAACGGGCGCAAGATGAACTGGTATTTCTGCTCTGGTATGCATATTTCTTGGCCGGAAGAGAATCGACTCTCGACTTGTCTTCTTGTGTTCATCAGCTGGGGCCTTGGAGACCAGCAAACACGCTATAGCACTAGCCAGACTGTGACATGGCTTTCAGCTGGCAGCCACTAAGTCCTTGAACATTGGTGCTGCCGCCAGAGATGTGAGATCCCGAGAAAAAGTATTACCTCCCAGGGTATCTTGCAGGCTAGCTGCACATGCAAGATATTAGCGTATTGGATATTCCGATTCGGTGAGGCTCTGGTCCGCAAGTGTACGCATAAACTCCGAGACCCTAAGATTGCATGAGACCTTATATCTTATGGACCTGCACAAAGACGCGCAGTCCCTTACGACTTCAAAATTGCTTGGAAGAAGTTTTGTTCGAAACACCAAAGTACATCTCCAACAAGTCATTCCGAACTCTTATTCGGCTACCGGCTTCGACTAACGCTATCCTGCACACGGCCAATGCCTCGAAGCGCTAACTGAGTGGCAGCTCTGAATTCAGCCCAGTTGACGTCTTAGCGAGCGTCGATCTCCATCAGACACCACAACTGTGTGGAGTGACGCACTAAATAGTGCATCGTCATTTCAGTGACAGGACTGTTGTTAGTCAAGGAGGTCAAGTTAATATGTCCATGGCATCGACGATGGCGACACCTCCGCCGCTTTCGAGAAGTTCGAGTCTAATATCAACATCATATCAGAGAAACAATACCCAATCGCCTAATAACACATGTCGGCGAGACTTTGGGATATACAAGGGGATATCGGACAGACCTCTAGGTTGGAAACGAGGATCTAAAAGAGCAGCAAAAGCACCAGAGTTAGGACTTACAGCACGCGATATGAAGATTAAAAAATGGAATGGAGCCGCGAGGACATCCACGGAATGGGATGGACTGAGAAGAGTAAGTCCAAGTTAATCTTCTAGATGGCGAAGTAAAATCTAAATTTGGTGTAGGATCCTGATCTGTGGTACGGGCCGTCAGGCGATTGTCTTGTTCATCTCTACGGTAAAGGACAGTCGAAACGAGCACCAACGTTCAAGGTCCCAATGGGAAAGGTGATAGAAATCAACGCACAACCTCTTCTGAAACGGTTCTTGGTGGAACGTATTGATGAGGGGAATTCGAGTGACGAGTCCAGTAGTGCTTCACATGTTGACCTCTACATCCCAGCTCCGGCCACCGCTGAGCGAGGACAAGCGTTTTTGTACCACACCACGACACGGAATTTCTTCGCGTGGATGTTTGGAAGGTCTCTTGTCGGACGTCACCTTGGCGGCGCCTTGGTGGGACTTTTGAACAGCATGAATGAATTTAGGTCAGCAGGCGAAGATAATGTTCAGGCGCTTTTGGAGTATATGGACGAGGAGGGATACACAGATATGCGAAATTCGCCAGACCATGCACTTGGTATACTATTCTTTGCGGAGCACTTCCGGTTCAAGGACATGTGGGTAGATGCATTCGCGCACTGTGTTGGGATGAACGAGAGATTGATCGCCAGTCCAGGTTTCGAGGTAAATATTTGTGGTCTACTCATTGGGTTGAGCTCTTGGGCTAATATTTTAAACTGTAGTACATCAGCAGAACTTCACGCGCCCTCATTACTCGATCAAGATATGAGATGGATATGCGACTGGACCTATGTGGACAGAGACTAAGCACATTTCTTTCCGATGAACTATCAGATGCCCACTTGGGTCTTTCGCCTGCGGCGAGAGGACATCTTGACAGATTCCGAACCTTTCTGCAGTCCTACTATATCGCGAAGCTTGGCTACTACCCACCTAGGGGTCAGGATGGTACCTCCGCATTCCCGCAAAGCATATTTCGACAAATGGCATCAGAGTTCCAAAAGCTGTATGACTATCTAGTGGATAAGTCCTTGACTGCGTCGGACGCTATTCCAATGACACAGCAAGGTGGCATTTGTGTTCTCCAAAACATACAGGCTTTTGATCAGCGGTTCAAGCACACAACATTAGGACACCCTTTACCACTAGTTCCTAAGTCTGATGAGTGTGTGTCACCGAAGGGAGGATTGAGGAAGAGGTTCAGTTGGGCAAAATTGGACAAAATGACACCAGATTCGAGACTGGTTTCACTTGCATCGTTAACAAAAGCCACTAACTCAAGAGACTCGTCACTGAATGAGTGTACGCTAGTCCGCGCCTATAAGACTTTTGAAAAAGAATGCATATTCTCGCCTTCTAAGGCTGAGAAGCAAGAGAAACTTTCTCATACCGATGCTCGGAAGGTGCGATGGATTTTGATATACTCTGTTCTCCAAACCCTTCTTGCGGCGACCAAAATACCAGAACAGGTGTGCGATACACAGAATGTTTCTTACAACCTATGTGTCGTTACCGCAGGATGCCCACCATGGAGAGACCAGCGACCCATCGAGTCGCTTCTACGAACACAAACCATGCAAACAAAACAGGACTTTGAGCAAACAGCGCAGAAGACAAAATCTGAGCTGAATTCACCATTAGACCGAGTGGAGATTAAGCCAGATATTGACTGGGATGTTATTACTCATCGTTCAAGAACTGGCAGTGTTAAGAGCGACACTGCTCGTATGTCATCCAAGAAAGTAACAGTGCGAAGAGCTCTCAGTACTCTAGGCAACATGCCTGAGCTTCAACACCCAAAGCCAAATCGGATATCTTTCCACGAGATTCTTGTGCAGGGTTATGGCAATGGCACCAACCAATTAGCTAAATCTCCCGAACAAACCGCTGCCACTGCGCATGCAGAGCAACCAATACGTAAATCCTCTACCGACTCACAAGCCTCTACATCGGAATACTTATCCTCAAGATGGTCAAATACCTCCGACGAGGAACACGAAGCCCCATCTTCCGTCTCCTCAACCTCACGCCGCGAATCGCTCGCCAGCGTCAATATCAGCGAAACAAAACTTCAAATCGGAGAGTTCCTCGACAACGATCGTGGAATCTCTTCACTCGGCTTGGCTCGAGTTCCAAGCAGTTCATACTCACCTTCTCTATATGGTGAAGATGATCTTGCTTTGGAACCTGAGCCACTTCAGATCTACCGTACTTCCGAGCCCGAAACTACTAAGCATGTGAGACCAAGTCTGCTATCCCAGCAATCGACTTTGGAATTAGAAACTTATCTTGGTTTATAATGACCTCCTCGTTTCATTTTCTCGTCTCCTACAGCGCAGCGCCTCTTCTTTGTCTATATTACTATTTCCTCAGCGGATATGATTGTCATTTTCTTTTTCTATGTCGCGCTCGAGCGGATACCCATTACACACGTTCTTTTTGAATGGGGCTTCCATGATGTGCTGGCGCGGTTCATGGAACGTTTAGTATTTTGTAATTAGATGAAGCACTTTTATTTGGATTAACTGAGATGTTTGTATGTATTGTTACAAGCTCGAGATAATGAAAGATTATTATTATCTGGTATTTGGTAGTGTTTGTTACTGTGATTGGTATGAGTCTGAAGGTACAATTTGACTATCTATTTACAAGACTTGCCTTATTTCAACATGTTATCCATATGAACGTCACATGCGCTTCTGACTTGAGATAAATCATCCCGAGTCCAAGCCTAAGGAAATGAGCTCTACTGAGGATATATAGAAGTACAGGCCATTCTCAAATTGTTGTTTTAAATCCAAACTCAGCGACTTACACTCCCCTGCGATAAGTCCATTTCTAGCACGCAGATGACTACTACCAGTCAACTCTATCTCGCGCTCTAGTTCACTTGGAACCATCTAGTAGACATCGAATGATGCATCTCTTGGTTAGCGATGCTAATATACCCCAGAATTGCCTCATTTTTATCTATATAGCTACGTGAACATTCAGTCCATATTGAGGAGGACTTTTTAAGCGCTTCTGGAAACTCTTTTATTTTTTTGATATCCAATCAATAGAACGAATCTATGATACACGAAATCCTTTATGAGTATGTTGGTGAATTCAATGACATTTTCTTATTTGTTTGGAGAAAGTAGCAACGCTTGCTTGAAAGTGTTACGAATTTTACGTTGGATACTTAACAAAGAATACGATGTCACCTGCCTGGAAAGCTATATCTACTCCATATAGTGCAATAAATGTATCATATCGTCTCCTCTAACGAGATCCAATATATCCATGTCACAGCGAGTATTGTAAAGTCGCTTTCTAGTCCATTATGCTTAGAAGTTCCTTTATTCTTGCGACGCACAGATAGTGAGGAAAGAAAAGGGGGGGAGAAATTAAGCGAGAAGCAGATTCACTCGAGACACTTTCACGGAATTTGCTCCACAATCCAGACTATATATTGATTTCTGTTTATACAAACCCCTCTTCCGATATTAAATCAAAACAAAGCATCAAAATGACGGTATTATTCTTCAAACCCGTCGTTGTTATCCTCCTCCTCTCCCTCCTCGCCTCCGTCACTTCGACCCCAACAGCCGAACGTCGAGCGCTCAAATACCCAAGACTGAATCCCGCACCGGATTCAATCAGCAACAAGACTTACCCTCCTCGTCCTCACGAACTTCCGCCTTTCGATCCTTTGAAACCAAAGGGCGGTGTCTCATTCACCAACACCAAATGGATCAAGACATTTGACAGAAAATTCAGTAAGTTGATCTGGGCATACAACTGGGACTCCGCTGTTCCAGATGGAATGCCTGATGGAATCGAGTATACACCTATGCTTTGGGGTGCAGGACCTCAGCACACCACCAATGTAAGTAACTTCTAAGCAAATAGAAACAAGCAAACTAAAACCAAAAAAGTGGAAAGTGAACGCTCAAAACGCTATCAACCGCGGCGCAGACTACATCCTTGGCTTCAACGAACCAGACGTCTGCGGTTCAGGCACGAGCTGTATCTCCCCAAAAGCAGCCGCAGACGCATGGCGAACGCACATCCAACCGTTCCGCGACCAAGCATGGCTCGGTAGTCCCGCTATCACTGCTGGTGGCAAAGAATGGTTGAAGTCGTTCCTGATCGAGTGTTCGGATTGTGATATTGATTTTGTGAATCTGCATTGGTATGATAATCAGTGTGCGTGGGGTTGGTTTGAGACGTACATGCAGTCGATTAAGGATGTTATTGGGAATAGAACGATTTGGGTTACTGAGGTGAGTTTTGATCTTTGAGCTGATGTAATTTAGGTGATGGGATACTTACGAATGTAGTTCAACGCGGGAGCTTTCACTCAACCAAAGGCAACTGAGGACCAGCAAATCACTTTCCTTAAGAATGTCATTCCGTGGATGGATAAGACTGACTGGATCGAACGATATGCTTGGTTCATGGCAGAGCCCAATTTCGATGGCGGATCGCTTACCTCCTCGAATGGCCAACCAACTAAACTTGGTCAGTATTACGCATTCACTCAGCAATGAGAAAGAAAGCTAGCTAGCTAGTAAAGGTTGGATATACCGTTTGGGAGACTTGAATTGATTTGCATACTGGTTATGCTTTGGTTTGGCCTACTTCTTCTGATGGTCTCAGGTTGCAATGGTCATGCTTATTTGACTGTGTTCTTGGAAGACGTTCTTTGGAATCCTCACACTTTGGATAGGCAGGCTATTTGGATAAATATCTTTAGGTAGATCAGATATGGATTCCTTTGCATCATAGGATATCTATCTCAGTCAATGAATTAAGCTGTGCTTTTCCCCTTCGCCATTCTCGATGAATATAGGGTCTTGTCTGCTATGCTTTAGATGTATTTGAAGAGTAGACTTGGGATACATGGAGACCAAACTACCCTGTAATAAGTGTGCCTTTGGATAGAGAAGCCTTCGCCATATCTCCTTCTTCACTTTCGATGATAAACATTGCAGTACATATTCCCTAGCAGCTTTGCCATTTGGACACTTCTCCTGCGGTTTCAGGTGGTGCTAAAGGGTACGATGGATTACAAGCCGGAGATCCTTGATTGCATAAATAGGTCAACTCAGATACAACATCTAATCTAGACGCAGTGAAGTTGACAAATTTCTAGCTTTGACGTTGGCAAGCGTAATTTCGAAGAATTGGCAAATCAAGCGAAAAGCTTTTTCCATCGGTAGAGGGAAAACATATTGTGTTTAATTGAAATTCTCTAATAGGTTGTCTTTCTAGGAATCAGTTGTAGGTTGATGAGTTGGAGCAAAGCGCACAGAATAAGGAATTTGTAGAGGTTAACCCCTAAACACAACCCCTGTCCAAAACTTTAGCACCAGTCGCGTCTCCCCAAACGCCCTCTATCATCCCAACCCCACCAAACACTTTTTGTTCTCCACAACCTCGACAATGAGCACCTTTACACCCTATACCTACTTCCAGTGTCCTTGTACAGACTCCTCTCCACCAGTGCGAAACATAGGCTCCGACTCTCCAACCTCAATCCATTCATCCTCCTCGGAAGACGAGAAAGCATTCGATCCCAGAGCGCCGCGCGCGAACTACAGTCTTTATCCACTTGAACACCTCTTATATTGTGAAGATTGTCACCAGATCAGGTGTCCGAGATGTGTGCTGGACGAGATAGTCACTTACTACTGTCCGAATTGTCTGTTTGAAGTGCCTAGTAGTACTGTGAAGAGTGAGGGGACTAGGTAGACTATTGTTCCTGCTGTTAGGAGGATGAGGGCTAATGGTCAATTAGGTGTACAAGAAGTTGTTTTCAATGCCCTATATGTATAGCTCCGCTCTCTGTGAGTAGTTTGGAAGCACCGCCGGAGGGGTTAGGAGCGGAACATGCCAGCCAGGGAGGCCCTTACGTGCTCAATTGTCCGCATTGTTCATGGAGCTCGAAGGAAATTGGCATACAATTCGACAAGCCAAACGGTATCTTTACGCAGTTGTCGAAGATCAAAAACGGAGGAGATCCTGTCATAACGGCGCGGGAACGTAGGAAAGACCGCGAGGAGCGAAGTAGGGATAGCGCACCTGGCCCAGTTACAGACGAAGACGGCGTACAGGATGAAACTGTCGTCAAGCTTGACCCAAATGAGGTTTTAGATGCTGAAAGCCAGTTTTCAAACTTGAAGGCTTTTTACCAGGCGCAACTTGCGGAAGCTTCGCCAGCAAACGCACTGGGATTTTCCGGAGGAGATTATGGTTATGGATCACCAGGCGCATTATCGCGAATAATGGGTCTTTACACTGGAGGCACATACGCAGATAAGAAGTCCAAAGCTAAAAAGGGCACCATGCGAGAGGCACAAAACGCATTCGAGGGTCTAAAAATTGTAGCACCGAACTCAGAAGATGCCTTGATCGCGAAACTTCAAAATGAAGGATGGGACGCTACATCTTCCTCTCTACAACGAGACGAGCAATCGACCCACACACCATTCATTTCGGATCTGCGTCCTATAGCCTACCTGTTACGGACCAAACGCTCAAAACGCTGCAAAACATGCCGTCACATCCTCTCCAAACCCGAAGCCAAAATCCAAACCACTCGTTTCCGCATCCGCCTCGTAGCACTAAACTACATCCCCTCCATCTCAATAAAACCACTTCAGCCACTCCTCTCAACCCAGCTGCAGGCTCCCCTCGTACCCATGAAACCAACACAATTCCTCTTAACGTTTAAAAACCCGCTCTTCGAATCCGTCAAGGTAAACATCGCAACGCCCGCCCAGACACCTGGACGCTTCGCTTCTAAAATCACAATCCTATGTCCGCAATTCGAGGTAGGAGCGAATACCGATGCCTGGGAAGAAGCGTTACGTGACGGCTCGAAAGGAGTAGAGCGTGAAAAACGCCGCACCAAGGCAGAAGCTAGCGAAGGACAGCTCCAGGCCGAAGCCGGGAAAGTCTGGGAGCGAGGACGGAATTGGGTGAGCGTCGTGGTGGAAGTGATTCCGGCCTCGCTAAAGCCTAGTCCGGATTTTCTAAAGACGGAAGCGCAAAGGAAGTTAGCGGAGGAGGGCGGGGAGGACGATCGCGTGAGGGAGGATGAGGATGTTGTGGAGATTCCGGTGTTTGTGAGGGTGGAGTGGGAGGCTGATACTGGGGGTGAGGATGGGGGGCTTGGGAAGGAGAAAGAGGGACGGGAAAAGAGGGAGTTGGCTTATTGGTGTGTACTGGGCGTTGGTAGGATTGGTTAGGGTTAAGAGATGGAAATGGTGATGTCTTGATGGGAAAGGTGTGGTGATTTATACAGTCTGATTGCTAAGAGTAATATACCCATTTGATGTTTGCGATATAATGTCCATAGACTTGCCAACCGACTACTACATGCCATCTTGTGGTCCAAAAGCTTCACACCGAAGGAGATGTCAAAGAACTGCATAATTTTACCAATCATACATCTACTGATCTGTATACATCCAACAAGTGTTGAGGGGTAAGGAATGCTGGAAGCAGAAGACAGAGTCACAATATGCAAAATAACTTTGTGTGCTTGCCAGGGTGATTTTGAAAATTTCGTGATGCTCATGGCATGCGCTATGTACGCATAACCTTCTGAAAACCTAACTACGCCTCATAAAGACAAGATATCGCAGCCACATGATCCATCCCAATGCCCCCCGAAAGCAAGACTTTTTCTACAACCAGACCATCTAGTAATCAGAAGCACCACCCTGTGGGAACTCAAATGCGACACCACGGCCAGTCAACTTTCGGTAAACCTCAGAGTAAGTATCGAGTCTGTGGTCAACACCTCCCTTCTCCTTCTCGTCGAGAACGACCTTCAAGGTCTTGCTTCCATCCTCCTTGGTGCGGAGACGCTTGCCAACAATCTCGACTGGGTACACGAGATCGCTGAGAATAGCGTCGTGGACGGCAGTGAGTGTTCGGGAACGAGGTCTCTTTTGAGTGAGGGATGTTCGGGAGCGGTTGGATCGCTTTGGGCGGGGAAGAATACGGCGAGATGCGAGGATAAGGACGTGACGGTCAGAAAACTTCTTCTCGAGCTCACGGGTGAGACTGCAGTTACATTAGCATCGTTAGAGAGAACTGGGACCTGTGCGGATCAAACGTACCGTTGCTGCACCTTGTGGAAACCTTGAAGGGATGGGACGGGGACAAAGATGACAATAGCCTTCTTGCCGTGGCCAACTTCAATCTATAAATCGATCAAAGTCAGCATGCGATCTCCATGTCTCAATGACAGTGGTCCGCAGCCCGTCCGATATCCACAACCAATCGCGCGCCGGTACCAAGTATATGTTCCAAAACCGATTGAATGTTGATATCCTCATTCTATATCTCAAGCTTGATATGATATAAACGCAGTTTCGCAACACAGTATGGGAACACCGACGCCGAAGGTCGCTTTGATTTCGTAACATGTCTGCGAGGCCAATTCTGCTAGTATTTTGGGTTAAATGCTTACCTCTTTGGCGGAGACGAATTGAAGTGGTCGAAGTGCGGCCTTGAGGTCGGTGGTGTTGGTCTCAAGGTCGTAAAGAGCGCCAGCAATGCTGGTCTCAAGCTCTGATGGCTTTTGGCGCGAGGCGCTGTTTGCGGCGATCTTGTTGAGTGCGCTGGCCATGGTTGCGGTTGTTGTCGTAAGGTTCAAGATGGAATCCAGAAATATTCAAGAAGTTTTTGGAATTGGTGGTGTGAACTCGCTTAGAAGGTGGATTCAAGCATAAGCAATTGCACCAATCGCAGAGGACTTGGTCAGGTTCTAATTCACGTGACTTGACTACCTCGTAGCAGATTAGTAGACTACCTAGGTAGATAGGTACTTTGTACTGTACTTGGAGTGTTACAATCTTTGATAATTTTTTGATTGCTCAGTGGTATTTCTGATCTCAACTAGAAATAAACTTCAGTGAACTAGCGGCACAGGAATCTAAGCTTAGATTTATGATATGTTGCGTTTATCAGTATCACTTTAGACCTATTTTACATTTAGCATGACGTGGACCTGGCGAATCACCAATTAATAGACAAACAGAAAGGTGTTTCATCTCATTAACTTGTGCAAGACTTAGTTCAAGCTTTGTATATGTATCATTAATATTGGTAGTCGCTGAACCCAAAGAATTCGCGAGAAAAAAAGCTGCCCGGTCAGATTATGCCCACACTTTCAATGCCCTCTTGAACGCCATAGCAATGCAATGCAATCAAAGAAAGTTGCGCAGTGATAACTGCCAACACAAACGCCAAATGGTCTTAACTCCGCTCACTATACATCATTTCAACATGCAATAAATTCATGATCTTCATCTCAACGCCTGCTTTCGAGCTTCTCAATACCTTTGATGGCCAAGCCGAAATCCATGATTAGGATTTTAGGGTCCTGGCCAGTACTTATGATGCGACGGTAATCTGATTTCGCACCAAGCACCCAACTTGAGTGCCATTTCGGAAAATCGAGTAAAAGACGACCGCTCTCCATGTCGAACACTTTGATGTCCTGATCGTAGCTCCCAGAGATTAGTCTGCCACTGACGGAATCTATGTGGAGTGAGCGAACAAGGTTCTCGTGGGCTGCAATACTATGCAGGCACTCTCCGGAATTTGCATCCCATATTCGAATGATCTTATCGTTTCCGGCAGAAGCGATGTACTTCCCATCATCGGAAAATTGGCTGCACGCCAAGCCTTTTGTGTGGCCAGAAAACTCTCGGATATTCTTTCCAGTGTCGATGTTCCACAATTTGACTCGGAAGTCACCACTACAGCTCACGATTGTGTTTCCGCGCATTTGTACAGCGTTGACGGGACCGGCGTGGCCACGAAGTTGCTTTAACATGACACCCGTCTCCCGATCCCACACACAGATACTAACGTCCTTGGAGCATGTTACGATGTAACGCTCATCGAATGCAAGATCCAAGACCGCTGCTGTGTGATGAACCAATCTCATCGTAGGCGCGTAGTTGTTCTTAATATCGTAGACAATGCAAGTACCATCAGACGATCCAGTCACCAGAATATCCTCATCATACTGTAAGCACAAAATTGACTGATTGTGGTGGATGTCGTACGACGCAACTTTTGGCGAAGGTTGCTGTTGGCGACTCAAATCCGGCAGCGTCGCATAATGGAGAGGTGTACCATCTTCGCCAAATTTATAATCGATGACTTCCACAACTTCGGGCGGACCAATAACTAGTGTGCATGTATAAGTCTTCAAATCCCAAACTCGAATAGTTCTATCTCGAGACCCAGTGATTATTTTGTGTCTAGTGGAAGTGCAAGTCTTAGTATTTTGTTTAAAATCGAATTTCATTTGTGCCACTTACTCGTCAAATTGCACGCAGTAGATACTGTCTGTGTGACCGTTGAGGTAAATAGGTTCGGCAGCACCTTCTAGCCAATTCCGCTCCAGTTCCTGCTTGATTCGGTATAGGTCTTTCCAGTCGTGATCGGAACTAAAGGCTGGTAAACCTAAGCCAGCTCCCAACTGAACAGGGCTACTCATAGCGTATGTCTGAGACTTTTCCCGAACAAAGGCTTCCCGCCAAATATGTGACGAGTTAAGAAGTGCATGCCAGTTTCTGGATACCATGGAAGCCCTTACAAGGACCGTATGATCGAGACGCGCGAGGATTTGAAGGGCTAGTTCGACAGGTAGCGCTGTAATAAAATCCACCGAGCTGATAGAAGGGTCTTGTTCGGATGTAGATGAGTCCGCGAGAGTAAGCGCAATACCGATACCACTCTCTCGGTCTTCCAATTGTCCCAGTTGCCGGTTTCTCGTTGCAAATATAAACTCGTTCTGCGCGGCTGCCGTTTCTCGTGCTGCTTGCCCACCGCAGCCGTGAGGTATGACTGGTGGTTTCCCGCCCACGCCAGGTTGTGGAGTAAGGTTCTCGAACGAATTCGTATAAAGTTCTTCGTCAAAGCATGGTGCTGAAGGAAAGCTTTTCGAGTTTCTGTTGAAGCTCGTGCTCGTTGCTTCTCTTAATCTGCGCCATGTCGATGCTGTTTGTGGCCTCTGCTCCGCCACTGGAGACGCATGTGAGTGTCTCCTCCTCTGAAGAGATACAGAGGCCCGTCTAAACAGGTTACGGAAACCGCTATTCTGCCGCTTCTCAGCCTGCCTATCGCCGTTTTGAGGACCAGAAACTCGAAGTGAGAATCTTTCTAATCCCCCTGAGAGTTCGTTCTGCGACCCATCAACTGCAACACTGGGTCGACGCTGGGGAAGCGATCGTGGTGGCGCAGAACTGCCAGATTCGTGGATACTCTCAGCAATAGAACCTGTCGTGCTGTGTATAATGCTGAACTCGCTGGCTGACATGCGCGAGCTTTCCGTGAAAGGGGCCCATTCCTTTATGGGGAAGACTCTGGTCATTTTGTCGTGTCCTCTGGGGACAATTCCCGAATCGCCCGGAAACTTCGAGGAGATGTACCTCTATGCCCTGTGTCTGGAGCGGCTATGACGGCGGGAATACCAAGTGGCACGGAGCGTGTTGGTGAACGGTAACGCGACGGCTGGGTGAGTGGGTTCAAAGGACTGTCGGTGAGGAGAGGTTTCCAAAGTGAGGTGATCGATGGAACCTTATGCGTTTTGCCAGAGTAAGGACAGTTATTCGAAGTGAAGGCTTCTCATGTAGGGAACGACATTGATATAGCGAGCAATAGATAAAAGAAAATGCGGGGAGGGAATGTTGTTGGTGCCAGGAAGGCTTTAATAAAGATAGAGGAATCAGTCACGGAGGACCAGGGAGAAATGTTTGTTTCCACAGCCTCTCGGCAAACCCTTGTCGGGGCTTTGACGGCAAGCATATCTAGAGAAGCGGCAACCGTCAACTATTCCTTCTGGAATAATACGTACGTCAAACCTAACGTCTATTTAGAATTCTTAGTAAGGGATTTCGATGTTAAATATGTGTTCTTATCTGGAATATCTGATTTTACATTGTTCTGACCATATCGAATGCCACATTTCAATATCAATTACAATGGCATTGTCAACCTTAATGCCTGCGTGTTTCGCGAATTTAATTCTCCTATTCTTCGACTGGACCCTCATTACAAGGCTGATAAAGCTACTACTCACTTTATTAGTCTACCCCCACCATCTGCCAGAAGCGTGTCACTTTCTCCATTTTAGCCCCTGGCAGGCTCACTGCAGGCCGGAGACTCCGTATTATTCATGATTCATTCTAATCTGTACGGAATGTCGAGTCGTGCAACTGTACATTTTCAGCTATGAAGCACCCTGCACGATTCACGCCCATCACTTGGGGCAACGGCAGTGATTGTGGCGTAAAGTGATTCTGGAGGAGTTGCGCATTCGGACTTAAGATGACGGGGATCATCGCTTGTTATCCAAATCCCGTGAGGGTCCACGATTCTTACCTTCGCAAACTTTTACTTCGGATATCTTCTTGTGTCCCATTTTGTATTCACCATACTCCTATGACCTTCGGAAATAACAAGACTACACCTAGGTAGCCAGAGCTTGTCCCGCCAGCATCAAGGCGGCTTTTCCCAGTTTCAAACATCCAACTTTTGAGGCAATACCAGTCCGTTTTGTAATCAAGTTTACGATTGTTTGAATATAATTGAAGAACACCACAACGCATCATTGGCCCGTAGTGACTTGAGTCGTCTTTGTCTGTGGCATTATAATACTACTGCTGCAAACTGCACCGCTTATCTGCTCATTACCACTCACTACGGCGCAAAGCTAAAGAAAAAAACACCACTGAAGAGTTGAGTGCACCAGGCACATGGGTTGTCAATAATAGCAGCGAACTTTAGACAAAGTTGATCATTCATCAAAGCCCTATCACCATTGGTCCAAGACACCATGGCATCAAGAGCCCAACCTCTACGTCTTCCAATGGCTTACCGCCTCTTTTTCCTCGTAATCGAACCCATTTCGGCACTCGCAGGTGCATACATGGCCTATTTCCAACCAGCTAATTATCTCACTCTCACTACACCTCTCTGGCCATCCTCCCCCAACCTACCACTAAGTACCACTATCGTACTTACTCAACTCGCAAACCTCTACCTTCTTTTCGCTATCAACGAAGCCTTGGTCTTACGTTCCACCTCTGATTTGAGAGTGTGGAAGACAGTGCTTCTCGGTTTACTCATAGCTGATCTGGGACATTTGTATAGCGTGAAGGGCTTAGGCATTGCAGGATATTGGAAGATCTGGGAATGGAATGCTATGGCGTGGGGGAACGTGGGATTTGTCTATGCCGGAGCGTTAATGAGGATTTGTTTTCTGTCTAATGTAGGGATTGGGCGAAGAGTCTTCACACGCAAGTTGAATTAGACAACTGCTATTTCTGCATTTTTGGTTGGGAAAATGTCACATTGAGACCTTTTGTCTTCAGCAGTGGGATTGAAATGCAAGACAAATTTCATGGCTTTAAGTCGTCAACTGAAATTAAGAGTGCAGGTGCCAACTTCAAAATTTCCAGTGTAATATCCGGACCTGCTCTTCCGTGGCAGTACCTACACCTACGCTACCTTATGTGCCATTTGGTTGAAGGCGAGGGCTATCGCAAATATACTGCTGCTGCAAAAGGTTTCATAGTCTCTTAAGATCCGATTCCCAAACATTAAAGTCTTTGGAATATCCAATAAGTAAGCGCCAGTTATAGCGTGCTATTATGCTGACACAGTGCAGTTCAATTATGGGCCAAACAGTATCATCCCAAAAACACATGCTGCCCAGGTGGGAAGTGCATATGCAACATAAGCACAGGTGTTTTTCCGTTCCTGCAGGTTTCCGGGTCACAATTGCTTCGCAGAAGAGAGCCCTAACAAGTTATTTCACCTATCGCTATCTGTGAGAAAGTCAACTTTTCATTATCAGATTGGTGTCCATGTGCTATAAAGTAATTGAGTGCATTGTTCTGAGGCTTTCTCACGAACTCTATCGCACCCAAATTTCATGTCGCTGTCGCAATTACTGCTGCATGTGTTCGGCCAGAATGAAGAACTTTGACATCTGTTTTAGGGTAACAAAGTGCCTGATATTATTCAAATTAATGTTAAAGGATGTCTGAAATTATTCGCACAAACAGACGAATGAAAATCAGAGGAGAGATCGAGACCATATAATCAACAGTGGGCCGACCCTTATTTTATGTAAGGTACGCTGCCTTAGTAGTAATATTCCGATAGCCCACTCTTGGGGCCTCCAATTAATGAAATCACCAGATGAAGTAAATAAAGTAAAATTCTTGTGATATATTCATCTGTGAACCAAAGTACTTGGGACTTCTGAAAGTCCCTAGAATTAAGGAGCGACATTCAACCAACAGGGATGTAAGAAACCATAGAAGTTACATACCTAGATACGTGATTGAACGCCCCATTTCCTTGAAGGATTCAATTAAGTGAACAAAACGAGTCCCAGGAACTGGGGAGAATAAGCTTTTCGCTTAAAATTCCTATAATAGAATAGTTCAGAGCACGAGCCACCGATTTGAATGCGCGCCTGAGGCACCACTAATTAGACGTCAACCTCACAACGCGACAGTCAAGAATTAGTACCAGCTATCATCAACATCATATGTTCTCCCACGTAACAAACAGACTTCTCGAACCAGGCACCGGCCGAAACCTTTACGCGACTCACATTTTCGACTCTGACAGTCTCCGATGCGATCAAGCTGTCGATATTCTTGCCACCTTCCTCAAAGGCTTGTCTGAGGGGCTGACGCGCCGAATCTTGCTCTGAAGGGAGCAGTGCTGATCCATCTTACTTGAATTCACCAAACTAAAGTTACGAAAGCGATGACACCTGCGCCAACGACCCCGCGACGGCCTGCATCTAGCAGGGTACGTCAAACTCGACCAAAGTCAACAGGACCCGCTCGGTCAGAGAAGTCCACACCTAAGGTTTTTTCAGAACCTCCAAGGAAACGAAGATATATTCCAGGAGGCCCCGGTGGTGGTGGAAGATACGTCGACGAAGACGGAACTGAAATACCTGTTGGAGGAACCGGACCAGGTGGATACAACTACGTCGGACCTCGTGGGCGCATCGGACAAGAAAACGCAGCTAGAGGCTTGATTCCACAAATTTATCCACGCAGAGACCGAAGTGCCAGAACGCGCACCGTTTTACCTCGATCTCAACAACCACCTATGCGGTTCAGTTCTGCGGCCCAAGTGGCTGCGGTGGTACAAAGTGACGGATATAAGCCCAGAGAGGAGCGCGCTTGGGAAGAATTCCATCCGAACCTTGATATCGAAGGAGTCCTTCGTGCTTTTACCTCGCACGATGTGGAGGGTATTTCACTGCCAGAAACACGACCTGTCACACCTGCGAATGCGCCTCTTTCTGCAGAAGGTTCCGTAGTTGGCACGAATGGGGTTATGACTCCAACTGGGGCGGATAGCCATAGGACTAAAAGTGAAGGAATTCCTACACCTGCTGCTTCCCTAAACGGCGAGTCATCGATGACTATTGCGATACCCGGAACTCCTGGTGGAGGGAAACGAAGGCCAGGCAGACCACCAAAGGATCCTGTCGCGTTTTATTCTGCCAGGGCCGCTGCTATGGGTGCCACTTTGGCTGTAGGTGGAAATAAAACGCCAACTCCTAGAGCTTTAAAGCCCCCTCCACCAGTGCAGAACATCAATGCGAAGGAGAAACTGACATTACCCCAGCCCTCGTATCGGAGAACAGATACTCTGGCAAGCTTTGAGGATAAGGCTCTTGGTCTGGTACGATATGTGGATAAATCCATGGCCAATGTAGGATATCAGGAAACCGACATCTTTGTGCGCCCTGAACATAAACTTATAAAGGTATCGGACTCAAACCTCGAGGAGGATCTCGACTCGGCCCCCGGGCAGAAAGGTGATAATGAAGGAATGGTTGCACTAGGAAGTGGTGGGGTTGGCCGTGTTGAGTACGACATGGATGAGCAGGACGATAAATGGTTGCAAGAATACAACAAGGGAAGAAAGGCGATCAATCACGAGGCCATTACCCGAGAGATATTCGAGATCACCATGACTAAGATTGAAAAAGAATGGCACGCCTTGGAAAAGAGGATACCTAAACCCAATCCAAAACCACCCCAGACGCATCGCCCTCGATCCAGTTCTGCTGCGGCGGTAAATGGAGAACCGCAGGCTGGAGAAGAACCGGATAGCAAGTGCGCCATTTGCGACGATGGAGACTGTGAGAATACCAACGCTATTGTTTTTTGCGACGGCTGCGATTTGGCGGTTCATCAGGAATGCTACGGAGTTCCTTTCATCCCTGAGGGCCAATGGATGTGTCGTAAATGCCTGCTAATCGGTCGCGGAATACCTGTAAGTTATGCACGTCGTAAATCTTGATTCTTAGGCTGACATATTTATCAGACTTGCATATTTTGTCCCAACACTGACGGGGGCTTCAAAAAAACCAATGCATCCAAATGGGCTCACCTACTATGCGCTATGTGGATACCAGAAGTATCTCTTGGTAATCATACCTTCATGGAACCGGTAATGGATGTTGAGAAAGTGCCCAAGACGAGATGGCGATTAACATGTTATTTGTGCAACCAACGCATGGGGGCTTGCATTCAATGCGGAAACAAGGCTTGCTACCAAGCATTTCACGTTACCTGCGCAAGACGGGCCCGTCTCTTTCTCAAGATGAAAAACAGTCACGGCACACTGGCGGTACTTGATGGAAATGCTGTACTGAAGGCGTTTTGTGATAAGCATTGTCCGTCTGATTACGCAAAGGAAAATGATGTCGCAGGGGCAACTCGGGAAGCACGAGCCTATTACAAAAAGGCTATGCGTGGTCGCCTCTGGGCGGACAGTCAAGATTCGGCATTGGCAATGGCAGCCACGCACCGACATGCAGTGACCGAGCATCAACCCGACGAATCTCAACTCACTGGGGCGAAGATGGCACTTGCCTTGGGAGACAGCAAAAAGAGGGGCGCCCAACCCGCTAAAGCAGTCTGGAAACTCCCGTCCGGTGCTCCAGTCATTCCTCAAGTCGTATACAATTCTGTTGAAAGCTCACTGCAGCGGTTTAATATTCGCAAGCGCAAAGAGTACGCTGCAGATGCATGTAGATACTGGACACTCAAGAGGGAGGCACGGCGTGGGGCAGCTCTCCTGAAGAGGTTACAGTTGCAGATGGAAACCTTTTCATCTATGGAAATCACTCGCAGAAATTTTGCCGGCATGGGCCACGCTGGAAGACCGAAATTGAACAGACGTATCGAATTTGCTGGCACGCTGGTCAAAGACTTAGAACGTTTAACGACTTTGGTTGAAGATGTCAAAAAAAGAGAGCTGGAAAAGCTAACCGCCGTCGAGCTCGAGGAAGACGCTGTCGATACCATATATTTTCCTGTGGCGCAATTGTTTCCGCCAATGGTCGCAAGAGCTCTCACGTAAGTTTTTCCCTTATACACCATTACTTTATTCATGGTGAGCATGGCTTGTTGGATGTGCACATACTGACTCTTTGCAGGCTCGACACCAAGATTGTTTTCCACGATGGTCTCAAATTACTTGAACAACGCGTTCAAAACAGATTTTACACAACTGCCACAGCTTTTGCCCAGGACTTCGGTAATGTCTTCCATAATGGGATTGTGTCGCAACCTGTGCCACAACCAGAGCAGCCCGTTTCAAGCGAGCTCAAGAAGCCCATCGTCACGGATATTCGAGAGAGACGGCGGCTGGCTAAGAGAATTATCAAAACAATTCAACCACAGCTTCAAGCGGCTGTTCGCGCGGAGGCCGATATCAGTGGGAAGTCCGCAGAAATTCTTGTGCGGGATTTGGATCAGTTGCTCGAAAGCAGTATAAACTCAAATGGAGATACAATATCAGTCTCAATCGGAGACACTGGTTCTCAGGTGGATATAGATTCCAAAAACGAGATAGACACGCACATGGCGAACGCCGAAGAAGTGATTATTGATGATGCACTTGCGGACGTGGAGATGAAAGAGTCGGTTTCATCTGCGAAAGAAAACCACCAACTTGTGGAATCCTCCGGCATGAATGGGTTGGCGAATATGAATGGGCCAGATACCACATTGACGGAAGTCAACGGCAACATCTTCCAAGGCAAGCTAGACCACTCCAACGGTATTAAGATTGGTAAACATCACGGGGTCAATGGTGATACTGGTTCCGTCCAGATTCACAATCCCCCAACCCCTCCACTGTCAAACGGGGACTCTACGAATGGACATAATAGCAATTTTCTGGTCGCCGGAGGGACACCATGGTTCCTAGAAGAATTTCATCCAGAGGGCACCAGCATAGTACAGGAGAAGTGGACTGGCAGGGACGCTGTTGCAAGATTGAGCGAGGATCTTAGCGACATGGACGAGGCAACGCTGAACGGCCTACTGAGCGTTAGTGAACCAGTTGGGGAGATTCCCGTGCCCCCCACTGCGACGAAAGCCAAAAAGGCTAAGCCGAAGCGTAGTAGGAGGCGCTGAACGGTTTGGCGTTATCGATTGTAACTGGTATTGTACTTTATTGTTTGGGACATTATCTATACCTAGGGATTTTTCGCTCTTACTTTTACGGCGTTTGAGCAAGGAGTCGAGGGGCTGTAGTGAAAACGGCGAAGTTCTTGGGAGGATATCAATTTGTGGACACTGTAATAATACTCAAAAGATTACAATCCAAGCTGGTTTCAAAGGCCGACCTGGGCTCTCGTTCCCAGCAAGTGGGAATAATGTTAGCAAAATGTAATAGTCTCATTTAAAGACTCCACAGCACCATTTTTCAAGTCATTCTCAGTCCTTAGCTATGTTCTCGATCCAAGCCATCCGAATTCCCGAATCCAGCCAATTCGCCAAATTACAGGAGTGGTGTTAGTCAAGCCTTCCATGATCTGCTGATTCGTGGAAAATTTATGGAGCGATATCGGGATAATTGCCTTGCTGCTGAAGTGCAACTCCTAAATCATTTTATCTGGGGGCGGATAAAAACGACAACAAGAGAAAACACCCCACTCTGATGGGCCATGGTTAGGCGGGCCATGCTACCCCTCCATGAGGCTGGAGGGGTTGGAGGGGTTGAGTGGGGTGAGACCCTGCTTTGACACGGGCTGCGATGGCATTGGAAATTTATTTATGTTGCTCATTGTCGTCTGCCCTTCTTCCTTCCTTCACTTTGCGTTCTCTTGCTGTTGGACGACACTGGCATTGCGCTTCAAATCCACTTATCACTCTTAAAAGAACAACTTCTCAATATGGTTTACCCAGATTCCTGGAAAGGATTCCAGATCGAGGACCCTTCCAAATGGACGGAGTTCCACCTCAACGAGTTGACTCCAAAGCCATTTGGGGATTACGATGTTGATATTAAGATCCTGGCTTGTGGAGTTTGCGCTTCTGATTTACATACTGTCAGCGGAGGATGGGGAGAACAAAAGTTCCCGCTGTGTGTTGGTCACGGTATGTTTCCTCCTCCTCAATTCACTTGACATCCGTCTCTGGTAATCATAACGATCTAACGCGTCTGATTAGAAATCGTTGGCAAAGCAGTCAGAATTGGATCCAAGGTCACCCTAATCAAGGAAGGCGAGAGAGTTGGTGTTGGCGCGCAGAGTTACAGTTGCTTGGAGTGCAGACAGTGCAAGGCGGACAACGAGACATACTGCAAACACCAGTTGGACACTTACGGTGCCGTCTGGCCTGAAACGGGAATTGTTAGCCAGGGTGGTTACTCAGAATACGTTAGAACACATGAGCACTGGTAAGTCATCCATTCCGGCATGCCGACCCCAAATACAAGATTTTTATTCCACGACGCTTGGAGTTTTTTGGACAGTCTTATAACTAATCTTTCTCATCTAGGGTTTTCCCAATTCCAGATGGTCTCGCCACCAACAAAGCCGCTCCTATGCTCTGCGCCGGTCTCACTGCCTACTCGCCACTCGTCCGTAACGGGGCTGGTCCAGGAAAGAAAGTTGGAATCGTAGGACTCGGAGGAATCGGTCACTTCGGTCTTCTCTTTGCCAAAGCCCTTGGTGCCGAAACCTACGTGATCTCCCGATCTCACTCCAAGGAGGCGGATGCCAAAGCCATGGGTGCGGATGGATTTATCGCAACCCAAGATAAAGATTGGAACCTCCCTCACGAGATGACATTCGATCTCATTGTGAACACCGCCAGTAGCTCAGATGGTTTTGATTTGGCCAAATACCTCAGTCTCTTGGATGTTCACGGAAAGTGGATTTCCGTCGGTCTGCCAGAGGGAGATGGACAGGAGGTCAAGACCCAAACATTCATGGCCAATGGATGTTTGATTGGTGCCAGTCACTTGGGGTCACGAAAGGAGGTCTTGAGCATGTTGAAGTTGGCTGCTGATAAAGGAATTGAGAGTTGGGTTGAGGAGATTGAGATTTCTAAAGATGGATTGGCGACTGCGTTGACGAGATTGCACAAGAACGATGTGCGGTACAGATTTACCCTCACTGGGTATGACAAGTGCTTCAGCTCTTAAACATTAGTTAGTGTCTGGTGTCGTTTATAATAGAGTTAAGGTGTAAGCCAAGTCAACAAGTTGTCTCGTACCAATGATCGTCCCCATCGCACTTGTGATAGTGGCATAGCAATTTTCCTCGTAGATTCAAATTTGTACAGCACAACAATCAACTATCCCGCTTGATTTAGAGTGAAATGACCAAGCACTCATGGCTCAATGTCGAAGTCGGAGAAGTGGATTTCCTCATCACCAGACGGCATACACTTTGACCTGAGCTAAGCGAGATCTTCAGCGGGCTCAGAAGTACAGGACTTCTCATTTTCCGAGTTTGGAGATTTGCTCTCTTCCGTGCGGCCTGTTGATAAGGTCGCAAGGTCGCCGGATATTTGATCGACCTTTTTCGACGACCATGTCGTTCTGTATACCGTGCCTTTCCACATCTGTGGCGTTGAGACTGCTTTGCTGCTTGAAGAAGCTCCTTGACGAGAACTTCAGCGGACGGAAATTCAAGTATTGAAGCTGAAGACACTGCGACTCGAGGTTATGCCTCCGTTGAATCCGCTTTGTCGACTCGAATGAATCTTGCACTGCAGTTACTCAAGCTGTTGATTTAACTACAGCCGATACTTTCAATGCTTGAGAGGATACCGTTCTTTCTCAGCCCACTACTATCGAGACAAGCAAGCTTCCTATGGCGGAAAATTCACTGCAAATAATGCCTCCAATTCCGTGTAAACTGTTAACCCCCAATTAAGTCATTCTAAATACCTAACACTCTGCATCAACAGTTGAGGGATTTCTACAATTTTAGTAGAGACAAAAGTTTCTACAGTGATACCGGACGGACAACTTTTCCATCTTATTATGTAGGCTTACCGTTCTCGCGTAGGACAAAATAAGTGACAGTCGAAACATAATATTTCTTCAACTAAGTTGACGAAATATCGTATATTTATCGGATCAACTTGGAACATTATCACTATTTCGTCTGTTTTAAGTAGATGAGACTTTGAGCTCTATTCAAAGTCGACTTATCTCACTCTAAAATTTGCGGGTAGGTCATCGATATTTCCTAGAAGACTAAATAGAAGAATGATAGAGGGCAAAGTGGCAACTTGCGTTTGGAAATTCGAGTTGTTGAAGACCCAACAGAGACATCGTACTTAGATAGCGTTACAACAATTTCCAGAAGCATACTAGCAAGCACTTATGGTCATCCCGTCATAGTGACGCTCAATGCGGCTCTGGACTTAGAAGTCTGATTATTGCTCTGCCCACTGTTATTTTGTCGGCGTTTCTTCTGAACCTTGGGAGCTATAGGTGATTCGATTATTTTAAACAATCAGTAAAATGGGTTCAAACATAAACAGAAACTGGCAAAGTGGTCCATATCAGCTAGACAGTCAAGAACGCAACAAGGCATGGATCGATAGACTTGCTATGTAACGCTTTAAGACTGCTGAGCTAAATAGAACCTAATTGGCGCTCTATAGGTATGTGTGAAATAGTGTATCAATCTTTAAATGAATTGAACATAAGAACTACCGCAAGAATTAAAATTCTACATCTATGGTACTCTGATTTTTATAGCTCTAAATGACCTTCCCCGTTGTATACATAACCCTCTATGAGAGTACACAAGCTCTTTTCATTCCGTTATTACAATTGGTAGTTTTCGGTACAAAAATATCAACGTACAATCAAGAGATTGGTTGGTTAAAATTCTATCGAGCTATTCTTACTTTGAGAACTTTTGTCCTACAGGTCTGTCATAAGATCAGTAATAACGCAAATGACTGCCATTCAAACTGTAACTTACTTGAGCAATAACGTCGCCACAACTGTCAGCGCTGCCCCAAGTAGGCTAACAATATACGTATTCTTAATTGCATCTACTACCGCTACCAGAATCTCTTGTTGTACCTGGATTGTTTGTGCTAGAAGCAACGTTTGGTCTGTACCTTGAATTATGGCTCGCACTATCTGGAGAGGCGTTTCTGGCGGTAGCAGCGCTGCAACAGTTTTCTGGGCGACGTTAAGAAACACCGAACCGGAGACACACAGAGATACGGTAAGACCGAGATACTGGCCCATGCAGATGAAACCAATGGAAGCAGGAATTTCATTCGGCTTGACTTTAAATTGTGCGACGGAATAGAAGAGCTGGCCGATAGCGCCAGCGCCGATGCCGATGAGAGAGCTGTAACCGTATATACTGGAAGTGTCGCTGGCAGGACTGATATCGTCGTCTAAGAGGATGCCCTGTCAACGAGATTCTATTTTACAGCAATAATTGTATCGAATAACTTACAAAGAAGAGCCTCGCCAATAGTGGCTAGCACACCTCCGATGAAGAACCAAGGCCACCATGAACCTGTAAGAGAGACAACGAACCCTCCCATCATGACCATAAAGACATATGTCATGACAATAGGGAGGAGTCGAACAGCAGCGTCGACTGGTCCATCGCCATGAACAAGTTGGAAAAAGATGGGTATATAGTAGATGGGTACCTGGATATCATTAGTCGGTTGGATACTTTCGCTATTTTGGAATAATGAACTGGCTAATATACCAAAACTGAGCCTGCAACTGCAGCGGTGATAAGCCATAACAGGATCATATCTTTATTGCGCATAAACTGAACTGGAAATATCCTCTCCTCAGGCCTTGTCATGAAGCAAAGAGTTTGCTGCAAGGCAAACAAAATGAACAGCACAGCCGATGTAACGAACAAGGCGATCGTCTGCCCACTGCCCCACTGATAGATTGTACCTCCAAAACTGATTGCCATGACTCCTGCGACGCAGGCCCCAATTTCAAGAACGGAACCTATCCAGTCCATCTGTTTACCCCTAGCAGTGAAAGGAAGGACTTCTCCCTTCTTGGGATCCCAGGTGGGTACCATAAAGACAATGATAGGTCCGAAAACACCGAAGAGAACCTTCAAATGTCAATACACATATTACGGGTAAACAGCCCCCGAGAATAATAAGATTCTTCTACGTACGTACCAGATTGATATAGAAGGCCCAGCGCCATGTGGCATTACTCTCAGCAAAAGCACCTCCGATTACGGGTCCTAAAACAAAACCTGCGCCCCAGCTGAGGCCCGTGTAGCTCATATACTTGGAACGTTCCTGCTCAGACGTATTTACGGATATAACTGCAAGAGCGACTCAGTAAGCCTTAGATACAACACGCAATAGGCTTTGGTCTGGTTCACTCACGGGTCAAAGAGCCGATATAAATACCGGATGCACCTAGTCCAGCAATTGCTCTCCCCACAATCATTACATTCATCGTCGGGGCAGCACCACAGAGCGCTGAGCCGATCTCAAATATGACAGATGAGAAAAAATATAATGGCTTCGCATTCCACAAGGTATATACCTTTGACCAGACCAGAATAGTCGACATCGATGACAATGTAAAGGCTGTTCCGAGCCAGGGAAGCTTCTCAATTTGTCCCAGTGTTGAGACGACATCAATGCCAACATCTGCGACGATAGTGTTATCTAAAGCATATAAAAATGTCGATCCTGTGATAGCGAAGACAACTAGAACCCACTTGAAAGTCTTGTTAGTTTAGAGCGTTAGACCTCCACCACTTGATCTTACCGTAAAGCCGTGTACACTCCTGACATGATCTTTCAAAGCTTCAGAGTCATTCACGTCCGAACCAGAGCCAACTGGGCTATCCTGTTCTTTCTGGACTATAACTCCTAATGTAGTTCCATCACTTCTGGGAATCAAGTTGTTTGGTACAGTTGTTTGGGTCGTTACTGGTGGTAGAACTTTCTCGAAGTCTCGAAGGTCTTGTAGATCATCCATATCCATATCGTGAAAGGTTAATTGTTGTTGTCTTATCAAGTGCTTGTCATTTGCTGAATATTGCTTCAACACGAGCGAGCAGGGCACGCTTTATATCACGGTCTTCGTTCCAAAATTCCTTATGACAAAATCATCGCAGTCTCCCCATTACTGCACAGTAAGCTGGAAGATTAGGGAATGAATGACCCACATTCGTGATTCGCGGCATGTCAAACCCCCCCCGGAACTTTGCTAAATCAACGCATGGATTTGCATAGCCTATAGAAAAACACGCAATACAATGCCGAAAGGGTTCCATAAGAGAAGTTAGCCTTAACAGTATCCGAGTTTAGATCCACAAATGTGTTTTGGTTGTAGTCAACTTCAGTCGGGGTAAGCCATTAGTAGGGAAGACGCAGTTGGATTCAAAAAGGCGTTTACTTAATTCAAGATGTGGAGGCAGTCACAACTCTCAAACAGTACTAGCTAACCTCCGTAAACCCATTATCTCAGCATCCGTGAGGTAATGACACGATGTAACTGTGATAAACTGATGACTCAAGGCAATCCAAGGATTATAGCCGTCGCGGGCTACTATTTGGTTAGTTTATGGCTGATTGAGAGTTAGCACAATGGTAAAACTTACTTGCGGTATGCCACATACTACTTGAATATTTACGTAGAAACAGAAAAGACTAAAAGTTGAAAAATTGTCGAGCTTGACAATTGTTTTAATAAAACGTAAGTAACTACAATCAGAGAACCGAGATTTCAAATATTAAAACCTAAGTCTCTACACGCGCGGCGCCGTCTTCTATGAGGCCAATCTTTTTGCGTATGTACAGCTGGTTTGGGTTTTCCAATTCACCTGCAATAAATTCTGCTACATCCTCGAAATGTACCGAATTACGCAGAGAAAGCAAATTACTAAAGACATCTAGGTATCCTCCACACAGAGGCATCTTTCTGAGAATGGATGTCTTCCATCCCGCAGGAACAGATATCGACGCTAACAACCCTTTCAACTCCCTCTGCTTCTCGACATGATCCTTCACTTCAGAGACAGCCTTGGACCGTGGTGTCATATTTCCTGGGCACAGACACGACCAGGTTAGATGCTTCGATGATTCCAGCAACGACAATTTATGGACATCTTCTCGATACAATGGCAAGCTGGCATGGGATGAGTTTGATGACCGTGCAACATTGCCCAGTTGATAAGACTCACTAATCATATAACGTATATTGGGAAGCGTAAGGCACATCAAGCAGCAGCATACCACCTACAAACCAGCTTCGAATTTTGATTCGCTGCTCCAAGCCTACATCTTTTAAGGCATGTACAATGGCCTCCTCAATCTGCGGAGCCTGGCTGGAGTTCCAAGGCATCATAGGTGCTGCTCCTGCTGCGTTTATAAGAGCTTGAATGCGAAAATTGCAGAGTGCGTCAGCGACATCATTGCGCGATGTGACATCGCCCTGAACAACGTTGATGTTTGCTATGATTGATGCAGGTACCAAAAGCTGTAGCTTCTCTCTGTTGCGGACAAAGGCTGTGACTTCGTGATTGTGTGCCAGGAGTGCAGGTAAAATGCGGGATCCTAGATTACCTGTAGCCCCAAGGAGAAGTACCTTCATTGCGGCCAAGTTGGTGCAAGCTTATGAAGTTTTCAAAATAAAACAAAATTAGAACCAAATAATTCAACGACGTGAAGGGATAGATATTAATAGGAATTTTAAGTTGAGGTACTTGAAACAACTCACTTAATGTATGGCTGAACAATACGCTGGAAGCGGGAATGGTTTTACACCATCGCGGGTATTGGAAGGCTCTACGGGGCTCTTAAGTAGCCTATCTAAATGCCAACCAAGGGGTTCTTTTAGGTAGCTGTAGCCTATCAAATGCCAGCCAATCAGGCGACCAACTAGCATTCACTCCAAGTCTTCCTAAGCCATGTGGAGCCAATTGCTTCTCATGCCGAGTAAATTAGAACATTCGTTTGCATACATCGGAGTAGTACAAGACAAGTAATAACTAGCCACCCCAACCCCCTGGGTTATATATCACTAATGACCGGTATGCACGAGCCAATGCGGGAATCACGATCTACCAAGTCAACCCAGCGTTCTGGAGTTGGGGAAGCGCTTAGGCCTCGCTGCAGTTATTGTCATGAAACGAGAGCAATCTTCTGAGATCACCTCCATAATTATTCGTCACAAAAGAGTGTGTGACATTCTTCCGCTGTGAGGAGTAGTAAAGTACCTGAGGGGAGGGGCGCCGGAGGGCACCCGCTCTTGTGGTACACCGTACCCAAGACGGTTTGTTCAGGTAAGATCTTATAAAATGTCACTTCCATTTCATGCGGGACTGACGTACTGTCAGAGCATTACTCTCCCGAATTATAAGTGTTTGAAGTTGGATTCACGACTGAAGCTTTTTAGAAGCTAATACAAGTAGCCAATTGTATCGTTCTAAGTCGATGTGACAGCAATAGGGTAGTGACTGTTCGAAAAGACGGTTCCTATCAGAGTGGCTTCAAGATCCCATTCTCATGGGTCATCCTCTGTGATGCATAGAGAATCATCAATCTAGTATATGGAATGCCCAGAGAACGCGTAGCGAAAGCCGCATCACGAAATGGTTTTGGAAGATCACTGAAGTCTATGCTCTCCAGTCGAGATTTGAAAGTCTTCTTTGTTGTTGTAAATGGCTGATGACCTCCCCAGCCGTGACTAAATGCTGTATATTTCACCCTACATATTTAATGTGTGCTCGAGTTGAAGATGCGTAACATCAAGCACACAAGTAGAGATCAGTGGGTCGTACTTATCAACCCAGCAGCGGCAGCGCTTGTGAGCTTTCATACCAAAATACATCAACTCATTCGTAAGATTAAAATTGTGATTTGTGTCAGGATTTGGATGATTAGGCATGCCAATAAGCACATTAAATTAGAAGAAAGTATTTAATATGTCATCTAGACAAGAAATAGTTGAAAATAAAAAGGACTCTTTAAATATTGCAAGTGTTATAAAAGTAATCTAAAACTACTTTGTCACTTACTCAAACCCTAAAGTCCCGCCTCCAATCAATGATTCTATCTCCTAGAATAAAAGATTGTGTGCTCTACTCAAACCACCTCTACCTCTCTCCCCCGCGTTCTCTCCCCCTCCGTAATCCCCTCCCGACCACTCCCCCATCTAATCGCCACGAAAAGCTTTAAGCAGCAACACACTTCCAAGAAGAGCTCTTGTCATTGATCCAACTAGGGAATGACGAAGCACCAGGACTAGCATTGAAACTGAACCCAGTACCAACGCAATTGGCATCACTAAGATTCACACATCAGCAAGAATTCCCCGGTTCATATGGGTCTAAAGAAACACTTACACCCAAGTAGTACATCTGAATCCCGGCTTCGCCTTTCCAGACGAAACACGATCGTTGAAGTTCGATGGGAGATTGACACATTTTCCAACATCGGAGGAGCCAGTGAATTTGAGACCGAGGAAACCACTTGGTGGTGTTAGTACGTCTGTAAGTTGTAAGGTCGGTTTGGGGAGTGGAGACTCACGAGTCTTGCCAGAGATCAATGAGCTGTTGAGCTCTGGCCTCGACGGCTGGAACGGCTACGGGAGCAGCAGTTGCCATGACAGCGAGGATGGAAGTGGCGATGATGGTTGTGAACTGCATTTTGGCTGTTGGTTGATTGAAATCTGAAGAGATTTGAGGATTAAAGATGAGATGGTATTAAGGGTAATGTTTAGATGAGATTGTGAAGATACTGAAGAGGGTGAGGAGGAAATTTTGAGAGCAGGTAAACGGACCTTTAAGTACTAAAGATGTTGATGTAGAGTTCTAATTGCATAATAGAATCATGTCAGATATTACTCGGCTGCGGTAAAGACCTATCCGTAGAAATTGAATGAAAGTTCGGTGAAGTATCACATCAGATCTATTCTCGACATCATGCCGGAATTGCAGCAATTAACTGTCATGATGGTCACGCCGGCGAGCAATCTGCAAGAAATACCCAAGAACATGGAGCTCAGCTGCGAGAATCTGACTTTTGGTGGATATATTGTTGGAGTGCTTCGCGAATAGCAACGATTCCTGATGAGCTCTATGAGGTATTTGACTCAGGAAAGTGATATTTACAGTTCTCACATCTTTCCTAGCCTCAGGTTGATGCTGTGGAACGAAGGGTAGTTGAATGTTATCCTGGCACACCATGAAGTGAAAACGAGAAGATATTATACACGCGGATATCTTGCTCATCTTACATTTGTTGACTAAGACTTTCAGTTGTGCAGAAGTGCATGTAGTGAGAAAGTGGATGAGAAAACGGCATTTCTCAATTCCCTACGTCCAATAGTGTGATATTCCTTTTTGACGGGACACCTCACTGAGATAGAATACCGAAACGCTATATTTACCCAGTTCTTCTGAGTAAAGGTGAAATATTGTCTCTATTTGAAAAAAAACTATATATCACTGTTGAGGAAGGAGTCTTGGAAAGTCGCTTTCTGAAAAGTTCATGTTTTGGTGATGTCCCGCCATTTTGCAATGCACAGGTGACCGGTAAGAGAAAGTACACGGTAGATAACTAACACGATGACTCTAACCTATCACATTATTCCGCTACAACAAGCCTAACACGGAGGATGATACCGCGCAGAAAATAAGTATTTCCAGTCAGACGCGCGGTGGAATGTTGACGCGAGTAAGACAGATATTAAATCTCACGAGAACAATTCGCCTGTTGATCTTGGCGATGACTGCTAAGGCCGCAACCATATTGCTGATGGAGTATTTTGGTATATGAGTACGTATATGCATTTCATAATACTATGGGGGAAAACTTCTTGGTTTGGGTTGGGCTCCTGAGTAGCGAGTTCTGCGACTCGAATACAAAGTAAGCCAGTGCGTTGCAAGTCTGACGGGACACTTCTTTACGGCAGAATAAGGGTACTCTGCTCAAATTTCATAATTACTCTATTAATTTGAGTAAACATACATCGTTCCGTCTATTGAAAAGGGTAAAAGAAGCCATTCAAGAAGGTGTGTTAGAAAGTGGATTTCCAAACGTTGTTACATTTAGAAGTCTTGCAACGCCCTGGTGACATGTATCTCCAAGTCCCAACGAATCGAGAAGGCTCCATGAAGCGGCAACCGTGAACTTGTGTAGGTCGCCCAGATAGCGTTCCGTTAACACATTCCCTGTCAGTTCAGAGGTGAATGTCGAATGGGCATGTGTTTAGGTGCTGGCAATTTTACTCGCTAAGCAGGTAATCTAGTAAGAACTAACACAACTTGTTCATATCTGACATTGGCAAATGTCGATAGTCCTGTAGTATACCGAATACATTTCAACATATTGGATACGACAAAATGACTATTCTGCGCCCTTGTGCCAAACTTATGGGGAGGCTGCTAAGCGAGCTGACCAGTCCCCCCTATACAATACTTGCAACTACTTCGCCACTGGGAATGTATGCTGCCGAGTATCGCCACTGCATAGGTATTCTGGAAAGCCATCTCGAACTGTAACACAGGAAGCAGCAGCTACATTCTGCTCGGTGAAGGGACAAAGGAGCAGTCGAAACACGATGTATTATTGGACCAAGGTGAGAAAACGTCGCATACTACGTGTACCATTCTGAGCAAATAAGACGTTTTAATGCTCTGATTAGATGGACAAAGAATCATTAGCCCTTGATTCGAATGGAAGTTGACAGAAGCAATAGGATGCTGCGATGTCAAGAATTCAGCGTTTTACCTCAGCTTTTGAGCCCAGTTCTCAGCCTTATGCAAGCTTCTTTCCGTGTAGCAGAGACCGAAGGACGTCCCCCTTCGGTCCGGAGTTTTCATAGTAGGTGCAGGGTAGTGGTGCTCGGTCATGAGCAAGCGCTCTTGGTTTGTGAGAGTCAAAGAGGAAACTGATAGAAAGAAGAAGAAACCTTGAATAGTGGTTTTTTGCAATCGGCGGTTGCAGTATGACATGAATTTGAAGTGACGACCCCTCTTTTAGCTGGCCAATAATCATGCAACGGTGCTTGAACTCTAGCGTCTAGAACCCAGCTTACTCAGTCTCAAAAACGCTCATGTCATTGTACCATTCTGTGTCATCGTGCAGAGTTGACTGATCTGCTGCAAGAAGACTGCAGGTTTTTTTTTGAAGAATTGGAGAAGTTATGGCAATAAGAACAGATGCTAGGAATTGGCGTCTAACTGACAACGGCCAAGCAAAAAGATACATGAGAAACCAAACATGCATGTGTCCTGCTTCTCGTTTGTGAAATCCCGATTTTCTGTATCAAATTGTGAACTTGCAAACTGCGAAAGCAATTACACTTTTTTCATCTCATTAGCAGAGTATTGATCGAATCTCGATCTTCAGCCAGCAAGAGGAAAGAACCACCTATAAGCACCGGGACTTGACCTTTCTCAATCCAATAAAGTAGAGGCTGTGACCAAGCACCCATCAACATCGGGCCATTATGCACATCTATGTTTCTTGACTGGGCAACTAATCACCTCTGTAGGTTTCAGATGATTTGGCGAGGCGCTGATCCGGAGAGCCAGATCATTTGGTGGTGAACCATTAAGTAATTCGAAATCTGAAAGACTTGGTGCGACAACAATAATACCCGCCTGAAAGCTAGAAGCAAATAACAAACTTTTGTTGCACGTCGAGTTATGATGACGTTCTCCAAATCTGGAACCTCGAAATAACCAAACCAACCCACAAGGCTACCAGATTAATCGTACGAAAGTCAACGGTTTTGTTGCACATCGAGAAGCAATGACGTCTTTGAAGCCTGTACCTTGAAAGATCGAACGAGACTTAGCAAAACTTAAGGACAATAAACCAATAATCACCGCGTCCATACTGCACAATATGCAAACTGTGACGAAACATGGCAAGAGTGCTTAACAAGGAATCGGCGGTTTAATGACCAGAATGGTATCAGATTACATGGAGAAAAACAACTGTCTAAATCCTAGAAATGTAAGAAATTGATGCAACTTTGCACCTCGTTGAAATCCTTTATGTATTCCCGTCCATTAAACATACATATTTGCTTACAAATTGCCAAAGAAAGAACAGCCGTAGCAACTAGAAGAACCCAAAAGACTCCTCGCTGAACGCTTCAAGATGCAAAACCCGTAAAATACAACTACAATCTTCCTCCTTATATGCTTTATTATTTCCATCTCCTCACCAATTCCCTTCCGTTCCTCAGATAGCTCATGAGATTTTCTTGACTCTTTTCTTCGCAATGTCAAGCTTGCTATTCACGCGATCAACGTCCATGTCAACTTGTGTGAGCATCTCATTCTGCAATTCCAGCTCCTGGTTGATTTGCATTCCCATCTCCCTTTGTCGACGCACAATCTTGCCAAGCTCCTCCACGTCCAGGTCTTGGTTCTCCATCATCTGTTTCTGGAGCTGAAGTACGCCTTCGTTATCCAATTCCCTCGTTTTGTCCGTTTCAGGTACTGGAGCACCAAGAACCCTTCCTGGCGGGCGCGAGACTCCAGGGCCAAACATCGCCGCCTTGGAGGTTTGCGAAGCTGCTGCCGTTGAGGTATGTGACTTGACCGCAAGACTGACAGCCAGTTTCTCCAACCCATCTCTTTCTACCTTGGCACTCCCAAGTAGATCTCTTCTTCGTCTCAGCTCACCAGCGCCCACCTTACCCTCTCCGCCTCTCTTCTCCGCATCCGCCATAATTCTTAATCCGTCCTCCAAGTTTCCTAAGAGCCCCCCCGCTTTGACCAGACATCGCTTTGCGTTCGCACCAGCTTCATGTTGTATTTGTACATTCTCCGCTCCATCTCTCCTCCCCAAAAATAACCTAGCGTCGTGCAACTGCCCCTTCATCTCGCGGTGCAAGTCCAACCAAATCAAAGGATCCGACGCCACCTGTCCAGCATCTTTCCCCAACATTCCCCGATTCCTCGCCGCAATAAGCTCTCCACGAGCGGAACTCGATGAGCCATTCGAAGAACTTGGGAGGTTTAGAAATGTACGCCAGATCGAGGTATCTCTCCAGCTTCGATCAGGGCCTTCTGCGATAGCGCGAAGATACTTCTCTAACCCTACTCGTCTAGTTTCCGTGAGTTCTGGCGAGGATGCTGTTGATTTGAACCATGATTTCGCGGGTAATGGGGCTGGTGGAGGGGAATTGACGATCGAAGTGAGCGATTGATGGAGGGTAAGGAAATCAGAGTAGCGCTTTTGGACTACGAATGTGCGTAGAGGGAGGCGGAGAGTTATGTTGTACAGAGTATACGGTTTGGCGTTCCCTTCGCTGTGAAGGATCGTAGAAGGTATGGAGATCTCTAGAGGCGGCGCCATCGCTGTTCATGGAATGTATGGATATTGAGGGGTTGGAAGTGGTTACATGTAGCCGGGAGCGACTGCTGGTCTTCATTATTCGTAATGGTGGCTATGTTGACGTCGTGTGAATGGGCGAGTTGCCTGGACAGCTTGACGGAGCTCGTGATAAGGTTCGGCCTGAAGTTGGTCAAAGCAGCCTTGGCCGGGAAGGGCTGCGGGAGCTAGGTCTAGGGTGGTGCAAATCGTCTCTTTGTCACATTTATTAGTCTGTCACATTCAAAATGATATCTGGAAAACCTTTGAATTGTTTGAATGGAATATAAAGCAGGGTATTGAATATGATCTACCTTGTAGATTTGATTTATTTGTAGCACATGTAATTGATGAATCCCCATCTTTACCAGGCGCAGTAGACAGAACAAATACATTCATCCATCATTCAAGAAACGCGGACGCTAATCTCATTATCCGTTTGTGGCTCTTCTCTGCACTCGCTGCGCTTGAACTTCAAGTACCCAGTACCCAAGTACGGTGCAAACTGTAGCCGGGAATCTAACCACTTCCTCCTTCACCTCAATGTATGTGAAATTATCGCTGGGGTATAAACTAGAAAGTCTCTTGATCATCAACCTCGGCTTCAGCGGGAATCTCGAAGCCGTCTTCTGTCGAGTAAAGAATAGATTGGATGTGTTTAATCAAACCATCTTCTTGTCTCTCAATCTCTGGATCTTCCTCACACGCCTGCTGAACCAGCAACTCGATATCCCGGAGCTTGCTGAAATAGAAGTCCCGTTCGCGCTCTAGACCTTGGACAGTCTCCTTCAATGTATTGTTTTCTTGTTGTAGCGCAGCGTTGCCCGCACCACCAGCCGCACTCTTTCCAGCCCTCGCGCCACCGATCGTAGGAGTTGTACCTCGTCGCGCTGCACCAGCGGATGCTCTGGGGGCAGCGGCTGCTGGCGCTGGGGCACCTGAACCAAGTCGCCGTGCGTTGGCATCGTAGTCACCTCCTGGGTAATATTGATCCCAATAACGCTTACTCCACTGAAGAAATTCGAGGTTGTCCTGCATCTTACATTTGATGAGCTGTTCGACGTTAACGGGTCGATCGATACCGTGTTGTTTGAAACAGTCTGAAAAATGATAATTAGCCCTTGTGTCACCACCACTTCTCGGAGCAAGGAGCGTACTTTGAAGGATCTTGAAATTTGCCAGATATGCGTATTCCGTATTCACATTAAATTTTACTCTGCCCATCGGCACATCGCGGAAGATACTGTCGAAAACCTGACACAAAGCCGCCCTGTATGCTATTAGAATCCGCTCGGCCATCTCTACGGATAGGAATAATTTGGAAAAGGGCAAAAGCAGAACGATTACTTACCCAGTCCCGCATTGTTCGACCTTTGTTATATTCAGTTGAAGCAGGTTATTGAGCCATGCTACCAGTTCTTGTCTAGAAAGCCAAATCGTCAGCCGGGATCACCTCAGTGAAGACTTTCCTGGATAACAAGCGGACCTACCGTGATTCTCCCATGATGAAATTGTTTGTCCTTCGTACAGTGAATGGTGAGGGAGACAGCGGGATTTTGGCAACTCGATGATACGTCGATGAGGGGAAAATGTGATCGCGATAGGATGTTTGTTTTTGTCCAAGCGCTCATCGGCGAGGTGATATTCCAGGGCAGGGATTTGTGTACTCCCTGAAATAAGGATCTCGCGGCTTCAAAAATATTGGCACGTGATACCCCTCCAACGAGAGCTCGGGCTGGAATCGCGTCTGTTCGCAGGGCAACTTGCAGGACGCGTCAAGAAGTCAAGAGATTCAAGTTTGATTTTCTTTTAGTCACCAGTGAGTTCTGAGATTGAAAGGTTCAGCTTCCAAGTGTGACACTATCAGAAAACGACACTCTAACGCTCCTTCCTTAAGAAGCATATGTTAGCCCTGTAGGAGTGGCAAAAGAGTATATTTACTCAAAATGATTGGGCAATATGGAGGAGCAAATATAGCCTTTTAGGCCGAACATCGTTCTTCTGCAGTAAGGAGGTATCCCGTCAGACTTCTAACACCTGTGGACAGTGAGTGATCTTGTTGGAGGATCATACTACCCCCAATACACTGTACGCTAAGATTCACTCTCGAGAAAAGAGTCCAAAATATTTATCAGCTATGTAAGTTTCATTCCTTATTGACAAAGCTATCCTCGCAATGCAATGCAAACAAATGCTATAAAGATCCCGACTCCCGAGGACTGAACACAACTCAGTCATGACTCTTTCACCAGTCCAGCGCCCACTCAATGCATAAAGCTCCCTATAAACGTCTATGTACATGAAAAATAGAGACGGGTATCATGGTCAAATTTGCAAGATCGCAGACTGGGGCTGCTGATCGATGTGTTGATATATACGACAACTCTTACGACTGCTTGAAGAGCGCAAGTGTCGCGCAGAAATTGTTACGGTTGTCTCGGTCGAGAGCCGCGGATTGACCGTTGACGGTAACCATGTTCACTGCAGCTTTGGTGGAAAGGCCGTACAGGTTGATCCCCCCGGAATTCTCAATAGAGACCATATTATTCTGACAACTCTGAGTGTCGAGGCAGACTTGAGAATAGTTTTCCTAATAAAATGATTAGCACAGTGTCTGAGGATATGGCGTGGGCGAAAGATTTGGACGTACGAAAAAGGAGTAAAGTCCAGCACCATGAATAGTCACATCTCTGGAATTCACGATTCGAAGACCCCATGCCTTTTTGCTGCTTGAACTGCCAGAAAAGACGGGGTCGGTAAATGCCGAGTTGGTTGAGAAGGGAGTGGTTGCATCAGGGTTACTCTGGAAATAAGGTGTCTCCGTCTGAATCAAAGCCATGTAAACGTTGGCCGCATTGGAAATCTGGTAGTTGTATAGAACGCTGTGCTCGGAACTGGTACCATAAAGCCAGACTGGCCCTTGGGAGGACTCGATTAGGACACCACGCCCGTTGTAGATATTGATCTGATTGTGATCGCCAAGATCAAGTTCGTGATCTGCAACCCAGAACCAGTTGTTCTCAATATAGATACTAGCTCGGCTAGTGACGTGAAGGAGCAGGAACGCGCCTATACAAGCTGGATTCGCTGGGGCAGTTACTGCGGGATTCTTGCTGCATGTGTTGGACTGTAGTTGAGTACCAGCAGTGCCTCCAATGCGGAAATGAACATCCCACATACCAGCGGAACCTTGGCTCGCCTGAGCGAGGTTCCATTGCATTAAAATGGCCCCAGGCTGTGGTCCAAGAGTCTCGAATATCAAATCAGATATCTCGACAGAGCCAGTGTCACCAGGGTTACCAACGCGGAAGACAGGTTTCGGATTCGCTTGATCCTTGAAAGCATTTCCGCCAGCCATTATCAGCGGCCACATCTCCCCAGTAATTTTGATGTTACTAGGTACTTGAACGGTGTTAGTAACGACATAAGCTCCATGGTCGAAGTAAACAATATCTCCTGCACCAACCGAATTGAAGAGTCTCTGGATAGCTTGAGTGTCGTCAGTAACACCATCACCTCGAGCACCGGCAGCCTTGACACTCTTGAATGAAGATACTGGCACTGCCTCGTATTGGGGCCTTGAGCGTGTAAAAAAGCGACCAGAACCATCAAGTAGTACTCCAGGTTTGGCGGGAGCGGCCAGCGGCCCTTGGTTAGATTGACCAGCGTTGGGACTAAGGTATTCGCGTCCCTGACCCCATAAGCTAACTTTTTGGTTTCCGCCGAGAACTGTAGCCCTGTTACCTGCATTTGACACGGCGACTGGACAATTTGCAGAAAAGTCGACGTTGTCGATGATAAGAGTACCGTTAGTTGCACCTTCCGATGTTGAATAAGCGGTGGAGATGCCAATAGGAGTATTGCTAATTTTGCTGTCGACAAGCAAAATAGATCCAACAGTCTGACTAGCAGTGCCTCCGTTGGCCATATCAATACCAATCCCGCAGTTGTTGATTTCAACACCAGAGAGAGTCCATGCCTAGAATTCTATGGTCAGACAGCTACACAAATGCAAGGAGTGGCATCAATTACTGACCCAGTTCCAGTTCATGAATATCGCCGTCTGGCAATTGTTGAACTTTAGGTTGCGAGTGGTAAATTGTTGGTTACCAAAAAATGCACCGTACTTGCCGCCATTGAAGGTCAGATCGGTCATGAAGCCACCAGATCCGTTGTCCATGAAGATACCCTGTTGACGGTTCTCGGCACCGCCATCAGTTCTCATGTTAAATACAATATTTTGCAGGCTCGTCGCTTGTGCAACTTGCCAATGGATGCCTGCACCGACATTTACCGGCATTGCAGTCGTATCAATGATGAAGTTTCGAATTTGACGGAAGAAGTTGTTTTGATTCGTGTACCAGTTGACACCACCATCCGCGTATGGGTCGGAATCTATCAACGCAATACCTTGGAAATTGGCGGCAGCTTTGATGGTTGGAAGAGTCACAGCATCACCAACAAATTGGGTGTAGTACAGCTGAACAATGGGTCTGCTGATGATATACGTTCCGGGAGGGAAGTAAACCAATGCAGGAGTGGTTGTTGAACTGTCACAACCTTGGCCACACCGATTTCCAAGAGTAATAGCGGCATTGATCGCAGCGGTATCATCAGTTGATCCTATTTTGGTGTCAGACAGTGATAAATCATGGAGCAATTTGAGGATGTCAAGTATGAACTAACCATCACCACGAGCGCCAAAGTCCTTGACATTGCGGAAGATCTGGTATCCTGCTGTACCATATCCGATGGTACCTTGTCGTGCAATAGAAGAAAGCCAGTAGCTGCTCGCAGCTACGTTCTGGGCTTCTGGAATGGGCGCCGGGGCACCTGAGACGAGAAGGAAGAGGCGCAACGCCACCAGTAGCGATATGAAGGAAAAAGCAGTCATCGTGAAGTAGAACCAGCTGTTGTGAGATGCTTTCAAGCGGGACTGTGATCAAAATAATAAGTCAGTCAAGAAATATAATATTTGCGTGGATGGAGTCGTCGGTTGTAACTGCAATGAACCGAGTTGCTCGCAGAGCAGACGTCGATACTTTGAATGATGGGTGCATGCAACGACTCTCTATCCGGAGAAAAATATATAATGGAGGATGTTTTGAGGCTCTGTGAAGATAGTCATCTGACTACTATTGTCTCCTACTAGCCATTGTTGCGAATGCGCGAGGCAGGAGCAGATATGTAGCAGGGGTACGCCAACCGAGAGATCAACAATATCAAATTAGAAGAACACTTACATTGAAAGGAGATGTATATTCTGAACGGCGGCGGCGAATAGAAGGAGTGGAGTGACTGCAGGAGTCTGAGTCTGCTATCTTCGAAATAAAATTTCTTGGGTCTATGTCTCTCCTTATATCGTCTCCCACGACATCGTCCTCCCGGCAGTCACACAACTCCAAAAGCCCTTGCTCAAGAGAAGCCCTGGCATGGGGTTCGCCAGGACAAGATCCGAGTGGCTCCATCGAAGTGAGTTTAAACTCATGATGAGGCCCGTCACCGATGGAGATGTCATGTCCAACCGGACGCATCACGGCGCTGCGGTTCTGGGGAAGGGATTATTGCAATGCAAGGTCACTCCCACAGAACTTTTACGACTAGTTAGTTCTGTACTTCTGACCAGTATCATGCGGCGGCTGCACATAGATGGGCCGACTCGAAACGGACAGTTGGGTCGTAAAGAGACTAACAGTCCGTAGATGCTCGAGGGATTGCTCGAGTGTGTAGGAGGGACGAGGTGATGTGCGTGTATTGTTCAGGGGAGATCGATGCCCACGGTACTTTCTAAGCTAGAGAATCAATGTAACAAGCTCTTCATGTGGAGAATTAAGTAAAGCATGCTGGTCAATAGTGAACGAGGTAACGACTGGATTGGCTCTGTGGAGCCCGACGATGTATACTGGTTCCTTTCACTGTCGTTGGAACAAAGTGTGTGAAACTTGAAGCGCCATCCAGATCGTGCAGAATCGATCGCTGGTTGGACGGTGCACGGTTTCCCGGAGATTTCTAGCAACGCCGCAGTGGCGCTGGGCCATGTAAATCCACAGAACCCCCGGACGAAGCCCAGCATCCGAACTTCGAGGAACATCACGCTTGCAGGGCTGTTATTCCTTTTTCATGCTCAACCACCATAAAGAAAGAGAGAAAGGGGGGTAATCCATCCTGATTTACTGGTTCAGCACTTCAGACCCGTCGAATCTCCCGGAGATCGCATTCCTATCCGTCGGTACTCTCTCTCTGCGCTGCCTCTGTCCCATCATACCAAAGCTCCTTGACGTTGGAACATTTTCACCTGTGCCACCCAAGAAAGGTCCTTCCTCTACTAGGCTTTCTCCGATAATCTTCTGTATCACCGAAGTCATGAGATCCCACCGTGCGGCAGATCACCCAAACCAAAGACCAGATCATATGCACGCCATGCACCCCGCGAGTCTTCCCCACACAAATGCAACGTCTCTCCTTCTCCAGGTCACCTCGAAGTCAACTCAGGTACAAAAGCAACGCTCGGCCCTTTTACGCAGCTGCAAGGCCTGGTGTGACTTAGCTTTAGGGGTTTTTCCTAACTCGTGCTGTATGCTTGCGGTCTTGGGTGGAGATGGTTTGGTGCTGATGAGGCTTCTGTGGTGTTTTATTAGCTTCAAAAGAAGGTCACAAATGTTCTGAGCATCCCTGAATTACTAATATGCCTTCATTCAAGCCCAATTCTTAGGAACAACCTATCCCTCTCAAGCGAATCCCTCAAATACTCGTTGGTTGGACAGCAATGTTTCAACCCAAAAGCGGCTTGAAGTGCACACTTGAAACAGTGCGCGTATCATACATGAGATGAAAGTCTAGAGCCAACTCTGGCTCAGGGGTTAGGTAAAAGAGAAGCCACGTATCTCGGCTGTTTCCTAAACTGACATCGGTCGAAGATTTTTCCTTCCTTTTGTCAAACATGTGCCATCTGAGAAATGCATGCGCAACCTTTGTTAAACATCAGAACAAGGTATTCTGTCCAGATGGCATTTTGCTTTGGGTCGTCTGCATTTGATGACGAGTATGGCTTTTATTTTTGTGGAATGATGGGGTTGTGTTGTTGTAGACGTGATCCTGTGATGCGCATACTTCTGTGGTCAGGGACGATTTGGTGTTTTCCTGTTGTCACAAGCGCTTTGAAAGACTAGCGTCGGAGTAAATCACAACTGACAGGATTTAACCTTAGCTGTAGTATTTGCAGAGTGTTCTATGCCGGACTTGTTTTCTCGATGCAATCGAGGAAGTCATCTTAGCGCAGTAGAGAAGTTCATGCCGCACTTCTTTTCTTGCTACCTAACACAACACTTTGTCTCAAAGTCTCACAAAGAATTAAGCTTATATTGAGGCTGTTGCTCACCACATGCAAGCACATCCCTCACTTCGTTCAGGATCATTAAGGTTAAAAGTAAACGATACAGAAGGGCCGTCAACACTCCGAGCTTCCTAAATCGATACAATGTCCGGTCGATTCATATTGATCCTCTGGGACCCATCCCTTAGTACCAGCGGTACCGGACAAGAGAAAGCCAGAGAGCCGAGTTCTGATTCTCATTGTAATTTAGCTCACATGTGTCCAACCTCGCGGAGGACAAAATAAGTCGCATTCACCTACCCGCAAATCTGAAACTAAATAACAAGTCTACTCCGAATAGAGCCTAAAAATTTATATTTACTTAAAACAGTTAACGAAATAGTGCTAATATTCTAAGTTAATCCACTAAATTACGATAGTTCGTCAACTTATTCGAAGAACTATTCTAGTTCGACTGCCACTTATTTTGGCCTCCGCGAGCCAACCCAGTTCGTTCGGTAAGTTCTCACTCACTATTCTACCAGCCAAACCAAGCCATCATCCAGGTCGTCCGCCGATTTACTGACAACATGCAAGTGTTATTGGACATATTTCTTCCTAATAATGCTATCCCCACTTGACACAAATGTGGTTGAGTGTATTCAAGCATGGTTGCAACGTTGTATCAAAAGCACACATGTATAATTTTGTAAGTCACGAAGAGTAAAAGCTAGTATGCTCGTCAAACTCACTTCTTTTTATCATTAGCTTTTCCTCCGTGAGTGGAACTGCGGAGGATGGTCATTTCCCGGTGGCCTAGTCAAAGGCTTAATTTTGGTGTAAAGTCTACCTTCCACACTTAAATCCCTTCATTAAGATTTCACATTAACCCAAGATTTATTCGAGGGCTCGAGTCTATCGTTTTCTTGATATGGCGTACTGAGTGATGTTTCCTTCTAAGCTGACACTGTCGCTCTGGTTGTCATGTTCTGACAACGGAGGTTCATTCTTCTTTGATGTTATATTGGACCTTGGTAGGTTCACCGGTCCCGAAACCAAACATTCCTTCAAAGCTGGAAGATAAAAGCTTCCAGTGAACAGTTATTGAAGACTTGTCGCTCTTGCTGGAGGAATTGATCTGTCACATAATGTGAAACTTCAGGCGGCTGGCTGCATATGATGCTACTCTTGGTATTGGATGTCCTTTGTTTGCATCTCGTTTGCCCCCTCATAGGCGACATGATGATAACAAAATACTGTCCTGGAGAGGATATGTTTTAAAATCGGTCAACAGAATATCCTACTTAATGCGCGAGATGCGATCCCACTGAGGCCATTCAATGCAGCAAGGCGTGTAGTGAGGAGTTGGGCTGAATCCCATCTACCTATTGGTTGGGTCACGGCGGTGACAAACAGCTTTAGGGGATAACCACAGGGTTTGGATTTGAACTGATGAAAGTGATGGTGGCAGAATAAAAATTATAGTTCTTCCTACCTGGCAACTAAAAAGCTGATACTTTCCAAAGCTATTCTCAATTGTTTTTTCATGTGTATGCGGTATCCATATGATGTTTATGCTGGCACGCGCACAACCACATATGTCAATGAATCCGTCAAATCGGGAATACCAGTTGCAGCTGTTAAACAACGTTCTACCCAAGTACTCCTGACTATTGTTCACTTCATCACCTTTATAAATTCTTCTGTTTCGGCTTGACCTTCACCTTCACCTTTAGCTGGCATCATATACTCGCTTAACTCCATTGCTCCTGCCTCTCTGGCTCAATATAGTGAACAGGTTTTCTTCTTCCAACACTACGCACCACTCAAAATTTGTTTCAAAAAAACTCACAACCATTGCTCGCTAGACCGGGACACCTTTCGAGTGGATCGAAGATCCCCCACACCTAGTCTCATCTCAATTCGACTCTAGAAAACTTCGAAGCGTCTCCACGCGCTCATAACAAGCACAGGCGTAAGTTCTTGACCGGATATGAGAATCGCATACTGACTTCGGTCGCAGACCATGAGCACCATGGGGACGAAAAGCTCGGCACAAATTCCAGAACAATCTGTAAGTTCTCCTTCAGTCTATTTGCTATCCCCACACGACGTCTATCGGATGCGCACTTTTGTCAGCTGTATTCCGTTGAAACGATCCAAAGTTATTCGAATATATCAGAACAACTCTCTCATCCTCTATAAATCTCGCGTGCTTACAATAGTAAAGACAGTTGTGGATGTGGGGGAGGCGGCAAAGAAAAAAACAATCAAGAGAATACTGGAGGCATGGAAGGTCAACAGCATTGACGACATTCTTCCCGGGTATATGAAATCCGACCTACTTGGACAAACCGCGATCATTCACTTGAGGATCATCTCTAACAAAGTCAACCTTACCGTTGCCAGAGCACTCTTAACTTCAGAGTGCGGAGGTGGACAAGTGACATTCAAAACTTTGAAAAGAATCAACCAAAAGCTCTCTGAGACAGCTGATATGGAGGAAGCAAAACCTGTCAGTAAAACGAAGTCTCACCCAAGCTCTGCATCAAAACTACCTCGAACTGGAACTCCTTTATCAAAGAAAGGAACCTCGAAGCACAAGGTTATGAGCCCAGAAGTCTTCGCAGTAAGTGACAGCAGTCCCCTCTTGATGCTTTCAACTAAAAATCCAAGACCCGTCGACCAAAACAGAGCAACAAAGAGGCTACTTTAGGAACTTCTTCCGGAGAATCGCCTGAAAAGTCAATTTTTATCGCGGAGTATACTGAAGTATGCAAGGTAAGTAGTTCGTTCGTCTATCTACTAGTGTTTTGTCACCGTACTAACACTGCAAGTAGGAAGACCCTAATATTCAATCTCGCACGCCTACTAAGAGTAGGGGCGACGCTACAAGATATCTCACTGGAGCTAGTAAAACCGAAATCAATCATGCCATTTCGAATTCCGTGCCGAGTAGGAAACGTTCTACACAGGTAGATGTTTCTCACAACACACACAAGAATGCAGAAAACACACCCACTACAAATATCAAGACGACTGCTACGCCTGCGGATAAGAGACTTTTGAGAGACTTATTTGGAACTAGCAGCCCAGCGACAGCTTTGTCCCCAGACTCTACTCCAAGCAAATCGTCCACCTCGAATAGTGTACTGAGCAAAGAGTTACCTGGATCAGGCGAGACTGAAAAAGTCACTTCTTTTGATCTCGACAAAGTTACTAGTGACCAGACGGCTGGAATGGTAGAGACTATAAGCACCGCAAAGACTGTCGGCACAGTAAAGACGGATTCGACGCCAAAACCCACGACGAGCGCTGTTCCTGAGGCTAACGCTCAAATCTCGAACATACTAGAAAATGAAGATACGAATACTGCCCTAAACCAAGAGAATAAAGGATTGTCCAAGCTCCCTAAAGAGACCGAGAAAGGTATAAACCATGAAGTAGAAGACGCCCCTAATAGCCTCAGCCTGGACCCGTACGAATCAGGCTTCAATCTTCTCAACCAAAGAATGGCAGAATATTGCGCTCAGAATCCTACACCTGACTGTACAAAGCAAGAACATTCAGTCAAGATTCCTCAACCAGCAGAGGATGCCACCGATACCATCACAGTAAACCCAGAGCTTTTTATACCTCAAAAACGGAAATCAACGAGTCCGCCACCGAGCGACCGTAAGGCCAAGGTCCCACGTACCGAGTTTGTCGTTCCTGAAGCTAAGATGACGGCTTCACCTTCGCCTATGAGAACAAGCACAAAGGTTTCATCTTCCAGTGGATCTACCAAACAAATCGAGGAGCATTCAGATACCGCCGAGGATTCAAAGGAGATTTTGTCTATCCGTAAAATGCTTAGCAGCGTCAATGAATTACTGAGAACTACCAAGAAGGAAGCTGTTAAAAGCGAACTCAATATCGTGTTGTCTGCTACGAGTAGACATCTTGAAGTCGACATCAATAGTATACTCAAGAAACACGGTATCCTCATAAGAAAACAAAAGAAGCTCGTCTTGTAGAGGGAAACCAGTCAGTTAACGGAGCCGTAGCGGTACTTTACCAGTGGATTTTTATTTGAAATTGCTTCACAGCCCGCGAGTACCACGAGAACATGGGAGGTGGTGTAGGAAGTCATAGTCAGCATTGGATTTGTTTTTATGTTTAAGAATGAGCTTTAATTTTTATGGTAGTATTTTCTGCAGGGAGGAGTGCTTATTTATAAGGGATGCGGATTGAATTATTGCATGCTACTCTAATCAGGAATGGAATTGCTTGCGTAGCCATTTTCTGTTCGCGACAGGGACGGGATATCAAAAAAGCGTTGACAATTTTCTTGCGGCGGTCATGGAATGGAAAATGGCGTGGTTTTATAGCTTGAGGGGATGCTGATTAGTAGGGTAGTTGCAATGGAATTGTGATATTTGACGATTGATTGATGCTATTTAGTGAGCCTGGGTACTTGTGTGAATGTTTATGTTGGAGAGCAAAACTTAATAAACTGGTGTTACGTCAGACATTTATGTTCCTATACTTCGCCTTGGGCCGTATTTTTAGTTACATTGTACAGATGCCATACACAGTTGTCATATCTTTATTACAAGACTCAGATAAAACAACTCATATTTCCCGCATCCCCCCTCGTGGAGGACAAAATAAGCGTCAGTCACCTGCCCACTAATCTTGAGACTGAATAAGGCGACTTTGAATAGAGCTCAAAAGCCTCATTTACTCAAAATGATTGACGAAATATGTGATAGTGTGCCAGGTCGATTGACGAAATATACGAGTTTTCGTCGATTGTTTTAAGGAAGTATCGTATTTCGACTGCCACTTATTTCGTCCTACGCGAGCCCCCCGAGAAACCGCAATTGTACCGTCTTGCAAACTACAATAAACTCTCGTGTTGGTATTTCAAATGTCAATTCCCCCGCCAACCGAATTGGCTTTCGATATCAATTTCAGTTATTGGATTTGCATATCATGAAACATATACCGTGTTGTAGCAAGGTCGTTCCACGTTGTTGGTGAGTTGCGCGGACCCTGAATATGTAAGGGCGTTGGGGGTGCGAGGAGGGTCCTTGTAAAATGCGGACGCTGGTTTGTTAGTCAGGGCAGGAGGGTGTGGGATGGGATGGTGTTTTGAGGGTGAGTGATTGACTTGTTGCCTTGAGATGGTTGTGAAAGAGCTAGATTAAATTATCGCTCATTGTATATTATATCAAATGATCAATATCACAGGCGCTTGAGAACGGAATCTGAAATTGCAAATGAGGGCCGAGAAATGATGAAGTCTGACCCCCAATAGTTTGGAAATAACCATGTGGTCCTACCCCACATGGAATTAACTTCATCGATAGCGGCGCTTCAGGAAACGAGCAATTCATTTACATCGTCGTAAAGAATATCAGTATATCCATTATGTAAAGTACCACTAACTTTTCGGATAAATGATATCAAAAAGTAATGGTTTCTGACCTCGAGACGTCGAGAGTAGTTGCTCACGTTTTGCGCGCATGTATCGTCTGATAATTGTTTTGGCAGCTCACAAAAGCCAAGGCTACGTCATTCCGGTTGCCATGGGAGTTGGGGTATTTACGCGTAAAGAAAGTTTGAGGGCCGAGCCGCTGACATTTCCTCGCGGATTCTTGGGTCCTGGGCCTGTCCGTCACGAACTGCAACGCAACGCAACTCCTTTCGGACGCAGTGCCACCCACCTCCCCCCTCCCAAGCAAATTATGTGCTGGCTGTGTGAATAAGAGTGGTGGGAACCTGCACATCTGCGGTGGTATCTTGCCTTCTTGCCCTCTCGAGTCTCGGGTCCAGAGGGAAATGGTGCCTATTCGCTACAATGGGGAGCCTATTGACGTGTCCGGATGCAGAGTGTCGCAGCGGATTGGACGGTTATGGGGGGATTGGAGTCCATTTCGTGTTGTTTTGGTCCATTTTTGGGCATTGGGCAGGCGCGTCGACTGTGGTGCAATAAAGGACTCGACTGATTCCATAGAAAGATTGGTGACCCATAGGGTGCAGATGCCATTCTCTCCTGTCCTTTGCGCGCGTTTTCTGGAGTGATCTGGCTACCGAGTGATATTTTCTGTTGCGGCCGTTTCTGCGACAAGCTGAAGAACGGTCTGAGACGTAGAAGAGGCGTCGAATACTGCGGACTCGGAGACGCGGCCGTTCGTGCTATCGACGTGCATACAGAAGATTGGAAGAAGCTGGCGGACGTTTGGCGCTGTTTTGCCAATCAGACTAGCCAAAAATCAGAAAAGTGGGCCGAAAGTAAACAGAGTGCACAACCCTCGCAATTATTGACCACACCTAATCTCGACATCCATACCGCCCTCATTCAAAAAATTCTCTCGACGACTTCATTACATCCTGTGCTTGCTTCAACTTCTGTATAATAGGTGTCCGGCGTTTTGTCTGTTAATAGCACCTACGATCCCCAAACCACAGTTTGTTTACTCCAGATTCCCGATTGCTAATATCCGACAAGGTGTTCGTTCGCTGACTATTTTGACCACAGTTTTATGAGACGAATTTACGATACCTTTCACGACCATCCGAGATACATCAATTGATCATAACGACCTGTTCGAACACACGTTGGACAGAGGCAGTGATACACCAACCACTTGCGCTGCAGACAAGCAAACTTTCTGGTCTTGAGACCACAAAACCACCATGAACGCACCCCCTCCACCGCCTCCTCATGGCGAGGCCCCAAAATCCTCTGGGCTTCCGCCAGGAAAATACGACATTTTCATAATACCTCCACACGCCTCAGGCTCTGGATTCTTATATCTACCGTCAATGAAGCCAAATACCAACAGCTTCGCCGCTGGCTTTGCGTCCGCACTCATATTGGTCGTCATAGGCTCTGCGTTGGCACCGGCAGTCAAGGCTTGGTGGGATAGCGTTAAAGGATCTGGAGGCATGGGGATGATTCTCCTTATTCTAGCTGTTGGCGTGGGTGCCTGGGCATTGGGGAGAACACAAACTGAAGGGGGCCCCGGACCAGGTGGTGGCCCAAGTGCAAGTGGGGAGTCACCGAATGCAGATGGAGGTCCACAATCCAATGCTCATTCAAATACGCAGAATGGGTATGCCGCTGGTGGTGCCCCTCCGCCACCTCCAAGATCAGGTCCACAAGCGGGTGCTGGAAATACTGGTGGGCAACGACCAACGGGTGGCTGGCAACGAGGGGGACCAACTCCCGGAGCCACCAATGCCAACGGCCACACTCCAGGAGCAGAAGGTGCAGCTAAGGGTGCATGGGAAAGAGCGAGAGAAGATACCAAGCGCAAGGAGGAGGAAAGAAAGGCTCGGGAGGCAGCACAGAAACGAAAAGAAGAATTGGAAAAGAAATTACGAGAAGCACGAGAAAAGGAGGCACGCGAACGAGATGCTCGGGAGCGGCGACAGAAAGAAGAGGAGGCGCGAGCCAAAGCAAAAATTCAGGCCGAGGTAGAAAAGGAACTAGAAAAGGAACGGGAGAGGGAAAGGGAAAGGCAGCGGCTACGAGAAGAGGCTGAACGAGTCAAGCTCCAAGAAAAACTGGAGAGAGAGAAAGAGGAAGAGAAACAGAGACAACGGGAGAAAGAAAAGGCTGAAGAGCAGGAAAGAGAGAAGGCTAAAGACCTGCAGCGACAAAAGGATTTGGAGAAAGCCAAGCTTTGGGAGAAGCGGAAAGAAGAAACCAAACGATTGCAGGCTGAGAGAGAGAGGCTGAGAAAGGAAAAGGCGGAGAAGGAGAAGGTAGAAGGTGTAACTCCGAGGGGAAGCAGTTACGCATTTTCTGCAGTGGGGGAGAAGACCAACCCTTGGCCCAAGGGAAGGCCGCCATCCCCCACAGCAAATCGCTCACAACCTCCCTCGCCAACGAAACGACCTCCACCGCCAACGGCAAAGACATATCGTGGAACCGAAGACGATGCCTACTCATTTCGACCTTATGACAAACCCAAGAGACCCATGCACGCGAAGGCGCCCTCATCTGTCTACTCCGAATCCTCATACGCCGCCTCCCAATCCACATCACGAACGACTCCTCCTCCATCCCATCGAGGTCCATACACGACCAAGGATCCTAACAAAATCGTCATCAAAGCAGTGTACTCATTTAACAACGCATTTCAGAAAACTCCCACTTCCCAATTGGTGTCCGGCGTCGGCACCGTTACTGACGGTTTGATATTAAGAATCACAACAGAAGGTCTCTTCATCGATGACGACGTCCGTGACGTCCCACAACGAGAATGGGACGTCAAAGCATGGACAATGAAACTCGTAGAGGTATGGTGCCCCTCTTTCCGCCAGGGCCCCGCTGGCAATTCTGCTTCTGCTCGCGTTGCTTCCAGTCCGTCACCTCATAAGTATAATCCCGTCCGTCGATTGTGGGGTATGGACAGAGACAAATCTGCCACCCCAGAAGAGACCGACGCGCTGCTCGTCGAAATGCTCCAACTCTGCAGCAACAACTGTCGTTCTCGCTCTTCTTCTATATATTCCGCTAGCTCTGTCGCAAGTTCTGTTGATGATCGCTCTTCCGTTTCTGATTCCGCCTACGGCGGCTCTTCCATTGGCTCGTCTCCTGCTGCTGAACATAAGAACAAGAGAACTGACAAAAATGGTGTCTTCTACCAGACGGGAGAACTGAAAGCCGCGAAACTCCACGTCCTGCGCGCGAGCATCCGGGACCAGGAGGGCAAGAAATACGTCTTCGTCATTGACGACACGGAGAGTTGGAAAGTCGCTCTTGGATTGCAGCGGCTGAGGAAGGGGTCGCAGGTTAGGGCGCTGGGTGTCAGTGGGATGAGTACTGCTGATGCGAGAGGGACGCTGGATCACTTAGGTTGGGGATGAGTCTTTATACCCGATATTTTTGAAGGATATGCATTATGATGGACGGATAGATGTATGGAGATGTTGATGTTATAAGCCTGATGGAATGTAGGCCATTTGTGTGGAATGTTGCTCAAGCATCCACTTGGATTGATTGTTGTCGACGAAATAAGCGAGCAAGCGAGCGAGCAAGCGATTGTACAGCGACGCATCTGCATCAGCGACGGAGTTGAATGTTATACCTTTTGATAAATTCAAGTCATGTCTGGTTTTGTGGTTCTGGAAGAGAGATAGGTAGTTCTGTTCAATACAAGAATAAAATAATTTACGTACTACCAACGGGCGGCGTGGAGCTCGATGTGCAAAACTCTGGTCTCAAATCGACATAACTTGACTTCTAAGAATCCCAGTCGTTGAAATGAACTCCCTTCCACAAGCGAGCTTAACTCAAGTTCTTCAAACAAGATTTTTAAGAAGAAAAATCATCAGATATGTATCTGATTTGATATTGGTATTACTTGTAGTACCCAGCCTAAATGGTATAAGTACTCTTTAATATGAATTCATAACCTCGTAGAACATATTCATCATCCATTTTCCAGCAAATCAAGTACCGCGGCCCGCATGCCGCGTCTCCATTGTCCCTCAACAAGAACCTCCATTTTACACCCATCCAGTCCTCTCGCAGCTCGCTTTGTAGATGGGTTGAAGGCTGATTATCCAAGAATCCAGCCTGCAGAAACGTAAATGTTCCAATCTGCTTCTTCAGGATTCGCGTCCGCTAGGAGTTGGCCAAAAGGTTTGGAAGCATCTCGACAAGTGAGAAGGATGTTGTAGACTCCACCTCTGACAGTTCATATTGCGCATACGTCCAACGTGACCTAACCAAGCGTCCACACGGGTGCCTTGCCCAAAACTTGTCTTCCTTTGACTTCCACCCCTATGAAGCCAGCGAACCGTACCCTTTGTGACCCATCATCGCTAGATTTACTCTTCGCATCTCCTGGGCCCTGACCCTCCATTCCGGCTTGCGGATTTGCACTCGTTTTTTTGCCAGTGGTATTCGAACCACCCATGATTGTCTGCAGCATTCCGGCTGGTTTGGCAGGTTTATCTTTATGAAGCTTGTTAGACTTTTCATTCTCTTTCTGAACGTCATCCTTATCCCCACTGCCGGTGCTGGAACCGTCGATTTCATCACAATCAGCGCCTGGGTTTTCCAGTGGTGGGATGCCAGTCTCCACCTTCATGATGAATGGCTGCAGCTGGTCGCCTGGCATAGGATATATTATGGCAATATCACGACTCTCTAACGGCAGATTCGAAGCTATGCTGACCGCTAATTCAACAATCATATGCGCACTATCTTCAATCCCAGGGGGCATTGGATCTTGAAGGTAGTTTATCAGTTCGGCCGTCAAATTCGTTGTGGCAGCTCGCGAGAAGTCTCTTCGATGCTCTTCGCTTTCAGGCGAATTCAAGACGTCTCTTAGACCTTCCAAGGTGGCCAACCTCCATTGCACAACCTTAGCTGTTAAAGCATCCGACTCCTCCTGGTTATTAAGAATGGGCGAAAATCGGCGGATATTTTGTTCCACAGTTTTCAGACTAGAACTCAAACCTGTCTCCAGACCAGGATGGAAAGTCTTGCTGAAAATTTGCTCGACGAGAAATTTTGCAATGCATGCTCGACCCACCGCAGTCATTTCCTGTTTGCCTATCTTTAATGCATCTTGGTTGACAGACTGCGCCAGCCATGACGGCACACTCCTCCAATCTTTACGAATGTTAAAAGCCAAATTTGTTGTGGCACCATCTAATCGTTGAAATCTTGTCATATATTCGCTGTCATCGAGGGATGTCCGCGATTGTGAAAGCCTTTGATTTGCTAAGGTATTTTGGAGCTGTTCGACCTGAGCCGTCTTGTCGAAATACAAGCCCTTGACTTTCTTGTACTTGATTTCTAGGGTGACTATTAATATTATGATCAACCTGAGTTGTGCGAATACATACGTAATTCCTTATAAGCTTCAGCGACATCTTGACCCGGCGGTTGTGGTGGCGGGGTGCTTCGTCCCTGCTCTCCTCCACCAGTGTTACCATATTGATCCCGTTGGGGAGGACCTCCTCTATAGTTGGGTCCCTGGCCTTGCGTTCCAACTGCTGAAGGTAGTGGGCTTAACCCAGGAGGTGGGGGTTGATTGCCTGGAAATGTCGACCCTCTGGAATAGCCTGGGGGATTCGAGCCACCCTCTCTTGACTCTGGTTGTCCTGGGTTCATTCCTTGCAGGCTCTTCGAATCCGTATTTGACCTGCGATTCTGCTGCGAGGACCCAGCAGGTGGACCCATCGGACCGGCGACCTGGGAGAGCGGACGAGGAGCTTGAAGGGAGCCCTGAATGGACGTTGTACGATCGGGGTACTGAGAGCGATTGTTGAAGCTTGTGGGCGATTGTCCGTTCGACTGGACAGAGGCCGGACGCTGCTGCTCCTGTACCTGCTCTATCGGGGAATCGTGTGAGAGCTGAGACACAGTCTCGGGATTTGGTTGACGATAAGGGTCGTTTGAAAAGTTAAAGCCCGGCTGCAAGTTGTAGCTCTGCTGAGGAGGAGTCTGATTTTGTAGCTCGTATTGGCCCTGAGCTCCGGACTCGGGATGGTGATGATAGCTAACGTGAGGCGAGTGCGGAGGAGGGGCAGGAGCAAATTGGGAATGGTCGTCTTCGCTCTGAGTAAACACAGCTGGGTCTTGTTCATTAAGCACCGCTCGAATCGTCTGGTGCTGGCCTATCTCTTGCGGAGAGTGTTGGGGGTGTGCCTGGTCAGATTCCTGAATCTGGAACGGATCTATGTCGCTGCTGTGCTCTGAGCTCTCCTGCGGCGATGGTAATTGGGACCTTGACTGGCGCGCAGAGTGAAGGCTTCTGTCCTCCAGTGGACTGGTCTGTTGCTGCTGCTGCTGGACCGTACGAATGGCCGGAGGGTTCTCTTGGCGCTTCGACAGTCTGCGGGACAGACCAGAGTTGTTGGTATATGAGGTCGGGGGAGACTTGAGCTCTTGGGACAGCCGGTTATCTCGACCGGCTCGCATACGATCAAATATTGATTTGCTCTTCTTCTGCTGGTGTTCTGCGGGGGGAGGTGCGGGGGCGGAGACGCGCGATGACTGAGGTTGTTGCTGGAGGTGCTGCGGCTGAGGGTAGATCTGCTGGTGCTGCTGTTGACTATGGAGGTATTGCTGGTGTTGGTCGATCAGGAGGTTATCGACAGAGCCGCCGAATTGGGACTGGAGACCCTGGCCGTGGTTGTGGTTTTGGTGCTGGTGCTGGCTTTGTTGCTGATGCTGGGGGGGATAGCCACCTGATGAATAGCGCGTGGATTGCGACCTCGCAGGAGGGCCGGCAGAATGTTGGAAGGATCGAGGATCGGGGGACTCAGCGAGCGTCGAGGGAGCTTGAGGATAGGGCTGCTGGTCGTCTTGAGGGGGAGGAGGGAGGGGGTGGTGGTGATGTTGGAGATGGTGTTCCTGGCCAGGCGGTGGTGGTAGCGGTGGCCCTTGGTGATGGTCGTCGCGGTCGGCGGAAGCGAAACTGTTTGGATTTGGGGAAACCGCTGCACCTTCGCTGGCACTGGCACTCACGCCGGCACTCGAAGGATTGGGCTGGCCCTGGCTGCTTGGATGCGACGACTGATCGTTCAACGCCTGCTTGGACCGATTACTGTGCTTGTGGATTCCGAAGGGCATTGCTCACGATATAGCAGAGGGATGCTGCTGGATGCTGCTGGCTATGCAGAAGCAGAGGGGCCTCTCGAGCGTGGAGCTGGAGCTGGTGGTCTGCCGCATCAATCGAGCACGCAGGGAGTGGCAGCGCAACAGCTCCCAGGACCGCCCGGAAAGCAACGCAAAGCAGAGCAAGCGCAATCACAATCACCACCACCACAGCAGCAGCAGCGAGTAAGGACGCAACGGAGATGGTGTTTGAAACAATGAAACAAGATTGTTTCTTGGGCTTAGCAGCGCGGCGATGCGACGAGGAGAGCTGCTGCTGCCAGTTGGCGTGTCTCGCGTAAGGAAGGGAGCTTCGGACCAGGAGTCAAACGGATATTATTAGAGTCGAAGATCGGTGGACGAGAATTGACTGGCGGATGGGCTCAGATTGGTTCGTGGATGAGGAGAACAAAGATGCGAACAGGCTCAGAATTGGGGCTGAGTCGAGATCTGCCGCTCGTCAATCTCTCCAGACTGGGTTCGCGCTGCGTTGGGGTCTCAGGAGAAGATAATGGCCGGATCGGGGATGTTGGAAGAACACTCGCTTCTGCCAGGGGGAGCGCAAAGGGAGCAAAGGGAGCAAAGGGAAGAGGGATGGCGATGGCATCAAACATTAGACAATGCTATGTCATGATCGCGCCAAGAGAGGTCAAAATTCATGGCATAATTACATAGCTACATTACATAGCTCAAAGCCATCCATCCATCCCATACATACCTCGCTGTCACCTATCAATTACCCCACTAGCAGATCTCTTTAGATAGCGGACGAACCGCCTCATGTCATCGCTTAGCTCAATTCGAGAACCGTTGGAGCTTTCCCCAGATATCAGCTTGAACCCATTCTTACTCGTCAATGGTTCTAATAGAGACTTTCTTAGCTAAGGGCCCTGTTGAGCTTAATGTCAGCAAACCCGGACTAACTGCATGAATAGCTTACCATAGAACCATTTCCAAAGACAGTGAACGTCGGCATGGCATCCTCCTGTCCCTTCCTGCCACCGCCTTCTCGGGACAGCTGCGTACTCGGCCATGAGTTGCTAAAACTGACTCCGTAGCTCGTATCAGCGATCTTTGCGCCATCAATGGAAAGCAATATGAGCCGGCAGAGGAAGCCAATTGCGAGCCATTGTGTTACCTGAGAAAATATTATGATCCGGCTGTCGACATTGAAGCTTTGCCCCTCTAGTAAGCGAGGACTGGCTATAAATAGCTTTATGCTTCAATTGTGTGGAGGTCGAGGGGGAGCTTCCCGTGACTGACGATCTTTGCTGGAATGAACAACATTGCGCCCCAATTCTCACAACTCAACAACAATTGAAGCTTGAATCTTGTATACAATGTAGTATTACACCCCACCATGGGGGCTATCAATACCAAAAAACTTGCTCTATCAAAATGTGCAGAGTCGTTCTTCCCAGTTTTCCATCATATTCAATAATCAGACCTCCATCACGTTGGCCCCAGCCTCATTGCAGAGTTACAATCATGCAGCTCTATCCCGACGACTTGATGGCACTCTAGCCAAAGAAGTACCGGTCCCGACAAATTGTACGAGTTAATCTATTGATCCTTCAGGAAGGATTCTCTCATGCAAAACTTTCAAGACATTCGGAAGACGGTGCCGATAGGAGGAAAGGGCTTGTGTTAGAACGTACGTTTGAACTAGTGCTTCACCAGCTCAATAACTGAATTATATCCAATCAATGACCCGTATTGGTCGACAGGTCTATGAGAGTACAACCCGTGAGTGACTGAGGTGTCTAGAAGATGCAATGCAAAGTCAATTGCTGACCGCGGGAACGGACCGAGGAAAAGGTGATCTGACTGCCAGTCGCTCATGGTTTTTCAGCGGTCGCAGCGTATGTATACCTGGGTATCTCATTGATTTTCATTTACCAATTGATAGTTGGGGTCCTTGGTTATACGAGACTGGGTCTTTGTCCAACGTCGAACTGGCAACTTACGTCTTGCTTGGAAATGAAAGGTCTCTGTGCTACCAAATATGCCATACATTGAGGTTGCACTCATACCACAACCTTGGTAAACAAGTATGGATGGTGGAAATTGAAGCTTGTGAGAAGTCGTGGTTTGGCTGCATGATTTTCTCACATGCGTACACAGCCCTCTGTGCGGGTCTTTCCCGTCGAAGGATTCAACTGACATACGACTATCCGAGCAATCGTCTTGGTAGATTGTGTTTCATGTAATTGTACATGAAGTCTATTGGGACGATCAAGTTGAACACTGGAGATGCCTCACCGATTAGCTGCGCGTTCTTGGTAGTCGAAGAGGTTTTGCAAGGAGCTTCAGTTTTTTCCCATAGTGGGACAATCAAACTGCTATCTCACTGCCTCGAAATTAAGTGGCTATACTTTTGAGAGTCACACGACATCTGTAACAGGATATTCTGAAAGGGACGGTTAAATGATTTTCATTGTTGCTCTGCGTACAGAGATCCATCAATTATCTTGCTCGAGAGCTACGGTGGGCCTCTCCGCAGTTTCTCACCTCAGAGGTGTCTGCTCACTTATCTTCCCCATTTCGGTGTACGAAAGCTGCTGTCTGGGTGTCTAGACAGGTATGTACGGCTGTGCTTCTTGAATTGATCATTCGTAGGTTCAGGCGCAAGATTTCCAACCAGGCAACCTGCAATCAATAATATCCTGAGTATCATCAACACGGACCAGCCAGGTAAGTCGCAGTTGATCAACATCCCAATACTCTCTGATTCTCTCTCTACCCTTGCAATTAAAGGAAAGACTTCGGCGTAATGTCGCGAGGAAATTACTTTCAACCGGGCAACTTGACGGAGTATCAGCAGGCGCGATCTAGCAACTATGGACAGTAACGGTTTGTGGAAGTTTGGGAAGTTTACCATCAACGTGAATGTTCTCAGAGATCTCTTTACTCTATCTTCATCGTCTCAGCCGTTTGTTGACAAAAGAGTTCTCTGAAAGCTCAATCACGTCAAGTCCTCGCTTCCTCTCTCCAGCCAAAACACTCACAAAGCAGCCATCAGGTTGCGTCTCTCTAATTTTGATAGTTCTCAATCTCGCTGCCATATTAAGACGATCCTATTTCTTGAAATCAAATTCATGATGATCATGGGCTCCTCTCGAGTTCTTGCCGCTTTGATTACCGTCGCTCTTACAATTGCCGCCACTACGCGTGATAGCAAATCTTTCGAGGACCACATCGGGACTTCAGCAACCATAGACCACAAGAATTTCTTAATATCAGAGGTATCTGCGTCCTCCCAAGCAGTCCCGAGAAGTACCAAAGTCAAGCGAACATTCAAGTGTAAATAAGATGGACCAAATTATGCTCGCGTATTACACTGACATTATCAGTCAAGTTCTTCGACCACAACTCCGAGACCTATACCCACTGCGCCCAAACATGGGAAGACGAGGTCGACATTGCCAGCGGTGTTCTCATAGCCAATCCCCCTTCATCTTATATTCTTTGCCCTAATTCTGCTGGTACTGCTGTGGACAACTCCTTCCGTATGCGCTTCTCGGCTTCTTATACTACATTTGGCAACTTTACACTCAATCTAGCTCACTCGGTTCGAGATGACATGTTGGTTATCCAAGACAATTCTGAGAAAGATAACTGACGCAAGTTATAGCAACTTCACACCTCCATATGATATTCTCACATATTTTGCCATCGATTGCAACCTAGCTCTTGACTGCGTACTCCCTACCCACGAGAATACTTCAACAGATTGTCACTTAGCTGGTAATGCAACATCTGTCGTGGCTACCGTGAATGGAATATCTGCTTAAGATGGATACATGGATTCGAATGACGGATCCAAGATAGTCACCTCAGCCAGTCAAGGGTTTTGACAGAATACATGATAAGCAATTTGGAGGTACCAGACTTGCAGAGCTCATGGATTAGGGGAACAGTTATTTGCAAAGAGTTTCCTAGAAAATCCTTTTAGCGACCCACTCATATGCGTCTACAGATCTTCTTCTTGACTCATAAAGCATCATCATGTCATATTGTCCAACTGCAGGCAATCTCGCGTCCAAAAACACAACGAGCTTTTCCGGCGCCGGCGAGATGACCGGTCAGGTTGCCGAGTGCCAACAGGTCGCTCTCCGCTGCATGACTTGGCTCCCAGTTAGTTTTCTTAACATCAAAATCAGTAATTCAGGTAGACGCGCTGCCCAGGAGTAGAGTGAAAGGAGTTCATATCAGACAACGGCCTTGACTAAAAGTTATAGCAGGTTACCTAGTACTGTTTGATCTTGAAGGCGCTCGTTCTTGAGACTTGAGGTTATCCATCGCTGACCTGACTTTTCATTGTCTGATGACATAGAGCTCGACGTCTCGCTTCGGCCCACTCCAAGTTTACCCCTCATCGAATTCACTTTACCCCTCACCGAATTCACTTCAAGATATAATATCCCTTCCGCATTTGGTCCATTTAAAAACGATGTTGGGATGACAACCGGGAAGTGACTCCTCGTGAAGTTTGAGGTTGATTCCCGAAGAGGCAGCAGTAGGCTACCACAGCGCCAACGTTAGTTTTGGGAATTCACTAGCCGATACAGTCATCGTTCCAAAAAGCGCCCGAACAACATAGCGAATTGTTTTACTTGATTCAAGAGTAGAACTCGGTTTCATTGTCGCGCAGCGCGCGCGTTCTCACGTGACTTGGAGAGTATCTTTGCCAAGACTCACCAATTCCATTGCCTCGGGCTACCTAGGTAAACCTGGAAGCGCCACACGACATGTTCAACGGCATAGCCACACATTCGCCACCGTTCAAGTACGACTTCACATTACGAGGCTCTTTCAGCGGCATCTATTCACCCGCAAACAATGCAATTCCAGGGCTTGTTAAGCTCTCGTTATATTTCAATGTCTCACTTCTACACAAATTCTCGGTGAACCGAACTAACCCCGTCGCATGGTCCATAGCCCCGAATGTGTGGCGCGGTCGTTTTCTCGCGTGCTTTTCGTGAGTCACTCCATCGACGACGATATCGGCCTATCACACCATTAGGAATCGAAACATTGGTCTGCCAGTCCGATCGAGTCACTGGCTCGTGACATTGAAAATGTCCCAGGCAATAATGACTCGACGACTTTTCTCACTTATGCCCTGCTATAAAGCATTTCTCATCCCTTTGTGACTTTTCTATTCCGTTCTGCATCGCAGCCCTCCTCATACTCAACCCTGTAGGTTACTACCTATTACATTACTACTTATAACACATTACATCTGAGCTTTGCAACAACTCGCAATCATGGTGTTAATGAATTCGAGTACTTTGGCTCCCTCCCATCGTCAAAATCGCCGTCGAGAACGTCCAGGTTCTCGCACTCGACGGACCGTCAATCGCAAAGCAAATATCAAATCGGATTTCACAGAAGGATATCTCGATGCTTACGACCCTTCAGTGTCTCTTCCATCCGACCGAGCTCGCCCTTCTCCTATGTTGAGAGAAAGCGTTCATCAGACATGGCAACGTTGGAAGGAACGCGAGGCTGAAGAGCAGGCAATTGCGGAGATGGACAAGATACAGGCTTTGGAGAGGGAGCTTACATTATACGGTGGATGTCCTGACGACGACGTGAGTCTCTGTCCCGCTATGCTGGATGTTGTGATGAGTTTGTTCGGGGACATCGATTATATCGATCCTTGACAATCACAACCCACACCTCATCCCTCCATTTCCTAGGTGTTGGCGTCGGGCGTTAGGTCAGGCAGAATATATGTATGCTTACGCATCCTTCTCGCCAGGAGTTATATCGTTTGGGGATCTTACATGATGATACTTCATCGAATCACAATCTCGAAGTCTCACAACAATCTCCACTCTTCACAATTCGTACTCGCAAGAGACGGGCTCCAAAACGACAACGCTCCATTTGGGTTTCTTTACCATTACATCTTTCTCTCTCGAGTCTGAGTGAAGATAACCAAATCAAGAAACTTATTTCAACCAACACGACACCGATAAAAACGATTCAACATCGTCGCCCAGTTCCACAAATTCACATTTCTATTGATCCCCCACAGTCACTACCGGTAGCTACACCGGCGTTAGGGGAATCAAATACAACATCAGCCATCATTTCACCACGACCACAATCATACCAAGACTGGGAAATCATCAACTCATCATCACAACCATCGACGCCTTCAACCGACGGGTTATCGGAACCAGAAACTTGGATTCTCCTAAGCGACGACTCGTAGCAAACCCCTTTTCCAAACATCACCGAGGACAACTCTGTTGACCGCCACCTCTCATTCTCAAAAGAATGACGGTGTGCGATGAGGAGCAGTGATTCGAGAGGGGGTTGGTCCTCTTATACTTGGGCCTTGGATCTGGTTCGGGTGAGAAAAATAAAAAAATATGAGGGAGGAAAGAGAGGGAGGAAAGACAGTTTGGGTGCTCGCATCGTCGAGATGAAAGGATGTTTGAGCTCACTGTCACGGCAATGAAGTGAAGTACGGAGAAGAAGGAGGATATCCTCGGAGTGCGCCGGTGCTAGTGGGATGGGATGATGTTATTCGCACAGTGCGAGATTTTAGATACCCCAAATTACACTTCTTCCAGGCTACCACATCTCAATAATTTTTGTTTCTCTCCATGTGATAATTGCTTGCTGGCCCGTGGGGATTAGCTGGTGGGATTTACAAAAGCTTTCTCGCGCTGCATCAATGTTGCTAAGTGATCAGTTAATTCTTTCCACACCGAATATTGAGTTACTCCGTAAAACTCAGTGAAAGGTTAGCCAGTTGACCACCATCAAACTTTGAATGAACATTATGTGAGAAAATAGTGCTTAATGTAATGAGTAGTAAATGATAAAACGATAAAATAAACTGCACCATGGAAATATTGCGATTTTCTCTAGACATACTACCAATAATATCACCACATCTACAAATCCTAAACATGAAATCAAGAAAACTATCCATGTTTACTTAATAGACTCTGTTATACAATTTGTTAATCTTCATTGCCTACGCAATCATAGATCATGAATTCACAAATGTATGTGCTTTGCAGTACAGCCCTGTAGGTTTTCTTTGTAGAATATATGTATTTTGGCAAATATTACACTCTTTACACGTTTAACAACCAGCTAGATTCTAAGAAGCTTTGTACACCAAAACCCTAGAAGTTTTGTAGTCACAAATGTTACATGTTCCGGCACACAATTTTTTGCGCACCCAAGAACTCCGAAATCAGATAAATCAGCACTACGGCTAAATATCGTATTTCTGTTGACATAGGCTTATTCTTGAGGCACAGAACCACGATTCGGTCAAGAAATCGGAAAATTTAGATATTGTTTGGTTGTTAAAATCTTAGTTGTAGTTTCTGGCTGCGCAAGGAGAGGGAGTTGTAACTCTAGGCGAATCTTCGGTCGATTCTGTCCATTAACTTATTGTTGATAAGGTCAAATAAGCAAAAATGCTCAATCAACCAGGCACTTTGGCGGAGTGGTTAACGCGATGCCCTGCTATTGTCGCAAGATGAAGCTAGATCAGGCATTTCCTTCGGGAGCAAGAGTTCGAATCTCTTAGGTGTCGTTTATTTTTGTCATTGTTTTTGTCACTTTACATATTCCAGGCTCTTTTTTTCCCCGAAGATTGCTTTGCTACGAGATGATATGTATGGTTCTTGTTCTGGTTTTCTTTTTGGATGGGAGAGGGGGGTGGAATTGTAGGATTGAGAACTAGCATTAGTCCATTTTTCCTTTTAGGACCTACATCTGCTGTCAGTGTAGTGTCCTGGTATCAAATTTCTTTTTTCGTGTTGCTATTTAAGGTAGGTACCTACTTGGGTACCTAATTTCTTAGTCAAATTTAAAACGCTAAAGTTAGTCCTGATGCTCATGAGCCTTTGCTCAATAAGTGAAGTGGTTTATGCCCATCGGATATGAAGAGAAAGATAAAAGAATAAGCAGGGCCTTAGGTAGAGTTTCGTGTACAGACCGTCAGCTCTGCAATAATGGCGACTCGACTCTTCCTTATCTCTGTTGAATTCTAATTTATGTACGTCTAGTATATATCAACTCTAGGTAGTTCTAATTGTATGTTTGGTCCATGTCGTCTATAACGATTCTCGGCTCTCGGTGTACTTCATCTCCAAGGCGATCCTGACGTCTTCTTCCGTGCTTGAACAGCATTGCTAGTATTTCCGGAGTTTTTGACGAAAATTGCATCTCAACTCTGCCGTCTGTGATTTTGATAATCGCTTTCTCGCTCTTGTGAGTCAGGCCACCCATTGGCCAATCTCGAACCTGGTTTCTCCCCAATCTCTTCCTTCCTCTTGTGAACTTCATCTTCTTTAAAATCCTTCTTCAATGGCCTTTATTTTCAAACATCCTCCTCCCAGCAACCATTCCCCCGACCCTCTGCTTGACGCTAATCAATCCCTTCAGGCCATCAAGCCCATCGCGTATCCTCCTGGCAACCACTGCCCGAACCGTAATCTCCTTTAGAGCGAAAAGAACGAATACGAATATGGCATAGGATAAGGCGCATAGTATGAATGTGATGAGTGCTGTGCGTATTTCGTTTTGCTTTTTTGAGCGAGGTGGTGATGAAGTTTCTTTTGAGAGGGTACGCGAGGTGAGCGAGGATTGGCTTGGAGAGGGCATCTTCAGTCCTGTGTGTTTGAAATGGGCAGTAGGGGCCTTTTGAATTACTGCTTAAAATATCTTCGAATGGAATAAATACAAGATATGTGCAAATGAGTGTGCCGGAAAATTCGTGCTATTGTAAGCGTAAATGAAAATGAACTGAAAGTTGTTGGACGGTGTATGAAATCTATAACTTCAACATGTCGGGAAGAACTCAAGAATGAAATTCAACTTTTCACAAGAATATGCAAAGGGCAAAGTAAAAATTTCCAAGAATTCCTGAAAATAAATCAGCCTAAACACTTCCTTTTGAACTCACACAGACAACCCCTCAACGTGTCACCACGTCCCAAAAAAGAAGGACCCCTTATCTTCCCCCAGGAGCAGATCATCCAAAAAATCCCAGCAAACATGCACCTTCCCGCCCCTTCTCTAAAACCGGCGTCAGAAATCCCACAGCCAGCACCACGATGGACGGGATTGGGCGCTGTTTTTGAAACGACGTGTGTTCTGTTGCGGTTCCTTGTCTCATCCGGAAATTCGTCGCTGGTCCGTCCGTCCTGAGGCCGCGTCAGGAAGTGGAACTTTGCGCAAGAGAATACGCTGTGCGAGAGACAGGTACGAGCGTTCCAATTGACAGCCTGACAGGTCGCGTGTTTTGCTGGGGTACAGGTGCTCACTCAATTACCGATTTAAAGAATCGACTTCGAGCAAATTTTATGTACACCAACTTCTACGAGTGCTTCGAGTGCTGGGCATTCCCCCACTTCCTTCTTGACGGATCGTGGAAGTTGAGAAGTTGGAAGTTGGAAGTTGGAAGTGCCATCCCGAGACGAAAGTCGCTTGAGATGTGGGGTAGTACTGGACCCTGGAAAAGGGGGTCCAGTGGAGAAGAACGACGATTCATTTACTCAATCAGCGAGAAACAACATCAAATGATGACCTACAAGTTCCAAGGTTACCACCATAGTTTGAATGACTTAGACCATTGCGAGTCTTGCTTGTCTGGTAAAATGTGTCGAGGTAAACGTAACAAAATGGAAAGAGGAAAAGTGGGGCGCGCTACTACTGAGCGAGTATAAACCCCCCCTCGCTGAGGCCATCGTCACCTTCTAGGTTCCATTTCAGGTTTGTGTTATCGCAACTTGAATGAGCTTTCGAATTTATAGTATCATTGATCATTGATATAAGCTGATAGACAGACTGATGTCAAGTCATATGGCACGTAGAAGTAAGCACGTTATCAACATCCACCCGTCAATACCTGTAGACGAAGAACTTCCGGCGACTCACAATATTCTACAGTTGAGACGGTGGATTACCTTGAGTAGATATCTACCTAGGTATGTAGGTAGGTATCATTTCGTCTCTCGAACCCATCACTATAGCAAGTTAATAGCCTTCAATATGTGATATCGCTTAACTAGAAGAGCCTTCTGACAGTAAGCAACTGTACGCGGACCGACATTTGCAGACATTCTTAAGGTACCTAGGTATACTTCAAGGTATTCTTTTCTATGTCTCATAATTCCGAGCTGTGAAGGAATTTGAGAGCGAATATGACGGAAGAGACGCCCATGTACGCAAACTCCCGACCTACCTACCTAGGTACCTACCTAGGTATATCATGTTATTATTTTGTCTCTCAAATGGAATCGTGGCCAAGCTATTCTGCTGGGTACCTGAGCTGTTTACACATGCATCGTTCAGTCAAGCCATTTTCGCTTGCCTCTCTTTAAGTATGCATGGATTTCGGAGGAGAGCACTCTCTTTTCTCACTAGAATTATGGCTCAAATACAGATACGGTGCCCCTGTAGGTAGCTACCGTTATGACACCATTCACACCCCCTAAACTACTTACCTTATAGATATGTTTGCACAGAAGGTAGAGGTTTATTACCTTGCAGCCCCCTATGAAGCATTGTCACTACATTTATCAAGTAAAGTTTCTACATTTTGCTTTTGCTAACGTGTATTTCTGAACCAAGTTTTTCCGAAATATATCCTCGACATCAGTGTGATTCGGGGAGGAAGTTCATTTCTACGCAGATCACGCATTGCTTAAAGACGTGAAACATAAAAAAAATCCTACTGGAGGTACGTAGACTTTTACTTGTAGTTCTCAGCCATGGACTGGCTTGAGAACTCCCGGCATCGACATAACCTCTAGTACAGGCGCTATACTACAGGGTTTTTACAGTGCTGTATTTCCCCGCTCCAAACTTCAATTTCAAGCTCAACTTTTAGAGTTTTAGCCATAGCAAGCCAAGTCGTCGGTTTGATATAGCTCCCAGCTCTCAGTCACGAAGCTAATGATAACCTAGGTATAGGTATACTTCTTTGGGGGAAAATGTAACACCCACGATAGGAAAAAGAAGTACAGTGGAGGTGCAGTGTTCAAGCGTGTAATGTCCTCAATTTTTCACAACAGCATGACAATCAAGCTAAAAAATTGGTTATAAGCATCCTCATGCGCGGGCAAGGTTCTGACGGGTGTTTGTTTGCTTTGGGCAACCATCTGAGTACTCCATTTTTAGGTGCTCAAAATCTCGATGATAAGTATAGGTACCTAGGTAGGTAGGTAAATTGCAAACTTGCGAATGTTAAAACTTTTTGTAAAGGGCAGTAATAGAATGTAGAATGCATAACCAGATTTGGTAGAGCTTTATAAAAGATTGCGTATCTAGGTACATTAAAATTGTAACTGTATAGGCCAAACAGAAAGTCAAGACACAACAGCAGTCGCAAAATTCCGTGAGTGAATGAAAATAGGGCAAAAATGATTGCAAGTCTTCTAGTACACACCAAGTATGCGGGATATTTCAACGAGTATTCGTTCTCAGATGCGGGCGACACAAACCATTCGATTATGCGTCGTACCTTAGCTGCAAATGAAAATGGACAATCGGCGTATCTCTTTAGCCTTATCATGAAATCTTTATATATCCGCGTTAGTGTGTGATTTTGAAAGAGAAGATGTTGCATAACAGATAAAATAACACAAAAATACGACATATGGAGCACTAGTACCATAGTAAGACATCAGATGAGTACCTAGGTATTGTAACTTCGGAGTGCATCAGCACTTGAGCACCCTTTCCATTGATTTGGCAATGCACTACTCTATCCACATACCAAACCTTCCTTAGCAACCTCAACCTTCTCCCCCTTTCCAGCGGAAGTCTCGATTTCAACGTGACCTTTTGGGATCACGCTATCTTTCTTCTCTTTCTTCTCCTCCATCTCCAATTTTCTCTTGTCCTTCTTCCCCAAGGTCAACGCACCATTTGCGTATGCCTCTTTGGGCAATGGCCTAACATAAGGTTGCACGATCCACCAAGGCCTCTTGCAAGCTTTGACCGTCTCAACTGAGCTTTCATATCTCTCATCTACGATCTCGTCTGAGCCATTCTTAGTCTCGGATTGTGGTACGGCGTTAATACGTATGTCTCTTGCAAGCTCCTCTTCCCAGCTCTTCCCATCAGTCGCTTCGTACTCCTTGATACCTTCTTTACAAGCGACTTCTACCATTTGTAAAACGTTTTCGAAAGCTACGATATCTCCAGATCGGCACTTGGCAAGAGCATCCCGGACATTGTGATGTTTCGAGACTAGAGCACGGAGAAGATGAAAAAGGTGAGGTTGCATGGCGAGGAAATTTGGGTTTTGTGTCTTTTCCTTCTTTTCACCTTTTTGCTTCTTCTTGGGCGGCGCATCCCCACTATCCACATCCAGAACCCCCCTTTTCCTTTCATTCTCTTGCTTGGGCCCGGGTTCGACTTTCGGTATGATATCAGACTCAGGGTCAGAAGGAAGATAGAGTGGCTTTCTTTCCGGCCCGGGGACTTCAAGGACATATCTGTAGAGGATATCCATATATCGCCTAAACACAGCATCCATTCGGTAACCCCCTTTTCCATCTCTACCTCTCCAGTATTCCCTCCCTTCCTGCCCAATTGGTGGCGGAGTAGCAAATATAGCCGGATCATAAAGATTGCCCTCCGCACTCATTACACCGTCAACACCAGTTTCTCCGAGGCAGTGGTCAATGTCTTCTCTTCCCAAAATATTGCCATTGGCAAACATCACCACCTCTTTAGGAATTTGCTCTCTTAGCCACTTGATCATTTTCCAATCGGCCAAGCCGGTTTTGTGACCTTTCATTTCCCTTGTCCGGCCATGGATGGTAATGATGCTGGCCCCGGCACTAATAACGTTCTTCGCATACTCCAGAGTCTTTTCTCGCGTTTCTAGGATTCGAAGTTTTGCAGTGACAGGAACATCAAGTTCTTTATGTAATTTGTTGATTAAGTCATATATTAGTTGTTGATCTTCCTGTAGGAACGCTCCGTATTTCCCTTTTCGAGCGATCCCTTGCGGACATCCTAGATTCAAGTCCACCGCATCGCAGAACGGCGCAACATATTTCGCAGCATTCAGCAATTCATCTGGGTCATTGGCGCAGAACTGGACGAATAGAGGGCGGTCAATTGTGGGATTCCCATCCAGATAAAGGCCTGACTGAGATGATGACGAAGCGGTGGGTGGGGGTGAGGAGAGTGGTTCTCGGAGAGGTTGAAAGTGGTTATGTCTGAACTTTGGCGTATCGCTAAAAAGGCGTGCATGCAACATTGGTGTATATGCAAGAAGATCTTTAGAGGAGTCGCGTGGCATGAAGGATCGCGAAAGCATACGCCATGCCTGAAGATCATGTTAGCAACGGTCTGTCTATGATGTCGGAAAGTAATGTGTACAAATTCGGATTGATCGACCATGGGCGCGAGAATGAATTTAGGGCTACCGATACTGTTGTAGAACTCACGTCCATGCAGTTTTCGCTTGGGCTCCGCCATACTATTCCGTATATCTGCTCCCTGTTCCAAGCTGCCTGTAAGGGTGCCATTCGCCGCAGAGGGTGCTGTTAAGGTTGCCATTGGGGCAGCGTTGGCGGAAGACATTATAATGTCTTTAGATGTTGCAAAAAGGACTCCCCGGGTGCCAGCCCACAGCCTGGGGATTTGTATCGAGAACGCCAGATCAACTTTGGTTACGACGCTTGGGACAAGTCGGGTTGTGTTGTGTTGTTGTGTAGTTAAAAATTTTATTTTTCATTTCGAATCTAAATATTGCCGAGGCTGAGCACTAAGGCGAGGCTACCAAAGTTGCACACTTAAAAAGGTCCTCTAAAAATGATAACGAATACGCCGGACCTCTAAATTGCTTATATTATCAACATGGGCATTAACAAAGTTTCCAAATTTTGCTGAAAATAATATTATTGGTGGTATTGCCATGTTCCCGATTATTTCCCTCTTAAAAATGCTACATAATGTAAAGTTACGGATGAAGCTAATTTAAACCGAATCGCAGATTACCGAGCCATTTGTCTCTCATCACATGGCTAGGTGTGTTCTGTGGACAGTCCACATAGCAAGATGATAGTATCATTGATTACGCTGACTATGCCCTAGCTCCCGACGTACCCTCGAACATGTTGAACAACGCTTGAAATACATGTAGCAAGAACTGGTGTAAACCAGACTTGGTAAAATAGGAAATGAGAGCATAATCCGACTAAAATGCCTTTCTCCGTCCTCGGGCCGATAAAGAATCAAAACATGAAGTAATTTTAGGAAGGCCAGTATTGTTCTGTTCAAGTGCGAATGAATTCAGAATGCTATCTCCAGCAGTAGGTACTTCGTCAACCCCCCCAGGTTTTAAAAGAAGCTTTGCAGCAGTATATGTCACTTTCGCAACTTCTTGTAATGCGTGAATATTCCACTAGACGTGGGCTTCCTCCTGTATACGCTACGTGAAAAAGACTGCCGACGACGCCAGTCTATCGAAAAGATAATGTGTTGGACCAAATCGCTCATATGTGAAGTAACTCCGGTACACCGTATAATGCGACCTTAAAGAACGCCTCTGAATTCTGTGTTTGTGCATAGCAAATTTTAATGTGATTGCTTTACGCGAGGAGGATGGGGTGGGGAGTCGTGGGGTCCGAAATTTGGGCCATGGTTTTTCATTAGAAGAAATGTGTGTAAACTTTAGAACTTTCGTGCACTTCCATTTCCTGTATAATGAGTTAGTCATATAAAGTCAGTCATGCACGGTGAAACGTACCATCTTGAAAGTGTTTAGCTCCTCTTTGATCTGTTGGGCAAGCATGGGAGTCAAGCGGTTACAAGTAGCAATTTCTCCTCGACGATCATATTCCTGACTGGGCCAGGTGTCGTGAAAAACAATCCTTGGACTAAAAGTCGCACGTTGTTTTGCACCTTGAGGAGTGGTTGGGACGCTTTTGGAGTCCCCTCTGAATCGCAAGGCGGACATGAAGTAATCCTCCCCACCTAGGGTGACTGATCCCGTCCTTTTGTGGGCTTGCTGATCATCGTTTGGAGTTGAGGGCGCAGATGAGTTAGGGGTGTCACTCATATTGGGTATTTGTGGTAGTTGAAAATTGGGCGTCTTTTGGTCGAGTGGTCGAATCACAGGAGATGAGTTACCAGAGTCAGTTCCAGAGCCTAGTAGAAGTTAGCACAAGTCAAGTCACACTACGCTTCAGACTTACGCTTCAAGATGCCTTTCTTAACTGCCGCCAACACCTCTGCTCGCTCTCTTTCACCGCCAACAATGCTTCTTCTAGCGCCAGAGTTTTCGGTAGAAGAGCTTCCTAGTCGTTCAGGAGTCACACCAACATGACCCGCTTCAACGGAATTCCTTTCAAGACGAGGATAACCGGTGCCACCGCCAGCCTGGTCATGCGGATTAGCATTCACGTTGACTTTCTCTCGCTCAGCTTCAACAGTGACCATTGACACTTGTGCTTGGCTGGCTTGAGGTAGAGCTGAGTCTGCTGCAGGAACCCCGATAACAGACTTAGGTCGAAAAAGTCCGACTAGTGATCTTGTAGATTTCTTCATGCCCTTTCCCATCTTTCGTATCATCACAGACGCCGAAGAAGCGGTGGATGATATGGATAGATTATCCGTGGATCCTCCAAAGAAATTTCCCTGACCCGAATAAATTCCAGACCCAATGCCAGCAGCCTCCTGCTGCTCAGCAATTTTTGCTTGTTCTGCATCTTGATCCTCTTGGTATTTTTCTTTGCGAATCTTCGACCGGTCGGCGGCAGATAACCCATTGTTGGCTGCTGCACTATTCTGCGCCGAAGCCCTTCTTAATTCTGCTGCGCTACCAAATGAAAATGCTCTTCGTAATCGAGAAGTTTTACTTTTCTTTGCATCTTGATCGTTTAAAGCGGCCAAATGTTTAGCAGCAGGACTACCGGCATTTGCGACCTGCGCATATGTTTGCTTAGGAGGCTGCTGAAGGGCCGCGTTTACCGCCGATGCAAAGGAGTCTTTGGAGGCCGGGGCCGCAGACTCAGGGCTCATCGTCATCGGCTTCGACAAAGGAGATGGATTGGCAATTCGCTTTGCGGCATCGGAAGATGAAGCACGCGGTGGAATGTTTACAAGTTTAGGGAGGTCATGCTTGATTGTGGTGTGTTCAGCGGCCAAAGTGGATGTTGCAGTAATTGATGATGAGGCGGGGTTTGCAGATGCCATAGAGGCGCCGGCTTCTCGCTTGTTGGCCTAAAAAGCACCCACATGTTAGCGAGATGAGTCTATAATGCACCGATTATTGCAGGAAAGTGGGATAAATGGTGATCGTTCAATACGAGAGTTGAACGCCGGTAAATGAGGAAATCTTACGGAAGTTGGTCGTGAATGAGGACTGCCACGAGCGGAACCTACGCTGTCACTGCTACCTGTTCGTCCATGAGAAGAAGAGGGACGATGATTGACGATGGGTGAACTTCGTAAGGGATGCTGTTGTTGGTGATCAATCCTGCCATTGGCACTGCTGCTTTGTCTCGACCCCTGCTGCAGCAATCCTGCCGGGTTAAGAATTGGGGCACCTGAAGAATAGTCCCCTGCATCAATAGTGTGTATGCTTCGCCGACGATATCTTTTCGCTTGATCTTGAGAAATATGTCGATTGATCTGGGAGTCATCAACTGTTTTCAAACTTGGACTCAAGTCAAGGGTCTGAGAGGTAAATTGCGGCATCTGCAGGTTGAATTTCGGCGGAGATGTAGTAGCGGGTTTTTGTGTAGCAGCACTGTAGAATTGCATCACATTTGGAAGAGTCGAGGTTTGAGCGGTAGCGACAGTAGCATTATTGACTGACGAGGTGGTTGATGATTGCGAACGGCCATTGTTTGGCCTTCGATACCTGTCCGGAGCGGCTTTGCCTGGCGATGATTGAGGTGGAGGTGCTAAATTCACCCCATTGCCGGACAGAAGAGTTGAACTAGGCCTCGGATTGCCAGACGATGCTCGTGTAGAACCGCCAATTGATGAGTCGTCTTTGGCGCCGGACCTCTGGCTGAGAGATGAAAGGTCTGACGAGCTCGATGAAGACGTTGTTGATACTGAAGCAGGAGCTGGGTATCGTGATCGTGAACCATTGCTAGGCTCAGACTGTCTGAGAGTCGGTACAGAGCCAGGAGCCGAGCTTGTTCTTTGGTTTGCTTGAATATGTGGCACACTCCCTGTCCGCTGACCCGGCATATTGAGACTGGGTGTAGTCGTGAAAGCATACGGTGCTATCGGTGCTACCGTTGTAGCCCCACGATAGGTAGATGCGCCCATAGTATTATTCATCCCGTGGAAACTATTCCGGTTCGATTGGGGTGCACTTGTTGGATATGGGTGAGATTGGCCTGGGCCAGGATTTTGAAGGATGCCAGAGGCAGAAGATGGACGAGTCTGGAGCATGGTGACGGTACTGGACTGTTGTGGGTATGCTTGGACGAGGGCGGCCATGCTGTGGCGTGACGGGATATTGACGTATGGAGCACACGTTAATATTTATTGTCAAACGTGAAGATTCATTCGTATGTCGAGGCAGGCAGAAAATGGTATAGAAAGTTCGGATCTGTAGTTGCGTTTGTGTCAGCGATGTCTCCCAGAATACGATTGGCAGTGCCAATGCCCAAAACTGTTCGACTGCTTGAGGATTGTGATGTTGGAGTGAGGCGTCTGCCATCCAACAGAGTGTCACATAATAGAATCGGAGTGGCATATCGAATACGAACCTTCAAATAAAGAATCCGTCAAAAGTGCAAACGTTATGAAGAATTGTAGAATTCGAGTCAACACGAGTTAACGGTTAACAAGGACCGAATCGAAGGAGGACGCCGGCGGCCAGGATGATGTTGGGTATGTTCGCGTCAGGCACAACACACTTTTACCGTGAGTTTGCGTACGCTGAATAGATCTGCCACGAATCCGCGAGTAGCACTGGGCGAAGAAGATTGAACAGTCGAAGATATCCAACCTTCACGATGCTGTTGGATTGCGTTGCTGCGAGGTCTGCGGTTCGGGTTCGGCGGAGATTGAAATTCAGGAGAGGGTGGAATGAGGCCAGGAATGCTCCAGGGGGAAGGAGTCGGCGGGGGGAAACGAAGGACAACGAAGGAGCAAAAGGACGGGGAGAAAACGAGAAAAGCGGCCAAATCGAAGAGGATACGGAGGAAAACCAAATTGATGACAGATGAGAGATGGATTCCTCAAAGTTGAGGAGGCTGAATGAAGGCGGAGAGTTGGAGATGGGGGAGAGAAAGAATGGAGGAAGCAAGAGACGATCCAGTTCTTTCCGCCTTGGACGCCGACGCTCTTTGGAGAGATTTGGCAGCACCAGGGCCTGCAAAGGTTGCAGTAGTACGGAGGTTTTGCCGGGGCTCAATGAGGCTAAACCTCATTCGCGTAATGCTTCTACGTGCTCTTTGGTGGTAAATAATAGATCAAAATAAGGATACGCCTCGACAAGGATGCGCGACATCTGGTTCTGCGCAAAGCGGCAGCCGGGTTTCCTAAACAGTAACAATCACCTTCAAGTTCTTGCGTCAACACCCAGGATCCTGATGGCGACGACATCCTTTTACGACGCCGCTTTCTGGAACTGCATCGCATGACGGAGCGCGTCAATAAGGGGCCATGATATTTAGGGACTGCATCCAGTCGAAAGCAGTCCTGCGCGCAAGGAGGATCGGGACCACAAAATAACAACAACAACATCAACATCAGATGTTGTGCCTGCAATTACGGAAATATATCTGCATCGTGAAAATTCTTGCTCCCAACCTTGGATTCTCAGTCCGGGTCCAGCTGTGCTTGCTCTGAGCACCCGAGATCCCAGAATTGCTTCTTGAGATGATGCAAGTGCGTTGCAGGACATCTTCATACTTGAGACCATCAGCTGTCCAAAACGGATGGAATGACTGCTAGTAAAGTTACCTGTGTTGTTTGGTATATTGTGGTAATCGTGGCGTATTTTCCCCATATCAATACAGAATTCAACTATATCAGCAGTGAGTCTCGCTCCCCCTTTGACGTTCTGCTTCTCGGCCAATCTCTTCAAGCGTGGATCCAGCATGTATTCTAGCCGCCTTGCTTGGTGTACCAATACCTACCTACGAGAAGTCAAGAACTGAATATCAGTTGCTTCCTAATGGCGCATTGGTCTCTCCCACAAGATCTTCGCCTTCCACCTTGCAGCCGATTGCAAGCATGGTGTCTACGTCGAGCAGCCCAACTTCGACATCCCTCCAGCCGGGTTTGGTTCACGATGCTATTCGATTCGAGACTCATCATGGCCACTTTGTTATTCAACTAGGATTCGACTCCCATCCCTCCCGTCTCGTACGAGCACCATTCGTTCACTCGCTGGCTGTCAGCCAACGACGTTTTCAGGGACAAGAGGCCGTAGAACGGTACTCCATAGTGTTGGTAAAATCACCAGCCGAGCTCCCGAAGTATCCTACCGTTTCGAATTCATAGGAGATCATAGGACAGCCAGCAAATGTCCAACAAGCCCTACATGCTGTACCACAATCAAAGTTAACGATAACGATACTGGCATTGGCCCATCACAGCACGCGCACCACGAATCTTACTAGGCCACTCACAGTCACGAAGCCCGTTGTATCAGGCTAGCTGATCACTAAATCCGTCTTCTTTTGAAACAGACATCTTGCACACACGTGCGAGTATCTAATCACATTTCTAGCATATTCGTACGGGAAGAAGCAGCCAACTATTCTTTTCCCTTCGGCGGTACGACTCCTCAACTCCATTTCTCCGCCTCAACATTCCCAAGACATGAGCACACAACTTGACCCACCCATTTTTCAGTAACATCTACCACATAGGTACCGGTGAGATGTTCACAACCTCGAGGCACTGCATATCGAGATTCAACAGCACACTTTGAACTCGGCAGTCCCGCCTTGCCGTCACAGCTCTCATGTAGAAACCATACCATGATGAACTTGCTTTCTCTTCTACGGTGCTGGCGAGTTTGAGATCGGTTACATCTATCTCGGAGAACTCGCCTGGCTATTTAACAACACTGCTAAACCAAGATTCAGTAGCTCCATCGTTCTCGACCATTGTTGAGCCAAATCTGGGTTACGGACGAAATGGAACATCACAGAAGTCGCTGCTCGGCTTTGCTACATGGGGCACTAAATAAGTATTATGATACTGGACTAGCACTGCTAGCACTCTCATCCGCTTAATCCTATCGACCTCTTGGCTTTCGCTTCATGTTCCAACCTCAACTCGTCAAAGGTACAAGAACCGTATATGCTCGATTCGTGTACAAGAAGACGTCCCCCACGATGATCTCTACCTTTTCTGCCATCGAGGGGGTCACTGCATCTGACGGCTTCCGAGGATGGGATGTAGTGTGGTCATGGCCTTGGCGCCAGAAACCCGTGTGGGTGGTTCACACTACAAAGAGCGCCGATGCATATTGTGGTCACTCTATACCTGATCTCGTGTTAGAAAACGAGCATCACCAAAAGTTGCTCTCTCAATGGTCACATTACAGATGAAATTTCCCATTCCTCCGCAGCAGTGAGCGCATGCTCGACGCTTTCCCACTCGCCGACCGAACTTGAGCGCACATTTAAAAATCTGAGAATTTTGTGCTACAACGATCCCCACCCATGGAGCGAGTCGAGCAGTCTTACAAGATCCGCGACCTCTCTACAACGCATCCGGTTGGGTATGCGTTAGATCTTCGGTGCCGTCGGCTCAACGAAGCTGTCTTGGGATCCCAGCCAGGTCTTCCTTCATTCTCTATATATTCCACCTTTTTGTATAGCTAGATACCTAGGTACGCAACGATATGTTGTTGTGTGTGCAATGCCTCTACCAAAGTCAACAACAGCCGACAGGTAGTGAAAACATTATATGATGTGTAAGTTGTAAGTACCTATAACGCAACGTCTATTTAGCACTAGTCTACATGGCGAACAAACGATGAGTGGGATAGCAGTCGAGAGATTCTTCTCTCACATCTGTCTTTCAATCCATTCAAACTACTTAGTGGCCTGGGCAGCGAGCTGTGCCGCGAAAAAGCAGCGAAACCATAATTCCACGAGACGGGGTGTGCGGAAGATCAGGGTCCCGGAGCAGCTCTATTTTCTCGTTTTTTTAGATGGCCAGCATGTCCCCACCGTTAGGAGAACCCACAAGGCCCTGAAAGAGCTCTAATCGACACTTTGCAAACTCCAAGTATGGTGCCATTAATACCATTTTGAGGATTTAAAAAAGGGATAATCGCGCGTTAAATTCCAGCTTCCCTTGATTCGAGACGTTGAAATTTCCGAGTGCCCACCCTCCTCACAAATCCACTAGGAAAGTATCCACCCTCGTACATGAACACTTTACGCAAGATACCAAGCAAGGAAGAAGGATTTATTTTCATGTGAGGTCTCTGAGCCTCTCTCCGCACGGAAAGATTGGATGGTTCGGCCAACGAGCCAGTAAGGCCAGCGGGGAATCCTCTCGATTTTTCCTTCCCAACATCTTGATCCGAGACTAACAGACCCGTTTTCTTGTTGTCAGTATTATCAGACTTGCTCAATTACTCACAGGGCAACAAGACATTGTAGCGGTATTAACATTATTTATGACTTTGTTTACCCCGGATCTTCAACCACTCAATACGAGACGTGCATCCATGTCTCTACAGTACAATTGACGTGACCACCTGGGCAGATCTCTAATTAATCTGAAATGATCGGAACTTCACACATCATCCATGCGTTCACATCTCTTGGCAATCACAGTATTTTTAAGCCACGATTACAATTGCATCTAAATTAACAGATATTCAACGACGCCTCCAACAAATTCTCAGCATCTCGCCCACAAAGCCATGCGTTGTGTCCCAGTATCAGTCTATTTCATCACTACAACAGGAAACGATCGGCCAACGTTTGCTGACCGCCGAATTCCTCCCAACGAACGCTACGTAATTGGTACCTCAAAGTACCCCCGTCTGACACCGAGACATGGCGAAATCCAGCGAGGTGCAGATATCTGGAGGCTTGTGTGCGTGTACACCGCCCGGCTGAGTGGGTGATTCGAGCCAATTGTCTTGCATTTGGTGGTGGTGGTGATGAGAGGGGCGGTTGTCCCGAGATAGGGGTAAGTGTCAAGCCCTCCAATAGAATAGGAAGGGCTAGTTGAGGCTCCCGCGATCCGCAATCATTGGAACTTTAAATACGAGGAAGCGCTCAGTAGTACAGTAAGTAGGCGGGGTTCTTGAGGAATACCATTCCAACAAGAGCCGAAAACAACTTTATCACGAGGCAATTTCTGGATGATTTCCAGCCCTAACCAAATCTGGTAGTATATCTACATGTCCATCAAGCTCGAGTGAGATACCATTTTTTGTGATCCCGTAAGGGCTCGGGACGATGCCGGGCCCGCAAAGAAACAAGCAGCCATTTTGTGTAACCAAAAAAGCAACCATAAAATCACGGGACCGCGTAACATTTCCGCATTATCTAGCTAGATTTCTGGATGGCACGATCGGACACGCGAAAACCTCAGCCTCGTCGCGTCAATCACTTTTGTGATCTTGAACCCGCTTCTTACATTATTCAACATGCCACCAGAACTCATACCAGAAGATGAAGACTATGCATCCGAAGAAGATTCTGATTTCGCACCCGACGCTGCGCCCGCAAAAGAAGACGCGGATACTTCAGACGATGAAGCGGAGCCCGAGGAGGTGAAGGCGCCGAAGTTTTCGAAAAGGAAAAGGGCCCCAGACGATGACGCCGAGGATGCTGGGTTTGAAAACTCAGGCGACGAAGCAATCATTGAAAAGGGGTTGAAGCGACAGAAGAAAAGGAGCAAGAAAGGCAAAGATGAGGAGGAAGATGAGGGTGGAGAAGGCGGCTTGGTAAAGACGAGGAGTATGAGGGCTGCTGCGTGAGTGATCACCGTCTTACAACGCCAGTCCATTTTCTAACAGAGGCTTGTATAGGAAAACCGAAAAGAAAGTAGCACTAGTAGACTCATCGAAATCTACTGTCGACGTTGACGCGCTCTGGGCTTCTATGACAACCAACAAACCGTCTTCAAGCCATGCGAACCCCGTCACGACAACCACATCTTCACCATCGAAATCTGTGTCTCCTACGGTAAAGCGCACAAACCTTGCCATTCCAGACTCCGAGAGGAAGGGTACAAGATCGCCGAGTATACTCAACGACGGTCCCGACGCAATGATACTGATAAAACGCTCCTACACATTTGCTGGGAAAATACACCATGAACAAAAATTAGTCCCACGCCATTCTGCCGAAGCAAAACTGTTTTTAGCATCCCAAACATCCATTCCTTCTCCTACTACCGATACATCCCCAGATCCTTTCGTCAAACCTAAACGCCCACCCAAAAAGGCCCGCCGCTCGATCTTCGAGCCTGTTGTCGATTTACCACCGCGCACGGATCTCAAACTCGGGTTTAGGAAGCTACAAGAAGGATTAGGCAATCTGGATGTTGGAGAGAAGGGGAAGAAGCTTAATACAGTGGAGAAGAGTAAGATGGATTGGGCTGGATATGTGGATAAGGAGGGAATTGCAGAAGAGTTGGACCAAGCTGGGAAGAGGAAGGGTGGATTCAAAGAGAGGCAGGAGTTTATTGCAAGGACGCAATTTAGACAAGAGGAGGATGATAGGCGGGCTAGGGGGGTTGTTAGTCTAAGTGGTGGACTTTGAGGGAGGGAAGAAAATGGATGATAATGAGTTAATGACATTGTATAATTATGTTGGGTTCGGTAGATGTGTGGCGAGAAGCTATATACCCCTTTCTTTTTGGACTTATATCAGTTTCCGAGATTAGGTAGCCCAGGTGATATGGTATAATCTGGGCTGATGGTTATCAGACCTTCCCACAAATAATTTATCCTGTAAAAGTATATCCGCCTGCTCATTGCAATTACTCGAGCATCCTTACAACAACAGTATCCGGACTCCAATTAATGGCACGAGGTCCTTCTTTTCTCTTTCCTTCAACGTACAACCCCCTCTCGCTATAGAAGTTGAAGGTTCTGTTAGAAATGGTCATCAACTGGAAATCTTTACAATATAGTCACTTGAACTTCCAGATGAGTTCTCTTCACTATGTCAACTCCTTCCATACCTACATTTCCATGTGCTTCTTCTTGAGCAAGTTCCTGAGCAGACGTTAGACAATCTTTCGATTTCTCACCAGGAAAGCGATTCCTTAAAAGATTATGTGGCCTGATGTGACTGTATCGTAACAAGGCTGGATTTCTCTGCCCTAAATCGCTGGGCTAATTACGATTTACTCGTCGAACACTCAATTCATTTTACTGTCTATGGTCTAAATACATGTTAACGAAGCGACTATCTTGCCCTATTTTAGCGAGTCCCTTCAGTTCGTTTATTCAAGTGCGCAAAGACTATTCTTTGTTGCAATGCATGAGTAAATACAGGCTTGGGCAGCTTTAAAAGGCTGTAGAGGCATTGTACAAGGAATGTGTGCTGGTACCTTTGTGGTCACTTCAACGTGGACCGAAGCACTCAATGGCAAGCCATTTTAGGAGATGGGTAAAATGTTCTACACCCAGGACTCGACGCAATGTGAGAGCTGAGAGCTTTGGACAAGCATACAAACATTCCCACCTAATTTTCCAACAATTGCCATCCTTTAATTTTTTTGTGCATAGCAGCATAAGGCTAAAGTGTATATGGTTCAGGATCATTTTAGGTAAACCCCTTACGGACCGCACAGAGAACTGATGTCTTTCAATCATTTTATATCATATGAAACTTGTAAATTCAACAGTTCTCATGATCACTAAGCTCCATGCCTTTTTCCTGAAAGATTATTCTCATTCAAGATACCATTCATATGATAGAGGTGAAGTATAATCATCTAGGCTCTCATCACTTGCCCAGTGCTAGTAAGACTCATAACTCTAATTCCAGTCATAGCATTAGCACATGTAGTATGTGTGTTATTTATCTTGATTGAAAATCTAGTACTGTCAATGGAGAAACTTGAGAGACTTTTTTCAAGATCAAATTGTTGGGAAATCTTGATGTGCTATGTAGAGATGGCATTTACATCCTTATGTACGTAAGAGAGCTTACGAACAGAGTGATGAATATTGACTTTTCGTGTTGTGCTTGAAAAGTTTGGATTAGAGGTTGGTATTCTCTTATGATCTATGGCGAGTGATTCGTTATCCAAATTTTTCAATGATAAAAAGAGAGAATCGACATATATACATGCCGAGGTGCTGGAGAGAAAACATTGATAAGAAGTCTTATTAAATAGTATTATGTATTTATGGTATCACCTCAAATATGAAAACCCTTGCGAATCTCGTCTCTCTTCTCTATATATTACATTATACCACCCAATATTTTAAACCACAAATTAATAACCATTTTTTGCCAAAAATCCGGCGATATGCTTATAAGCATCCTTCGCCCCATAATGCAGATTCAACCCATGACCAGCTCCCTTAAGTATATAACTATCACTTCCCGCACTCGCAGCCGGGAACAACGCACCCTTGACCTCCGCCGCTCTATTCCCATTATTCAAACAGTTACTCTGACAAAATGGAAGATCATTCTCGCCGTCTACGACATCGATAGGGCCGGTGAACTCAGGGGCCGGAGCCAGGACCATGGCATTCGTGAAGAACTCTCCAATCGAGAGGGTTTGCTTAACTCTCTCAGACGCGTCGAGAACCGCGGGCGAAAAGTTTGGATAGCGGAAGAAACCGAATTGGTTGCTGACTTTGGTGTCGGAGACGATATAGCCGTTTTGGAGAAGTCCAAAACGAAGAGGGTTGTTCTCTTTAGCTATTACGAGGTTCAAGCCAGCGAAGAAGACTGGGAAGCCTGCTGCGTCGATACTGAAGCCTGTGAGAACAGCGGCGTCGAGATCTGCTGGATATTGACTGGCGACGCCGGTGGTGAGAATGCTTCCTAAGGAATGGCCAACACCGATGACTTTTTGGAATTTGGTTGTGCAATAAGAACCAGATCGCAGACCTTGAATCAATGTGTGCGCGACTTCGACTTCCATCTGAGCTTGCACGACTTGAATTGGATCTGGATGAGCTGAAGCGCCCACACCGAGACGGTCATAAGAGAATGTTGTATAACCTTGCTCGGCCATAAAGTCGATATAGCTGTAATCGCTAGAATAGAAATCCCAGTAACTTTTGTCGAATCCAACACCATGAGTCAGAAATTGAATAGAGCTAGCATTCATGCTACCACTGGATGGCCAGCAAATTTGACTGTTAATCTTGTACGAGCCGCTGACTTGAGTTTTGGCGCCGACGACGGAAGCCGAGAGTGGACTGTTGACTTGAAGATTTTCAAGTACAAGCTCCGTTAAAGCAAGCTGTGAAGATGGTCCATCATAATTGAGTTTAACATTGGAAGAAGAGGTTTGAACATTGAGGTTTCCTCGAACACATTTTGCATGGCCTCCTTGAGAGGTCAAGATGGTGGCACCTTCGAAACCTGGGAACTGTTCGAAGATTGTGCCAGGGAAGAGGCTGAATGTAGGCGTCGCAGTGACTCTGCTAGCTAGAGCAAGACAAATGACAACTAAAGTTTGAAGCATCTTGAACGAGACAGATGACCTTTTATTCGAAATGAATAAATTCAAAAGAAGAGAAGATAAAGTAGGCAGAGGGTTGAGTGGTGGTTGAAAATATGTGGGAAAGGCCTACTGTGATATAATTGAACTCCTAGCCAGGTACCCAAGCTGCTCTTACTGCATACTTCCGCGCGCTATTGAACGGTATTTGAGATACACAAGCGTTAGGTTCTGGTGGTGTGGTCGAACAGAGTTCGTTGGCTTCCCGGCCCTGGCCTAACACTGGACTAACGAAGTCGAGAACTTGACTAGACGAAGAAAGGAAACGCTTTACTTTTGATACATTTAGACGAATTTCTTTTGGTGATAGAATTCGATGTAGTGAAATGTTTTTACCAAGCATTCTGGTCTGAAAGAACTGGGCTATTATTTCGATTGTGCGCGCAGAAGATATTTCTCGTTTTATGGTGAGCGCTTTGGCGTTGAACTAGTTAACATGTAGTTGATCTTTTGGCGACATAGCTTGAGCCTTGCCTGGAAATTCCCCCCTGAACCGGATTTTGATCAATTTAGTGCCACAACGATGTCTCCAAGACGGAGATTAACTTTTAGGTAGCCGTGTTAGTGAAAGCAGTTGTAGCGGTAGATGAGAAGATTCGAACTAGACCCAGGAAGTTTACCACTAGGAGATTTCTACTGTCGCCTGCCGATAGAATTTGCCGCTGTTGGTCCGCGCATCCCCTCATCTAATTTTAGTAGGTCGTAAAGTAAACCCTTGATGTGAAGATTCGCTATGGTTGTTGTTGCCAAAACTGAAAATGGTGCAATTTGAACCATAAGAGTTTTACAGCAAATTCTGACAGCTGAGACAATGTTAGAAGCATATATGGTTATGAATTACGGCTGTAGATACTGACACCCTATTTTAAACCTTTATGGTCTTTCCGCTTTTGGCACTTTCTCGAGCAGCCTCGATAATCTTGAGCACATCTCTTGCCTCTGCAGCTTTGACAGGCACAGAATCCGCGCCACCACCTTCAATAGCTCTTGCAAATCCTGCATACAGCGCAGCGTATGTAAGAGGCTGGACATTCTCGTGAGCTCTCTTCTTGGGTTTCCCATCCTCAAGGGTGGTCAGCAAACCTGCACTATCTGCATTCTCCACCCCAAATCCTGAATCACCGGGCTTCTTGCCAGCTTTCAGCTGGTCTTCCTGTACATCAAGGTGGAACTTCTTGAAGCTCCCTTCTGTGCCTCGTACCCAATATCGAAGCTGTTTTGTTTCAATCGACATGACGCCAGCTTTCACTGTGACCAGAGGACCACCATTACCATATTGAAGTACCACCGTAATGCTATCAGGCTCTGCTGCTCCATCGTTTCTTTGATTTGCGAAAATGCCAGTAACGCTGGCGGGCATTCCAAACAGTACATATGCCTGGTCGATCAAATGTGTTCCTAAATCGTAGATTACTCCACCAGCCTGATCCATTCCCAAGGTCCCCTTCCAGGTTTCTGGCCTTGCTGGCTTGTAACGATCGAAATGGGTATTGAATTCTACACAGCGGCCGATGGTACCTTCGTCCAGCAGTTTCTTAATAGTCAGGAAATCCGAGTCCCACCTTCGGTTTTGGTATACGCAAATCAATTTCCCAGTCTTTGCTGACAGTTCAACAAGCACTTGCGCTTCTCGACTTGTTGGGACGAACGGCTTCTCCACGACGACATGTTTGCCGGCTTCAATCGCAGATTTGGTAAATGAGAAATGCGTATCCGGAGTGGTAGTTATGGCTATTATGTCCACTGATGAGTCGGCGAACATGTCTTCGGCAGAGTGGTAGATTTTCGCGGAAGCATGATCTTTGGAGGCATCATCGTTAGGCTTGGGAGTCCGTTGGACGATGGAATGGAGGACAAATTGAGGAGTGACCTGGATAAGGGGAATATGAAAGACCTTCGCGGACATCCTACACGCTGTTAGTGCCAATTATTCTCAAATACCTAGGTCTCTGAGTTTGCATTACCCATAACCTATCACCCCAACGTTATAACTTTTACCTGCCATTTCTAACTGTTTGGTACTAATTGGTCACTTGTACGGATATTACAATGTTGCGTCGAAAGGTGACAATTGAGAACAGAAGGAAGAAATTGGTGGGCTTGAAATAAGTTGGTATGGTTGTCCAGCCCAAAAAAAGAATGACGATGACGGGCCGAATGAAAGGGGTGCTGGGCAGCTGAAGTGGGATGTGAGGGAAACCTTTAGTAAGTCTTCTTGGGAGAGGCAAATGCAAAGCAAACAACTGATACTTTCAGCCCACGGTCGCCTACCATTGTCTGAATAAAGCAGTACAGGTTCGTCTGGCATTATGCGTGCTTTCTACACCTCGAATTTCGGTTGTATGAAATCCAGAATTAAAGGACATTTGGGTACCGAGGTAGCGATCGGCTGACTAATAGGTGGGTCGCCCGTGGAGTCCACGTTTGTTGGAGCCGACAGTCCCGAGGTTCCAGAGTCCAGAACCAGCAGACTCGAAAAACACCAGCACCCATGGGCTAACGCAGTCTCAGTCTCCACTTGGCTGCTAAACCCATTCAAGAGCAATCCACCTCCTCCCTGACTTGTATTTTGATAACAATCAAACCACAACAACATCGATTCAGTTATCGACGCCTTCGACATCTCAAGCTCCCCGTTCATCCTGACCTCGCTTCCCCTCGTCACGCATCCTCCAGGTTCCCATCCTCGCCCAACTCCCCCGTCTGAACCTGGAAACCCGACGACTAGGAACCGATCCCTCATCAGACCAAGTTCGAACGCTTTGATGCTCTGGAAAAGCTTCCGATTGCAGCATCTCACCACTAGAGTCTGTGCAAGATGCAAGCATGGTTGATGTTGAGCAGATCCCAAGCCACGTCCCTCAGGGGGCCCTTCCCACCCTGCAACGAACCTGTCATGTCATGCTGTCAACAAGCAGTCCCTCGAGCTTCAAGAAACCCCCAGTTGGAGTAACCTCTCGCACGCACACGAGTATCATGTTCTGCATGTCATTACTTTGCACATGAATCGGAATTTCAAATTAAACATTGGCGCCATGAACACAGAGGCAACGATGCTCGATCTGTCTGAGTCGGTGTCGGCTCTTACTGAGTTGAGTCTTCGTGATAGAAGAAGCTCTTGGAAGTATCCCCTACTAGAGACTGCAAAGTATCCAGGTAAGCCGATCCAAGTTAGCAAAGAGAAAGAGAAGTGTCTTTGGAGTCTGCCTCCGCCTCACGAAATTCCTGCCCATTCTTCGATCAAGAGCAACTGCTCTCCATCCAAATCCAGTACGAGTAGCACCGCTAGTCTCTTTGTGAAAATCGAAAAGCGGATCTCCTAGGTGCATTCGGCTTGGATTTATCTCCTGCCGAATTTTCAAGCGACCAACTACATGGTTGACCCCTTTTCTCTCATCTCGAAATTGAACTGATTTAGGTCTTCAGGGACAAGCAGCGATCTCGCTCATCGCGTTCTGGACGAGCTCTGTGACGGATTGTGATTATCGCATACTCGTGCCTTTCGATAGCGAAGTTATGCTATCCAAGCGCAGGCCTGGGCAAGAGTCGTCTCGACGATCAATGCTGGCTTAGTCCAAATGAAATCGATTTAGTAGTTTAGCTTTACATACTTTAGACGATCCAGGATCACCTCTGCGGCAACAACCTTTTCACCAGCGCGCTGGTGGAACATTAGCTTGAAAGTGAATCAAACGTTCTTCATGAGGACCTTCTGCCGTTTCCATCTACAAAGTTCGTCGAATATGTATGCTGATTTGTTTTTCCGTTTCGTCATTCTTTAAACGGCCATGATGTTTTTCTATCCTGCTCTTCTATGCATTTTCTTCGCCATAACTACGGTGAATGCTACCGTCAACATCACCGATGTTATTCTGTCCTTACCTGAATGCTCCGTGGGTACTGCATTTCTCCAAAACCATGAAGTCGAAGCTAAACTCATTCAGATTCAATGCATTCTTACGAACCCAAAGGTTGTCAGTGACCCCCACGGAACTTGTACGAACGAATCTATTCAAGCTTCCGTATCGGCGTGTGTACAAAAGTCTTGTGTACCACTGGACCAAGCAAGTATGAGTGTTTGAATAGTTTCTGCTCCGGGTCTCAAGCTTACCGATATAGGGGTCGTCATCGCAAATGGGAAGTTATGTGAGGGTGTACCCGTAAACAATACCCGCGTTGTTGACGCCTACATTGCTGGGTTTGTTTGCGTATTGCCGGCTCTGTTAGCTATTGCGCTAAGATTGTATTCGCGGCACAAGATCGCTCGAGAGTTTGGTTACGATGACTATCTCATGTGCATCGTTGCTGTCTTCTTAGTTGTCCTGCTTGTTTTGGATGTTTACAGTAAGTGTAAATTCTTGACCTCACCAAGAAAGCAAGAACTCACGTACAACAGACGCCGGAACGAACGGGTTTGGACGACATCTTTGGGCTATAGATCCAGAACGTATCGAGGAACTCTTGAAAGTAAGCTTCAGAGAAAGCCGTAGCCGAGTGTTTGAGAAACTAATCAGTCTTTAGATATTATGGGTCGTAGAGATATTTTATACTGCTTCCGTCACAGTTATCAAGTCGTCTATTGTGATGTTTTATGTAAGACTAAGCTATGAGCTAAGATGTTTACACGTTCGGGGCTAACAGCTTCTAGCTGAGAATATTTCCAGGACGCTACACACGAGCAGCATCGTTTACAACACTGGCACTCGTGGTAAGCTCTGGCATAGCCATTATTCTTGCGACTGTATTTCAGTGCAAGCCTGTGTGTAAGTTTTGTAATACCGCTTCCTGAATTGAGCTCATATCATACGCAGCTGGTGCTTGGCATTTCTTTAGTCCGTCACAATGTGTCAACCTAAATCTACTCATCTACGCATCTGGCTACATTGGAATCGGTCTCGACGTGTTGATTCTGATCATTCCAATACCAGCCGCTCTCAAACTCAAGATGGAGTTGAAGAAAAAGTTGTTAGTGATGTGCATGTTCAGTGTTGGTGTTTTGTAAGTCACATCCGCCAGATTTAGTTTCTAAAATAGTATACTAATCCAGCCAGCGCTTTCATAATAAGCATCGTACGATTAAGGTTCATCGTAAGTTTTGGGAGCAGTACAGATCCGACATGTAAGTTGAGCCCGGCCCGTCAACTCAAGTCCAGTACTTGGGGTCCAGGAGCAAGCGCCAATGTGCTAACAATTTGAAAGGGGACAACGTGCTTCCAGCTATATGGTCTTTAGCCGAAGTAACAGTCGCGACAATCTGCGCTTGTATGCCTGCCGTTCGCGCTTTGCTCGCATTGATATTCCCGAAATTGTTCGATACACTGAGCCGCCCGAGTCAGCCTTCGCATCCAACACCGTTCAAGGATACTCCATTCCCATCTGGGTCTGCCCACCGATTCATTCCAACACCATCGTCGGAGAGGCCTGATATAGTTTATGGCAAACATGATGTTGCATCGCCAGAAGATATATCTCTTCGTAACATCGAGGCGGCTTCAGACACAAAGGACAAGACTTCGTGGACGAGCTCTCAACTGACTCAGTCGGGAGGAACGATGGATACCAAAAGAACATCTCAAAACAGTACATGTGCTAGTGTGCACGCTAGTAGTGAAACCAATATCATTACTCTGGGAGACTCAAGTTTATCAGACCGGCAAACTGTCGATGAGGGGGCAGACGCAGGTATTGAAAGAAAAAGGAAGACGAGATCGTTGGGCTTCGATTTCAACTGGAAATAAAGGATATAAAATCAGCAATGAATGAAAATCGACTTCAAATCAAAGCGCATCATTGGTGCAGCGTCAAGCACGCATAAATTGGACAGCCAGCCATCAAGACCATGATCGACCCGAGGCATATGCTTAGAGGCGGTACCAGAGTATATACCAATGGAGGTGCAGAGTAGGATTCTCTACGCTCCAGAAAGTAGAGAGCCGCGGGTGTCGAGCCATACTGGAAGCTTAAGAATTGGCACGGATGTGAAGATGGCTGAGCTCTCGGAGCCTTTAGGGATCTCATGACGATACATGATAGATGATCGGGACGGGAATTTAAATAGCGGAGAGTAAATCAATGTTCTGTGTTTGCCGTTATCCATGGATGCCCGAACACGGTGGATTTGTCAGGCGTGTACTTCAAGCCTGAAAGTAGTTGACCAGGAAACCGACACTGTGTCGGAGATTAACGAGATCCACTTTTATTTTTCCAAATGTTGTGTAGTTGGATCAGCTTCAAGCCCTGAAAACCCTATAATACAGAAGTTATAACTGTCTCCAAACGGGGTTTGGGAGCCTAAGTCATGTACTGTAAACTGGGTCTATGGGAGATTAACAACTATAAATGCAAACCTCGTCATCTCACTTCCCTCTCTGATTTCTAGCGATAGCCTGAGAAATGTGAATGAGTCTATTTTCAAATTTTTAGAGCGGTATTTGCGAGTTTTGTTTGTTGGTGGCTGGTTTAGAACGTTGATAGAACATTTCTGGTGGATGTTTCAACTTCATCTCATCCGTCATCTTAGCTTACCAGGAACATCCAAGCACATGAACAACAGACGTTTTCAAAATCCAAACGCTAGACAAGTCGAACAGTCCATGGGTCAAGACGTTGCCAACGTGGCTCTCGAGCGTTTCCACGAGGCAACGTTGTTGATATCGTAGAGGAGGGGAGAACTTGAATGTACTCGAACGACGATGGATTGTTGACATCGACCTCATCTTCGACAACAAAATGGCCGCCCGGCCTGGCTGCACAATTACGGTCCAAGCTGATGTCTTTTGAGGCAAGTTTCAGTTGCAGTGAGCGACAATTCTCGTGGCCTGACATCAAATGGACCGACAATGGTGCTGAATCGTGCAGCCATAGCACGGATTTCAACATCGTTACAAAAAGCCGAAACTATTCTTGAGTATTACCACGACTGGACCGAGTTCGACGACCAAATAGAAAAGGTCTACGATGTCGTACAGAAGTTGGCCTCGACATTGCGTGTAATAAGGATTGCGCTGCTGCAGAGTTGGCACCAGTTCGACCCTAACACCACTTTGGACAGCTTATGGTCATCTAGAAGAGTTACCGCGCCACTACTTGCACAACTAGCAATACTAAAGTCAACTGTGACGTCCCAAGATTCGAAGAGGCCTAGTCTAATTCCACGGGCTTTTCACAATCGCAATGTCTTGATTCTGAGCTATCGGACACGAATGAGAAAAAGACTATATGAATCTGTTTCTGAGATCCAGAATTTCACTGTAGACTTTGCCAAAGACTTAGACTTGTAATGTTTCCTTGCTATCTTTGTGGTCGTTGTCTAACACTGTGATTAGGATCATCTATGATATTCAACGGAGTCTGTTGGAACACCACATTGAGCAATATTCTCTAAATGAAGAATCATTTTCCCTGGTCAAGCCACCGCCATTAAAAGAGAACAGTTCGTCGGAGACTTGCGCAGACTGTAAGACTATTTTTGACTTACGAGATTTTTGGCCAATTGAGCTAGGAACCAATCCATTTCAACCAACTTTGTCGTTTAATACTTCGATCCTTAAGATATTCGATTCAGCTTGGTCAGGATGCCACTTTTGCAGACTTCAACTGACCAGACTTCTTGAGCAAGGGGCTACTGTTCGACATATCGCATATGTCCACATAACGTGGTGGAAATATTGGCACAAAGAAAGTAACTATACTAATACTAATAATGACATTCTTTTCAGCAAGGATCTTCGTATCAGGTATCTGTCTGATGATATGGAGATCGTGCATTTTGATTATTATATCACACTGCCACTCATAGAAGCGGATCAGAGTAAGAGGAATACGCACTATTTCTGCTACATTTGTCGGTCAACATGCTAACTCAGGATAGATCGACGAATTGGACTATTAACGGCGTCTAGATCCACGCTGGCTATTGTCAGAGCTTGGCTGTCGAATTGTTCGAGCACCCATGATAGATGCAAGCGTGACGATTCTGCCATCCTCAGCCGACCAAAACGACTTATACACCTTGGTGAGTTTGAAAAACTTGAGCCACGACTGGTGGAAGTGGGAGATATCCCGCCAGATGTTGTTTACATGACACTATCTCATCGATGGAGCTATAAAGCAACTACGCAACTACTAAGGTCCAACATAACGCAATTTTATCAGAACATACCTGAGAGTTCTTTACCTAGGTGCTATCTTGATGCGATGAAATTTATGCGCCGGCTCGGAGTATCGTATGTATGGATCGACAGTCTCTGTATCTTGCAGGATTCTGGAAAAGACTGGTACAGCGAATCAGCGAAGATTGCAGATATATTCGCTGGATCGTGGTGTAATATAGCTACCGTAAGCTCTCTGGACGATACTCACACACTGCATCCTGACAGGAGTTCCGAGGACGTCAGAGGGTGCATAATCGAGAACCCACCCACGTCGAAATTCTCGGTGAGGGCACACGATGAAGGATATAGAAGGTGGAACAGTTCAATAACCAACTCTGTTCTGTCCAAGCGAGGTTGGGTATTGCAGGAACTGCTATCTGCCCCAAGAACTTTATATTTTGGGAAAGATGAAGTGATGTGGCAGTGTAAGACACAAAAGTCTTCTGAAAGTATGCCAAAAGAGGTAGATGTCACAAGCAGAAGATATAAATCTACGTTTGACGACCCTGCTTTCAGCGAAATATCCCTCTATGGACCAAGAGGATGGGGGGAAATTGTTCAAGATTACTCAAAACGAGAACTCACATTTCCAACACACGACAAGCTCATAGCTATAGGTGGCATCGCTAAGAAGTACGGAAATGAAGAAGACTATCTCGCAGGTCTCTGGAAGCACGATATCATATTCCAGCTCACATGGCGTGTTCTTCAAAAAGATACAGATGCACAATCACTCGAAGACTTCCAAGCCCCATCCTGGACCTGGGCGTCTCTCAATAAGGAAATCACTTACAGCTCGCGGATCATCGATAAAATGCACATGCATCGACCAATCGCAAAACTCATTAGTTCAAACCTCACACACGTTTCAGACAACAAACTCGGTAGACTTTCACAAGGAACTCTAGACATCCAGGCGCCAATAATTAAAATCGAGTTCCACCGCATCTCACGAAGCTCCTACACAGTCCGGTACCACAAAGGACGAAATTTCGTGCTTCCAAACCACTCTTCACCGTCAGCAAGCCGTTCTATTTGTCTCGACTTTGAAACAGCGTTTCGGCCAGCAGCAATTGACGATGATGATGATACTATTACACCTACATTTCTCATCCCGCTCTACATCGATGTAGAGCGTAATACAGCAAGACCAGTCAAAGTCCATGCGTTGATTGTTGAGTGTACGGGAAACGCACGAGAGTTTAGGCGAAAAGGTGTTATGACATTGGAAGGGAGGTGGCAGGTCGAGGATTTGGCAAACTGTTGTAAGAGTTATATGGGAGTTGCGGAGGAAGATATGTTTGACGGGTTGGTTGGGGAGGAGGATGGGTGGGTGGTGTATAATTTGGCTCTTGTATAAATTGGATCTAGCTGGACTGCTGGACTGGAGTGGAAGGTTTGGCTGTAATATGGAGTCTGTTTTCTTTTGGTTTTCAAGTCTGACGTTGTTATATAGCATGCCTGCCAACTTAATATATTCGTAATTCAGAGCTTGTCACTTTTACAACGACTTATGAACGAAGCACAATTTATTGACTCATGGACTAACAAGGTACCACAATGCACGGTATTGGGTATCATTCGGTTGGGGCAGTAGACTGACGCATCTTTAATACAGATCATATCTCAGGCCGGCTGGCTTCAAATGGGGGTGGTTCCAACAAGCAATTCTACACAAGTATTGATGTTGCCGGAAGCTATTCATAAAACGGTTGATCAACATCTCAAATCAAAGACAGTTAGTAATCCCACTTGGTGGTTAGCAATAGGACTGACAGTACTAAATTGGCAGGCGGACGAATTTATTGATGTTATACGTCTAGCTGCAATGTCCACCAAATCCAGATCTAGCCAGTGTTCGCCTATCTTAAGTAGGCGAACCAGACGTCAATACTATACACCTCATTGTTTGCAGTTTTGCGAGTCAAAGAATTGCTGCAGAATTGAAGGATGCCTCATACTTTCAACAAGAGCTCTCTCTTTTGTCAATGCTGCACTAGTTTTTCAGAACTTGTAGGACCCGTCGACTAGGCGAAAACTGATGACCCATGTCCGCCACTGCCAAACAATTCATGGCCATGGAAAACGACTACCACCTACAACTTGTACCTTTGTGGTAACTTTCTTGGCTCGGACATGGACTGCTCATGCTGTTTTGCCAGAGGTGCATATTGCCCGACGCATAATCCCAGGGGACATTTCCGCAAAACCTGGCTCCTCAATGCAGCAAAGTCCTCGACAGTGAAGGATTTAAACTGGCGTAGAGGATGGTTTACCTTGAAGGATACGGATAATGTAGAATCCGTATATCTCGCGTTGTTTCGCTAGCAGTGTGCCCGCCATGCGTCCTCTGTCTGCTCGCGCAGAAGTGTACGCGCGATTTGACTTTTAGACCATGATAATGTGCTGATATTATAGTATCATCTAAAACATCATATATCATCATCACTATCATCTTCTTCATTCCTAGGCTTGATCATTTTGCTCATGTATGGTCCTGTGTTTATGTTAGCTTAACTCGCGGTCAATGGAATTAATGGTAACATACCGTCAAGCCAGTAGCCTAATCTTCGATAGTAATCTCTAGTGCCAACACCAGAGATGACACTGATTTTTTTGCTTCCATGTTCATCCCTCGCAATACGCTCGGCCTCTTCCATCAATAAGGTACCATATCCTTGATGCTGAAATTTTCGAGGATCGCGGGCATGAACTGGGACAGCAGAACCATAAACGTGGAGCTCTCGTACAAGACTTGTCGGCTGACCAGTAAGCTCCGGTCTGAAGGTATACGTCTTCGAGCACTTCCGCAGGCGAAGGAGACCAATAAGAATATCTTGCTTTGGATCCTCATATGCTAAGAATGTTTCCCAACCATTATTAGCTGTGTAGTCCCGTCGAACAAGTTCGACTTGAGATGGACGAATTTTGTTCTTGACCTCGTTGATTCCAACTTCTCGTGTACGCACGTCTCGGCACGTGGTTCCAAAATCTTTCATCCGGCTCAAAGCTAGTTCTCTTAAATTACCGTTCTCGACACCCGAAGTTACCAACGGCATCGGGATATCTCTCTGTACTCTATAGATTCGTGTCCATGGAGGAATCAAAGCCAATATGCGTGCGACAATATCTATCAATGCATTTGGAGTGTAATTCTTGTACCGTCCAGTACGCCATAGTTCGTATAAACCTGTGCCACGAATGACAAGCGTGGGATAAATCTTCAACCCATCGGTTCGAAATGCAGGATTTTCGAAGTACTCTCTGAATTGATCCAAGTCTCTTTCCATTCCTACATTTGGTAAATCTGGCATCATATGGCTGACAACCTTGAAACCTGCATCTTTTGCAAAACAGAAGGTTTCAGCAACTGACGCTACAGTATGACCTCTGTTCGTATCCCTTGCGACATCCTCGTATAAAGACTGAACGCCAATTTCGAGACGTGTACAGCCATACCGCAACATGTCAGAAAGATGTGGTGGCAAACAATAGTCTGGCCGGGTCTCGATAGTAATGCCCACGCACTTGATATTGCTCATTTCTCCAGCCTGTACTGCCTCATCCACATTATTGCCTTGATATCCACTGAGGGCGTTGTGCAGTTGCGATATAAAGCCATGTCTGTATTTCTCGGACAATGACATGAACGTTCCTCCCATTATAATGTACTCGACCTTATCAACACTGTGGCCCAGTGATTTAATTTGGTCCACTCGGCCTCTCGCTTGCTCAAATGGGTCATATCGTGCTCGAATGGCTCGCATCGAAGTAGGTTCATATCCGGTGTATGATTGCGTCGAGTATTCAAAATCGGAGTCTGGACCACCAGGGCAGTAGACGCAAATATTTCCAGTGTATGCGATATGAGGACATCGATGAGGCTTGCACATAACAGCTACTACAGCTATACCTGACGCGCTTCCTGGACAGAAATTAATATTGCATTTCTTAGAGCTTCGATCTTTCCTTACTAATTGGTTTTGCTATTAACTTTGGAAGGATGTATTTCTTGTAATGTTCTGGAATAGCAGCTATAATCGCTGTAAGTGGCGGAATGTTGCTTAATCTGTGTTTCTTCGACATCTTCGACCGTAGTGCATTCAGATTGACATCCTTCTTTGGCTTCGATGGGTCTTGATTTGCTTCATGATCCTGCACCAAGAAACTGGCAATATCTGAACAAGCTCGAATGAAACGTTCATTTTCTGGCGGTAGGTTGGCGTCCTTTGGCTTTCTCTGCCTTTCCTGCACGGTCATGACTTCGGTGGCCATTGTGGCCAGAATATCTGTGTAATTGTCGTATATAGTGATCCTACTCTTCGGTTCCTGCTGGCTGAAGTGTTTGGTGTTGAATTCGTCCTCGTTGTGCTTGGTGGGGTAGTTTCGCATCGCAAAATAATTTTGAGGCAGCGAGGTCATCTGTGACCCCGGAAAGTTCCGCCGAAAATGCTGCGGGAGTTCGCTTCAAACCAGCCCGTGTTTTCTGAGGTTGAAGCTTTGGCAAGGAACTGTTCTCAAGACAACAACAACCAAACTTTTCCTAATCCTCATTTTCATCTCCGATTTCTTTCCTGACATCAATTGTCCTTGACAAGATGCAGGCTTTCTCACGATGCGCTAGACCCTTGATGCAGAGCGCGCTGCGCAGGCAAGGATACTCAACTTCCACCAGTGCATACGCTTCAACCGCAGAAAACCTTCGGATCACAAAAGACACGAAAGTCATCTTCCAAGGGTTCACTGGAAAACAGGGGAGGTTAGTAGCGGAAACTAGTCAATCTGAAATACGCCCTTTGCTGATCGGTTCTCTGTAGCTTCCACGCCGAACAAGCTATCGCATACGGTACGTGTCCTACCAGCGCAAGACGAGACGAGACAACACGCATAGGTTCTGATATCGAAATATAGGTACCCAGGTTGTTGGTGGAACAAATCCAAAGAAGGCCGGGTCAACACATCTTGACCTTCCAGTTTTCGCCAATGTCGCAGATGCAGTAAAGCAGGCCGGAGCTACAGCGTCGGCCATCTTCGTACCGTACGCAATCGCCAGGAGAGGTTAATCGTTTGGATTCTGGACTAACATGAAACAGCCCACCCGTTGCTGCCGCTGGTATCGAGGAAGCTATTGCTGCAGAAATCCCATTAGTTGTTTGGTATGTCTTAAATTTTGGCATGTGAGAGTCCTAGCTAATAAGTTACCAGTATCACTGAGGGAATTCCACAACATGGTTCGTAGAATTCGCATTAGTTTTTGCTATTGAAGATCTGACATTTGGTAGACATGGTCCGCATCACAGACATCTTAAAGACTCAAGGAAAGACGCGTTTGGTGGGACCCAACTGCCCAGGTATTATCGCGCCAGGACAATGCAAGATCGGTATTATGCCTGGATTTATCCACAAAAGAGGTCGTATTGGTATCGTTTCTCGATCAGGAACTTTGACCTATGAGGCCGTCAACCAGACTACACAGGCCGGCCTTGGACAATCGCTCGTTGTTGGAATTGGTGGTGATCCCTTCTCTGGAACTAACTTCATTGACTGCTTGAAAGTTTTCTTGCAGGATGAAGAAACCGACGGTATCATCATGATCGGAGAAATTGGAGGGTCTGCCGAGGAAGACGCTGCCGAGTTTTTGAAAGAATACAACACCGCTAAGAAGCCAGTTGTCAGTTTCATCGCCGGTATTTCTGCACCACCAGGACGAAGAATGGGACACGCTGGTAAGATTCTTGCGCCTTTTAACTTGCTTCATTTCTAATATTAGACTAGGTGCCATTGTTAGCGGTGGAAAGGGAGGAGCTGATTCAAAGATCTCGGCTCTGGAGGCTGCTGGTGTCATTGTTGAGCGAAGTCCTGCCATGCTCGGGAAGACATTACACGCAGAATTTGTAAGACTTGATATGGTTTAGATGATGGGTGTTTATTAGATGGGACGATGCACGTGGCGTGTTTGTTTGGTTGATTCCTCGTCAATACCTTGTCCTTGTACAGTTAGCAAATTCCGTCAACAAGTCAAGCGCCCTACGTTGGCAGCACTTGAATTGTATAGATTTCCTTTTCATGATCATAGTTGTTCTAGTCTGGATATGGCTGCGTTGTAGCATTAATTGGTTCACTGTTTTCTGAGAGATCTTTGACAGCTAGTAAATGTTCATGAAATTATTGGTTGGTAAGGTACAGGACCCCTAATATGAGCAGGCGCCAAGCATTGTCTCGGCTGCTGCCGACGTCAAGGAGCTCCCACTACAACCCCCTCCCTAACGACGGGAACCAAAATTATATTCAGCAGCACCCTTCCCAGTCGCCGCTCGAAGGAAAGCTCAAGATGCTTTCCGGCATTCTCGTCTTCAATCAAAAAGGCGAAAACTTGATCTTCCGTGCCTTTCGAAATGACTGTCGCCCACGTCTTGCGGATGTCTTTCGAATCCAGGTCATCTCGAATGCACAAGTCCGCTCCCCCATCCTGACTCTCGGAAGCACGACCTTCAGTCATGTCAAGCACGAGAATATCTACTTGGTGGCAATTACGAAGAGTAATGCGAATGCGGCGCTGGTGTTTGAGTTTCTCTACCGACTGATTGCCCTGGGGAAGGGGTATTTTGGAAAGTTCGATGAGGAAGCTGTCAAAAATAATTTTGTGCTTGTGTATGAGCTCCTGGATGGTGAGTCTGGTTCAAGGAGCGCGCTGTATATCTGCGACAGTCTGGAGCTAACGAATTGGTATCCTAGAAATTCTGGATTTTGGTTATCCCCAGAACACGGAAACTGATACACTCAAGATGTATATTACTACCGAAGGAGTCAAATCGGAAAGAACTATGGAAGACTCTGCGAAAATTACAATGCAAGCGACAGGCGCTCTATCATGGCGAAAGGCGGATGTCAAATACCGGAAGAACGAAGCTTTTGTTGATGTAATAGAAGATGTTAATCTTCTCATGTCTGCGACTGGGACGGTCCTTCGCGCCGACGTCAACGGCCAAATTGTGATGCGCGCATATCTTTCCGGGACGCCGGAATGCAAGTTTGGTCTGAATGACAGACTGCTGCTAGATGGAGATAGCCTTTCTTCGTTGCCGTCAGGAAACAGGATGGGCACGAAAGCAACAAAAGCAGCCGCGGGAAGTGTTACACTGGAAGACTGTCAATTCCACCAATGTGTAAAGCTTGGAAAATTCGACACCGACAGGATCATTTCCTTCATTCCACCAGATGGAGAGTTCGAGCTTATGCGTTATCGTGCCACGGAAAATGTCAATCTCCCTTTCAAGGTCCACGCCATTGTAAACGAAGTAGGAAAGACGAAAGTGGATTACAGCATTGCTATTCGAGCCAACTACGGTAGCAAACTCTTCGCCACCAACGTTGTTGTAAGAGTGCCAACACCACTCAATACAGCTAGAATAACAGAGCGCTGTACGCAAGGCAAAGCAAAATATGAACCCTCGGAGAACAACATTGTCTGGAAAATCCCAAGATTTACAGGACAGAATGAGTTCGTCCTTAGTGCAGAAGCGACATTGACGAGCATGACGAACCAAAAGGCATGGTCACGACCACCCCTAAGTTTGAACTTCAGTCTCCTCATGTTTACGAGTTCCGGACTGTTAGTGCGCTATCTAAAAGTCTTCGAGAAGAGTAATTATTCCAGCGTAAAATGGGTGCGATATATGACCAGGGCCGGCAGTTACGAAATACGGTAAGCCCTACTACACCTCATTCTCGGTTACCCAAACCACACCCGAGGGTCAGCTAACAGGTCGTAGATTTTAACTTCACCTTGCTCTCGGCTTTTGCACCGTAGGATCAGGCGTTTTGGCATGCAAGTGACGTTTGCTGTGGTGCAGGGCTCGTTGTGGCCTTGACGTGAAAAGTACGAGCTCTGGCGCACAGATCACCTACCTATGTAAGGGAATGGCGCAGCATGGGGAATCTTTTGGCGTTTATGCTGGTGATAAGCATTTTCCGTAGGCGTAGGGTCGGCTATTAATAAACTTTTGGTTGATGCGCTCATCGTCGGGATATGGATGTGTTTAACTTTTGCCTGGGGCCGTTGGTGTTCTGGTACAAGTTTATGTCGAGAAACATCGTCAGCCACATGTTCGAAAGGAGCTCTCGAGATTAACTCTTGTTGGCGCCTGATCCAATGGGAGCTATCGAGCAAACGACTTACCAGCTGCATAGACGACAGCTGTTGCACAAGTCTGCAGACTAAGCTGACATGTCGTTGGCTTTGTTGGTGTTGAATTCCGAATCACCTCCTCAGCCAAGGCTGATGTCTAAACCGCGGTCGCCCACCCGAGCGAGCGGGCTCTCCCGCGATAATTTACCTATAGGAAGACCACATAGGCGAGCCTGCTCGTTCGCACATTGGATCGATCGTACGGGATCCGGTCGCATTGCCTGCGGCCGACTGCCGAGCGGACACCCTGCAAGGCGGCTACGAACAGGGTCGATGAGGCTTGCTCTTCCTAACGGTCCTAAGATGGGACATGTTGCGACAGGTATTGCCGCTGGGAGCATTTGGGCTGTTGGTTGGTCAATCTGCAGCGGTGGGCGGCCGAAACTTTTTAATTTTCCTGATGTTTGTGTCAACAACCACATGGCTTGGTGAGAGGCTGATGGGTATGTTGAGGCGTGGAATCTGCAACGTATGGCTGGAAGCTTCATTGTCGTAAGTAGATGGGAAACTAGACAGCTCAAGGGATGGTCAAACGTGCGAATATGGAGAAGAAAACGTGTTTTGTCGCATTACTATGCTATGCTATGCTACGCCGTGCTGGGTATATGTCCGCCATGCTATCTAAAAGTCCGAAATCGTAAAGTCCAAACGCAAGCAATGCACCGAGTGTCCACTGAAAAACATCTAATTGACATAATGAAATAAGGAGGATGCGAATGATAGGTTGGTAGGAGACGAGACCATGCTGAAGACAAGAGAATCGTGTGACCAGCAGCGATGAGAAGAGAACATGGTGACGAAAACTGTGTCCAAATAAAATAATGTGCAAGAAAGCCTGGCGGCGTGGAGCCCCAGTGGGTGACGACCGAATTTTGAAAAGCTGTAGAAGTGGCGTATAATGCAAAGCAACAGTGGCAGAGAGGTATCGTGCAGCAAGCATTCTATTTGCTTCCCGACATATTTCCCTACTAGGAAGTAATGCGCGTTCTACTGCCGTGGACTCCCTCTGACACCTGCGCCATATGGAGGAATCTCCACGAAGATAGCGGCATGTGAGTATTGCCACATCAATTCCGTCTTCTCTTCGTAGTCACTGGCACTGATATAGGGTGCTTGCTTTGCCTTGCCCTTTTTCGTTGGTGTTGCCTTTGGTGTCGCTTGGGGTGTAGATTTGAGATTAGCCATTGCGACTTCCCAGCCGTTGTCGGAGGACTCGTTGAGCCATATAGTATTAGGAAGTGGGTGGATTGGATAATGTTGGTTGATGAACTAAACAAAATAAGTAATTGAAGGAATGAAAGATCTTGGTACTTACATCACTGGGTTCTCCACCAACCTTGAATACACCCCCTTTTTCACTGTCTGTAGCAACCATTTTCAATCTCCACCATGCTTTGCCGACCCTCGCCGTTTCAATGTCGTCTTCCTCATCTTCTACCTCAATGTTTCTCTCCTTTAATTCCTCGCTGTCCACCGAGCTACCCTCTCCCATCTCCTCGTCGCTCTCCTCTTCACGCCCCGCTTCATACATTTTTCTGACGAGTCTTTCTTCCCGAATCTGGGCCCATTCGTCCCAGGCTTCATCTCCTAGCACCGGTCCAACCATTGCTCTCAATCCCAATGCTTTGAACACAGAGAACATGATTGCATCCGTACCCAGGAGCGAAAATGGCATGTGGTGTTGTGTTTGCCTTGTAGTGTGATGGTAAGAATGAGTGCAATAGCTTCCTAACATACCTCCATATCGTAAGAATTCATCTTCATTTAACAGGTTCTTAACGACTTTAAACAACGGATACAGCCTGGGGTCAGCTATCGGGAACCTCTGGAGTATCCCTCCTATTGCCTCGGTAGTATAGAGGTTATAAGTTAGCGTCACCAAGTGACCACAAGTAATGGGAAGAATTGAATGGCTGGCCATGCGTGGGAAGGCGGACCACGTTATTGTCGGACTGAGTGAGGCGGTGGGTAGTATGGTCGTGTGTGCACGTGTTTGTGGAGGGGATAGTGAAGGGTTGAAGAGAGGTGTAGGGTGTTGAATTAACTGCCCTCCACCTTGATGAGCAGAAGGAAGACAAATCACTAAAGTACCGAAGTGGGTTCCTTGACGAGGCTGGGTGTCAAAAGGCTTCTGTGTGTTGCTTGAAGAACTGAAGTAAACCTTCGGGAATCATTAGCAGATAGAACATCATTGGGATATTTCTTACTTACGGTCAGATCACATAATTCCGCCCTGACGCCCCAGTGTTCCTCTCTTTCTCTCCAACTTTCGGACCCAATGCCATCCCAAAGACTTCTTTTTTTGCCCTTTCCGGCTTCGTTTGAATTTTGCAATTTTAAATCCGGTAGAAGAACTTGCTTTATCGTATCTAAAATACCAAGATCTGCAGGGTGGACATCTACTGAGAATTTCTCCCTGTCAAGTCTGGCTGAACTCCTTCGTGACTTTGTTCTGTGGCCCCTTCCAGCTTTTTCATCGCCTGTGATTTCCGGCGTACACGAAGCTAGTAACTCTTCCACCTCCACTTTCCTCTTACCTTTGCCTTTCTCTTCTTCTGGATGTGGGGGAAGACTGAGTCTCTGAACAGACCCATTAGGTGTATCAAACCTCAAAGTGATAGGTGGTGAGGTGACAGCAGCCTTGGAAGAGTCCTGAAAAGATGGGGAATTGCGAGATGCAGTCGATATTGGAATGTTACCGCCACAACAATAATTCGCGTATGAGGGATATCCTTCGATGGCAGTTCTCAGTTGGTCAAGAAAGCGTTCCGATGCCTCTTCGTCATCCGAGTTGGCCGTAATGCGTCTGGGTGTTGATGGTGAAAGAGCGGAAGGTGTTGCAGTATTTGTATCTGACTCTGGCTCGGACTCTGAACCAGATTCTTCCTCGATTATCTGAATCGAAGCAGGACGCTGCGAAGATGGCGTTGGTGGCGGCGGCATCAGGTCCATTGTCGAGATGTGGGCAGTAGTAAGATTTAGAACTGCAGGTCTGAAAGCAAATTCATGGAGGTTCAAACCAATGCGGTGCATTGAGTATTTCTGATACTGTACAGAGTACCGCTGGGAAGTCATCTTCACTATATATGCTATGCGAGCACATGCCTGGAAGCTGGATATAATAGCCAGGCATCCCGGAGGAGGACATGGGCAGTAGATGGGTGCCACACATATAATAGCTGGAAGGATTCCCGCAAAGACAAATTCAATAATGTGTTTGGACGTCTGGGAGCGGCAAGGATTTGAGGCGGTGCGTCCGGTTCCTAGTAACAAGGGGCGAGGTGAGTCACGTGTTAGGCTCCAGAGGTGGATCTTCAACCTCCCCGGTACGACCTCATATACCGTTTCGAGAGCTGCATCTAGGTAAACCAGAATAATGCAAGATATTTTAATTTGTGTAATAAATTTCGCTTGGAATTACACACACAAAAGAAACCTCGAATTCGGAAAGTTTTTGCAGCCCAAAGATGTGTATTCGCCTCGACAATTGTTGGTCATACGCCGGGCGTCGAAAACGTTTGTTTCTGGAAATTTTCGTTGTTAAATAGCGTGAGATATTTATCGAATGTTCCGAAAGTTCGAGCCTGTTAATCAGAAGTTCAAAGCTCGTTCGAAGTTGGAGCAGCATTCCAGTCGCCTCCGTGGCAACCATATCCAACATACATTCTTAAGCCCAGTAAATAAAGGACAACAAGTGTACAGTGATAAGCGCATCATAAAGTCTCCCCTGCATGCTAAGCCAGGCCAACCACGGCGTCTTACAACACCAACGAAGCTACCAGATCTAGTCCAATGACAGGTTACACTGCAGAGGTTCTCCTTACTGTCGTCGCTGTCATTGGGTTGATATTTTGCTTCGTGACGGGACCATGGGTTTATCGGCTTTGGACCACTCGCAGCTTGTATCTCAAGGACTTCGAAAAGCTCTCTGCACAAGCAAGGAAACTTAACAACAAAACCACGGAAATCATTGAAGCTGTCGCGCGCGACAGCACAGCGGCAGATTGCATCCAACTCACCAACAAGGAACTAGTAAATACAGCAGCCGAATGGGATAATGGTATCCGAACCGCGCTTGTAGCCTGGGAAGATTTCATTGAAATGCAACGCTGCCGAAATAAGGAACCTGTGGTGGATATAGAAAAACAGAAAAGGAAGAATGCAATTCATCTAGCAAAGCAGAGGAGAAAGCATGCAAAGTTCATGATAAAATTCATGAGAGCCAAGGTCCTCGAAGGCATCAGCCAGAGGGAAGACCTCAATGCGCAGCTGCAAAGAATTCATATGGCAGTGAAAACACGGTGAGAGCGCCCCCAATCTTTCGTGGTTTACGTCAATGCTATACCATACTAAATCAACGAAACATAGTAGTAATAGGTGGGAAGCCGAGCGCGCAAATCAATATCTGAAAGATGATCTCGAGATTCAGTTCGCAAAGAACGTCGTGGTACGTTACCAACGTGTTAGCTGGGCCTGGCCGTAACCGCAGCTCACATCATCACAGCCCAGCGATTCGTCGTCAGTGAGGTCGTCTTCGACATACTGCTCCGCAGAAGAAACACCGTCTTTCAGCCCCGTTGACGTAATCGAGCCAGTAGAACAGAGAATGCATCTATCTTCCAACTCATTTGGTGTTCAGCCGACGATACAGGGCAAAGCCCAGGCCGGGAAATGAGTGTCACTAGGCGTGTCGTGGCTCGTGGTTTAAGCAAGGATGTAAGGATAACGGTCGTGAGCTCTGCCGTATTTTGGTAAACCAGATTGTTGTTTGTCGATGCTGTTGGAATGATCGTCTGTCGTTTGCAGTCGAAGCAACACTGGTGTAACTTGCAAGGATGCAAGGAAAGACGTTGGAAACCTCAGGCATGACATCGCTTCGGACCATGCCCCTTTAAGCAAGGCGATTGGGATTTAGGAAATGACAGATCAACATGGAGTAAAATCCGACGGCAGGAACAAACTTTACTTTCTACAGTGGCGTGCCAAATGTCGTGCCTGTAACTACCTATACGCAAAGGAGATCTTTGTGAGCCACGATAAGCAAGCATCGCCACTTCCACCAAAAAGGTGTTTGAGCCAGCAGACCCTCTCAGTATTCCATATCAACATGGTCTATGATGATGGGTGGGTGGTTCAAAGGACCGATATGCATCCCAAATATGAGCAAGATGCCTGAGACACTGTGCGAAAGATGTAGGCTCTTGGTGCTGGAGTATACATCTTGTTGACCTATTTTTACCATAGTTGCTTGACGAATTCGTCTCTCCACTCCGCCTCCCCACTTCAAGGTGACCTTTGACATTAGCAAGCGTTTAAAATGACCACCTTAGCAATGTCAGGTAGCTCGGGTCGCGACATGAAGATGGAGCTTCATTTGGCGATGTTCCCAACGAACAGACTACCAGAGAACCGACACGTACCTTTCGTACAAAAACAAGTGCCGCTCAGGGGTATCACGGCTGTAAGCGAGTTCCAGACGCGACACGTGATCGCTGTACACGTGGGGTGCAGTGAAGTGGCCAAAGCTCTCCTTAATCCTCGATTCCTCATCCTCCTCCATCCTATTTCCTGCCCGCTTATCATGACCAGACCAACCTGTTTACGAGAAGCGATCCTTCCCAAACTATCGTCTACTCCATGATTGCGCGATTTCCGGTACTTGAAAGGCGTAGGTATACATCTTGGCAATGGCCACCGATTGACTGACGTGGTGACCAGAATTGCCAGAATGAAGGTCAGCTTATGCCTTGGAGCATTCGCTATTCTGCCATTTCACATGGAGAACAGGTCAAACCGGCATGGACCGAACATTTCGATATTGACATTGGTGCATGGAAGTCAAACTGAGACGGTCATTTTGGATAATGGACCTCATGTGTCCCAAGCAGCCAAACCTCGGTGTTGGGATTGGTACGGACAGTGTGTGGTGCATCCTTCCGATGCATCCTTCTGCCTTACCAAGCGTTTCGACCACTCAATTGCCGGATTGTTTCCAGTGCTCTGTCTCAGCCAGGGCGGTTATGCAGCAGAAGGTTCGAATGCAAAAGAACATCGCACAAAACGTTATTTGTGCATACGCGGATATACCGAGATCTGCGAGTACGAAGTGCGATTGATGCGCTCGGTAATTGTCGATTTCTGCACGTCACTAACAGAACACTTTCAACTCATTGCGCAGAGAAGATAATAATTAGGATGGGGACGTTACAGATGTGCTTTGCCATGAAGTATAGTGCCTACCATTGACGGTGAAACAGTATCTTTCCTTGTTTGGATTTACTTCATCGATAGTGGCAGCTCTGAATGCAGAAGGGTGTGGTAACTTAACGCCTGAATGGACATATCGCCACCAAGAAGGCCAGGTTCTTGGGCAATAGCCGTGAGCGTGGCGGATTCGAAATTTCCATACGAGATAACCTTCTAGAAGATCCCCCTACCCGCGTCATTCAATGCTCAGCTCGGATTGTTACCCGTTCCATGACAGATATAAGGTACCGATTGATGTATTGACTACACTTAGCCGATAGAGAAATGTATCTCCAGCATCAGCATGTGTGCGCACAATTCCTTATGCGTTATCTGCAGTTGAAGGTGCATGCTGTTACTGCATGCCATAGCATTCATGTAAGAGAGAGTGTGGCAATACGTTTGTCCATTACTTGAAGAAGACATAGGTAACTCTCGCCTCTATCACAGGCTCACAGCATGGATTTACCTCCCTGGACAACACGCAGGTTACATGACGCAAGTGCGCTCGAGGTTCCATGTCTGCTTATGGTCCATGTCTCCCTCATTTCTACCAACAATGAAATCCATTCTACGGAAACGCAGGTTCCTGATACAGACTGTCGTAATGGTGCTACTTGCCACATCAGTTCAGTCTAGAACGCTCTTTCTTAACAGAGTGAAGGATGTTGCCTTCCAAGGCTACATCAAAATTGGATATGTGGGTGATTGTACATGTGAATGAATGGTGATGCTGTGTTCACTTATAAATGAGTGGTCTTGAAAACGATTCCTTCGACTCCAGTCTTCTGTTATGATCCTAACCCCAATCTCCTCTGATAGGACCCTGTGAAGATAGCGGCGATGCCTGAGCTTCAACCCGTGGTTTGAGGCTATTCAAGCTAATGACCAGCGGTACAATGTTGAGCTAGAAGTCTACTTGACCGTTAGCCGGTACGATCAAAAACGGAGGACTCGATTCTCATTCTGCTCAAGCCGAAAAGCATCATAGTTCGACTATGTCAGAAGTTCCTTAGGTCGAAACTGTATGTCTAAAGACTCTAATCAACATGAATGTATCAACCACTCCATTTACTTAGCGAAACAGTTTCAGCGATTAGAGACCCTGGAACAGCGAATTCAATGAAGACTTGATACTTGAAAGACGCTTTAGACCTTGAAGCTGAATCAGCACTGGCTATATGGGTAGTCCTGGCTTGCCGCAGGCATAATTTGCACACAGTCTTGCACATGTTCAAGCCCCGTTATGATATCGAGCAAGCACTGACACCATCTCGTTGATGTGCTTTAGCAATTTCATAAGTTTAATTCGAAAACAACCCTCCATGTCAATAGTTCGTGTTATTCCTACCAGCTGGGCATTCCAGTCTGAGATTCCGTCAATCAAAATCTAATCTCAAGAACCAAGGTCCTAAAGCTCCATAAAGATGGACATGGAATTGACAGTGCTTACACAATATCTGAAGATATGTTTCAAAAAAAACAGTCACAAATGCAAATAGGACTGTTACAAGTTGAGTTGGCACGAATTCCATTCCCCTTGACTATATCTCTAGATAAACTTTCTAGGTTCTCAAGCTCGGTAGTTCATAGGGGCTAGATAACATTGAAGCAAATTATTGAAATTTGAAGCGAGATTCTCAAGATTTATCTTGCATCACACTAGACATTAACTACAGAAGCACATGTGTGAACAATCAAGTTAGCTTCAAATGCCAATACGCTGCAAAGGTTTGCTAGTCGTTGGACTCATACTGTTGTGGGTTACTCTCCCTGCGTTCTCTCAGAATTTGAGATTTCTGTAGACATCTACACTTGAGATGTAAAAGTTCAGACTCGGTTGCCATGGTCGGTTGCAAAGTCTTGACGGAGCCAACTCAAAGGGGGAGAGGTCAGAAGAAACAAGGAACTGTACACCGCAAACAAAGTAGACAGTCGCAAAACAAAAGAGCAAGCATTCAGTTACGGATTACCAAAGGGAGTGGTTAGGGGACTGATGTGGCACACTCATTCATCATATCAATATAATGCAATTACATTTGATACAAACAAAAGAGTGATTGGTAACTCAACATACAGACTGTTGCACTAACGATCAAGACAGTGGTAAAATGGACACACAGAAGAAGGGAGCTTTGATAGAAGTATTCTTCTGATGACCAGATTACTTTTGGAAATTGTGAGATACCACCGAGTTTGTCATTTTGGCGGTTGATTTAGAGTTCCCTGTGAAAGATCACTCCAGTTTGAATTGAGTTTGCCTGCGGTAGACATTTCGACAGCAGTCGGCGGATAGATTAATTTATTGATGAACCCCGTCTAGATACAGCTGCTATTTGGGATAATTCAACTATTTTCCGCTTTCTAGAGTACACTTCCATACATCCTTCAGATGTATGCAACTCCCCGATGTCCAATCTTCCTCAGCCTTGAATCTCTATCCTACAAATACAAGCCTTCTGGCTCTCCCTCAGTTTTGGTTTTCAGTACACGTTCTCTTGCCGCTCGGAAATCAGCCATTTGGACGCGCATTCGTCTTTCTCTGAGAGCTAGCAGACCAGCTTCTGAGCAGATAGCCTTGATATCGGCTCCAGACAAATCATCCTTCTGGTTAATGAATTCCTCGAGATCAACGTCTTCATTCAAAGACATTTTAGAAGTATGAAGTGTGAAGATCTTGCGCTTGGTAACCTGATCAGGGTTTTCAAACAGAATCTTTCGGTCGATACGCCCCGGGCGAATGAGAGCAGGGTCGAGAGTGTCAATCTTGTTTGTCGCCATGATGACTTTGACATCGCCTCGATCATCAAATCCGTCCAGTTGATTCAGAAGCTCCAACATGGTTCTCTGAACTTCCTTCTCTCCACCAGATGTAGACTCGTATCGCTTGGTTCCAATGGCGTCGATCTCATCAATGAACACAATGGAAGGTGCATTTTCTGCTGCGACCTAAGAACTTGATTAGACACGGAGTTGAGATATGATGCCAGGATTTACTTACCTGGAAAAGCTGCCGCACAAGCCGAGGCCCATCACCCAGATATTTCTGGATAAGTTCGCTACCAACAATGCGCAAGAAAGTTGCACTTGTTTGGTTTGCAACCGCCTTGGCTAACAGTGTTTTCCCAGTACCCGGCGCACCATAAAGGATGACACCCTTCGGCGGCTTGATACCCATCTCCTCGTATAGTTCTGGATGAAGCAGAGGTAATTCGACCGACTCTCGAACTTCTTGAATCTGTGATTCCAGACCACCAATATCTGCATAAGATTCCGTAGGAGCTTTATCAAGCTTCATAACGGTAACTAATGGATCGGCATCATCTGTCAAAACACCAACAATAGAAACCGACTTATGATGAAGCAGAACGCTAGCACCGGGTTCTAACAGATCCTTGTCGACGAAAGACATGATGGAAACGTAATACTCCGGTCCTGTTGTGCTGGAAACGATGGCGTGGTCATCGTCAATCATTTCCTCCAAAGTACCGACGCCCATCGGACTACCTCTCATATCATCCACGCGCCCTCGTTCATCGGCATTACGATCAGGTTCTTCGCCAGTACCGTTCGCGACTGGCACGTTCCCATCTTTCACTGCCTTTGCTTTTCGGAGGCGTTCCTGATTCTCCACATATTCCTCTTCCAGGAGTAGGTGATCGTGGATTCTCTGCATTCGAAGGTATCTCAATTTGCAACGAGAGGTAGGGTAGACGGCTGGAAGCTTTGCAGATGCATTCGGACCGGCAGCCTTGCGCTTCTTTCGGCCAATTCTAGTCGTTGGCCGGGGTGGTGGTTCGTACTTTGGCTTTTCCTTCTGTGGTTGCACGGCGATTAGCAGATGATCACTTGCTGAAGAGATCAGTAGTCGTAGGAAATTCGAACCTTCTTGTCCTTCTCATCCTTATTATCTCCACCTTGGCCGGCACCTCCCAAGCCCGACTGCTGGTTACCCTTGAGGCAATTGTTAGTATTGATATCATCAGTGTCGGGATTCAACTATCTCACCATTATATTCTCAGCTCTCCGTCAAAGATTGGCTAAGTTCAGTCCCGTCGAGAGTCTCTGTAAAGACGGACGAAGGCCAGTCTAAGTATGGCGATGGTTTTGAAGTTGTTGATGAAAGCTGAGTGTTTGTAATGACAGCTCTGCTCGATGGATCACAGGCGACAGGCAACGCGAGGCCGGGAGTAAGGCGGCGCTAGCGATGCGCGCTTGCGTGTGCCTTAATCTTGCTCTGATAAATAGAGTAAGGCTGTAAGGCAGACTCAGCAACGCATGGATATTGGGCTTCGGTTGAATCTCGCCGAAACAATCTGGACGGCTCGATACCATACAATTACGGAAACCAGCGACTTGCATCTGACTCTTGTGATCTCGAACACTGCATACAACTTGAACACGTACTGTCATAAAACCGCCAGCTCCGCCATAACTTTCTGTTCTTCTATACCTTCATAGCTATAACTTGAACCACCAGTTTTTACGTTAAACCCTATTCTTCATAGCTCTTGATTCGAGCCGATACAGCTGAAGTACCCCGCCAGCCGCCCGCCATTTCTGGGCACCAAAGACAACTGACGACGACCTACTCCTCTGCCATTCACCTACCTTTCTTGTGAGTATTGATCAACGGCTTTTGTCGATGCAAAAAATGAGTGGATAGGTTTTAGCTTGAGTGGATATGCTTAAGACTACGTGATGTAATAAGTGCTAATTCAGATGTTGCTAGCTCCCGTGAACAGCTGTCGACTGAACTTCCTTCCTCCTGTTTTCCGCCTTGTCCGACATCTGCATACAAATTCTTCAGGAATTCGACCCAGAAATTGTCTCGCATACACTCCTATACCCCGCGATATATCCTTGCGTCGCCGAGCATCTCTGCAGGTTCTCTACATCTTCCGCGTAGTGCAGCATGGCATCCAACCGTATCCGCAGAGTTGCAAAGGAGTTGGCAGATATACAGAATGATACAGACTCCAGGATATTCTGTGAGCCTGCAAATGGACAGGATCTATCACATCTGAGAGCGACGTTCCCTGGACCGCCTGACACCCCATACGAAGGTGGAACCTACGCTGTCGATATTAAAATTCCTCAAGACTACCCATTCAAACCTCCAATTATGTCCTTTTCGACCAGGTTATGGCACCCCAACGTCAGTAGCCAGACGGTATGTCCATCTCTGTATCATTATATAAGTCGTAGCCGATAGCTGATTGATATAGGGCGCCATCTGCCTCGATACCCTAGGAACAGCTTGGTCACCGGTTCTCACAATCAAATCTGCTCTCCTTTCTCTCCAGTCTCTTCTCAGCACACCAGAACCAAAGGATCCGCAAGACGCCGAAGTTGCAAGCATGTTGATGAACGATCCAGATATGTTTGAGCGGATTGCACGAGAATGGGCTATCAAGCATGCAGCTGCTCCATCAAATACAACTTGGAATCCCCAGGTTCACGTATCTGCAACCTCAAAGCCTAAGTCCAAGCAGACTCTGTCGCGAGAGGAGGAAATGAAGAAGTACCACGGGTACAATAAGGAGCTCATTGACCGATTCGTCAATATGGGATTCGACCTCGATCGAGTTGTGGAGGCGTTTGAATTTGTCCATATTGATAAGAACAACGGAGAAGACTACGAGCTTGAGGAAGCATACATGGGGGATATTACTGCTAGGCTTCTTGGCGAACCATGAAGGGTTATCTTGGTTTTAGCAATCTCTTTAGACGTTTTATATCTTTGCTCGCGGGCTTCATGGTGCATGGGTATGGCGTTACGGGGTATTGCTTATTGTTTTTTCGTTAGCTTATACTCAAGCCACATGTCCTGGGAAATACTGTGGGAAAGACATAATCATTTAACATCTAGTTAAATTACCTATAATCAACAAGGCACACTTATTCTGCTTCATGTTGTCACGTTCCATTATTATCAGTGTTTACCAAGTGATTACAACCTTTAGCGAGAGCTAGACCCTCGAATTCAATCAATTATTGTGTAGTTCTCCAGATCTGTTTTCACTAATTGTGATCGAGAGACAATACCCTCCACTTCGCTTCATAGCGATGTGCAACGAATTAGTTTGGACTCTCCGACGAATTTTTTAGTCTACAGAAGATATAGAGATAGCAGTATAGAGATATTAGTGGGATGTAATGCTTGTTAATTAGAGCTTTCACAACCAATATGTTTAGACTATACCTAATTTTAGATATTTTCATGTCGGTGTCTTTGCCCCGAGCGGTACATTAAGAACCGTATCTTTATGTCAAGTTCACTGAATCCTTAACAAGAAGGTTACATATGAGGTTAAGTGAATTCAGTGAAGCTATGACTAATGACAGTGAAATAGCAACAAAGCTGTTGAGACTTGTTCTTATGACTACAAAGACCGTGTCATGACACTTCAATGCAACGCTATATTAGAACAGTCACAACCACATACTATTTGAAGTTTTGGACAGCGATTACCACAACTTTCTCAACCTATTGAACTTCTTAGCTATTATATTGCAAGCTGCCACTCGTCCATACCACATCCCCATATCCTAAATTCTTCCACCCAAAAGCCAGAATTCAGGAAGTCATGGCCATGAACTCCATCTCATTATATTTTCACCTACACCACTCCCTCAGCAGGTTCTACAAAGAACAAGCGCCATCATTACCATCTTCTGTTCTAGAGGGAGACATTCCCGGTAACGCGTTCCCACGCACGCCATCAAAAGTACAGGCCCACGACCTGCCACCAACTTCTGTTGCGACTGATTCGAGAACGAATTCTAAGAATAGGTCTGCAGACCGAGAGGTTACTCACGCAACTCAGAACATTATTCAAAAAAGAGCCGATGGCAGACTTCCAATGAGTTCAGTGGCTACTGCTAGCAATAACGAGGGTACGTCGCCGAATACGCACATCAGTGAAGGGAATGGCAAGGCGCCGAGGGGAAAGGCAAAGCAGAACACCGTTACTGAGGACAGGCAAGGGCACGATTTTGAGCCATATATCTGGGGTTTATATTAAGATTCATACCGGCCGTCTTGCTATGGTTATTTAGGGTTATTATATGTTATAGGCCACGTGGGGGAGTTCGCTAGACGCTGGTTCGTTATACGATATACCGTAATTTGACGGATTGTATTCGGGAGACGTAGGATATAATGATAGTAGGTAGATTCTGATAATGTTATATGGAGATTTTGATGAGTTTTGCTTGGTTGTTACTTTAGAGTTGGTGTAATGGTTTGTTGATAATATGAATGGGATGACACGTGCTAAGAGTCTGCCCTCGTATTATTTCGCTCCGTATAAGACAACATCTATTTTAAAAGAGGAGACGTATGTACAGTGATCGCCCTTACTCCTTTGTAGTGCTCCACACATGTGAATATTGTCTTAGCTCAATAAGGTCGATTTACAGGATTTCATGCTTCAGCTAGTCCATCTTTGTTCTATTTTCACAAATCTACGCGTTAGTAGGGATTAAATCGCTACTCGCTATAACCGTCGTACATCATCTTCGAACAACAGTGGCATCTTCTTTCAGGTCGTATAGTCTAGCACTTCAGATCGAGAGAAGTTGGTATTGAGCCAACGAGAGTGATAGTCGTCATGGTTAACTAAAATAAAGTCAGTGAGCATGCAGATTCTGGTCGTTTAAGCTATTATATATTGCATAAGATCAAGTGGAACACCACACAAGAAGAAGTTAAATGAATCAACTCACTATAACCTCCACAAATTCTCCTCTTTCCCGTAAATGCCGATCGACCATGAAGAACGCGCCAGTTGTCAAATACTAAGATTAAGAGTTAGAAAGAATACTCAAAGAGGGGGAGAGTTACTTACTTAGTGGCCGGCCAGGCTCTAATTGAGCCCAATATTCCATGTCCTTTCGCTTCAAGATTTCATCAAACTTTCTAGCAGCATCATACCACTTCCAGACTGTAGGTGAGTAATTTAGGGTACTCCTATCGTCATTATTCCATCTAACTTGCGTAACAGTCGTTTCGTTATTTGGTAGAATCTCAGCTCTGAGAACAGTAAAGTTTTTAGACGCGATAGTGATTCCGTCATTTCCGCTAGCATGCCATCCGATACGCCTATTTTTTAGCACGTGGGCGGCCTCCTCGTCTTCTCTTTCAAGGGTCTGAGCTGCTTTGAAACCATCAATCAGGAGGGATTTTCCGCCGGTTCCTTCAGTGTGCGAGAGGAGGTGAAACATTTGAAGACCAGCTGGATCGGTGAAATAAGCGGTGTCTGTGTGGGCGGCAAGAGCCTGACTGGTGTAGGCGGTATCTTTCATGGTAAGATCCGAGGTAAAATCGTAGAATCCACCTAAAAATGTTAACGCGTAGATTTTCCAGAGTTCAAAAGCTAAGTACCATAATGTGTAACTCTGATAAAAGCTATCCGCTCAAGAAGTTCTTTGGTCCGTTCAGGCGATACGGGGCAGCCGTCGACATAACAGAATCCATACGTGTTCCATACAACGTCAGTAGATTGAAACATGGCTAGGAAGAGAATTTACTATCTTGTCTGTCCACTTGCCTACACCAGAATCATTGGCCATAATCTCATCATAGTGAACAGACGGAGGATCAGAAGCAATCTCCGATCCCCACACTTTCCTATGATTGTCAGTAAATTAGTTCTTGATCGTCGTCTTTACTAACTGGTTTTCAGAGATGGTATTTTGCACCAGCTCGTATTTATTTTTGAATATCCACTCCCATGGGTAGAAACTTTCATGTCCGTCTTCGCTGGCCCCTATTGTGGAATGTTATGGTTATGTCTGACTGTTGGGTCGGGAGATTATCTAGCATACACTTGATATGGAGACCTTCTTTCTCAGTAGTGACTTTCGCAGGCGTAATATCCTTGGGGATCTAGCAAAGTATTCAGCGTTGGAATACTAGTTTCGCTCACAACACAAATTACCGAGAACGTATCGAAGGTTTTTTGCATCGTGTCCTGATTGACACATTTGCGGCATCGACAGCTATCACTAATTGAGGATTAGAGATAATGTAGTCAATGAGTAAGGTGTTTTCTATACCGTAACCAAAAGTGTGGTCTACACGATACTTATTAGTGTTTCTAGAATAGGGTAAAACAACGAGGACCTACAGCTTGATGAAAGAATATCCTTCTTTTCTTGTCATATTTTCGGTACGGATGTAGAGGCGTGTAGACTGCCTGTACGATGATTCATTTTCTGGAATATGATCACCAGCTTTATATCGGGGGGCAAGATTTGGGTGCAAACTCCCATCCCGAGGCGCATCTTTCCAGAATTCTACCTTTTCCGAAAGAGGAACGGCGGAAGATCTCGCATTCTCAGACACTGGCTTCGATGTTGGAGTTGGGGTTGTTTGCGTGGACGAGAAACGCGTCAGGGCATACAGGCCTCGCTGCGAATGCCTTTTCGCGCATGGAGATCTCAACAACAATCCACAACAACGGAAAGCCCATATTGCGTTCATAGTGATTATACTCGGTTCTTTAACCACACGCAGTGTCGAACGAAATAGATGCGTCCTTTCGAACCAAACAAGATTGCTGTCCGCCGGCGTGCATCGGGCCGAGCGGGTCAGTCTTCCGGTGGGCCTAGTCTCCTTGGAAATCCAACAGCGCAAACGGCGAATTGTGACATTGAATTTATTCAAGATTATTAGGGGACAGAATTTCCTGCCACAATATGAGGGTTCATCCCAGTTACTTGGGTCCCTTTTGGTAATGGCTCCCCCTTGATTGATTAACTATGTGTTTTGCAACCTTTGCTTCCTTAAACTGGAAGCCACTCCACACAGCACTTTCTTACCACGTTAGGGACTTATACTTTTGAAGGCCTAGTCTGGATTGAAATCACTTTATCATATATTATTTTCTTTTGTAACACCACAATTCAATGTTGAAAAATGAATTACCAGAAGAATCAACAATAGCATTTTGCACTTCAGTCAGGATCTAAAAAACATACGACGAAGGCTTGTTATTTAATCACGGAAAATTGATGAAGAAAATGCCCTTTCCATATTGCACTTCCCCAGATACATGTTCGTAAAAGACGTGTACAACAAGCTCTAGAGTCAGTTCTACTTTAAGTTGTAAAGATCAAATGCTTCCACCATTCCTGACCTGGGAATGAAGGCTAATGATTAGCTTGCAAACAGAAGCTCAGCGGAGGTTTGTTAGGCAAAATTGAGCAAACGAATTAAAAATTAACGAGCCCGTTTAGACGCTGTAGGACGGGGCTAGCCCCTATCGGCTAGCCCGTGGCGCGACCCCCTAGCCCCTCCCCCTAGCACCCTACGAACTAGGCGACGACGAGCCTCTAAATTACTTACTCTGGCTCTTCTCTTTCTTATATAGTATCTTTAAGTATAATATATAGTACTTAAAATACTTAGCTACTAACCTAGCGCGAGGCTTACTATTATTCTTAAGTAGCTAGTAAAGATAGCTAAAAGACTTATTAGAAATAAGGTAAACTAAATAATAATAAAGTACTTACTATAACTTCTTCTTCTTATACCTATTACTCTAACTAGAGTAGACTCTAATAGACTTATTAGATAGTAGATAGCTACTCTAATACGCGATATATACTACCTTATAGCGACTAAAAGCTTATTAGTAATAAGGCTTTTTAGATAGAAAGGTAAACTTATATAGAAGACTAGTTATAGAGAACTATCTTATTCTAGCCGACTATTTAGATACTACTAGAGAATATATATATAAATAGTATTTTTTAATTTATAAAATAAGAGCGCTAAAGCCTCGTTAGTAATAAAGATTTAAGAGAGCTTAGAATAGACTTATAGAGTATAGTAGAGAGAGTAGTAGTAGTTATAGAGTAGAAATAGAAGTAAGAGGTAGAGGGTAGAGTTAAAGTAGAGCTAGCGCTAAGGAAAGTTATATAAAAATAGGTTACATAATAGCGGCTAAGCCTAATGGGGCCTAGACCCTACCTAATCGGGCGAGGCGCGGCGCCGAGCCTCGCTTAGCGACAGCCCCGGTCAGAAGACGCTGCTACGCGAAGGCAGCGTATAACATCCGGACGAATAATTTAGGATGGCAAAACGTTAGGGCGTCAATACACCAAGCAAACAAACCTTAAGAGCCGCTAGTAGACATTAAAGGCCGCTAGTTTCCAAAATGCTTTATATTTTTGATACTTGAATTCACATAAAACCCACCAGCTACTGTCATTGCAAAGCATGAGTAAAATCTCTCCCAAAGCTCTGGCAACAACCCCAAGAATTACAAGTAACAATTCGTTTGAAGCAACACTTGTCGATAGTAGAGATCCCGCCATTTCGAATATTTCTTCACATATTGAAAACATGGTCGGAGCACAGTCAAGATTGACAATAGAACAGCTTGAAAGCAATAGACTCAAACTCGAACATCTCGAGCTTCTCCGTGTCAAGCATGGCGAGCGAAATCACCATGAAGCTACCAACGCTCCACTCCTCACGATGCCTGTCATGGAGCATGTACAGAGGCAGGACAGCAAGCAGAAAGACCGTCAATTTCCACAGTACGGACTCATCGCAGGAGCAATGGCTAGCGACAACTTGGAGATGGACAAGGAAACTCGCTCAACATTAAATGAAGATCCTCGCATCTTTTTCAACATCGCAACTCCATCGAGCACATTTATTTGTGGGAGTCAGGGCTCGGGAAAAAGTCACACACTTTCTTGCATGCTGGAGAATGTTCTTGCTCCATCTGTCGCCAGTCAGCTACCGCATCCACTTACGGCTCTGGTTTTCCACTATGATACCTTCATCTCCGATCGTGGTGGCTCGCCATGTGAAGCAGCATTTCTGGCGTCAAACAAAAATATCAAAGTCCGTGTTCTCTGCGCGCCAACGAATCTTGCAACTATTCAGGTCAGTCAGAAATCCGTTCCTAGGAAGTGATCTGTGGCTAACAGTGCGAAAGTTGGCATATAGTAAGTTAAACGTCGACATCGTCCCGTTAAAGATAAACCAAACGGATCTGAACACAAAGCGGATGCTTGACCTGATGGCAGTGAAGCAAGATGATGGTCCCATGCCACTATACCTACACACCATCTATCGAATTTTGCGAGATATGCGAATGAAACAACAAAAGTCTGGTGCCTTATTCGATTATGGAGTGTTCAAACAAATGGTCGGAAACACAACCATGACACCCGCCCAATTAGGGCCATTGACCCAACGCCTGGAAACATTGGAAAGTTTCATGAATGTAGAGCAAACAAATTTGGCATCAATGTCTGGAAAGAAAAAAGCGAAAGGGATTAAGGGCATCGATTGGTCCCCACGAGTGAGCTGAGCAGCAAGACTGTTCGAAGTAAGAGAGCTGACTCACGTAGGCTGGTACCTTGACCATTGTTGATCTTTCCTGCCCCTGTGTCACTCCCGAAGGAGCTTGTGCACTCTTCAATATCTGTCTGAGCATCTTTCTAGAAGGAGATACTAAGATAGGCCGTGTGGTTGCGTTAGATGAAGCGCACAAGGTAAGTTGCGCCCACGCTTCGAAGTCGTTTGTATGAATTCCTAGGATAATTTTCTAACGAGAATGGTAGTACATGAATAAGTCTGCGGAGGCATCCACACTGACGGATACCCTCCTCGCTACAATTCGTTTACAACGCCATCTTGGCACACGAATAATTATTTCAACTCAGGAACCCACAGTATCTCCCGCACTGTTGGACTTATCCTCTGTGACTATAGTCCACCGCTTCACATCCCCAGAATGGCTATTGAGCCTGAAGGGTCATCTCGCGGGTGTCGCATCTAAACTGATAGAAAGCGAAGAGTCGCAGAATGGCAACGCAAAGTCTGAGTTGAGTACGGAGAGGAAAGTGTTTACTGAAACTGTCAAGTTGAAGGTTGGCGAAGCGCTGCTGTTCTCTCCAAGCGCTGTCATAGGAATTGGAGACGAAGATGGGAACGATTTAAAGAAACTTGGAGCGGGTTACTTGAAAATACGTGTCAGATCAAGATTGACAACTGATGGTGGAAAGAGCGTCATGGCGGAATAGAGCGCTTTCGACGGGAAGACTCTGAAGTCTGAGTTAGCATGTGTAGTCGAACAAAATGTCAGAATTTCACTAATTGCTTCTTCCAATTCCAACTGCTACAAAGTCCCTGGCCGTATTCCTTTTCATTTCCCAGGTTGAGAGCGCGTTGAATCAAATGAAACCACAGAGCGTACCGTTTTCATGAGATGGTCGAAGCAAATGCCCTGTCGACAGTATAAATCTGTGTGTGGGGTTCGATCAACCTGCGGACTAGAAGAGGTTTCACGCAGGCATCCGTCCATGAAGTATGGTGTGATCTTACATGGATAATTGGAGCCATCTTAAAAAGCACATCTTCGTTCCACTGAAAGTTCACTTCCAACAAGAGACCAACAATGGTGATCTTCCAAATCCCAAGAGCGACATTTCTGACGCCAACATGATTTATCAAAAACTTTCGAAAGTTAGCGGCTTGACTCAAAATCCCCAAACATTCTGCTTCTGCTTCGCATCACTTCGTAACCATACTCCAGACCAGATCTGATTCCGCAAAGAAGTGAGCCGCTTGAAACAAGTCTGGTTCGAGGGGACCAGGTAGGGGTCTGATCGGTTCCTACCCGCTTGTGATACCTTACTTATTAGCTGACCTGAACTATTGTTCTTGGTTTGGGGGAGCTGCCATGAATCTTTCATGATTTGAGATCATGGAGTATTCTACAGATCTGGAGAATTGCAGCCTTTCCAAAGTTTGACTTTTTAGCAATTCCAGGTTCTTCGCAGATATCTTCTTTTCGCACAACTGTTTTAACGGAACTTGGTACTGAATCAATTGAGCATCCATGCGACTGAATCTTTCATATGAAGTGGGCCGGAAACGGCTGAGTGTGAGCCTTTCGGAGTTGTATTGCTGTCTTTTCTGTTTTGAGAGGGCTAACTTCAGTTTTGACCACTTCTGTGGTGTACGGCTACTCCTGTACAGGTCATCAACACAACGGACAAAGCCTTTAATAGATTTCGACCCGCTGACGAGGTCTTTTCTAGACTTCGACAGTGCCAATCTATGCATGAGCTGCAAGTCTTGAACACCATCTAACACGATGCTGAAATCCTTATACAGGATATAGCTGATCATGCGTAAATCAAAAACGACTTTGTGGATACGATTGCTTTCTAAAAGACCCTTCATCGTCCACGGGGTTTTCATTCCTGGTACCGAGAATACTGGTTCGGCAAACGCGTTTAAATCAATGAGATAGGTCATGCTTCCATTGGGTTGATGGATAAGAAAGAATTGGCGGTGTGGCTCCATGGCGTTATATTTGAGATGAAACCACGGATTTCCCTCCTTCTCCACAGATGCTAACATGGCAAGCGTATCGACCAGCTCTGCCATTGCCGCCGTCGTATCAATTACCGTCGCTGGTCGGATTGTAATGGATGCGTCACGTGTAGCAGATGAAATTTGGTCGACAGGTATTCGGGCTACTCGCCTCCCAGAAGAGAATTTTCGAGACCCGTCAGATTGGTGCGATGGCTGGTATAAGAACTGTCTGCACATCTGTCAGCATGGATGAGGAAATGAAACACAACATGATATCACTGCAATCCCACTCGCACAGTTGTACGTCAACTGTCGCATAGAGGAAGCAAACTAGATTCAACATCATTCTAAGAGATTGAAAATGCGTACCCATAGAAGCTGTTTGCGTCGCTAGATCCAAGTGCAGGCCCAGCGATGTTTCTCGAGAAGAGCTTTGAGGCCAACTTCGATTTGTTACTACAGTCTTGTCGAGCGAAGAGCCTGATAGCAGTCGTGAGCTCCGCGCTGTTTAGAAGCGTGAGCGGACGAAAGAGCGACATTTTAACAGTGGCTTGTAAAAGGGAGAGTAGTACACCGATGCATATGCTACGACGTCTTTTTCTTAAAGAAAGGGGTCGAGGGATGACAAATGCCTCTAGTTCAAGGTGCAAATGAAGGGTTCAGTCTCCTTTCTACTACAGTTGGAGGTTGATGAATGAGAAGAACTTTGAACGTTCTGATGTGGATATAAATTTGCAGGTGTAGATACAGATACTGGCTGCCCGGTTTCAGTATTTTCGGATAAACGTCGCAGCCAGCTATAGTCACGTGCTTGCTAGCGAGCTTCGATGTTCGAACTTTTTAAAGTCCCCATCAACCTGGAAGTTTGGTCAGTATTTTTGCTGTGACATAAAATTCGTACCGAGCCAGATAGCATCTAGATTTTGATACGCATACAGAATGCAGTCAAATGAACTGGGAGCTGCACCAACTCCTGGTCAAGAGAGTGCCCAGGGGGCAAGATGCTCGGCTAAATCGCAGCTCATTTTCCGCGCCGGTTGCCGACAACATCTCCTCTCCTTTGCTGCTCTCGTCGACGTGTGTCGGGTGTCACACGTCGTTAGCATTCGGATCGTCTTACCTTCCTCCGAATCGACTAGTAAATGGCTCGCATACAGCTACAGCGGAGGCTCACATCCCGATATGCCTCAAATGCCTGTCAAAAGATCAGATCAGAGAGCATCTCCGTCTCGTGGAACAATTCTCGACTGACAGCCCGACAACGTGGATTCGTGTATTGAAGGACATAAGTGGCGCGTCTAAGAGCATACAAGGCTCCTCATACATGGAAAAATGACAATTCGTAGGTCTTGTTAATATCCTCGCTCTGCTAGGCTTTAAGCAGAGATGGTGGATATTCTTCAGTCGCTAGATTTGTAGGCCTCTTTTCATTATATAATGTAGCAGCCTCATTTTCTCTTTCAACTTCGATTTCTGGGTCTCTGAATTTTACTTCTTTTGCCCGAAAATGATATTTTCTTTCGCTTTCTGCTTGGCCGTTGGCTTGCTTGTGGTGACTGTCAACGCTATTAGCGTCCAACACTTTTCGTGGAAGAATGTCAAGATTGGAGGCGAGTACTCTGACACAAACGCTGTCGGTTCCATAGTTGACAATAATCTTTAGGTGGTGGAGGTTTTGTGCCTGGCATAATATTCAATCCCTCCAAAAAAGGGCTCGCTTATGCTAGAACTGACATTGGAGGTGCCTACCGTCTCAATGCAGACGATTCTTGGACTGCTCTTACCGACTGGGCAAACAATTCTAACGTAAAATATTCTTCCCGTTTCTTTCCCGCATCTTCAGATCTTGGCTTTTAATACGATTTTTCTTATTAAACATTTCTAATAAATCTCGGTAGTGGTAAGATATCATTATATGTCTAGCAAACATTCTAATATTGAAAGGCACGACTGGGGCGTTGATGCACTGGCAACTGACCCAGTTGAACCTGACCGTCTATATATTGCTGTTGGGATGTATAGTAACGAGTGGGACCCGAATCCGGGTTCGATCCTGCGTTCATTGGACCAAGGCAAAACGTGGTTGGAAAGTCCTCTGCCGTTCAAAGTCGGCGGCAATATGCCAGGACGTGGAATCGGAGAGGTAGGTCAATGTACAAGATATTGGGGCTCCTGTTAATATCTTGCAGAGACTCGCGGTTGATCCGAACAAGAACAGTATTGTGTATTTTGGCGCCAGAAGTGGCAACGGGCTTTTCAAAAGTACGGACTTTGGAGCAACATGGAAAGCTGTCTCTAGCTTCAAGTGGCCTGGTGAGATCTGTCGAAAGTACCATTGTGGTTTGTGCTTAATTGTTTCAGGCACTTATTTTCAAGACTCGACTTCAAGTTATACTTCAGATCCTGTGGGCATAGCTTGGATTACCTTTGACTCAACTTCCGGAATGAAAGGCGCTATGACACCCCGTATCTTTGTTGGTAAGTGTATAAACACAATCTAAATCTAACAAGGCTGACGGCGCTAGGTGTTGTTGATGCTGGCCAGTCCGTATTCAAGTCGGAAGATGGTGGATCCACGTGTAAGACTACTTAGGTACGCTTGCTTGAATTTCCTATGCTTACCATCAATAGGGAGTTGGGTATCTGGCGAGCCTCAATTTGGTTTCATTCCTCACAAAGGGGTGTTGTCTCCAGCCGAGAAAGTTCTTTACGTTTCATATGCTAATGGAGTGGGACCATATGACGGGACGAATGGCACTGTGCACAAATATGACATTAGCAAAGGAATATGGACCGACATCAGTCCAACCCCAATGAGTTCTGTCAATTATGGGTATGGCGGGTTAAGCGTAGATCTGCTGAAGCCTGGTACACTTATGGTAGCTGCCTTGAATAGTTGGTGGCCAGATGAGTATGCTTCCCACAATATTCCTATGTCTCTCCTCAAAATCATAATGTGAAGATTACGTATCATTAAATGCATGCACTGACAACATATACAACAGGTTGATATGGCGGAGCACCGACTCTGGATCTACGTGGTCTCCAATATGGTATTTCTTCCCCTGTACCTTACTTGGTGAAGCTAATTTCATAGGGCGTGGGCAAATTATCCCGCCCTGAACAGGTGATTTGCTGCACCCAGATTGTTTGACAATTACTCACATTATCAGATATTACCGTTATGATATCTCTGCCGCACCCTGGCTTCAAGACACTACTTCTACTGCCGATTTTGTATCGCAAGTGGGGTGGATGGTCGAGGCACTGGCCATTGACCCGTTCGATTCCAATCACTGGTAAAGCTTTTTTCTTAATTTAGGTAAATTTATGTGCTGACAAGCGCGAGGCTATACGGAACAGGAGCGACGATCTACGGTGGACATGATTTGCAGCAATGGGACACCATACATAATGTCACTTTGAAGAGTATGGCAGATGGAATCGAAGAGACAGCAGTTTTGTCACTTATTACGCCGCCAGGAGGACCCCCATTACTCTCGGCTGTTGGAGATATTGGCGGGTTTTATCACAGCTCTCTGGATACTGCACCCTCGCAGGCCTTCCACAATCCAACTTATGGCACAACAAGAGATTTGGATTATGCTGGTAACAAACCTGCGAATATTGTCCGGTCTGGAGAGAGCGATACGGCAATCAAGGTCGCTCTGTCTTCTGATTTTGGGAAATCCTGGAACGCCGACTATGGTGCTTCGACATCAACGGCTCCCGGTAAGGTAGCCTACTCGGCGGATGCCGACACAGTCCTCCTCATGTCGAGTGGTGGTGCTTTTGTTTCCCATTTTACCAATCCATTTGTATCGGTTTCTAGCCTTCCCTTGGGTGCTGCTATTGCTTCCGACAAAAGGAACAACTCTGTCTTCTATGGTGGGTCTGCTGGTAGCTTTTACGCGTCATCAGACATTGGGACTAGCTTCCTGAAGACCACTTCATTAGGCTCTTCGACAGCTGTTAACCAAATACGCGTGCACCCTTTAGTTGCTGGTGACGTTTGGGTAACTACTGACACGGGTCTCTACCATTCTCTCAACTACGGGCGAGCTTTTTCAAAAATATACACTGGTCTGACTGCCGGATATGGTTTTGGTATGTAATTGTCGTATATCTGCTAGCATCTACTTACGTAGCCACATAGCTCTAGGTGCTGCATCAACATCTACGGGCTATCCAGCCATCTACGGATTTTTCACCATCGACGGTGTTACCGCGCTGTTCAAGTCCGAAGATGTAGGAATCTCATGGGCTATGATTAGCGACGCTGAGAACGGATTTGGAGCGGCGTCAGCCAACTGTGTTGGAGCAGATATGAGCACTTACGGTCTTGTCTATGTTGGTACAAATGGTCGTGGAATATTCTATGGCTCTCGTATTGGATCAACTCCAACCTCCACCGCTACAGTCGGGACGCCTGTTACGACAAGCACTAAGTCTACTTCTACTGCGTCGAGTACCTCTCAGCTTGGGACAACAAGCGCTAAGTTTACCTCAACTTTATCAAGCTCCTCGCAGGCGTCAACTTTGACAACGGTAAAGACGTCGAGCACCAGTTCAAAGGCTACATCAAGCAGTTCGACATCATCCGCGGCTATCCCGGGAGGCACAAGTACGCCGTACGGACAATGTAAACCAATTGATTCCTTCGGAGAAATATGCTGATTGAATATAGGCGGTGGAAGCTCTTACACTGGACCAAAAATTTGTCCCCCACAATGGACTTGCAAATTTGCAAACTCGTTCTATTCACAGTGTGAGCCTGGGTATTTGCTAATCAGTCATTCGTCGTCATCTGACATAAGCTGCAGGTCTACCCTAACACCGTCGCTACACCCGACTTTGTACACGCACGCTACATGCAAATCTTGACATGCAACTTCTCGATGGATTGCCTTGTTTAGGAATAGTAAAAGTCTCTAGAGGTTCCACTAAACGGGGTCATATCCGTACATGCATACATTACAATGCAGCGTACATGTACATGGTACTTCCAGTAGTAAGGAAATACTTTGCTGCATCTACTTGAAATGTATACATCCCCAAATAAAACAGCTTGTTCTTCATATTAGCCTGAGTCACTCTACAGTCGTCACAATACTCTAAATTTTCGCAACACTGTCCGCCATGAAGCATCGTCACTTCACTCAATATCTGTATCTTTTGTACGTGATCGTGCTCGTGGAGGGATATCACGATGTCTGGTCAGCGTTCAACCTTACACTTGACGGTCATCTGCATGACGCGAAGCCTTTTTCTCTTCCCTGCTTCTCACAGTATGAAGGGGAAGCCATACCGTCGAACCCTGGATTGTGCTCAGTGGTACAGAAAAACTATACCAACTCTCGTTTCCGGGCGGAGTACTACCACGGGTTTCAAAATAACCAAGATGAAGTCTGTCTAACAAATACCACCGCCCAATGTCTTCTAGATCCAACAAATACCGCCAATCAGCAGGCATTCGTCAACAAGAGCTGCAACCAAGGAAGTGTGTCGAAATACTACGTCGATGTTCGTTCCGAGAAGGACGTTATTTCGACCTTTAAGTTCGCACAGGAGAACAATGTCAACTTATCCATCAAGAATAGTGGTCACGATTATCTTGGTAGAAGCAGTTTAGAGGGATCGCTTGCCCTCTGGACACGCAACCTGGGAGCAGTTTCTCGAGATCCCACTTTTGTTCCAGAAGGGTGTCCAGCGCATAAAGTTGCGCCTACCGATACTATCACAACCGGAGCTGGAGTCAATACTGAAGAAGTCTACTATTTTGCTGATGCTCAAAACGTGACTTTCATTGGTCCATATGGCACTAGTATTGGAGTCAGTGGAGGTTGGGTCCAAGCTGGTGGTCATACAGTGCTCTCTCCAGTCTATGGGCTAGGAATTGATCGCGTGGTTCAATACAAGATAGTTACTCCTGACGGTGTGTTTCGAACCGCGAACATTTGTCAGAACTCGGACCTCTTCTGGGCTTTGAGAGGAGGAGGAGGAGGAACATTCGGTGTCGTTATTGGAAGCACACACCGTGTAGAGAAGGCTATGAGTCTGGCGGTGGTCTCTATCACATTCAAGCAAACATCCGCCAACGTCAAAAAATGGTTCACAATCATCACCAACAATTCCTTACCATGGGCAAAGCAAGGCTGGGGTGGCCATATCAGACCTAACTCACTTATTTCAGTCACGCCTCTACTATCTCTGAATGAAGCGGAAGCCTCAATGGAAGCCGCATCCAATTTTGCAAAGGCGAATAACGGATCTGCGGTCATTGAAGTTGTGCCAAGCTGGCTTACCTTCTACACTAAATATCTGGTTCCAAACGAGGCTCCTGTAGCCACACCACGTTTTCTCGCGTCGAGATTGGTGCCATCTTCGATCTTCTCATCTGAAGAAGGCAGATCTGATCTTCTCAACTTTCTGCAGAATGCCCTTGCTCAAGGCTTGCCACCATATATTCCAACAGACACCCCATTTTTGTATCCCTACATACCGCAGTCTACCTCCGCAACGCCAGCGTGGAGAGGTGCTGTATGGAGTCTGAGTTTCGGTGTCGACATCGGGTGGAACACGACATTAGAACAACGGACAGCGACGTTGAAGAAACAAGCGAGCGTTATCAAAGATCTTGAAACTCTAATCGAGAAGTATGGTGCTGAGGTGGGCAGCTATTTCAATGAAGATTCTCCTTGGACAGATAACTGGCGGGAGAAGTGGTGGGGTCTGGAGAACTATAAGAAGCTCGAGCAGATCAAGAAGAAGTATGATCCGAAAGAGTTGCTAGGATGCTTCAAGTGCGTTGGTTTTCAAGAGCGGAGCGCCAAGGATGAATTTGGTTGTTATGATATTTTCACTTAAATTAATATCAACACAGACAGGAGCCTGACTACATGTAATAGAAGACCGCGCTATGTTGAATTAGTTCACAAGCCCCGTTTATGCATATACATTGTGGTGGATAATACAGCTTTTTAAGCTAAGTTGCCGATTTCGCTGCGGAAACAAGGCGCTTTTGTACGTGTGCTCATATTGAGTACTCGAGAGTTGTTCCGAAAAGACTCCCTGGAAGTTAGACATGTATCCTTCACATTCAATAACATTGAATTCTGAAATGCCTTCTGATATCTCTCACTTGGATATGTGGGTCTGATGGCTAGAGAGTGTCGAGTAACTTTAAGCGAGGACGCTTTCCGTACCTAACCATATCAACGACACTTAACGAAGTTGAACCTCACTTACAAGTACAACAGTGCACTTGTCCTATTTGAAGTAGGAACAACATCGTCAACTGAGCCAGTTCTCTCCTCATTGCTTCTTGCTCTTATCATTGCTTCTGCATATCATATCAAACGTCGAGCTATCAATGCTTGCTGAATCTAACCAATAAGAAACCTTACACGGAAAGCAATCTGTCCAGAAGTTGAAGATGAATATTTACGAAGAATGGTCTTCTTTCAAAACGATCCGTGCCGATCTGTCTGGAATTCCACCAAAGCTGAGTCAAATACCGCCGTACTTTGGTAAAACGCAGAAGGCTTCCAATTTTGTACGCCCACATGTGGAATCGAACGGAAACAATCTGAAGGACTGGCTGGTACTTAAACATCCGAAACCTGATCACTAGTCCTGGGCTAATATACTCTCAATTGTAGACAAATGAATATGATTCAAGGAGATTGAACACAGGTACGGTGGTCGCACAAAGCATACGAGACACCAAAAGTGACCTAGGAATGACTGAAGCGGAAAAACTGGGCAAGTATTACTGCACGACCGAGGAACAATCCATTTTGGCAATGATTCATGCTAAAGAGCTGATGATCTCCGACTGGGAGGTAAGTTCACGCAACATTCACACAATCCTATATCTACTAATAATTATAAAACAGACCTTTACTGCTCGGAAGCAAGTTATACTTTCTAAAGCTGCAACGGAGCATCCATTGAGCGTTCAACCAAAAAGATCTTTTGAAAATCTCGTCCCAAGCCTGGAAGCTGCAGTCAAGACACCAAATTCTGAGATTGCAGAACCCTGCCCACACGCACAATTTGCAACGATGAGAAGTCTTCTCGGGAGCGTGAACTATCGTCGTCAGTCTGACAGATCGGCCGCTCTGAACGAATCGGAGCAGAACCGACTGGCTATATCTCAATCCATCGTCGGCAACCTGACGATGAAAGTATCTCAATTAGAAAAAGAGAATTTATTCCTTACAAGACTTCTCCTTTGGAAAGAAGAAGAACCATCAGACCGCGGCCACACAGACAACCAAGCTCTCACCCCCAATTTCATGACCGACATCAAATTAGTAGCACAGCACAGAACAACGGCGAGAGAGAATGCTCGGATAGCCAAATATTACGACCTCAGATTGCCGGCGACAAAACTCATGAAATTTCGTTCCACCACTTTCGCTATCATTTGCAATATGAGAGCTACCATATCGCAGCATCATCTTTTGGAGGGCGGGAAGGTGAATCCGAGGTTGGAGACAAGATATGAAAGATTGGAAGACGAATGCTGGGTTATTTTGAAGGTGATGCTCGAACGGTTCGGTCCCGCTGATGCTGCGAAGAAGTTTGAGGGGAGTGTGGTGGTTGAGGAGCTGCTGGAAGATATGAGGAGTATTTACCAGACATTATCTAGAAGGACTTTGAGGGAGGCTATTTGTGTTTAGAGAGCATGTCTTCATGGGATAGTCGAAATCCACAGAATCCTGGATCCTCCGGATTGCTCTTCCACGACTTGAGAGGGGAAGAGGAAGTACTACAAATATTTTTTGATTCAAGAGCATTGTATCACATATCATTGAAAACAGCAACATTTAGAAGACACACCGAATCAAGTTTTTGTCATATTGAATAGAACAAAATAGAGAAAGAACGTGATACACCTCAAAGAATTGCAGCTGAGGGCTCATCACACCACTAGTCGCAATCACAATTGTCGTACCCTCATATAGGGGATCCAACTAATCCTTGGCGGCAGTATTCGTCCAGCCTCTCCTCCCAAGTGAGACGGTTAACAAGACTATTCTGGGACGCCCATTGAACGAAGGCTCTCAAGACATTGATATCTTTGTCATCTGGCACGACTTCCCATGCTTCTTCATCCATGGTAGTGGCCCTGCTAACTGCTTTGCGTACTAGCTTCGCCTCAATAGTTGTAGGCGGCTCTTCAGATACACCTGGGTCCTTCTCCAAATGACTAGTCTGCACTCCCGCGTCGATCGTATAGGAAGCTGTTTTTGCTCCTACCACTTCTGTGCGTTCCACATCCGTACCATTCACTGATCGGCGCAACGTTCCACTCCACTCAGCCATCACGTCCGGCCTATCTTTCATCAACACCCCCAATAATAGCCCAGGACTTTGAGTGGATGGAGTCTGTTGCAACATTATCTGCTCCTTAGCTCTCTGATTCTCAGCCTTCCGCAAATAAGCTTTTAAATCTCCAAGTCCGCCCTTCTTCTTCATGCGGATCTTGAATTGAGCACCGTTTTCATCGAGATGAGGTCGTAGGTAGGCTAGTGAAACTTCATAGCATTCGGTGATTTTCAAGAACGAGTAATTCTTCAATTGGATAGCTTGCGGAGCTCGTTGCCCATTTGAAAAGTATTGTTCAGGTCCGTAATCAAGCTGGACCTGCATGGGATAGCTTCCCTTTGGATTAGGGCAAATTGGAAGAAATTTCCCGTCTTTTGGTCTGGCTGTGTTTGTGATCTGAGATTACAATTAGTTGAGAAGAAAAGTAATTCGATGGGGTTCAAACGCACAGCCATACACTTCACAACGCCCACTTGCCCAGATACCCTTTCCAATACTACCACTTGACGTTTTCGCACTTTGCCAGGAACGTTTGGCTGTGGAATAGAATCGTCACATTTTGCTACCTTCAAGAACTCAAATATTTTCCCTTCAGGCCCTTCAGGGCTCTTTCGAGGAGACATGTTTAAATCTTTGTAATGATGTTCTTAACGTGATAAAATATTTCTGTATGAAACAAAACGAAGTAGGCCGTTGTAAGAAAAATTGAGAGACTGCGGACTCCTGGAATTTAAGCTATGCAAATGGAATTCATGCTCAAGCCACTATTCCGCCTACTTGAGTGGCGCGGGACCTTGTTGTGTCCCCAGGTCGCTGGGATGGATCACCTGACGGGGTGGATGGCCCATTAAGCGAGATTCATGAAGCATTTCGAGCTCACCGAGAGCATGACAGCGGCCTACTTCACCGGGTAGCCTGCGCATCCATTGAGTATAACGCCTAGGTGTTGGAAGGCGAATAAATGCAGATCAGATTGGCCGTATATATCATCCAGGCCTTCAGCACAAACACTTGACAATAGCCTTGAAGAGCTGTTTGTAACAGACTGTATGCATAAAATGCGCATGGAAATGGCGGTGCTTGACTAGGTAACAGGCATACTCCTGATCTTGCCACACTTCTGCGAAGCGCCTTAGAATTAGGTGCATGCCTCCATGCCTCCACGTTAGGCATAAAAGAATTAGTGATGACTTGTAGTCCAGCTTGCCTGACCTTTCTGAAACCTCTCAAGACTGTGGAATGCCTTCCGTGTCGACCTCGTAGGTGTACTTGGTGTAGAAAACGAAGACGTAATCGTTTAGACTCCATAGTAATTGTGGTGTACTCCGGTTATTAAATCGACCCAAGACACCCCATAACAACCTTCTGGATCAGTACGTAATGGGAATCATGGATTCCTTAGATGAAATCGATTTCGCAAGCCAAGAACGCCCTCCATATATGCATATTTATCCCCAGCGCCACGCTAAATTTCATACTGTACAAATAGATTGTTGGTTCCATATCGCCATTCCTCGGTCTTAACCAGTTGTAAGGCCCGGGCCAAACAACTCATCCGCTTCTCTTGCGACCTTTTCTCTTTCCATCTTTCTCTTTTTGATCACCTTTTCATCCTCAACTCCATCACCCTCTCGCTTTACTTTTTGAAGTGCAACAAGATCAATTTTCTCTGGGTTCCGACATTTTTTCAGTTTCTTAGCTAGAGCTGAGATGGCTTTCCTTTCCGTAGTAGGTCCAGCAGCAACAGGTTCGATCGTCTGTAACATTCCCGCGCAATCAGAGAGCACAATTAGTATCTTCTGGGCCATAGGATCTTCGGTTCCAAATTTTGACGCAATATACCAATGAATGAGCTCCTCGTCTGCAAGTAGAAGGGATGCCATCATTATTTGGCTAGGTGTGAAATGGAAATAGACATCTGTAAGAAGAGCGCTGGTTTTCAGGCGATCTCTTGCCACACCATGTGCTATTTTAACTCTGCGGCTCATGTCTTGCGGTTGCGAACCTGCGGATTCATTGTAAGGAACTGCCCCTTGCGCCATGGCTCCCATCTCCATTACCGCTCCTTCTAAAGCTCGGAAGGGGTGTCGAACGTCGAATGTGAACCGTAGGCCTTGCGTAAGAAGGAACTCGCTGGCAAGGACATCTTCCGGTTTGGTGTTGGCAATAGCTTCTGCGAACTTGCTGAGCCTGAAGTAGTGGTTTTCGGTTTTGGTAGCGAAAAACAATGCGGTTCGTAGGATAGTGTCCGGTGCATAAGTCATAAGAGAATTAGTAGTGTAGAAGCGTTTTATATATTGAACTGCCGTTGCCTGCAGAAACAAGAGTCAGCTTTGAGTAATAATATTCTTGCATCAAGACTTGCCTTGACATCAGTTGGCAGATTCAAGTGATCCCCTAATTGAAGTGTCTGCCTGCAGAAATATGTTATGAGCTTCAATTCCTCCTCCACAGTCAGGCAGTCCACCTCTCCCTCTGGCAAGGCGCTTGCCCCTCTGCTCTTACTTTCCGGATCGGCATCGCTGACATCGGCGGAGGACAAAGCACGCGCCTCTCGAGCTCGTCGAACAGCTTCGCGTACGCGGTCTGCTGCGAATTGATTTGTTGTTGTTCGCAGCGCTTGCAGATCAGCGGGTGTAAAGGACCACAAGCGGTATTGAGTCGAGCTGAGATAACGAGCGTCTTCAGGAACAATATTGGAAATCATCGTGAGATCATGTTCTGAATATGGAAAAGCAAAGCTAGGGGAGATGCGAAGCTGCTGTATGCGAGGTGGGGTGCCCGTTTAGGAGCTCCAGCTTTCTTTTGCGGTGCCGAATATTTGCCGTTGTGTTAGGACCAACTACATCGACGGCGCGTTACTCTTCCATCATCATGAACTCGACAACAGATTCCCAAGCCACATACTTTGAGATCTCGATTCAGGAGCTCACAAAGCTATGCAAGCGCCATATTACAAGTCATCCGACAATATTCTGCCGGCGCACTCCCAGTCGAGTGCTCTTGCTCTGGACAAGCTGGTTGTCGTAACACTTCCAACTGACTCAAGGTTACAGAACTCCTCACATCGTCCAGAAAGACTGGACTGGTTAGTAGTGTCTACGTTTCCCTTACGAAGCCATTCTCCTAATCAGGTCAACTCATTCTTGATTTCGTCAGTTTACGATTGCTCATAAATGAATGTAATGAATTTTATGGATTACTTTCTATCTCATGAGTGTGATTTGTTAATCCTGTTACTTGCTATTTATGGCAGAGCTTTTAATGTATATTTTCCCTTGTCCCCCAAAGCACCCAGAAACACTTCCCGCATGGTATTAACTATAACCTCTTGATGATGTCGTTCGCACTTTCAATATCCCACCGTGGAAACTGCTCCTCGTGATGCTAATAAAAATATAGTCACCGATGCTTGTGTCTATCAGGGTCCGAAATATGGATCCATCTTATCCATCTGCCAAGCAAATTCGCCATGAACAACGTCCGTACATGTGAGGTGACTGATCTGGTGCTTAAGATTATCCAAGTTGCTGTTGCTAATTACCATTGGCAGAGCGATGCTCGTTGCCTGCTCTTTCATAGTGCTTAAATGGAGCAAGAAAGACTTTTCCTCGTCAGCGGTCAACTCCATTCCATTGCTCGCCAACGTAGATTTGTACTTGTCGACAGTTGAGTTTGCTTCAAGGTAGACGTCTCTCCCACCTGCAATCAATTGAAATCTCATGCCGTCGATATTATCACCATTCTGGCGCGCTTCCAAGGCATCTGCCATCTGGTCGCGGTACCAGTCATGCCAGCAGTTATAGGCGTCATACCCAGTGCCTCTGCGGACCTCACGCACGTCAGTCCCATCCACCATGATTGTGCATCTTAGTAATGCTGCATCGGCACATTCTTTGGCGATTATTAGCTCCTCAATCTTTTCGTGGATCAAGATGGAGACATTAGTTTGGATGTACTCTTCGTAAGAGTGTTCCCACGGATCATGAGAATGAGAACCAACGATGTGTATGATTGCTTCTCTGAAGATACTAGGAGATCTGAGAAACATTGAGATGTATAGCCAGCGTGCAGGGTCCTCCATGATGGCTTTCCATAAATCTTTTTTGAAACGTCGTAAATATTTAGAAAAAGACTGACGGATCTCTACGATTCTTGTCACGGGAAGGCCGTACAGTGTCGACAAGTTGAAAATGAATTCGATCTGATCCGTGGCAACGTCGAGGTAGCTTGATATTCTGGGTTCTATCCCACAGTAAATGCGGAAAAGATTATCGTATCCTTCAAGTGTTTTCTCTGATGGGACTAACTCTTGTGCAAATTCTTCTTGATTCGCGGCGGTGTGGGACTTGTCGAGCTTCGTATAATGCTTTTGCGCGGCGACCATCTCAACGTCATTCACCTCCATTGGGTTCATATGGGTAGAGGTCTGACTTTCCTCGACATGTACCATTGTCAGTAGTTTTTCCTTGGGCGGAAGCGGCGACTCCTTAACACTCTCGAGCCCAGCATCTGTCTCAAACTCGGTATTCGGTTCGTTTACGAGATTTGAGCCATCGCCAATCAGTCGAGGGGGTGTTGCTAAGTGCTCTGTACTGTTGTCTTTTACAGGCAGCTCTAAGTCTGTTGGTAATCCCGGTTCTTCGTCGAAAGGTGCATGCTGTGCACTGGGAGATGTTTGATTTTGACAAGCAGTAGATACGCTACTGGGACCATCTGTAAGGGATATTTCTTTTGCGGTAGACAATCGCTCAGCACCTCTGACTTCTTCGACGACAGATTCATGGTCAGTTAGCATCTCGTTTTCGTTGATTTTAGATGAAATTTTCGATACAGGATGATTGTCTGGCCCAGCATTCTTGAGAGTTGGGACAGACTGTTCGGCATTGACCCTGTCTTGCTCAGAAGGTGGTGGTGTCAAACCACGGCTGACTTTTGGGTTGCTTTCGTCTTGGGCAATGATTGCTGTACCTTGCCCCGGCTCGTCAATGACTCCGACAGTGGGAGTTTCCTCGTTGTTCTCAATTGTAAGAAGGTCGGCGTTGTCTTGGTGCTTGATAGGCTGAGAAATACTGCGGGTCTATTCTAAGCGTTAGACTTCTTGAATGTCTGTGTGGTAGAAGTTTCAACTTACAATCTTACGAAGATACCAGAGTTGACGTTCCGGTTCGTATTCCAAGTCGAAAACATGGCTTGGGCCGAAGTCTGATGTCCATTTGGTCGCTACCTTTGGGTCGGACTCTTTTTGAGAACCTTTGGCATTACCATCAAGCGCTTGAGTAAACCAAACTGACCCCTCTTTCAATTTGCCCATGTCAAGTCGATAGGTATATTTCTCATGGCCTGCTAACAGTTCAATATATACCACCCTGGACTTTTGACCATAGCGTGGGAATCTTCCAAGCGAAGGCATTGGGGGTGGTCGACCAACAATCTCCAATCCGTTATCAACGTTCTTCTTTCTGCTAGCCTTAGGCTTTTTATCTTTTTTGTTAGGAGTCACTTGTTGAGCTTCTGCAACCTCTTCTGTTTCCAAGGAAGTCGTCTCAACCTCATCAACGGTAATGGCTGTCGCAGCTTCATCGCCATTATCGTCCGTCAGGTCCACCTCTTTTGTATGCTTCTTACCGACAGCGGCAGTTGAGTGAGGTAGCTGATTCCCACTCTCTGTCAAATCATGTACTTGAAAAAGTTGCATTTCATGGTCCAACTCGGTAGCATCCAAACCTGTCAAGTCTTCATCTTCCTGAGTAGCGGCTTCTGCGACTACTTTTGCTTGCTTGAAACGTATCTTCGTAACGAACTTGCTGACTTCTGTTGCTGGTGCTTTCTTTTGGTTTTGCCCTCCACGTGCAGGGGTGTCGCCTCTACCAGTACGAATCTTTTTTGATCGTGTTCGGGGTGTATAGTCGTCGTCGCCACTTTCTTCTTTAACATAATCGGCATCATAATTGGGGCGTTTTGGCGGCATCGTAGTGGTATGAATATTATGTTTTGTGTGAGATGATTGAGGGAGAGAAGCAGCTGAGTTAAAATAAACGCAGGTCGAATGAAATGTCTTAACTTTGTGTAAAAAATGTGTTTTGAAATGAAATGGGCTATTAGATTGAGGAAGATCCGAGGGTCGTTCTCCGGTTGCAAAAGTGAAGCGTTACGGGTCCCATCTGCAGGTTGATAATGCTCCCGGATGACTCTTGAAGGTAAGGTATCTTTGGTAACGTTTGCGCCAAGGACGAGGACGTGGCAATTGTATAGCTCCAAGCAATAATAAGGAGATCCGATAGTCGTCAGAGCAAATGCCTTTGTTGTTGTTCTTGAATTCTTCTCAGGAAGCGGATCATGAGCTGTCGGCACTGAGAAGATTAGTGCCAATACGGTGTCCAATGTTGAAGTCTGAGGATTCAATAAATTAGGTTCGAAAGTATGTGAAGCGATCAGTCTCTGCGAGGATGCGAAATGTGATAAGACTGTGGGTGTGCCGAATATCGGACTGAGATAGAAAGTGTGATACGAGTTGATGTTTGTTGATAGATTGAGAAGGGAGATGATAAGTGGGAGTGGAGAATAAATCTGAGCAATAAGTACCCGGTGTAGTAATTGTTGAAGCTGAGGTGTTGGTAGCTTTCTTTCGCTTAGAGTTGATCTGCTGTGGGTTACTTCAATTAGAGATCTTATGTGTAGATGGATCACATGCTATTGCTTCGATCTCTGGGCGCGTTGAGAGGAGAAGTGCATCAGATAAATCATAAAGCAGCAATGAGAAGAGAGATAGCTAATGTTGAATATTAAAAGCCTGCTAGTGCTGTAAAGATAAACGTCACTGGATTCTATTTCCAGCTTGTTGAATATTGTTGCGAGAAATTGTATTGTTACTCAATCCTGAAGTGAATACTGGTCGTCGAAAACTGGAATGTATATTTTCCGTGTTCTCCGGAATACAAACCACTGGATTATTTGTGTCTTCAAGATTTAGCAGAGAAGTGACTACCAGCTTTCTCACAACACCATCAGGCAAGTCAGAAACACCAGTAGCAAAATTGATTGAACGCTAGGTCCAAATCACCAGAGAGAACATCATGTACTTGAGAAAAACCGAGTTAGTGTTTTCAAACATTAATGAATATAAGCCCTGAGCAATCGTGCTTTCTGTCAAACCCTCTGATAAGTGTACCGTATTTGAGAATGGTTGGCGCCGGTCAAGTAGGGTAAATCTGTGACGCGATATCGGCTTACAAACTCTCAACCTTCTTCTTTAGATCGGCATTAAAGTTATTATATCCCTTGAACAGCGACTTTCCAAGCAACCATTCCTGTAACAAGAAACTCAAAACCCCCTCGAACTCTTCCTTTTGCACAAACGTAGTTCCCCCATTCGTTTTTTCACTCGGCTGAAATTCAAATGTGTGCAATCCTGCAACCCCCATGACAGGAGGTCCTTTCCACACAAATTTTCTTGCTGAGTTTTCCTGTGTTGATTAGACATGAAAGTAGCGCAGGAGAGCAAACAATATTACAACTATGGACGCATCAAACTCAGGAACACCTTCAATGTGGCAATGGACTTGACTTCCAGCATCAAGTGGGTTGGGATCTTTGGAGAGCGGTGTGATACCGTGGAGGAAACTTGTATGCCATGTTGGGTATGCTGGGAAGTTGAAGAACTAAACGTATCAGCGCTGAAAGCAGTTGAAATTGTGCCCATTGGCTTACTATCTTTTTCACTTCCTCAGGCGATCTGGCGATTTCTATGCTTGTGAAAATCATGACGAAGAGAGGATTTCTTTTTAAAGATTCTACGCTGTGCTGTTTTTTGGGAAAATAAAAGCATATGTATCACATATACAAGCTTGTGACATAGTGCTTACTGTATTGACCCCTGTCATTGACCCACTCTAATACGTACAGAGGCTCCAGGACTGAGCAACAGCCCAATCGTAAGAGACTACTCGTGATGGTACAATGCTGCGAAATGGATGCTTGCACTTAGCAGTTACTCATCTTCTTATCTCTATCTGCTCCTTCCAATCCTGGCATATGGTACAATACGGTTCGGAAGAGTTCACGGCCTAGACGAGTGGCATCCGGCTTTGAAATGAGTACTTCGAGCGCCGGGTTCGAAAATCTGGGGAATTCAGCCCGTAAAGGAACACTAATAAGCCCTGGAAATGCCGTCTTTCTTGCTCGACCATTTCAACCGGTGACCGAACAGAGACACAAAACTGGTAGATATATTGTTACCGCCTTCCTTTAATCAAGACCTGAGAGCAGTTTGTGATTTCTTTCGGAAAGGCAATAATTGCCTCGTTTTCGACGTCTTTACCTATACTGTTGCGAGCATATCGATTTGGAGAATATTTGAAATCTGTGTACGGGCTCGTTCTACTTGTACCTTTCGTACGGGTGTTTTAGGTAGGATATTGTGAGGGTTTTGCTGCAAGGGGTTCGCGCGAATTGGGATTTAATTTCGTGGACGTTCTTGGTTGCCTTGAAACTTAGGTGTCAAGTTTTGTTGCCAAAATACGCGCAAACCATCGTGTCGTGATTACAATGCAGCCAAAATAAAACCAAGATTCAGTTGACTTATATTTTTCCAATTTGGCCTTGATACTATTTCTCCCAGCCATTCTGGTCTTCCATTAGTTGTCGTGCGCTAGGTAAGTACGTGATATTACGAGAACATGAGAAGACGCCACTGATGATGAGAAGTTTTCACATTGATAACAGACTCGCTAACGTGCGAGGAATCCCAAAATACTTGCAGCCCCTCGAACGACATGTCATAGAATCTTTCCATACATTCAAGGGATCATCCTCGACTACGTGGATGATGAATAATTGTCTATTTTGCAGACTAGGACGTGGACGTTGCTTCCACCAAAGATAAGCTCGACAGATGCTTAGGAAAACAAGAACATCATACGTTAAAATTCAATAAATGCTCACTGCATCCAAAGCCCGGACTCATCTGAATTGGTTTAGGATGTAAACCAATTATCGTGATGACAATATGGAAGCAAGAGACCCTGCATCCATCTTGCAGAACATCCAGGGTTGCTTAACAACAAGCTTTCCTTGACCTCGTTTAGGGAATTATGTCATAACGCACTATATTGGCAGCAAATTAGAGACTGAAAGTATTACAAATGCTTTTAAGACCATGATCTGGAATGCCTTTTGAGACTGACGAACCAGTACCTACTACGTATTCCCCTAGACTACATGCGGGATTGATGAATGAGAAGATATATGCTTGGAGGATCGAGCAAAATGCCTTTCGTGAGCTTTTATTCATTTCTCATCAGCGGCAACATGTGAATGGTATATCCATAAAACCTATTTTTAACCGATTAGGAACTGAAAGCTAATGGGGATATTCTTAGGTGTAAAGGAACTACACGACGATTGTAGTCGATGTGAAAATACTCAAAGCCAATGTCCTATTAATTGAAGCATAGTTCTCCAGTATTGTTGTAGACAGTTACACAAGGAAACAAATCCGCGGATTCGGAGGTAGCACGGAGGTATCGGCTACGTCACGTGGCAAAATACTAATATATGTATGTAACTGGTTGTTGTGACCTGGTTTGGGGAGTTACGCCAGTTCTTTTCATGCAGGAAAATGATTGTTGGTCGAAGAATATTTTTAAGACAAAAGTCAAACTTTCGAATCATACGTAACATGGCAACCACTATCCCATTCCACGGATCATTCATCACACTCGAAGAACACTTCATTTCAGCGAGGGTTCGCAAAGAAAACGAGAAAGATGACTATTCCGGCTTTCCTCAACACATGGTCGACAAGTTACAAGATCTAGGTGATTCCAGAATCAAGGCGCTTGATAGTGGGGGTGTTGGTGTACAAGTCTTGTCGCATGGGCCTCTAAATGCATCTTCGTCTGTATGTGCACAAGTCAATGATGACTTAGCTCAAGCAATTTCGAAAAATCCCGCGCGACTAAAAGGATTCGCAACATTGCCAATGAGCGAGCCAACGGCTGCATCGAAAGAATTGGCTCGTTGTGTAGAGAAGCTCGGCTTCGTCGGCGCCCTCGTCGAGAATCATTCGGATGGCAAGTTCTACGATGATGAACAGTACTGGACGGTGTTCGAGAAAGCTCAAGAGCTCGATGTTCCCATTTACATTCATCCCACGTTTGCGTCGGAGGATATGATGGACCATTACAAAGGCAACTATCCCACTCCGGTAGCAATTGCCTTGAGTGCATTTGGTTGGGGGTGGCATGCCGACACTGGACTTCATATTCTGCGTCTCTACGCTGCTGGGCTCTTCGATCGGTTCCCCAACTTGAAAATCATCATCGGTCACATGGGTGAAATGCTTCCCTTTCAGTTGGATAGATGTATTCGCATCACGCAACAAATGGGTAAGAATAAAGGGCTGAGGGAAGTCTGGAAGGAGAATATCTGGGTCACTACCTCGGGAATGTTTTCTTTGGGGCCTCTTGCTTGTTTGTTGCAGAGTACGGAGCCGGATCATGTTCTCTACAGTGTTGACTATCCTTTCAGTAGTAACGAAACTGGGTCTGATTTTCTGGGTGAAATTCGAGCAAGCGGCTTGCTTGATGAGAGCGGATTTGAAGGTTTTGTGAAAGGAAATGCGGAGAAACTGTTGAAAATTAGGGTTTGATAAATAGCTTATGCTGTTTCGACACCTTTTCGATTATTATCTGTTGCGTTTTTCCTGAAAACTTTGACCCATCTACAATGAACGGTTCAAGGAAGCTCCAAATGGATTTCTTATTAACAGACAATCTTATCACCATTCATTGGTCTCTTGTTACCAGTGCTGGATTTGAATGAAAATTCGACCGGCGTGGAACAGGGAATTAAAATAGTGCTTTTGAATCGCGACTCCCCAGAGATTTATTATGATAAAAGGATGTTATGGGAACATGCCAAGATATGAACTCGTGAGGACCTGTCTTCGTTGCGGATCGTGAGGCTTCCCCACTTTTAAACGACGCCTGCACTGGTGCTGCTATCGCTCCGAGTGAACCTACTATTTACCAATTCTACATGTTTCCCTAGAATACCGACCAATTTTATTGTTAGTCCCATTTGATCCTCTGTTAAAGTCACCTATTCGCCATAGGAGTAATCTTTTATGCAAACCAATTGTCCCTAATGCCATCCCCAACGGCTGTTCGTAAACGCGTCTCCCAAGCATGTCAAACTTGTACGAAACCGTTCCACTTCTCGTACCGAATACCCAAAACTGATATGGGGCATAGGCGCGTCTAAAAAGGTTGCCACGAGATACCTGGGTCGCTAGTTCCGAAAGTGGCTGACGACTGATAGATAAAATGCGATGGGCGGAACGACGGTCCTAATGGCAGATGCGGACCTTGTACTCTAAGGAACGAACCCGAGTGTACGTATGGCGTATCCAAGAGGAGGTACGTGTCCATTGAGGGTTATCAAAGAGCTCATCGCTGATATATATAATCATATAGGAGAACACAGCTTTATACACCCAACTTTAGCGGGCTACAACAAGCTCAAGGCGATGCTGCACCGAGCATGTCTGGATCTCTGGCCCCAGATTCGAATGGCACAACTACTCATGCAAATCGCTCTGGGCAGGGCTCTGTGTTCGAGCTCTCAACGGAGGTGTGTACGCGACTTTTTCAAGCATACTTTGAGAGCATCCATCCGATGTGGCCTCTGTTATACAAACCTCTTTATACCTCTCTCGATTACACATACCCCTCTCCAAACATACCGGAGGCTTTGGTGCTGGCGATATTCTCTATAGGATCCTGTGTCGATGGTGTACGATATCCAGAGACGGACGGAGGGAATGGCTCTCGTCAAAGGGAACACTGCCCGGAACCCAAAGAATTCTTTGAAGAGTCATTTAACCTTCTCCAGCAAGGTGGCGAGCATCTGTCCCGTAGTGCAATACATATACTCACCCCATCTATCACCACTTGCCAAGTTCTTGTAATTTTGGCCCTTCAGCAGCATGGTGTTGCAGAGTATGCCCGAGCGGCTATATTGTGCGGTCTAGCTTCTGCAATGGCCATTGAGTTGCACCTCCATCGGGTTCATGAGCAAAACGACCCTGTAGAGCGCGAAATCAGATCTCGACTTTGGTGGAACCTGTACATTTTGGAGAAGATGCTTTCCGGCGAGCAAGGTAGGCCTTTTATTTTGAGAGCAGAAGAAAGTGACTGTAAGTTTTAATGCAAAGAAAATCTTCGATCGAACGATGTCTCTAAATTTCGAAATTAGGTCCTTTACCGTCTACTTCGGAATCGGATGAGTTTGAGCTCATGACTATGTCATCGGGGGAAGAATCTGGACAACGCCGAGCTAGCATGTCTGTGAAACTTCGCACGATATCAGCACTTCATACCACCATTTCGCTTTCCATCATTATCGAAGACCTGTACAAATTGATATACGGTCTTGCCGCTCGGAAGTCCATTCGAGAGAATCCAGTCTCTGGCGACAGAATTAGACTAGACCTGTGGGGTCGTTTAATGCAGTGGGAGAGGGATTTACCTCCTTCTCTGACCCTAGACCTCGAACAACTCAACTCCGTACCTGGTGTGATCACTAATGTCGTTATAATGGTAAGGAATCAGTTTTTCCCCCTTCCACTCCCTATCTTGCTGAGTATAGCTTTGCCACGTGTCGTCTGAACTCTGTTAGAAAACAAGTACAAACCTCGTACTGCTCTCATGCTTGAGTCATTGGCCGGGATTCCGACATTTTGAAGTCTACAAAGCAGTGACTACTTGTGTCCCTAACAGCTTATACATATATCAAGTCACCACAGGTGCTAGTCTTATATGCCTTCGAGTGAAGGTGCTCATTTCCACGCAAGGCTAACCTGAAATTATCAGCTTACCGAAGTCATCATGTGCCATCGGCCGTTCATACTACGATGGACTCCCGGGAAAGAAGAGGAGAACCCATTCACTATCTGCCTTCAAGCTGCATATAGAATGTGTGACATCTTGGAAAAGTATCTTGAACGATCTACATGGTGGCCGTGTGATATGGTCTTCAGTATCTTCGTCGCAGCGAGCATACTCTTGCACCATTCCAAACAGATGTCAGAAGAAGATGGCGAACAAAGTCGAGACCGTTTGAAACTTTGTATCCATTGGCTTTCTGTTCTGGGCAAGTATGTTGAACTCCACCTGATGTCTTCACGATACTTTCAGTTAGAGTTGTGCTAATGTTATGCCCATTCAGGAGTTGGAAAACCGCCGGAGCCAGGAAACAATTGTTAAACGATCTTTATGATTTACCACAAGTACTTCATGATCCAGCGACGAATGTCTCAGTGCCTGGGGAAGTCAAAGCGGTGGCCAAATCTGTGTCGCATTCAGGCGCAGTTGGACACATGACACCGCTCCCGCCTCCCTCAAATACCGTATCCACTATAGCCTCTGCAGAAGATTGGACTTTCCTGCGGGATTTCGGTGATCCAACAGACCAATTCTATGACTGGGACACAGAGCTGCGGAATCTTCTCAACTCTAATCTACAGAATGACTTGACTGGATACATCTTTCCTTAGACGAGAAAATCCCAACTGTGAAGGATCGGACTGGCGATCCTTATTCAGAGTTTGATCAACCCAAAGAAGACTTGCTATCTAGAGTCCCAGCCAAGACCAACCCACTAAACCAGACACTATAACCTCTCACTTTCACGATCTTCATCAAATGTGGCGTTTGCGCAGCGTGGCAGCTTCACAGAAGAATGCTTAACTGTTCAGATTACCAATAGCGACGCCCAAATATCGAATATCCTATTCAAGAGATTCGCACTACTATTCGCTTTGCCTTCATCCCCCCACGTATTACCTCAATCTAGCTGTCCACCATGACAGGCCCTGAGTAGTAATGCCTACCAGACAGAAGGAAAAATGCAATACCAAACAGCGCCCAACCGCCGAGTACCACGGTGGAGTAGTTCATATTTTGTTCTGTGACTGGGTTTACACCTGGAAACGCACAGAACACGATGGCTAGCAACAACCAGGCGATAGCAACAATGTTAACGAGTAGGCCAGTTCTCCGACCCATCTTCCAAGGACCGAATTCGTCGTCTCGAAAGGATAGCCGTCCGTGGCCAGCCATGTACAAGATGGGAAGGAGGTATGAGGTGTACATTCCGAGCACAGCCATGGAAAGAATAGCGTTAAATGCAGTGCTATTGCCGAGGTATATCAATCCCAGGCACATCTCTAATGCTGTAACCAATATTACCGCCCTGACGGGAATTTGTAAACTTGGATTGACCTCCGCAAAGTAAGCTGAAAAAGGAGCGGCATTGTCCCTTGCAAACGCCCAGTACGTTCGTGAGGTGGACGTCAAGCCAGCAGAATTTGCAAAAACAGCTGTAAGGTTTATAGCCAACGTCATCATTGTGGCGCTAATTGGACTCTTGGTGACCTCGAGAAACAATTGCATGAAAGGGAAGCCAGTCTTCGAAGTGAGTAAGCTTTCCAAATCTCCCAAGCAAAACAACAACATAACAGCCCACGCAAGCCCGAGGATGCCGTTGACAACCACACTTCCAACCATGGCGACTGGGACGTTTCTCGCTGGATCGGGCACTGAAATCAGTTAGCATACGCTATTCGCACTGCTTCAGTACTAGGCGCCGTGTCTAAGTAGATCCTTGCCGACCACTAGGGATGGGAGAGGGTGAATTGAGAGTAAAGTTGCATACTTTCTTCAGATAGATGACATGCAGCATCGTATCCCAAGAAAGGATACACGGCACTGAGTAAGCCAACCAGCCACGAAATGCCATCGTTTGACCACTATTGGTGGTAATTAGTGTTAAGTCTCAAGTCTCTTGGGCAAATCTAGATGACGATGTGTTACTCACCCCACTCGTGTTGCTGAATTTTAAAAACACATAATGCGCATCATGTTTGGGAGCCATGACCCCAAGAACGATCAAAAAAGCCGCAAGCCCAGCTACATGAAAAGTTCCGGCTGCTAGATTGGTATGCGGTAATATTTTGGATCCCCATATATTGACCGCGGCGGCATACCCAAGCACCAGCCAGTAGAACAACATCCCTTGCCATCTTTCTGGTATATATGTTTCGGGGTGGTTTAATGTGATAAGGGCCTGAAACTGCAGCCCAGCAGCAAACGCCTGATGTCAAAGATTAGCACTGATCTGTAATGTTTCACACCAATTGACGGGTTGGAGTGTCCTTACTGCTGAAGCCGTTAACACTATTTGGCCACCGATGCTTATCCACTATCGCAGTATCAGCCTTCGTTCTATCCGGCTTATTGAATGCTAAACAGCATATAGATGAGTTGTATTACCCCAGTGATCCAACTCGCAACACGCTTTTGCCTCGGGAAAGCCACAGCATAAACCCAATGATATTGCCCTAAGATCGTGTCAGAGTCGCTATGGGTGCCGTGTGCAGGTTTGTACTAACCTCCTGCTGTCGGAACGATGCTAGCAATCTCTCCAAGCGAAGCTGCAATTGCGACGGAGCCAATGAAACTTATGAGGTAGTTGTAAAATAAACAAGGTGCGCCACCTATTCATATCAGTCATGGTTATACTCCATCTCATTCTGGTGCTGCTTACCGTTGGTGAGTGCGGCTGCTACAACGGAGGTAACTGTACACCGATTCTGTAAGCTTACATTCTAACAAGCTGCTTTTCAGGATATTGACAGACCAGCTTCCCACGTTGCCATCAAGGCCAGACATAAAGCGCCAAGTGACAGTGTCCCGAAGCCTTTTCGAAGTTCCTCGGTCTGCCCTTCTGCCTTAGCCACCTCCAAGTCATTGAGCGTTGCCGATTTGATATTGGCGTCTTGCTCGGTAAGAGTCTTAGCCTTCTCAATATTGGCCTCCATTGAACAATTTTGTTTCCACAAGACTATATATGAAGAAGTGTCGAGCTCTTTGATTGTTTTAGAAGAATAGTTGTGTTTTTCGACAGAAAAGCCCAGAGACGCGAGTTTAATGGGGCATCTAGAAGCTAGATGATGATTCATTTATCCTAACTTTATATCTCACGAGCCAGATAGGAGGCGAAATCTTTCTTATCATACTTTATCTAGGATGTTGTCGGGACGCTGGATGGGCCGCTGCCCAGTGGAGTACCCCAATATCGAGGAATTCGCAAACCACAGGACCGGCATGTGTGTCCAAGACGAGAAAAAGAGTTTGGGCTACGTTCACCACCCTCCTAACGAACGATTTCATGCCTGGTGACCATCCCTTTCCAGCTAAGCGAGGTGATTTACGAACCTGCGCAGAGAATGGTACGACGACTAGGAGTCAGCGCTGCAGCACCACTTATGACAACCAAGGTACAGATAGCAAAGTGTAGGCACCTTGGCTTGTACCGCGGGCGTTTTCCGAGTCCATGTGAACACCGTCCAACAGAATCCGGGAATCAGACGGAGTCCGTTGTTCTCGTCCCGGCTATCAAACCGCTAACCGTGAACTTACCCGGCAGGACTCGGCACAATTCCCGCGGCAATCTTATGGGAAGCGAGCGGATAGCAAAGCATGCAGCCACTATATAGGACCATCAAGGGGCCTCTGGTCTCAGCAGGTTTGTTACCAATACGTTTCTTTATATCTCTGCCTACCCTTTCCCCCTATACACGCAACGACTGAGTCATTATGGGTGATATGGTTACTCCACTGGACCGACGGGTTCCGCATCCCCTAGAACAACTGTCAATCGGCGAGTGTAACACTGCACGAGATGTTATTCTTTCCACACATGGAGTCTCTGTAATTGATTTCCGAACTATCAATCTCGAGGAGCCACCGAAATCTTTACTGCAACCATTTCTTGATTTAGAAGCGGAAGGTCGTATACCAAAGCCAGATGCTTATCCACCCCGCTTAGCCCGAGTTGCTTACGATGTTATAAGCGAGAATAAGGTCTTTGAATTTTATGAATCTGTCGTCGAATTGGTTACGGGAGCAGTGAAGGTTAAGGAGCTTATAGATGCTTCTCATCAAGCACCGTTGGTCATGTAAGTCATCCCTTGAGCGGGCCAGAAATAGTCAAGCTAATGCCAAAAGACGGGAATTTGATCACCTCGTGGAAGCGGTATGGGCATCAAAAACTTTTCAGGATGCAATGGCCGAATTTAGCATTCCAGACGGCTTCGAGGTAATAGTTGAGCCTTGGCCTTATGGAGGCAGGGACCCGGACGACGAAGATAAACGATACTTTCAAGGATTATGCTTTGCTCAAGACAAGCGCTCTGGGAACCCAGACTCCAACTTCTATGCCTATCCACTTCCACTCATACCAGTCATGGATGCGCGGACGAAAGAGATTGTCAGAATTGATCGCCTTGGTACTGGTGGGAAGCAAGACGGACTGGCAAAGGGTACCCATAACAAAGAGATTATCAAGCATTGCAAAGGTGCGGAATACGTGCCCGAGCTTCTCGAAAACGGATCACGGAAAGACCTGAAGCCGTTGGACGTTATCCAACCTGACGGACCTTCATTCACGGTTACCGATGAAAGTTTGGTCGAGTGGCAGAAGTGGAGATTCAGAGTTGGGTTCAATCCGCGTGAGGGTGCCACTATTCATGACGTCCGATATGAAGGAAGAAGTATTGTTTACCGAATGGCAATAAGTGAGATGGTAAGCAGGAGAAAGTTTTCTTTAAAGCCGCGGCGTGCTAACATGTGCCAGACTGTCCCGTATGCTGATGCAAGGGCTCCCTTTCATCGAAAGCAGGCTTTTGACTTTGGCGATGGTGGTGCTGGAACGTGTGCCAATAATTTACAGCTAGGCTGTGACTGCTTAGGTCACATAAAAGTGAGTTTGAACTGACTCTAGGCGGAGATTGGTACTAATAACTTTGTAGTATTTTGACAGCGTCAATGTGGCCGCCGATGGGACAGCGACTGAGCAACCGAACATAGTCTGTCTTCACGAGCAGGATAACGGCATCGGGTGGAAGCATACCAACTGGCGCACAGGACGAGCTGTTGTAACGAGACATCGTGAGCTGGTTGTCCAGTTCATCATTACCCTGGCGAATTACGAGTATATTTTTGCATACAAGTTCGACCAGGCAGGTGGCATCGTGGTGGAAACAAGAGCTACTGGGATCGTCAGTGTTGTCAATATCGATGAGGGAAAAACATCGATGTATGGGAATGTCGTTTCGCCGGGAGCCATGGCTCAGAATCACCAACATATCTTTGCCGTTCGAGTTGATCCGGCTATTGATGGCCCAAACAATACCATCGTGCTTGAAGAGTCACACCCGGTGCCAACCTCTTCCGATCGCAACCCCGCAGGTAATCTGTATGAAGTTCGGCAAACTCCAATCAAGGAGTCTGGCGGCCACGATGCAGCGCCAGAACACAATCGTATCGTCAGGATCATGAATCCTAATAAGACCAATCCTATCTCGGGCAAACCGGTATCCTACAAGTTCAAGCCTCCCCCAACTCAGAAACTTCTCGCCCAGCCGGGCTCGATACAAGCTCGTCGGGCGACATTCACACAACATCACGTTTGGGTTACTAAGTACAAAGATAACGAACTTTACGCCGGCGGTCGTTACACGCTTCAGTCTCGAGATGAAGTCGATGGTGTCGCCGACGCTGCCAAACGTGCTGAAAATGTGGAGAATACCGATGTCGTTCTCTGGAGCGTATTCGGGCTTACACATAACCCTCGAGTGGAGGATTGGCCGGTTATGCCAGTTGAGATTTACCAACTACATTTCAGTCCAGGTGACTTCTTCACGGCTAATCCAGCGATCGATGTTCCTAGTCAGAGAAATCTGAGTAGCACGCTACATCAAAAGAAAAAGGGGAATTGTTGTGCAAAATAAGGGGACGAGAGCATAAGATTTTACGGGTCACTAATTGTGTTGTGGTGGAGTTTTGGCTATTCCCAATAGAGAAGCGATGATTTGTTTACATTGGTTACCGGTCACTTTAATTACCACATAAATATTCATTTATATGGCCAGCACATTTTGGGAAGAACAATGTTGTCTTTCAATATCTTAACCACCGGTGTGTTGCAAGTCTGACGGGACACCTTACGACGGTAGAACAGCAGTATCATCCCCAAAACATTATATTTCCTTAGATCCTTTGAGTGAACATACGATATTGTTTCCATTGTTGAGACTAAATGTAAATTTCAACGATTTCAACGAAAGGTGTGGTGGAGAGTTGTTTTTTCATGTCGTTATTGTTAGATGGTGTCCTGTCAGTTTTGCAATGCACTGGTGAGCCTTTTTGATGGAGAATGTTCGAGTACTATCTCGTGGCCAACCTTCAGAAATCGCCGACATAGTTGCGATAGTGCTTTAACTCCACCTCAAGGCGTCGAGACCAATTTGGTAAATTCGCCTGGACTATTGCAACGATATAGGTGCATATTCAGCGTGATAACCACCTGGGAGAACATCAAGCCCTGATGGATACGAAAATTAGCATTTCTGGCTCAAGCCTGATGTTCAAATCACGGACTGAAGAAAAAAATTGCAACTTACAACCATCAATATCTTCATCAATCACAGGCTTTTGGGTACAATTATTCATTTCAGCAATTGACTGAAGCTTCAACCCTACTGAGTCGCAATTGAAATAGCACGGCGTGTCCAAAATCTTCTGCAAAGCGTCGCCTTTCCATCCAAACACGTAATCCGCATGATTCGCATAACCCGTGGCATCTCCAAACGACCAGACGAAAGGATTAGAACCATCTGCCGGCCACTCAAGACCGTTAAAGGGCTTCGTGTCCCACACCACTTCAAACATTACTTGTGAAGTCCGAACTGGATGAGTGGCTGGACAGGGACCACCGCTTTCGAAAGTTCCTGTTTCCGGGTAGCTCATATGCGACATGTGATCTGGGCTGTCGAGGTTCTTGCCGTCCCAACAAGTCGGAAATCTAAGGGATGTCATGATTCCTTCTTTGCAACGCCGTTTGGGAAAAGCGATCAATTCTGGTTCTCGGGTGATGAACTCGTCGAGACAGGTATAAGTTAATTGTCGGAATCGACCTGCTTCTGCCAGCGTCCTGGCAAATATATCTCCGACGAACATTCGGAAGCCCTATTAGATTAGTCTCAATGGCTGCAATAGTCTAGTTTTCTGCACAACGTACTGGCTGAAATGCAGTGACTTTAGACTTCTGCGTAGAGTCATATATGGCATCCTGCATGTAGTAAACCGTCAAGCCCCCAGTCGCATTTCGAAACTGATTATTGCCCAGTTGAGGAACTCGCTTGTAGCTACCATTCTGTGCTCGAAAATAGAGAACTGCAGTCCAATAATTCGAAAAATCGTCGGCATATTGGCAGGTTGTGCACGTTGACTCTTCTGGCATATTCTTCTTCGGGTCCATGGTTGCGTTGAACGAGTTCTGTTGTTGATGGTTAGCAATTCGATGTAAGAATGATCTGTTTACCCACTCCTCCAACAATTTGATGAACATGACTAGAAGGCATCATGCCTGGGTCTACAAGCGGGTCTAATCGTTGAGTTACGAGTTGCGAACAATGTAATCGGACTACTGCGCTGCCAGGTATGGCGAACGCCAGTGGAAGAAATAAAGCCCACTTCATGGCTTTTTACCTTCTTTGTTGAGATCGCAAAAGAGTGATTGAGCTTGAAGATATAATAAGTTGTTTCTCCAGGCCGTTTTCACTGAATTGAATTGTTGCCCATGAAACACGGAACGAGAAAAAAGCAATATCCCTTAAACCGTCTCAACACTTCAAAAAGACATCCCCAATTTCTAATCTCTGTAACTTTAGCGCTCAATAACTGCCCCACACTGCAGCTATTGTAAGCGTGTAAATATCAAATTGATTGCTTAGAGGTGTAGGTCGTCAATCGATGCAGGCTATTTGTCTTCGGTTAATTTAGCTTTATGAGTAAAAGACGACAATTTGAATACACTTCTGACTGTCGTACAATTATATTGTGGAACCTGATTCGACTTTCAACTGCCGTGGACCGAGACTCTGAACGAGAATAGTAGGTTACACAGCATGCTGGTGCAGTTCTACCCCCACCAGTGAAGACAAACTCGTAGATTTGCAGCGGATCGGCCCACTCGCAGACTCTATACTTGATTGCATCTCCTTCTCAACCAGCCTCACTTGCATATACAAAGTCATACAGCTGTGCATCTTTAGATTTCTAGCTGTTCTGTTATTTAACGGAATCTATTCCGGAAACATCAGTTCATCAACCGCATCAATCCACCCCCTTCTCATGCATCCATCACATACACACATCTCTAAGCACTCTCAGCAGCCCTGACAACACGCTTGAATCCCTGCTTCGCAACTTGAGCCTTTGCAGCAGCAATGGTAGCAGCTTTATTTTGATCGAGAAATCCGCAGCCAGTTTTTCCCGCCTGAAGGGAGGCAGCCTCAGCAGAGCATACGCCTACCGTTGGGTTACCTGCGCAGCAAGCGGACGAGCAGTCGGCGTTTGAGACACAACCACCGGTGATGAATCTGGAAATTGTTAGTCTATCTAGAGATTGCGATTTTCGATTGTTCCTTCTTACTGGGATCCATCACCGAGACCGACGGAGCGTGCACCTGCGTTGTTTGGTGTAACAGCGAGGGCGGAAACAATGACTTTAATATCGTTAGAGAAATATTTCCAGCAAGTACAAGGTCTACAGAAACTTACAGGTAAGAGCAACGGCGAAAGTAATTTGAACCATTTTGAAAGTTGTTTGAGGAGTTTGAGGGTTGTGTAAAAGAGAATGTGTGAATTAAAAGAATGTAGTGGGTGTGAAAGAACGACGCCGGGTCGGTAAGTTTTGAAAAGAAGAGACTGAAATGATTAAAGCTGATGAACTGGAATGAATGAAGAACAAATCTTCTCGCCCGGGTCTCAATATCTTATATACTTTCGTGTTGCTAGATTCGCTTACTTCCAGAAGGTCAGTGTTGCTGTCGTCGCGACTGACAGCGTTACAGATGTTCATCCGGACGCTTCGCTTCAGGGGACATCAGACGTCAAACCGCAGATCATCAGCCACGCAAACCCAGCAGGTGGGGAAACTTTGCGGCGGCGGCAGTCTTACGATCTGTTCGGCTCCAGATTATTGTGAGATCGGCTCAGTCGGTAGCTGGAAAGAGCATATATATCCGTGCATCTTATGCGGCAACTCGGACAGGCTGCGTTTAATCGACATATTTCCCTCTTGGGTATACGATGTCAAGTCGCTGATGTAACAGTAACTGTACATTCCATGTTCGTGATTGGATATATTTGTCTTGGAAAGTAGACAATTGACGCGGCTTGTTCGAAGTTTTAAAGCAGCTTTACACGATGGCCACGACATGCTAGGATTGATTTCTCACTTGGATAAGCTCGCGGTGGACAAAATAAGTGGCAGTCAAAACACGGTATTTCTTCGATTAAGTTGACGAATATCGTTATTTAGTGGACCAATTTAGAGCAATATGAGCCATTTCGTCTATTACTTTAACTAAATAAGACTTCTTACGCTCTGTTCGAAGTCGACTTGTCTAGCCCAAGTTTACTGCGCAGGTGACTGGCACTTATTTGTCCTCCGCAAGATAAGTCACATCTTCCACCAAATCATCAGTGTTATTAACTGCATCAGACTGTCGACAACCATGAGAGAAAGGCCTGCATGAGTCGGTACGATTCGATCGTCAATCTTCATTATGGTAGAACATCGACGTAACTTATCTTGATAATGAAAATATGAAAAGTTTGCACTGGTGGTACAGCGGGCTTGACATACTTTTCGTCGGATCAAAAACATAACACTTCTCAACCTTTCCCTTGCAGCGGGGATCTGAAGATAAAAACCTATATCAGAAAAGAAACAAAGAACAACAGGTCAAATAATTGAAAAGATACCAGAATCCACGGTCGCCGACGCGATAGGAGAGTTTTTTTTGGGCACGACGATTCGACGTGGTTGAAGAAGTGGAATCAATTTCAGACTTATTTCAAAGACGATGTAATTTTCGTTGTACTGTGCGAGAAAGCTAGAACCATAACAAAAGACCAATGGCTCTTTCCTCCGCAAAAAATTATTTCCCTACGGTTATCTGTTGAAGTGAATGTGGTAGGGGACGGTCCAATTTCGTCACACTTTTCCCCACGCTCAACATCATATTATTTTTTTCGAGCGAAGGACGTCACGAGAAGCCCCCAATCAAGAAGAAAGGGATCAGAAGTTGATTTCAGCACCGAGCGGGCTCTGAAAAAAATTGTTTCACCCTGTCAATGAAAATACTAGATGTAGATACACACAAAAATACCGCAAATTCTTTTGGAGAACGATCCCACGATTATGAAGTTTGAATTTTTAAATTCGAGATTTAAATGCGCGGCAACTGTACCGCAACGTGTGATTACTGGCTAGGATCAGTTTTCGCCAGATACGTAGTCGCCATCCATTCAGTAGGAAGCATCTCAATTTCCAACATCCCACACGTCGCACGTGAAAATATTCCTGCCGTGTAGTCACGCGAGCTGATGCCTAGGAAAAGGAGATCTATGATTTTGACAAAAGAATGGTCAAATAATTCTAATGAACATCGTAGACTTGGGCAAACGAGCTGGCAAAAGCATGTTCTGGTCGGAAAATGTGCCCAAAAATATTGGAGAGTTTTTGAGTCCACCCAAATCCAGAATCTTTCCATAGAACTAATGTTCACATTCCCCAGTTGGAAAGCGGAGAGTATGTTTCGGCATCCGTTCCTGTTCTGTTTCAGACATGGCAACCATCTCGTCCTTCGTGGGGAGAAAGTGCATTAGCCCTCTGTAAAGAGGGAGGAATGGTATTTTTTTGACAAAGTTATCACTTTGAAGCCTCACAAGAATGATTGGCTGGATATGTTTGGTTTAAACGAATTGATAAACCTGCCATTCTTTTGTGTGGAACACTAAGCTATATTGGTCGCCGAGGTGAATCAGATTCGGAGCGCGTTTCTCACGCGCACACGATGCTTTAACGGGTTTTCGAGTCCAGGAGAAAATTCAAAATGCACTTTAAAGATGACAGGGACAGTTTTATACCGATCTGTAGTAGGTTTGTATTTTGATTGATGCAAACTCAGTTACAAACATCAGTTTCCGTCCTGATTGATTAGAGCTCATTTACGAACACCGGACTCCTTTCATCAAATAGCTTTTCATACAAACTTCCAAAACCTGTCTAATCTCAATTCATCCATCTATCAAACAAGAGAAAAACTCAGCCTCGTACTGTACGTCAGCTTGAAAGTGACCCTCAGCATCTATTGCCCACCAACAAGCAGTTTCTCAACATCCTCAACATTCTCAACCAACAGACTGGGATATTCTTTGAAAAAGCGCTCAGGAGTCAACATTTGACAAGTAGAATCTTCTTCATCAATCTTGTCTTGGTAGGCAAGAATATCCTCCAAGTGGTTAGCTGTAAAATTCACTGTATAATAGATGAGAAGAACGCTTACAAAATCTTTGGTATCCAACTCTGGGTTAGAATCCGATGCATCGTTCCAGTATACTGCAGCGTCACGGGACTCGACCTTTACAGTATTAGCCTCAGAACACGCACGATTCTTGATGCATGACTTACTTCGTTGAGCAGACAATTCAAGTGAACCTTTGCCATGTCGGAAACGTCCTGCTCGGACTTCAAGGCGACAAGTTGCGTGACGATACCAACACCACGTTGAAGGGCTTGTTGATCGGCTAACAAGGCCTTGAACTTTCGCAGGAGGAAGTGAACCCAAGCAGCTTCAGTGACTTGTTTGGTGACAATTTTGCCGATGTTGAGGTTGGTCAGTTCCTCTGCAAAGGAGCGAAAATTGATCTTGGGATTTGCCATCAGACCAATGAAGTTAATATCTCCGTCAGGGATCATGATATCCTTAGGGATGGGATAATCAACTCGCATGCCGATAGAGTCCCAACTCATGGTGAGATTTCCATACAGCTTCTTGGATGCCTCAGAGAATTGACGTGTCATGGGGAATCTTGTTGGGAAGTTCTCAAGGTGTGTGATCTGGAGACGTGAACGTAGCGCCATGGAGACACCGTACTCCGGACAAAACATCTCGAGCGCTGTCATGACCGAATCATCTTGGTCAATGCGTACAACTTGATTAAGGCGTACCGGAAGTTGAGTGTCTGAGAGGAACACTGGGACCGTTGGTGTGTTGCGCTTGAGCAACGGCAAGGCTGTGTCGACGCGATGGAATTGCTGGGGGGAGTCCATGATTGGAATGATTGGACCGTTACGTCGCAATACCGACGACATGATGAGAGGATTGATGGGGTTTTTGAAAGAAGATTGGCAAGAAAGATGGCTTGAAACAACGTCTGTCGAAGCTGTCGAAAAGTTGATGTTTTTTTTAGGAGTCGATGGGAGCGGTCTCGAGATTTTATACTTGAGAAACTTGCTCATGTTCACCAGAATCACCAGAATGGTTACTGGTTTTCTCGGCCGACGCGTCTTCCAAGCTTGCACCTGAAGAGGTAGATTAGACTTTTTGTTGATGCCTCGTGGCACTGAAATCGTACGTTGACACGGAGTTTTCGGTCTACGGCTTCAGTGAATGTGCAATGTTGAGAAGGTTTTCTGTTGAGCCGAGGCGCTTCTGCGAAGCTGGCAGATTATCAGTGAATATAACAACAAACAGCAATTGCTGCCTTGAGACGGGTGGAACCGCGTGGAAGCGCGTCCAGATGGGAGCGCTCGCACGTTGAAGAGTAGGATAATACCATTGCTTTGGATGGGATAAATTAGAGAAAAGATTCCGGGCTATCAAATCGTAGTCTTTTCTAAACATGGTGCAGCTCGTAATTTCGTCGAAGACATTCGCTAGCGCAAGCTCGCATAAAGTGAAGAAGAAAAGGGGCAGGGTGCTGCAAAGCCCACAACCAACACCCAGAACACCAATAAACCAAGGTGAAATAACGCATGAACAACTCTAAATAAATTGAGATAAACTATAATTGCTTTACTTGCCTGCAGGTTACAAAATAACGAAGTGTTTAATAGTTGGAGTGGTGCTCGCTTATCACTCAGGGGTCAAAACTCCTCTAGCTTGAAGTCATATAAAGGTTATGTGAACAGCTTTTTCACCTAATACTAATCATAAACATGGTATTCACCTTTTTCAAAGGACAGATTTGTATGACTTGACTCATTTTATTCAACAAAGATCAGCCCCAAAATATGTCGCTTATGTAAACTAATTTAACGTATTTCCACAAACTCAAAGATTCAAACAGAGGACTGTAAAGGAGCTAACTCAATTAATTCAACCATCAACCAGCTCTTCAGTTCTGCAGCAATCTCATTCTTCACTTGTGACACTCGTCTTCAGTCGAAAGAGCAAGAGAATTAGCAAGTGACGAAAAGTCTGCTTTGATTTGGAAATCGAGAAATGAGGTATTGAAAGTCCAAAAGCAAACGAACCATTGTAGCTTAGTAACCTTCCAATTATTGTATCAATACAACTTCAATGAGCCTCTTCCAATATGACAATAAATCAAGAACAACAAGAAATAAGCTGATAGCTAAGTCCGTTCTAGGTCCTCGTTATGTGAATTTCCGGAAAGAATTTAAACAACCCCTCTTTTTAACGAGATCAACTCATTTACGTAGTTTTGGCTACAAGAATATCTTGTCAAAAGAGAAAGAATGGTGCGTTCTAAGGTAAATCATTCATTATCAAATTATTAAAAAGCCCAAAGCCAAGAAGCTAATTACAAGAAGATTTACGTTTGAAAATGACAAGTCTTAACAACTTAGAATTCTTCAGACAATGTCAAAAGACCCAAACTATTCGTCTCATGACATACTTTAAATAAAAGACATCTGCTCAGACATCTTAAACTGCTTAATCTGATCAAATTATACCCCTCTCAATACGGAATCAGCAACAAAAGTCCCAAACCACATTAACAGAAAATGAAATTTCGTTTCAAGGAACGATAAATTGCATGCTGCAGAACTCCTAGAATTTGACAACCTCACATCTAGTTCATCTCATCGTGAAATAAGAAAGAAAGTTCTCATTCCCAAAATTCGAAACCAAGCGTTTTAATTTTCAATTGTAAAATCGATGAAAATAAAGCTCGTCTGCCAGTGTAACTGCGACACTACAGAAATGACCCCTAAAATACGCAGGTAGATTAAGCAGGTGTAAATTGAACGCTGGTATCCTTGGATGAACAATCCTCTGGGCTTGTTAGATGTGATATGAGGCGTGCTTACTTGTTAGTGTCGATATTCTGTAATTTAGGCGACCCGTGCCTATAAATGCAGAATCTGATCACCTGTTCATTTGATCGTAGTCACAGTTCTTCTCGAGGCAGGGTAGTCGCGATCAACAATTTACTTCGTCAACGGAACGGACGCTGTTCATTTTACATATCATAATGAGACGATAATTGCACATTCTTCTTCAACCATATAATCATATCCGCAATACATACAAGGACAGTTGTACTCCCATTCCTTGTTCCTTCCTTGAAGAAACACATCCAGCCGCGAAGAACAACGTTCATCTCCCACTAATATCAAAATTATCGCAACTGATCCAGTGATAACAAACTCTTCTACCAAGGTATGAAAACCAAAGAAAAATTACATCTCCCTGCCAATCTATCAACCAAAACTTCCCCAGCGTAATCGAGGATAAACAAGCCTTAACTCCGCTTGAGAAAGGTTATAGCTCAAAAGTAAACTGTCTACCATTTTCAAGTCGACGATCGTCACAATTAATTTCATCCAGACGCAGTATCTATCACATCTATGTTCCGAGTTCCCTGTAATCTAGCATACTGATATCGAGTGATAGAACATTAAATTCGAAACTTTTACAGCCCAGTAATCTACCCCAAAACATCTCACTCACAAAAACCTACCACCTCAACCAGCCGATTTATGATAAAATTGCATCGCAACTAAATCCATTTCTCTTTTCCCAAACCTTCCGGATTCTCTCATAACACAACACATCAACCTCCTCAGCATTCCAGTCTAGCACGCTCATTTCAACCCACGCTCCCTCCTCAAGTCCTCAACATCAAACCAAAACCACATCGCACGTTCCAAGCTTCCACATACAGATTCACTCATACCGTAACGCAACCCTACCACTTCCTTCCAATCCGACGATCACAACACACACCCCTCCTCCACCACCCCTCCCATCCGACCTACTTGATCTGCTTCAAACATCCATCTCAAATTCACAGCCAGAGCTCAAATTTTAACTCAAAATAGACGAAAAAATTAAATATACCTAATCACGTCGCCTCGCACCAGATGGAAACTCGCAAAAGAATTATCAAGAATACTTCCTCATGCTCGAGCTGTAAGATTTTCGACAGACCGGGACGGGGACTTGAGAGCCGAATAGGATCAGGCTCCCGCGCACTCATTTTAGATTCCCCAATAATCAAGACCAGAAAACTATATTCACCAAAAGCACAACGATCACGCACAAAAACCTACCATTTTCCAAACAAATAGCATCACCAGCAGCTGCCAACAAAAGTATTGTGAACTTTTAATTATATTCTTCCTCTGCCTATTCCTACTCTCCTCCTAATATTTCTATATTCCACTCCACCCCATTTCGTACACTCAATAATCAATTCTTCTTTGAATCCTTAAAACGCCCAATCGGTGGTATACACTTTAAAAGCACTGACAACCCATGGTATGGTACATGCATGTCTACAAAGAAATATGTATCCGAACTCCAATATCAATATGTCCTCCAATTTACGCCCGGGAGCCAGGAAATACTAGGACCTGGAATGGCTCAATTACTCCTCCTCCTCACGAACTGGACTGGCTGCACGGCTTTGGGCAGGTGTGTGTCCTGGTGTCGCTCTGGGCGTACGTCTTCCGGCAGTACCCGAGAGACTGTTTTGTCGGCTTCCGGTAGCTTGACGGACACGAAGATCTTGCTGAGAACGAGCAAAGCTGCTGGCACGGCTGCCAGTTGGTCGCTTGCTCAAGCGTCGGCCTTGGACGTCTTGCTGCTCTCGCGCATTGGAAAGTTGCTGTGCGAATGGAGAACGCTTTCGGAGTACCGGTCCCTTCCAGTAGATAACATACACGGCAATAACCAGTACAAAAGAAATGCAAGCAAGAATGGTGGATGCATATGCAAGTGGTTTATCTCCGATATCTTCAAACACGTTAGCAATCAATAAGATGAAGAGAATACCAAGGCTTACTCTGGAAGAAGGGGGTTGCTGGCACTGTAAGAACACCTGCAAGGAAATCACGGGCCCATCCGTTTCCACCTGTTGCTGATGCCGAATACGGTCCGTAAGCACAGATCATGTAGTCAATCGTGGCCATGTAGATGGCGTAGTTGGCGATACCGACAATAGCTGCGAAAATCGAAGATGCAATCCATGGCAATGGTGGACCAGTAGATGTCCAAGCAAAGCCGATCAAGCCAATGGGCAAGCAAGGTGCGGTGTAAAGAAGCCACCAAAGTCGGGACTCGTATTGCGCTGTCTCATCCTCGGGTTTGGCCCTTCGCTCGGCGATGTTCCGCTTAATGACTGGAATAAAGGAAAACCAGGCAATGAAATAGCCGATCAAGATAGGGATGAATGCCAATCCAAGTTCGACGGTTCCAAATCCCCATTGCTTGTAGACGAGCGAGAAAGATTGGATGAACATGAAGATCAGTGCATCAGAGAATCCAGAGAGGAGCGAAAGTGTGAGAACGATAGGCTCGGTCAAGAACATCTTGAATGGTCGAATCCAGGTTACGAGGATCTCCTTGGCTGAGAAACGCTCACGGAAAGGAACCAACTCGTTTGGCCCCCAGATATTTTCCTCTCTTCCTTCTTTTGCAGATGCCTCGCGTCTCCTCTTTGCGATTTTATCCATCATGATAGTAGAACGGGTCTCTGGAACGCACACGAAATGGAGGATTTGGACGGCTCCGCCGAAAATCAATTGAAGCCAGATACTCCACCTCCAACCCAAGTATGCCTCGGAAAAACCACCAATAACAGGGCCCAAAACCGAACCACCGACCGAAGAGAAGACGACAAAGGCGACAGCATATTGTTGGGTGTCAGCCTCCCACATGTCTGCAATCATACCCAGAGTAACGGAACCGCCAGCGGAGGAGAGACCGCCAAGGGCTCGACCGACCATAATTGTGGTGAAGTTTTTCCCAAGAGCCACAGGGAGTTGCCAGACGTTGACGAGAAACAAACTCAATTGCAAAATAGGCTTCCTTCCCAACTCTTCACTCCAAGGTGCCCAGAGTTCACAGCCAAAAGCGTATAGGACAAGGAAGATCATGGCACCGCATCGGCCAGCCTGTGCACTGATGCCAAATTCTTCCGACATACCAGGAACCGCATTTGAGTACAAGCTGGTATTGAAGTTCATGGATACCTGGACCAGAAAGATGACGGTCAGAATCCACCACTTCTTCTTTTCCGGGAATGCATATCCAAGCTCATCGTAGCACATGTCCTCGGTGAGCTCCATCTTATCATTCGTCCCGACTTTTTCGGCGTCTGGTAGGTCATCTGAACCTTTGGTGACCGCGGGAGCAACTGTTGTCTCACCCCAGTGAGGATGATTGCGAGGGCGGCCTGTCTCATTGGCGGCCGGCGCATTCGCGGGCTGAGCATTTTCAATTTGTTCATTGTCCGTTTCGACCTTGGTGTGTTCCGAGCCAGCAGAACTGCTTGCGGAGTGGTCGTTTGAGTTTAGGATTCTCTCGTTATTGTGATCGGGTCCCGCGAGGGGCCCGGCTGGAGGGTCGGAAGGCATGATGAAGTAGTCGATATAGAATCGATAGATGCGGAAGTTGTGTGTATTGATGTGTGGCGGATGGATAGATTAAGTATCTATGTATGGGATTTATGGATGAAAAAATGCGGATATCCTACTATCACTTCACGGCCATGATCGACACTGATATTCAGGGTTGAAGGTAAGGAAGGGTAGCTGCGAGAAGGGTCGAAAAAAGCTGGGGACAGAGTAGCATTATAAACACGGTCGGTCTTGCTTATCGCATCGTATCGATTCTCGATCTAGTAGCCGTCGCGCTGCAGCTACGAAATATTCGAGTGCTCGTGGTGTACTAGCGCGACTAGCTCTGGAGTACTATGGGAGTCAAAGGTCTTAGTACGTCATTACCACGAGAGCAAGCTGTGAGCAGCCAGACCTAAAGGGGGAAAGAGCGCTTACTCGGCGAGATCGAGGCGCACGAGGCGTCCATCAAATGCAAGCTTGGCATGGCATTTGCATCTTTACGCCGCCTGCACTATTACAGCGTACGCACGAAAACGCGGGGTGAGGAGTTGAATTGGCCGGTGGCATTGTTATTTCCATAGCTGGCGATTGTCGGCGAAGTGGTTCACGCAGGTTCCCTTTCGTGGTCAACATTCTACTGACTACTTGGTCTCGATAGTGTCGTCCGTTCCATGCAGATACACTCAACTCAGTCATTCACCTCGTCCTCCACTCAATCCTCCCCCAATTGATACGGGCCCAGTTCCTGTCCCCCACACGAAGTTGAGTGTCCAATCCAGATCCGCCGAAACACCGCTACACCCATCTTCAAGAGTGGATTAGGATAAGTGGACAAGACTCCAGGCGAACCGAGGAAGCCGCCGAGCTGCTTGGCTTGGACTTGTTCTCCCTGGAAAGCTTTTCACGTCAAAAGCTTGTACGGATGCCTGAATGTGTCTTGACTACACTTTACTCTCCCGGCCAAAATCTTGCTGTTGGAACTGCATGGACAGGATCGAGCTGCATGTAGCCATCATCCAACATGCACGGAGCTGATCCTTTGAGCGTATGAACTTGATTGGATTGATATGTGCCAAAAGAGACCTGTTCACCCGGCTCTTGATCTCAGGGACCTGGGGAAGTCAATTCTCGATGCGACGCGACAAGCGGATGCACAGCAATTCTCGTACGGAGATCCAGCGTGACGTTGGAGCGATGACGTCAACTGCAGCAACGGGGAAGAGGGCGAGCACGCCTCAACTCCACCTGGGCACGCAGAAGTTTACCTTCCTACCCCACAAGAACAAACGGCGCATTGGCCCGTATCCTTTGATTTTCAAGAGCGAACTGGTTACTGAAATCAGAAGAAACCGTGGAGTAATAATTGATTGTTTGAGACTTTCAAAAAAGTGATGTTGTGTTACGATTGAGCCTCATCCGCTCTCAAATCTCCAGCCAACCAGAGACCAATGGCGACGAGACAAGCAATGCCAAATTTGCCCAGTATTCCTCCAAACGCCACACCGCAACTTTGCCAATCTACCTTGGCGATTGCTTGCAGCAATTGCTTATTCGGACAGTCTCGGGCCTACCGACAGGAAATGCAATGAAATGAATCATTTGATCGGTCTCTTTCTCGGTCCGTCATAACCTTTTCCTGGCATTTGGTGGGGACGAAAGTTGGATCATGCTTATCGGAGATGCTCATTTCGGCCGATCAAGTTTTTGCTCTAGCCACGTGACCGTCCTCCCACTGGAATGCGTGTGACCAACCGAACTTTGCTTATTGTTTCCACCACCCCATACTGTTCATTATGAAAGGACAGGAATGTTTCCAAATCCGCAGATACTTCAAGTTCGCCTTGATTTAGCCAAGTGCCTATGATGAGTTCGTCTTGACTAGTGACTTGACTAGTGATGTTTTTCATAATCAACACTATCCAATCATCTTAGCTTTGGAAGACAACTGGAGTTCCTCATTCAATATTCTAGGTATGATGTTTTCCTTTGTTTTTGTTGCTAACCCTTACTAGTGTGTTCACAACATATGCGAACAACTTACAAGAGGAAATTCGATTTTGGGTAGTTCCGATACACTTCTTCCATTACTCGAGTGGTCAATGGTTGAAGCTATTAGTCAGACCTAACAACCCCTCAAAAAATGGGGCTCCTAGCAGTGAGGTAGAACCGTCAAATGTATACTGTACTTGTAGATACTTAACGTGCCTTAGGAGGGTCTGTTAGTTTGCAAGTTGTCATTGGTTCGTCCTTCGTGCGCCTTCAGACACCACGCAGTATTCATGTTCAAAAGGCTCACGACTCAAAGATCTAGAATTTGTCTGCTAGATTTCAAAGACCATAACTACCTACTAATGCACGACGCCTAACTCGCGCACATTTCATCGACCAGATTCAAGATGCAAAAATCGCACTGTAAGAGTCGCAGATTGTCGAGGGGGAAATACTCTAAAATTTGCGTCATATCCAAATCGACTCATCAACTTTCAAGTATCAAGTACACGACAGCTAAAATAAGGATTTGCATTTTCTATATTCATTCCACGTTCAAAAACACGGTTATCAAACCCATACCGCCCTACCTAATTGGATAGCAAAATGTACTAATTAATACTAACCACACTACACTCCAACCACACTTACAACCAAGCCAAGAAAATTAAGAAGCTTCTTGGCAGGTAAATTCTTGGAGGTCATGTGCTGGGGGTTTGCTAGTATCGAGACTGCTTGGGTCGCTCTTAGTGAGTGGTTGTATTGGTTACCAGAGAATCGTGCGATGATGGTAGGTTTTGAGCTGAAATGGTAAATGACGATGAGATGGTTTGATGCTGACGATGTTTAGAATTGAGGGCCTGGCCTGGAGTGTTGATGTAGAAGTGTCGTAGCATGGGTTCTTCATTGTAATTAACGTCACGATTCGTCTATGAATCGGTGTGCAAACCGTGGTTTTGGGAGTTAGAAGTCAACAATCTGATAAAATATGAGTGACGAGGAGCTTGATCGCATTCGATCAAGTTTGAATTCGTGATTGTTATATTTATTGAGGTTGACGCCTGAGTTCAATGTTCTAAAGTGACATTCGATCAAGTAGAATCCTAGCGTTTCAACCAATTTCGCGCCGAAGACATTGTCTTGTTACATAAACTGGCTTCAGATCCCCATCGCACATTCTTTCAAGCTCGTTCTTCGCTGAGCTGTTTCATGATGACTATCTACGCTGAGCTCGACGAGCTCAGATAAGAATCCTGTCCCAACAAGGCTAGAAATATTGCGAAACTCCCGAACGGTTAGGTGTCTCTGTCCAAGCCATTGAATTCGCTAGCTAGATTTTGCAGTATCGATGTGTAGTGTGTTCGACGTGTTGGAGACACGGGAATCGTAGACTCTGTGGAACAGATGAACGAGTCGCTTTGGACGAGCTTCTGAGGGCTTACACTTCTTGACATTTGGTATCCCTTCCAGTATCTAGAGTTATCCTTAGATTTGGGGGCCCTTAAAATAAGTCACGGCTCTTTAGCAGTTGAATCGTGAGAGAAATACTCAGACTCAAGTAAGCGTCTAGGTATTCCTAGGCTATAGGACCAATTGTTGACGTTTGAGGAACAAGCACGCTGCTTAATACTTGAATATATCGCTATTACGAGGTTCAAGAGTAGCTATAGGATATCTGAAGAATGCTGAATTTAGACTATTCGTGCTTAGTTCGGCTAGTTGAAGTCTATTAAAAGTTGCTCTGAGCTTGGATTGAAAAATATTTATGGGCAATTTAAAATCAGGTATTCATTGTGGAAGAAATGCTTCGAAAACCCGTCTTCCCATTCAAGCAAAATTGTTACCGATCCTCTCATTCCGATATTCAAGCCACGCAAATCAGCAATACGCACATCGCCAAACAAGAAATAAGAGGGAATAAAGTTCAAGCCACCAAATACAACAGCCGCTCTCTACTCCCTAACAACCCAACCTCCCTCCACAGCCCTCAAAAGTGGACTATCAAAAACACCCACAACCTTCTCCGCGCGCTCCTCACCCAATACCTCTTTCCAGCGTGATCCCTGTTTCATGGCTACGCCAACAGAAGTGACCCTACAATTTAATTGCTCGCTCTCCAGGAAATTCCAGATTGCGAGGAGGGTTTGGCCTTGGTTTATGTTAGGATGTGTTGTAGGAGGTTTGGTGAGAGGCAGAAAATGGGCATACCTGAACTAATTGCGTCGTCAACGATTAAGACGCGTTGGTCTTTGACGAGAGGGAGAAGTGCGGGGTCTAGGTAGACTTTTTTGATCATGTCGGGGGAGGTGATGGAGGTGAGGTTTGTGGATAGCTCGTCTTTGAACCAGAATTTTCGGGAGTAGCCTAGGGGTATGTATCTTGCTAAGAATCCATCAGCATCTATTTCCTTTCATATCTTTGATTCATGAGGGAAATGAGAGAAGTGGGGGTTACAGTGACCCAATTCCTTCGCCACGGCAGCTGCAATACCGAGGCCTAGCGTTGGAAGTCCAATCACAATATCGATATGAGAGCTATATTTCCACTTTATCAAGCTAGCGAGCTGTGATGCTAGGGTTTCGGATACGGCGAAAGAGCATTGTGTGAGGGAGAGTGAGGCCACTGCTTCTTTTGGGGCTGAGTCTGGTGTGCTGGATGGGAGTGGACGTATAGGGAGGTAGAGAAATTTATCATCAAGGAGAAGAGCTGGATATTTGAACTTCCTTGGGGCTCGTTAGCTGGTTGTTGATTCAACATCAGATGGTTGTGATTGACAAGAAAAGGAAAGAGCTGCAGTATGTACCATGGCGCTTCTGGAATAGGTCTATCGTGGTCTTCAATTTCTTGCCAGTACTCGGTCGTTGGTTCCGTAAAGTGTGTTTCCGCCATTTTTGGAAATTTATCTGTCTGCTTCAAACTGTTGATTTCGAGGGACAAGCAGAAGCAAGCTAGCTAGATAAGGTAAGTCGTATGCAGGAGTCGGGTAAATATTTGATGACTGAAATAAAGAGAAAGCAAGCGTGGAAGTGATTAAAGGGTAGGAAAGATCAAAGATAGGTAAAGAAGGTATTTTGCAAAGACGTGTGAATAATTTAAGATTGATTATCGAGCTTCTCGACGATACAGCAGAACACGTGCTATGAATCACGACTGAAAACTTAGGATATTACATTTGTTATTTGAATGCCTTTAGTGGTGATAAACTAGTTCTCGGTTGTGTTATAATATATTCTCTGTTGGATCTAGACTTCTAGACCCAGAGCAAAATTGCTTTTACAGAAAAGACTCGTCGACGCAACCACGGTGCAAGGGAGGGTATGGATTTAAACACACCTGATATCCATTTATCGAAACACAATGTGCTCAAAATGATGGACTCTCCGACGCGAGAAACCGACTACCTTGCCATCAGAAGGGTAGGTCGGGGGTAAAAATAGACTGAGGTCAGGGTATGCGACACGAAGCTCCCTAAAACAGCGAAATAATAACCATTAAAATATATGATATTTAGATGAAACAGCAATGTAATATTGTAGAGTACTTTCTAGTTTAATCATGCTCAAAAAATGTGTTGTAAATCAAATCGCAAAAGGAAGCAGTAGCAGTAGTAGTAGATTGTCCGCCGCAACGTCTTCGCCACATTAAACTTTATCTTCTTTCAAAGCCACACACTACGTGTATGACACTTGGAGTACATTTGATAGCAAGACGCATTATATCTGCCACCAAGCATTCTTTCGAAATACACGCTTGAGGGACGCCCTGTGGTTCAGGGGCAGTGGTTTGGTAACCCTCGTTGCGAACAAAAGAAATGCGCTCGCAAAGAACACGCGTGAGCACTGCCTAGCAGCATTCAAATGACAACAATGTTGGTGATATGATTCGGGTCGGTCTGCTTCATGGAAAGCACATTCAGCCAGGTCTCGAAAAGGAACAAAGGCGCTTACACGTTCGCGGTAATGCCTAGAGCCGCGGTAGAGTCAGCTGTCACGGTATTCTCAAAATAGAACTGATTCAACAACAACGGTCGGAGACCAGGCTTCGCACAAACATCGAAGGGCGGAGATGAAAGGAGTGTTTTACTGTTGTTGAGGTTTGGAGTAAACCGTCGGCCACAGAAGAGCAATCGGTTCGGCATCGGCCTAGGTCGGGCCATTTACGGCACTGAAAGTGGGCCAATTAAGCTGGAACGGCCAGACGCGTTTGCTCGTCGCAAAAGCTGATCAGCTCCCCTGGCTTCGGGGAGATCTTTGGATTCTTTCATGGACGGAAGCTTCACAACGACACAAACAAACGACAACTCGCATCCGTCTCAAGATTCCACACTCATTCTTGACCACGCCCTATTGCACGTACTGTACTTTCAATCCTCGTCAGAAAGTCAGCCCTCGGCTTCGTCTCCCGCTCGTCGCATCTTCATGGCAGCCAGGCCTTGAAGAAAGAAAGTAACCTGTCAACACACCACAGCCGCTCTGCTGCCTTCACCTCCACGGCCAGTCACCACCCTCTGCGGCCAGCGCATAAAGACGATCTCCCGGACATGATTGAAAGGACGAGGCAGGGCAGGACGAGGGCTTTGTTTTGTTGTTGGGTTGTTTTCGGCGCTGGGCCTGATCTAGATGTCGGTGTTGAATCGCACCCACCAGCGCACCATGCTGTCGTCCCACTGGTTCTCGTCTTAAAATGAAAGGCCATCGCGGTGCAAACCGGTGTTTTAGGGCCAATGACAAAGGACACCCGCGGGGAAATTTCCAAGAGCTCATATCGAAAGAACTGAATGTTTCAAGTCGCTGTCGGTACTTGGCTGGCTATGGGTGCAGCTTGATTGGCTGCGGTCGACTGTGAAACAGGGCTATTTGGGTGGATGCACGGCGAAGGGCTGGTCGAAAAGGACCAAAGAACTTTTGCCGACCGCCACAAGCGACTTTCTGTTACAGCTCGACATGCAAGACATCCTCAGGGTTGTTTACACAGGTGGAGAGCTCTGGGCTCGAAGGGTGCAAAGTGGCTGACCTCTCCTCAAACCCACGTCTACCCCCTTTTAGATGGTCGGCCCAGCATTCGGTTTGGTAAGGCTTGAATGATGAGCTTTGATGCAGAGACGCGCCAGTGTCCTGGATTGGATTCGTGTTCAATATACGCGGACCCAGTCTGACTTGGCGCTGTATCACTTGGCAACACACGACCTGGGCCAACTCGACCTTTGACAAAGGAGTCTTTCATGGGGAAAGGTTTGATTTACTATACATGTAAGGCGGCTGCTCTTCATATTGCTCTTTTCTTGTCAGGTCCATTTATTTTCTTCAAACGTTTATTTCTTTTCGGTCTTTACACATCATTCAATCATGCTGTTCGCTTCTGTTCCAGTTATTGTTTCATTTCTTTTTGCATTCTCAACACTCGTTACTGCAGCACCCGGAAAGAAGAAGGCAGGCGCCGTTGTCACTGGGCTCGGAATACCGGTATCAAATCCAGATGCCAAAGATGTCATTGCCAACAGTTATATCGTGGTGTACCACAAGAATTGTACCGACGCTATGATGGAGGACCACGTAAACCAAGTCAAGACCGCAATGAAGAAGCGTAGAATCGGTGCTCGATCTACTGACGGGAGGGTCCTTTCTGGCGATGTCAGCGCAATCTCGATGATGGGATGGAGGGCGATGGCATTAGAAGCCGAGGATGCTATGATTATCGACATCGCAGGCTCACCAATGGTTACCAATGTTGAGGCGGATACACGGGTCAATATTTCAGCCATGGTTAAACAGACAAACGCGCCTTTGGGATTGGAGCGCCTTTCTCATAAAGCAATTAGCACTGATGGATATGCTTTTGATGACTCGGCTGGTACCGGGATTACTGTCTATGTGGTAGACACTGGAATTCGGACAACACACACCGTAAGTTTCGTCCTACCACTAATATACAATCTTGCTAAACAATTACTAGGACTTTGGTGGCAGAGCAACATTCGCTTTCAACAGTGTAAACAAGGTTAATACTGACGAAAATGGTCACGGCAGTCACGTGGCTGGCACTGTTGGAGGTTCAGCATTTGGTGTAGCTAAGAATGCAAAGTTGGTTGCAGTCAAAGTCCTAGGTGCTGATGGTGGAGGATCAAACTCTGGCGTCATTCGTGGTCTTCAATTTGGTATGCCAAAATTCTGCCCAGCCCAAGATTGAGTAAATAGCTAACGTGCCATTCAGTTCTTACAGATGTGACCAACAAGGCTCTAGGAGGGAAAGCAGTCGTCAACATGTCCGTTGGTGGAAGCTTCTCAGCAGCCGTCAATTCCGCAATCGCTGGACTCACTCGCGGAGGGGTCACAGTCGTCACTGCTGCTGGAAATGAGAATGTTGATGCGGCCGACACCTCTCCCGCATCTGCACCATCCGCCATTACCGTCGGAGCCATTGACGCCAAAACCGACGCCAGAGCAGAATTCTCCAACTTCGGAGCTGTCGTTGACATTTTCGCTCCAGGAGTCGACGTACAAAGTGTAGGATTCTCAAGCGACACAGCTGTAGCGACACTCAGCGGCACATCGATGGCCTCTCCTCACGTCGCCGGACTTGCAGCTTATATCATGTCACTCGAAGGCATCGCGAGCCCCGACGCTGTCGCGGCAAGATTAAAGGAGCTGGCAACTGCCACAGGAGCCGTCGTTTCCGACCCAGGAAAGGGAACCACAAACGCAATCATTGCAAACAATGGATCTGGACAATAGATTACAGGAGCATTTGATACCCCCCAATGAATGACAGCGGGCATACTGCATATGGAGTTATTTTTCATCATTAGAATTTTTTAGACCTTGGGGCTCTGCGAGCATTTTATGGATTAGACATCCAAAAAGGCAATTTGGATAGACATATGTCCTTATTACTGTATAAATTTATTTCTATAAACAAATTCAAAAAACCTCTAAATACAATTCCTCTGTTCATCAGGCTATGCATCGCTCGCTCGCTTTCGTATGTATTTAGCCAAGGCATAGCATATTCGTAAAGCATTGATGATACGCCGTCTCCTTCTGAAACACGCGCATCTTTTCCTTCCCCACACTCGGTCCCCACACTCCTCTCCTGACAAGACAATCATCCGATAAAATTCTGTTTCCCCCGGCCCTTGCACCTAAACATCTCCAAGCTCTTCGCAAAGAAGTGTCCGGTCGACAAGAGTTTGGGATAAGAGGCTTGGTGTGGACGAGGCCCTTGGCAGATTGAGTTCTCCGGCAGATTGAGATTTTTTACATACTCCGGTACTTGAGGGTTTTACATACTTTGGTGGCGCGACGTAGATCCTCGTGGTCTGATCTTCGGTTTGCTATGCGGTGGTTAGGGCATTGGGATGTGCTTGTTGTGAAACTTTTGGGTGGTGATCTTTGGGGCGGGTTGACGTGCAGGTGTGGGTAGATTGGCGAAGTCGGGTTTAGAGGTGGCGTTGGAGGAGGAGGAGGGTAAGCAAGGGGTGGATGTGGAATCTTGATGTTGAGAAATGTGAGTGATAAAGATTTTTTGGAGTTCTGGGTTTGGAATGTTGTGATGGTTGTTGATTAATCGAAGAACAGGGTGGGTGTTGGATGTGAGGACTGCGACCCTCGGATCTGAATTTGTAGGCTACAGCGTTGGAGTCTCACCTGTGACCTATGTCAAGATTTGTAAAAGAGACCTTGAGGCTTGTTTCTTTAATTCTGAAGTTGCAGAATTATTAATTGTTTTCATTGCCTTAAAGGCGGCCAAATAACGTGTATGTGGATGATAATCAAGAATCCAAGTGACTCTTGGACTATTCAAATTATGAGATCTACAAACTTGTGACGTCCATCAAATAATTCCTAATTATTACTTCGCTAATGCCAGTGATTTCTAAACATCCACTCATAAGTGATCATAGTCCGAATTGTACCCTTACCGGTATTCCAATCTAGAGTTTTTCACGATCAACTGCTTTCCTGAAAGGTACTGGGATAACAGAGTGTTGATTATAGTTGCAATATCAGCTTCAATAAAAATAGACTACAGTCCCATTCACCACAAATGATGCAATCGTTATCGGCTTAGCTTTTCAAACTACTCCATTATCTACTTGTTTAGAGTTTAGAAGTTTATTGGTATTGAGCTGCTTACTTATTTTAATAGGCAATAAGACAACTCTCCGTTAACGCTAACAGGTTCTTTTCTAACGTAGGAACTTAAACACTTGTTCTTCTACTCCCTATGTGAACAGCACTCTCTTTCCTTTTAACTCTTCAAAAGCCACCTCTTATATCCCTTACACCTACGGAAAGGTTGTAAAGTTCCCGCTGTTTCCAATCGCGCTTCCGAATAACGGAATAATACCGGGACAGCAACTATTGAAGCTCCAGGTTGTAAAATTACTGAGTCTTTACCGAAAGTGACAAGCAATTGTAGTACGCACTACCCTTGCCGATATATCGAAGATATTGATTCCAGATCGATGGAAGAAGAGATTTGTTATTATCGCTCGACATTGAGATCGGTCTATATACGAGGCAAAATGTTGACATCTAAGGCAAAGCAACGGATGTCTTTATCTTAACATAGAGCTTGAATTTATGTTAGCAAAAACCATAATTCCAGATTTGTAGCACAACGTACAAGTGTTAAGCTCCGCTAATCACCTTTCTGACTTGAAGTTTTTCCAGTTTTGTTTAACCAAGCAAGCCGAGATATAGCTCTAAAGAAACTTTTGGAGAATCTCTTCAAGTCCTCTTAGACTAGGTAGGTTGAAATGCTTTGATACAATTAACAGTCCCGTACGGGCGCACGTGACTAGGAGAAATCCCATGAACCAAGAATACTATCTCGCATGAAAGAGAAACAGGTGTGGAATTTCGCAGGTAGTCCTCAAGGTTTTAAGCTTTTTTGGAGAATTCTGAAGACAGTTTCTTCGACTTCGAGGTCCTCGTAAGCAAAAGTAAAAGTCATCAGACCCCCCTTCGCTTACCATCGCCGAATACGGACATCTCGCGCGAGAGACTCAGTGTAGTATTTCTCATCCTGAATTCGCACAACTTATCTTCGTAAAGATTATATCTGCGAATTTAATAAAGCCTCGCGGTTTCGTGCAACTATTCTCGCATGTATGTATCATTTCAGGTAGGAATTAATCAGGTGGCTGCGTCAACTCTGCCACTTCGTAATCTATTGATTATGCTTAGGAAACGGACAAATCATGTATATAAAGAGCTGAGATTGTGTCTCCTAATCCAATTATTCAAACCAACTCCACTCAAATCTACCATCTCATCTACTCTACCAAGCAAACTTCAAAAATGGCCTCCACAGTCCCTCACACCCGAGTAGTCATCAGCTCCCACTCCCCATCAACCAACAAGTCAACATTCACATCAGACAGCCTAGTCCCACCATTCCACCCATTCGGACCTCAAGTCTCCGCCCTAACGACCTTACATTCCCTCCCCAGCGTACCGACATCAAATCTCCTTCCCATCTCAGATACGTCCAACACCCTCCCGAAATGTCCACCAGCAGGCGTGTTATGCAGCGTGGTAGATTTCGCTCCAGCCGCAAAGGCGCCTATGCATAGGACCTTGAGTCTGGATTATATTGTCATCATGACGGGCGAGATTGTAGCCGTGCTGGATGGTGGGGAGGGTGAGGAGCGGGTGTTGAAAGTTGGGGATGTGATGATTCAGAGGGGGACGAACCATAGCTGGGAGAATAGGTCGACAGAGTGGTGCAAGATGATGGTTGTCATGGTCGGCGCTGAGCCATTGAAAGACGGAGAGGGGAATGTGCTGGAGGATACGCAATTTGGCTCGAGGAAGTGAGGGAGGATGGCAGAGTGGATTGAAAGCTTACGGGGGGTTTTCTTGAGTGAGTAAGAAGGGATAAAGTATAGATATGATTCAGACTTCCGCAGAGTTCTGTAGTGTCGGAACATAAAGTACAAGATAATATAATGTGCCTAGACAGAATAAATACAAAGAGTTGAGTGACACTTCTTTCCTTCCTAGTGAGACCGAGGTATGCCCAACGCCTTAAAATAATCACAAGTTCACTATACCCATCTCATCAGTAAGTAAGTCATATCGCTAAATCCAAATCCCACACTCGTCATTATTTCGGCGCCTCCCCTTCTACGAATGCCAAGGCTTCTTCGCGACTCGCAGTGTTGATTCTGGAGGTCTTATCACGGAAGGTGACACCGTAACACTTGTCTGCCACCATCAACATTTCTGGCCTGAATGTTGTACAGATGAATTGTCCACTCATGCTGGGACCATCTCCTCCCTCGGCACTATTCTGCTGTTCTGCGATTTCCTCCAGCATTTGCGCGACAGCGGTACGGTATTGAGCATCGAGGTTAGCGTCGATTTCGTCGAATAGGTAGAATGGCGCAGGATCACACTGTTGGATGGCGAAAACAAGGGCCAGGGCGCAAAGACCTGTTTTCATGTTAGCCGGGGAATTAAATATGTAAATGCAAGAATGCTTACTCTTCTGACCACCACTCAGCTGTTGAATTCGCTGTTGTTCATCGTGTTTACTGTTAAAGGAAACACTGATCCCTACACCAGTGTAGTTCTCGACGCTTTCTCTAGGCTCGTCCTCGGAGTCTTCGTCCTCGCGGGCACGTTGATCAGTCTTGCGTTGAATGACCAGACGCCCTCGTCCTGCCGGTACTAGACGTTCAAATATTTGAGCGAACTCTTTGGAGACCTGTTTAAATGTGCGTTCGATTGCTTCATCCTTGCGTTGGTCGAGGAATTCTACCAGACCTTGAATCAAGCTCTGGGAGTCGTCGAGCTCCTTCCTCCGCTTGGTCAAGTTGTCTCTCTGCGAGGTGAAGTTGTTGTACTGCTCGAATGCTTTCTTGTTAACATGTTTGTACTTTTTCAATGCTTCGTTAACCTTCTTGAGACGGGATGTGATTTGCTTGGAATCTGCATTTGAAAATCTTTCGAAGGCTTCATCCGGCAGAACACCCAGGTCGCGGATGTTCTTTGCGCACTCTGCGGCCGACGTGGTCAAAAGAGCCTTCTTGGCTACGCTCTTTTCCATTCTCTTTTGATACTTTTCGATTGCTCGGGCAAGCTCTTGTTGCTCCTCCTCTTTCTGCGCCTTGATTTTGTGCAGCTTCGATATCCTATTTTCAGCTTGCTCAATTTCACTCTCGTTCTCCTCCAGCTTGCTTGAAACATTTGCAGCTGCCTTATGAATGCGCTTAAGTTCACGCTGAGCCTCCTTAAGGGTGCCTGATCCACTGTTTACATTGTTATCGATCTCCTGGCTGTTCAACTGATCAAGTTTCATTCGAAGATTCTCTCTCAATTCAACCTCGAGCATCTGCTTTCGACCTTCAATCTCCCGTCTTGCGGTACTTAGTTCATTCCAAGATTTGCGTAGTTCGGCGACTGTTCTAGTAAGCTGTTCCAGTTGGCGCTCTTCGTCAGCACTCAAGGCGTTCTTGTAAGGGGAGGCCAGTTCTGCTTCGAGGCCCGTCAAGTTGTCGCTCTGATCATTGACCAACTTCTTGATGACCTCCAATCGGCGCACGTGACCTTCGACCTGGTCCTGAAGCCTCTGTAAGTGTGCGCTCTTGGATCGTAGTTCAACTTTCAAGGGATCAAAGCTGTCATCAAGATGGCGCAGTTTCTGTTCAAGCTTCTGATGCGTGCTCATTGCTGCAGTAATTTCCTGGTCTTTCCTTTCCACTTCTCCCCTGATTTCGATAGCCCGGGTTTGCAGTCTCTCATACTCTTCCCGGGCCTGGTTGACTACTCGAAATGCCTCTAGTCTTGACTTTCGGCTGTCAATATAGCCACCAGTCAGAGCACCCTTTTTGTTAGCAGTGTCACCGTCTGGAGTTATGGCATTACATCCATGACTTCTTGCATAACCGGCAGCGATGGGCAAGGAGGGACAGACAATTGTTTGGCCAAAAACCTGATTCATGGCTTTCTCGTATTTTTCGTCGTATGTGATTCTGGACAAGATTGGTACAGCGTCATTTGCATTTGGTAGCTTGGTTGGCTTGGATCGGACCTGGTCAAGTGGTACAAATGTTAGTCTTCCACCTTTCTGTCTGAACAAAGCTTCCATGAGATATGTGGCTGTCTCTGCGTTGTCAACAACATAGTGGAAGAGGCTGGCGCCGGCGGTTTGTTCAGCTGCGGTGCGATAATTCTCGGAAACTTCCATGAGTTCTGCTAAAGTTCCAAATGCACCTTCGATGTTCTGCTCCTTCTTTAATCTTCTGACAGTTGCTAGACCTCGAGAAGTTGGACCATCCATAGTATGAGATAGTAGAGACTCGGCCTTTTCCTTTTCTCTTCGAGCCTCGGCAATCACAGAATCGATTCTGTCATCCTCACGGCGGAGAAGCTTCCTTTCGTCTGTAAGCTTTTCAAGAGCATCCTTGGCGGAAGTGACTTCATTAGACAAGGCCTGGCGACTCCCACCCCAACCATCTAAACGTTCTCGAAGACCAGCAAGGTCCTGCTCAAGGTTGGTGATTTGCGACTTTGTAGCTTTGACTTCCTCATCAGCGTTGATTCGGTTCGCCTTCTGCTCCCCTATTACGGTGTTGAGTTGTTCAATCTCCCCCCGGAGCCATGTGTCTCTCTGGTTCTTGTTCTTGAATTGAGAGCTTCGACCTTGCTTGTTATACAGTCTATTCTGCGTGGCTTCAGCGACGTCAAGTTCATGCTTCACTTCCGATTCGCTCTTCTTTCGCTTGTTATATTCTGGAATAATCTTCTCCAGTTCGGATTCCGTTTTAGCAATCTCTTCCTTCACAGATCTCAAATCTTGCTGGTGTTGTGTTCGTGTTTGCTCAGTTGCTGATAGACCAGCAGTCAGTGTTTTTACATCTAGTTCGATCTTCGCTTGAGCTTTCGACGTTTCTCGACGGTCTTCTTCCAATTGGCGTCGTTCGAGTTTAAGAAGCTCCATTTGTCGCTTCAACTGTTTAATCTCATCGTCGACTTCTGCAATTGCCTTTTCACCCTCAGTAAAAGCTTCGCGGTTTTCATCAGTCCCTTCCACGCCGTCGGCACGAAATTGTTCAATTTCGTCGAGCGCTTGGTGGAGCGCCAACTGCTCCCGGTGATAGAAGGCATACTCAAGACATCGGCGTTCTTTATCCTTTTCCTGAAATCCGCGCAGCTCTTCTTTCTCCTCCTCTAATTCAGCAAGACGTTCATTGATATAGTCCAGCGATTCGTCAATTTTGGCTCGCTTGTTGTTGGTCTCCGTCATCATCTTCAAAGACTCCGTTCGGCGAGCTTCGTAAATCTGAGTTCCAGCAACCTCCTTCAACAGAGTCAATCGTTCTCCATCCTTCATATTGGTTAAAGCCGTCACACGACCTTGAGGAACAATATAGTAAGGGTTGGAGCGCGAAAATCCCGCGGATTCGAGCAAGTTCATTACGTCTGTCTTCGTCGCATTCTTCCGATCAAGAGAGTACTCGTCCTTTTTTAGCCCAATCGTTCGACGAAGAATCAACTCATCCTTGCCCGTGGGGAATCGATCATCGCTATTGTCGAAAATTACTTCCACATATGCTGACATAACAGCAGAACCCGATCCTTCATGTAGTAGGGCTTGCCGCTCCTCGCGACCCATCTGTGTATACGCATCGCTAAGAACGAATCGAATTGCGGCGAAGAAGTTGCTCTTTCCAGATCCATTTCGTCCAACGATAACATTCGTCTTGGGGGAGAACGGCTCGATGACTGTTTGCTCCTTGTAGCTGGATACAGGTTAGCAAGTGGGCACATGTCTCAAAGAAAATGAGAAAATAACAACCTCTTGAAGCCTTGGATAATAATCTGTTTGATAAACATCTTCGCGATCCGTCGCAAGACCTTGTGGGTTGGGAATGAATCGCTTCAACACAAAATACCAGCTACTGTGGAAGAAATAGGTCAATCCGATAAGAGGCCATACGAGTTCTAGATACGCATGGCAGATCGGCAAGTGTCAGACAATGTGATATATTTCAAAATATGGTAGTCGCAAACGCGTGTCGGACGCGATGTAGCGCGGTCTAGAGGGAGCATTAGCGGGAGAGAAATTCACCGCCTGGCAGAATTATCACTTTCTGCCCGGCGGTAAAGGCAATGATACAATTTTTTAGTTGTGCACCTCCAGCTCTGTAGAGATTAACCTGTACTCAAGGCGACACAAAGTATACTCTAACAAAATTCACATTGATTATTCTGACGTTGAGGTGGCCCAAAGATTTTGCAGATTTTCAAGTTTGGTCTGTCTTTCCAGACCCGTACTACTGATACAATTTCAAGACACCCGACAACGCCTTCACAATAATGGTGGGGCTTCAAGCTATCAAATACCAGAGGGGCAATCTCCAGGTTTTGGATCAACTGAGGCTGCCACATGAATTTGTATATGATGACGTTTTTACTTGCGAGGAGGCTTTTGATTGCATCAAGGCTATGCGCGTAAGAGGTATGCTTCGAGATTTTCGATGGACATTTCATCGACTGATCTTGATTACAAGGTGCTCCGGCCATTGCCATTGTTGCCGCACTTGCGCTTGCAGTGGAATTGGAGCAGAAGAAAGATGGTGAGTTCGAACATTGCCTTTCTCCTTAGAAGATTGCCTATCTGACACCAACAGGGGCGAGCAATTCCCAAGAATTGGTCAAGTATATCAATTCCAAACTAGACTATCTCATGGGTAGTCGTCCGACAGCGGTTGATCTCTCCAACGCAATCAAACTACTCAAAAGCCGAACGCAAAACGCAGCATCAAACAGTACAAGCGATGAAGCTGCATCGTGTGCTAACGTGCGAACCGTTTTTATTGAGGTTGCTGAGAAAATTCTGGAAGATGACTATACCACCAATCTGGCCATTGGTAGATATGGTGCGGAATACTTGAGGAGGCAACAGAGAGCTATTGTCACACCAGTCGACGCGGAGGCAGAGTTGAGGTACTACACGACGAGTCCTCCTGGAACACAAGGTTTGCCAGATCGGACATATCGAAAACTGAGTGTGCTAACGCACTGCAATACGGGGTATGTTTGTTTTACTTGATTTAGGCTTCGTGTCAAGTCTTTCTGTCATACAACTGCGCAACCAGAGACTGACTGTCTTCAGGTCACTTGCAACTTCAGGTCATGGCACGGCACTGGGTATAATTCGCAGTTTGCATAAGATGAATTATCTTGATCATGCATATTGTACCGAAACCCGCCCTTATAATCAAGGCTCTCGTCTCACAGCTTTTGAATTGGTCTACGAAGAAATCCCTTCAACCCTCATAACGGACTCCATGGCAGGTGCACTGTTTCACCGAAAGAAGGAAGAGATGAACATCTCTGCAGTTATTGTTGGAGCTGACCGTGTTGCCCGGAATGGAGATACCGCGAACAAGATTGGTACCTATCAGCTTGCTGTACTTGCCAAAGCGCACGGTATAAAATTTGTGGTGGCAGCTCCCACCACCAGTATTGACCTCGAAACCGAATCTGGTGACTCTATCAAAATTGAAGACCGCGCCAAGAACGAACTTACTCAGATTACGGGCGCTGTTGTCGGCAAGGACGGAAAGGTCGATGTCAATCACACAGAAAGAGTCGCCATTGCAGACCAAAGAATCAACGTTTGGAACCCATCCTTCGACGTAACGCCCCACGATCTGATCGACGCTATCATAACTGAGAAAGGAGAAGTTGTCCGCAGCTCTAAAGGAACATTCGAATTTAAGCCAATCATGCCAGAAAGATGGGCATCCCAGGTAGAAGGCCGACAAGTGAACGGTGATGACGATCGACGCGACGACGGCACCCAGTTTCAGATGGAGAATATCTAACAGATCTAAAAAAAAATTCACTACACGTTTGTTTATAATTAGACATGATTTATGAGAGACGAAGCGTACTTTTTACGAGATTTCCCTGTTGATATTTGGACTAGCCACAGAGCGACTTCGCTTCGGCCATGTGGTGGCAGCATAGAATCTGTTAAATAAAAAGGTAGCAATGCGGGATGGGATGTAAATTGGGAATAGGATATCCAAAGTAAATACTCATAATGTTTCTGCACTTGACGGTTCAGCCCTTCCATGTTACTTCACACTCTAAAGTTGTAATGCAGGAAGTTTCGCCTGTTAGACTCATTAAACACAGAACCGTCCAATAAATTCTCTCAATGCCAGTTAGACTAAGATCACAATCTTCTTCTGATCAGACCATCAATCTCCCCAATAAGCCTTAGGCTTTGTTCAATGCTCGGGCTTTTGTTGGGGACGATCCCACTCCAACTACTGATTAAACGCTGTAGATGAGTGCCGAATTCGCCGATGTTATGTTGGGCAAGTAAAGTCTGGCGGAGGGAAGGGTTGCTAAGCGAGGCGAGGAGGATGAACATCGTGCTAGTCATAGACAATGAGCAGATCCACGGGTCTATCAGAACAGTCTAGAAAAGGTTAGCTGATTAGATCAAGCCCTTAACAGAAGGACGGAATGGGTCGAACCTGAGAAAATGAGCGCAAGTACACTATGTGGTAACAAGACGCTGAGAGACATCGCGTTGCATTCTCTATGATTTCTGGAGGGTGTCCAATATCGATATGCTTCAAGACGACTTCAACATATGGTCTGAATATGACGCTTTTGCAAGCTAAATATCTTTGTCTCAGAAATGCTGCATGCTCATTTCTACACTCCCTCTCGCCTTCCTCGAACTGTAAGAATTCCGGAAGCGTGTCCCGCCAAAGCACGAGCTGATGGTCAAGTTCAGCTATCATGTTGTGAAGACTGTCATTGATTGTATGAGTCGGTGATTTGTGCTTATCTTCTGCGTATAATAGGTGGTGTACTCGATTCAACAGGCGTCGGATCGAGATACAACTCAAGAAATATAGAGCAGATGATTCAGTCAAGGTAGAAGTGCTGTGCGTAATTAGAGGTCCAGGAAGCGGCGTTTGCGACTCTACTTCCGCTACACCTGATTGAGGCAAATGCGATAATTCGGAAATTAGGTCGCTTTCTATGATATAGCAAGACCAGAACATACGTCTGACACATTCTTCTTCTTCGAAACTAATTGAACCAGTAGCGTAAGCAATAAGGGAGCGGCACTTTGTTGCCGTCATACTGAGATGGCTCCAAGTTTGAAGAGGCCGCTGTAGAAACGAACAAAACAACCTATTCAACTATCAGCGATAAACAATGTCTTAGGGCTGAGAAGAACAAACGCTGAGAGAAAGACGCATTGAGCTGACGTCGTGCTGACTTCCATATATGCAACTGCCAAAAGCTTTGAAGCTTCATCAAAGCATACGCTCGCCATGTTACTTAGCTCACTTTGTTGCTGTCTCGAGTCGAAGCTTCGATATGTCTCATCGGAATTTGTATATTTTACCAGCTCCGATGCCGCGCCTAACGCTAGAACAAGTAAAGCTAGGCAGTCTTCACAGGAGTTGTTGCTGAAGCCGTTCTGTATCCTATCAAATAAGACATCCAAGTTAGCTTTGCTAATCACAGGATACCAGAAATTGAGAGTTGACTGAAATGAGGCGATTAGACGGTTAGCTTCATTAGGGGTAAACACTGGACTCCGTGTGAACCGACTCTGAAATGGTAGTGGCGGCCTCCTGCTCTCTAGCAGAAAAATAGGTCGAAATTGTTCGATTAATGAAGGAAATGGCTGAGCAAGCGTAGACGATAGTAAGTCTTCGGTTGCGCTGACGTGTGAAGGAAGACTAGCATTTGCTACTCTGTCAAAATCTCTATCTGAAGGAGTTGGTTCGGAAATTAGACGACCAGGCGAATAAGACCGGTCAGACACTGCACTGTGAGGGCTTCGCTAACACGAATAAGTACGTCCCTAAAACAGGCCATTTGGTTGAGGCTTACTAGATTTTCGTGTATAGAGTTGAGAAGAGCATCCATTCTCAGCACGGTCTCGAGAATTTTGTCACTCTTTCCCTGACTTGCACCTTGGCCACTACAGTACAGCAAAACTTAGTATTCATAAGTATGATGTTGATCGATGCATCTCAAATATACACAGTGAACTTTGAAGCAGAGCATAAACTGTGATCTGAACTTTGCCATACAGAAGTAGTGATCAGGTAGGTCATCCCTGAGCAATTGCCCAGAACGAAAAGTAATAGGCCAGATCGCATGTAATTTGACTCGAATAAACAGTTACAAATGTAATCGCGAAGAACATTGTATGGAATTCAGAAAAGAGAGACGTACACCGCCAACTGTTGCTGCCGTCCGTAAAGACAGTCTACATCATTCTCAGTACACCAAGCGCAAGGCTGCTGGCCATCACATCTACGCACTGTTAGCTTGTTTTAAAATATAACATAAGTGAAAAGATCCGCTGTTAGAGAGTCCAACCGTACCTCGACTTTCTCATTCGACAAGCATCACCTGATTGTCAAAGTTTCACTGTCAGCACCAATAATATATACGGATAGAGGATTCTCATAAAGGTCATCAAAAGTTGATTTCCAAATTGAGAAGGAAACCTTTTATGAGAATTTCTCATGATTGAAAAAGTATCACATCAAGCCCAAACTTACAAGCATGAGCAGTTCTCTTCCTAGCCCGCGCTCTAAACGAGGTCGTGACCGCCGAAACAGGATTCGACGATTCCGAGTTACTTCGTCCCATCGACTGCATATTGGAAGCATAATCTAAACGCAATTGAGCGTGTTATATCGGGAGGCGTGATCGGGTTTGGCTAGAATATATGCAACGATGGAGTTCTGGATGGGGGAGGCGTGTTCGAGTGGAGGTCCTGGAGGAAAAGCGGGGTATGGTGGTCTGCCCGCAAATATGGGGTATATTTGCTGGGAGGTCTCGGCTAATTGGTTTAGGTGGGGGAATAGGGGTATTTTCCTCTTCAGAAAATCACAAGGAGATGTCAGTTATGACATTATCATTAGCCTTTTCCTCCCTTCACAGTAAAGAAAACTCTAATTCTAACACAACTTCATAACAGTACCTATCTTTTCCTTACGATGTTCAATCACATCGGTATAGCACTATCCAAAAACTGCTTAATTATTGATAGTTAATGTGTATATTCTATTTGTGGTCTACGAATACGTTGCAGGAAAGTCTAAGTCCCGCCCGTTGAAACTTTCAAATCATCAATGACCTTTAAGATCTTGCTTTGCTTTGTGCAAATGGGGAAGCAGGAATGAAGCTTTGTCTAAGGACTATTCTTAGAGAGCCAACGTAAATAATTGTTTTACCAATGCTTAAAGATTGGAACGTGATAACATGAGAGAAAAGAGATTGCTGAGTAAAGGGCCCCAGAGCGATTGCTTCGCCATCTTGCATGTTCTGGCGTGCAGTGTTTCTGAGAGCAGATGATATGGCCGCGAATATTTATCCTATAATCCTTGACAATGTCAAGATGTATCGATAAACTTCGTCGCCCCAACCGCATATGTATCTGGATCAGGTAGAGGTCTTCCATACTCATCTCGTCTCTCAGGCTTCTTTTGATTCTCCGATAATGCAGCAGTGGCATCTGTGTCTCGGGCAAGCTGTTCGGAACCAACCTCCCAGGAAGATTGTTCTACAGGTCGCTGAAACGATAGTGAGATTTGCTCTGGCTTAGAAGAAGGAACATCAGCTCGCTCAGAAGCTTTAAGGTCGGCATTCTTTCGACGCCTCATACCTGCCAATTTTCTTCTCTTTACTGAGGGTGAAGTGATATGAGACGACGGAGGTCTTACAATGTTGTCGGAGTCCTGAATGACCTCGAATGAAGAAGATGCTTGAGCATTGCCCCGACCCGGTGATGGCATAGGGGTACTAGCCATTGGCGGAGATCCCATGGTAGAGATGAAATCATCTGCAGCATAGGATTTTCGACGCTCATAAGCCTTCGACTGAAGGGTTGCTACTGCGTCAGTGGAAGCTGAAGCATTCGCTTGAACGTGCTCATCAAGTTCTGGCGACATCCTCCCGTTATAAGGGGGAGAGACTACAGAATCAAAGCCCTCAGAACACCCCGGCTCCAGATCTCGCCGAGCATCGAGCTCTTGTGCGGTTTCATAATAAGATCTGTCATAGGCTTGTGGGGTTATAGCCGAGCTCATTGCTGGTCGACGAGGCTGAGGGTCATAGGTAGAGCTCCCGCTACGAGATGTAGAGTTTTTTGAGAACAGGTGAGCAATTTCCTCTGACGTTTTATTTCCAAATGCGTCTTGGAGGTATGAACTGTTGCCCGTGTTTCCATCGCCACGACTCGCCATTGCACGTTCTGCAGCCAGCATGGCCAACCTCACTGTGGTTGTCAGCTGTGTCGAGATGTTGAGGTATATAATAAAAAGCAAAGCCGATGGGAGTAGAACTTACTGGCTTCTTGCTCTTGCTTTTTCTTCGCCTCCTTCTTCTCTTCTTCCTCCTCAATAGAACATAGTCCCTTGGCGCGACGAGACTCATTCTCTAATGCACGTTTTCTCCATTCCTCCCACTCTCCCATGGAGCCATCAAAATTCATCTGTGAACCACGATTCCACGCATTCGTCAGTGCTCTAGTAATGCGACGCGTCTTGCCTCGTTCCACCAGTCCGCCGGGGCCTACCACGTGTTTACGCTCCTTCAACATCTTCTCCAACTGCTTGATAATGTCTTTGGAGTAGATGTCTTGAGCGTAGTCATCTTTGTGAAGAGCAGTATTCAGAGCAGTGCAGAAATTCTCATAAGTCCTTTGTCTAGCAGCATATTCGGAAGTAAGGCGATTGGTAGTCGTATAGTCAGGAAGATGGACTCCACGAACTATCAATGCAAGCATTGTCTGCAACTTGGTAGATTTAGTATTTTGAAACTTGAAGTATAAGAAGGAAAATTTAGAGAGAATTACCTCGAATTGTGTCCAATCATGCTCTTTGCGATAGTCATGAGCGGGAGGCATGATGTATATTTAATTCTTCGCTGTCGGCACAAGCATGCGTATTACTGCCACAATATTATCTCGACTGTGCTTGCAAGGACTACACTGGGTCTTGCGACGATGGTGAGCAGCACCGCGGATTAGAAAGTGAAGGCGTAACTACCTACCACTCTGTTTCTCGAGGTTGATGCTGAGATAATGATCGTGATCAACGACAACTCTGGATACAGTTTATATTTTCTTTCCCAAGCGGTATATGATAGCTTTACGTGTCAGTGCTGACTCCGTGCTTGAAGCTAAAGATCTGTCGCAATACCCAGTGTAAAATCTCGTCGATTTGATGTGAGAGAAGTATCGACAAAATGTGGGAACGAAAAAGAAAACCTTCCCTTTCGACTAGTGGCAAATCCTCTAAACATCTCAGCAGGGGTGAATGCCATTGTGGAAGCTTCTTATGGTAAGTATGTTATCGTTTGAACCATATGGCGCCACCGCATTTGACATATTCTATGGCGAATGTTGTGTCAGATAGTATGCATGGTCAAGTATAGATTCCATTGCGCATGATTGTTAAGGTTCCTTCATTCCAGCATGAAAGAAAAATTGGGTGTCACAGATCGGAAAGTAGTGATGGCAGCTTCTACTGTTCCCGGATGATGATGTTGTTGTAGGGAGAGGCAGGTTGGAGACGGGAAGTTGAGAAACTGTTATCTATAAGCGAACGCAGCGAACCGCGAAGGGGGCACACCCTAATTTAAGAGAATCATGTATGCATTCACTGCAGTCCGACTCTGAAATTCGGGGCCATTCATGGATATGATATCTTGCTCATCACGTGCGACTGTCTACAATTTTCAGGTCCAGAAGCTGAATCTGATAAAAAAATATCATGGTTGGGTAAGGCTTTCAAAGGACACCGAGGCGGGCTTGTATCACATGCTTTCGTGTTATACTAACATGATAGAGATTATTGACACACCTGCTTATTAAAGCAGAATTTCCGTCTCGCCCATGTCTATACGGTAGAGTGGACTACAGTAATGTGGCATAGTCGTTCTAAAGGCGAATAATGAAACATTTCAAATCTCCGCTTGAAAACGATCGCACCCACGAATCAGCCCAAGACCTCTTCGTCTGGCCATTCGCATCAATAAGACTAGGCCCAAGTTGTGAGTGAAACGTCCTTCAAATAAAACCGACAAACGTGGTCTACAACTTCTGGCCAAAAACATACGAGAAGATGACCCTAGGCTGTGAAACATTTATTAGTTAGCAGTTGCTCTAGACGGTTCGACGCAGTGACTCAGACAGAGCAAAAAGATGATGGCCGAGCCGTTGAACCAAACGAAAGGCGGCCATCACACCGTCGATTGGCCATATGAAATTCGGAAACCTTGCGGGACTGTTCAAAAGAGAGAGATTATTGCGAGAGGTACGCTGTACCCAGCACCGATGAATACGAAACAGCTACCGGTTTTAGATTATACCGTAGATGATCTGGAGTTTCTAGAGTTTTATCCATTGAATTGAGGTACTGATAGGTTCATGTCTTTGGCCAGGCCAACTTTCTCAGAGCCGTCGTACAAAATACTTTCAAGCATGATATCATTACCTCAAAGAAACACAGTCTTTGGGACCCTCCTTATACTTTATGCCAGCACCAGTGTAAATGCAAAAAATATCCAACGCCGCCCAGGTGCTTCATTTAACTCGAAGGATCTCAGTAAATACCCTGAGTACGATACTGGAAGGTGTCATAACTATGCTGATATTAGCAGTGTGCTTAGCAGGATGAATGAGACTTTGAATCTCACAGTCGTGTATAATAGCTTCCTAAAGACTTCCCAATCAAGTCGGTCTCTACAAATTGCTCGGCTTCATCCGCACTGAGCTGGAGTTGAAAGCGTTGCCTCAAACTGTTCGTAGCTTGTTGTACACCATAGGAGTAGCAAGGCATTTTAGATTCTACACCCATCATGCTGACTAGATCGATGATATGGTCGGCAGAGCGCCGAAGGGCTGAATGTAAGGATTAGCGAGGAAGAACCTGAGTGAAGCACATGGAACTTTACCTTGAAATGCTTGTTTACATAGCTTTTTGTAATCCTCAAATCCAGGAGCCCCAACTCCCCCAAGAACATCAACATAGTCCTGTGTGAGTTTGAATGGCGCAGCTTCAAACCCAACTGATCCTGGAGAGTTGGAGAGCATAAATCCAAAATCGATATGGATAATGTGGCCTTCGTTGTCAACAAGTACATTTCCGTTGTGACGATCCTTGAGTTGTAGAATATACGAAATGATACTATAAGCAGCCAGTGATCGCTTAAATGCGTCTTCGGCTGCTTTATAGGCATCGGTATCAGGAGCACCAAAAGTCTTGACAAAATGATCCTTCAAAGTTGCTATACGCCTTCGAGGATTGTCACCACTCTCAATGGTGGCCAGTGTTAGGCTTCGCTTGAGAGAGTGTAGAGATACTCCGTTTGTAATGGTCTCAATAAGGCCCGAGGATTCGCCCGTGACCAAAATTCTCATCCGTTTTACCCATACTGGGGTTTTTGCGTCTTCCCATATTTTGTCACAAACTTGAATCAGTTGACATGCGAAAGCTTCTTGTCTCAAATCATCGCCCGTTTTCACAATCACACTGAGAACGTCCCAGTTTTTCATCCAACCAAAAGGCGAAGACTTTCTGATCCTTTCCTTCTTCACGCTCCAGGCCTCACCAAAGGTAGCGGCGCTAGGATCGTCTCTGTCACCCTTCCGCTGGACACCACCAGTCTTCTGATCATTTTCCATTCGCGCGGCTCCGGCGCCACTGTTCAAACCAGGCTCAGAGACATTCTCTTCTTCGATGTCTTCAGCGGTGACATTTGCAGCAGCAACATTGGCATTTGCCATAATCATATCGAAAGTAGGTGCGGGTGATCTAGGGCTGTCTTCGACTTCAAAGCTTTGTTCTTCCAAACTCTGCATGCTAGCAATAATCTTGGCTCGAATTGCTGCAACCTCACCCTTCGGCCTTTTCCCACTCGTTGAATCAAGTTGGGCTAGCATTTGCGAGGCCGTTCGCATGTGTGTGGCCAACGCGGAGAAGTCCGGCTGATCTGATGCACCAGATCGACCGTAGCCGGGGAGGGTCATTTTGCGCGAGCCTGGACTCGCTGAGCGAGATATTGATGCACCAGAATCCCTGGGTGTTGCAACTGTGGAAGTTGTGGAAAGAGTAGTGGCACCACTAGAGAGCCGCGGAGGAATGGGCGTAACGGGCTGTGTCGGAGGGGTGTTTTCATCAATTAGGGTAGCTTCATCGAACGTCTTGATCAATGGAGAACTTCCTAGATCCCCGGTCACAGGTTCAAATACGCTGTCCTGGGGTATATCGCTGCTTCTGTTCGTATGGGACGGATGAGCAGATTCTGATAGATCAAATATACGTTTGCGACCGGTTCCATGTTCTGACATTAGCTTAACTAATAATCTTCGATTGTCGATTGTCGATGGGTCAAAACTGAAATCATCGCGCAAAACCTCAACCATGAGGAGGTAGGGAACTTTCTCAGCACTGTTCAACACTGTGGCCTCGGCAGGATTTAAACGAACAATACGGTGATGCCGGCTTTTGCTTGGTATTCCGTCTATCAACGAAGCAGGGCAGATGACCGGTATGTCGACTTCAGCTGGCAAATCCCGGGCAATGAGAGCAAGCTCTGCACGTAAAGCGCTCAGACGAGCTGCTTTAGGCACGATTATCAAACGATTCGATATATCTTCAAGAGCTGTGAGGAATTGGGTTTCACACCGAAAGTAGTTTTGCCTCAGCAATTTAACCTTTTGCAAATCCGAAAGGGCAGAAGGGCTAAGGGCTCTGGCGACTTGCACGTGCTTCCGTGAGATATGATCTGGAATCCGCTGCGATATGCCAGCAGTAGCCGGGGTAGATGGCCTCGTAACAGTCATCCGTGGTGATCGCGAATCTGGCAATGGTAAAGACGAGGAACTGAGACGGGGGTCAAGGGGCTGTAGGTCTAGACGTGAAGGCCGAGGTCTAGGTTCAACATGGGGTGGCTTCGTAGAGTTCGACGACCTTGGTCTCTCCAATGAGCTTGCACGGGGTGGTTTAGAGCGAGCTCCATTGGTAGAGTTGGAAGCGGCACCTGCTATTCGACCCTCTTTGGCTCTCCTCGACCGTGTTGTGCTGGGCGTCGTCGTATGGCTACGTACAATCTTCTGTTGTGTTTGACTTCCGTCCGATATAACATCACCTGTCGACTGAGGTTTCCTCGCCTGGGATATTGCCAAAGGCCCAGCCCACTTTGGCAAAAAGGGAACCGCAATACTGGCCAGCACGAAGCTGGCCAAAACGGACACGGGAAGCACATTCTCCTTAATCTTCTCATGCCTTGTCGGCTCCGCTACTCCAAACACGATATGCTGCACTTTGTTGTATATCCTCCTGCATGTCTTGAAGGCTTCGGATTGTGGATTCTGAGATAGATCATGGAGGTATGTCTGGAAAAACCAGAAGGTCTGCGTTTGTTGTGATTAGCAAGCGAGCTGCTTGTATCTAGGTCAGGAGAGCAGTATATTACCAGCAGGGCAGCATTGACGGACTCTTCGCACAGATCCAAAATAAACTCCTCCAAGGCCATGGACTCATTATCCACACTTATGATGAGGTGGCATAGCTGGGGTAAAAAGAACTCGATTTCTTCGTAGCTAAATTGCCGGAGCTTCTGGCAGAGAACGTAATGAATGCCAACATTGTTCGCATAACGACTGCACGAGGACGATCAGTGACTATGCAACGAATTTACAAGAGATCGGCAGACACATACGAGAGGTATGCTACCGAAAGGAATGGATTCTGGTTGAACACATCGCTCTCGATGAAGCGCTTCAGAAGCTCCCAAGACATGAGGACGCCGGCGCAAAACTGTGTAGAGGGGTGTAAAGGTGAGGCGCAATGCCTCTAATAATCTTCGACATCAACAGAACGGAAGACAATCGGTTCGCATAGCTACGCAGGCCAGGTAATTCTTGGAGCAGTTCGGCGGAGGTGGTCACCAGCGCGAGACCAGGCGTGAGGTTTGATCGCCTTGAATACGGCGCATTTTTGCCGAACGCCCGTTGTTTAGCCCCTATCTTTGGTCCACTGAGGAAGACCTGACTTGAGCTTAAACTCAACGTCAGTCCAGAGCTCTAGATGTAGGTATGCTCGTGCATGGGTGTTTTCTTTTCCAGATATCTATCATTACTGGATTCGAGACAGTCAATCGCCGTAGCGTCATTTACATCTAATGATTCGAGGTGTTGCACAGTAGGTGAAACCTGCAGAACCCGAAGATTACTCGAGAAGCTTTCTAATCACATGCGAGACTTCTTTATATTGATATCAAATTGGTACTACAGGTTCGAGTCTGCTTCGTCGGGGTCAAAGAATGTTCCAATCTCCATCTGGGCTTGCTCCTTGGAAGCTACAGGTTGATCTTGGCCAGCCCATACTTCTTCCAAAGCCTTCTTGGCTTGTTGCACTTCATACTCATCCAAGAGATATCCGACAGAGAACAAGAGCGCAAGTGTCGTCTTCATCCAATGCCGAGTCCCCCTTCCTCCTGGTGCGAATCTGTAGCAATCATGCTTGTGCTTTCGTAGCACCGTGATAATACTCTCCACCGACAATTCCGTGGGTATTGAGAGGTCAATCCGCTTAACACTTCCTCGATCTGGTTGGTGGCTTACTTCTAACAAGAGAACATCGCCTGGTCCAACGATCGTGTCGAGTTGGATGGACTCAGCGTTGTTGATCGAGATATGCAAACTCCAATTGTTTCTTTTCTCAGGTGACGTGACGTTTCCCGCTTGACTGCTTATGGGACCTTTCCTCGACGGGTCGGCCGATATATAAATTGACAAGGCGGGAATGGGCGCGACACTGTCCTCCAGAGATTGTGGGTTATATTGTATCGGCATGTCTTGTAAAGACCAGTTTAAACGGTTGAGGTTGGCTTCGATGTTCGTTCAAGATAGGACAGTCAGCTGTGTCTTAGATGTTTTCAAACGATCTCTTGATTAGGTTGCTTTATAAGGTACCTATCTAGATACACCGCGGTAAGTATCCACAATCAGGGTCCATTGAGTCTCCTTCCGACTCGAGGAGGAGTTGCCTACGGCTCCAATCACTGAATCACTCAACGCGTGAGAAGGCGGTGACTCGTACCCCGCCAACAGACTCACGCGTGCGGCCAGAAACGATCTAGCGTGATCTTTTCCAACTGCCCCACCAGGGACCCGACCCGATCACCAAAATTTCCAGCTCTGACTTCTTTTCTTTCTTCCCTCCCCCTGGCAAAAGCCAGTAAGGGCACCACAAAGATCCAAGACGCCTCAAAGTGTACTCGCAGTCATGAAGTATATCATAGTATCTGGCGGTATGTTTTATGAAACCGGAAAATTGCCCCGCCTAGCAACATGTACTAACTGCGTCGCAGGTGTCATTTCTGGCATTGGCAAAGGGACCATTGGTACGCACCCGGCTTACAAGATTTTGAGCGACTCGACGAGCATGCAGAGCTGTTGATGCCCCTGTAATGTGCTAATCAATTCGACATAGCTTCTTCCGCTGGATTGCTGCTGAAGACGATTGGATTTAAGATAGGTCTCACAGCACGCTTGACAGAGAGCACAATAGCTGACCGCGATATACGTATCTTCGATAAAGATTGACCCTTATATGAATGTCGATGCTGGTACCATGGCTCCAACCGAGCACGGCGAGTGCTTTGTCCTAGACGATGGCGGAGAGGTTGACCTCGACCTGGGCAATTACGAGCGATATCTCAATATCACCCTTACGCGCGAAAGCAACATCACTACTGGGAAGATATACCAACACGTTATAGCAAAAGAACGTCGTGGAGACTATCTAGGGAAAACGGTCCAGGTGGTTCCACATTTGACAGACGCTGTTCAAGATTGGATTGAGCGAGTTGCACGTATTCCAGTTGATGATACGAAGGAGTGTCCCGACATCTGTATAATCGAATTGGGAGGTACAGTCGGTGACATTGAGAGTGCTCCCTTTATCGAGGCAATGCGACAGTTGAAGCGAAGGGCCGGGAAGGGAAATTTTGCCCAGATTCATGTTTCACTGGTACCTGTCATTGCCGGCGAACAAAAGACCAAACCAACCCAACAAGCTATCAGAGATGTTGGTAGAGCTGGTCTTGTGCCAGACTTGGTAAGTTTTACGAGATCGAGATATACGGTAGAAAGCCTTCTAACATCGCTAGATTGCGTGCAGATGCGACGTCCCCTTGGAAACGAGTACGATAGAGAAAATTGCCATGTTTTGTCAAGTTGAACCTGAGCAAGTCCTTGCCGTTCACAACGTACACACAACCTACCATGTACCCCTTCTTCTCGAAAAACAAGGGATATTAAAAACCCTTGGCAACATCTTGAATCTCGATGCAGTTACCAAATCTCAGAGTCTTGTCGAGCTCGGACAACGGACTTGGAAGGAATGGCGAAATCTTACCTCCCAGCAGGAACGTCTCTATGAGACTGTTACAATTGCTCTGGTTGGAAAATATGTCAATCTCCACGATAGCTACCTGAGCACTATCAAGGCTCTCGAACATAGTGCGATGCGATGCGGCCAAAAGCTCAACCTCCTCTGGATCGATGCGTCAGACCTGGAGGAGGAAACGAGAGAGAAACGGCCTGTCGATTTCCATAAGGCATGGCATTGTATCTGTACCGCGCAAGGTATTTTGGTGCCAGGTGGCTTCGGTGAAAGAGGCATTGAAGGCATGATTGCAGCGGCGAAATATGCAAGGGAAAACAAGCGTCCATATCTTGGTATCTGTTTGGGAATGCAGATTGCGGTCGTCGAATTCGCACGAAACATATGCGGTCTTCCACACGCAGCGTCCGAAGAAGTCAGAGCGAATGCTGTAGATAAAGTCGTGATCTACATGCCCGAGATTGATAAAGACAAGCTCGGAGGAACGATGCGCTTAGGCCTTCGGCCGACCATTTTCCAAGAAGGCTCCGAATGGTCTAGATTGCGCAAAATGTACGGCGAAAGTAGTCAAATCAACGAGCGACACAGACATCGGTACGAAGTGAACCCCGCTTACGTCGAGCGTCTCTCGGAGAAGGGATTTGAATTCATTGGAAAGGATGACAAAGGTGAGCGCATGGAGATCATTGAGCTCAAAGACCACCCTTGGTTTGTCGGTGTCCAATTCCATCCAGAATACCTTTCTCGAGTTCTCCAACCTAGCAAGCCATATCTTGGTTTTGTGGCTGCAGCTGCTGGCTGCTTGGAAAAGGTCACTGCGGACTGTTTGCGTGACTATGGCGTCCATGGTGTGGATGGCGTTACGAATGGATTGAACGGCGTTCGTATATAGGGCATGCCGTTCGTGGGTTATAATGGACGAGTTTTATGTTTAACTTGTTAGTGATCGGAAATGCTTCTGGAGCTGTATAAATGGTTAGGTAGATCAAGATCTTGTCTACGGACCTGAGTCTTTAACATCTGGGGGCGTTATATTAGAGGTGCATATTGGAGTACAAAATAAAAGACACTTTATGAATATTAGGGACGATGCTCACAACTTTTTTTGTGCTTTTGCGGGAAAGCTCTGGCAGTGAGTACGTACTAGGGAGCTGCACTCCCCTTTCCAGAAGGCCATGGGCCATCTAATGTCACGAGAACAAGTGTACATCAACTTGGAGGTTTACAATTAGTAAGACTTTGCCGTATAAAATATGATGTCGTCTGATATAATTCGCCTGAACAATAAATCATTTGACGTGATGTCCGGTGGCTCATGTGCCGCCCCTGGACTGCAGAATGTGGGGAAACAACCTAATAAACAAAGCAGACGAAGCAACTCAACTCATCCAGCTCCAAACATATACCAACACCGCAAGGCTTTGTAGGGAACTCGCACCCGCGGCTGTTCGCTCACCATTAGCACAATGCCACTGTGGCAGCTTCGCATGCCGTTATGAACAATGTCGCTCGTTCCCTATTCATCAAGGGATAGTCGCGAAATTGTACTGTAAGTCTGGCCTCGACCTTTCTTCGAAACCTCAGAGCTTTCTCTGTCCGCACATCTCCTCAGCCAGAGAGACACCATCACTACGAACCATCGGAATCATAGCTAACAGCTTCATAGTCGCCATAATGATGCAATTGTCATAAGAGATCCGCGCACGCAGCAGCTTGTCCTCCGAGGCGCAAGCCCTAGCCATTCCATCTCGGATTGCCCTACCTGCCATCGCCCCTTTCGATCCTCTTCTCCAGAGCGCCCATCTTCGCCTCTTCGATCGCCTCCGCTCGCATCTCCTTTCATTAGCCCAGAGTATTTTCGCATGCTACACGATGCCAATTCGAGAACAGACGAATCTAACCCGCCCTCAAGTCCGATCCGAAGACTTGTACAACCAGCCTTCTCTTCTCCAACAAACAGTACAGGTGGTTCGGTATCTGATGCAGAATTCGTTGCCAGTTCACCAATCCAACCTGTAGGGCATAGTATCAAACGAGATGCTTTCAGTCCAAATTACTTCAAGAGGTTCTTCATAGAGGAAAAGGAGTTGGGGCGCGGTGGTAAAGGGGTGGTTCTGCTAGTCAGACACGAGCTGGACGGAGTGTCGCTTGGCCAGTTCGCATGCAAGAGAGTTCCGGTTGGAGACGATCATGCATGGCTCGAGAGGGTGCTCGTCGAAGTACAGCTACTTCAAGGATTATCTCATCCCAATCTAGTCTCCTACCGTCACGTATGGCTAGAAGATGTCAAGCTAAACCGGTTCAGCCCGTCCGTTCCGTGTGCTTATATTCTTCAGCAATACTGTAATTCTGGGGACCTTCTTCAGTACACTGTTGGCCCTATGCCAAGTAGTAGCACCAAGGAACAATTGAAGGAGCAGATGCGTAGGAGATCTCGAGGACGCGGAGAACGCCCGAATCTGCAGAGCGCTTCTAGCCATCAACGGAAACTTGCTTTTGAAGAGATTTTCTCGTTTTTCAAAGACATTGCTTCCGGGCTGGCCCATCTGCATGCATCTAATTACATCCACCGCGACTTGAAACCAAGTAACTGCCTACTTCATCAGGATGGCAACGAGATGAAGTGCTTGATAAGCGACTTCGGCGAGGTTCAGTCGGAGAACGCAATCCGTAAGAATACTGGATCTACTGGAACGATATCATATTGTGCTCCAGAAGTACTCAAACGAGACGGAAATGGCAGATATGGTAACTTCACAACGAAATCCGACGTGTTTAGTCTTGGAATGATTTTGTACTTTATGTGTTTTGGCAGACTCCCCTACAAAAGCGCAGACAGTATTCAAGAAGAAAATGAGGATATTGACCTTCTCAGAGAAGAGATCAGTACTTGGTCAGGCTTTCAAGGGGAGAGAAGAGAACGCCCTGATTTACCAAATCAGCTTTACAGCTTTCTGAAAAGACTATTGGCTATCGATCCAGCTGATCGACCCAGTGCGAATGATATTCTGCATGCTCTTCAAACAGAGAAAGGTTTAGACAGTGCGCCCAGAAAACGGAATGGAAGTACCCAGGGCCTTGGTGGACGAATTCAGTCGATAGATTCGCCAATGGTACCAGGGACACCCGTTAACGGTATGTATGTGCCTTCTATTCAACACTCGAATTCTAACATATTATGTAGAGCCCACCAAACGAGCCTCATCCGGGGCATACATGGAAGATGCATCTCCCGACTCTCAACTTCCCTCTCGACCACCGAAATCGAAACTAAAAATTATGACACCACTCCTCATGCCTCCTCCATCTACACGGACATCAGAGCTGAAACACCAACTCTCACTGTACAAACATTATATTATTTCATGGGCTACTCTTAATATGCAGACGCTGCACCTGCTATTCAGACTTGCCATCTTCCTAGGCAAGCTCGCTTCGCTCACATACACTTGTTCACCAGCCACGCCAAAACAGCTGGTCTGGTGGCCTATGGTTGGCGTGGCTGCATTGGAACTGTCATTGGGCAATAAAGTCAGCTGGAGTTTAATTGGGGTTTTATTGTCTGTTCATACGATTATTCTTTTTGGCCTCTCTAGGTTTGGGCGGGGATACTGCGATCAGGTTTGGGAGAGGAGTTGGTGATGGAAAAATTAAAAGGCTATGAGAAAATGAAAATATGATTATTATGAATGGAGTGCCGTTGAATGTATAATTTTAGACGGGGTGAGTCTACTCATTTCGGACAGGAGAGATAGTTATATGCCCTACATTTCTTACTACTTGTTCGATAGGCTAGAGTCAGTCAAAACGCATTAGTGTTATTAAATATATGTTTACGACATGTATTTGCGCGGAAGGTGCAAATGACCACCAGTGCGTTGCAAGTATAACAGTATCAAAAAAGTCTCTCCAAAACTCTGTCCTTGAGACGCTTGTTCGGCCTTGTGAAAAGAGGCAGACTAGCATCTTCACTCAAACAAGGCGACTAAAGATAGCTTTCTAGTAAAATCATATCGTTATGCTACCGTAGAGGTATCCCGTCCGGCTTGCAATACACCGGTGTATAGTAGTCGACGGTTCGCAGCTGAACCCGAGTAAGCTTGATTCAGATGAGGCAACTGAGTAGGATGAAATGAACAGATTTAACGCTACTCAAAGGACCCATGAGTAGTTTGAATGGTTGACTTAATCTTCCAATTTTTTAACTGAACACACACTACTGTTTTTTAAAACTATGAAAACATGCTAGACGAATCAACTCATGTTTGCCGTCTCTCTTCGCTCTCGTGATCTCCGAAAAATCTCAAAGACAAAGACAAGATGTGGAAAAATGGGGCCCACAAGTCAATGTAATAGCAAGAAACGTAGAATGGTTTCTCTTACCTGAGGTCTCTTCTGGCAATCTGCTCTTAACATGGCGACAGCTACGTTTCTATCAGGTATTTTGTGTTCGTTCCGAGTATGAGACTCAAGTCAATTAAGCGTACTATGCAAAGAAGAATAGAATAAGTTATAGCGATCCAACTTCATCGCTATCTCGCCGAACACCATTGAAAACGTTGGGCTAACTTCTATAATATCAGCCAAGTTCTACCTGAGCAGTGTCAGTGTTTAGGATAGGAAAGCAGACAGTTAGAAGAAGAATCCCAACATTCGAATGTCTAGACTTACTGATTGTATTTCATTAATTTAAATCTCGCAATTCAGACAAACCCTTGCGTAAAAGATAAAATCTAATACTGCAGCTTTGAACTGGTGCTTAGTATTGACATCTTTAGGCATTTACGAGGCTCTGCTCCAGGCAAGAAGAAAAGGAAGAAGCAGATGTTCCATCTTCCACCTCTCAGCGTCACAACTTCATCGCCATTTCCTGCATCCAAATTACGTGTGATTTCATACAGTTCAGAGAAAATTCTCTAAGAGAGTCTACTTGCCTTCGGTTCAGTGAAATTAGATGTTAACAATATGTAGCGGATAAGCAACGGCACTTTGGAATGTTGGTTAAAAGCTGATGCAATGCTTAATATTCCACTGTAAAGCAGTTTTCGGGTGATAAAGTCGACGAAGTTGAGAGCGATTCAAATGATGTACGTTAATAATAATTTGGTACTGTTCAGCATTGAAGTTTCAACTTTCAGAACTGTCCGTGGATAGCGGAAGCTGCTCCATCCCCTCGGAAATCCTACGAGAAAAAAGTCGAGAGGAAACAAATTCCGGACCTCTGTCTGTCCATCCTCACTACATTAACTTCCACTCCTCAGACGTATCCCGTAAAACCCCTACACGCATAAGCGGGTTACATAATGGTCTGATATATGCTGTCATTTTCCCTTGCAATGCAGTACCAACTCATGGAAAAGATCGAAAAGTGAATGACGATGAAAACTTATACTGACTAACTGAACGAGCGCCGAGACACAGCATAAAAGTCAGCCTGAGAGCAGAAAACCCGCAGTGAGAAGCCGTGTACGGCAAAAGCTAGGCGACCAACAGATTCATGTATATTCCTGTTGCTGGCAGAACCACTCCATGTTGAGTGAGGACACCGGCCGCATAGGAATACAAGCCAGGCTCCCACGTTGTCATCTTACGACCATGGACTGATCTCATAGCCGTGTACCATTGGTGGTTTCAAACCGCAAAAGCATTTTATGTGCTTCGGCGTTGGGTGGTGGTACAGCGTGATCGACGATCTGGTTAGGCATGAATTTTCTGAATGATAAAGAACGTGTTACGACAAGCACTACCCTCGGCAAGGAAAATTTACTGGACGAATGTCCCTTTCGTGCTTTTCTCTTTGGCAAAAGCATAATTCCGCAGAGGTGGTGTCACATCCTGCAAAGGAGATGTCCACGTTATTTGAGAACATGAGTGATATTGCAGCAACACGTTTTTTTGTGCTTCATGCAGTTTTCGCAGTCGTGTTCCGACCACAACACAGACTCTAAATTCAAGCAACGTGCTCATGAAATGTCCACAATTGTATGTTGGCAATGTAGGAGAAGGATCAGGGCTTGATGTAGTGGACTGAATGCACACTCTTCCTGTCATTTTCCTGAAATCAGGACTGACTCTGACGAAACAGAGGAGGCATCTTTTAACCCTGTAAGGTACAAGATACCCCGTGACACTGCGATCTGTGAGCTGGCAATGGCCAAATGTCACTATACGCTACTGTATAACAACCAGCAAGCATTATCTGACTTCACAAGTCGTGTTCGAGTAACATCCTGGGTAATGTTGAACAGAAGAGACCCTTGGACATATGAACCATTTTCAAGGCTTTCCCACTGTTAGCCTTGGGTGTATTTGCGTAGTGCAGTATGGTAACAATATTAGCAATGGAAAGTAAATAGGAACTTTTCTTGGAAACCGGTATCTGGCAGGTGAGTACCCGCTCATGGCTGTTTCCTACAAGTCAAAGCACGCAGAAATGGACTTCCTGATTCTGCCATGTCACTTGTTCTGCTATTCCAGCTTACGCCTCACCTAGGACACAGTTGCAAAAATTTCGATCGCATGATTTTCAGGAGAATTGCAGTGCCAAACGCTTGACCACTATTGCAGGAGATCAAATGAACCAAACCAATTACACACGGCTTTGTGGAAGGGGTGTGGAAGTTCAAATTTACACTTTGAGGTACCACAATATCAGAGTTGATATATTTTGAAGACCATCTTAATTGGTGGCCTGTACACTGGTGTAGATTCGGTTTCGCTCTAAAAACCCGCTAGATTGATAGCCTCGCAAGCTGTGCTGCTCGGACGCAGAAAGTTGTTGAAGAAGAGATAGTGAATATCAGCGCTGAATAAAAACCAATTTGTACGTCATAGTGGTCTGATCAGACAAGCCTGGCTTTCTTATCATAATTGTACTGGCCGTTCCAAAGAGTGTGTTGGTGTGAACTCGGTAGAGGTGAGCATGAACGACGCAGTTGATTTAACCGTCCATCCAATCAACTTTGATCATGTACCGGATTAATCGTCTTCTGCTTGGCAGGCGCGGGTCGTACAAAGGTTTTGAGCCCCCAAGTTCCCAGTAATCGGGCTAGATGCCTCACGCCCAGAAAGTGGGAAATTCGGCTCTGTTGATAGATTTCCCGGCGAGCTTGGTCTGATTTGTGTACCATAACACGCTGTAGATATATTACGACAAGTTCAAAGAGTATATCCGGCGAGATTAATTGGCGCATCAAGGCTAATTTCGCAAGAGTCAAGATAACAACAGCCGTGAACGACCTGTCACCTCGAGGCGGAACTAGAGTCTGGCGTTGGGGGCACCACAATGGGGATGGCACAGTTTTGAACAATTAAGCCGATGAGCCCTGCCCTGCCTCTTCGTCTCCGCAATTGCAAGGGTTGGGTCCAGGGGCCCGAAGCGCTGACTGAGATTCTGGCAACCCTTTCAGGCGCCTCTCTGGCAAGCACGGCGTGGGGGTGAGATGGAAATTCAATGTGGGTAAGCTTCCTCATATGGGGAAGCGTCCATATTTGACATGATTAAAAATCCACATTTTGACTCAACCGCTGAAAGAAATTAAGCGTACCGTGATTTCCCTAGATTCTGTGAACCGTCAACATTCAAGTCTGTTCATATCAGCCAGCTGCGCCAGAAGTTGCGATGCTGGAACTGTCACGCCGCAGCCAGATTGGGAAGGACGGGAGAAGGGGGTGAAGGTTCGACTATACTTGCGAATAACTGCAGGACAATGTTACATGAAATAATCCTTTCGAATGATCGCGCAACTCGTTGTGAAGGTAAACGTTTAGCAAGACCCCAACCATGACAGCATTCATTCAGACGCTGTAAAAACGGATAGTTACCGGTTGTTCTCAATCGGCAATTTAGCGCGAACCTGTTGGGTGATACAGGATTGGTAGATGAACGAGGGCCTTTTCATATCATTTTCCAATATGCGACGGGGTTGAAGAAATGATGATTCCGCCAACAAATCCAACACGGCTGGCTTGGTCGGGTGACAAGGAAATGGCGTTACACTCTGGGTGGTAATTTCCATGTTGTGTTTTGACGAGCTCATGATTGTCATGGATTCAACCAACAGAAGGGCGACATGGAAACGCATTGCAGCCGTCGAGGAAGTGTCCTGGAAGCAGTACAACGGTGTCTGGGTGGTTTGTTGGACGTTCATGATAACTTTTGACAAGGTCGAACCGCCACTCTGGGGATCCTCGGAGGGGTTCTGTACAATAAGAAGGACTTCATCGTACTTCCCGAACCCATTCCCCGCATCGGCTTGTGGTTTCCAACCTTGGAGGCGTCCGTCGGCGGCCTATGAAGACCCGATACTGGTGGTTCTCGGCAGGCCGCAGATGAAATGTACTCTCAGCCCTCCCCCTGGGCTCGGATAATCCAGAATAACGTGAGACCTCTCCCCAAAACCCGGGACAGCGAACAACTCGTACTTCGCGACCAGGCCTGCCACTTTCGAGTGTGCACCGCGAAAACAGATGCAACCACAGACCACCGCCTTTCTGGCGAATTGGTCCCCCTTCCTGATGTGCCTGCCACCCAATCCTGAAGCGCCAAACTGCAGAGACTTTCTTATCCATAGTGGTGACCCCGAGCATTGTACATTGTACATGTCGTCTAGCGGGAAGAGTTCGTCATGGAGTTCCGTGGATATTGTTATGTCCAGTCGATCCTGCCAGTTGCCCCTCCATCAGCGCGTTTGATGCAAGCAAGTCGCAGAGGTGTGACACTTGCACCCGGTTTCTGGGCTCGTGTTACCTGGCATTCAATCTGTTCCACTCATTCGCAGTCGAGCGACCAGAGCTATATTCGGGGTGCTGATGGCGAGGATGCGGTGAGGATGCATCCAAGAGGGAAAGTGTACGTGGTCTCGCTGTAAGCAGAACTAAGCAAATTTCAAAATCAGGAGTGCAGACTGGCCGACGCAGTCAGAAGCTGGACATCGGACATACGGTGTTCTTCGGTCTTTTCTAGACGAGGAGTGCTTGCAGTGAAGTTGCGCGTTCTGAACGAAATGATTGCTGGGGTTGGTAGGATGGTGGCGGATGAACATGCAGTTACGAAGGTTGTAACCAGGTAAGAAGCGTGGATGAGCTCGTGGGCGGTTTGCAGATGCAAGGCGGAGGAGAAGGTGGTTTCTCTTCGGGCGATGGTGTTGAGGGTGGATGGTGAATGGGGGATGGGGGATGGGGGATGGGGGATGGCGGGTGAGTGGAGTTTGCTCGAATGATGGTGCCTCTGTACACGTTCGGTCGGATAGCTGTTGCTCTTGTTGGTGGTTGTCGCAAGACTTGGAGTTAGGTTGACATGAGGCTTTCCTGAACTTGCACTCGCTAGGCACTACTCTGAGTCTACTCTCTCGCTCAGACCAGGTCATCGAATCCAAAGGTCGAGCCGTCCTGGTTCTGCTTCCAGGGTTAGGACCGGGGTACTGGGCGAGGGAATATACTTCGGCGCGAGAAGTTTGGTTGGGCCAGTCAGACGCTCTGCTGAGTCTGCTCAATCTGTTCCCTCTCCTCGGCGTTTCCTTCTCTTCTAAGACTTCTCGATCCATGTCGCCGTCTATGGCATTTAGGGGCATTTACTGGCTTCTCACTTCATGTCCCATCCCACGGCTTCAACCATTGGCGCACCTCTGCGCCGGCCCTCGAAGCAGACAAACGTCCTCATATCGAGCAGCATCCGCACCAATGCCGCGTGGATTGTGCCTATTCTGGCACCCTGCGACTGGCCACCACCACCTTTCAGGTCATGGCCCCCCTAAGCGGCAACCAGGTAAGGCGAATAAGGTACCAAGTCCCGTCGCGGGCAGCTAAAATCCATGCGAATTGGGATGGCTTTGGCGGTTCTCCAGTGGTTTGGTCCACTGTGATTGCTCTCGCAACAAGCGCTGCGGGTCTTAGTTCTAAGGTTATGTTATCCACGGCCACGGCTTGGAAGCTGGTCGAGGCTAGTGCTAGCCAGCCAAAGCTGGTGCTCGCCTGGAGAGAGCAGGCGATCGTCGACCGTTCACCGTCCGGTGTTGATCACTCGAGGAGTCAAGTAACTTTCAACCTTCTCTTGCATCTTTCTTTCGTCTCGCCTTCCACACTGTTTCTCTCTCTCTCTCTACTGTATTTCAGTTCTCCCTTGCTACTCCACTCCCACAGCATCTTCTCCTCCCACGCCGCTCTCGCAAACACCTCGTGCGCATCTCGACATTGGCATCACCACTACATCAATATCGACAGCGACAGCAGCGTCAATTGAGCTAGCCCCGTGCGTGTGACGACTGCAATCCCGACAAACTGTACCACCAACACAAACCAACATCTCCAACTCCCCCGTCGCAGGCTTTTCACTCGCTGCCCGCCCTCTGCAGGACTGCGATTCGGAACACTGCAACTGGGTACCGTCCTAATCCGGTACGCTCTGAAGTCACCGTCTTGCGCATTGCCAGAATCGACTCGTCTCTTGTCCACCGTCCCAGCCATCGTTGCAAGACGTTTTTTACTTGCGAGCATCGAACACTCGTCGCGAGCTTGCCCTACCTCGTACAAGCCGCTAGTCCCCTCTGCCATGCGGTAACTGCACTCATTGGCGCCAAAAGACAACTCATAATACATTTCCACACCAGATCGAAGCCTCCTCTTCTTCTTGTTAAATACGCCGCTCTATTCTCCAAACCCAAGGATTTGTCCAGACCTTGTTCCAAGATTGCTGGTGTCAGGTACTGCATCGATTGACGACCCGTTGCGACAGGAACTGGATGAACAGCGGTCATTGGACTTGAAATACCCCTCCAGGGTCCGACTCTTCCTGCGTGTAAAGCGGGAGAAACTTATATACTTAGGTACTTGCAGTCATTGACAGTTCTATCCTCGGCACCACCCTGGTAAGACTCCCCTCATGCGCTCTGCACTTCCTGTTCTCACAATACTTCTAGCTCCCCGTTTGCTTAGTCTCATCAAGCGTCGTTCAGCCACTTCTTCGAATCCGGTCTTGCGACACACTCCCGTCATAGTCGACAAGTCAACAAGATGTCGTTAACACACCCGCCCCGGTACCAGGGGCCACCTCCTCCCCCGAATCAGAATTACTCATATCCTCCGAGAATAGTCGAAGCACAAATTCAACGAGAATCGCAACCAATCTTACCACCAATGTCATCGCTGCTGCCAAGAGAGGAGCGATTGGAACGAGCTCCATTGCACAATAGCTCATACCCTCCTGAGCCACCGCAATCCTTCCCACCACAAGAACCGAAACATCCCTTATGGCTGGCGGAGAGAGATCCTGCTGCGCCAGTACAGCACATATTCCACGGCCCATATCCCCCACCAGCCGTACACAGCCCACATCCGCGTCAGGATCCAGTATTGGTCCCTTCACCCGCAACTCAAATACCACGCGAATATGTTCCTCAACACCCACAAGGACGACAGTCACCTCAGAGACAGCATCGTAAAATTAGTCAAAGGCCGAGTGAACTTCCCAAGGCTGGCACGGACAGAATTGAGAAAGAGCCAGCTCGACCACACAACAGCTTTCCTATGCAGCAACAACCATATCAACACCAGAATATTCAAGCACCGCAACACCACCAGCCATTACATCCGATCCAGGCGCCGCGCGCTCATTCTATACCTCAACTGCAACCTCCTCCACCGCCTAGACCGCAGCAATCTTACCAGCCAGCGGTCACGCAAGCTCCACCACCGCCTCCTCAGGGTTTGAGCTCTAATTCAATGCAAATCTCGGGATTGTTAAGCAGTAGCCCGGCCCCTACCAACCATGGGTGTGTTACAATACTACAGATACTTGATTCAGCTTACTAACACCTGTAGTCCCTCGCAACCTCAACGGTCCACTCCTCGTCATTCGATACGCATGCGCCAACAACCTGTCGCAGCACGAGCCTGTGGATTTGGTGAGCGCGATCGTCGAGTAATCGATCCTCCCCCAATTCTTCAGATGGTAGTTGAAGACCCCAATGCGTCCCAAGAGGCCATCAAAGCCATGATACGACATCCCTGCACCGTGGTACATTGTACGCTGTGGGATCCAGTCGCGGATAAGGACGATACGGCCATGCCAGGGACTACAGATAAGCGGCAGCAGAGGAGGCTGATGGGCACGCTTGTCTCATCACCCTTTGTGGGTAAAGATGAACACGGTGTTGAAGGCTGCTTCTTTACGTTTCCAGATTTGTCTGTTCGAACCCCTGGAAAGTATAGCTTGCGATTCAGCTTGATGATACTCGACCCAGCGCGAATGGCACACGGGAACTCGGTGCCCGTCAGTTCTGTAGTATTTAGCGACGCTTTTAACGTCTTCAACGCCAAGGATTTCGGTGGAATGAGGCCAAGTACAGAATTGACCAAAAGACTTAAGCACCAAGGTTGTTTGATCAGTGTAAAGAAGGGTAACGCAAAGACTGGTGGAGGTTTGAGAGACGATGACGATGATGAAGATGACGAAGAAGAAGAGGCGGACATGGACGAGAAAAAAGCGAAACGGCCATCGAAGAGAATCAAGAGGTGATTATCTCAATTATTCATCTTATTCCCATACTCCTGTACTTCGGTTTGCGCAATGATGATGACGTGGGATTAAGCACGCATTCGCACAATATACTCACAACGAACCCATTATATCAACCTTTTCTTCAAAAACGATCAGCACGGATCGTATTCCTATTATTAATTTTGACCTTTTGGGTCTATTCCCTGCGGTATGCCTACCGCCTTAGAAATTCAACGACTTGCGGATCGGAGTTCTAAGCTTTCATTCGGCAAACCTTCTCGGCCTCGACATTAGTCGGCTATTTCACCTTTCATCATTTAGATTTATTGGTGTTTGTGTTACATTGTTTTGCATACGGTATTTATGGACACTAAACGGCCTTGTTGCTTTCCTCGCGACCTTGGTTTTGGCTTAGAGAGTTGTTTTGCATTGTTCGACTGATGCGACTTTTTTGTTCATAATTGCATTGGTTGGCTGGCTTTCCTTTTGGCTACGCGCATCATTCTGGAAGGCGCCGAGTTGTTGCCTTGTCGGTGAACAATGGTATTCTTTATGCGGTGGATATATCCATGGAGTCTGTATTGCACGTATTGAGCTTGAACTTCCTTCAGCTGTGAGCGGCTTTTGGGGTCGGAATGTTATGAATTAGCAATGTGCGTAACACTGATGTCCAAAAGCGAATAGAAATGATATTTAAAAACACTAGAACAAATGACTATTTGATCTATACATCTGGAACTAATGACCTTTCTTTCTGCGCTCCGATTCCCTACTCCTTTGCGAAAGATGCTAGAATGTATTATTAAAAATAACTACTAGGGGATACGTACACTCTACGAGGTGTGTGATGTTGATCTAAAAATTCCTAAGCGAAGTCGTGTAACAGAAGTGTCTTTTGCCATCTGCTACGCCTCATTGCAAGGCTGTAGATGTCAGATGAACATTGGGTAATCGCTAAGAATCCCTGTAACAGACGGGACATGACTTCCGCCAGTTTACTGACCTCGATCAAAGCCATCGAATTACAACCCTCCTCGCTAGAATCTGGATTCGGCTGCTGCTTGGGAAAATACTTGCCATCTTCCTCTATTTTCGCGGGTCATAGTCTTGGCACACGAGACTAACATGTCCGGATCAAGGGCAAGCAAAGGCTGTGCACAGTGTCGAAAAAGAAAGGTCAAAGTAAGTCTACTACCTGCTGGTTCTTTGGAAAGTTCCCAGGCGCGGCTTCAACTGGTTCGAATCATTACTGTTCTGACCTAACACAGTGTGATGAAACAAAACCTTCCTGTCAAAGATGCTTGAAACGGAATGAAGATTGCAGCGGCTACCGCGAGCTTACAGCACCAAAATTTATCTTCAAGAATGAAAATGAGAGGACGGCTATCGCGTCTCTGCGGAAATCACAACCCGCGACCAAATCGACTACATCGACTTGGACACTTTCACAAGCCCGGTCATCAATAACAGCGAGTCCTTCTGCGTCGCTCCCGGAAGAAGAGGTTATTCAATCTTCTGATCTCCTATCTAACATAAATCTCAATCCTACACCTTGGCTTGTTCCGAGTCTTACATCCACTGACTCATCCACAAAACTGGAAGAGAAGAATGTAATTGATTCCTTCTTTAACAAATACGTTCTTCCTCCATGTACATCGACTTCGACCCCTGGGTTTTTGGAGTATCTACCTATGCTCTTTGAGGAAGTACCTATTGCAGGTCGAATTTCACTGCGTCACGCTGTTCGTGCAGTTTCTTATGCTTCGCTTGCTACATCTATGCCCAAGGTTTCTCCGGAAGTGAAGGACGTCAGAAGACGTGCGGATACATATTATGGTAAAGCACTCAAAAGCTTGAGCGAAACGTTGGCAAGCGAGAAAGATGAAGAGAAGGTTAGCGATTATGCATTGATGACTGTTGTGTTATTGGATTTATTTGAAGTGAGTTTTACCCCGAACCTCTCATATAGAACCTAGACTGATAACCAGCAGTCCATTTTCATCCCAAATCCAGAAAGATGTGGCTCTCACACTGAGGGTATGGCGAACATCTTGCGATTGCGAACTTCAGACCAGTTGCGAACCCCTCGAGGATGGAGTCTATGGAGATTGAGCCATCATCGTATCCAGCGACAACAGCTAGCTTTCCCAGACGACTTGGCACCATGTCAAAGTCTCGAGCAAGAAGAGCTACTCTCACAACTCAACGAAGATGTGCCAGAAAACAAAATCGAAAAGACAAACTTCGAGATTGTCAGAATATGTCGGCGGGCTAGGCAACTGAGAGCGAAGTTAACTCTCGACACGAGTGATCATGATGTGACGGAGATCCTTGATGTGATTGGCGAGATGCATAAACTCGAGGCTGAATCTGTTGCGTGGAGAGCTGGTCCTTGCTGGGCATACAAAACAGTTCCTACCGCTTCTCTTACCACATCAGATGGCCAATTTCTGACCGAAGAAGAGCTGAGAGACTGGCCGGAGAAGGTAGGGCTGTATCCAGATCTATGGATCATCTACGAACTCAATTATCAGCGAACCGGCCGACTGCTTCTACATACCCAAATCTTGGAATGTCTTGCTTTATGGAAGACATCCGATGTTGATCAGATGATCAGCTACTCACAAAACATCATCACGGAGCTGGTGGAGGAGATCCTCCAATCCGTTCCACAATCTCTGGGTGACGTTTCCAGTAATGGTTTCATTATCAAAGAATCACTTCTTTGGAATCCTGCTGGTAGTCCCGGGACAAGTGCTATCGGTGCGTACTTTTTGCTTTGGTGTATCAAGGTTACGAAAGAAGCGGTGTACGCGAGTGAAGAGCAGAGATCTACAGCGAGAAAAGTGTTTGGAAGGATTAGAGATGTGACTGGGATGAGGGAACGGGGGCTTGGAGAAGATCTTTAACACATTGAACCATGGTCAAAATAAAATACAATGGGACGAATTGTTTGTTTGAAGAGATTAAAGGGTCGATCAAGAGCATGTTGTTTTCGAACACCTCGAACGGGTCCGATCTAGAGATCGATTGTCTGTGAAGCATTTCATAATTCTCGGAGATGAACTGATATGTTACAAGTGTAGCTTCATTTGATCGATGTTCCAACACAAATGACACTCGCCTACGTATTACAACCAACTCTCTAGCAACTAACTGCCAAACACTCTATCGAACTTAGTCGAGCAGTCCGTCTGAAGTTGATTCATTAAGAGTAACAGACTGCCTTGAATCTCTCAACTCAGCATTTACCAAGAAAGCGTTCTAAAATCCGTACCACACGCCGTCATTTCTGACATAACTTGAATCGGCCTCCCATCACGTGACGCACCCCGACTCCCTTAACAACCGCACAAGTCCTCACACACCACAACCCCCTCAACCACACAACCACCCTTCTTCCACCAAAACACAATTTCCCTACAAACTCATATAGCTGTGTTTGTGTTTCTCTCATCACACCCCCCCGCTCTTTTTTCAGCCCTCCAGCGTCAACTATATAAATCTAAAACCACCCACCTTTGTCACATACGATCATAGACTGATGAGAATTGGGCATCCCGTCCGCTCTGCCACACACAAGCATCAGATCGGTAGATTAGTAGTTGGGTGGGTGACCACCAGCGAATACCTACTGTCGTATGTTTTTTTGCTTCGTATGTTTTTTTGCTTGTGTATTGGTTTTGAGTTCTTGATTATATTTTTGACGATCTGGCGGTTGGCGAGTGGCGAAGGCGGGTGAGTCGTAAGGGATGTGTGGGATGAGGGTTGTTGGGTGGTGGATTGGTTGTGTAATGTAGTAGGTGGGTTGTGCTTTTTTAGTAGGTTGTTTCGGAGGGTGACTAGATACGTTTCCTTGTCGAAATTTCCTATATAGGCGGGAATAGTAGGTACTAGACGACTATTTAGGGTATACATCTTAATCATATAGATTAAGCATTTCTGGAACCGATTAGCTTAAAAATTTAAAAGTGAACAAAATGTTCTAGTCTTATCTAGGTATCTCTCAATTCTCTACTTAGACTCTGTCAAACAGACAACTTGTGTTGCTAGAAGTGGGAGCACGAGGTCAGCATCGTCTCAGTAGGTACACTTTCTACTATACTTAGAGTAGTTTTCAATTATACCTTCCCTTGGCGTAATTATACTAGCTGCGATGTTAACGCTTCTCTTACTTTACTTTAGTAAACCCTGTCTTTCGTAGTACCGTGTATGTAAGCTTGTTATATTAGTGTTATGTCGAATAGATGAAATGTATGGCTGAATCTGTCAGCTCTTGTCGTGATGCCCTTTACCCACGTTTCTGTATTTCATTAGTATAACTAGGACCTTTGAGCCTGTTCGGATACGCCACTAAACGTGTTAGACTTCTTGCTCCAATTAACGCTGTATATTGATGAATATTAGAACCCGCTGTCTACTTTTAAGGTGAAATATATATAAGTACAAAGAAATCCGCGCTACGCTTTTCCCCAAAGCTAATAAGAAGTAGAATGTCGTTTTTTTCGGTTAATCGGACAGATGGTGAGTTGTATCGAAGTCAGACTATGGCTCTGCGTCTGCGTCATCATCTGCTTCAACCTCTTTCCTGCCCTCAACTGCTTTCATGCCTTCCCCGCTGATACTTGCCGTCAAACTGTTCGATCTCGAGTAAACACTCGGAGCTCTTTCTTTCGACGGGTTGACTAATATTCTGAATTTCTTCACGTCCACGACTTCATGCTCATCGTTTCCAGGTAGAGGCGCAGACTTCTCTCCAGGCAATTCCAACCATGCTTGAAAGCGCTGAATTTTGAATACCTTATTCCAGGACTTGAAAACAGCCGTTATGTCACCGCCATATTGCAGATCACGCTTGATTCGTGCAATGACTTTCCGTTTCCGAAATGGCCACGTGAGTTTAGATCCTTTGACGTTGGCTGCTGCAATGAGCTGAGTGGTGAAGTCTCTCCATTCATGTTCGCCTACGTTGAATTTTTGCTAGATTAATGTTTTAGTATGTACTGGAACCAAGCCTTGCGACAACCGCTGAGGATGGACCAACAGGTCACACTTCTGAGCAGGATTGGAGGTATTATGAGAAAAGATTTCCTTACCAGTCTAGGGTCATACTCAAACCCCGAAGCAAGCGATTCGGTCTTCGTAGGAATCCATAATTTAGTTCCTTCCGGCTTACTCGGTTCCGAGAATGAAATTCGTCGCGAATCCCTACTGGGCGCGGGAGACTGAGCGCCTACTCTGGAGGGGATCTCATAATTGTCTAACGTTTCCTGAGCTCTACTTCTAGCTCTCCCGGAAGACTGAGATGCGGCACGAGAAGGGACTCCAGCGCTACGGGAAGACGCTTGAGATCTGCTCCGTTGTATCGCCCTGGAATTTTGTCAGGCGCAAAATTTACACAACATCACACATTGACCGACCTTCCCGCCTTCTCATTCCTAGCCGCGTTCTGAGCAGCTAGGTCCTGAGACTTTGAGCTTGAGCCCTTTCCCTTTTTCTGGGGTTCGGCTCTGTTTTTGTATCTTTTCGCGCGCTCAGCGTCCTCTAAATTTTGCAAGGCTAGCAGGGCATCCATTGGCCAAATACTCGACAATTATCAATACAGGAGGCAAGAAAATATAAGCAATAAGAATGTGTATATACAGGGCTAGCGGTGAAGATGTGAATGGCGGGAATAAAGATGGAGCTGGGGCCGACGATCCCCACGTCTATCGAGGTTGGAGACTGAAGACAAATCGCCTTCACGTGATGTTGCATTAGCGTCACATGTGACCTTGCCGCACCCGGACTTGGCTGGGTAGCTCGTTATTTAATCATGTGGTCATTACCATTATACAATATATTTAATCCGGCCCTTAGTGGTGACTAGAGATTCATGATACAAAATGGTCTTGTGTGTTGTCCTATTGGGAAATAGAGCCTCACCTTGCCTTGCTCTCCGTTGAACGACGCCAAGAGTTCACGATCGAGAAGGAGTTTATTATATGAACATTTCCTATTTATCTCGCGAAGCTATCGATCAAGGAATGTTGTGAGGGGTCGGTGCGAACATGTCATTACCCTTTGGCTAGCAGAGGCTTCTCCAAATGCTGTCGATTCTCTCAGGCCCAAGACATGGCACTAAAACTGCCTGGTACCGCACTTTACAGCATTCAAGGCCACTCCAACTACGCCGGCAGGATTTGGCAGGGCCTGCCCTCCATTCAACCGGTAATGCAACACTGTATCGAGAAAGCCACTTTGACAGTCTAGGTCCTCCGCACTATTGACAGTTAATAAGAATAACATCGCTAACAAGGTAAAGGCATCTTACATCCCAAAGGTGCAGTCCAAGTTTCTACAGAATAGGACTAATCTTGCTTTTTTATTGTCTTTGGTAAACGGGAAACATTCGTCCAAGCCGTAGACAGCTGCAGGACTGCTTTCATCGGCGCCATATTGAATGGTGACGGCCTGCATGGTTAGAAAAATCGAAGCAGGGGAAGCTGAGAATTTCATACCGCTGCTCCAAGTTCGGTCCGCGTATCACACGCTCTTGCCAACTTGCGGTATGTTCCCCTGAGGTCTTGCGGAAGGTTTGCCAAAGTTGTGATTGAAGAGAATAATGATTGTGCTAGCGTCGGGCAGGTAAACACAAGGGGAAGTAACAACGTTGGCTTCATAGTAGTGGTAATGAGACGTTGGTGGGAAGGGGTTGGAATAAAACGAGCAATGTGATGATTGAAGCTCAGGACAACATAAAATCTCGTGGATGGGTTCTCTTGATATGACAAAATTCGGAATCTACCCAGCTAAAGGTTTCCGCTGCATTAAACCAACACTACGTCTTCGGATCACTAATGATCATCCTTCGATGAAGCCTAGTTACGACGGTAACACATAGCACAGAAGAGGTGATGATCGCCCGAGTGTAAACTCTGGCTTCGGAAACTCGAGAGAGCCTACTGGTCCGTGAACGACACCTTTGGTGACGCCGGCGATTACAGATCCCGTAAGGCTGTACAATTAGTCTTGTGGCTTCCTTTTACTACATGAACAATGCTCAAACATCCCGTAACCTCCTTACATAGTTACATGTTGTTCCTCGGCACGACGTCAGAGCCGGGCCACGAGAAGTTACATGCAAATACCACGGATTTTCAGGATGCAAGGCTAAAGTATACGGCTTAGACAGGTTATACGCCTTGCACTGAATCTCCAACTCAAAATTCCAGAATTGATTTGCTCTCCTTGATAACCTTTAACTTCTTCGGTTCCGTGTAGGAAACCACAAGCAGTGAGACCCCCATTTCAAACAAAAGGCTGAACAACGCATCGAGAACAGAAGCGAAACATAAGAAAAAGCAATGCTATGAAACAGGTAGCACAATCGTGAAAAGTTGATTCCGAAAATTTTGAGAAGCCCCAGAGTATATTGAAATGAAATTTCCATTTGTTTGGAAACATTTTGCCTGATAAAGTGCGATTCGGGACTCTTGACACTTCAGCAGCGTTCTAAGATAGATGAAGGCACCTAGAATCAAAAGGAAGATCGATATGGGGTTTGGCTCCTCTGTGGTGAAGGTACGTAGGTGAGTTAGTGGAAAGAAAAGATCATTTTCTGAAGAAGAGAACATCTCCTACTGATCGACAGGAATTCCATGAAAGATGCTCATCGGTCGCTTCTGCAATGGGAAATGTTTGGCAGTTCAGCTCGTAAAGGTTCACAGGATCAGCACCTCTCCATATTCTAGTCTTTCAATTTCAGGAAATGATCACCATGTCTAAGCCGTGCCAAAGTGCGAGACTATACTTGATATGAATGTCATAAATTCTAACCCTCCGGATTAGGCTAGCATATGCCCCAATTAAGATATGTTGTATTCATATCCCCAGACCGGTTCCGCAGCGTCCCTCAATTGGAATCCCAAGGACATAGGAAGCTCCTTGGATTCGATTTTCCTCACTTCGCCAATCCTTGCGCGCACCTCCCATCGCACTTCATACTAGTATTGTTGTAATGATATTTCCGCACCACGGCTTCGAATAAAATTGCCATCCATTTCAAGAATTGATGGCCCAAAATTTTGCGACAACAAATAAACCAGTAGGCAAGAGCAACTATACAAGCATCCCGACTATCGTTTCTCCTTTCACTTATTCATTTAAGCTGCGTCTCTGATGGGTTGCCTATGTATCGCGATATCTTTTGCGCTGCAACTTGATAAGCAGTCGCCATTTGTAGATATTCGCATTTGTGGATTTGTTACAATGAGGAACGTTGCAAGTACATCGCTCACTATCATCTATCCAAATGAGTACGGATTGTACGGGTAACTCGTATGATAATAAAGTTGAGGATCGGTAACAGGTTCGAGCGACTCATATGATTGATCCCACCAAAAGCCGAGCTGATCCCCAAGCATCTCAGACTCAAACGGTGCCATTGATGGATCAAATAGCTGCCGAGGTGCGGCTGGGTGGTTGAGAGTGCTCATTCCATCATTGGGAACTGCCGTCAATCCAGTTGTCTGCAAGGTATTTGCGTGCAACTGTTGACGCTCACCAGAAGCCTCGAGGTGCCAGAAGCCTGCAGTATGTGAAGTGTTTCCACGCTGATTCTCTAAGGCTTGCTGATGAAGTGGTTTTTGTGTCTGAGGCTGTGGTTCCGCTTGTAATATTGATGAAATGCTGTTTCCAGAGACCTTGGAAGCAGAGTGAATATTCCTCCCAGGTAGCGGAGGCTGGGTGGCAAGAGGTCGTGTAGTTCTTGCGTTGTTTACCGAGCTTGCTGGCGTCCTAGGATTTACCTCCGATTTGCAAACTGAACTTGGTTGGGAATCGCTAACACCAGATGAACAGTGAGCAGAATCTGCTATGAAATCAGAAAATTTGGTCGAACAGCCATTGACTCGTGGACTATCAGTTGACACAATCTTCTCGATATCTGCGGGCTGATCATCTGGGTTTGTAAAACGATCAGAAATGCCACATATTACATTGATGTCAAATCCTGCATCTTTGAAAAACATTTCTAGCTTCTCCCACTGAAATACATGGTAAGTTTATGTGATAACAGGAGGCATTGGAAAATTTATCTTACGAGCATATTTAACGTAGTCCAGTATATTCTAATCCTCTTGATAATTATCAAAGCAGCCTTAAAGCGAACAAACGTATTCACCCGAAGCTTTTTCTGTGCCACGAGAGATTTGAAATGTATAGTTATCGCCACCAATAACGTATAAGCTGTAGTACTCGGGACATTCTTGAAATCTGGGTCAGTCGATAAGAATGCGGATGCCATATCTAAAGTGATCGAAGCCTGCTTAACAACCTCTTCTGCTGAAAGTCTTACCATCCTCTTTGGTATCGAAAGGTGTGGTGGGTATGTAGAGAACACAGGAACCAGCGCAGAATGTAAACTCATCGAACACAATCGGTATATGCTGTTGAGAAAAAAACTCCTGACTATTGGTACTTTGGAAACCCTTGAAAATTCCGGGTACCGAATTTCAGGTCCAAGACGATTGAGAACGAGACCAAGTCTTGTGTCAAGGTCTAAAAAGGTAGCTACAATTTGTGAGACATCTTTGCCTTCGGTAACTGCACAGGAATCCACAAAGCTCCGTATCTCGGACCTATGATTTTCATTAGTCTTTATCATAGTCTACAAATTAATAAAGCTCACCATAAAGCAAAAAGTACAAGCATTGCTCCTTCTGGTGTTGCGATTCTTGTTGATCCTTGGGCCACGGATTCTATTTGTTGTATATAGCCATTTTCGTCGAAGAAGTGACCTTTCACCATTCTTCCGCACTCGTAGCTGTCATCAGAAGGAAGCAGCAGTCCAGGAACTCTTTGCCAAGGCTTCGTGGCGGCGTCTTCGTTCTGAACTATACAACTAAGCCAAGCAGCCCAGTACGTCCTTCTTGACATTTCAGCTTCATGACTATGGCGATTGAATTCCGAATCTTTTCCAGACTTGCCAAGCTGATTTGCATAAATGCTTTGTGCCGTTTTCCAAGCGATGTCTACGGTAGTTCAGATAATACCTTCAGTGGAGATCACTTTACTTACGACCGTGCATATGAGTTCTGGCAACTTCGCCATTTGAGTACCAATACAGTGCTAGGTTTTGACACGCTTGGATGGTCTCCACCTTAGGTATGTCACATTGACTAAGTGTACGCAGGTTTGATGTGACAGCCCACGCTCGTCCTTGCTCGCAAACTTTGGATTTGGAAACGGTTGTATCTCCAGCCTTTATCATATCTTCTTCGAGGCCAGTTCCTCGTAAACTTCTGTCTTTGCGTCAGCTGAGGTTCGTTATAATGAGAATGATAATTACACGGTAGCAAGTGCGAAAACACTCATAGCCACAAAATCCGCAATACGTCCTGCCGCAAAGTCTCCTAAGAAAGTTTCCTTATGGAACAATAATGAAGAATGAGAAAAATGCTTAAAATAGAGTTCAATAAGGAAATCAGCCACATCAGGAGGTGGCATTAAAGTTTCATCAATTGTCATCTAGAAAAAATTCTGAGTATCGTGCCTAAAAGCGGAACCATGAGTAGATGAGTGATATTGATCAACACTTACAACACTATAATTCCCACCAGTTTTCTGTTGACCATTTGACGCGGGTGTTAGAGAAGTCGTGATTACGCTAGACATAAGAGGAAGCTGATGCTGTTCAGTTGAATTGACAGCTCTACCAGCATCAGCCTGGGCGCGAGCCTTTGCATTCTGCCATCTTTGATTTGCTAATAGTTTCCTATCTGGTGGTGGCGGGTAACTGCATGGGACTGAAAGGTCTTTGCATCTTTTGCATGCTGGCGAGTCCCTCGTACAACGCAACTGATGAGAAAGGAAAAACGTATTAGCTTGATAGATTACGAGGACACGATTGAGTCTCGTGTTTTGTTCTGCTGGTTGGAGCAGCCTAAGCAGTAAGTATTCTTGTCCAAAGGTGCATGGACTTACTTTTTGTTTGCGGCATCTTCGGCATGCTACTGTCAAATGAGGTTCTTCATGGACTTCATGAGTATTGCGATCCTTCTGTGGCGGTGGCCTGGAGCTTGTCGCCAGAATGTCCTCATTGTTCGTTGTTAACATTCTGTTTCAGCTTCAGCTGCGATGGGCCGTGCAATGCACCGTGAAGAATCGACCGTGCTTTTTCCTTTACTTCAGTGATCCGGTAACAAATTAAGGCCGGCTACTGCATAATTGCGCTCTTCGCCAACTGCATCGTGCTATCAAAGTCTGCTTATAGGGAGTTTGAGATGTTTGCAACTTTGTTGCCACCAGGTTTACAATGAACATTCACGGTAGAGGTTGAAGGTTTGACTAAAATTAGCCGACAAATTTAGTTTCCCAAGGTCGGCTTGTTTGATCTTCGAAACGCCCCAAACTGGTTTAGCCTCGATCACTTCCCGCGACTGAAAAGTGTTGGCGAAACATGTTTCGGCGAGAAGAAGTTAATTTTTCGAAATGCCCACGTAAGTTTTGATGCTCAGATTCATTTCGTGCTTATCGTTAAACCCCTGTTTCTCTGACCTTCTTGTGGAACACATCTTTTATTTGTAAAATCTTCGTTTCGATAATACACTATGTTACATCTACTAATTACAAATTACCTGCAACTGAATGCAGAAGCATCTATGAGATACCAACGATGCAGAGTTTAAAGTGCCCTTCTGAAAACGCCAACCATTTCCAAACGCCAAAGGTATACAAGATTACATGCCTTCATAAAGTCGAAGCTTTCAATAACTTCCCTGCTACCAAGGTAGCCAGACTACTAACGCTAGTTCTTTTGTCAAGCAGTGTAGCGAAGGGAACATCGATCTTGAAAACTCGGAATACAGCGCCTCGGAATTCAGCCGCAAGCATGCTGTCCATACCAAAGTCGGCCAATTGTCTTTCGGGGCTCAAGTCTTCTATCCCTACCAGTAACAGTGCGCCGATCTTTGCTGAAACAACATCTTGTACAGCTAAGATGAGGGGTGGATCTGGTATGATAGCTTCGTCGGGAGAGGTTGGAATAGCAGAGTGAGATGCCAGAGCTGACGACACCGAAGACGGAAGTGACGATTCATCGCCGTGTAAATCGTCTGACGAAGAAGCAGCGGCTGCAGCATAAGCGCCGGCAATGATACCAGTCCTAGGATCATCAAGAACAGCTGTCGGTCTTTCCCAGCCCATGGCTCTTATTTTTTGAAGGCCTAATAGCTCTAAGCCAGTCAATATATGGCCCTCAGCCAAGTAGTCAGCTGGGAAGTTCCCACTGTTCCTCACGCTAGTATCCACTTCCTCGGGAGACAAGGCGATATCTACTAGTTGAAGAAGTTCGTCTTCATTGATCGGATGGACACCTTTGCGGAGGAGAAGAGCTTCGATTTCGGGATTTTCATGGAGAAAACCAACCTCAGATATCATCCCTAGGCCGAGGGACGTAGCAGGCAGACCTAAGCTTCTACGATGGCGGCAAAAGGCGTCTAAAAAGCCGTTGGCAGCGCAGTAATTACTCTCTGTTGCAACCCCGATGGAGCCAGAAATAGATGAGGTGCACAAAAAGAAGTCTAGGCTGGTAGAGCGGCCGGCTAGGGAATTGTGGATGTTCCAGGTTCCTTTGACTTTTTGGTCAATGCCGCCATGCCATACTTTACTTGTCATTTCTGTGAAGAGGGCGAGCTAAAGAATCCTGTCAGTTATTTTCGCCGAGACTTTAGGGAACGGGGCACATACCGAGAGGCCCATAGCAGCCTGAATCACACCACCAATAGGATCCTTTATTTGCGCAAAGCCATTCTCCACATCTTCAGCATTACTAACATCTCCCCTTACGACCAGGATATTCGCACCCATTTTCTTCAAATCTTCGACGAGCGCTCTTGCAGGAGCACGGTCAACCCCAGATCTGCCCATGAAAACAAATCTTCGCGCCCCACGCTGGAACATCCATTTAGACAAGCTCCTTCCTAAACCACCCAGACAACCGATGAGGACGTAAGCCTTCTTGGAGTTGAAAGCTGTACGAAATTTTGGTGGGACGAACTATGTAACATTAGTTGAAAGATCCATGGAGCAGGAAGCATTTTACTTGCCTGTATTTCAGACGCGGGGTTTTCAAAGGAGACGGCAGCTTTTCCAAGGCGCGTAGAAAGTCCAAAGTAACGGAAGGCTTGGACAACGTCCGAGACGTCGAAGGTCTTCAGTGGCTCTATGGCTGTGATCTTTCCTGTTCGGTAAAGTTCCATAGACTTGTTCAAAAGGCTGTCAAAAGGTTAGAAATAAGTCTAATTATTATCGGTATAAAATCTGGGTGACTTACGCAGTCCACTGAATGTGCTGTCTCTTATTCTTCGACCAGAACAGATTCGACAAATCAAAGGCAGTGAACGTTACTCCCCGCTCGAATACTGACATATCCAATTTTCCACCGTCAACGATATCTTTCTTACCGACCTCAATAAATCGACCAAACTCAGCGCATGCACTCCAGCTATCGTGTAGGAGATCTCCAGTCAAAGAGTTCAGCACTACGTCAACACCACGTTCTGAAGTTGCCTTGAGAATGCTTGGCAAGAACGAGGAGTCTCTTGAGCTGAAGATATGGTCTTCTAGTAAACCGAATGTTTTGATCAGAAAGTCTTTCTTCTCTTGCGTCCCCACAGTAGCAAATATCTCGGCACCTCTCATCTGGGCAATCTGTATTGCAGCAAGACCAAGACCGCCCGCTGCCGAGTGGATAAGTATTGTTTCACCTTCCTGCAGTTGAGCTCTTTGCTCCAGCGCATAAAGGGCCGTCGAGAATACTAGTGGAATAGTGGCACAGATTGTGAAATCTTCCTCGTCTCTGAGTAAACAACATGCCCATTCTGGAACGGTCTCGAAAGTTGCAAAGTGTGTCGGTGCCATCACAACGACTCTGTCACCGACCTGGAATTTTGATCCGCGCGAAGCAACTCTAGTAACGGTGCCACTGAATTCACAACTACAAGTGGAAAGCTTAGTGTCGACTTTGCCATGGAAGGCGTAAAAGTCCTTCGCGTTCATGCCGACTACTTTGACCTGTACTTCAACGAAGCCAGGCTGCAATAAGGGATCGCTTGGGGCGCGTTGATCGAAACGGAGGGAGTCGAGTTGTCCAGCACTTCCAATGTTCAATTGACAATTGCCTGCATCTTTGAGTTTCGTCGATCTTGTTTCGCCGTTTTGCCCACGTCGGAAACGCTTATTCATCGACTCTTCGGGCACGAACCTGCTACTATAAAGGGCACCTTTATGCTGCAGATACTCGAACTCCGGCCTCGAGCTGAATACGGCTTGTCGCAGGACGTTGACAATGTTTTGCGATGATGAGGTAAAGTCAGCATCCATGGTGTCTAGGTCAACGGTGTACATCTTCAAAGATGGCTGTTCCAACATCAAGGACCTAGCAAGCCCGCCAACTAAGGAGAAAGACGGCTTTGCCGCTTCAAAAAGCCCGCCTCCAGTAACCCAAACGAGTATGGAGGCATTGTCGGTTACCACTTTTATGCGCTCGATATCATCGGCAACAGCAAGTTCGAGGACAGGATCTTCCAGTTCAATAGTTGAAATGACGATTGAACCATATGGTATTTTGTCATGGGTGACGCTTGCCAACGAAATCCTCTTTACCTGACGGCCAAAATATTCTTCTAAAGCGCAATGGAGATGATGGTTGATCGGATACGATGTATTCCGTTCCACAATTAGAACGCACGAATCAATTTTTTTGTTAGATTGTCCAAGCTCTTCTTTCGAACGAGCAATGGTGATAGTGCGTCGGGTTGGATCTGTCGCCGTAGAAATTAGAGAAAATCGGGATTCGTTTAGAAGTGTGTTGTCGGTTGGTTTATTGCTTGAGAGTATACTAGCGTGAGATGACAAGGCCTTCAAAATATCGGGAGTGAGCAGGCTCGATGTCGCTTCTAGGGACGGCGGAAGGAGAACCAAGTCGAAAAGCGCATCGTCTTTGATTTTAACGTTATCATTTGCCAGTAGTTGTGCTGGATCTCGAATCTCCGTTCCCATCATCTTTCCTCTATCATTTCTTAAGCGATTTAACCTTGTGTATGAGTGAAATCTTTTCAACGAGGTACCAACATGCAGCAAATCAAGTAGCGTAGCTGAATGCTGCACGTCGCCATCGCCAATTTCCAGTATTCGTAACCGTGGGTTTGAGTGGGTGAGCAAATCCACTGCGCCTGCGAACCTCCCAAAATCGGAATTGCGTAGCGCACCGTCGAGTTGGTCGGAGAAGCGATTTAAATAATCCGTAAACTGCGGTAAATGTGCTGAGTCAAGTGTTGAAATGTCCAGCTTCCATAAAGTTCTTAATACTGGATTGCGCTCCTCTTTATCATCAACTTGCAACCCGCTTTCATTGTAGGCAACCGCTCTGACATCGCCAACGGTCGCAAGGACGTGTCCTGTCGGGTTTCTGAGCTCGGCATTGATGTTGATCGTACCAAAACCAACGGTCTCGGAATCGGCGAAAATGGTGCAACACTGCCCAACATCTTTGAATGCCGCCGCAGATATTTCGGCGGTACCAATTGTCACAGGAACCTTTCCCCGGAGCCGAGGAACGGACCCCGAAGCCGAAGCAATTATGGCAGTCTGCAATAACGCATCAAGAGTGATTGGATGGATCATATATTCAGATTGGGTGCCATGCTCAGAACGGCCGCCACACAGCAATTGCGTTTCTGAAACAGTTCGATATAATTTTTTTGATCTGTCATTGTATATTTTAGTCATCGATCGGAACATTGGTCCAAACCGTAAGCCTTCTTTTGTGAACTTGTCATACCAAGTGCGTGTGGCTTGCTCTTCCATCGTTTCTGTAGAAAAGTCCAATCGTGTGCTCGAAGTAGGGGCTTCTCCGAGCACAGCAACTAGCCCGCTGGCATGAATTGTTGTCATGTCTGCGGCAAGGGACGTAATCTCAAACTGCCACCAGTTTCCGGAGAAGGAAACTCCAGACATTTGAAATGGCCTCAACTCCGTAAAAAGTTCCATTCCATGCTTCTCCTCTTCGAGAACAAGGACATTCTGAATGTGAACCTGTTTAAATCTAACCCCTAGGAATGGAGAATCTGAAGATTTCACTACTTCTCGCAGCGCCTCGGCGGCTAAAGCTAAGTAGCCTGCACCTGGGAATACCATCGTGCTGCCCAGTTTGTGATCCGCCAGCCATGGGACATCCTCGACTTTCAGGAGATTCCTCCATTGCAAATTCTGCGGTGCTGCATCTGACACCCGTGAACCTAGAAGATCATGACGAGCATGTTCTCGCCCCCGGAACAAGGCACTAGATCTTGACTCATTCCAGAGTATTGTCTGATGGTTCCAGCTATATGTGGGAAGGCCATGAAGTACTCTGTTCCTCTGTATAGATGTTCTTGAGCCTTTGGTAGTGTGAACGATTCCATTGGCTCTATTCAAATTGATAGGATGCTGATTCAAGAACAACGTGCCACATAAATTGAGTAGGGAACTTTCGGCATCTTTGCCTCGTGATAACGTCGATGAGTAGAGTGACGGACTCTTCTCGGATTCGAAGCCCTCTTGTATTTGAACGATGGGCTGCTGCAAAGTTGAATGCGGCCCAACTTCTATAAGATGGTATGCATTCTCAAGAAGAAGGGCTTGCATGGAATCGCTGAATAAAACGGGGGATTCTAAGTTTCTTCTCCAGTAAGCCGGGTTATCAATAAGCTTTCGGGCACCAAGCCGTCCGGTAACTGAAGAGAACATCTGTGTAGTAGATATGTCAATATTTCGTGCCTTTCTCTTAGCATACACCGAGGAAACCAGCGCCTCATATTCAGAACCAACAGAAAGCATATGATGTGAGTGGTAGGCTTTGTTGTCGGTCTTGAGCCTTCGCGCAAATACTTCTCTTCCAGTAAGAGTCGAGACAAGCTGGTCTATAGCATCAGAGTCTCCACTTATAGTACTGCTTTTAGGTGAGTTGATACAGGCTACTCTCAGTTGTCGCTGTAGATTGAGTGCGGTTATCTCATGCTCACACTGCTCAGAACTCAATCCTACAGCTGCCATAGCACCAGTAGGAGGTAGACGTGTGACCACCAATCCACGATAGTAAGCGATGGCTATCGCCTCTGTCGCAGTGAGGTAGCCGGCGGCAAATGCAGCAGATATTTCTCCCGATGAGTGTCCAATGACTGCTTCTGGTACAATATTCCAATCCTTAAGAATGACCACAAGAGCGATCTGTAGCGCAGTACACACGGTCTGAGAGTGTGACGCCTTTGAGATTTGACTATCATTAGAGTCTGCTGAGAGAGTCGATAGGATAGACCATGCTGGAGGCTGCGGTAGACGTGCGAGGTAATCATCGAGTTTCTCGATGGTTTGTCGAAAAACAGGAAAAGCCGAAAGAAGCTCATAGCCCATTCGAGGCCACTGTGCACCTTGTCCAGTGAACACAAGAGCGATCGGAAGTCTCGAAGGCTCCGAGGTAAGAGTTTTTATAACGTTGGGCGATATGTCGTACAGGAGCTTTTGGTTCTCCAAAAGGAAGTACCCACGGCAAGGTAGCGCTGAACGTCGAGAGGTCAATGTAAAAGCGAGATCGTTGACAAAGGCCCGGTCCAAAGGCAATTTGAGTTTACTGGTGCGATCGAGGAGCGCGCGGTTGTCATGGCCGGAAAACGGAAGCAAGATAAAATTTCGACCCGTCCCAACTTTTGACTGCTGCTTCTGGTAGCCTTCCGGCACATGAGCAACAGCTGCTTCTAGAATGGCATGAGCATTGGCTCCTCCGTACCCAAAAGAGTTAACACTTGCTCTCGCCACATTGCCTGCAGGCCACTTTGTGTTCTTGGTCACGACCTCCACGTTCCGCTCCGAAAGTTTCAATTTCGGATTGAACTCTTTGATACCAATAGTTGGAGGGATAATGCCGTTTTCCAATGCCAGAGTGACCTTAACGATACTGGTAATCCCACTCACAGCTTCACTATGCCCCAAGTTCGTCTTGACAGAACCAATCAGGGTAGGTCGACCGGATCTGTGTTGGAATACACGTGACAAGGCCTCGACCTCGATGGGGTCACCAATAGATGTGCCCGTACCATGCGCCTCGATATAATCAGTTTCATCTGTAGGTAGACCTGCCATGGCATAGGCCTTTCGAATGACGGCCTCCTGGCCGGCGACGCTGGGTAAAGTGAGGCCATTGGTGTGGCCGTTGCTGTTAACCGAGGTCCCTCGAATCACGGATCTGATGGGATCGCCATCTCTGATCGCATCGCTAAGTCGCTTGAGATATAAAGCACCCACGCCTTCTCCTCTGCCGTAGCCGTCAGCGGACGAGTCGAAAGTATGGCATTGCGATGTTGGCGACAGAAACCCCGCCTTCACCATAGTGAGGTGTAGTTCAGGCGTTTGGACCAGGTTTGCTCCCGCGACTACGGCAGCCGAGCAGTCCCCGGTGCGCAATGCTGAGCATGCCGTATGCAGCGCATACAATGACGAAGAGCATGCGGTGTCGAGCACGAAACTAGGACCCTTCAGGTTAAAAGCGTTGCTGATGCGGTTGGCGAGGATGGTCAGTCCCATGCCCGTCGCACTGTACCGGTGGAACAGCTCGGGGTCTTTGGATTGCAGCACCACGAAATCCGCCAGAAAATTTGCGACATAGCAGCCGACGTCCGCTCCCGAAAGCTGCTCCAAAGTCACGCCGGCGCTTTCGAAGCACTCAAAACACACTTCCAGGAGTTGTCGCTGCTGCGGATCCATGTAGGTGGCCTCGAGGTTATTAATTCCAAAAAAGGCATTGTCAAAGGACCGGACGTCGTCTTCAAGAAAGTACCCGCCCGTCGAGTTGACACTGACTGGATGGCTTGCATCCGGGTGATAAAAGCCCTGGGCATTGAATCGCGACTTGGGCATCTCCCCATGGCCAGATTTGCCATTGATCAGGAGATCCCACAGCTTGGAGGGAGACGTTGCGTCGCCGGGCAGGCGACATCCTGTTTGCAATCATCAATACCTTCTTGTTCTCGGTGGGGATGTTCTTACGTACCCATTCCGACGATAGCGATCGGCTCGTCGTAACATGTTTGCTCGTTGAAGCTGCTCATGGGAGACGAGGTCTGTAATGGTGAGCTCTGCGAAGAGTTGGATATGTCGGATCTGGAATCCATCGAATTTGATTTTGTTGCGTAATTACCGTGTGTTCCATTCGTGCCACGGCCATTGAGACGAGTCCTATCCTCATCTACGAAGGAGTCGCTGTGAGTGTCTTCGAAGGAGTTGCTGTGAATGGCTTCATTGGCATGTGTACCGTGGGACCTACCATTCATCGTCGTGAATAACAGAGCCTCGGACCATGTAGGAAGTAGTAAGAGGGAGAATTGTCTTTCAACGGATCTGCACGGAGATCCTAGTGAGGGTGAGGGTGAGGGTGAGGGAGTGAGGGAGCGTTTGTCCTAAGGCGGTAGGTCACTAGCCGTCCGCTGGGTCCACCTCCTCCTCGGCGGAGGAGGTAAACCCTTCGAATCAGGGCAAAGATGCGTAGTTTACCATTAGTCCGGGCTTGCTATAGGCTTGAATGCACGGTTTTGTGGTAAGAATACTGTAATCCCGCACGGCAACGCCTACTGAGCGACTCATCTGCGCCGACCCAATTCCCAATTTCCAGCGTCTGCGGTGTTGCCGGTGCAGAAGTCTGGGTGGTGTGGGCACGCATGGATAACGCTCAGCTGTGGGAGATTTGCACCAGCTCGTCGCCACGTGGAAACGACGACGGCCAATCATCATGTGCAATTCAGCATTTGGGAAAAGGTGGACCGAAACGAAACGTCGCCAATAATCCAATTATCCGTGGAAACGAAATCTATATTATACGCGAGATCCCGGTGCGCCATGTATCGCTCGCTCGTTCGGGGAAAGAAGCAGTCGATCTACCAGATAACCGGAAACAGAAGGGGAGGGAGCTCGTTAGTGTAACCGCAATGCTTGGTGAAACCACAGGAAATGGAAGGTTCCGTTCTACAGAATACGAGTATCATCCCATCTCGACTATGAAATAAGCGACTAGTGCCGAAATACGAGGAATGAGGCAAGACCACCGTTCTCACCACCATCTGATCTTATGTTTTTTATCGCAGAGTTCTGTCCTACAGTAAGTTGTCAGATATACATGATAAGACGATAAGCGCTTCTGGACGTGGGCCAGCTTACGGATATCTAAATCTACACCTTGCCCATACAAACTACACACCTCGTGTCATCCATAGCTTCCCTACTCCATACAGGCGAGGAGGAGCAGTATCAGCATCCCGTGTAACCCAAGCTTGCTCTGTGGACTGCAGAGCAGGTCGTACTGTTCGATCCCGCTTAAACAAACAACATGATACTCAGAACGGCCAATCAAGCCCTGCCAAACATCATGTTCGATCAATAAGAGAGGAATCCAGTCAACCTCGAACCTGCGCATGATGTTTCCAAGCGGTAAAAAGACTCAGAGAGGGGAAATATGACAACATGGGCTAACAAAGCACTTTAGAGCTTGTTGGTTATCCCAATCTTTCAAGCCAGAAGGGTAAAGAAGTAGAAGACTCCATTCATGAACTTACTGATACCGGCGCTGAGGATGAAGGTACTACAGCGCTATATTTCATAGAGCTTCAGTACCCTCGACTTGACTAATGAATCAGCTGAAGGTAGCGACAACTCTCGTCTTAGTGAGCTGCTCATACAACGAGCTATAGGGTATATAATGATGGAAGAAATGCTATACCAAAGATTGGTGGTACGTTCGCAAAATAGAGTTGCGAATAGAGTTGTGTTGGTGGCGGGTGCATGTGGTCATCAGATTGTTGTGCTGCTTGCGCCATTCGCTGCAGTCCAGACTCAAGTCCTCCTGTCGCAGGTCGCACTAGATAATCCCACGTACCATCGACCCGGAATAACGTGACCCATTTTTCAGAGACCATTGACCGAGGTTCTTGGCGGCTGGATTTTGATTTCTGGAAAACCGTTCCAATAATTGCATTCACAACATTTGGCCATTTATCCATTGAGATTGACAATAATGGGATATGTGCGTCCTCTTTTTGTTATCGCCAGCTTGCCAACATGAATGTATTTTCACGATCCCTCGACACATGCGCACCACGCAGACTAAAGGCTGCAAGGGCAAGAGTTAGAGTCTACTGTACCACATGGTTGCATTGTTCTGGGCCGTCGCCCAACGTTCCGCATACGATGATCCCCTGTAAAACTCGTGGGACCCGAGACAACTTTCTCTCTTGGGACCTCACCGCCGAAGATACCGAGGCTTTATCATACATCACTCGATTCCAACCGTTAACAACCTGAAATTCGGCCGTTTGGCCCGTTTGCTGTGAGCTTCGGTCACCATTATTCACGTCAACAAGCGACAGGTAAAGTCCGAAACTCGAAGCTAATGCTGACACTGCTGAGCAAGCGATACGCGGATCAAGAACCTTTTCCGTTGAACCTTGTTCCGACGGGGCAGATCTGGGCACGACATAGCTCGAAAGCATAATCGACGTGAACAGTTTGCTACTGTAGAAGGTCACTAGTGCTCGTCGCGCTCAACAACCCCAACCTTTCTCTGTCTCGAATAAACATTCCGACGACGACGACGACCCACACGCCTGTTGAGTAAGTCTCTGTTCAACCTCATGCCAAGGGTCTCTCTTGTTTCCGCTCACTGATATGGACGTGGAATATCGCAGGTACGCAGGCGACATCCCGGAATTTAGCCTCATATGATCAAGATATCTAGGCGATGGATAAATGATAGCAAATTTACGCTGATTTATAACATTCACATGCACCATTGCCTTTCACGAGGATATCAAGGAACCGCGTTGGTGGAAATCTTAGCCTGATAACCTGCGCGACAGCAACGACGCACGATTCTGCATGTTATCTTGAATCGAGCCTACTATTTCATGCTGGAATAGCATAGCCCTAGTGAAAAGATGGCTCTACGGGAACTTCCTGGTATCGCTCTTATCACAGGTGTTAGTACTCTGGGTCCTTGACGATCACCCCACCTTTTGGCATAATGCGACAACTACTTACAGCTTGCAGGCTGGATCTGGCATAGGTCGCGACTCTGCATTTGCATTTGCTGCTGCCGGAGTACGTGGAATGTAAGTTCAATAATCTCGTTTCTGTCTGTTATATAAATCCTCTTGCTCTTCTTCATTGCCGATATTGGTAGTGATGGTGAGTAAGAATCAAGACTGTCTGCACAATTTGTCTCGTGTTCTAGGAAGTCCAGTATGAATAATTTTGTTTACGAAATTGATCACAAGATATGGGCACTTACTGGTTATCAAAGTGCTTCCCTGCCTAGCTAAGAAATGAGTGTTCTGTGTTTATGAAGACAGGAGGCACATACTTTGAGTAGTAAACGAGAAATTCAGCTTTCAAGATTACCTGACTAGTGCGGGATGCTCCAGGCCACGATTTGGTTATCCTTATAACACTGCCTCTCGCCTCCTAGCGTGCCTTCTTCGATTTATTATGCGGTGTCCGGTATGATAGATGCTAACCTGACTTAACAGCCTCCTAACCGATATCAACCTTTCGACTGCAGAACAAACACTTGCAGAATGTAGAAAGCACGCGACAAACCCGTCCTTTCGCGCCGTCGCACTGAAATGTGACGTACGACAACCAGAACAGGTAGACCAGATGATTACCCGTTGCGTAGCAGAATTCGGGAGAATAGACTATGGTGTCCATTGCGCAGGAGTAAGCGCCCTTCTTCTGACGATGCGAGAGAAGAAAACTGACTTCATCAACCTAGATAGGTCGTCAAACCCTCTCAGTGATGACCGAAGCTTCGACAGCCGCCTCACTTCAAGAATACGATCTTCTTTACTCTGTAAATGTTAAGGGCACGTTACTTGTACTTGGCGCTCTTTGCAAGCAAATGGCCACCCAGGAATCGCGAATTGTAACCGGCCGAAATGGACCTCGAAATGTTGGCCGAGGCTCTATAGTATGTCTGAGTAGTGGCAACGGATATGTTGCAGAGCCGAATAAGGGTGCATACACCACCATGAAACATGCAATCATGGCGATTATGAAGACCGCAGGTAAGTGCAAAGTGTTCCTCCAATAAACCTCAGCAATCTCCTCAAAAACTCTTCAAAAGACAGTCGGGGACAAATTTTGCTGTCAACCGAACCAAGTTCTACCTAGACAACATCAGCTTACAAATTCTTAGCCCTAGAAAATGCTGCTCTGGGTATCAGAGTCAATGCACTGTGTCCTGCGTGGACTGAGACTCCAATGCATCAGCGCGATACCGTTCTTCTACCCATGACTGCACCAATGATTGAGAAATACACGCCTTTAGGACGGACAGCGATGCCGGAGGAGGTTGGAGATACCATCGTTTTCTTATGTAGTGACAGTGCCAGCTACATTACGGGAACTGGGCTGATGATCGATGGAGGTGTTAGCCTGAGTCTTCATGTTGGATGATGATGATACGGGAAACAAATGAATACTTTACGACGAGGAGTACCGGTGGGCGAGATGACTTATGATAGTAGCATTGCTAGGAGCGATTGCAGATGTGCTGAGGAACGTAAATTTTTACGTGCAAATAGATTTGCAGAAAGAAGAGCCTGTTACCTTCTTCGCAAATGGTTATATTGAATCCTAAGAGACCGGAATTTGCTCTATTGTCGCCTAAATTGTGTACATTTAATGTTCTGAAACAAACACGCCAGCCATACCCATTCCCTATCAACACATCAGTATTTCATTTCCCCAGAAAGATATTACAAAATAAACTTACAGTACCAACACACATACTAGTAACAGCAATCCTCTGATCCCTCCTCCTCAACTCACTCAGCGCAGTAACAACCTGTCTCGCCCCCGTACACCCAAGCGGATGACCTAGCGCACTACACAGCATTAGCAAGCCGCCCTCCCTAGCCTCATAAACAAAACTCACATCGCACCACCCCTAGGATTAACCTTATCCCTATCCAGCCCCAATCTCTCCACACAAAAGACGCCCATACTAGCAAATGCCTCATTAATCTCAAACACATCCACATCCGCAATCGCCAACCCCTTCTTCTCTAGAATCTTCGGGATCGCGTAGTACGGCCCGATGCCCATGATCCGTGGCTCGAGGCCGACGACGGTGCTTCCGGCGTATTTTCCGATGATGGGTTGGCCCAATTCCTCTGCTTTGCTGCGCTTCATGAGGAGGATGGCGGCGGCGCCATCGGTGAGTTGTGATGCGTTTCCACCGGTAGTTTGAGAGGGCGGCCATTGTGGGAATGCAGCTCTGATTTTAGAGAGGGATTCGGCGGTGGTGCCGTGGCGAGGTCCATCGTCTTGAGTCAATATCTTGGTGGTCACCTCGCCGGTTTTAGGATCTTTCCAGAGTACAGTGGTAGGAAGTATCTCATCGCTACTCCAGCCCGCTTTTTGGGAAATCTCAGCTTTCTGATACGACTCGGCCGCGAATTTATCCATTTTCTCCCTGGTGATCGAGAAGTCTCCGGCGACATTTTCCGATGTCTGGCCCATTGGCTGCAGGTTCTGTCCGGCAAATTCGTGTTCAGTAATCTTGGTGCTGAGACCGACTGGTGCACCGTTGTCTGGACACGTACTCATGGATTCGGCGCCAATTGCGATTCCAACATCGATACAGCCTGTAGCTATCTGATTTGCTATCTGCTGGATTGCTAGTAGACCAGAGGAGCAGAATCTGTTTGCTACAGATGCTGCGGTGGTTACGGGAAAGCCTGCGGCGAGAACGGAGGATCGTGCGATGTATGCTGAGCCATCAGCGAGAACATTGCCGAGACAGACATCTTCTACGACTGAAGGATCGATCTTTGAGCGTTGACGGACTTCCTATAGACTGTTTGCGAGGACCAGAAGACAACAAGGTCCTTGCAACTTACGGTTAACAAAGAAATTACAAGTTCATCGATTCTGGTGTCTTTCAGACCCCCTTTTTTCGCTTTTGTTAATGGGGTCCTTGCCGCAAAGGTAATGACCTAGAATCGAGTCAATAGCTGTTAAGACAAGATGATGAATAGCTCCCTACGATATCATCCGGATTTTTCTGGAGTAATGCGGCACGACTGTTGGAAGGTGTGGTGGGGTTGAGGTGACCGAGCACAGAAGACAATCTCTCTTTCACGCCAGCCATCTTGAATTGATGATAGACACAACTTCAGGAAGAAGATTCTAACAGAGGAAAGGGACGAAGAAGACGGCGTCCACAAAATTACGACGCCTTCAAAGCTCCAAATAGTGGACGTGAGGGCGCATAAGTATTCACCCCTGCCAGTTCTCCCCACATTGCAACTCCCGTTTTCCCCAACAGGGCCCCGCCCCCGCGAAGGGCGCTGAGACATGACCCGGCAAATACCAGCGGCAAGAATATAAACTTCGTTGCGAGTTGAGCGAAGCTTACACCGTGTCTATTTCTAAGGGGGTTGGCAGTACTTCACGACGGCCTCAAGCTTTCTTTCAACTGCTGCATTTGTAGTGGACATACGAACTCGCGTCTTGTGAATAGCTTCAATTTTTGCTATGGATCTAGCAAGTGGGGCCCTAACGGCTGCAGCCGCTGTCGCAGCAGGAGCATATCTGAATGCTAAACTAACAATTGGAACGGATTTGACGCGATTGAGGCACGATAAAACATGGACGAAGAGACTTCTGAGCCGCATAGCGGAGATGGGAGATACTTGCTCGACATACGCTATGTTTGATAAAGTAAATGAGGGCATTGAATTCCTCTGGTTTGAAGGCCGAACATGGACATATGGAGAGATGAAGCGAGGTAAACATTGTGAACCTGTGAAGTCACAATATTTTCTAACATGACTAGAAACCCAGAAGCTTGCTGCTTTCTTGGAATCCGCCGGCGTCAAGAAAGGCGATTATGTCGGTGTGTTTATGGCCAATTCGCCTGAGATGGTGATAACCATATTGGCTCTTTCCAAACTAGGGGCAATTGGCGCCTTAATAAACACATCTCTGAGAGGTAATCCGTAACAAAAATTAATATTATGCAAACTTGCTTATTTTTATAGATGCAACGTTAAGACACTGCTTAGATGTGTCGACAGCGAATATCATGATTTCAACCCCGAATCTTGCAGAATTCGTGCAAGATCCTATACAGCACTTCTCGCTGAGCATTGGTTCTTATCCCTCAGAATTCAGTGCTCAGACAGGAAGTGCCACGTATGTTGATCTTACGTCTTTGCCAATTCCGCAGGTCATTGCGCCGACCGCGAAGGCTACAATTGAAGAGCTTGCTGTGCTCGTATATACGTCAGGAACAACAGGAAAGCCAAAAGCATGCGCGATTCGAAATCATCAAATGTTTGTAGCGTCGAATCCTCTTACCCAGGATCTTGACAACGTGAAAAAGTACTTCCCACTACGCACCTACTCGCCTCTGCCTCTGTTTCATGGCACAGCGCTCTTCACCGCGTTTTGCTACAACATTGGCACCTCATCCACAATCTGCCTGGCTCGCAAGTTTTCCACTTCCCGGTTCTGGAAGGATGTTACCGAATCTAGAGCAACTCGTATTTTATATGTTGGCGAGCTCTGTCGCTATCTCGTTCACTCCCCACCTACGCCATATGACCGCGCCCACAAATGTATCGTTGCTGCCGGAAACGGCCTTCGAGCGGAAATCTGGGACGCTTTCAAGGAAAAGTTTGGAGTGGACGAGATTCGAGAGTTCTACCGCTCAACTGAGGGTCTTGCGAAGTACGACAACTTTAACTATGGAGCCTGGGGAGGAGGCAAGGTTGGATTTGCGGGACCTTTACGGCGGTATCTCGAGAATGATACTATAATTGTACTGAGCGACCCCGCGACTGAGAAACCTTATCGAGATCCCAAAACTGGTTTCTGCATTAGAGCTAAACTTGGTGAGGTGGGAGAAGCAATTGGAAGAGTAAAGAATCGTGGTCTACTTACAGAATATTTGAATAATTCCCCAGCAACAGAAGAAAAGATCATGAGAGATGTGTTCGAGAAGGGAGATTGCTTCCAGAGTACAGGCGACCTGGTGATACAGGACGAGTCTGGATGGGTCCGTTTTCATGACCGCATGGGTGACACCTTTCGCTGGAAAGGAGAAAATGTCAGCGCTGGTGAGGTACGAGAACACCTTGCGAAGCTTGACGGCGTTATTGATGCTGTAGTGTATGGGGTAAAGCTACCAAGGTAGGTTCCGGAGTCTCGTGTACCTATTCCTGCGCTAACATACCAAGCTATGACGGACAAGCTGGTGCGGCAGCCATCACATTAGATGGAACGTCAGAAGCCGTATTCATGAACAACTTGTATGCTGGACTTAAGAAGACGGGACTACCATCCTACGCCATGCCTCGTCTTGTGCGAATAACTCCAGAGTATGTGCATAAGGAAGAGTTGCCTTGTGATGTGCGGTACTGATATCAATATAGAATTGAAGCAAACGCAACCTTCAAGAAGTCCAAGGGAGACCTCGTAAAGAAGACGTGGGTTTCGGAAGATAAATCGAATAGCCAGGATAAACTCTATTGGCTTAATGGAACCTCATACGAGAAGCTAGATGCTGCGAGTTGGGCGAGAATCGAAATAGGAAAAGCAAAACTATAAGCTCGATCAGGGACAACAGACGCGTTCTTGTGGAGGGTCGGACGCGTCGCACACTTGTTCGTTACCGCGGAATAAAATAGAAGTCTTTGAGGCAGCTTCAATTGGAAGGTCGCATGCCAAGTATCAAGGAATAGATGGAAAACTTGGAGTACATTTTGATAGACCACCCTACAAGTTTGGAAACGGTCTTCGAGCTCCAAATCTCTGGTGGGGCGAGCCTCGGCTGTTGAATTTTTAGATCACGTGGCCATCCGCTCTGTCAGGTCGACATTTCAGTATTGGAATAGGATAAGAACGGCCTTTTAGACAGTGTTTAGACATCTTTGATTAATTCTGTGTAGCACCTAGAAATGGGGTTTATAGAACTCCTCCCTATTTTGTGAACAAATTTCCGACGATTAAGTATACCCGTGACTTTGATGAACCTCGTTTTCTAACATATAGAGAACGAGTGTGGCTTGCCTGAAGGCAATTACAAGAATTGATAGACGACTCTCTAAACCAAAGTTCATCAGTCAACTTTGTGGAACGTAATTATATTGGTGATTCCCAATGTTCAGGATCCACAAGGATGAGTTCATTCTCACTATATCACTATGCATTCTAAGCTCTATTAACTGTTCATGAGGCCAAACTCCGAGGTAATCTGCTGGCAGTCTTTCCGAATCTCATCGTATTAGTGTATCTTTGTTTGAGCACGGTACATTTAAGGAAGGATAGCGAACTTGGTACAAAATTACTGAATAGATGTTGAAATGTCCTTTGGTCAGAATGCAAGAGTAGAGAATATTGTACTAAGCTACATATAAGAACGCGCTCAAATTACGTGAAGCTGAATCTTACACTCCAGCTACTCCCAGCACTTTAATCGTTCTGAGCCAACCATGGATGCTCCAAAGCCTCGACTGCTGTGATCCTCCTCGTTGGATCCAGATTTGTCATCTTTGTAATGAGATCACGGAATTTCTCGTCAACGTAGCGCCAATTACCAAAGGGAACCTGTGGTTTCTCCTCATTGAAGGTCCCTGCGATGGCAATAAGACGTTCAAAGAATGGGTTATCCTCGCCAATCCATCGTAGTAAACCCTTGAATCCCGCGTCTTCGCCAAAAAATGATACCATTAGTCGCAGAATATGTCGCCACGAGTCAGAGGCATTTAGCTCCGCTTCCAAGGGACGTAGAGCCATATCATCCAGCATCACATAGATGCACTAAGCATTGTGTTAGTTGTTTAACATGGTATATACCGACGTGTGTGTGTACGCACCACAGCCCCAAAAGAAAATACATCTGAAGGGAAACCTTGTCGCGATCGAGCCCAAGATTCCGGACTCCTCCACATCTGGTTGCCGCACAGCGTTCCTTTCAAGAATCTCCCTGGTGGGAGGATAGCCGAGTCCTCTAGGTCCGCGATCTGAACTTTCTTGATAGAGAAACGGCCATCCACTTCTTCGTAATCAACAAGAATGTTATTCGGTTTGATATCTCTTGCTATCTGTCAGCCCGTGATTACATTTGAGAAATTCTAGCGAGGTATAACATATATATATATATATATATAGGATCAAGGGTGAAATGCCTACCTGTGTGGATAATGTTTCTTTCGTGAAGAGCAGCTAAACCCTGAAGAGCACTTCTGAGCATACTCTTTTTCGTCTCTTCAGCCAGTCCTTTTTGGATAATTTGTAGAAAATTGGTCTCCAGAAATGGATAGATAAACAATTCAGCGCCTGGAAGCCCGTCGACTAAGGTGCGGACGTTGGACATGTGGCCAACGGCTTCTGTAGATTTTTTTGATATTCATATTCGCCTGGTATCATGTTCTTGACAATGTATTCTTGCCCGTCTGCACTGGTGGTTGTTAGTATTATATACTGCTACCGCAAAGTAGTAAGTGAAGATTTACCTGGCTCGATAGACGCATAGTAAAGGCTGTCTTCGCTCGGCTAACACCTCTTGAATAGTATATATTCGTCCCGACTCACCACTAATCGTAGAGCCTGTTGAAAAGGGTTCTTTTGGCATTCCTGACACCTGTGAAGAAAATCCTCAAAATGAGTAGAAAAGACGACTTTGTCGAGGTTGGGAATTTGAGATGAGGAGGGTTGATGCTGGAAAGATGGGCGCAACAACTAGACGCCTGCACAAAGCATTGAGTGCCGAAGGACATGGCAACATGTTAGGTCCGCAATAGAATGCGCTGCCACCTGGGTCTGTCAATATTGACGCGATTGTGAGCGAGATCCATGGAGCGACGCTCAAAGGGTTGGAAATGCAGTGATTGCAGGCCTTCACCCCTGTGGCTCGGACTATTAAAGTATGCCCATAGTATACCTACCTAAGCAAATCATAAATGAAGTATCCAGTTTCTGGAGAACAATTATCATCTTCACGCAGTTCGTCCTGTTGTCTAATAAGATCCGACACCAGAATGTGTGTGCAGCCTCAGGCACGGCTATAACTAGCCTCTGTGACTTCACTGCGATTTTTGGCCGGTCGCCAACAGGCAACAACATACCGCCATGTACGGTAAGGAGAGTTTCATTCACAGAAAAACCCAAAAACAGAGCATCATATTCGGCGCCACGCTTCCTCTCGAGAGATTGGGAGCGGTTTCATAATGCCTGTAAAGTAAGTCGGCGTAGAGTCACCATTTGGTGGAACAGTACACCACGATCAGGAAGTTACTTAACCAAAGCGAGCATCGACAAATACGCCATTTTTCACGATTCGGTTTCGTTGGAACTGTGGTATACATTCGATGGCAGAAAATGACGATCAAGAAGTCAGCTATGCTCTGAAAGTCTTAGTGACTGGTTTTGGGGTATGCTTTTCAAGCCGATCGAATACGGTATGTCAATTGTGACTGACCATGATGACAGGCATTCCAGGACATCAAAGTCAATCCATCGTGGGAAATTTGTTCGCAATTACCACCGTACATCTCGTGGAGGGGCCTTGATATTCAGATAATTACGCCTCCCAATCCTCTAGAAGCAGCCTATCACACCCTTCTCAGTGTCGTTCCACCGTTACTCGATGAACACAAACCAGATATAGTTCTACATATTGGCCTGGCAGTTGAGCGTGACTATTTTGCAATTGAAAAGGGAGCGGAGAAGGAGGGTTATCATCAGTATCCAGATGTCCGGCGCAAGGTCTTCACGAAAGCAGAAACCAAGAAGATATGGGGCAAAGGTTCTGGCCGATTGAACTCGTCTATTTCTATTGAAGACGTGGTCGCAAGATGGGCGAAGAATGCCCCACAAGGGCTCGAAGTCAAGCAAAGTGACGACGTTGGGAGCTACGTCTGTGGCTTTGTGTACTACACATCCCTCGAGTATTTCGAAAGAAGAAGTCATGGAGAGCGGCCTGTACTGTTCTTACATGTACCGCCGTTAGAAGGAGAAGAAGAGGTCGACAAAGGTAAGGAGGTCTTTCTTGCTCTGATCCGAGCAATTGTAGAGTCTCGGAGCGGTTGAAGCGCAGTAAGATACAAAAAGAATCAGCTACGAAGCACTATTCTATACTCTTCGTACACTCGTTATATTTTCTAGCATTTTTTTAAATAAGGTGAATGGATCAATTCCAATCTTGAGCAAACCCATGAGCCCCCCTTGCTACGATCCATTATTACGATGTTACACCACTTTAAAACTGCTACGATCTTACCCCAGAGGATCCTATGCTTCTATGCATTAGTGAAAGGCTCGGCCCGTCCCGAGAGTACGCTGCACTCATGAGCAAAGGGGGTCAACAACTTTGAATGTCGTCATGACCACTCTTCACATGCCGAGGTTCTCCTCTATCGGAACAGCAAATTATAGATATTGCCTAGCACGAAGCACTAATTGAACATAGTCAGTGCTGTATTTGTTCACTTCACGCCCTCGAGAAATTGGGAAGTCATTGCAAATCGACATCTCAAGTTCTCCGACACATCCCTTGTAAATCGTTGTCAAAATATAAGATTACTACCATGACTCAACACAAAACCCTCAAAGAAGTCGCACAAGAGAATCCCACTCTACTTGGCGATCCTACATCCCTCAAAGCAGAAAAGACAGAGCCATCTCACTCTCCAACCTCCAAACCGTCTCCGACCAAGCCAGACGAATCACCAACTCATATGCCCCCAGTCCAGGACACAAAATCAAACCCATCAAATGAATCCAAGGGGTATGATGTCGCAGATAAGAAAACCGGAGAAGAGAAATCTGGACAGGGAAAGAATAAGCTGAGAGAGGCTTATGTTAAGGGAAATCCAAGTCAGCTTGGTGATCCGGTTAGTTTGAAGGCTGAGGCGCAAGATTCAGAACCGACGGAGCAGGATAGAGGAGCTGGGAAGACGAAGAGTAAATTGTAGTGTTCAGAAGGGGGTGCATGTAGAGGACACCATATGAAAGTATTGGATGTGCTGTCGAGCATGGTTGGGGAAGCTGTCTAGTACCCAGGGGGTATTAGATTCTCACTCCATGAAAGCGCGACTCGAGAGTGCGGTTGAGGTTGCCTTAGGGCTAGCTAAATGGCCATTGAATATTTAATTTATATGATTGTGATTAATGGGCAACTCTGAGGAGCTTACTGGCTGCTGTCTAACAAATTAAGAATGAGACATGATGTTCTTGTCAATGCTTCTGATATGTTGGCATTCATGACTACACATGGTCGTCTTTTGTATGGAATCAATGAGCCTTAGAGGAAATTTTCCATAGTTAGAGTCAGTTATACAATGATTTTGAGGATGTGTTGGAAAAGAAGTTTTACCATAAAATTACTACATCTCGCCTAGCAATTCCCCATCAACCTTCCAACACGTCAAACCCGCCAAATATCCAACCCTCACTTGCCGAACACAAAACGACTATAAGTTTGTCGGCAATGACACCCACCACCTCACATCCCGATCTCAATCCTCTCAAAACCTCCCAATCTCAATCGTCACGGCAGCCTACCATCCATCACGCACTTGTCCCACCATCTGACGTCTCAGAACTGATTCTCACACACCCAGCCGACCAAGAACTCCAACACATTTACAATCTAACTCACAGTTCATGGGGCGATGCTCTGAAACTACCTGAATACCTTGAAGAATCAACTCATCTCGCCAACGCACCTCTCGCCAAAAATGGGGGTCTGGACGTCTGGATTCTCACTTCAGCAGAGTCGCATCCAAATGAACGACCGATCCTAAGCGCCTGCGAGACGTTTCTCAAGCGCGCTTTTGTAACTACATCTGCGCACAATGGAGTAAATACAGTCGAAGAAAAGATTGTTTATGGTATCGCTAGCGTCTTTACAAATCCAGTGTATCGTGGTAACAGATACGCTGCCCGTATGCTCATCAAACTTTCCGATGTCTTGAAGAAGAAAGAGGATTGTGTGGGTAGTATGTTGTATTCGGATATTGGACCGGATTATTATGCTAAACTAGGCTGGACTCCAACTGAGCGGAATTCTCAGGTTGAGTTTCATCCCAAAGCGTATGATAATCTACCAAACGTTGAAATACTTACTGCAAATGGATTGGAAGAGTTGTGTAGACTTGATGAACGGATGTTATACACAATTCTGGAAAAAGAAAAAGAAGTTAAGAGGAAAATGGTTGTAGTCCCAGATTTGCCGCATATGCAGTGGCATCATGCTAAGGAGGGATTTGTTTGCCAGAAGCTATTTGGAAAGATACCAGAGTTAAAAGGCGCATCAATTGGAGCTCCAGGTCAAAAAGTGTGGATCATCTGGACACATAGGTACTACTCAGATCCAACGAAGTTGCCGAATGACAACACTCTCTACATCCTGAGACTGGCTCTGGAGGATCTCAATTCCGAAAGTAACGGGCCACACCTAAAAGTACTTATGGAGACGGCTCAAAACGAAGCAAAAGCTTGGAATCTAGGAAAGGTAGTGATGTGGAATCCTAAGCCGGAGATTTTGAAGTTGATTGAGAAATCCGAAGTAAAATGCAAGGTCGTGGAGAAGAGAGGAGATGCTATAGCAAGCTTGAAATGGCACGAGCAGGAGAAGATAGAGTGGGTTGAGAATGAAATGTATGCTTGGTGTTAAGCTGTGAGTCGCTGTCAAGAGGAGGTACAGGTCACTTGGGAATGACTTGAATTTAATCAAGGAGAGTACTTACAATGGCAGCTAGAAAGCACTGGCAAAATATAAGATACTCCTTGCTGGGGAAAATCAACAGATTTAATTAAAAATTCATTTCTTGCAAATCCCGTAATCGAGGATAATTTGAGATGATTCCTGCGGAGTTAGACGGTTGACAGGTTTTCGTTTTGAAATAAAAGCCAGCAAAGAGTAAAGTGACAATCACAATTGAGATAAGAATAGTGTGATTATGGTCATCTTAATTCTAAAACGATACAAATAAATATGTACTCACAAGAGGCTCGTATTACATGCTTTCAAAGTCGAAGCTGCATTAATAGCAAAAGAGAGTGTTTCGAATGAGTACATTTCCCTCCACGAAAACGAAATGGAAAGAAATGAGTAGGATCAAGAAGCTACTTACATTGCCAATGCGTCTCACTCTATTTTATCTCAAATCAACGTTCTTCCGAAGCTGCCAATAAACCAACTTCCATGCAAAAAACAAAAATATAAAAGAGCAGGTATTCGCTGGTGGTCACCCACCCAACTACTAATCTGCCGATTGGTGGTTTAAGTACGGCAGAGCGGACGGGATGCCCTGATTTCCACAATCTATGGTCGTATGTGAATGAAAAGCTTCCGTTTCTGTATATAATGGAGAGCGTTCGGTGACGACTCCTCGCCTAGCAAATCAGAGACAGGTCTGGTCACGAATAGCCAGCACAAAAGTTTCGACAATACTTGGACCAAGTGGGCATCATAAGCGGCCAAAGCGAAGCCTATATTCATAGGTCTTGGGAGATTATCTGATTTCTCATCGATTATTCCTCGCCTCTACGATAGACCTCACATTGGCCGCGGTCCTATGTCAGGGGGTTTCAGCGAAGGAACAGCATGGAAGAACCAATCCAGGTAATATGGCATATCAAATCCATTTTTGAAAGCCGAATGAAGTAAAAATAGCTCATCGATTCATAATCTACGCCCTGTGAAGATGCTAGATGCAATCACCCCCCGAACGCCCAAGACAACAAATATTGTATGCCAACCAACCCACCCATTAAGCCCTAAATGCAACCATCAATCATCACTCTTCTTTCTTCTTCCCTTGCCCTTTTTAGGCTTCTTCACTTCCTCATCATCGCTCTCGCTAGCCTCAACTTTCTCCTTCCGTTTGCGCCCCTCACCACCGGCGCCTTCCTGCGCCTCGCTGACCCTTCCCACAATATCGTTCAAGAAATCAAATTGTTCTGGGCTGGCTAGGACAACCTGCTTCAAATGCTGTGCTGTGACTCTTTTCCCTCCTTTCTCCTTTGCCTTTTCCGCCGCGCCTGATACTAAAGCAATCATGAATAGCTCAAGGGCTTTCGAAACAGCGACCGGTGTAACCTGAGCCACTTTTCCTACTTCCTCATCAGCCTGCATTATTCGCTTTATTCGCGCGACTGGAAATTTGGTCTTGATGTCGATATTGTTTGGGTTCGGGTCTTTGTAGGCGGGGGCATCTTGTGCGGATGCGCCAGAAGCTTGGCCAGAGCCTCGCGCCTGTCGCGCGGCTCTTGATGCCATGGGAGCTGGAGAATTGTATGTATTCGTTATGGGGGGGCTGTAGGCGTTTGCTGGAGGCGACGCGTATCCACCTTCAACTTTGATCTGCTCTTGGTATTGAGGCTGAAAGTGAGACTGTGGAGGATATCCGCTCGACGCGGATTGCGGTTGCGTGTAAGAGTTGAAGGAATGCGACGAGGGCAGATCAGGAATCGGTGGCATGTATTGTGTACTATATCCGCCGAGCTCGTGGCCGCTGCCACCAAAAGAGTGGCTTTGTGGACTCTGGAAGGGGTGGAAACCTCCTTGCGATTGGCTAGTAGAAGTGAGCGACGAGAGATCTGGTGATCGTGGTGCGTACAAGGACGCTTGGGAGGCTGATTGATATTGTTGTTGTGGTTTGGACGGAGAAGCTAAACCTGAAAGATCGGGGGACTGAGGTGCATATAAACCGGTTGTGGTATCCATCTTTTTTTCCGTTTTTGAGGAGGGGCACGCTTCGCGCTGCATGCAATGCTTAGCGCGTCGTAAGTGAGACTAGTACTCGACCTCGAGGACTCGAACAAACAAAGAAAGAAAGAAATAATCCCGTTTAATATAAAGTCGGCGTTTTGGTTATGGCGTATATTACGATATCGAATTTCAAGACGAACAATAAATCAATACTCCCGTACCTTGACCGAATCGCACAAGCAGCTATACACTAGTACATCTGTCAAGGGCTGGCATGAGCCGTATGAAGGTATACTGGTACTGGTACTTGGGGTTTCTGGAAATTAGATGATCCGTTCCGGGCGAATGGCTGAAGTGGATGGGTCAATCTGAAAGTAACGTGATCTGAATTGGTTCGTCTGGCTGCGTCAAGAACTTCCAATCTCGGGGCCGTAGCTTTATTTGTACGCAAGAGGACCGCGCAGGGGGAGACAGGGGTATGATGGCACTAGGACTGAAGCGGCCAAGTGTGGCTGCCTACATTTCGGCCCACCCTTCACTGATGACGGGATCTCTTACACATGGCGCGTCCGAATTTTTGTGTTTATTACATTCGGTATTTCATCGCAACCCCTATCAAAAGTATCACTTGGACCTACTGCTTGTCAAGCTTTACATCGTCACTCATCTCCGTGCTAAGCTAAGTTCTACCTTTCCCTTACATTTATGCGTTTTCAAGGTGTGGTAGTAGTGGCCTTTCTTTCTTTCTTTCTTTCTTTCTTTCCGTGCGCTTCATCAACGTGTCAGCCTCGCCGTTTTCAGCAGTAGGCACATCTGAAGTTGCCCACGGCCTCAGAGCCCTACCTGTATAATTTTCTCCGATTCGGACGTTGAATGATGATAATAAAGAGCCTACCAGAGATCACTTGTGCAATATTGCAGCTACTCGAGTCCGAAGCCTCCCTTGGGAGACGGTTTCTGCTTGAATAGTATGATCCATGAAGGAAGTAACTTGATCTAATCTGACAACGAGTTCCTAGGAGCTGTAATAGCTACAAATCTTTTTCTTATCGCTTTGCTACTTGTTAAGTTGGACTATAGAACTCACGAAACATTATCTATGTGGACACAAATCGTTATTTGACTGGCATTTGGATCACGATTTTACCCTTCGCGCGGTGGCTTAAGAGCCTTTCGTAACCCTGTATCAGCGTTAGCAGTCCTAGCAAAGCATCAACAGGTCAGGAGGCGATACTTTCAAAACATCTTTCAACTCCCAGCTTGAGTCAAGTGGCACTCTCAGAAGCCCATCTGTGGCCATCTGTGCCAACCGCTGCAAGCCTTTCTGATTGGAAATTCCAGTGACTTGCCGATATGGCCTATTGACACCGCCGAGTGCTGGAGGCTGGAAAAGGTTCTTGATCATTTGTCCAATAGAGTAGATCATGTTTATGGTGTTGTAGCTTGGTACCGAGGGCCCTACAGATACATATGGCATTCCTGGTCTGAGAAACCTCTCACAGTAAAGGAAGAGCTGTTGACTTCCAAAGCAGTCCACTACAGTATCGAAGCGTTGGGCATAAAACACAATGGCTAGATGCTCGTGGACGGGAACGAACTCCTGGTAGTCGATTACCTGAACGAGCTCTCAGTGTTTTGCACGCCTCCATATGTTTGGAGCGTCTACTTACCTCATCTGCTCCAAGATCTCTCACCATCTCAACATTAGCACCGGAGCAAACAGCTACTACTTTCCCGGATTCTCCTACAGCTTCCTTTGCAATTTGCACAAACAACGATCCGATACCTCCACTTGCGCCATTGACAAGTACAGAATCCCCCCTTTTTAATGTGGCAGCTTCCAGCAATGCTAAGGCACTGCAACCTGCAATCGGCATACCTGCAACTTGATCGAAAGGCAGAGTCTTAGGTTTCAGATGTATGGCTTCACCAGATACCACGACATACTGCGCGAGCGATCCTTTACCCTTACTGACATGAGCACCTACTGGCACTGACCCGAAAACTTCGGTTCCCATCTGAATTTGCCCTCTTTTTTTTTTTGTGATGGCTCTGCCCAACCTAACAACTGTGCCCGAGAAATCCATTTCTGGGATTGACGGTCTAGTACGGAATAATCCAGGAACCAGCTGCATGATGATCGACGCCCCAGGATTAAGTGATGCACAGCTGATCTTGACGAGAACTTCTTCGTCGCCTAGCTCGTTAGGAATCGGGAGGCTTAAGGATAAGGAAAGGACGTCAGTCGGGAACCCTGCTCTGGATTGAACCCAGCCTTGCATTAAATTAGAGGTAGTTTCGGTGACATTCGAAGCTGCTGGGGTCATCATGCCCGATTTCGGTAGATAGTCAAGTCGATGGCTCGGTTGTACTACAGTGTGTCCGTGGGGGTCAAGAGGGGGTTCTGCGTTGCAAAAAATTAGCAGAGCTGTTGAAATAGCAGACAATATATAAGAAGACCTTAAGAAGGGTAGACACGTCGTCCAAATAAGCATTCTGATTTACGCCTTTAGGCAGCACATGATGGTTGTCCTTCGCTCGCTGCTTTTCCGATATTTTCAGCCCTTCAGCCCTGCCCACTTGGCACTCATGCATGTCTCTTCACTCCCTTGAGCTGCAAACTCTAATCGTTCAGCGGGTAACCAGTAGCATGGTGATTGATTGAAGAGCTCCAACAACGAGGTTCATACAGAATTAACTTGCATGCAGTGTAGGCAGGCACTCTGGCGGTAATAAGTGCCGCGCATAATCGAACATTAAAACCGCAGCTTTTTCCAGCTACTAACATCAGGAAAACTTCATAAACGTTATAGCGGTCTAGTATTCATGAGCTAAAGGGTTTTGCAAAGTGTGGATTTACTTGAAGGTAGAGTCGACTGTACCAGAGCTCCAATGCTCTTGGATAACCTAAAGGTACAAGATTCGGGAAGATACTAAAATACAAGATGTTGAGTGTAGCCATGCTTCTAGGAAGATGAGAATGGTTCTTTATGCAGAGACAGGAAGCAATAAAGACAATCACTAATCAAGATTAATGCAGCAGAGAAAATAGCAGGTTGAATCTCGGAACATGAGATACACATCATTGGTGCATGGTGTTATAATCTTGCTTCCCGAAACTTTAGGACCAATGCAAAAAAAGTCCAAAAAAAATCTTGCGTGTCAGGATATGAATTGAACATATCGAATTAATTCCCAATAGCGGGGTCGAACCGCTGACCTTGGCGTTAACTCAAGGGTTATATTAGCACCACGCTCTAACCAACTGAGCTAATCGGGATACTCGTTGAGCATCGAACGCTTTCGTTGATTTGTTGAAGCACTTCTGCAATTTTAATTATATATTCTAAAAGCCTGCCGAAGTTCTGCCTGTGGGGCACGTTCGTAAGCGAGGTAACTCGGTACTCCCACTAGGGCTGGTTCTGGACTACAAAAAGAAGCCCCTCGTAGCAATGGACCGTAATCGTTTTTTACTGAGTAAATCGGTGTTTCTTTAATTACCTTTCACATGTCTAACATTCAGTCGAGCCCAGACCCACAGCATTTGGGGTGGCTAGACAGGTCAGAAGTACGCTTTTTATTGGCTTCGGTCAAACAAACTCAGAAAATATTGGTAGTTTGAACTTTGAATTTTCAAGTAACACTAGATGTATGCTGTCATAAATCTAATTTCAAGGGGCGCTGTTGCCTACCCGAATCAAAAGGCAAAACTAACAATCGACGCAGAAGAGCAAGCTGACCAGAAGGCGAAACGATCAACACCTCCACGAGTGGATCAACACCTCTACTAGTGATATTCAGATGTCTCGAACAGGGTCGTATGGCTGAGAGCTAGTTTTGTCCGCTGTACCTTCTGCTAAGTTAGTACTGAAGTTTTCGTAACTTGAAATGTGGTATGCATACCAAGCCGAAGACGATTCAAACTCTCTTTCCTTCTTCTCTGAATATGTTGATTCACATGCCAATCTGCTAAACCTGGAAAATCGACCCAATCTCCATCTCCCCACCACTCCGAGCTTTGCTTCACAAACTCTTTCAATAATGCGCTAAGGCTGCCGCGTTCAGATTCGGTAGGCGAGGGTGAAACAGTTTGACTTGAGAAGAATGAATGTCGAACTCTCTAATAGACAATTAAAACTACATTCGAAGAGAGACGTCAAGGATACTGACGTTAAATTCCTGCCAATAGCGGTCTTCTGACCATTTCTCCGAGGCAGTTGTGAAGTCCAGTATATGCCTCCGTACTTCACATGCGGGACCCCACCTTCTTATCATGATTACTTCGTTTTGATTATGGTATAAGCTAATAGAAAGTGCCGAAGTTTTCAATTTTCTTTTGCAGGACGATCGCTAGAACGAGTGGATCCTAAGGTGTGCAAAAATGAACACGCCGATTGAGTTTACTTAGGAAGAACTTCTCCCAGTCACCCACGAGGACGGTGTACTTGATTATATATATCACCATGCAGACGTGCGTCTTCGTGTCACTTCGATCGAATATTATGTCTATATGCCTTGTCAAATCTGACATGAGCAAAAGTTTGACCCAGGTTTCTAAAATGCAGCCATGATACTAAGCCTTGTCAGCGTTTGTCCAAACCCCAGCGAAGACTGGACTCAGACATACTTTACCAAGAGATGATGATATGCCAAACCGGCTTGATGGCCGCAAACAAAGTGCAGAAAGATTGGGAAGCGGTCCCTGCCAATGATTTCTGCTTTCCCGTCATCTGCCTAGAAGGTGCTGGGATGGGGGCGCCCAATGCAAGGGAACAGTTGCAATCTTTGCAACAATGCCGCTATTACAAATGCATGTTCTAGGTTCCCCGCTCTGTTCTTTCGTGCAGCCATAAATCGCTTTCTTTTGGGTGTAAGGCAGGCATCACCCGCGGGCGCTAAATTTAATCATATCTAAGTGGCTTTAAGCAACTTCTTTGGCAAAGATGCATAACCGACCAAAATGCTCCCAAAAAGAAAATACGGAATTGAACAGGGCCGATTGAAACTTCATTTAGGCCAAAGATACTATCGAGAAAAGGGTATGGAATGGATGGGTTTCAAAGCACTGCAATTTCTCGGTGTGTTAACTGAGATTATACTAGACCGCCAGGGATAGACCGGTATCACCAACGCTGGAAGAAGAGTGTACTCGAATTGGTGTTACGGCTTAGCACCGCAGAGTACAAAACGGAGACCACTGCAAGGCTATAGCTATGTCCTTTGCTGTGATTGCTTAAAGAAGAATAACGTAGCGATCTTACTTATTCCACACAAACATGTTGCGGTCGAGAGTTGTAAAGCAGTTATGTTGTTTTAAGGCAAACTACTGATGGTTTTACTCCATTTTTGCCTCAACTCTATAGCTTGCTCCTTCACTTCTGGTAAATTTTGTGCCTTTTTCAGCCACGCCAGGCTCTCCGCTTCGTGGCCGACGGCTTTATGCATGAGTGCCAGATTCAGCATGCTAAGACCGAATCCATCCGCAGCGGCCACATCAAACCATTCTTTTGCCATCCCATAGTCCTGTAACGAAGTTGGCTTTTGGTCTCTCTTTTCGATTTCTTCCAGTTCCAAAGCACCGAGGTTATGGCACGCTTCTAAGATTCCAGACGACGCTGCTTTCAACAGGTATACTTTTTGATCCGGGGTACCTGATTTCTGAAGCTGAGAAAGGTAAAAGTATCCGGATGGTTCGTCGAGTTCTAATGCGGCTTTTTTGAAAGCATTTTCTGCTTCTTTCGTCTGGCCTAGTTGTAATAATATCCTTCCTTCATTGACTAACGCATCTCCAGCTCCGTTGATCTGGAGATTTCCAGTGGGCGGTTGCGTTGACTTCTGGAGCCATAACAGAGCTTCCTTATTCTGTCCTTGGCTCAGTAAGACTTTACCCAGTAGCATCATAGCTTCTGGATCGTGGTCTTTTTTTGCTAACAAACCTAGTCGTTGCAGCTGCTCTTGGTATTTATTTAGGTTGCCTGTATTGATGGCAGATTGAATCAGTTCAAACGTTGCAGACTTCTCTCCCAAAGACGACGCTGATAGCATGAGGTTCTTGGCTAGCATCTGTTGGCTTGGTGTCTGACACCTTCTCAGAATTCCAGCAAGGATTGTTACTGTCATAAGAGATACACCGTGTTCTAAAAGCCGTCAGTGCAAGTACAATTGGAAGTCCCAAAATCTCTACCTTCACATAGTTTCCTCTCCCAACTAGCTCTCTTGGTTTTTAATTCGAGCTGGTATGCGCGTAAGAAGTCATAAACTCTGTCCACATCAAGATCTATCGCTCCGGACTTTTTGGCCGAATTGAGCATTACTTGTGGTGGCAGCGAACTTTCAATGCTCGCTTGAGGCTGATTCATCCGTATAAAAGCTTCATTGTATGCTTGCTTGCTCGCTCGAACAACCTTAGGGGAAGGCATTGCTCCCCGCTTGGCCATGCATTGTGGTGTCGAATGCAGACATCTTATTCCTATTTTGGACTTCTTGCCTAATAGCGCCGGTAGTCTTTTGACTGCCTCCATTCCGGGTTCTTGTTGACGCGTGACTTTGATGTGCTGCTCAAGATGTTCGAGCTTCTGGTTGCTGTTGAAGAATTGTGGATTGGAACAACTTTTGGAGGGTTTTTTGTTTCAAGTCGATTAATAGCAATTGACACATTCAGATGGGCTCCCAAGCGAAAGTTCGAAACTAGACGAAAAAATACAAACACGTATGAATTGTTCTCTTATGAGAAGCATGCTACTTATGCAGTTGCAGTGTCCAAAGACGAGGCTGTGGTACCTCGACGCTAGACCGCTTTGGGCTGACTTCTGCAGCCTTGATCCACACGCCCGCCGTGCATCACAACAAGATCCAAACGAAACCTCATGTTCAGCAAGCCTCTCCGGGCAAATATTCTCACACAACAAAGCCTCTTATACCAATTCATCTGATCAGCCCAATATGGATCGCGCTCTCGACGAAATTGTATCTGAACGTCATGTATGTTCATGCTGCCCCGGCATGCAAGTTATTATTATAGCCTTGTTTCTTTTTGGATGAGGACCATCTAACGGAACTTCGCAGCGAGGCGGACGAACTCGAGGACGCCGTGGGGGTCGCAGAGGCGACAGAAACGACTACCCCCGTGACGGTGTAAGAAAGGTACAGTGATTGCTTAGCTTTCAAATGAATCTTCATTGATCTAACATGGTGCGACAATTTAGGTTCATATACCTTCTCCTCCTCAATCTCCTCATCCTCTTCACCCCTCCTCGTAGCCATGTTTGCTCTTCGAATTCCCCGGGCCTCCACCAATTCGATCCCGCATATTCGGTGGCATTATGGCTGGTCTAGGGTAGTACATACAATTGAACACATCAGCTAACCCAAGGCCTCCTCTTTGACATACAGTCGACAAGAGAGGACAGTAGAAACATAGACTCGTACGTTCATGTATAAGCTGACGGTCTCCATGAGTATATCTGACTATTGGTAGCGAGTGGGTTCACGATAAATTCGATGATAATAGTATGCCAAACCAAATCTTGCCCTCTGGACTTACGCTTACATCGATTTAGCCGCGCGAAGACCTATGCGAAGTGAGAGACGGTATTCCCCGGAACGGTCGTAGTATGAAATTCACGTCATCAGACATAAGGAACCTATCACTTACCGTCTATAGTGACGCTCCTCCAAGCGCAAAGCTGAAGGTTGACAATCTACACTATGACTTGACTGAGGAGGACTTGGATGTGGGGATAACCTAACAAAACCTATCAGAATTGACACTGACTACTCTATAGGATCTGTTCAACCGAATTGGACCTGTACTCAAGCTTTCACTTGTGTATGATCGTGCTGGTCGCTCGGAGGGTGTAGCTTATGTTACGTATGAATCTCCTGCAGATGCGAAGCGAGCCATCCGAGAGTTTGATGGTGCGAATGCAAAGGGTAAGCCAGTCTTAGAACAGCTTGTTTCCTCCAACTAACGTTCGTAGGCAAACCGATTAGCCTCACATCTGTGCCTTCTGGTCCCTCTCATGCCAACCGTCGCAATCCCTTTGATTCCGCAGTTGCACCAGGTCGCTCATTAGCAGACCGAATAACGGTACCAGCGAATCGAAGCCGCTCTGACTCACCTATCCGACACTCAGATGTTAGCGGCCCTCCTCCTAGTAATGTCGATAGATATGTACCGGGCCGTGGAAGCCGATCTCGTAGCCCCCGTCCGCGCAGAGATGGCCGCAGAGCTGGTGCTAGAAGGGAGCGTGGCGACAGACGTGGTGGTGCCCGTGGCGGGTCCGAAAGAGTTGCAAAAGATGGTCGGCCAAAGAAAACACAAGAAGAGCTCGACGCTGAGATGGATGATTATTGGGGCGCGAAGGATAATGGTGCAGAAACCAGTGCTGCTCCTGCTGCGTCTGCTCAGGATGATATTGATATGATTGAATAAGAGAGTGTATGATTTGCTTCATCGAAGTTACTGGCTTGTATGCTGCAAATACATGACGGAAGCGGCTAGGAATTAGAGATTGCCCTGGCTCATGAGCCATCCCGGTGTATGATTTACTGGTTACGGAATGTGTCTATGGAGGGAAAGGAGACTATGCTAACGCTGCGTATAATACATGGCATTTTTAAAGCCGCTAGCCATGCTGTTGGGGCCTCTGTAATGTGATCCTTATCCACAATAATCACTTCGTGGCGAGCTTTGATGACTATCATGTGGAATATTAGTAGACAGAATAAGATGACGATGCTTTTGTTGTTAAGTAGATTCAGTTCTGTAACAAACCCCTTGTAGGACTTCATAAGATTCAAATATGCTGGGAGTATGATTCTAGTGACTTTCGTAAGCCCTCGCTTGTTTCGGTTATGACATATACTCTTTCATATTCCATATAAGACTTGCCGAGCAGAGAAGTACAGTAGCAATGCTTCCAAGATTAGACTGCATTTTCTAGAAAGCTCTGAGAGTTTGCTCGTCTTGAAACAAGGTTTCTAGCAATAAGTCGTCGCCCTTACATCAAACAATACATCACTCTACTCTTCCTTTCGTCTCTTCGCTCTCAATCCTTCGCCCATAGCAGTAGCTACATCCTCGATTGTAAGTCCACGTTTCCTCCGCTCAGTCTTCTCGTCACCAAGCACTGTATCGTCAGCTACTGAGCGATACACCTGTGCAATTTCATTGAAGACTCCTGAATTGCCTGAAGATGAAGGAGCACCGACAAATCCACCTTCTTCAGCATGTGTTATTCCTATTTCTTCCACTGTCAAGCAAGCATCAGAATCGGGCTTAAATCCAAGTGGTTCTGGTTAGGGACACATACTCTCTCGAACCCAGCGATAAGCTTTTGGCGGCATACCAGTGACAGAGTTAGCAGCTTTTCGAAGCCCGGGGGCTCTCTGTTCTAGCTCGCTAATAAGTAGTGGGAGGACACCGAGATTGTTGGCAGTGGTGAACGACTGAAGTACCAGAGCAGTAAAGCCTTTTGTGAGTGAAGCGAAGCTGCATTTCAACCCACTTGCTATTCCAATGTCATCAGAGATATGATTCAAACCGAGTGTTGTTGAGAAAGTAGCAAACGACGAAGGTGGTGTTTGAGAAAGCGGTCCGGATATGGGAATGCTAGGTTTGGCCCAGTCGGTTGTTGTGGTAGGATGGGATGAAACAGTTGTACTGGGTGATTTGTCGTCTTTTAGGCGTGGTGTTCCACCTATGATTCCTCCATCCAGGAATTGAATTGCAGGAGACTTCTTTGCGAAGAGCTCTCCAATTTCTCTCGCGCTTCGAGGAGATATGGCTGTGTATTGCCAAGGTTAGCCGCTTCCATCAAGTGTCTGGAGGTCACAAGACAAGTGTATTAGCTGATACAAGACTGCGAAGACCGTGTACGAAGGACATTGACAACGAAAGTTCCTTCATATACCATTTAGATCGAAGTAACAGAGTGGTGTTGACTTCGCCTGAGACTGGCTGTTGAAAGCAGAGCTTATTCGACTTGCCGTGTCGAGAGCATCGCGAGGCGGAACAATTGAAAGGATATAGTCGGACGCAGACACCAAAGTCTTGTCGTCTTTTACGATTTCAATAGACGCAGACAATGCGCGTGTCTTGGTATCGTTACTGATCTGATGTCAGCTACCCATACAAAGGATTTCGTTTTCAACCCCTTCGATCTGATGGTCTTAGGAGAAGAAAATATGCAGATGAAGTTACACGGGACGAAAGAATAAGGAAATGACTGAAAAACTGTATTTTCTTTCCTTTATAGAGGTAAAAGATATTTTATTCCTATTCCGAATAATCTGTAGAGAAGTACCTACCTTCGGCCTTCAAGATTGGTCACAACACGGAAGTTATGAGCGATCAACAACTTGGCGATTCCGGTTCCCATTTCTCCTATGGAAAGGATTCCTACAGTTGCCAAGGGCGTCGTCATGTTGTATTTGTGATATGGTGGTTATGGTATGTCGGCCAAGAATGGGATGAGATTCTGGGTAGAACTAAGGGAAGGAAGCGCCACCAGGGGGTGCGCTAATTCATTGGACGATTACCTAAGCACAACTCCCAAAATTAAGGAATCTCAACAATCAAACCTATTAACTTTCATCGCAACCATGGTGACCACAACACGTCTACAAGCGCGTCAAACTACGCCAGATCGTCTAATAATAGTTAAAGAACGAGATACTGAAATACGGGTCGCTTTCTTTCGAGATTACGATAAAGAGATCAGTTTTAAGAAGATAGAGACGATTTGTATGTCTCATCGGATTAGTAAGAGTACAGGTTATTATTGGCTCGACTAGCGCAAGAGAATAGGAAAACTTGCTAATCGCCATACTCGTGGGCAGTCTAAGATCTTAGGCCGCAAGTATACAGTACCTGACAGCCCGATTAAGGCCCTTATTTCGCCGTCCAAAAACCCTGTCCGCGACAAGCTATATAAGGTACAACTCGAATTCCACAAACTACCCCTTAAAAAGCGCTAACTACGAGAGAGGCTTAAGAGGATAACAAAAGGAGCTCGGCGCTTTCGAATAGTATATTCTAAAAGTTCCTTCAGCCTCGCAAATATCGAAAAACGTCAAAAACACGGCCAAAAGTATTAGGGTAAGACCGTCGAGGATACCTTCCAATGGTGGGTGTTTTCGGACGAGGCTCACCTCGACCCGAGTGCCTAAGGAGCTAGTTTAATCCTCCGGGAAGAAGGGACAAGGTATGAGCCAGAGAACATACAAATGCGAGGTAATAAGACTAGCGTAACTTTACACGTTTCCGGTTAGTGCAATTGGTGGGCGTTAGCACCGGAATTAACCTTCTACTACGACGAGGAACCTCATATTAAGTAGCCAAACCGTGGTCGCAAGCCTAGGCGTTCTAAATATAAGAGTGAAGAGCAATATAGTGAAGAGATTATAGCTTGGGACGCACTGGCGCCGCACCCGAAAGAGGTTAAGCCGAAGGGTAACTCGATGACCGGAAAGTACTATATAGAGAAGATTTTACCTAGTTTAATCGATGCCGTACATACCCTGACCCGGCGCTTCGAATTAAGGGGGAAGGAGTCCCATTTTATCCTTTTAGAAGATAATAATCGGTCTCACGGTCACACTGCTCCCTATCGGCCTAACACACCCCAAGATAAGCTCAAAAAGGAGGCAAACGTTAAGATAATTGACTATCTACCTCGCTCACCGGATATTAATTACCAGGAACCTATTTAGAATATATTGAAGGCAAGAGTTAAGAAAAGAGACTGGAATTCGCCGGAGGAGTATAAACGAATAGTTTAGGAGGAATATTCGAAGATAACGCTTGAGGAGGTACGTAAAAGAATACTTGAGATGCCTGGGAGGATAGAGTAGTTGGCAGAGCACCCAGATAAAACAATTAGAAGTGATCTATAGTAGTTGTTGTGATTATATAAATTGAATAAGATGTGAATAGCCTCAATTATTTTGAAGTTGTGCTTAGGTAATCGTCCAATGAATTAGCGCACCCCCTGGTGGCGCCAATAGCAGACTTTCTGTTAGGAACACAGCAACACGTGAGAAAGGAGAATATCACGACATTGAATTTTAGCTCCATAGTGTTTTATTAGATTTCGGACCAAACGAATCCTACAATTCGTAACAAAATAACAGCCTCGTTAGTTTGACCACGAACAAGGACCAAATTCTTACAGGGCAACACTAGATCAGGAAACACTCTTCTCAACTCTAATTGTCTTTTTTTTCAATTATGTTCGAAGTCCAATGCCTACCACTCTTCATTGAAAGAAGAATTTCAAGACATCGTCTCATCACTGAGCAATTACGTTTCAATATCAGCACATCTTCGGCACAATCAACAGTCATGGAAAAGACCGAATCAATTGCAATTTGACATCCGTGCTATCGGGGTTCTATACATTGGGCGTCTTCCTCTTCTGTCAATCAATGATAAGATCAGACTGCTAGCTTGGCTCGTCGATCGGAGCTAGAGGCGTGCAGTGGGTGTTCAGGCAACACAGCTAGAACAATACACTATGATGAGATGTGTATCGTGAAACGTTGCGCAGCAGCATATGTCTCGTGTCTTCGTAGCAAATAATCTGCACACCCACCATTTCCACTTCTGATGCCCGGAATCTTTCGTAAACGGCTCTTTGTGTGTGACTGCAGGGACAGCGTTGCGTCGCAGCGTGCGTATACATGGAAGAAAACAGACAACTGGCTCAGTTAACCTTCGATGCGGATGCTTCCTTCTTCTGAATGAGGGCTGCTTGAAGTCGCTCATGTGCTGTGGCCACAAGATTTCCGGAGCAATAAACTATCCGCATCGATGCTGAGGCGTCTCGGCGACCAGTATGTGCCCGCGCTATATACAGCACCGAGTGACTGTGGATTGAACGTACGAGTCCATCGTTTTGTTCTGTTGAGCTGGTTTGTTGAGCTAGTTGAGCTGGTTGCGACTGTCGCTTTTGCAAAAGTGAAAATTGAGCTCAACTTGATGTACAGCAACGAAGAAAAGAATTCTGACGATTGACACGGGAGACTGCATCGGCCAAATGAAAGTCCGATCAGCTTTTGCCGAGGCCAAAGCCAACGGTCTATTTTCACACTCGGTCACAATAGTCTCACCTCGCTTCCTATTATTTCTAGTAGAACTGGACACTTGAAGATCGCGTCTCATTCAAGTCAATTGAAATCTCAGAAGAGACATAGTAAGTCTAAATCAGCGACTGAATGCATCATTCAATTTGCCCCGCCATCAGTCTCGGCATAAGGCCTTCGCCATTGCACCTTATGACTTCGGAAACAAGCTAAATACCGTGACCCCGCGACCGAAGATACAAAGAGTGCCATTAGTACCTTATGTGTGCCACTTATCAACTCGCACTCAAATCATCATCACTCGAGTCTAGCCTACTCGGGTCCTTGCGACGACGACTGGATCAGTTTGACTGTTCTCATCTTGTAGAAAATTCCAATCTCCTCGCACGTTCGCCGATGTTTTGCGCTAATAGTCCAACATACAGTCTCTGAAACACCTTGTGAGGCAACCATTGCGGTACGGAGCAACCCTACACACCCAGCCGCGTCGTCTGAGAATCCGGTAGCGCCTACACGAATCTATCCGTCCGAAGCTGGACTTAAAAGCGTCGTCCGCAGCCTTGCAATTGTTGCTTTCAACAACCCATTTCCGTCTCTCTTTCATACTTGAGCAGTCATGTCGGAATTTAATATCCCAGGAAAGATAATCTCGGCTGTATCTGCTGTGTCATCATACTATCTCGTAAACTATTCGCCAGATCTCCTGTTGTCATCCAACCCTGGTCTGTTCGGTACTTTCCTTCAGTTGTGGACTCTCCAATTATGCCTTTGGCTGGTTTGGAAAGCTGTTCTATGGCCCAAATTTTTCTCGCCTCTTCGTAATCTCCCCGGGCCAGATGGCGGGAGTTGGTGGAATGGCCATTTCAATGAAATATTCAAAAATCCGACCGGTTTCCCAATGGAAAAATGGTATGGCTATGGTTACACTGCATTCTTGTGCATGATCAACGCTGACTGTGCCTGACAGGATCAACAATACCCCCAACGACGGTCTCATTTACTATCGAGGGTTGTTCAATGCTGAAAGACTTTTTCTCACGTCTCCCAAGGCTCTGAGCGAAGTGCTAACGACCAAGAGTTATGACTTCAAGCGACCTGAGCAAGTGACAGCGGCATTGAGCCGTTTACTTGGTGTCGGAGTCCTGCTAGCCGAAGGAGACGAGCACAAATTCCAGCGGAAACACCTTATGCCTGCTTTTGCCTTCAGACATATCAAAGATCTTTATCCAGTTTTCTGGTCGAAGGCTAAAGAAAATGTGTTCAAGATGGCCGAGCATGTCAATAATGGTGGCATAGACAAGAAGTTGATACCAAATCGGGATCCGGAGAAGCCAATCGATGAAAAAGACAGCACGCCAGTAATTGACGTGGGAGGGTGGAGTGCACGTGCTACACTTGACATAATTGGCCTTGCTGGTATGGGAAAAGACTTCGGAGCTGTTGAAGATGAAGATGCTCTTTTGAGTCGGACGTACCGGAGCATCTTCAAGCCAACTAGAGGTGCGATGGCACTTGGTTTGTTGGGATTCATCTTACCGGGGTGGCTCGTCAGAATTTTGCCAGTCAAGAGAAATAGTGATATCGAGGAGGCATCTAAAACTATTCGTTCGGTCTGTAAGCAGGAGATCATGGAAAAGAAAGAAAGGCTGAAGAAGAAAGATAATTCTGACGTTGACATCCTAAGCATCGCGTTAGAAAGCGGGGGTTTTACTGATGAGAATCTCGTTGACCAGATGATGACCTTCTTGGCGGCAGGACATGAGACTACCGCCTCGAGTATGATTTGGGCGATTTATCTGCTCTGCGTCCATCCAGAAATCCAAAGTCGCTTACGGGAAGAGATTCGCGCCAACCTACCCAGTCTCGACTCGGATGAATGCGCGAACAGTCAGCAAATCGACCACATGCCGTATCTGAATGCGGTGTGTAGCGAAGTCCTGCGCTATTTCCCGCCAGTCCCTCTTACACCTCGAGTTGCGGCGCGCAATACTACAATTTGTGGTCAGAAAGTCCCAAAAGGCACTCGTATCATGCTCATTCCGTGGGCTGTTAATCGATCCGAGGAATTATGGGGTCCAGATGCTCGCAAATTTAACCCAGAACGTTGGATGCCGTCAGAAGACAAACCATCTCCTGCTAATGGTGGTGCTACAAGCAACTATTCTTACCTTACTTTCCTCCACGGCCCCAGGAGTTGTATTGGACAGGGCTTTGCGAAGAGTGAGTTTGCATGCTTATTGGCTGCTTGGGTGGGTAAGTTCGATTTCCAGATCAACGACGAGAGAGAGTTGGATGAGAAGAATCTTAATATCAAGGGAGGTGTAACTTCTAAGCCAGCGAAGGGTTTGTTTGTCAAGACCAAAGTCGTGCCAGGGTGGTAGATCATGCGTATCATGTAAACGACAGTTACAGCGAGGGAGTTGTAGATGAAATAGTTAGTGCGCAAGTTGGAGATATAGTTAAACATCAAAGAACCATAGAATGTAATCAAGCCATTCCCTAGTCCTAAGAGCCCCATAGATGTTAGCCAAGCCTAACATCATATCCGTGTTAGTACTTCTTGATTTATGTTGCACTGTTAACCTTACATTGAGGGTCTATATTCGACATCGGAATTGTACCTTGTGATCATTCTCCTTACTTGGCAGCCGAACAAAAGCGAAGCTTAAGACGACAGATCTCTTGCGCGGCCATTTGTTGCAGCTTCGCGCGGCTGTCGGCCAGTACCCAACCGGTTTCCAAGAATGGCAAGCCACGAGAACCGGTGTATTTACTAACTAAGAAAGACTTTGAAACAATTACATTATTTATCGTAAAGAGTTGCCACCTTGCATCAGAATTTCATGCCCTGATCAAACTTTGTTGTAACAGTGTGAAGCTGTGTAAAGTTCAAGCCTCTGCTCTTCTGATTTGACGAATGGGCCATTCGATCAAAGTCTCATGTTCCTTTCCAAGGATATTTTTAATGCCACTCATCATGTGTTCTGCCCAGCCTTCAATAAACCAATAGTAATCGATTTCTTTAAGCAGCACCACAAAATGGGCGAGTATGATCAGACCCGCTGAGCACTTCTCTATTAGAAGTTGAGTGAACTCCGGTGGAAGTCTGTACAGCCAACCAAAAACTTGCGGCGAATGTCTCCTATCATCCTCGCCTGTCCGTATAATGCGCTCATAGACGGCATGGAAAGATTTAACGAGATTGTCCAGCACTTTGAGGCAAATCCCAGCATCGAAGCTATACGTAGCAGCTCTGCTTTCGATGTGTCGTCGTAACTCCTCCAGAGGTTGCACATAGTCAGGCACGGAATCTCGCTTTCGTTTTGCGGGTTTGTATGAGGCAGACGCTTCCTGAATGGGTCCAAGAACTGCAGCATAAAGCTCAGCACGTTTACTATCCATGATCGATCTTACTCCTCCAAGCAAGATCAACCACTGAATGTTTCCAGTCTCGCTGAACGCAATGAATTCCCCAGACTGCGGGCCTTTGGCGAGATAGCAAAAGCAGATCAAGGTAGCCGCTGCATAAAGAGCCTCACAATTCATTGAATCGAGACCAGGTAGTACTGTAGTCACTCCTTGCAAGGCTATCGTCTCATGCTTTTCAGCGAGTGCTATATATTTCGCCCTACGTTCTGGATTGGTACGACCTAAATGGAATGCAGCCAAAGCTAGCGTCAGATGTAGTACGAACTGGTTGGAGAAGCCAATATTAGGAACATTCATTTGCCAGAAACGAAGACTTCCAGGATCATCGCCAATCGTCGGGCATGTTATCATCAAGAAATGGTGCCAGAGTTCAAACTCTTCGGCAGTGAAAGTCGGGATGACGGGAGAATTCTGTACTCCGGTGGGAGTTAAATGCGTTGCAGGACTAAGATCCCTCTTTTGGCAAACAGACGATGGAAGTACCTGGTCCTGGTACCGAGATGGTACGAAGCGCCTCGCATTAGAAGGTGGATTTTGAGTAGAGTCGGAATCCGAGGTAAGCGAAGACGAGCTGATGGAGAATGGACATGCTATGTTGTGTTTTTTGCAGTTGAGACATGTAGGTTTTGCTTCGTCGCACTATAAAATAAGTTATTAATCCTACGGCTCAAAAATGTTTGCGTACTAGAACACTCGTGGAGAGACCTTGACCGCAACCACATTGATCTTCAATCTTACACCTGGCAGAGTAAAGGGGTGACCATACAACGAAAAGATGTAGTCGGGTAAATCTCACCTTGATCCTGCGCTTCTTACAGGATGCACATCCAGTGCGAGTTTTTCGATGTGGCTTTCTCGCGCCTTTGAATTCGTCTGTATCCGGCATGAGCCGGGCTACGAAATCGAGGATGTCCTTGTTTCTTGAGCGTTTACAATTGTAGATAGCATTTTAATAGCGCGGGGGAAAACCCAACAAGAAGATCGAAACGATGTAGGTCTCTTCACGCGCTGCTCTGTCTCTCTAGTAGACCTGGTGTGTTGACGGTCAGTTAGGCAAGACATACGATGATGTTGATGCGCTAATACTCTAAGCGATGCCTGACCCACAATCAAGTTCGGATGAGGTGCCAGGTGCGTGCGCCAGGATAGCTCGCGGAGGACAAAATAAATGGCAGTCGCAACACAATATTTCCTTGATTAAGTTGATTAAATATCGTATATTTAGTGGGTTAACTTGAAACATTATCACTATTCCGTCAATTGTTTACACTAAATAAGACTTTTTAAACTCTATTCGAAGTCGACTTATTGTCAGTCTAAGGTTAGTGGGTAGGTGACTGACACTTATTTTGTCCTCCGCGAGGATAGGTAAGCTTTACTAAGTTATTACCCAGCGATACAAGAGGTAATTTCACATGCCCCCTCAAGTAAAAAAGGGGCACGCTGGTCTTTAACGGCATTACAGAAAAGGAGTTTCCCGTCCACGATTGTGAATTGAAAATGCCCTCTAAGATTACGAGCGAATCTTGTGACGTTTTCATTACGCACAACGGGAACTAAATCACATTCAACAATGAATGCATTACATTAAATCAATGTTGTAAACTGATTCTCTGGCATGTTACAGGGCACTCGTCCTACGACTGCCGGCTATATTATGCATCAGCTAGTTGGCCTCAAGCCAGAAGTAGCTGTCTCTGCAGGAAAATCAAATGAAAACAGTGTTGGCGTTGAACGAGGCATCCGACCACTCTGCTCGATTAGCTTATGTGCTGATACAGGAGTGGAGGAATGGCTCACCACCTGATTCGATTATAGAAATTGGTTCCTTCGGACGATGCTCTGCCTGAGGTAAGCTCTCAATCTCCGAAAGCTGAAACTATGAGATATAAATATTCATACTGCCATCGAAATCTTTGATTGCACGCGGAGGTGTAGTAACGTGGCGGCTGGCGGGTTTCCTAGCTGGTTGTTGAGTAAAGCAGGATTTGGTGAGGATAGAGAACTGAGGTAAATTCAGGGCGAGTGTTGTTGATTATCCGGCTTCAATGGCGGAGATGCTAGTCGATTGTTGGGGAATAGGTGAGACACTGGAACATCACCATTTGTTTGCACGCAAGCTAAATAAAGTAGTCTATCTGGCATGTACCACTGCATATCTGACGGCTTGTTTTAAAGGAATACAAATACTTCTCGTGACGTCGTAGCTTTTTCCTGAGCGTAGTTGTGTTTCTCGCTTAGTGTCCTGGAGAATGATTCCTGCTTCAGAATGGACTTTCAGCATGCCAGTCCGAGGAATCTCGCCACACTTATATTGACCCTCTTACATTCCCATTCTTGAAATCGCTATCGGCATCAACAACTGAATGCCGCTATGAAACTATAAGCAGCAACTGCTGCTGCTAGGGGTGGTCCAATAATGGAATCAATTTACAGCTTTTCTCGACAACCATGCGTTCTTTCCGTTGGACAATCGTGCTGCCCTTTGGCGCTTTTGCTGCCATTGGCACGAATAACTTGCAGAGGCGTAATTGCCATGCAAACAATTGTGCAAGGCAAATTACGGGTACAGGCGCACATATAACTCCTGACCTAACTGCTCGGTTAGCAGATTGTTCAAGTTATATGACAGCTGTGCTAAACCCTTCCGCAATGTAAGTTGGATTGATGAATTTATACTGAACTTGTTAACACAATACAGTTCCGCTACAAACACCCAGCCGGTCCCGCTCTATGCAACTCCATTTTGTTCGGATGCAGCGGAGTATAGTAGTGTCTGTTCTTGTGCTGGAGTCAAAGAGACTACAATCACAGTCGCTACTTCGACTGCTCCAGAATTTTCCACCTATACTTTCACAACAACCGTCACATCGCTGATTGGAGGAGGGAGCCTTGGTTCCTCTGGAGATTCAACCAGCGCCTCATCGTCGACGGCATCTTCTAGCCCAACAACCACAACCCAGGATACTGCATCATCTACCAGTTCAACAACGACCCAGGATAGTACAGCGGATGGCACTACGGTTGGATCAGGCGCAGGCGCAGGAGCCAGCACGACGATCAGTACAACCTCTTCTACAACAACAGCTTGTCCTTCCGGTAGGGCACAGTGCTCTGCCGATACTTGCAACGATCTCCAAACAGATGAACAAAATTGCGGGCAGTGTGGTACAGTTGTAAGTTACTCACAACATTGATTTGTAGATGATTGCTTCTAACATAATTTAGTGCACATCAACAGATATCTGCTACCTAGGCAATTGCACTTCGCTTCTTGATATTTCATCTCGCTGTGATAGTCCCGCCTTTTGTGATAAAGCAGATCAGTTTGCATGCCAACCTGGCTGTGCTGGAACTAGAGGATACTGCCAGCCTGATGTTACTGGGCAAGGCAGATGTCGAAGCGAGTCATCGAATCCGGAATGCGTGAACCAAACAGTGTGTGCAACAAATGCTGAGTGCCCTGGTGGCTATTGTATTCAGTCGTGCTGTGCGACGCCGACTTGTTATTTCTTCCAAGACACTTCCTTCTGCACAAATGCAACGACAAGCAACATTCCGAAGCGGGATTTGAGCTGGCGAGGTCCTGACAGTGGACTCCCCTTTTGACAACACGCTAGGTGACTCCGTGGGAGTCTGTTATGAGAGCGGCAATCGAAATATCTTTTTAGGTTATAATATTTTTAGACAGGTGGCATGCCCCCTAGCATGTCAGCTAGATTAGCTCCCTTCAATTGTATCAAATTTCGCCCGATTCCTGATGTTTTGAGTAGGAGAATGCGTGCCTTGCTGCTTGAGACCGATACCTAGGTATGTAGCTGCAGAGAAAACTTGTGATACAATGACTCTTAATCACCTATGGCTCTAGCATCGAGGTGCGTGCTGTTGGATGGCCCCAGATTTCATCAGCCATATCAAATCAGGTTAGAAATAACGCAATAATTCATTACTAGTCTCACTCGAGACAAGAATCGTATCTGTACGGAGTAGACCGTATTCGTATGTATGAGTGTATGTTTGAGTGCGTGCCTTGAAGTGACGTGTGTAAGAGCCGGACTGGAGTTGGTTCGGCATCGGACCGTACCGGCGGGTCAAACGGAGGCATGCACGATCGGTTCTACGGCGGTCGAAAAGCCCAAAAACGGGCGGAGATAAGAAGGTTTGTGTGCCCATCATCGCGATGCCCCATGCTCATGCCATCGGCCGCTAGCAAATAACAAGCAATCAACTCCAAATTGGTCTGTTTGTAGCCCGTATCCGATAGTACCTCCACCTCCAACATTGCTAAAGACGTCAACTAGAATTCTCAGTTTCGAAAAGGGACCACTCATCCGCACTCTTTACCAGACGTCGGCCTTGTCTAACCCGCAGTACTGTTCCTCTTCTTGGCCCGGTCTCGACCCATCTCGAAATAATCGTCTTTCCATGCCAAGTTCCAACTTGCAACTATCTTCTTCGTCGGCGGGCGCCTGCTTTAATGTCTCGCGCCTAACCACTCGCACGTTCATGCTACCAAAGTCTGCGAACCATGAAGCACGAAGAACAAGAATTGCTTAGCAACATCTCTCGGAATCGTCGGGTCGCATAGCTACAAAGTAGTTCTAGTTTCATTAGCCTTTGTCGCGGATCGGCGGATTATCTGAGCAACTACTCGCGGACACACCATTTTCTTTTCAGAACCGCAGATTGGCGGATGGCACTACAGCTGAGGCGTATAATTTTTGCCATTGGGGGTTGTTGATAACATCGTGTCATCCAGTTGCGGTTGCCGCGCATTCTCTCTCCACGAATAAATGGCGCGGGGCGCAAGACGGGTGTAATGGCGCTTTTGAATCCGACCTTCATATTTGGAGTGATCGTCCTTCTTTACCTATCGTCCTTCCTCATATTCGCGGTTCTCCGAATCTTGACCGGCATATCGATTCAGCGCATTGGTTATCTGTCACTTAGGAGGCTAGCATACACCCCGAAAGATGGTGTGAAGATAGAAATACGGGGGTTGGGCCTCAATCTTCACAGGCCGACCTTTGCACAGCCAACTTGGCTAAGCATCGTCCTCCAGGAACTTGCGATTACGGTGGATTTGTCGGCGACAGAGAAGGATGCTAATGGAGAACATGGGGTGGACAAGAAGGGGGGGCAGAAGGAGGGAGATAAAGGGAAGGACAACTCCCATGCCAACGAACCGCTATCACCGAAGGCGAACCCAGGCGTAGAAAGAAGTAAGAGCTGGCAGCAGCTTAATGGAATCAAAAATCGTATCAAGCGCATGCATAGGAAAATCAACTGGATTCGCATGGTGGATGTGGTTGCTACCAATACTTCTATCTCCGTACTCGAGGTTGGTCAGATACAGGTGGGGAGTTTTACAATGGCAGTGGACACGCGAAGGAAAATGATCGATAGGGGGAGAATGTTCGCACATGTCAAAACAGCGAAGAAAGAGCAGCGGCCTGCTGAATGGATGTTGACATTGCGTAGCGTGCTTTTTACGCCTGAAGGCAAAGACTCCCTAGAGGTGCTTGACCATGCGACCCTAAATGTACATGGGTTGTTGTACAAAGACCTCGATGGACTCCGTGATGCTGCGATTTCGCTCAAGTTGGGACGTGTACATGTACCTTACGACGATATTGCGGGATGTCTGGAGAGATATAAGGGTTGCCGCTACCGATATGGTGGCGCGAGGTCTGATGTGACGGAAATATATATCAACGATGTCATTGAAGAACTAGATTCTCCAGGGAGTCGTGAAGATCATCTGGCGCAAACTGTGTCGGATTCAAAGGAGTTCGTCAGCTCAATTCTCCGCGGTATCAAAGAGGTTCAGTTTGCGGTCAGCTTTGTCGGCTTCACCAAGAAGATTGACTTGGTTCGACCGCGGGGTGCCCCTGTTTATCTTAACGCGTCGATGAAAGAGGTTGGTGTTGATCTCCATCGACTTGATCAAAAATCACCTGCACATCGCATGTACTTTTCAGCGAAGGATGTGGCTCATCAGGCTCTAGTAGCGGCTTTATCCATCTCGATTGGTATAGATCATGGGCAAGGACGATCTGACAGGCTTGTGTATGTTCCAATGGCTACAACTACAGTCCGTACAACACTCCCCTCCAAGACTGTCGAAGCCACGAAAGACAATAGCGCAGATGAGCGGAACGCCAATATACTTTTCGCCAATGTTGTTGTTACATCTCCTTCGGTTGATCTGGATCCCATACACCTTCCACTCATTCTGGGATTGCTTCAGGGAAGGCCAAAACGTAAAGAGCGGCTTGCTACTCGAAAACATGTTCTTATTTCGAGATTGTTGCCGAAGGCTAACGTTAAGCTGTCGATGCACGAGCCGGTCGTCCGTATCGCTCTGCCTCCCGTCGAAAAGAACGCAGAGCCTGATGATTTTGATCTCATCATATCATCCATCTCTTCGATCTCTTTGGATATAGATTCGTCACATACTGCTACCGGTCAACTGCACTATGGATTGGGGTCAGCCTTGCGTGTGCTGTCTCATGATCTCTATTACCAAACGTCATCCGGGGCGCATTACGAGCTGATGCAAACAGAATCATTCGATTTAAAGGTTCATATCAGTGCGAGCCCAGACGTCTTTGTTGTCGCAACTGGAAACCTACAAACCTTTTCAATTCACATGATTCGACCAGAAATTAGTGATGGTGTTCGACAAATCGTGCGACAACTAAGGGTCAATGTAGAACCAGAAAAGAAGGCTCGACCCAAGACATCTCGAGACCCAAATTTCGTGAGGGCTATGCCACCGTGGCTACTTCACTTCCAGATACAAGGCTCTGATTTCAGCGCGGAAGTCGCTGGTGTAGACGAACAAATATCGTCAGAGACACGGGGGGTAGCTTTGCAACTGGAGTCATGGACTGCCGAATACCGCGCGCAAAAAGTCGACGCCATTGAGAGAAGGTCATCTCGTCGCAGGGCAGGTAGTAGCAAATCTATGACGCCGGACGCGGAGCTTTATTTGAAGATGCCACAGTCACCTAAAAAGAAACAGCAACTTCCTACAGATGGCCGCAGAATAGCGTTCCATGTACGTGGCTTAGAAACATTTGTTATAGAGTCAACAGAGAAGTGGGAGATCGAACCATTTGTTCGCATCCCTCGGTTTGAAGTCGCACTGACTACAACGAGCGATAATCAAGGCCCGATTTTCCACGTTAACAGCTTCGTAAAAACATTGCTAGTACAATACTCGCTGTACCGTCATTACGCGGCCGGCGTCGCTGGTACCGTTCTCAGCAAGGCTTTCGTTCGCACAAAGGCAGATAGGGATGAAGCAGAACAAGCTAGAGCTGAAGTTGCACACAGGCGCCCGCATTCACATCTCACGCCTATGTCGCCCGAAGAGACCTTCATGTACGAAAATTCTGGCTACCCATTCCCTGTGCAGGAACTGATAACTATCGATTTCCGCTCAACATTAATTCAGATCAAAGCTTTCATGCCATCAGACCCTGCCTTAATGCTGCAAGTTTACGGCATGGAAGCAGGACGCCACAGATGGTCTCCTCCTTTTTTGCACGCCAAACTGGCCCGGCTTTATGCTGATGCCCCAAGGATGCATCATGTCTGGGCTAGACTCCTGAGCATTAAATCACTCCGACTTGATCTTCGCAGTAGTAAGCGAAAGAAAAGCACTGGCGAGACAATCGAAGACAAATTGATCGATGTGACCATGGAGGCAATAAGACTGGCTGTCCCTCATCAGATGGTGCTACACAAAATCTTTGACAATTCTGTGAACACGCTGAAATCGGTCCAACAACTACATCATCGATTCGCAACGGGCACAAATAATTACATCCTCGACAAGCGACCAGAAGGGCCCAAGCTTGTTCCCAGAATCTCTTTACGCAGTAGGGCTTTGTTGTTTGAGGTTGAAGATGGTGCGTTTGAGTGGAAGTTGGGGACAATTTACCGTGCTGGACTCATCGAACAAGCGCAGCGACTTGCCCGTGAGGCAGCGTTCGAGGTAAAAGCCAAACGTATCAGAGAGGAAGAAATGCATCGCGATCCAACAAAGTTCCGAAACAGATCTGCTCACCCACGAGGTCGAAGTAACCACCAAGATGACACCCGAAGGCGAAGCAAAAGTGAGGATCGTGACGGAGGTAGTACCAAATACCGGGGTCGTCGTATGCGTTATGACCCAGAAGGAACTTGTGGGCTTAGTGGGCGAGCAAATATTTCTATAGCAGCCGCTCGCGAAAGACTAGAGCAGCACAATGCTCAAAGCTGGAAGAACAGAATAGACCGAGTGTTCAGTCTATCCCAAGCTGGTATGAAAGATTTACGAGGAGTCTTCTGGGGGTCTGACGAGCTCCCTGACGACATGGAAGAAACAGAAAATATTCTCGAAATTCCACAGCGGCCAGCCTTGATGGGGACATTAATAAGCGACTTACATATTACAATCGACAAGCCGTCGTTTCCCATCGATCATCTGCCAGAGTTCATGCATCGCGTTGGTAAAGGCATGCCCTATGATACGAAGTACTCTCTTCTGATACCTCTGCACGTTCAAATAAACATGGGAGAAGCTCGGGTATCACTACGTGATTACCCACTACCACTCCTCCATGTCCCGGCAATAAAACCAGGTCAATCTGCTAGATTACCTGCATGGTCGCTCAAGACAGATTTTGTGATTGCTGAAGAATTTCGGGGATCCGAATCGACAAGACATGTCCAAGTCGATGTTGTACCGCCAAAAAACCGATCCCCAGGCTCCTCAAACAAGGGCCGGTTTGTTATCGACGTCAGAAGGACCGTTTCACCAGTCAAGACCTACTCCGAAATCAAGGTTGACATCAATACCAGCTACCCGACCCGGATCACATGGGGTTCATCCTACCAGCCTGCGATCCAGGACATGATGATGGTGATTGAGACTTTTACTAAACCTCAGGTCGATCCATCAGACCGAATTGGCTTTTGGGATAAGATTCGTCTTAGTTTCCACTCACGGGTAAGCGTCGCTTGGAAAGGCGACGGCGACGTGCACCTGATGCTTAAAGGAACACGAGATCCTTACGCCGTCACGGGAAATGGTGCTGGTTTCTTGATGTGTTGGCGAAGCGATGTACGGTGGAACATTGCGCAGGATGAAGACCCTCGCAAATTCATGACTGTAGACAGTGGCGAGTATATTCTTGCAATACCTGATTTTAGCCAGCAAGCGCGCAAATCCGAAAGACAAAACCGGGACGATGCTAGTGTCACCAGCTCCGATAGCTTCAAAAGCGGTGCTTCGTTCAAGAAAGTTGTGATGAAACTCTCCGGAAATGTTCAATGGCTTGCTGGATTGATGTTCGAAAGGAATTTGGAGAACAGTAGCAACTCGAGATCATTCGATTTCGAACCCCACTATAAAGTAATCCTTAAAGAGCCCCATTTTGCCAAAGCAACTCCCGGGTCCACCTACGATGCTTTCCGAGGGTTCCGCAGTCACCATATACATATGTCTGTCGCAGTCAAAGCCCCTGTGGACCGGGAATGGTCGGTTTCAAACTCTGCATCTTCTAAGAGTTATAATACTGTCCACTTAACCCCACGGTTCTTCACCCACTTCTTTGCGTGGTGGTCTATGTTTGGGGGGGCTATGGCTCTTCCTATTCGACAAGGTACACTATGGCCAGGCATCGAAAAATCCAGCAAAAAGTTTGGGCGGCATCTTGCCTCAATCAAATATAACCTTTTACTAGCTCCTCTATTCCTCAGCCATATTTACAAACACAAAGATGCAGAGGACTACTCCGAAGATGTCGTGTCTGCCACTGGTCTCAAGATGAGACTGGACAGTTTTATGCTTGATATGCACCAAAGAAGAGAAGAATTTCTTACTCAGGATCGAGGTCGTAAGACCCAAACCAAAACTACTGGTATGAAAATGCATCAAGCTCAATTAGACTTGATATCAGCAGACATTCGAGCAATTTCCGCAAGCATAGCAGGGACATCCGCGGAGGATTTAAAGAAGACATCACTCCCGTTTCTTGTCTCGCAACAAAATAATGGAGCGACAGATCTCTCCCATTTTGAGATACCCGACAATGATCTCAGTTGGATTGATATGGACGACTTTGTTGAATTGGATTGGATTTTGCCTTCTGAGGCCAATCCTCAGACAAAAATTATGCCTCTTGCATTTGCACCTCGTTTCACCTATTTTCGCCAAACAGACCACGGCGATACGATATCAGGAGACCCTAATAGAAGCAGTCCCTTTGGCAATGAGCCGACACATTTCTGCATCATGAGCAAAGATGACGACCCACGGCGTGTCCAGGCCCAGCTCATACAGTCTCGCCTAGAACAACTTGAAAAACAAATGGAGAGCCACGAGAAGGCTTTGGGCGATACTGAACTTAAGCTTATTCGAGATGAGCAGAACGAAAGACTTGTGGCCGAACATGAACAACTACGCAAACATGGCACAGTTCTACAAGACAAACATTTGTTTTTGGAGTCAATGATGCGACGGATGAGGGTACGCGTGCATATCGGAGATAAGCGTTCGGTTCCTGATGGCGATGCCGACGTAGACAGCGACGGCGAAACACCGATGCCGGAGGAGAAGAACGAGCCTGATACCCAAGGTCTGGACAGTAATCCTGCTGGAGATTTCGTCAGCGATTTCAATAACCGTTTTGTGATTCACAATATGCAGCTGAAATGGAACAATATGTTAAGGAATATCATCCTCCGGTATATCCATCAAGTCAGTCAACGCCGTGGATACGTCTACTATCAGTCTCGTCGGGCCGTGAAATTTATCCTTGATATCGTTGAGGAGCAGAACAAAGCGAAAGCTGGGAGACCTACGCCAAATACGCAGACGAACACGTCCTCTGACGAATCTGGGAACTCCCCGCAGGAGGGTGGCGATTTTCACGAAGTGGAGGAACGTATCAATGAACTCCTTGCTGACGGAAAAGATTTTGTCAATGCCAATGACAGGATGCAAGATGTCAACACTCAAAAAGTGTCCGCTGATAATCTTGAATCTAATATAGCTCGCGAGTTTACGCCACAGAACAGCTATCACCTGAGACTTATTGCTCCACAGATTCAACTTCAAAGTGAGAAGAATCCCAAGGCTGTTGTTCTTGTCACGGCAAAGGGGATGGAACTGAAAGTTGTCGAAGTCATGGATAAAGACCGTATCTTTGATGACGTTAGTGGATTGGTGCAGCGTAGATTCTCTGTAGAGATGGACAGTACGCAGTTTTTCGTCACTCATCAGAAGTGGTTCTCTTCGCAATTGCTCTCAATGTATGCAGGGAGTCATTACGGAACGCCTTCCGGATCTGCTTGGCCTCCATGGGTCCCTATGGAAGTAATGTTTGACTTTCGCAGTGATCCCTTTGGGTTTAAACGAGCCGTCCAAAAGACCTCAGCCAGCCTCAGGTACGATAAGTTCAATACATTGCGCCTCAAGTACAATGACGAAGTTAGTGGCGGTGAAAACCATCCAACAAGCCCTCATAACGTTGAGAGTCGTATGGATCATTTATGGGTTGAATTTCCACAAATAAGAGCTCTCTGCAATTCCTCACAATATTATGCTATGTACATTATTGTGCTGGATCTTCTAATGTACAGCGAACCTCTCGAAAAAACCAGGAATGAGCGTTTGGAGAAGATCATGCTTGCATCTGATTTCAGTGACTTGAGAGGAGCTCCAGAAATGGTGATCAAGCTGCAAGAGCGAATTAGACAGCTGGAAGAGATTAAAAGACAGTTCCAGATCAATTCCAAGTATCTCGATAAAAAGGGATGGGAGGACAGGATACTTCTTGACAAGGATCTTACTCGATGCGAAGACGAACTATTTTTCATGATGAAAGCTATCACTTCTTCCCAGAGAAAGTATGATGGAACTCAGACAAGTGGTTTGCTTAGATGGAACATATCGTCTCAGCAAATCGTTTGGCATCTTGTTCGCGATAATAATGAACCACTGATGGAATTTCAACTTCAAAGGGCCGAATACGACCGCACAGACAACTCTGATGGATCGCACATCAACTTGATGCAAATAGGGAAGATTGTTGGACTAAATCTCCTTCCCGATGCTATTTATCCCGAGATGTTCGCTCCATATTCGGACGCTGAGAGGGGGACTTTCAGTGAAGGCGGCAATCAACAAATGCTTAGAGTTTATTGGTACATGCTTGAAGCCATTGCAGGCATACCTGTACTGGATCACTTTGAAGTTAATCTTTTCCCTATGAAGATTCAATTGGAGCGTGAGGTTGGGAAACGTCTTTTTGAGTACATGTTTCCAGGCTCTAGCGAGGAGAAGAGCTCGAAGAATAAGTCGCCATTTATGGTCAAGCACATGCAGCCTCTGGGAAAAGATGAAACCGATCAGGATGATATCTCAGCTTCTTCGAGCGGAGTGACCATCACGGATTACGACAAGCAAGACTCCGCTTCCAACACAAGAGCTGGTTCGCTAGAGCTCCGTCTTCAGCCCACAATGACCTCTGAACTGAGGCCAACGACCTCTTACATGTCGAAAAGCAAAGCCACGAGTATCCACTCCACTAACGGGGAACAAGGATATCACTTCAAACTATTCCAATCCAACAGACCGTCCACCGCAAAGGTGCCAACTAAAAAGGCGTCTATCGACAGCCTGCAGTCTAGCTTTCAGTCGAATATATCACGTCCTACTATAGCCCGCTCTGCGACAAGCGCTTCGAACTTTGACAGCAACTCAACTTATGGCGATGCAAAAGCGAAACGTTTCGGCGTCAATAGGAAGGGAAGCAAAAACCATGAGCAACCTTCTGATGACCTTACTAAGATGATGTCACGAGCTTCGAACTACATGACTCTTGCTTATGTTAAAATTCCCAGCGTGGTGTTGTGTCTCAGTTACAAGGGAAAAGGAGATCGCAACATCGAAGACGTTCACGACTTCGTCTTCCGCCTTCCTATGATCGAATATCGCAACAAGACATGGTCAAATCTCGACCTAGCGCTAGCTCTCAAGAAAGATGTTATTAAAGCACTCATCTCACACACCGGTGCCATTATCGGGAACAAATTCAGTAAACACCGTCCAAACGTTGCCCAGCAAAGTCGACTGCGAGAATTAGCGACAAGCAGCATGGTCTTGACACCATCTTATGACAATTCTCATGAAAATAGTGATGCTAGCAGTACCCTTGCCTCAAGTCCGACAGACAAGAAATCAGAAAGATCCAAGAGTCCACGCCGATCGTTTGCGTCCAGCAGGAACGGGCTAGCACGCACCAACAGTGAATCTAGCAGCGTTCAATCCTACCCAGGTCCAGCACGACCTCCAGTACTACCCAAGTCCTTGACAATGACACCAGCACGCTACAACGCCGAGCGACCCGACAACAATGATAGCAGCACTACAGGCTCGAGGTCCATCCAAGAACCTGCCGAGGAGACCAAGAGCACTGGTTTTGTAACCGCAGCATTCAATCGTCTCAAAAAGAAAACCGAGGGACACGGAAACGGGACTTCTGATGCCCACGAAGAAGGGGAAGAGGGGGTGAAGCGGAAGACGAAAAGTCTTCTGGGGAAGAAGATCTTTTAGATCGCATACATGATCATGTTATCTAGCCGCCACATTTTTAGGTTCGACGCCGGATCCCATGATCTACTATCCATAGCATCTAGTTCATTTGTACATTATTACACCCATTTGGGTTCTCGGGATTAGAGATTAGGGAGGGAAATTGGGTGAAGCTAGATTTGTAATTTCTCGTTTCTGGCTTGTTTGCATATGCATTGGTGGCGTACTGTTTTAAGTGGTGTAGCGGGTGATGGGTTGAGGTTTAGATAGCTTTGACATAATTCAATTTAAGAGATGCTCTTTTGTTTTCCTGATCTATATTTTGGGTTTTTAATGCTTGTAGTGAGATGTCGTGACGAATTTCATTTCCAGAAAAGAAAAATCGTATCACGAGTTGACAAAGCATTACTGAAAGAAAATGGTCAACACCAGGTGAAGTATATCTTTCCTGATATTCGACCAAAAAAACTCAAAGGCTCTCCCGCAAAATCAGAGCCAAAGTTGTCTTCAAACTTGACGAGCCATCATCTTTGATTCATATTGTTCCTAGGAAAAACTGATTTCTCAATTCAGTCTGCATTACACTTTTGCTAGATCACTCGGTTTTCAACATCACTAGATGAACTACTGCTGAAAAGCTGTTGATGTAGATTCTCCTGTCATATTATCTCTGTCATCAGTTCTAGAGTTGTAGGTTAGGACACATTTTCAAGAAGCCAGGCGCAGGTAGAGACTTGAGAGGGTACTGGAAAGAGTTTTTTATACAATCTGTACTTGAATGACCTGTTGGATAAGTCGGTTTCCAAATTCTAGGTGGATGAATCAACTGTTGACAATTCGTACCCTCACTATGAATCAGAAGGTCGCAAAACAGAATCACAATGGTCAGAAAATAATCCCATAGAAGAAGGGTATCATTGATATACAGTCATCGAAGAGGTATGAGTGGCTGTCGGAAAGATTTCTTTTATTCTCGAAACTCCTAGCAAGCCAAATGCAGCAAATCCCAACCGTTACCACAAACCAGTGATATAATGAATCTACTCATCGTCCTCTTCCTCGTCAGCCTCGATAGTGGTTTGTGCGATACCTGTAAAGTTTTGTTAGTAGAGCTCAATACCTTCGTTTCTGGTGTTCAGAGATAACTTACGGTCCAAATCACGCTGTCCAGATTGTGTGATACGACGGCCTCCCTTGTCCTCATCCTGCTCAAGGACACCAATCTTCTCAAGAGCTTGCATAACCTTACGGTCTACGCTGCCAGAGGCATCGACGTGATGCGATGGGCGGGAGCCACGGTTGCGGGTTGAGCCGTGAACTTTTCGTAGACGTCCAACACCAACAGTCTTGCGCATGTAGACATGACGAGCGATAGCAGCGGCACGGACGTAGAACCAATCGATGGATTGAGGTGGGAGCTCCTTTGCTGGGCCGGTCTTGACGGTATCAACCCAACCTTGTAACGAAAACGTCAGTACTCGATGAATACAATAACGATGAGGGGAACTGAAATAAAAGCGCAATTTCATACCTGGAATAGGAAGCTTTCCCTGTCTCTTCAAGAAAGCAGCATATGCCTCGATGAACTTTTGCGCCTGCATTACACCCCTCGAATCAGCATGGTTCCGTCAGCAGAGGTCTTTACGACCCCCTCGCGCCTGCTCAAGTATGTGTTCTTCGAGAGATCGAGGAAGGCTGTGGTAGAGGAAAGATTTCGCAGTATTTTGGTTTTCGAGCTCATCTTCCTTGCCATCCCATTGTCCACTTTGTGCCTATCCGTCGCGAAAGTTCAAGGCGCATATATACTCACATCAACGTCGCGAACAGAAACTCCTCCGGCCATTTTTGCGGTGGCTTACGGTATTCGAGGTGGTCGGGTTCGAGAGAAATTGGTTGGGCGATGAAGATTGACGAAGTTCGAAATCGAATGTGAAAACCACAATTGTGTGGTGTGTGGGTCACTAAGCGAGCTTAAGTGTGTGGTCCGTGCTTCGCGCTTGAGACTTACTCGAGAACATCCATCAATGTTACTTGCCCAATTTCTCATGAAGGAAAACAATTTATAAGGTGATTTTTTTTCTCCATGAAACATTTCTGTCCTTGATTATTGGCGAGCAAGTATAATCTAACATCGTCGGATTTCAGAACTTTGGTGGCGGTAGTCACTAAAACCGCTTTCACTCCTGGTCATGATTGCTATACCTGCCTTACTCGTTATGAGAGGAACTATATTTGAGCAATGAAACTTCCAGCATTTCAAGTGTATTGAAAGAATTCTCGGAGAGCTAATAAACAAGACTACCACTAATTTGAAAAGATTGTGGACCTCGGATTGAGTTATAATATTTATTATTAGGTTTATGATTAAATGTGTACAGTATTGTTCTCAATCACTACTCTATCATATAGTTTGGCATCCCATCACCATTTTGTTTTCATCCCCAAATGATGATGAAGCTCACTTGTTTTGTTCTACCGATTGGTGTAATCGCCGATATCCCTGCGCCGTGCTATGCTATGCAGATGCCAATATAAAACAAATGAAATATGCGTCTGAAATCCAGGACTATGAGTGTCCTATCTTCTGTGTGCAGGTCTGTCCAGTGGTTCACCAGACTGTCCCCGTCTTGGTTGTTGTTGTAGTTCCAACGCTTCTTCTTCTGAAGGAGTTCTGACAAGGCTGACTCTTGCTAAAGGACTTCTGCCGCTACGTCTCTGACTGGTAGAAGCTGACTGAGGAACTGTCAAGGCGCCGTCATGCGATGACCCAGGTTCGTTTGGCAATCCATATCCGTCTACACTACCATTACGAGTGTAATCACGTTGTCGATGATCCGGCCTGTCTTGATAGGACTGAAACGATTCGACGGAGTCCTTGAATCCGCCCTTCGATAGCTCTGTTTCTGTGAGCTCATACACGTGTCCACCGTAGAACGGTTCTGTCATGTAAGCACCACCCGCAGCGCGCTGGCTTGCTTGAGCAATGGCATATTTCTTTTTGTCTTCCTCTCCCATAATACTTTCAACGCGCCTTGGCATATATACAGAGTTGGTGCTGCTCTGCGAATCAAAATTGCTGTCAAAGGAGTCCCGGGGGTGAATAGGCATTCTCGGCGGTCCACTCGTAGAAGGCCCTCCAATTCTTTGGCTGACGAGCGAGTCATTGTTTTGGAGATACCACCCACCAGGAAGTTTCTCTGCTGCTGCAAACCGTCCCTCGAGCTTGTCAGGTGGTTGCAGAGGAACACCAGTACGGACGAGTGCACTGCTCTGAGCATCCGCTGCCGGTTTGAAGGTCTCCGGAACGACGTTAAGATCGTCTCCCTGGGCGTCAGCCTTCTCAATTGCTTGTTGTGGAGTAGTAGACGCATCAGCAGAGCCCGCATCAGCTCTGGGCCCTCCCCATGTTCTTTGGCCAGCGGTAAAAATTCCATAGACCATATAATACCAATTGAAAAACGGATTGATGATAAACATGAGCGGATAGAGCCAGATCTTAAAACGCTTAAGCTTAGCACCAAAGTAGATCATCATCAGCCAGTTGAGGCCAAGTGATATTCCAATGAAACCGACGGGGAGATCCTTGATCTTTTTCGATGTGCTGATGATGGATATCAACATGATGAAGAAAAGAAGTGCTGTGGTTCGAATGGTATTTTGCATGAATCTGACCACAGCCAATATCGGATATCTCTTCCAAATTCGGATGTCCGTCAACATGCACACTTCGTTTGTGATAAATCCCAAGAACCATCGTCGACGCTGTTTAATCAAAGATCGATAGGTCTGGACAGCTTCGGTTTTACAAAATGCTGACGTACACATTTGGATCTGGTAACGTTTTTTGGCACCGATCATGAAAAGATGGGTCAGCCATCGATCTTCCCCTAGATGACACTTTCCATAATCGAAAAGATCCTCGCATTGTTCGGCTTTGTCCGCGAAATAGTATTTGGCCATCCTTCGGAATGCTGAGAATCGAAGCATAGTTAAGGCTCCTGGTAAACATGTAACAGAACCACACCCGGATTCCACCGTCCGCTCGAAGAGCTGACCATGTATATATTCCATGTCCTGAAGGAGAGTGATGAGACTGTGTTTCTTTGTCGTTGATGTGATGACACCCGTCATGGCCAACATATCCCGTGTGTTTCCTGGGCTCAACTCCATGTCATAGACAAAGTTCTGAAGGCATACTCGGTCCAAAATACAGTCTGAATCAATAAAAAGGATAAAGAGATTGTCGTTTCGTTTGAGGTATTCGGTATATACTTTGTCGATGAGCTTGAAAGTTGCTTTTTGGCAATGTCTCTTTCCTCCGTGAGGGAAACGAGACACCGTGATTCGGGCAGTTCGGTATGTTACGTCGATACTCTTCGGGTACGTATCGAGTGAAAGAGGGACACCGAGCTTTTCTATCGTGTTGAGATATAACTCGTCTTCTTGGTCGCCGTCGAAGGAGAGGAACACGTGAATACAGGAAGGTGGATAATCACAGTCGACGACGGAGTCTATGGCTGTTACTAGAATGTCCGGCTCCTCCTTGTAACATGGCATCACAATCACTACTTTTGGTGCCGAATGCTCATCCAGAACCTGCTTTATACGCTTGGTACGGCCTAGTTGGTGGGTGACCAGTTGATAGACGCAGAACAACCATGGAATCGTCAACAGCCCAGCAAAGGCCCAAAACCCGAACCACTGTAGAACGGAGACCAAAGAATCCGGGAAGTATTGAGTGATATGACTTGGCAAGGGTAACGTGACGACCATAATTGGAAGGAAAATGCATCTGAGCTGAATATTAGCACTCGTCCAAAAAGTGAAGAGCAGCGCTTTGTGCAAGTGTCACATACCTCAACCCCGTGAAGAGGGTAGCAATCACCACCGCTAGAACCTTCACTGTCCAGTGCTCTGCTTTTTGGTATACCTTGACTAAACAGTACATAAAGGCTGCCAACCAGAGAAACCACTCCAAGAAAGCGGCAAGCATTACAGAGCCGACGATGGCAGTATAGACTATCTGTAAAAAGCATCAGTACGTTGCGAACTATCATATGACAGTTGCTGAAGCGATGAATTGAGATCAAAACTTACATCCTTCGTCGGCCATGGTGATGTATCGTATTGAACCATGATGAAAAATAAATTATTGTACTCAAAAAAGAAGTTCTCGAGAACACAAAGCCCGCCGCCAATGCTCTCCAAGGAAAGGTCTCCTTCTTTTCAGACGTTCGAGGATGCGAGGATCCCTGCAGGATGCCGTGAAAGGGTCGGTTGGAAAATGTGTAACTGTGAGATCCAGGTCAGAACTGCATTTACCCTTTGAGATATGCCAGGTTGGCGAAGGCGCGACACGGTCTCTACTCACAAATAGACGCAGCTACTTCCTTCACCCGAAGCGCGCAAATTTCGTTTCGACAGATCGATAGGTGGTGTTGGCTCGAAATACTCCCCGGGTTGTACTAAGTCGCCTGACCTAAGCGGGCTTCATGCACAGGTTTAACCGTACAGTATTGTCGATCAATTGAGCCCGTCGGCAGACCTGGCCGAAGCGAAAGGGAAAGGTTGGCTCAAGTAGAGCTGGAACGCAAGATGCTGTTGGGGCACATCCAAGTCCCGGATGACATGCGCGATGGCGACCTGCAGATGAGGTGGTGTTCTCGTGGCTGCGGCGGTTTCGTTTGTTGCAATTACCACCACACGAAGGCTGCGGTGTTTCAGCGGAAGGCAGAAAGAGAGTTTATTGACGTAGATTAAATAATGGGCGAAACGAAGGGAGGTGCGGTGGTTGGGTCGACTGTTGAGCGAGCGAGTGGACTATTCACACCGTTGCTGGGGAAGACTGCGGCTGTCGAATGATTCGATGCAGATGCGGAAGATTCGGATTGGCAAGAAGGGCGTTATTAATTGCTAGGGAAGTGGCCAGCGGAGCAAGCTGAGGGGATGCAACAGGCAAGAGGAAGAAGAAAAGAAAAGGTGGAAGAGGTTGAAGAGGTTGAAGAGGTGAAAGAGGAAAGCAGGATGGAGAAAGCAAAGGCGAGGGAGGGTAGGTATGCAGTTTCTATGCTCGATGAGCGACGATCGTAGTCCGCACTCCGCACCGCACTGCTCGTAGTATGCAAATACGCAAACACTACGAGTACTTTGTAAAGTACATGCTTGCCGAAGCACGAAGCACATTATTCTGCCTTTCATTGCACGATTTCCTCTGATGGCCTCCACTTCCACTCCACTACACAGCATTGACCCGGTCCAAACGTCAACACATTAGTCGATGCACGCCCATTTTCGTGCTGCATGTACGAATGTGTGCTCTTCCGCCGGTCATCTAGGCTCGATTGGGCTCCATCATCTTCTCCGGGACGTGAACGTGGAGCGACAATACCGGCGGAGACTTGGCGACGTGGATCTGATATATGCCTGTGCAGGTAGTCGTAGGTCTTTTGTCTCCTTTATCAAACTCCACGAGGACTTGGTTTTCAAGCCATTCACCGCATGTCTGGCCATGATGAATTACTTTCCAAAATGATCATCACAGCATCTTGGCATGCAGCCGAATACTGTATTGTCAGTTTCGTCGTGTAAACCGGCGCTCGTTGAAGATAGCATCTCCAAGATACTAGCTGCATGCGTGAGGTAGATGCTTCGTACTTACGCGGGTTCCCTTGTGTTGATAGGATAGGCACAGTTCAAACACGACTAGTCAACCACATGTATTGCAGTAGTCGTTCGAAGAAATTTTGACAGTTTACCAACGCTCCGCTAGGATGATGCCCTTGAGGCTGCATTTGCTAAAACAATCGGAGCATGTTGCAAATTCGAGATATCATTTTCGTCCATCCTCAATGCAACCGACAACGCCTCCATGTTGCGTCAAACGATTTCTTCTGAGAACCTTTTCACCCGCATGAACCTGTTTTCGTACATGGCATCGTGTGGGTGTTGATGTATGGACGTAGATTGGTTGTGGGTGCAGGTGGTTTCTGGTCGGATGTCGAGTCGAGGTCGGACGTTGCTGTCCACGTCGCTAGGAAGCTGAGCTGCGGTCAAGCGGGTATGGTCCCCAGTCCGGCGTCGTTTCGCATCTGGCTAGCAAAAGGGCGGCGTCAAGGGGGCAGCGGCAGAGCCCATCTGCCATCCTGGTCAGTGGTCACCCATCGCCGCCACGTATCACCTCGATCGCCCCGTAGAGTGAGAGGGTCGAAACATCACGACGTTACGACAACGGCAACTACAACTACAACTGTAGTCCTCGAGACAATAGATCGTCCATCGTGGCTGTCATATCCTCACGACATATGGAAGTACTTGGTGAAGCAAAGGGACATGGCTACTCCGTACCAAAGGTTACAGTGACCAGCCCCAGTATACCAGATCTCATCCGAGCCAAGACGCCGGCTTCGATTCATGAATAACTGGTAGTTGAGATGGATACCGTCCATCTTCATGACCCAGCACCTCTCCAGTCCTCCGGGTCGGACCCTACAATAATCCCCTTTTTTCCGCAAATAAAATGGACCACGAAGACGCTACACCAGCTACGTTACGACTCGCCTGAGTCGCTCATCCTGTGTCTTTTCTACTTCTAGAACACAATTTTTATCATTCAGACATGTCCCTGGACTAGGCGGCTCTGCTGACTCGAGCAGACTGAATCATTCGAAGAACATGACTGTTAGCCTTCCTTGCATTAGAAAACTGCAACGAGTCTCAATCAAATCTGTTCGGAGATACGGCAGCTGGGTCAAGAATTCTACCAGCATGTTCTCTGCAATGGTCGTTTTCATAATTCGGGAATGAGGGCAAGCTTTGATAATAGTCACTTCGCAGACGCCTACACCAGTGAACAACGTATGCGTTCGAGAATCGAGACGTCTGGAAATGATTCGACCTGTTGGTCCTCTATCTCTTCGCGGTTGAGAATTCCTCATCCATCTAATACTGTACAGCCATTCATTCCTTTGACAGGTTGCAGTAAGAGCCGGATAGATCCCTAGACGCGGAAATGTCTATTCTGTCATGCTAGAAGCCTTTGCAAGACCAACAAAGGATCAATTCATCTATCCAGCGCAGCATCTGCTTACACCAAAATGAAAACATGTGTTGGTGTGCGCTGTTACTGTTGCTTCAAGCGGACAGAGGGTATCTAAGTCTCGGCCAGGATTTTAACCATCTCATCCAAGGCAGCCTCTGAGCTTACAAAAGAGAAAATTCGTTTCAAAAAGAAAACGAAACACAAACACAACCGTCTTCCTCGTTTGAAGATGCGCAAGACGCAAAATATCCAAGCGAGGGCTCACTTGGTGGCTGGACCATGTCGTGCATGCTGGACGTGCCCCACCTACGCATCTTCCACTGACGACGATCTCGACGTGGGTGGAGGGAGGGGGAGAAGTATTTTTGGAATCGACGAAATATGGGGGATTTGCATGGGCATGGCGAATGTGCGCATTGTGCAGAGCGAGAATTTCTTCTGATTTCTCCGATTTTGCTCAACAGGACAGGTCAGGATTATTTGTGAAAAGGGAGTTGTTACATTTTAGAAGTGAGGATACAAATTTGCTTTGCATCCTGGTACACGATAGTCGACTTAGCCTTTTCTAACTGTCTGATCGCGCCCACCACCTGGTCGCAATCGCGGACGACCCCTCGATTCATCACCCAAATCAATAACCCACAGACAATCAACCATTTCGCCATGCAATCAAGGAATCCATCCACCAAAACCCACGACCAAATCATCACTCGCCCCAAAAAGTCTCACTCCCCCGTTTCCCAGCTTCCTAATCCGCTGGATCACAAGTGATATCGAAAGTAATAACACGGCCCCTATTGCATATATCTCAATTCTCGGTTATATGTCCGGATTCTGATTCGTCCAATTTCAACGAACTCATGGGCGGTGACGACACGAGCACGAGGCGTGATGTGGCTGGGACGTGTTTGCACTGCATACCATACATGTTCTTGTCTGCTTTGAACGTCGTCCAGTCGATGGACTATGTTGAAGATGCAAGTCTCGCTATCAGAAGGAAATAATTCTTCTCTTCAGCTTTGATTGTCAGTTAGGTGTGTTTCGGCCTATTCTGTCTCGGCATATCTCGAGACGAAAATCTACCTTTAGGGTCTCACCGCCATCCACATGATGTAAAAAGAAAACATCTAGTCCCCTCACCGAGTTCATACCTATTGTCGTGTTCCAATCATATGCAACCCGTCAGATCTCACAGCAGCCATATCCCGAGTTCCTGGTTGGAAGACAGGATGACTGCATATCTGCAGGAACCATTTGAGGACCATTTCGAGCCCATATTGGTTATGGCGATAATGTGAAGGTCTTAGGTTGATTGATCGCGGCAGGGTCTCAAAAGGGTGGCAATTGCGAACGAGAATTAAAAAACGATTGTGAGTTCATCACTAACGACTAGTAACCATGTGTATGCCCTGGATCTTCAAAGACAACACAGATACACCGAGAACTGATGATTTTCTTACTTCACCCTCAACTCTTCTCTATCCTCCAAAATACTCTGACCTCCAACCACCTAAAATGACCAAACAATTTGCGTTTCTTCAAAGCCCCATCTAATCCACCCTCGCTGCGCATTGCTTCGCTAACTCGTCGACCAATCGCGAACGTGTGATGTGATTGAAGGTAGACGTCGATCGTGTTGCGGAAGTCAATCCCATCTCCGTCGTAACCGCAAGGCTCGGCGTTGGTAGGAAGACTAGAATGTGTGTAGTACTCGTGTGACGCTCGCCGACGAGATTTGAATGAAGTAGTGGTAGTAGTAATCTTTGATCTCAAAGAAATGTCCAAGAACAAGTCGATGTGACCGTGCGATACTGCTTTACATCAAGTCCTAATAGCCCAAGCAAAGGCGTATGATTAGCATGCGTCGTTCTTGTGATAATAAATACCGAAATGAGCAACTTCGAAACATCAAGAATGCTGGCTTAAGAACGAAAGGACTACATTTCATCTTTGCCACTAGCCACCATTCTTGATGCGTGTTCAGCCAACATTGCTTTCCTAGTAAGTTTTCCACCAGGACTTGCAGCCGTTGAAGAGGTCTTTCTGGGGAACGGCGGTCTATTGGCAAGTCTCGCAAGCCCGGCACTGGAAAGACTGGGTTGACTGATGGTTCTGCCAGAAACCTGTGCCGGCTGAGGAGACTTTTGATATCCGGATTTGGGGGGTTTAACATCTGGCACAGTGACTGAGGAATTCTTTTTGTAACCATACCAATCAACATCGCTCAGTTGCAACTTTCTCGCGCGTTGACCGCTACGATTATTGCTCGACTTATCAGGTCGAGCATTGGCAGCTGCTGCCTTCTCGAGTCCTATAGTAGTATTGTGAATATTGGGGTTATGTTGTAAGGGTCTAAGTTGTGTATCACCATCTTGCTCTTCTCCATCACGAAGATCGTATTTGAGAACGAGGCTTTTAATCCTCTGTTGCTCTTCACGTTCAGCAGCCTGTTGTGATTTCATTGCGACGGCTACGGTTGAGTCAGAGGGTAGAGCAACCGTCCGAGTCTAGCTAGACGTTAGCATTCACTGCATATAACCGACCGAGACATATATACCTGGGTTCTGTTGCCACGTTTGGTCAGAAGCGAGAATGCCATGGTCCCGCCAGATGGGGCATCGGCAACCGGAGCAGTCTCCTCGGTCCATGTGTCGTTTGCAGCGGATGTGTCCCTATCTTTACGTCTAATCGGGAGTGGCACATCAAAAGTCGATTTACGCTCGTGTTTTCTCGACTCTAAACTCTCAGCCATCATTTTCGCATACTCACGCTCGAAATCAGCTTCATCTTCGGGGTCAACCTGCTCTTCCTGTCTAGTAACCACAATCGACTCTTCCTCGGAATCGGTTGCAGAACGCATCGTATCGCCATTCGCGTCAGCCTAAGATATTAGTATGTGTCGTGCTCAGAAGAATAGAAGTATACGTACATCTGCTTCATCTTCAGATTCTGACTCTTCATCAAGCTCACCCTCTGCATCAACATCGGCAAGGCCTGCTTCAGCAGCATCGTCACCGAGACCATCGTCAGATGAGCCATCACTGTCAGCTTCATCTGGTTCAACAGTCTTATCCAGTCCGGCAGTCTTCTGATCTTGTGCCATGGCAAGCTGGAATGCACGGCTAGCTTCCTCCAAATTAGAGGCAAGTTTCCATTGAGGTCTAGTCAATGCGAAAACATCTTGAACAATAAACTCTATGTCCATTGGAAGTGTATCTTTCGTGTAGATGTAGTACTGCAGAAGTGTTAGTCACGAAGCAAAAAGGTTGGAGTCATCTTACTTGGAAGAAAGAGAGGAAGTAATCGAGTTTTTTGCCAGCAGCGCCACGATTGAAAAATATACCACAGGTCTCGAGGATATTGGCAACTAGACGGATCCGGAAGAAATCATCAGGCATATCAAAAGGATTGGTTCGACCTGGAATTGGAGGACCTCCTATGAGACAACGAGTTAGTGAGGATTCTCTCGGTAAGCAGTTATAGTATTGCGTACCATGGCCATAAGTCATGATTCGATACATGGTGTCAAATATGACTGGGTGGTCGACCATGCGGTAGTTGTACAACTCTCCCAGATATTTTACCTCTGCGAGACGTCTTTGATTGAACTTGAAGTCGTTCTGTTCGAGCCCAAGAACAATGTACTCGAGAAGATTATCAATAATGATGGTGACAAAATCCTGGTGATATCGGTAAAGGGCGCTGACAAGAATAGCAAGTAAATGAATATTGCCGTACTTGACTTTACCCGGTTTCGAGAACACTTTTTCCAGAATAGCGACAACCTGCCACATTATTAGAATGAATAGTAGGGGTATCTGATAAACTTACTTCTGTCTCTTCCCAGTGAAGGCGACGGATTTGCTTCAGGATCTTGGTATAGTTGCGATTGTTCATGTCGAGATATACTAGCTTCCGGATGAATAGATCAATAGGCGTTCTTTCCTTCTGCTGAATCGCTGCTCTGATAGGAGGGTCTACATAATACACGGCGTTCTCAATAAGCATACGCTCCTGTTGGCCGATATGCTGGACAGACTTTTTACGTTTTAAGGTCTCTAAGAACGATGTCATGCGAGGTGATGTTTCCGGGTTCCGTAGCAGATAGCGTCCACAATTCTCTAGCAGATTGCAGATGATTTCGATGTTCATTCGTGAGAAGTCATCTAAGCTGACCTTGAGGCAGTGGAAAATAACGTGCTCGGGGACGACGCCAAACTTCGTCAACTCAGCAAGATAGCGGATATTACCCAGTCTGGCTTGACCGAGAAACTCCTTCTCTTTGCGTCGTTGAAGACTACGGAACTCCTGATCGAGATGATCAACAAGACCCTTAGGGATGTCAAGCATATACTTGCCCAAGGTTGCGACAAGTCGGGAATAAGAAGAAAGAAGATCGCTACGGCCCTTAGGGATTTCTTGGACAGCTTTGATGAGGCGATTCCGGGAAGCTTTGGAATTGAGGAAGCAAAAGTCTATCGCAGCTTGGTCAACTAGATCTTTGTTGGTAAGATCTGGGAGACGAGCAAGTAATGCGTCAACCTGGGCACCAACAGTTTTGTTCGCGATGGCGGTAGACTGGTCTTCCTCAGCTGCCTTGGCCGCCAAGATAGCAGGGTCTACAGAGATAGATTCTGACACTTCAATCTTCTTCCCAACCTGTTCATCAGTATCGGCTTTTTTCTTTTTTCCGTCCTCGAGCATCATTCCTGGAACCTTGCCCTTGAGATCGACTAGGTTTTCGTAGAAGCGTCGCTCATCTTCATCCTCCCAGATACCAGCACCATCCCCTTCACCGCGTAGGTATTCTCCAGTCTTGACCAGGCCGATTCCTCCTGTGCCAGTAGCTGAGGCGTCCTCTGTATCTTTTAGTTCAGGCATTTCCCCGCCAATTGCATCTCCCAGTATTTGAGCATTCGAGATGAGTCGCTCCTGTGACTTAAGACCCTTCTCGTAACTTGCTTGTCGGTCTTCAAAGACTTGCCCCGATTTAACATAAGCTTCTGCATCTTTGCGGGCTTGTTTTGATATAGCTTTCTGGTCACGGATGATGTGGGCTTTGACATCTTCAAAGTATCGCTTCAGGATATTACGGAACCTCTCTTGGAGTTCAGGGGAAGCTAGAGGTGGTTCGTCAAGAATACTGTCAGTGGTAGTTGAATCGGCCATACAGTCCTCGTCCTCTTCTGTTGAACCTTCGGTGATGAGTGTTGCACCGTCCTCCTCAACAGTCTTTCTACCTTCTGCTCCAGCATCTTTGACTCCAAGTATATCCCACCCGAAAGCCTTGACAAAGATTACTAATAATGGCAAATTGGCATGGTCCCTATCATGGCCTAGCAGATCCTTCAGAACTTCCAGAGGAAACGGTTCTGCGCCGCCACCCTTTGCAGCACCATTGGCCTTAGATTTGCTATCTGATGCCTTCGCAGACGATCCCAAAAGTGACTCCTTACCTCTGGAGAGATCGTCTGGTCGACTGACATCATCAAGAGTCCTCAACACGCCTACCAGCCATAGCTCTGTTACAACTCGTAGCAGGACACGTTGGCGTGTGATGCGCTCCTTTTCCTCCTTCTCTCTAACATCCGCTGCAAGGGTTTTCAAAAGCGACTTTTCGGGAGTCGCAAGTCCCTTGCCCACCAGCCAACCAAGAAATTCTGTAAATTCGGTGGGGCCAAATCGTTGGTGTAAAGCGCTCACTATTTCTACTCCAGCTTCGATTTCGCCCGGCGACTTCAATCGGCAAAGCCCTTCATAACACGCTGATATGATTTCGGACAAGTATTTGTGCAGGCTAAGAGTTCGAATCTCCTGGACGAAGGTTCCTAAAGTGGCAGGCGAGATCGCGGTTCGGAGACGTTTAATAAAGGCAGTGTTCTTTTTGAGAGAAGAATCGAGGGACTTGTTAACTTGAAAAGCTCCTATCCAATGTATTAGCCAAATGCGCATATCACCACAACGGACGCGACTCGCCTTTCTCGCCATCCCAGGCTTTGCTGTTCAGTTCGCGCAATTCGCCTGTAGCCATGACATCAGCAAGAGGCCTCTTTTCACTTTTACAATATGCGCCAATACATACGCTTCCTCTTGCGATCCATAAGATCTCCCCAAGCCTACACAGGCCTGCTCGTGGCTGTCAAAGAAGTTTCGTGTCTCTTAAATTTCCTTGTGCCCCCACATTCGTGCCTTCAAGGACGCATTAAAGTCCGGTGAAAGTATGAGCGCGCAGAAGCAATGAAATGCATCTGAATATGTTGACAACTAACGGTAGACGTGGCAATGGGTGTTTCGAGTCCGAGACTGGTATCGGGAGACTGAGTCTCTTGTTTTGGCTGCCACAATTTGGAGTTGAAGGTTTAGTGAAGTAGCTCTCAGTTATCGATAAAGCACGCTTATTTTTAGTTTGAACTTCACCGGGACGTGATTGTGTCGCGTCTGCGCTTAGCACCACTACCTTTCTTTTCGGACCCAGATATTTCCCATACAGACACATTCGCCTTCCTCTGCTCTTATGGGACTCGCGAGGTCAAACACGACACCGAGTCATGGATGAGTGTGGTGCTTTGTCGCTTTCTGGTCAGCGTTCTTCGCAACCTTATATGAAACCAAAACAAGGTTTATCCGATTTTCTTGTGAAATAGAAATCCTTGATTTATGTTTCTTATTAAAGCAATGTTAGAGAGATCTTTATAATATCTGCATCATAATGCACAACAGTGATTTAAAATCATTATACAAATAAAAAACCATCGTAGACTTATAGCTAAATCAGTTAGTTACCTTTACCGAGACGTTGAACCCAACACGAATATACAATCGTCGAAGTTCGATGGCTTATGGCTGGGTGAATTAGGCTACGAAGTACTATTGTAACCAGACACATAGAAGAATCACATGATCTTTTCCTGATCGATACCTGTTTGGTACTTTTGCTCAAGCTTATACCTATGAAGGAGCTTGCGCATAACCTCGGAACCTTGGAATACCAAATATAAAGGGGCCGACCGATAACATGATCAGGAACACTAAAGTTGTCGTCTTCCTTACCACTGCGAGAAGTCGTTGAAGATATGGAGGAACGTTGAATGAGGCCCAATGCGCGTAGAAGGACGACGACTTGAACCCCTCACCTGTCCTGTCCACTTTGCTATTTAGCGAATCCACGACATCCGTGGATAGATGTGTGGAATATGGTCATCCCATGCTTAGGATATGTCACCATCGCCAGAAGTGCTTGGTTAGCGGTGGTAAACAACATAAAAAAAAACACGCTCTACCATTCATGGCAATCAAGATGTGCTGGCCGGATTCCACATCCTCGACGAGACCCCACGCCCTTCCTCAGCGAAACCTTTCTCACCGGATCTTGCGCGGCAGTCGACCTACCTTACCTCAGATGAAGTTTCCGCTAGTATCGTGGATTATTGAGCCGCAACATTTAGCTCGGGGGCCGACGTCTGCGAGTTTAGTTCCTCTGCCGTCGTCAGTTGTCGCATAGGAAAGCTCCAATTTCGTGATTGCTTCATGACGATATGCTCATAAGCTCGAGAGTAGTCCCATCGCATCGGTCTAATGAGACGACTCTGCCTCCTTCTAAAGACTCGGATGCCTGCCGAACTCAGAGAACAAACATACGCTGAAGCTGTATCAACCGGCTTTCCTATGGATCCTCTGGACTTGAGTCGAAGAAGCCGGTGAAGGTAATGCCTCGGTTCTGAAAAATATACGCTCATTATGCACTAGTATAAACATATCTGACTCTCAACCTGCCTCTCTGGTGCCCGTTGGTCCTGGCCGTACCAGCAACATTGACCATTCGAGCCGTTCGCTGGTGGTTTCGCAATGATGTTTTTGCTCCAAGGCAGCGCGTAGGCGACAACTTCGGTGGTACATTGCGGACAGCAGCCGGTCGTGTTCGAGATCTGGATGGAAGTCGGTTGGTTACGAAAGAGGCGGATTGTAGATCGCAAGCTTTCAGCTCATGTCGAGAAGAAGCAGAAATGGAGAAGGGATGGGGTGAGCTGCGAGCTGCGAGCATTTCTTCTGCCCTTGGCCTAGCGCGGAAAGATAACGGATTGTCCCACCGTGGGCCACACCACACTCGACTTTCGAACATAGCATTGACAAATCAAAGTCTTATCGACAACTGATGGTGTACGATTACCGTCCCAGGCAATGCTCCATCTCCAGCTCTCCACGATCTTTGTGCAGACCGGGACCACGTCTTTCTCTCGACCGATCGCCTCCATGCCGACTCTTGCAACCTGCCCAGGTGCGCGAAGAGTCGTGACCCAACCACTTCCGCGGATCTCGAAGGATACGTCCTTCCAAGTCCGCGCAGGTGCAAACTTCCACCTCAGACTCTACCCCGTCTCCTAGATGCGGATCTGAATTGGCTAAGTTGACTATTACTGTACAGGTACTGGTATATTTCCTCCTTCTCCTGGCCTGTCATATCTTTGTTGGCTTATTTTTGCTTTCTCCACGCATTTTATCTATCTTCTTTTCTTTGTGTAGTTCATACCTTTTGATAAATTTCCCTGGACTGCACCCTTCGACACCTTGTCATTGCTATTGCTCTACGTCCTTCACTTATCCAGATACCCTTTTCGCTGTGCCTCTGCATTTGGGTCAGTGGTATACTGTTGTATCCCTGGTTATTCCAATTATTCGTTCTGGGTTTCCCAAAGCGGGATATCTACCGCCATCGTTATGTCTACAGATACCTTGTCTGATTTAGCAAATCTCTCCGAGAATAACATAAAGGGTGTATCGTTCTCGACTCTTCCCGCGCGACTACCACCATCCCCTCCGAAATCTGCCTATAGTGGTAGCGAAACTTCAGACCAATCCGCACCAGTTTCAAGAAGGCCCAGTAACGCTCGATCACCAGACCGTTACGCTCTTCCACCACCATCCAGTGAACCTACCGCCGTTCTCTCAGAAGATATCAAAACACCAGATCATCATGTCCCTAGAGATCCCCGCTTGATTCGGTTGACAGGCATCCATCCCTTCAATGTCGAAGCTCCTTTGACTGCTCTTTACGATGAGGGCTTTTTGACCTCTCCAGAGCTATTCTACGTCAGGAATCATGGGGCTGTTCCACAAGTGGACGATGCTGCAATTCCGGACTGGGAGTTTACCATCGAGGGTCTTGTGCAGAATCCTATCCGGATGACACTGAAACAACTCATTGAGGAATATGAACAGATCACAGTGCCAATTACACTAGTGTGCGCAGGGAACCGCCGCAAGGAGCAGAATCAAGTGCGCAAATCGAAAGGTTTCTCGTGGGGAGCGGCAGGTGTTTCGACGGCTCTGTGGACCGGTGTTGCAATTGGCGACTTGATCAAGAGGGCACGCCCGTTGCGAGGAGCCAGGTATGTCTGTATGGAGGGCGCCGATAAATTGCCTAACGGTTACTACGGCACGTCACTGAAGTTGAACTGGGCGATGGACCCTAATAAGGGTATCATGTTAGCCCATAAGATGAACGGCGAGATGCTGCGGCCTGATCATGGTAAGCCCTTGAGGGTGGTTGTGCCGGGCCAGATTGGTGGGCGAAGCGTGAAATGGTTGAAGAAACTTATCATCACCGCTGCTCCCAGCGATAACTGGTATCACATTTATGATAATCGGGTTTTGCCAACTATGATAAGCCCCGAGCAGAGCGCCAACGAGCCAAAGTGGTGGACTGACGAGCGATACGCAATCTATGACCTAAGTACGAACAGCGCCACGGCCTACCCACAACACGAGGAGCAAATATGCTTGGTGAACGGACCACAAACTTACAAGGTCAGAGGGTATGCGTACGGTGGTGGGGGGAGAAGAGTGACGAGAGTTGAAGTGACGTTGGACAAGGGCAAATCATGGGCATTGGCGAACATTCGATACCATGAAGACGACTACCGGTATAACGTGGAGGAAAACGAGTACCTTTATGGTGGCAGACTGGATGTGGGATGGCGAGAGTCTTCCTTTACTTGGTGCTTTTGGGACATTGATATCAACGTTGCTGACATGGCATTCTCAAGCGACATTATGGTAAGAGGAATGGACGAAAGTATGAACGTTCAACCGAGAGATATGTACTGGAGTGTATTGGGAATGATGAACAATCCGTGGTACCGGATCACTATCGCTAAAGAGGGCAACTATTTACGGTTCGAACATCCCACGCAGCCTGCATTAATACCTGGAGGTTGGATGCAAAAGGTCAAGGACAAAGGCGGAAACTTGGCGAATGGGTTCTGGGGAGAGAAGATGGGTGGTGCTGATGAGGAGGAGGGAATAATCGAAGAAAAGACAGAGGTCAAAATGACCCAAGATGGACTCGACAATATTGTTACAATCGACGACTTAAGGAAACACGATACAGATACTGAGCCCTGGTTCGTTGTCAACGGCGAAGTATATGATGGAACTGCCTTTTTAGAAGGCCATCCGGGCGGTGCAACAAGTATCACAGGTGCCGCTGGTCAAGATGCCACGGACGAGTTCATGGCCATTCGTTAGTAGTCCTATTTACGGTTTTGTTGTTCTATACTAATTGATTGCAGACTCCGAGACCGCAAAAGCAATGATGACGAAGTACCACATCGGTACCCTCGATGAGGTATCCCGCAAAACGCTCGCCCAAGGTGAAGATACTTCTTCGGAATCAACAGAGTTACGGCCAGTCTTCCTTCAATCTAAAGCTTGGACGAAAGCTGTTCTTTCTACCAAGAAGAAAATCTCGGCAGATACCAGGATTTTCACTTTTACCTTGGAACACCCAGATCAGACCATCGGTCTTCCAATCGGCCAACATCTCATGCTCCGTCTTCGTGACCCTGTTACACGAGAAGCAATCATTCGCTCTTACACACCAATGTCCGAAGGATCCAGCAAGGGAACGTTGGACATCCTCATCAAGATATACTTCGACACCAAAGAACGCGCTGGTGGTAAAATGACAAAAGCACTCGACGCCATTCCTGTCGGCCACTTTGTCGACTTCAAAGGTCCCATCGGAAAATTCGAGTACCTCGGAGATGGAAATTGCACGATATCTGGAAAGCCTCGACACATTAAAAAGTTCATCATGATATGCGCTGGCTCGGGTATCACGCCTATCTTCCAAGTCCTCCGTGCTGTTCTCTCCAATGCTTCAGACCCCACGAAATGTCTTGTCCTCGATGGAAACAGACTTGAGGAAGATATCTTGTGCAAAGAAGAGATCGATTCACTCTGCGTTGGAAAGGAAGAGAGAGTCAAACTACTTTACACCTTGACGCAGCCCACGGAATCCTGGACAGGGACAAAAGGAAGAGTGGGCAAAGACCTACTGCAAAAGGAAATAGGCACTTATGAAGCGAAGAATGGCGAGGAATTGGTACTTATTTGTGGGCCTGAGACGTTGGAAAAGAGCGTTCACGGATTCTTGAATGATATGGGCTGGAAAGATGATGACTTGTTGTTCTTTTAATGATTTCACGACATGGTAAACTCTTGTACATTTGGTCTACGCTTAGGAATCAGTATTATATATACTAGGAGAGCGGCGTTTACGGGGACGCGGAACGTCTTTTGGGGTAGTGATAGGTTTGAGTGGGTTGAATAGCAACTGTTATCTTCATTTAGTGCAAAAGGTTGTTAGTGTTGAGACTTGGTCGGTGCATCTCCTCGGATGTAGTCGCTTAGTCGTGCCCGAGGAGAAATTCAACATACCTAATAGGTATCTCTCACACAGGTTTTCTTTGTAAGACAAAACATCTATCGGGTATGTGAGAATTATGGAGCCGACATGTCATACCTTGGCTATTAAAAATGACTGAAAATACGGCTTATGTTAACGTGGGACAGTGGGAGAATGTCTTTATTTCTATTTCCAACTGAGCCAGCCCTTCTTCTTTTGTTGTGTAGGTGGCTCTGATCCTTTGGTTTCTGGCTCCAATTTCTCTGCTTCTTTCTCACTAAAGTCCGCCACGACTTGTCTACCTGGATACTCGATGTAATTCCAGGCGGCATCGAAGAATAGAGGTTTTACGGGTATTGGCTCAAGCCTAGGGGGGTATGTAACGAGATTTTCCAGGTTCACAGGCTGCATTGGATATTCGTGAAGTCTTTCGACCAAAGGTGAAGTTGTGATAGAGTTGGAATCTAGGTCGTTGCTTCTGGCAAGATTTGAGAGCTCAACGAGGGCTCGGTAGCGTTGAACTTCCCCGCTGAGAAGGTCCTTCAGAAATGTGACTTCTCGGGAAGATATTGAGATATTTGGCGGAGCATCTGTTGAAGTGTCCATTGATGTGGATAGATATGAGTAAGCTACGTTGCATTTTTCGGCCGCGCGCGCAACAAGTGCGAGGGCATTTTTGAGGTTCGGGAGAAGAGCGTGAGATCGGGCAATAGAAAGGCATCTAGATTACTTGCGTTAGAAAAAAAAGTGGTCGGCTCAACATTCTCAAACTCACTTTAAGGCTGAGAAGTATGCGGCCTTCGCATTAATCTCCTCGATGAAGTCCGAATCAGCAGCTATACCTGGAAGCTCCTTGATTGAATCTAAGCTTTGGAGAATAGCGTCGTACAATACTACTTTCTCCCGTAGATGCGAAAGCTTTCGACCTGTGCCTTCTTCCTCTTTTGAATTCGACTTTTGGTGTTTGGTGTTGGCTGCTATAGAACTCTTAATGACTGCTCCATCTGACTCTCCGACCAACACTCGATTTCGTCCGATGCGCCAACTAATCATCTCGTAACTAACCGCCGTTCTTGTGATCTGTAGACTCTGCATTCGCTTGTCACCGGAACCAACTCTCTCACTAACTAGTTCATCTATTGCTTGTTTCGTGGCATCCACGGCATCCTGACTTAATATCAGAACGTCATCATAGGCGGCTCCCACATCCTTCGTATGGGCAGTGCTGGTGGACGTTAATGTATCCGACAATCGCTTGACCGCGGTTTGAACGGACCCAAGAGCAGCAGCGATGGCCGCATCTTCTAAGTCAACCGTTCGGGACCTCCAGGTGATGGTCTTAGGGGCTGCTTCAGCACCTGCCGCTTCATCTTTGACCTTTGTAGGGCGCGCGTTCAGTGCATTTGGATCTACCTCTTCAATCTGACTGACCAACTCTGAATCTGACGTTGGGAAATATTCTCGAGAGATAGCAGGTATAGCCTTTGTTCTAGGAATTCTCATTTGGTATGCGCCATATCTTATGCTCACATCGACCGGATCTGACAGGAGATCTTTGAATATTTCCGTTTTGGTTGTCGAATATAGTGAGTTGTATATGATCCTAGCTTCAGAATAGCTTCTTACGCAAAATTCCCAGCTCTGTTTTTCGAAATGCATAGCTCCATTCAAGGACGCAACATAAGCCCTGGCTTCAAGCACGTCCCGACCGGTTGCTCCAGTAGCTGACTGGTCCCTTAGTAGTAGAAACAGATCATTTGCATATACAGTAGCCTTATGGAGGCGAGATATTATGTGCGACCGAGTGGTGCCCGTAATTCCTTTTGTGTCCGTTGAATGTATTTCTCGCATTGACATTGCATGTGCCCACGCTCTCTCGGAGGTGAGAAGTAGGAGATGGATATGCCTAAGGTGTGTGATCAGTACACAAAGGCAGAGAGGCGAGCAGAATTGCATGGACGTACTCATGATTAGTTCTAATGTCAGTGACTGTCGGGGCGGCTTTGGCAGTGTACTTCGCGCGGGGTTTTGTTGCAATTCCCAGCTTCTTCCGTAGGTTATGAATTCGATTTGACAATTGGGTTCTGTAAGTGGAATAATCACCAAAGAGCTTTGCTTTCTCACGGCCAGAAACCACAAAGCTGGTGATATCCATGGCTTCGAAAACTTGCGACTATGCGAACGATATGTTGGGATCTTGTCACCGTAAACCTCGTTGTGTCGAGTGGGCTTAGTGGGGTTGGAAATATCCAAATGCGCCGGATTATCCCCCTGCACCACGGCAAGGGTATCGTAATAATTTTGATCCGAATCGATCCCGACGCTAGATGAATATCTATAATCTATCACGTCGTCAAGTCTACATGGTCTGACTTTGCCATCCGTCAAGAAACAGCCCCAAAACTGGCTTGGATCAGAGCTGGCTACCGAAAGTAAGTCGATTATCTTGTAGCCGCGCTATTTCACGTCTGCAGATCTGTATGCTAATCGGCAATACTGTTTTTATATTATTGTTCCCATCCAAAAGCTAAAGCATTTATAGATTTTCCGAATTGTCAACTTCCAACTCGCTGTTGAGGTCATTGGCTACTGTCAAAGGGGAAAGGGGAATGCTGGAGCGCACGGCGGGATGCTTCGAAACAGGCAGCTTGCGGCGTCTGCTGCCATCGTCCGGTCAAACAGTCAAAGGTCGCCGCGCACTTCATTCTGCATTCTTCAATCATGCAGCAGGTGACAATGAGCTTTCTACCATATGGTCAGCTCTAGTCCAAGGACAAAACTCACAGCGAGAAAGTGCTCCGGAGGTACTCAATAACGCGGGTGGCGATGGAGGGATTTTCCTTGATTTCCTATACCCGACTCACACTATAAATTCTATTCGAAAATGCTCACTCTGGGCTCTCGGGAAGCAAAGTGGGCAGTGGGGAAAGTCAAGGTGCTCAAGATTAGGTCAACGAGCATACACCTCTTCTGCCACAACCGCTTCTCCTACGAATAACCTCGGCCATGATGTAGCGGAAAATAATGACGATCCGGAACCAGACACCGTCGCTGAAGGGCACATATATCAGAAGTTGGGCTTGCAGAGCAACAAGGATTATGATGAAGCCTGGCGGCAGTATTCGAGACTGGATAAAGGAGAGAAGAGGGGACTTCGGTGCGAGCTCATTGAATACTTGTCCACTTCGACAAGAATCATTGATGCTGAGCGGATCGTCGATGCGTTTAGTCGGGGGGCCCAAGGGAACACTGCCGCTATTTACAAATACACAATCAGGGCACACCTGTCTTTGCGCAATGCCGATGAAGCCATTCGATTGAGCATCAAAGCTTGTAATGTGATCGGAAGCCCTGTCGATTTCGACAATACTTTCTGCTCCCTAGCAAAATCCAAATCTTGGAGTAGAGCCTGCTCGTTATGGAACGCTTTTACACTGCGTAAACATGGTATGGAGTTCAGCTACAACCTTTTCCGGGATTTTGAAAGGCTTTGGAATTTTGATTCACTTGTTTGCGATTTAATCGGCTACGCCGACCAGCGAGCTAGGGCCACGGACCAGCAAGTGGAGGGCACAAAACGACAAGTCGAGGATATAGAGCACCCGGTTGAGAACTGTTCCCCTGGCCACGAGATTACACATGGAATGTTGGTCGAGTTTTCTACCGCCATGGCTTTGCACATGATTGGTGTGCAGAATTGTTATAGGTCTGGTCAGTTCAAGGTGAGACCTCACTTCAGTACAGCTCTTACACACCTCCGAAAATATAGTCTCATAGAGCTAGCGTCAAATCGTGCTCGCCTTGAAGCACAGATAGACTTAATGATGGACCTTGGCGCCACAAACCACATTATCGATGTCTACAGAGCCTTGCGAGACAGCGAAAACTTCGTCTTTTCTGCGGGTTCACTGGACAAGATACTCAGGTACTATTGTGCCAAGCATAATACACTTGGAATCCAAACCATTTTGGACGACGTCATTCAAAACTACGGCAGGCCGACTCGAATTGCATACCGAATGGTGTTGAGAGAATTCGCTAATCGCAGGGACGTAACTACAGTCCAAACGCTGTTCGATCGTTACATGGAAGATTATTTTCCTGACGGCGCAGTTACTGATCCCGACACTTTTGCTCCCATACTTCAAGTCTATTCTAAACGTGGGGAGGTGTCAGAAGTCATGAAGAACTTCAACCTGATTTCCGACAAATATGGTCTAAAGCCAAGTATCCTTTGTTGGAATATTGTCATAGCTGCACATGGCCGAGCATTAGATGCCGACGGGGTGTATGAATGTTTTGATGCAATAGTGAAAGCTGACGGAATAAAGCCAGATGATTACACGTTTGGGTCAGTCATGGGAGCAGCAGCAATCAGAGGCGATCTACCAGCTATGCAGTCTATTTACCGCATGGCGCAAGATTCCGGCGTCTCCACAACCGCCCAGATGGTAGACTGTCTTGTCAAGGCTCATATTGACGATGACGATCTCGAGGCGGCTGAATCTATCTGTATTGAAGCAGTCCAGACACCGATGAAAGGATCTCGGACCCGGATGTGGAATTACCTCATTGTTGCCCATGCTCTCCGCCGAGATCTGGACAACGCGAATAGAGTGTTGCGGTTAATGCCTCATTATGGAGTCCCTCACAACGAAATCACATATGCCGCAATCATGCAGGCGCTAGCTATGGTCAAGCTGCCAGATGCAGCGAACAAAGTCATGAACGAGGCGCTTCCACGAGCAGGGTTTAAGCCGAGTGCTCTCCATTATGCGATCTTAATGGGAGCGTACCTGTATACAAATCAAATACCTAGAATTTTCCGTATTCACAGGTATCTCCTGAGAAGACACCTTCCTTCAACAGCTAGCACCAATGCGATGCTCATGCGAGCGCAAATGAATCGTGATGAGTTCTTGTTCGCTCAAGGTACGACTGAACATAAGTATGAGCGCGCTTTGGAGATGTTTCTAAGCATGGTCTGGGATAAGCAGGATCATTCTGATATAGAAAAGGGCATGTTGCAAATGCCGCTAGATCACAAGTACGCCACATCGATCAGCAGCTTTGTGATAACGATGATTTCAAGGGTTGATGAGCCCGAAACTGCACTTCGATTATTTCGTCGATTCTTGGATACGTCCCCAGATTCGCTAAAGGACAATGTCCCAAGTCAAATGATTTCGGCCTTGCTATATACGAGGTATCGACAACGTGACGCAGCTGGTATCCAAAAATGTTGGGACATGATCATGAATCAGTCGAGAAAGCACATGAAGCCGACAATTCCCGCGGAACAGACAGATAATATGATCGAATCGCCGCCTACAGGACCAGGTATTCTGAACAAATACCGGACATCTTTCGCTGCAGATCTTAATTATTATCTTGCTTACCTGAGTTGGGATTCCAGACAGGATGAAATGATTGCTACTGTCAACAGCCTACTCGAGGAAGGGTTTGTTCTAGATAATCGCAACTGGAACAATTACGTCAAGCTGCTTTTGCAGGGGTCGGATCAACATATTAGAATGGCGTTCGAGCTATGTGAAGACAAGCTCATGGGTGGCTTCTTGGGTTGGGCATTATACCGTCGCCGCTCACCGGCCAGAAATAAACTGCCCCTGACAGTGCGATATTACAGAAAGGATCCGCGCCATCTCCGACCGCTTGCTAGCACGAGCTTCGAGCTGGCGAATGCATTTATTGATCTCCAGGCGGCTGCCACTGAATCTCCATCTTCTCGATACCTAGTGGAAGCTTTAGAACGGCGGTGTCCCAAGACGGTAGGGCATATTTTGACTATACCATCCAATCATAGTCTCCAGGAAATGGCGAATATGGGCCGTGTAATAGAGTGATGGTGGTGTCAATGTCTAACTATCGTTCGTGTATTATATAACCTGTGTGTACACTTTTGTTTGACTAGGGGTGTAATTATAATGTAGACTACCACTCATCATTTGATAAGACTGACTTTGATCGTTTGCAACACTTTGGTTATACGGCTATATAGCCCGACCAGAAGTTTGGTATGTAAGCCAAGATCATACTAGTCATAGTGAATTAAGGTTCTGCTGAGCTAAATAGAATAAATGCCCTTGGTAGGTCTCAACTTCCGTTCCATGACGGTTGACAGCTGTTGGGCCTGTTAAACACTTTTCATGAACCATTGATTTCAACCCACTCGTTCGTATGAGACAAATGATAGCCATTGTGATTCTACATTCGACAGTTACATATATTTATTTCCTTTCGAACAAGAGCCCAAGTGAAAGTACCAAGGAACACTCCAGACTGCACTGGTGTCTTCGATCAATACATCTATTTCCACTATTTCCAGCCAACCTCTTGCCTCCTTCTAAACTGAAAGCACCCTTAAAGTTCCCAACACTCTTAAGCTACCGAGGTTACGGTAACTGTAACAAGAACGAACATGAGTCTCAAGTGGTTTAGGTTCTAGGGTTTGAAATACCATTTTGGTCATGTGCTGCCATTAACCTCCTGTTGCTATATCCTGAATGACCTTGTCAAATACTCTGCTCTTATTATTCGAACGGTTCGAGATGATTCATCAGCGATGAGTTTAGCGTTATTATCTCGTCACGGCATGAATCGAAATCTATCAAAGCAACAGGCCCTCTACAGAACAATGAACATATAGCCGAAACAATGAGCTCTGAACTTGACGGAGTGACTTTCCTTGTAGTCTTTGTAACGAGTGGTAGAAATATAGACCAGGATAATAGGAATAATAAATGAGGAATTGCCCCAGTCAGAATTTGAGATTGTTCTTGCTCTCCAATAAAGGAGCGCGAATCACCCGTGATAGTCATATATGTGTTTGACTTAGAAATTTTTTATGCACATTAGGTCCCAAGCTGAGGTGATAGAAATACCAACTACCTTGGACTATTATAACGATTCATCAACCAAGTTACAACCTGTAGGGCAGACTTGAATACGTACCTATTGTCAATGAGAATTAAGTTTGTCGGACTTTAGGCACATGGTTAACTCTAACAAAATAAAGTAGGTGATAAGTGAACTTTACTGGAGAAAGCAAAAAGTAACGGTGTTAATATGAGCTATGTAAATTCTATTCTACTTTCAATAGTCTACCAATTCCCGAATAACCAACGCAATAGAACACCCGTTTTACCCACATGTACGCCACAAAAGTCGTAGTATTCCAAATTCAAACCGGTCCGGGGTATCTTTTGCATCCGGTAGACTCCGACTACAAAAGGATTGCTAAAATGCTAAGTATTATCTTCAGTATCTTGCGGGCTTTGTCTTCTAACTCCCAGATCTCGCAATTTCTTTGCAAGAAGACCTTCTGCAATCTGTTGCGTTCCATCGGGAGAGCTGGAGAAAAGATTCCCGCCATATCCAGCATCTCCTTTACTGAGCTTTCCATAGTCATCAATGTCTACGGGACTACTAGCCCATGACATTGGATGTCCTCCCTGCGATGTTGCTGGGCGACTGCTCTTGCTAGACGTGGGTGACTGAATGTCAGATAATTGCTGGTGACCACCGCCACCTGGCACGGTGGTATTCGTGTCTAGACTAAATGGAATTGGTTCGACGGGCAAGACGTAACTGTTGTCACGATCTTGAGAATAAGCAGCAGAGCTGCTGAATCCTCTTTGAAGCGCTTGTGTTATGCCTTCCATTGTATCATACGGCCGGCCGGGTATTCCCAACGCAAAACCAGAGCTTCGTCTCCTAAAAGCTTTGTCTGCAGCAATACCCGCCCCCGCTAAGCTTGTAATTGAATGGGCGATGTTTAAATCTCGCCCAGGTTTATATACTGTGTATCGCGGTTCAGGTAAACTGACCTCATTTCGCAGCTTTTCTTTGCCGTCAGGCACTCGATTCGCAAAAACAACCCGGATGCTTTTATACAGGTAGAATCGACCACGTGAAGGTGAACAAATATGCAGGTGAGCAAGGTATCGAAGGGTTTGCCGGTCCATGGAGTTTGTAGCTGTACTCGAGGATGCAGGTAACAGAGAATCGCCAGCCGAGTAGCTCCGTTGGCGAATGAATGTCTTCGTTCCTGGTTCCATTCCGGCAAGATCGTATGGAATCAAGAACAATTTTACAGCTGTTTTATTCGGGTTCTTGATTATGATTTGAAGCTGCCCCTTTTCGGGAATTCGATAGCTGCCACCTGGGGGCGCTCTGGGCGACAGAGATCTCCGCTTGAGCTTTCCCGTGCCTGATTCGTTAAGATGACTTGAATTTGGTATCTGAATGGTAGCAGACTCCGCAGAACGCCCAATAGTTCTGCTGTTGTTTGTTCGTTTTCGCTTATGCGATTTTGATTCGTTGGTATTTGGAAGACCATTTTCTAGATCAATCTGACCAACATAGGGGCTGGGACCATCCTCTGATTTGCCAACACGGCCGTGGCTTGTCGTTTCATAACTGTAGAAAACTGCCGGGAACGGAAGCGTCACATGGGCGGGGCATCGAAGATTCGATTTACATTTACCAAGACCCAACACACCAATCTGAGCTACGAAGTCCAAGGGCTTGGATGGAGTCGTTGACATGCGTCCACGCAAAATACTCTCTTCGTAAGAACCCACCATAGATGCGTGCAATGGCGAATTTTCGGAGGTGTATGAGGGGCGCCTAGTACGTTGAAAGTCTGGTGTTTGGGACGGTGAATTAAATGATGTCGGATTTGAGGTGAGAGACCGCCTTGGCTGGTGAGCTTGGTAGGGGTGAGTGGAATCTCTTCGTAGGGATGGCAAGGGGCGTGTGAAGCTTGAGCTCGACGAGATCGAATTTGAGTACTGGAAAGTGTGTCGTCTCGAAATTCGCTGGTAATCTGGACTGATATCAATTGGATTCACATATGAAATATCGTCATTACTTTCTGACTGGACCAAAGGGCTTGTAGGTGGCTTTAAAGCGAAGCTATTTGAGTATGACGACGAGAGTGAAGGGGCTCGGGAGCGACGTGGACCAGCCTTGTGAAAATGGTCTATAGGTGGAAACCGAGAGTCTAGTTGGAGTGGAGAGAAATTCCTCGGGGGAGAACTGGCCAGCCATGGACTTTCCCCTGCAGAGAGTTTCGAGTTTTTTGATTGGGAGGTTCCAGCAGAATTCGTGCTTTGATGTGTCCGCTCTGTGAAATCACCACTATGTAGGGCAGATCTCGGTCTCTCAATCTGCAATCCTAGCTGCGTTTGAGCGCCTTCATCCCCGGCGGTAGGTCTGGAATCAGAAAACTTGGGAGAAGCTAGCAAATAGGATGTGGTAGATCTGTTTGTGTGTTGGGTGCTGCCAGCTGCTTCATTATTATCGAGTAATGACTCAAGCTACATAGAGGCATACGGTCAGCTAGAAGTCCCAATTTCGGCATGTAAAGCTCTCCTCACATTTTGATTTGGCAACCAACTAGGACTATCACCCCTCTTCAGGCGTTCAATGTACTGTAGCCGGTCTGATGTCCTATGGAGTGGCGAGGCAAAACAGCTGTTCAGCCCTTCTGGCGAATAGCTCGAAAGATCCTCCAAGCTTTCCAGAACTGGACCCTCGCACAATTCTGTTCTTATGCTCTCCTCAGACGATTTCCTTCGCATAGAAACGCTCTCGGGGGGTGTTGTCGACCTCGACCTGGGATTTGTTGGTTGCTCAGAGGGTGGTCCCTTCTCTGGGACCAACGTATCGTCGTCGTCTTGGAAGATAGGCATGCTGGCTGGGCCAAAATGCACCGTTTCCTGTTCTAGTCGCGCATGTTGAAGAAGTTGGACTATCGGCGAGCGAGATTTGAGGGCGAAGGAAGCATGCAAGGCATGACTGAGTAATAATAAGTAAAGGGTCGTCTTCCGTAAAGCGGGGATCAGAGCCGGGCTTTGTGGTGCTGTGGCTCGTGCCAACAACATGCGAGACTTCCAGAAAGCAGAAAGAAATACGGCTTGGGGCAATTTCTTGGAGGGAGAGAGTACTGGGGAGTTTGTGTGATGGCCGAGATACAGTTGTCTCTTGGCGTGGGCAGAGTCGGTGAGGAATAGTGGGAAGAATGTGTTGTTCCTGTGAGTCCACATATTGAAGCGTTATTCTCGCATCTCGCATCTCGCATCGCTATCGTCACTTGCCTTGACGTTACTGTACGTTGCCGGAAGGGCTGTGAGGATTCTCCGAGGACCCACTTGAACTCCCGGCCTGGCCCCGCCAAAAAGGTTATCGATTTCCTTAACAGTTTTTTGGGTTTTGCACGGCCTCGACCTACTCCAACGGCCACCTGCTCAGTAAAATCGTCGTACGACACCCATGCACTCGTTGCAAAATATACACATAATGGCACCTAAACGCCCACACGACCGTGATGCCGCCGAGTCGGCGCCCAAAAAGCATCGGTCTGGTTTCAAGGTCGGGCCTGATAACTTACCAGACGGGATTCATAGAAGAAAAGGTAGTTACGCCTGCGTCTCATACAAAGCAACTGCCCGCTAACAGGTTATCAAAGTGATAAAAATCAAAAAGGACTTAATACACAAGGCGAAAGTCAAGAAGTCCTACGCCAAACTCCTTGCTCAAGAACCTCCAACCGCCTCGACAATACCAGAACCCCATCCCGAACCTGCCTCTCAAGAACTCCACCCATCTCGGCAAGCCATGCTCGCCGCGCCACAAGAAACGACTCCTCCGCCATCGAGCGCCCAACATCCACCGCGCGAGCGACGTCAGCGCAAACCAAGATATTTCGAGAAAGAAGAAGCATATGCTGCGCAACGCAAAGCGGAAGCAGAAGCGAAAAGAGAGGAATACGAAAGGCGAGAAAAGGAGAAGCGAGAAAAGATTGAGGAAAGAGATAGGTTTAGAAAAGCAATGGCGAAAGCTAGGACCGGAGGTAAAAACGGGCAGCGGAAACTTGGACGGGAAAGTAAGGTCTTACTGGAAAAGGTGAAGAGGGCTGTTGGAAGTTGAGCGACAAAAAGTAGTAATGAAGTTATGATACCCCTTTTCATATAATTTCTAGAATTGTTTTACGGATGAAGACCAATACGTTCTGAATTGCATGCGATGGCCACAGCGGACTACTGAAGTCATCGAAAACTAGTCCGGACAGGAAATTATCTCTCTGCTTCTACAACTGGCTAATAATTTAGTTTCCAAAGCAGCTTGGGTCATGACTAAAAAATCTGAAAGAGAAAAGGATCTCTGGCCTGAGCTTGGCACAGCATGAGACAGATATAATTATTTTTGACGAGTTGTACTTATGTGATATGTATGTCGAGCAGCGTGAGAATGATGCTATTCCATACACTACTTGGAAAAGTAGGAATGTCCTCATGTCCCCTTAGATTGAAACCAGAACCAGCTTGTAACGTGATGGTAAGAGCACTTCATGTTCCTTTTTTTTGTTTTTGGATATGAAAGCGTCGAATAGTCACGACTTTAAATCACTAGGACAATGGTTAAGGAAGGAATATTATATATTGGCTCACAACACTATCTGCATTGGGTAGGTATACATGCGTTTCCAACACCCATGGACAATGCATATGATATAATAGCGGTGGAATATTCCACGCTTGCGAATGAGAATTTAAGTTCCCTATTTCTAGAGCCGGCCGATAGAAAGTGTGTATCTGATTATGTTCGAGAATTCGTAACAAAGCACACTCGCACAAACATAAATACAATACTTTAACACTTGATGTATATTCCCGTTGATACTCTTATCAAATCATGCTCTTATCAAATCATGCTCTTATCAAATCATGATTGCCCACAGAAAGAAATGTTTATCCTATTGTCCCAAATTCCTGAACGCCGTATTCAGAATGTAACATTCAGCCCTAACTATGTAATGGATCTTGATTACCCACGTCGTTTTCAGACACCTCACTTCCTACTTCTGTCCAGCTTCCTGGCGTAATGATGCCATCACCATCGAAACTCTGCACATCTGCATCACTGGTAGCCCCACTGCCAGGTGCCCATTCGCCAGAACCAGCTAGCGACATTGAGTCTGTGGGCGTGAGTTCACCGTCATCCGGCACCGAGAGGGCTGGGTCTGAAAAGGCTGGGGAGCCGGGTACTATTGACAGAGGTGGCTGAGGAGATGATGCGCGAGGGGTAGTAGGAAGTGGAGAGTAGAAGCTGTTATTCGCATTATCGGCCCAAGCGTGGATAGATGCGTAGGGAGATTCAACATGTGCTCGCTCTGACATGTTCGTAAAGTTGTAGCTTTCTTCGATCATTTCAGCAGAGGGCAAGGAGACAGGCGGGTCCGGAATGGGTTCGGAGTAATCAATGAGTTGATCCGCAACAGTAGTCTAGAGGATGTCTTGGTTAGCGTTTGTTCATTCAGAGTGTCCAAGAAAGAAAGGTTCGCGAGACGGGAGCCCTTACAATTGCCGGACGAGAAGTCTGGGGTTCGTCATTAGCGCTGTAAATGTCCGAGAAGGTTTCGAATTGTGCTTCGGGTGCAATGAGACTCGTGTCGACAGCTCGCTGCTCCTCGAGATCGATATGGTGCTCATCGCTAAAAGGGTTCGCATATATTAAGCTTCGATCAAGGCCACGTACGCCACCACGGTTGCGAAGGCCTTCCGCTGGTTCTCCGTGTACGTCTGTACCAGTATGGTACACGTAAGTGCCCTTTTCCGCAGTGTGGTCTTCTTGGAGGAAATCATCAAAACTTGATCCCCGGCTTCGGTTGGCAGGTCGTTCGGCTTCGAGTTTTCGTTCCTTCTCCAGCTTCTCCATATGCACAGCATTCCAGTACATCAATTCTTCCCGCTGTCGTCTTCGAGACTCTTCGTCTGCTTCAACGCCAGGTTCTGCGCTGCCAGCGCTTTGCATGAAGCCTTCAGCATCTTCTGGGCGGTTGAATCGTGGTTGTTGAGCTTGGGGATTGATTTCGTCACCCAGCGAATGTAGTGCAAGAGCTATTCGACGTCGGACATCTTCCGCAAATTGACGAGCTTGAGGAGACTCGTAGACAGCAATTGCAGCCTTCTAAGTTAGTTCGGAATATGTAAAACAGGACTTGTTCACTTACAGCGACAGCCACTGAGACAACAATTATCGCTCCTGCAACAGGGTGGTTAGGCATTTTGTTCCGTTATAGACACAATAATAGAGGTTGGGATACACGTTCTTGGGATAAGGAAATATATCTCAGGATGTACAAAAAGGAAAGAGGATATAGGAGAGGCTGTGATGCGAAGCAGCTGATGCCTCGAGGAGGATGTCGAAGCGTCGTCAACCAACGCCACTCTCCTCTGCGAAGCATGGTTGGCAGGGGCCAGCCGATCCCCATGGCGGACAATGATCTGCATAGTGAATTGTTTTGCTTTGGCTTACCTTTGGCAACGACAGCAGGCATTTTGACGGTACCTGCAGTAAATCGAGATTCCAGAGAATGAAAGGGTGTAAGATTTTTGGAGATGCAGACTACAACGCGGCTCACGGTTGGAAAGTGGTCGAGATGCAGCGAGACGGAAATAGTGTGGACTCACCAGCCTCAAGAGCGGGGTGATAACTAGGTACTGAGTGGGTGGCGGCCGTCGATAACGCGGTTGTGGGGAAATGCTTGGCACTATAAGTCCGATCGTACATCTTGGTCATGTTCTTTCAGCAATATTTCACCTCCTCCGCGAATACCATGAATCCAAAAATCATTGGAAGAGGCTGACCTATTTTGTCATACAGAAGAACTTTGTTATGAAGACTTTCATAAAGTCTTACCATCATTAATCCAATAAACTCAATGTTGTATGGCTTCGTTGGTTTTGAACATACTTTATCCAGATCTTTTAGGTACATGCCTAGTTTTTTGAACAAGATGAACAGAAGTAATCAGCGTGAATTCTCCAATCATCATCAGTATCAAGCTAAAGTTATTTTCTTGAAACTTGGTAGTTGTGGGTCCCTGTTATTTGATGAGTCTTATTACATGTTTCCATCTTTGTGCTATTTGAAAAACGCTAATAGCAACTAGCCATGTGACCCTCAAGCCATTCAAGGGCCGCCATCTGATTGTAATAACACCAGAACTATCTGCATAAGGCCCGCTTGCCAGTTTATGGTCCATGAAACCAACACCACACCTCCCAGATCACACCCAAGTAAGTCCTTGTATCAGTTGCCCCTAATGTGAGCCCCGTATAGCTTTGAATAGTTGAAGGTGCACAAGTGAGCTATTTCCCTCAGTCGGCTGGCCCGCGCAACTTCGACATTGCTGCAATTGATAGCAGCAAGAACCCAAGAATCTGAGCCACACTTTCCAGCTGCAGAGCCAACACTGGGTATGAAATTGAGGAATCTTAAGCAAACTTGTCCCCCGCAGACAGGGTTGTTGAAGGCCTAGGCGTACACCATGATTCTCGTTTTGCTGGTTTCTAGGTAGCCAGTTGACGATACCCTAAGACGAAGAAACTGGTTGACGAGCGGATACCTGGTCCGCAAAAGTAGTATGAGGATCCTAATTGTCCATGAAAAAGGATAAGAGTGTAATGACTTTTGAGCTTTGTTGGTACTTTAGTCGCCGACTGTGAGTCGTTCGTCACAGAAGATAGCCCATGGCTTGAACTTTCGCACAGGTCGTAAAACATATCGATACAACACGCGACCCAGATATTTGACAACGAGTCCTTCTGAAGAAATGTGATTCTATCGCTCGTAATCCTAGCTTTACAGCTGGTAGAGAAACTTTTGGGTGTACGTTATGGTTGTTGCTTTGGCGTAGTCGTACCAACATCCTCTTTCTCTACGATCACACATTCATCGTCTTCTGCCTTCTTGCTGTCGCCAGGAAAGAGTTTTCCATAATCACCCCATAGCTGCTCGACAGGACGCCCGCATAATTCGGTCCAGAACCTCTTCTCTTCATACCGCTCAATTCTTAGCTTTTCATTCATTCTTCGCACTAGACCAACGCCAAAACGATCCTCGAGATATTGGAGGAAATAGCCTGTGTGCTGATAGCCAGCGTCCCACTTACCTGAGCCTTCTTGTTTCCAATGCGGAGGGGAGAGGTTGGCGTTCAATCGGACCCAGTCTGCAATCCCCTCTATCAGACCACCCGGGCATGTGCCAAACGCGTTGTACTGATAGCAATGAACCATCTCGTGAGTCAGGACTCCCAGGATCTCCTCTGTCTTGCGTGTTTTAGCGATGGAGTGTATATAATCAAGTGAAAAATGTATCTCTTTGTGATCCGAGTCAAGCTCGCTGCCAGTGGTATACGCAACGCCAGGCATGGAGCGTAAAATTAGCGTTACAGATCTCGTCGAGGGCAGGGTTGTCGTTGACGAATTCGGGGAGTCGTAAAGCCACAAGAGAACATCCTGCACGGCTTTTTGAAGGGCTTTATTCGCAGTCACTGAAGCGAAGAATACATCAGCTCCTTCATGATTGATATCACGAACCTCGAGTCTCAAAGTCGGTAGTTTAAATTGGTGAGATTTTGGATTAGCTTCCGGTCGTTGTGTCCCCGCCTTCTTGTTGGGGGAAACATTTTGTGACGGAGCTGAAGCACCTGCGCGATGAGATTGAGGTGGCATGAAGACCAACGAAGGTAGAGGACTGGACGCAGGGTGTTCGACCATCATACATTAAATCTCATACAGGCCAACAAAATAGTCTCAGGTCAACTTTAGACAGGTACGAAGTAAGCCGAAAGAACTTGAGAGTTTGACGGTGATGTATTCTGTGGTAAGAGGAGAACCTGGAAGGCCTGATGAGCTTTGTAAAGTGCGCCTGGACCACCCTCCTACGGTTGGCCCTGCCCAGTGACAGGGACGACCAATCTTCCGGGAAGAACCTTGTGGCACCTGCGATTTGGTAAAATCCGCTACTGTATTGCATTGCGGTTCCTGCACGACAACGGCTTCTTCATTTGTTTTGATCGCAACAACATTGCTCTCGCCTTTCAATTCCCAAGGCTGCCGCGGACAATTCGGTAAGTCGCAGAGATCCCTTGTCACCGCTCGAATTCTTTTCCTGAGTCCTGCTCAGAGCGGAATCATCTGCTGCTTGATGCGCGAACGCGAAGTAAATAGTTGCTAACAACACATCAACAGAGGTATCAACAGGAGCTTCCACGCCCACCAAATGGCTGAAAAGATCACCGAAGAGCAAGTCGCAAAGCTACAAGATCTCTTACGAAGCGATGCATCTACCGATTTGAAGGTTCAGCACATCAACAACATTAAATCCGGGATTAAGCAGAACAATGTCCCAGAAGCATGCATCATACCCCTCTTCGAAGCTGTTCGGGCGTCCATGACATCGCAACATGCTGTGGTTATCCAGCCCGGGTTTTCGACACTTAACAATCTCCTTGCGAGGCTGGCTCGACAAGATTCCTCCAAGTATGTGGTCAAGGAGGCCGGCCGCACACTGCCACTCGTTATAGAAAAGTTGGGGGACCCAAAGGAAAAGTATCGAGCTCTTGCGGCAACATGCCTCACGACATTCTGGAAATCTGCCCCAGTGGATGTCGAGAAAACGATCAAGAATACGGGCCTTGTGGGCAAGAACTCTAGGATGAAGGAAGCGTCAATGCACTGGCTGGTTCAGGTAACATTGATCGGCAGTCTTTGGAGTTGATATTGAGAAGTAGACTGACATTAGGATGTGTCCATTGTAGATGCACCAAGAACATGCGATGCCGTTCAAAAGCTTTGTCACAACGCTGATGGATTTGTTGGAAGATGCAGATGGTATGGTAAGGGATACGGCGAGGAACTCGGTCATCTCACTCTTTCAGTGAGTTTTTAACCCCAGCTGTCAGCGAAAATATTTAATACGGACCTATAGGAACGCGCCAAATGGTGCGAAATCTGACTTGAAAAAGCAACTAAAGAATTTCAACGTCCGACCAGCGATTGTGGCCGCGATTACCGCTCACTTAGGACCGAATGGACCACCCGATGTAGTAGAACCCGAGCAAGACATTCCTGCCCGTCCACACTTGGCAAATAGTGTTTCCTCGACCTCTAGTATGAGACCGTCGACGCCTGTGACTGAAGCTAAGGTGGAACGTGTCGACCCGGCATATGTCAATACGTTAAGAGAGCTGGACGAGACGCTAAAGGAGATGCACCCTTTCTTTGAAGGCAAGGAATCCGAAGCGAACTGGCTGAAGCGGGAGCAAAGCTGCACAAAACTTCGCCGACTAAACGCTGGTAACGCTCCAAGCGACTATCACGATGCGTTTCTCGTTGGAATCAAAAGTCTGCTAGACGGAATACTGAAGGCTGTCAATTCCCTCCGAACAAGTTTATCGAAAGAAGGTTGTAGTGTGGTACAAGAGATTGCCAGAACAGCAGGGCCCGGGCTAGATCCTATGGTCGAAATACTCCTACAAAACCTCATTAAACTTTGTGGTGGTACGAAGAAGATCAGTTCACAAAATGGCAATCTGACTGTCGATATTATCATCAGCAAAGTCAGCTTTAACCTCCGAATTGTGCAACATATCTGGCTGGCTTGTCAAGACAAAAATGTTCAGCCGCGTACGTATGCTACTGGCTGGCTCAAAACTCTATTGAAGAAAGAATCCCATCACAAAAGCCACTTAGAGCATAGCGGCGGATTAGACTTGATCGAAAAGTGCATCAAGAAAGGCCTCGCGGATCCGAATCCTGGTGTAAGGGAAAACATGAGGTCAACATTTTGGGCATTTGCGCAAATCTGGCCCTCAAAAGCTGAAGCGTAAGACATACACCCAAATGCATTCAAGCACTACTAACAGATTTTCTACAGAATCATGGCCAGCTTGGATGCCACACAACAACGACTACTCGAAAACTCACCCGATAATCCCAATTCTCCTAAGAAGCCGGAGACCACAACTGTTCGACCAGGGTTGGGCTTTTCAAAAAGCACCACTGGGCCACCAAAGCCTTCTCTTAGAGAAACAATGTTGGCTCAGAAGAAGGCCGCCATGGCAAATAAAAATTTACCACCACGACCTGGCTCTGCGATGTCGTCCTTTTCTCCTGTACGCAACGTATCAACATCTTCGTCGTCTTCATCGATGTCGGAAGCTCCCGTCAGATCGAGGCCCGAATCGAGCACTGTCGCTCATGGGGGGCTATCCGTCGCCCCTGTCCGCCCTACAAGGTTCCGTCCTGCTCCCCGGCCTGAGCTTGTAGCGAGACCTGCAACAGCTGGACCGTACTCGGTACGCAGACCAGGTCATGCACCCAGCAGTTCTGATAGTAACGCAAGTCCAACCAACCTTCGAGCTGCCAAAATAAGAGCCCCAAGTGCGAGCAGTACCAGTTCTCCAAAACGCGTTCCAGCTCGGCCGACTACGAGCCACTCAAACCACACTTCCCACTCACACTCAAGCCATACGAGCCCGGCAAAGAGTATAGGTGGAAGAGCACCCAGCAGAGCCGCACAATCGCCCCGAGTGAGTCCACCGAAACCCAAACCGAGACTAGTATCCAGCAAGACCGTCGGATCGAGTCCTGCGCGCGAGGATGAGAACTTTAGTATGGTTGTTCCCATGGTGACAGCCCCCGGAGAGCCTGCAGCATCCAAGAGTTCTCAACCAGTAGACTCTTCAGACGAAGAAGAGAAGGCAACCCCCCTGAAGCCTCTGCAAGTCTATGAAGACCCCTTTTCTAGCACGGACGACCACACAACCCCACGACCGCTTCTCACTGCGCCCGTGTTGGAAGAGGTGCCAGTCAATGATGATGCCTCGAACATCATGAGAAACGGCGCCAATGACGAATCAACGAAACCAACATTAATGAGTCCGGAGCGATTGAAGCAAAGTTTGCGTCTCGTTGATAGTGGAATCGCGAAGATCAAGGCCAAATCACTTGATGTGCATGGCTTCAGGAAACTTCAGGTAGTCATAAGGGACAACAAAGCCGCTTGGACGGATGATAAATTCGATGTCTTACTCCTGGGACTATTCGAGTATTTGGAATCTTCATTAACAAACCTTACCACGGAGAAGAAGGCATTGGATGTCAAGGCGCAGATCCTAGCTACCATTAAGCTTCTGTTCAAGAAGGAGCGCGCGGCTTTTCGGCCACATCTAGAGAGAGGCCTGGAATCGATTCTTTCAACACGAAGTTCCTACGACTCCCGAACCCATATTGTCAGCGGCCTCGAGCTACTTGCAGATGAATTAGTAACGCTTGCGGAGCCGAGGAAGACGTTGGGGGCAATAACCGCACGCTTGCAGAATGAGGAAATGACCATAGAGGGCTGTAGAACATTGAGCATGGGTCTTCATGTTCTCAAGGAGTTGCTCGAAGTCAAAAAGGAATTTATCCCAACCGATGAAGATGTTGTAACGATGTGCAGGCTCGCGTCAAGATGTATAGATAGTTCGGAAAGCGGTGTACGTCTAGATGCTGTTAATCTTTGCGTTGCAATTCATGCCGGCGTCGGAGAGGCACGGTTCTGGGGTCCAATGGGTGGCATCAAGGATGACTCAAAAAGTCTGATTACTTACTACATTGTCAAGAGGCAAAGGGAGCTTGCCACGCCGCGCTGATCAGATTTTCTCGGAAAGACACAGGGAGAATTGGCCATGAGGAACGTTGCTTTTGGATTTGCTACGGGTGTTTGGGTGATTCTTCGCCTGGTGTTCAATTATTTAATTTTGAACAAAGTGTTCACTTGGCGTTCTGTGGTTGATGGGACAGCTAGGATTGGCGTTTGACCCACGCGAGTATTTTTGTGAAAGGGGTTTTCTCATAATTTTGGAAGAGCATCTCATAAAATCAAATGCAATAATATCACTTGGCTCTCTTGTCATCATTTCTTTTCCTCGCATCTCAACAAGATCAAAGATGGTCCTCGGCGGTTGCTATTGGCACAGGGCGTTGTTTCGTTTCAAGAAGGATGAAACCTTATTATATTGGCCATGTTACGTATGTTGATGGATGACTGATCGACGGCTGCTCCAAGAAGCTGCCGATAACAGAGAAACGTGGCTGGTAGTGGCTAGCTTATGTGGTTGTCAGGGCTGACATTCATGCTTAAGTGATCCTGCGGACGAAACCGTTACTCGGGAGTGCCACTGTATCCTGGAGTGAGATCGAGTAGTACAAATATAGTCGCAAAGTCATTGCTTACTAGAGATGGAGCAGCTTCGCTTGAATCGCTTCGTCGCCGTGATCAGGCAAGATACCTAGGTACCTAGGTAAGCGGGTTGCGCTTGGGGACCGATCTGAAGCTATCGCGGATTCGCAAGAGGGCTACCGTGTCGACCGCCTACGACACCTGGTACGAGTACTAGCCAGCCCAGTAGGTTTGTGCCTATAGAAGCAACAATACATTAATAGAGCTGGTGAGAGCCCGCCAAGGATCGACGATGCTCCCGACAGCCAGTTGATCCCCCTGAGCCGGGTCGCTTAAATAGGTGGTGTTTCCAACCACAAGTGAATTAGTCCACGCCTTCTACGGTAAGTTTCATACCAAAACTCACGCCAGATACAATGGTGCAGGTGTTGGAGTTCCCGTCAGACTGGATCCGAGGTGAATAGTAGGAGCATGCCTTTCAAGGTCAGGCGACATTTCGCTTACTGTAATAGGCGACATACGTGTCTGTCATGAACATCAGCGGAGAGGTCGCTCTGCATCTACCTGAAACAGGATAACTAGCTGGCGTACATCGCAGCCTTCGAGTAGTGGATGTGGCACCATCGCAAGATTATCGTGCATTATTACTTGTATTCTCGCCGATGTTTGCTCCGCACTTAGGCAATTCGCCATCATTGCTTGTACACAGTGTGGTAGTCTGATCATTGAAAGCCATAGTGTGCAACGTCTATTGCGGAGCGTACCGACCAAACATAGCACATTTCTACCGCATCTGGGTGTTTGAGAATCGGGCCTCCGTGGAAGACTCCATTGCAAGTCACTGCAAGCCATTGACCGTGGCGTGGCTGTCCTTCACACAACCGCACGGCGTACTCATACGTCGTCGTGGAATGCGGCCCCTACGGCAGACACAGGACAACTAGTGTGCGAATAACCACCTCACCTCAGCCTCTTGCACCTGCGGTTCAACGAACTCGACAATATTTTCATCGGTCACCAAACCCTCCACCCAAGACCACTACCCGCGTCGACGCCGTCGCCATTGTGCGGATTCACGATATATCCTTACTCTCCTCTATTGCGACGTTGTTCGCCCTCCCTCAACCTCGGTCGCAGACGTTGCGTCGACAAATCTCAGAGCTGGTGCTGGCCCCATTCGCGATCGTCGAGGAACCCTCCGAGCAAACCAACAACCCTGTATCTTGCCCTGCGTATTCAATTCTCCAACCGTGCGTTTCGTCCTCAACTCTAAACGACGCTCGACACACGATACACAACGAGAGATCGCATCTCTCTTCCATCCATGATCTAGCAATCCCATCAACGGGCCGAAACTTTGAGGTGGACGAGGCAACGCAATTAGGAGAACAAGGAGTCGCCACGAACGACTTGATTACAGCCCAACATGGAATCGCCGGCCGATTATTTGGATTCTCCTATGGATGGCGATGATGTGGCATACCCGTGCAAAGGTTGTGGAGACGTACGTTCCTCAGACGGATGGTGTATGTTTGGCAGACGGGCGGCTGACATGAGTGCTAGATTCTGGAGGAAGGAAAAGCCTTTGAACTTGGTAAGTGAAGATCATATTCTGCTGTCGGCCAGCTGAGCACGCCTGTTCTGGTGCATATCCGATGGAGGCCAGAACACATCTTCCTCCTGCCGTCCCCAAGAAGAGCACAGCTAATTCACTACAGCTGGTAACAGATGGCATCTAAACTGCTTTCGGTGCAACACCTGCGGCACCCTGCTCGATTCCGACGCAAATCTATTGTTACTTGGTGACGGCTCCTTGATCTGTAACAATTGCACATATAGCTGTAGTGCTTGCGGGAACAAGATCGAAGATTTGGCTATCCTTACAGGAGACCAGGCATTTTGCGCAACATGCTTCAGGTGTAGGAATTGCAAACGTAAAATTGAAAATCTTCGATACGCACGAACATCACAGGGGATATTCTGCATGAGCTGTCACGAGTCACTCATGGCACGGCGGAGGAAAAAATCGAGGGCAGCAGCCAATGCGAAACTCAAAAAAGAAGATCAGTCGCCAATGCTTGTCGACAAGTCTCTGCCTGCTCTTCCTCCCAATGCCATCCTACAAAGCGCATTTACACCAGACCGAGAGTCGCCAGGCTCTATTGACAACGATACGCCCACGGAACTTTCTCCTCGGCCACGACAGCAGTACCAAGGGGATTCCTCATCGCGAAGCAGTTCGCGCCGGCCACGCGATCGATCGAACGAACGCACCTCCAGCGATGGCCCTACAAAGGATGGCCTCACGCTGCCAACAACTACGTACCGCAATAACAGACATTCTGCCATTTCTCAGGCATCCGACATAAATGGCGCAGATGGAGAAGGCTTTTTCATACCATTGGCATTAGACCCTAGTCCGGCCCCAACAGTAACCCCGCGATCGACCTCCGAGACATTGGTAGATCAAGCGAAGAGAAACAAGGAAAGGTCAGATAAGGACTATTTCAATGTTCCAAGAAGTAGCGGTCGTCCTTCGATTGAAAGTCGTAGGCAATCTGAAATCAATTCAGCAGCTTCGACCCCCCACATCGCTTTTCAGGAAAAGGGAAGACAGCCATCAGCGGACGAGACAGCTATCAAAGATAACATCAGGAAAGCTCAAGCCGGAGGCAAAATCTCATCTGCAAAGGGTTCCCCCTCAATAGGAAGCGATGATGTTCGCAAACAGCACGCCAGCTCGCCCAAGATTGGAACATCAAAGAGCCAGTCTTCGAACGAGAAGTTCAGACTAGGGGATGTGCCGAAGGGGAAGAAAATCACTCCGAGAAGTGATTCTCAATCAGAATTCGAGACTTTGTCTAGAGATACGTCCATTAGCATGTCACTGCCGAAAGACCATACAATAAGCATGATCAAAACAGATCTACAAAAGTCAGCTTTCGGCGCCGATAAGGTTGGCACCTCCCGCTCTTCGCAGGACTCGCGCACACGAGATGAAGCGGTCTCGAGACCCTCCATGGACTCATCCAACGAGTCGTCCCCGCGAGTGTCTAGACAGGACTCTTCGGGCTCCAAGTCGATTGCACGAAAAGAAATAGCGCCAGGCGCAGTCAAGGCCACCATGAGTTCCATGAGTTCCTCGTCCGGCACTGAGACGTCTCCCTCAACAGATTCTTCCGATGCCTCCGGCCTTACGCCGACAGTCAATGGTAAGAATATCTCAGGTCCTTCCTCAATCCAGCCCCCTATCGAGACAGATCTTGCACCACCTAGTCGTGCACCCACGCGCCCTTCTGCGCCACAACAGAAGCTCAGCGAAAGCTATATGGCTCCAAGAGCACCTCCAGTTCCTCCTCCAGTTAGCTCCCTTCCACCAAAGGACCTCGCGACATCATCGAACGGCGTCCGCCCACCATCGCCCAAGTTGCCGCGATGGAGTGCTGGGGGTGACTTTACCATGGAAGAGGACATGGCGCGGATACTTGGAGGAACAGATGAAAGTTCACAGTCAATACTACGTCGTGTCTCCAATGCCGTACGTCATGGGCGGAATGGCAGTGAAGCAAGCTCGTCAGGTCGCCACGGCCATGGTAGGAGTGTCAGCGAGACTACAGCGCGCACGGTCGCCTCACCACGCTGGCCCAAAACTCCCATACTGGAAGATGGCACTGCCAAAGAGATCAGTAGTCCTATATCTATTGTCAATTCGCCAATGTCCGGGGATGACCCGGCACTACTTCGCAGACAGTTACGCAACTCCGAACAACGTGTAGCCGAACTCGAACGGCAGTTTGCAAGCGAAAAGGATCTCAAGACACTGAACAAGAAGTTAATAGAAAGGAGGAAGACTGTGTCAGTGCTAGATTCTCAAACGGAGATCATGATCAAGCAACTTGAGGTCCTAGCTGGGTATGTAGAGAAAGCCAAAGATTCGAAACAACCCATGGATATCGCAGAATTGGAGGATTCTGCAGTTAAGGATTTCGTGCAAAAGATTGATCGTTTGAAGCAGAGCATGTCTGGTGAAGTAGAAGCTCTCTTTGAACAACGCAATGAGCTCCTTGAGGAAACGAATCAAATCATGGCCAACCGAGATAGGGCTCGGGTAGAGTTCGAGCAATTGTCTTCTAAAAATGCGCAGCTTGCCGACATGAACAATGAAATGACTCATCAAATCCAAGAAAGGTTCAGGGCACAGAGCGGAAATGTCGTTGAAAGCCCTCGGCCCCCGCCAAATGGCTTGGGAATCTACACTCACCACACCAAGGACAAATCAAACGTTTCTATACAGATGGATGATGCGAGCTTACGTCCCTCCACGAGCAGCACAACTGTCTTCGGCAGTTCAGTCAGTAGTTATCCGCAGGCAATGGAGCAAGACCCAAGCATGGAGCCAGCCACAGTCCTCTCTGCGCCCCATGTTATTAATATTCGCAAAGGTCAGGCAAAGAAATTCAATTGGAAGAAGGGCGGCCAGACTGTTGCAAAAGGTGTTACCAAAGGATTTAAGGGTGCTTTTGCCTCGGTTCAACAAGAACGAAATGAAAGAAATCCGCAATGGACAGGTCAGACAGGAGACAGTATCGGGATGCCCTACAATATGACCGTCGCGCCAGTCGAATCTGCAGCACAGATGTCATCCGGGAGTCTCCCTAGATCGGTCTCTAATGATCCGTCAAGAAAGGGTTTTGGGTTGTTCAACAAAGCCAACATACCAAAGTCCATGACTAACGGCAGCTTCCCAGCTGCTGCAGATCCTTCGATCCTTTTCGGATCTGATTTGGTCGAAAGAGCTGACTACGAGCGAGTACAAATTCCGAGTGTAGTCACTCGATGTATTGAAGAGGTTGAGCTTCGCGGAATGGACATTGAGGGCATTTACAGAAAGACCGGCGGAAGTGGTCAAGTCAAGATTATTCAGGAGGGATTCGAGAGATCAAATGATTACGATATCTCGGATTATTCATTGGACATCACTGCCGTCACAAGCGTTTTGAAGCAATATTTCCGAAAATTGCCAGTACCACTGTTGACCTTCGATGTATATGATCGCATACTTGAGTCAACTTGTAAGTCAAATGCTGTCCTGCTGTCGGTCAATGGCTAACGTGTTCTCAGCAATCGAGGATGACCAAGAACGATGTGTCCATCTTCGGAGAACCTTCAACATGCTTCCAGCGAAGCATCGAGATTGTCTTGAATTTTTGATCTTCCACTTAGCCCGTGTGGCACAAAGACATACCGAAAATTTGGTATGGTCTACCTAGAGTTTATGTAATTTGGCCCTCGCTAACAGTATCTAGATGACACCTAAAAATCTTGCCGTGGTCTTTGCACCTACCATTATGCGAGACCACAGCTTGGAGCGAGAAATGACGGACATGCATGCAAAGAATAGTGCCGTACAGTTTGTCATTGAGCATACCCATGATATCTTTATAAATGCTTGAATGACTCCTCCTGGTACGATATAAATATCTAACTTAAATTCCCCTTCAGAAGTGTATATTCTTCTCTCATCTTGCTTGGAAGTTGGCAGGCGTTGTTTTGGATCAGCGATATTTGGGTTTGATGGATTTTTTATCATTTGCTGGCGTTACTTTGATCATTTTGCCTGCCAGTGAGGTAGCCCAGAATTATGCGTTTTACATGTTCTTGTTTGAATTGATATCCATTGATTCGTTTCTTGGCATTTCGATTCCTGGGGACGGAGTTTTTTCGTACACCGTTCGTCATGGTGCTGAGTGAGTGGCTGTTGGTAGTCATGCTGTGTACAGGCTCATGGAGGGGGAGAGGCGTGCTCAACGTTATAGGTGTACCAGGGCCTCGTGCGCCAGGTGAGGATCATGTGGATCTTCGAAAGGCCAGAGCAAGTATATTTGCATATTTAACATTGTTACAGTCCATAAGACTTTTACTCACACTTCATGAAATTGACGGCATGCTTTGCCAGTAGGCATCTGTGTCATGTGATGATGATAAAATATAGTCCATTCACGTACCTCTTCACATTGCTGCCCCTATGTCATGAACTCCTTGCTTGCACACCCAATTCCGCTTTAATCATTTGTGAGAAGGTGAGATTTGAGGACGGCAACCTGATGATCTACAAGCAATTCAATGCGAGAGCTCAAGTCCCGCTTCCTGCATTGAACTTCAACAGGACAAGAAACTTCTGCTCGAATGATTCATTTGAATGGATCCAAGAACGATTTAACTACATCTCTATCGCCATTCACTCACTATTGTCTGTTCTGATCTAAACACTTGACCAGCTGACATGATATAGGCACAAAGAATGTCTAGGCCGAAAGATCTTCGTAACTTCTTACGCAAGGAATGCTTAAGTGCGCAGCTAAAATGCCCGGCTGATACTACCGAGAGAAATAATGCTTCACCTTCGAAACCAAATCTCCTGGGTCCAAAGCAGGGGGATTCTAAACCCAACAACTCCGCATGTCAATCCCATGACATTGATAGTGTGTTTGGAGAAGAATTGTTTTCCACCGGGGACTCGAAAAGTGAGGAGTTGAAGCGGTTAGTGGCTGAGAAAGAAGGTGAAGTGACTGCTCCCTCCTCGAGACATGGAGATGGCCAATTGGAGACTCTGAGGCGAGAGTTAAGCATCATAGTCGACGCAGAGTTTGGAGCAAGTGAAAGAGAACGACCTTTGATTGCGAGGCAGAAAGAAGCATTGTTGCGGGAGATCACCTGGTTAGAAACACAGCAGCAGGTGCAAAAGAGTCCTGAGTTTGTTAAAGGAAACTCTCGGGGTATGTTCCTTCCTTCACAACTCTCTGTTTTTGAATGATTACGAGCAATTGTAGCGGACCTCAATACCAAGTTGCAGTCCTTTCCTCCACCGTTGACAGCCAGGGAACTTGCTCGAATTAGGAAAGCTGAACTTGCTAAACAACATGAAGCGTGCGAGAACGTACCATCCGATGTAGGTCTTCCCACTCCTGTCTTGTAACCTGAGTCTAATCTTTGCAAGCCATTGGCGGGAGCGTTTGTTGTTACCCGTCGGGCACCCAAAAAGCGCAAGGCCAAGGAGCCGCCGATAGATGAATATCTCGACGGTGAGGACAGATATCGATTGTTCGGGCCCCCGAAGGAAAAGAGAGTCAAGCGGAAGAAAAGCTCAGCAGTAGTGATTGAGAAGCCGAGAAGCATGATAGGGAGATGGAGAAGTGAGATTCATGATTACTTCCCGGTCATCAATGGAAAGCGGGGTGGCTACTTGGGGGATATTGATAGGTATGAGAGAATGGCGTTACGACGAGAGCTTGCGGAGTTGGGTAGCCATTTGTGAGAGGGGTAGAAGGAGAGGATGTGGGCTGTGAGGTGGTAGTATGTCGATCTCTGATACGCTGTGTCTCTTGCGAAGAACTTGGGGAAATCATACAGAGCAGAGCAGTACTGGTGTCGTGTTATCTTGAGTTGCAAGTTAAACACTGGATTGATGCGTTGATATTTTAGATATACTTAACAGCGTTGCCTTTAATCTCGTATGCACTTTCCCTAAGCACCTTACGACGCTAGACTGGAAGTCGGATTCCTGGTCAATAATGCATGATTACAAATGAATTAGCATATTCTGCAGAGTTCATACGGCATCCACAGACTCAGGTAATCATAAATATCTGTGATTAGTTCTCGTGCTCTCGTATAATATACCCCATCCCCATGATCCTCCTAGCCTACAACCACCATGTTATATATACATATCCTAAAACAGTACAATAGTCTTCCAGCTTCAACCAGTGCTAGAATATATATCCAGGGAAAAGACATAATATCGACAAGAAAATATTTTACATAATTAGGAAGGAACTCCTTCGTAAACAAACCCGTTTACCGCTCTCTTTCTTGTTCGTTTCCTGGTTTTTCGATTACCAGCTGCTTTTACGAAAATTGTTAAAGCGGTGACGAGTAACGTTATACATGCGGCCACAGTTGGTACCTAGTTTCTTGTTAGCAGAGCGAGTCAGTCTCGCGGTTTTTGGCCCGCTACATACCAGGATAGCACGTCGTCGGGTATAATCCTGATCCCAACTCGCCAGCTTATATGGACAAGTCGCATCTGCACCACCCATAACCCAGCAATCTTGTCGATCAATCGCGTTGAAATCAACCCAAGTATTCGCTTTGTTACCGACTACCATTGCCTGGGTCAAGAAGCTGTTCTCCAATGCCGTCCTCGGAGCCGCAAATTCAAAGTCTGAAGGACAGGCGTCTTCTGCAGATTCATATGAAACAGTTCGTGAAGATGTAGTCCAATTATACGGTTGCCTAGATGCTCGACAAGCTGCGTAGTAGTCTCCACGGCAGTCTGCTACAATCCAGCGTCCCTGGCGAGAAGTGGATGTTAAGGCACAGCGATAGTTCGAAGAGTTATGACTTTGCGGTTCTGAGGATGCCCACGACCAGATGGATGCATATGCAAAAGATTGATAGGGTCGAAAATCTTGCCGGGCCGTCACGTTGAGTAAAGTGCTGTTCAGAACTGGAGAAATGCCACAGGCTGTTAGATTTGAGGTTAGACTCAAAACAGGTGCGAGATCTGAACCTGACGGGCTGGGAAAGTCAGACACCGATGCAGTAGCCCACGAGGTGTTCACAGCTGCGACTTGAATGTTTTCTGTGTTTGGACGGATGAAGCAGCCTGAAGTCACTTGACCAGTGGATGATGTCGTGACATTAACGGGCTTCGTGATGAAGTTCTGCGGGAAAATATTGGAAGCATCTCCACTGAAATTGTATCTTGTCAGTTGGGGATCAATACTTCCCCATCCAAGGAGAAGCCTTTTTCTCCGGGAGAATTCGATGTAGCTCTCGGAAGGCCACCCGTCTTTGGTAGATGCCTGATCAAACTCGTTCAACGTGACGGTATAGAATTCTTCGGCAGGTCGGTACCGCTCAGCAACCGTAAGCCATGATCCGTTGACATTTCTTCGGTTTGCAGCCAAATCCGTAGGTGTATAAATGTAGTCAGATAGGCTTTGACCAAAAAGATTCCCAATCAACACTTCTTGACTTGGTAAGCTTGTGGATGAAGGTGGGCTGGAAAGCGGGTTTGCTGTGGGAGCTGCTGCATGTACGTTTATATAGAAGTACAACAAACTAGCATTGATGGTATCATCAGTCTGGATGAAATAGTCCCTTAATTGCGTGATGAGCGTAGAGAGATTGATTGAAGTGGTACAGCTATAAGGTCCAATTGAAATGAGCGAAGCATCTGAGTCCTCAATAGAGTCTGTGGCGGTTGGTTGAGTTTCTCCAGAACCGGTGGAGGTCCCTGTGACGGAGCTCAAGTCTGATGTAACCGGCGCACTAGAAGTTGTTGGAGTTTGAGAAGAGTCTTCTCCATCCTGTCTTTTTTGGAGAGTTGGACTTGTCGCAGCAGTTGAGACACTAGTAAGGCTTGCGGTAGTACTTTGAGGGCTTTGACTAGCCTGTGTACCTCCCAGAACAGAACTGGCGGGGGAAGTTGACGTGGGTACCGCGGCTGGACAGAAAGACCACACCTTTCTTGCCTGGTCCCAATACAAGTCAATTGCAAACCGCCGGAATCCAACGGCTAACAGATTGGAGATGCAATCAGCAGAATCTGCATCTTCAAACCTGTTGAAAGGAAAGCAGGCAGCGGATAGCGATACAAGAGGCGAAGAAACAAAATTCACCGGAACTGCAAGCCCTAAATCTCTTTGGGACTTTGGGAATTAGCGGGAAACGTGATGAATTTGATAGGGACATTTCATACCAGAAATGCTATGCTATGAACAGAGTCTTGATTTGCCCCAGGACTTGGAGAGTAGTTCTCAGTCATTTCCGCTACCCACGCTCACTGTTGATACGTAGAAAGGGCCATCGGATATCTCGGACGAGTATGGTATCACAATATCACCACAACCTCGCCCCTACGGTTAGTAGCAAGACAGCTAGCGTCTAGTTGTCGTCTTTAGAGGCCAGCTGAACCGCCTCCAGTTGATTGATATTCGAATACGCATATATAGCGAATTACTCGTTGTGCCCATACAGTGGACGTTGAGGTCAAGGAACCTGACTTCTTTTAGCGCAACTGGGGCTCGCCTCTTAACGCCGAAGCGCCACACTGAGGCGTCGAACCACACCTCGCACGTGCCTTAGTGGGTGTGGGTGCACCGTCATTTGCAGGGGCCTAAAGTAATCGGTGGTGGTCGGACACGTTTCCTTCAGCATTTCATCCACGACAATTTCCAAAGACACATTTCACCAATCCACCACCTCGCATCAAAGACCTCTCCTCACGATCCCACTGTCTTCATAAACACTCGGCGGCAACATGGCGAGCCAACAACCCCCGCAAGGGCAGAACCCTTTTGGTATACAGCCGGGACAGCAACCTACACCAGAGCAAATTGCTGCGATGCAGCGACAATTAGCAATCGATGCGCAGAAAAATGGCATGACGGTCCCCGAATTCGTTGAGAAATTGAAGGCGCAGGCGAGGGCCCAACAACAGGCTGCTCAGCAGCAAGCTGCACAAGGCGGACAGCAGCAGGCGCAACAAGAACAGCAGCCCATTACTCCAGGCCCACCCAGTCCGGAGGCGCTCGCCGTCGCTTCGTTTCTCAAGAGTCAGGATCTAAAAGTACGAACGTGTATTTTGAACGGGCAGAGAAAAGACATGTTCAAGGGTAAGCCTTGATTTGACAGCTCTTTTTGTAATCTTTCTAAGTGTGTCACAGTCAAACGTGCACTTCGAGCGCTTCAATCGCCAGCGTACACCAAAGCCCGGAGTAAGAACCCGCTACTCCCAGAAATCACAGATAGACCATCTCTTGAGAACTGCTTCAAATTGCTCCCCATGTCTCTCCTCGCCCTTCGAGTATCCAAGGTTGATCCTCACGAAGGACACGATCATGCCCCGGGAGCACACAAGACAAAGCGAGTTAAGGGGTTGTGGACCGTGAAAATTGAGCAACAACAAGAATGTCGAGAAGACCTCCATTTTGTCTGGCTATGGGAAGGGTCGCAAATCAAGCAAAAACTATATGCGGTCGGCGCCTTGGCAGTCATATTTGCTATCGTTCTGTTCCCTCTTTGGCCAATGAAGATGCGTCTCGGAGTGTGGTATTTGAGTATGGGTATGCTCGGTTTGATCGGATTATTCTTTGTCATGGCCATCTTCCGGCTTATACTTTTCGCAATTACGATGTTTGTTACCCCACCTGGATTATGGCTCTACCCGAATTTGTTCGAGGACGTGGGATTCTTCGATAGTTTTAGACCACTTTGGGGTTGGCAAGAGGTATGTTCGATTCCCTAGTCCCTCTAAGCGTACTAACGTCCCACTAGGAGAAGAAGAAAAAGAAGAAGTCGAGGGCTACTGGATCTGCGAGCGCGGGCGCAACTATGGCAGCAATGACAGGTCAACCCGCTCCAGCCTCCGCTACTACTACAGGTGCTGCTCCTCAAATTTCCACGGGCTCTACCCAACAACGAAACCTCGCTCCCCGAGTAGAAGAAGTCTTTGACGATAAAGATTAGATGCGGAGATACCCATTGTATTATTTGATATTTCTCTCCTGGTTATCTCGATTCATTGCGGTATTTTCTGTTAGTACTTGAGACATGCGGAAGGAATTTAGTTTCACCTCGGCGCATGGTAGATAAAAAAGAGTTGATGGCTTCTGGCTGCCCGGGGTTGTACTATAGAAAATGAAGAATAAAGTGCCTCACATCTAGAATCTTCCGAAGCTATTGCGCTCTGTACGGTATATTTACTGTTGAGCACTAATGTAAAATTAAACTTGTTTTCTCAACAAATAAATCGCACCAGTCTTTGCCTCACTGAAATTACCCCCATGACCAGAGCTGACTAATTGTTTTAACCCGCTTCATAAATTCCATCATTATTCTAAAACCAAATGGTATTTGATTTTTGAATTTTTTTGGGTTTACTCTTACATTCAGTATGGTCCTCCACTCTTCCGCTCGCCCACCACCAAGACCGACAGGTCCTTCAGCAAAAGCAAAAAGCAATTCGACCAATATCTGCAAATGAGTTATATGAACAAAGTAGCTATCATCTCACTACGACTGCTCTAACACTCCTATATATCTACATTAATATAACAACCGAAATACTTTTAACAGTTTAAAAGAAAAGAAAAGAGAAAGTATGGTATCCATCCTTCATAACCACATCCGTAAATCAACATAATCTCATTTTTCTCGCATGGTGTGCAACATCCGGACTCCAAGACGCGGCAACTCCTCTCGCATGCGATCGCTCGCTGTGGTTGTGTATCTTTTAATTCATTAATACATGGGTATTAGACGTCAAGCACAATGCAATCGCAGGTACTCTGAGATAGACACAAGATACGTCTCTAACAAGGAAATTTGCTGTAATAGCAGGTATCGATATAAAATCAGGCCGATAGATCACATTTGCAACCCGTTCTGGGAAGGTTCCGAAAGTGGTGAGTTTTGGGGTGGAGGTAGAGGTGGAAGCGAACGTTTTGGTGGAGGGGCTGGAGGTGGCCCACTAGCGAGTAGTGGCATGCTCTTCCTGGCCCCAAGTTTCTTGTTGTCTTCTGACCGAGGACGGTGGATGGGGGGAAGAGCAAAGGGTTGATCGTGAGAGACGGTATTATTTCTTTTTGGATATTTTGCGTCGCCTGCTGGTAGAGGCAATGACTTGGACGCCCGACCTCCGAATGTATATGAAGCCGACACAAACGATTTCGAATGGGATTCCGCCCGGATTTGCATGCTCATTGGGCGGCGAAGCTGTTTGGAGAAAGATATCGGAGGTCTATCTGAAGTCCCGTGTTCGATAGGAATGTAGGTCGGAAGCTGCGCAATTGGTGATGCCGGAAGAGGAGCTGGAAAGGAGAACGCTGGAAGTGCCGTGTGTGCCCAATGGCCAATAGAAGTTTCGGCGGCTTTTGGCGCAACTGAGTATCGCTGCGGAAAGTGGAATTCTCCAAGTTGGTCATCAGAACGCGAACTGTATGGCGTTGATGTTAGTTCATGATCCGCCAAGCCCTGTGAAGCTGCAGATTCTGTGAACGACTCATGGCCATGGCTTTTCGTCGCCTTGGAGAGAGAGTCATATATTGGTACGCGCTCGATAGCAGAAGAAGACGAGCGTCTGTTCTGGTGAGGAAACTCGGGTAGAGGTTTTGATTGGATGTCTGCTGAGTCGTATGTGCTCATAACGATGTCAGGAACATCCAACGTATCTGTAACCTGCGGTTTATGAGACAGGCCTCTAGATGTGGTAGAGAATCGCCTGCTCGAAGAGCTTGGTACACTAAAGTTCTGTGGTGCGGGTGAGGTTGCAAGTATGCTGTACGTAGAATGAGGACGGGGGTTGGTTGAAGTATTTGCTTCGAGTGTGGGATTAGACACCGTCTGCATCGACTTCCTACGTTCGATTGTATCTAATCCATTTTGCCCCATTCGCTGATTTTCGACGGAGTGCTTTGGTGAGACATCATCTATAGTTGAGTAGCTTTCTCTCGTCGGTGATGTAGATGCTGATGAATTATCCGATGTTATGAGCGTGCGCTGTCCTGAACTCATGTATGACGATCGGTTGGTACTATTTCTGAGAGTCTCCAGATGTCGTCCATCTAGACTGTTTGTTGCTGAATTTGGCGTTTTCATAGTATTGGTATCGCGTAGAACATGAGTACGCCCTTCTGCCGCAAGCCGGAGCGAGTCATCATCCTGCCGCGACACGGGCGGCGGCACCTGCTCAGGTTCTCGTTGGATCAGATACCGATGGCTTGGTTGGGTCCTGAGTTGCATAATATCGTTGTCACGTTCTGGCTTTGGCTTCCCAGTCTCCGAGACGTGCTTCTTGCCACCGAGTGCTTCAATTTCTCGGCGTATAACCGTTATCCACGACTCCATGTCCTCGCCACTGCCCATGATCATCAACAAACTAGTAGCCGATCTTCTGTAATCGGCGCCTCGAAAGGCAAGACGCGATAGAAGAGATCTCGAGTCAGAAGATGGCGCTCCATCCGCATTTAGCGATTGAGAAACCTGCAGCACCCAGTGTTTTCCGGGGATAGCATCACTTGCAAACGCTACAGATTCAGTGCCCAATTGCATTACTTTCTCAGGTAATCGATCAAAGCTCCCCTCGCCGGCGTATTGCAACAGATAACCGGATGTAACCAAAATGAAGAGCTTCCGAGTCCAGTCGGCTTTTGGCCCTGATAATTGTCGCCTATGCTTAGTTTTGGTCTTTTCTGTCTTCTTAACTTCAGCATTCTGTTCTGGTCGGTTCTCCTCGGTAGTAGGCGTCAAATCGTCTCCCAAGACGTTACTCTTTTTATGACTGCTCATCCGTAGTATCACATCGGCTGACAAAGTCGAAGCTGTCAAACTGGCGTGTTTTATTGCTTGCGGAAACGCTTGGAATAGAGGCGGAGGATCCCACGAGGCCAATGTTCGCTTGGGAGTGCGAGAGGTGGAATTTGATGACTTGGAGCTTGATTTGGCTGCTGGCTTTTTATCCCCTACGTCTTTCACACTTTTTGATCTTATAGCAATGCGAGACTGTCGGGCCTGAACTGGTATAGCTGGCGTGACCGGGGTGGAGGGAGTTACCGTGGTTTGAGTGGAAAGTGCCAAACTCCTCGAGCTAGCCGTCGATGGCGAGCTTTGAGTGGTTTCTTCCTTGAGAGGCACGACTGCGCTCTTCTCTGCCTGAGCCTTCGTTCTTGTAAACATCCCCCGTAAACCGCCTTTAGATGCGCGTCGATCCAAACCTTTGGGTGCCAAAGGCACTCTAATTTCCGGCTCGTCACTACATGAAAGATCCATTGGAGGCGGTCGCGCGCGTCGGTTGGGAAGCGCGGCTTGCGGAGGGTTAAATCTGTGAGAAGGGTCGGTATCTCGAAATGCATGATTTGCATTTCCAGAAGTCTCCATCATGAGTTATATAACGGGAAGAGGTATTTTGTTGACGACGTGACGATGGTTTGATGTTTGTTTGGTTTTCGTATCCAAGTCGCAACTGAATTTACTAGGATTGACTGATCCGCAATGGTTGTCGAAAAGGGATATCCTGGCCATGAAGCGATGATGTGTGATTGAAATGAGAGCTTTTATTGTATGCTGAGAAATCGAACGAGGATGATTTCTCTGGATCGACCCATGAACGACGAGCCTTATCTCATAGGCGACTATAATCAAAAATAACAATGGTCGACGAGGGCGTTGATTTGACGGGACATGAAAAACTGTACAGAGCAGTGTGATCGAGGTTGAGAAATTTGATGTTTGCAGGAGGTGAAGATCGAGGGCGCCGGTAGTCGCAAGGCGGAAACAGAATTTCAAGATTCAAAAATTGCAAGTTGTTTCACAAGTCGCGGACTTGACGTAGCGCATTCTGCTGATACAAAACTATTCGGATGGTGCTGTGCGTCTCAAGCAGACCAATTGTGAGACGGCGAGGCTATGAAGAGGTTATTCGGGTCGATAGCGCGAGAGTGAGTCGAGGTGTAACGCTATTACTGCGACAATCAGATTTCGTTTGAAAAAAAGAAGAAGCCATATTGAAGGTGAGGGGCAGGGCGAGGGATGAGATAAGTGAAGAGAGCGAGAGCGAGAGCGAGAGCGAGAGTGTTCCCAGATGAGGCTTGAGGATCTCGCACAGACTGTTTATTTATTCCAGGTTGTTTCCCGCCCACTTCCCCCCCCCTCGTCGCAACAGGCCCGAAAGGGACGCGGTCAAAACAGACGACAATACAATTCAGCTAATATTGCACGTCTAGTGAATATATCAAACCCGTTATTCTTTCCTGTTGGCAATTTCCCTTCTTTTTATCCACCGATAGCCTTCACGTCATTCTTGTGCACTTTAAACGTCGCCAATGCCGGTCTCTTGGAGCAGAGACAGGCTTTCTCTGGGCCCTGTTGCCCTGCCGCAAACCCGTCCGTGCATCAAGGGCTCAAGCCAACCTCCTCGAGCTCCAACGCCAGCTCCTCCCTCCTCGACATCACCCCACCACAGCGTTGTTCCATCCACTGCGGAAAATTAACAGTGTACCTACACATCAACACCACGTCACGAGGTCATTCGACTTTCTCTTCTTCGGAGTAATTATTCGAGTACATTACCATTTCCTTGTCTCGTCAATCACCATGCGCTGCCTGAACTCGCCTGTTCGTCACAAACCACTGGTGACCCTTCGTACATCCCCAAGAACGCACTTCGCAACTTTTTTATTGACATGAATGCTGATCGGAGAGCCGTGAAGATCACGACCTCGCTCACGACCAATAGCTTCATCTTTGATCAAGCCCAGATCTACCGGTTTGTCGGCTCAATCGGTCCGCAGTTCATCTCCCCGCAGTCTCCAAGAAACAGAAGCCGTTCAGCCTCATTTCAAGCCCATTTCTGCGCATCAGGAGCTGTCCAGATCGGCATCATCGCTCCCATCCCGTTGTACTTGTCCTTCTTCGTGTGGAGGATGTCCACTGCCGTGACATACAGCAAGAAATATGGCCGTCGACCATAGGAATGGCGCGCTTAGCCTCCGGTGGCTAAAAGAGAAACTCATCACATGAGGGCTATGAGAAATTCACAGTCCAAGATTTATACACTGAGGAGGTAGGTCTTGCGTGGAATGTTTCTTGCGTCAAAGCTGTTCTTGTTACGTTCTTCCAACACCCAACCATGCGTAAGCAGTTTCTCTTCCTGACGGTCGCCGCCGTTGTTTCCGCTCAAGGATTCGCCGCTGATTGGGACGCGGCATACACTAAAGCCAAAACTGCTCTGGGAAAACTCTCACAGAATGACAGGCTTGCAATTGTCTCGGGCATTGGGTGGGGAAAGGGTCCTTGTGCAGGCAACACTGGTGCCGCGACCTCCATCGGATTTCGTTCACTGTGTCTTCAAGACGGTCCTCTAGGTGTCAGAGGAGCATCAAGTGTCACAGCTTTCCCACCTGGCGTCCAGGCAGCTTCCACTTGGGATCGAGCTTTGATGAGGGATCGTGGAAAGGGGATTGGCCAGCAGTCAAAGGCTCTTGGGGTCAATGTGATTCTTGGACCTGTTGCTGGCCCTCTCGGGAAAATTCCAAATGGAGGGCGCAACTGGGAAGGATTTGGTAGCGACCCATATCTCTGTGGTGTTGCCATGGAACAGACCGTTGGTGGTATTCAAGAAGGCGGAGCGCAGGCTTGCGCGAAGCATTACATTGGAAATGAACAGGAAAAGGAAAGAGATACTGTTAATTCGGTCATCGACGACAGGACCCTTCATGAGTTGTATCTTTGGCCTTTTGCAGAGGCAGTCAGGGCCAACGTCGCATCTATCATGTGTTCGTACAATAAAGTTGGCGGTAAGTGGGCGTGTGAAAGTCAGCAGATGATGGACGCGATCCTGAAGAAGGAGCTGGGTTACAAAGGTTATGTGGTGACAGACTGGGATGCTCAACATACAACAGTAGACTCTGCGAACGCAGGTTTGGACATGACCATGCCTGGTAGCACTCCTACTTCCACCATTCGGAAATGTCATTAACCGGGTTTTAGGTTCCTCATATGGCGGGACCCTCAATGTCCTTTGGGGAAATAACATGCTTGGGAATGCAGTCAAGAACAGCCAGGTCTCCCAGGGACGTCTAGACGATATGGTAACTCGTATCCTCGCTTCTTGGTACTTAACGAAGCAAGACTCTGGTTATCCGGCGACTGCCATCAACCAGAACACCAATAACGGTGGCCCAAATGTACAAGGCAACGGCGCTACCAACGCGAAATTAGTCGCTCGTGATGGAATTGTTCTTCTCAAAAATTTGGCCAATGTATTGCCATTAAAAGCGCCAAAGAGCATTGCTATCATAGGATCACATGCAGTTGCAAATCCTAAGGGAATCAACTCTTGCGTAGATAGTACACCGCCCCTGTTCACCCCATTTGTCTATATTTTGACCTTTGTGTAGTGGGTTGTAATACTGGTGCTCTTACGATGGGTTGGGGCTCGGGATCTGCGTCATTGCCTGTATTATTGCTATTCTTATGTTCCAGTTATATCTACTGACAGTTCTAGTATCTTTCTAGCCCCGCAGACGCGATTACCACCCGAGCCAAAAAGTCTGGGACAACAATTACCACGTCAACCTCCGACAGTACCTCTGCTGGTGCTTCAGCTGCCCAAAATGCCGAGATAGCAATCGTATTTATAACTGCAGATTCAGGCGAAGGTTATATCACAGTCGAGACCAACGCGGGCGACCGAAACAATCTTGAAGCATGGCACTCTGGAGCTGATCTTGTAAAGGCAGTAGCAGCTATCAACAAAAACACAATCGTTGTCATTCATTCTGTAGGACCTATCATATTAGAGTCCTTTGTCGATTTAGGTAATGTCAAAGCCATAGTTTGGGCCGGATTACCTGGTCAAGAGAGTGGAAATGCATTGGTTGAAATACTCTGGGGTGACGCTAGTCCAAGTGGAAAATTACCCTACACCATCGCCAAGCAGCAGAGAGATTATGGCACCAACCTCCAAAGTGGAACCGATAGCTTTTCGGAGGGTCTTTTCATTGATTACAGATATCTTGATAAGAATAACATCGCTCCTAGGTTTGAGTTTGGGTTTGGTCTCTGTAAGTTCCGAAATTGGGTATAAGATAAACGTGTCTAACTTAAGATTTGTGTAGCTTATACCACATTCAATTATTCGTCGCTCGCGATTACCAGTACGGCTACTTCAGGTCCTGCGACAGGCAATATTGTTCCGGGCGGCATATCGTCACTTTTCGACATCGTGGCTACCGTCACGATGACGTTGAGTAATTCCGGGGCTGTGAGTGGTGCCGAGGTGGCTCAACTATATCTTGGATTTCCATCCTCTGCTCCTAGCACGCCCGTTCGACAGTTGAGAGGTTTCCAGAAGACCTTGGTTGCTGGAGGAGCGAGCACGACTGTCAAATTTGAGTTAAGGAGGAAAGACTTGAGCTACTGGGATGCGAGTGGGAAGAGGTGGGTTCTACCAGCCGGGAACTTCAAGGTTGAAGTCGGTGCTAGCAGCAAGGATCTGAGACTTAGCGGGAGCATTGTTGTTACATAAGTCGACTCGCTTTTATTGTACATATTGAATAGCGTGAATTCGGAGAGATGATGTTATCCAAACACTCCAATCGTATGAATAACAGTCAGGCAGCAGTTAGTCTTGTACATTTTCCACAGTTCAGGCTCGATTTCTTTCGTCCAGCCGAAAGTAAGAGCACGACGTCATATCGTGCCGAAATTTGGATACAATATCTTTCTTCGTCGTACCTGATGTCTCGGTGCTGGTAAATTCTATTTTCGAAGCAGTTGTGGTGTACGTGTAGCCTCGGTTTTCGCGTCATACGATTTCCGTTTTTGTCTGAAGTCGGCATTCCTGCAGTCTCTCGCCCTTATTCTTCGCATATTTATCATTCATCAGATCCCTCCATCTCAGCCTTGATCTGCATATCAGTCACTTCTTCCTTGCTAATTTCTTCTTTTTCCCATCTTTCCCAATCTTGAACCACGGGCCATGGGCAGCACCAGTGCCTATACCTATTATTCCTCCAAGAAGCGTGGTAGGTATTGATGTGACGCCTCCCACGATAGTACCGACTGCTGTTCCTACCCCGGTCCCCTACCACTATAATTAGCACGGGTATACATGAACGAACGTCGAAAGTAAGAGAAGACATTACAATTCCAGCTCCAATTCCCACACCCATAGCTCCTCCCTGCCAAGGTCCGCTCTGCAACCTCTTAGCCGCTTTAGACGCAGCTTTTGCAATCTTATCATTCTTCATCGCCTCCTCTAATTCCTTCTGCTTCTCTTTCGCATCCTGTGCCTTTTCCGCAAGGTCATAATGCTTCTTTGCTTCTTCTTGCGCAGCCTCAGCTTTGGCTATAAGTTCACCTGCTTGAGCGTTAATTTTTTCCTTGCGGCTTTGTGCTGCTTCTTCTGTATCCTCCTCGTTCTTTGGTTCTTTCGGATCGGACCGCGCCTCGGGACTACCCATGTTGATGGATATGTGATGGCTTTTGCTATAGATCTACCACAACTAAACAAATGGCTTGAAAGAAAGATCTTAATATCGATTAGAAAACTCCTAGTACTGATGGCAATTCAAGACTGTACATCAATATTAGTCGCGGGGTACTACAAGACCCCATGACGTCAAGTTTGAGACCTGCCACAAATCCTGAATGTTAGCGAACCCCTGAGCTTAGCGAGTAATGTTTCTGGCCTACAACAGCTAACTTGAATAAGAGATTGAATGTGAGATGAAGGAATTGTCAGTGGAAAAGTGATTCATTATTTGGCATCAGTTTGAATTGAGATTTAATACAAATTGATATCTAAACTGTAAATCACCAGGTTGAGGAAGCTAAAGTATCTGTGATAAGTTTCAAATGCTCTTCGCTTTCCACTAACAGATTTCATAGGATGTCTCTTAGGGACCAAAGGCGGCGGTCGAAACACGAAATTTGCTTAAGTCGATTGAAGAAATTTCGTATATTCCATCATTTGAGTAAAATACTACATATATCGCTAAGTTCGTCTATTATTTTCGTCAAAGAAGACCTGTGTCTTGAATATCTTTATTATTATCAAGACTATAAAGATCGAGACTACTACATGCTCTAAAATTATACTTCAAGTTTGATGGAATATTTACAAGCTTCTGCTATTGATTTTGTCTTCTGCAAGTATATTAGGAGGGATGTCATGTGATCTTTTGAAGGCAAATCAGCTTTTTGTTATCGCAGTCATTCTACCCCATTTGTTTCATGACCCTATGAGCCAGGTTTCAGGTAATACCATTGAGTTATCAATTAGATGCTTAATAACATATGAGATTCCAAAATTGGAACTTACTACCAGCTGTACATACTTGCGCTCGAGCTCAACCTTAAGATTGTGTGACCGTTTTTACATATCTTGTGCTGAATCCTTGGTTGTCTTTACTTGGATATCAATCATTCTTATAAATTATACAAACCTCCGTAACGGAGGAAGTGCTTCTGTCGGTGAAGATGAGTTATCGATCTTTCGTTCAATATTGGTTTACAGGACCAATCAAGAAGGTACGAAGTTGTCACAACGCTGCAAACTCCAGGCAGAGTCAACAAGAGAGCGTCGCCGAGATGTTTCTCGATACTTACTTTAACCTGTAGGCTTCTTGCCGTTGATGTGACTTCTAGAGTCACGCTTTTCGAGTCTTTTGGGATTATATTGCACATACGGTAATTGTATTCGATTTTAGGAATTGGTGATCACTCCTTATCAAATCATTTAGTTAAACACTGTCGGTTGATGCAACAAACGAGTTGTAAGGGCATGAACAGATAAGAGGATTTTCAGTCAATCCTATATTGTCCTGATGAGTTTATTGGGAAATCTTGGAACTGACAGCGTAGTAAGATTCATTCCAAAATATTCATAGTAATATCTCCAGATATTCACCACTATATCAAGAGACTGCGTGACCCCAAGAAGAGAGTTGTATTTCGAATCTAGTAATCCTGTGATGGAAAAGATTAGTCGCGCTGAATTGGGATGTCATTCTGTGATACCCTGCGGGATACACACTTGTCGGCAGATGTTTTCTTCTTGTTCCTAGTGTTCAATTCCTGACCACTGACAGAATTAAGTCATCAGAGCTTTAAGGACTTCCCGGCAGCCCGCTCCCCATCAACCAGCACACACCATCCTTCACTTCCCCCACCACCCTCACCTCCAACCCCGGCCTTGAACTCCGTCATTGCATATTTCAGTATCTCATCATCATAGGTGCCTGGCTGTAACCATACGCTTGGAATGCCCATCTTCTTCGCTTCCTCGAGTACCTTCTTCGTTACTTTTGGCGGCGTGATTATGGAAACAGATGTGTCTGTGGGGTTAGGCAAGGCAGAGAGATTGGGTAATGTAGCATATTCCTGGATCTCGAAGGCTGGGTATGGAGGGAATGCTTTTATTGAAGCCGAAGATGGATTTATAGGAGTTACAGGGAGGGAATGGTGGGTGTACCAGGTGAATACTATTGCAAAGTGTCAGGCTTGGATAACCATATGAGAAATGAGGGGTGTTTTACTTTTATGGCCGAATTTGGTAGGATCAGAAGATGCGCCAACGACGGCAAAGTGCGAAGAGGTAAAAAATGTCTTTGCTGCTGCATCAGTTGCCATTTTCACAGCCTGCATAGTACGTTGGCGATGTTCAAGTTGGGGAAGGACAATTGCACTGCGTGGATTGATCATCAGCAAACGGGCCTCGGTAACCTCTTGCACGATATCCCCGACATCGCATTTTCCCCCTGTCCACTTGAAGCTGGAAGGACGTCACATTTCCCAATATATAAATCAAGATCACTTGAGTACTTAAGTAGCTCATGTTTTCTATTCAGCGCCGTTTAAAATATTACAGCCGAGTACTTCAACAATTAGAAACATTAATCGTGTTGCTCGGAAACACATAGTTTTGCTTCTACGACTAGAAGCACGCGAATCGCGGCCATGGCAACTTTCGGGTAAGTCCAATGTTAGCTGTCAATTCTATGCTCAAGCTTTAACTGGTCTATAGTAAGGCAGGCTTTAACGCTGTCTCCTACGCGACCTTCCGTCCGAGCTATCCACCTCAGTTGTTCAAGACGGTGCTTTCGTATCATCAGGGGCCGTCCATGACGCTTTTGGATTTAGGTGCTGGCCATGGTCTAATATCACGCGAATTATCACCCTCATTTAAAAGAGTGATATGTACAGACCCTTCACCATCAATGATTAAACAAGCCAAAGCGTCGACATCATCGTCTTTTTCCAATGTCTCTTTCCATGAAGCTTCTGCAGAAGACTTGCATTTTGTCGATGATTCAAGTTTGGACATGGTTGTCGCTGGGCAGGCTGCGCATTGGTTTGATTACAAGAAAGTTTGGCCTGAACTAGCAAAGAAGATCAGGAAAGGAGGGACGTTAGCGTTTTGGGGCTACAAGGATAATACCTTTGTAGACTACCCTAAGGCGTCGAAAGTATTGGACGAGTATTGTTATGGCGACAGCACTTTGGGGCCTTATTGGGAACAGCCCGGACGGAACATCCTGAGGGACAAATTGAAAGATATTGTTCCGCCAGAAACCGATTGGGATGAGGTCACCAGGTATGAGTATGAGCCAGGAACCAATGGCAAAAGAAGTGGTGTTGGAGATCTGTTGATGCATAAGAGGTTGACTCTTGGGGAGATGGAAGGGTATGCTAGAACTTTCAGTTCTTTTCACAACTGGGCTGCAGATCATCCTGAGAGAAAAGCTAGAAAAGATGGAGGAGATGGTGATATTGTGGACGAGATGTTTGATAAAATGAGAGAATCCGAGCCAGAGTGGGCGGCAATGGGGGAGAAATGGCGAGAATTTGAGCTGGAGAACGAATGGGGAAGCGCTATATTGCTGGCGAGGAAAAAGTAAGATGTAGTTGATAGCAAGTGATCAGCCCTCGTAATAGATCACAAGGTGCATCTCATCTTTTCTGGTTACGGAACTCATCTGGCCTTGATCACGAGTTAGTTTGTGGCATCTTTGAACCTTTCCCGCAACTACAAACACGGGCAAGCCATACGGGACTATCGCTGTAAACCGCATGAGTTATTCTCCTTTCGCCTTCATCCCAGATCCCTAGCCAGTATATCACCGTTTTGATTCTAAGCTGGGAGCTACACAGTAGCCATGTACCTATTACCGAACTTTGGACCTTGTGGACCTTCCATTTGGTGCAGGTGAATAGAAGAGCCGCTTACCGTTGCCATCACAACCACAACCCCTCTACACCAAACAATTTTGAACTGTATCATGACTAAGCCGTCGCTCACGTCCCGTCCGAGTTCCAAATCCAAGTCTGCCAAAAATAAACAGATAATTTCCATCCATCCTTTTCAACTTCGACTTCTCACATCCTCCAAATACAATTCGTTGCTGCAAACTTCAAATAAATCATGGTATGTTGTTTTCGATATCTATCCACCTCACTCAATCGTTCCATGCGCCAGCGGGCGCCAAAACATAATTGGACTGGTGTCCCTGAATTCGGTCGGGAATTTTTGCCACAAACAAAGGGTTGGAGGGAAGTTGCGAGCGAGTGTTTAGTTGAGAGATCACATTCACCCACCTCATCCCTTCTCTCCTCCTACAACCCGCAGGCTCATCCATCTACACATGTTACCATAACGACTTCGTGGGAACACTGCATCTTCAAAACAAACGCATCCATTCACGAATAGACACATACACGGGCTCTTTGGCGTATTGTTTTCTTGCAGAGTCAGAACAGCATCCCCAAGACATATTACCTCTTTACCTCTGCTACACAGACATCTTCCCATCCCGTACCGCTATTCCGTTTGACAGGAAAAATCATGGCGGCCACTTCAGCTAACAATATCTCGTACGATGCACAGGCATCTACAAATTACAAGGAGGCATTTGCGCTCTTCGACAAGCGGGGAAATTCTCGTGTTGCGCTTGACAGCCTGGGCGATTTGCTGCGTGCTTGTGGCCAAAACCCAACTCTTGCAGAGATTCGGGATTTGGAGAAGAATGTTGGATCAGATTGTGAGTAGGCCGATAAACTCAGGGTGCCCGCACGGAGCGATCAACATGCTAATGCGTCCCCGCAGTCGATTTCGAAACGTTCTCCAAAATCCTCAACCGACCAGGAGGATTCCGTGACCCAGGCGAGCCCGAGGAATACTGCCGTGGCTTTCAGGTGTTTGACAAAGACATGACGGGCTTCATTGGTGTTGGACAACTACGATACATTCTGACCAATCTGGGCGAGAAAATGAGCGATGATGAGGTTGATGAATTATTGAAGGCAGTAGATACTAGCTCAGGGGAGATTAATTACACAGGTAAGTCTTCGCTGGTTGCCCAAAGGCAAAATGAGAATACTTTTGTTCTACGGAATCTATAAAAGCATCCAATCGGACCACCTGTTTTCTAACTTGAGTTTGCAGACCTCGTACGAACCATTCTGGCGAATTAGGGCGCTGGCGGAAATCCGAATCAATGACAGAGCATAGAACGGCGCTTCTCGGTGGGCGATGAATTCGGAAAGACGAGGGCGATGGATTTGAGTTATATTTGATCAAGCAGGCGTTACATATGTTTGGCCGTGGAACCTTTTTCGGTGCCGGCATTGGGGACCACCAGGGAAATTGGGGACAAAGGCGTGGATATATGGAGTCCCCTGATATACTTTTTGTGGTTACAGCTTGGTGTGTAGAACAATTATTGAACTGTCATGTGCATCTCATACCGTTCCCTTAGAACAACTTCTTGCAAAGAGCTCTCCGGTATGGTATGATGCGTTTTTCTCGGTATATTCCGCGTTGAACATTGGCCAACCAATATCACTGCTCTACCCTCCTGATGTCTAGACTCTCGTCGGCAGGCTTTTCACCCTTCACCATAACGCTAGTTTCTATTAGACCCCCAGGCAGCAAGTATATTACAGATCCCGTGTACACAGCCATATTCCCATCAGATTGGGCGTTCTCCCCAGCAATTCGGTAGCCGTATATCAAATTGCATCGCTTGCATTTGAGCAAATGCCGCTTCTCGAACCCATCCTCGCGTCTTATTACTATTGGCGCAGAGTCTCGTGGCTGGGAGAGCAACGTGGTGTAGCCTTCTTGCTTTAGCTCTGAGGTTGGTGGTGAGGGTGGCAGTGGGAGGATGATGGCCGCGTCAAGACCACCGTCGCTGGCTGACGAACGTCGTGGGAGAGATGCGAGGTTATGCGTCGTCGAGAGGAGGAGGGTGCTGCATAAGCAATGGTAGGTTTTTATGGCCGGCGCGTCCATTGGAAACGGCGTGCAACTGGTGGTCTACACTTCGAGATATATTTTTGATGCCAGTAGCCTTACGCGTGGGACCGTGTCAATGCAGGTGTACGTCGCGCAGCTACTTTCGGCAAGCAGCACGGTTACAGTGGAGGGAAAACCCAAGGTCTTTGGAGTGAAACTCTGACGGTAAGAATAGTAAACTCTAGACACTAGACTTCTCCGGTTATTCATAGATTCCTGAGGTATTTCGATTATGCTCGTGCGAGGTGAACTCACGAGGAAGCTTAATTGACGCTCCTCGCTTGTTCCTCTCACCACTCGGTGCACCACCATGTCGACGTAAAGCTTCACCTGCATATGAACGGCACGAATTGACACGACACGTACATCCCTCTCCGCCCGTCTTCTGCTACTTCTCCCGCACTACTCTCCTTCAGCACACATACGGATAAAGCTGTAGAACCTCATATATTCACCGGGGTTGGTATCCAACCACTTCCCCGCAATCCTGGCTCTTCCCAAGTCACCATTTCGATTGCGAGCTGCCACTACCCTCTTCGTTGTCATACTCTTCGCCGTCACTTCTGCCATTCTGGCTTCCTCACGACTCGGCCCACGGCTGACTTCGCTCTTCCACCAAGTTCGTCCTCATATCTACAACCCCTCGTCTTCCAACGCCCGACCCCTCCTCACATCCACCATGGCTCCATCCAAATATCTCAAGCCTCCACAGGCCCCTCCGCTGTTCACTGCGACGGCTACCAGCTTGGTGAAGGATGCTCAGGCTTTATGTGATCGCACACGAGCTATGCTTGATAAGATTGCCAAAGACGTAACACCTGAGAGCGCTACTTTTGCCAATGTCGTCCTTCCAATGGCCGAAGACGAGAATACAGCGGGGCTCGAAGCACGAGTCATTGGATTCTATCAAGCTGTGTCAACGAATCAGGAACTACGAGACGCCTCAAGTAAGGCTGAAGAGATTATGGATGAGTTCAACATCGAGGCTAGCATGCGGGAAGATATATTCAAGTTGGTAGATGCAGCATATCAGAAAGGTGAGGACCTTGATCCGGAGAGCAGAAGATTGTTAGAAAAGGAACGCAAGAGCTATATCCGCAATGGTCTGGGTATACCTGCCGGGCCTAAGCGTGATAGGTTTAAGGATATCAAGAAGCGGCTGTCTATGATTCAAATCGAGTTCCAAAAGAATCTGAATGAGGAGAGTGGTGGAATCTGGTTCACACCTGAGGAGCTAGCGGGCGTCCCGGAAGATGTTATGTCGGGTTTGGAGAAAGGCAGCGGGGAAAATGCCGGAAAGGTCAAGTTGAGCTTCAAGTATCCGGATTTATTTCCAACACTGAAGTTTGCCACAAACCCAGACACCCGAAAGCGGGTATTCATTGACAATGAAAATAAGGTAACCGTGCTGGGCAATGTATTTCTGAGTTTGCTTACTGATATCCTTAGTGCAATGCCAACGCGCCGCTATTCAAGGAAGCTATTATCCTGCGCGATGAAGCTGCCAGGTTGCTCGGGTATAAAGACCACGCGTCTTTCAAGCTCGAGGACAAGATGGCGAAGACTCCAGAGACTGTCAACGAGTTTCTAGGTGATCTGAGAACTCAACTGGCTCCTGGCGGAAAGAAAGAGATTGAGCACTTGATGGAAATCAAGACGGAATATCTCAAGTCCGTAGGTATGGAAGCCAGCAATGATGGCAATTACTATCTCTGGGACTCTCGATTTTATCAGAGATTGATGGTCGAGAAGGAGTACTCCATTGACGAACAGAAGATCGCCGAATATTTTCCTTTACAGAGCACAGTCGAGGGAATGCTCGACATATTCCAGAAGTTATTTGGTTTCGTTTTCATCGAATTAGATGCTGAAGCACGTGCGAATATCAGCGGTAAGTGGTTTGCACTGTTGAAGCGGAACGCTATCTAATAATTTGCAGAGACTACCAAGGCGGATGATATCTCATGGCATGAAGATGTAAAGATTTTCAGCGTTTGGGACGACGAGGGAGAAGGTGGTGGATTCGTCGGTTATCTCTACCTAGATCTACATCCTCGTCCTGGGAAGTATGGTCATGCTGCGAATTTCTCACTTCAACCTGGATATCTTCACCCCAATGGCACCCGCCGCTACCCGGCGACTGCGTTGGTATGCAACTTTTCTAAGCCTACGGCAACGAAGCCATCCCTCCTCAAGCATGACGAAGTTGTCACACTCTTCCACGAGTTAGGACACGGAATCCACGATCTCGCTGGAAGAACCAAGTACTCCCGCTTCCATGGTACTTCAGTTGTAAGAGATTTTGTTGAGGCGCCTAGTCAAATGCTCGAGAATTGGTGCTGGACCAAAGAGCAGCTCAAAAATTTGAGTAAACATTATGAAACTGGCGAGCCTATTCCGGATGAGCTAGTTGACCTACAAATAGGCGCCAAACACGTTAATGACGCTCTCTTCAACCTTCGCCAGCTTCACTTTGGAATTTTTGACATGACTGTTCATAGTCCAAAATCACACGCTGAGGCGGAAGGGTTTGAACTCTCCAAGATGTACAATGATCTTCGCTCCCAGATCTCCGGCATCAAAGGGCCAGAAGCTCTAGGCCTTAAGAGCGATTGGGGCAACGGGCAAGCCACTTTTGGTCATTTAATCGGTGGTTACGACGCAGGTTATTATGGTTATTTATCGAGTCAAGTCTATAGCACGGACATGTTCTATAGCGTCTTCAAGAAAGATCCTATGAATCAGGAGGAAGGCCGACGATACAGACACATGGTTTTAGAAAAGGGCGGTAGCCAGGAGGAGATGAAGACTCTTGAAGACTTCTTGGGAAGAAAACCAAGTACGGAGGCGTTTTACAAGGACCTTGGTTTAAAAGCCCGGTAGGCTTAGTGTTACCAGCTGGCAGCCTCCTTGTGAAACAGAGATGCTTTGCTTTTTGTTAATCCCGTTCAAGACTTACACTGGGGAACTTGTCATGCATAGAATTATTTGAACCTACTTCTCGGCAGCTATGGAGAACTTTCTGTCATCAATAAAGCATTCTTGTTGCTGGGCGTTACTCTCTATAGGTACTACTCCTAACTCTGAAACTTGTCAACAAATTTGAGCTCTGTTCGCTGTAGGCAAATACGACAGAGGAACAACTGTGAGTTCTAATGTATCCTTGTTGTTCTCCTGTATCTTCTTTTTGTATCCAGCTATGTATTCCAGGTTACAATGGCAAATGGCAGTTGGCAGTCTTTTGTCTCCACCTCCATGGTCAAAACATGATCTAGCTTCAAATAAACAAGTCGACTTTGTGCAGCTTAGGTAGGTATATTGCATCTAACAAGGTGATTGTTTTTTAGCGAACAGCACCGTGAAGAAGAATCACCTGAATTGTAGGTTATACATCAAAATCGCGAGTGCATTTCCAATATTGACCCTAGTGATTGGTTCATTATCCATAGCTCCATGCTTTCCTTCCTTCATCCTCTGCAATCCGCCATCTGGGAGCCTTCCTCGCAGAATCTCATCATCTTCCTCTCCAAAATGAAACTTGCACTTTCAGCAATCCTCCAAACTGAAGTCCATCAACTGTTGCTGTTCAGTCATGCGGGAAGTACAATGTACAGTCACAACAGACTCCCTTCTGTTCGGTTGTTTTGATATTTACAGTTTTCATAAGCATTATAAAATTGTGCTGTGGTATTGTTGATGCAGTTATGAGATTGCTTCGGCCAAAGTTGTTGACAATAAAATGGAGAGGTTTTGTTGTAGAGCCAGACTTAGCTTATTGATCTTTATTTTCAGTCACTGTCACGCGTAAGCCCTTGGTTATTTTGCATTACATGTGCGAAGGTATGCGAGACATGCTATTACTGCACCATTGTGAGCAATTCCATTTGCGAGGCAAACCATATTAAAAACAAATAACTTTAATTTCACTCTTATTGTTCTTCATCCTTCCCTTCTCTTATTTGCTATATCCTGGGAAATGGTCAAGTGCCAGTGTTATCTTAAGTTTGCTTACACAGCTCAGCTAATGTTTGATCTCTACTGAAGGCACATGGAGCAAACAGTAGAAGTATTTCAAAGTCCAGCCCCTCGCTCCTTTCTTTTATTTTGTATAACAAATAGACATTTACATAGTCCAGGTGCAAGGATCATCCTCTAACACTACTTTTCTCTTTCATATCCATACCCTTGTCTCCACGCAATATCGCTGTTTTCAAACGTCAATGGCAGTATGTCACCAATTCAGACCTCCTCTAGGGCCAGTTTAAGTTAACAACACATCTAGTTATTTCTGTTACTTCAGATAACAACATCAACGGCTTGTTATGACCAATATATTTACCACAAAAACCCACTTTCAGCTCTTCTATTGACCCACATCTGTTATGAGCAAATAACGTATTTCTGAGCAATTCTCATGAAAATCAGGTTTCTCTATTCGTAATTTCATAATCTGGTAGTCACAACGATGAAATAACAGTGATCTCTTTCAATATATCCCCCTCCCTCAAGTGACCTGCGTCACACGTTTACCCCTGACTATTCATCTATACATTTACAAACAGGCAAACACGTAAGTTCGTACCAGCTAATACTAAAAGCTCAGCGACCCTAACTAACGCACTTGTCCCTCATATTTATTCTCAAGGGGCCTACACGCTCCTCCTAATTAATTACACTGGATAGATGGGGAGGTAGGCGAGAGTAAGGTATTTATAGTTACCATGGGATATTGACATGGCCCATTAGGGTGGGAAAGTTGTAGCCTCTCGGGGCTATCTAAGTCTTGCCTTCTTTTTCGACGAGAAGTTCATAAAGAAATTGGCCGTTATTATACGTCATTGGGTTATGTTTTTTCTGTTTTATGTTGGAATTTGCTTGACGATGTTTCCTCAGCCTCGAACCAACACTCACCGAGAAAATATTTGGCTGCGCTGTGCTAGTTGGTTATTATACCAAAGACAGATAACTGGATCGTCACCTGGCGTAACGGTGTCATATACGAGCCAGCCCTCGACAGCAAAGAAGCTGGGAATGCTGAACATGGATATTGACAAATTTGCAACATGGTCAGCATTTTGGCGTTCGCTTGAAATTGTAATTATCAAAGGTTGAAAGTTGAAAGGATTGTACTCTGTGCAGATCACTTCAATGGCTACAACTTGAATGACATGTTATCGGGAAGTAATGCTTGAATTATTATCACGTTAGATTTTATATATACAAGCATGAACATGCTTACCTCGAGATATAGATATCATCGATTTTTAAAATGGTAGACACTGCCTGACATAAAGGACTTTCGCATAGTCGCATCTTCAAGCAAAGAGCGTTTGTTTGTTTCAAGAATACTCATTCCAAAAAAAATTACTCGTCCAATTAAAAAAGTTACATTAATACAAATAGAAAATGTTGGCATCCGTCCTACTTTAAGTGGTGGATAAAGTGTCAAATTCTACCACGATGTAGAAGGATATGTTGGCATGTAACAACATCGGTGCATACTAGTACTGTCTACAACTGCCGGTTATGTTTTGTCAAACTCGGGCTGAGTCTTTTTTTCGGCAGAAACAGAGTTGAAAGATTAGACATGTGGCATCCAAAGGTATCTGTTGGTATCAGACAACAATGTTGACTTGGAAGTCTTATTTCAAAAAATGGGCAACAGAAGCAAAGCTATGATTGAGATACATTTGCTAGAAACAGCTACCACTATCATCTTGAAAATCAATACTGCTGTTATTCAACAACAATATCATGACCTCTCCATGTCATATGTCACTGACTGTTTTCTCAACTATACGACTTCGTGTTGGATTACACTCGACTGACAGTAGATAGTTGTCAATCTTTCCAACCATGACGGCTTTCTATAAATTACATCACGGACACCAGAGACACCATTAGCTCGTGGAAGAAAATTGTCACCGTAATTTGTGATGTGAGCACACTTCACTGTTCTGAAGCGAAGGACCAATGAAGAAGTGGGAAATTTGGTTGAATTTCCGTCAAAACAAATACTGTTCTTGTGACGACAGCCAGAAGATCAATCCGAACTCCAAGTAATAGCAGAATTGTTCTTTGCTGATTTTGTGACATTGAAACTCGCTCCCGCTAAGCGAGCTTCCCACACAAATGTTGAGGAGATAAAATATGGAATTACAGTTTATTCAAAAGATCTGGTCTTTTAAAATGAATTGTAATGCAATCTCCTAGAGATGTGGAGTCTTGAAGGCACTCCCAGCTATGGATATAGTGCGGAGACGCTCGACAAATAGAAACACATTTCTTTTACGGAACAAACTGCTGCTGCTGTTATCACATCAACGAGCGGCGCCTAGAACACGGAATAATAGACAAGCTCAACAAGATGTTTCTCAGACCGTCTTTCGACTGTCCAGAAACAAACACTTCCATTCGTGCGGATGCCGAGCAGAGGCAAGTACTTGCCTATTTCGGATGTAAGAGCGCTATCTGGGGAAATAAGCGCGCTTCCTTCCAGGGAAATGGATTTCCTAGCTCATAGCGGGGACTGCTCTCACTTCTCGGGTAACGCAACGTCTCAGTAGTGGCCATGTCGATGTTTACACACGAGCGGACTTGAGGCTGTTTCTCGAGAACTACTGGCTACTGTCGAGATGAGGTCTGTGGCGAGGGGGATTTCCCTAGGTGCATGTGGAAACGTGTCCATGTTGTTTCAAGGCCGCCTTCCTCGCTCCTTTGCAGTCGAGCGAACTCCTCACTCGGTCCTGGGATTGCGAGGAAGTCACCACCCATGGCATTCGGAGAGCCCGAAGGATTATGTGGAGTCATCACGAGCTTGGCGAGATGTTGGGGAAACTGCGGAGGAGAACTGTATAAGCGCTTCTACTGTACCATACCAATCTAGACAGAAACCATATCCTCTATATTCAATCATCACATTTCAGCCATTGGAACATTGTTTTGCTGTCGAGCGATATTGAACTGTACTGTACCTGCAATCTATCTCCATCTCTCGTCAACCCGGGGCTAAGGCACCCAACGCTCAGGTACGATGTACGGATACATGAGATCTGCTGCGGGAAATGTAGCCGAAAAGTGGATTGTCTACCTAGGTAGGCACAAGCACAGTAGTAGGTAGGTATGGCAGACGGAAAAATATCGGATGAAGGAAGAAACCGGAAAAGTCCATGGAAGACTGGGAGCCGGAAGAGGGACCGAAACGGCCGAAGATGGATTGGAGCTTTGCAAAGGCAAGCACGTGCTAATTGAGGAGGTTATCATTGCAGGCAACTTGGAAATGTTGTCGTCTACACTACCTACCTAGGTAAGTATCAAGCTATCAAGCCTCGGGAGGAATCAACGCAGACATCATCACCTGTTATGCCATCGATGCTGTGATTGCACTTCGAACCACCTGGCCCCAAGTGAAGCCACGATCCAACTCCTGAAAAGACGAGGTATCGAGGAACCTCACATAAACCACGTGGGTCAAGTACAGATTCGTATTTACCCGCGATAACGAAATGCACCGATCTGCCGTGCTTCAACAGGCTCAATCGCTTTTCCCAAGGCGTCATTAGTGTCCCCCACGCCCTCACGTCTCCTTTTGCTCGAACATGTGGATGACAGAATGCTCCGTAGACGTATTATGCTTATTGTCACCACGAAGTTCGAACCCACGACAACTACGGAGTACCATCATGGGAGAAAGGCTCCTATCTCGAGTCTCAACGCACCTCACGTTGCCTTCATCCTACCTCATGACTTGTACCTTACTTGATGCAGCGGAGAGTGGTCTTTTCTTTTAGCGTCACGAACGCTCATACCCCATATCTTGATTTTGTCTGATTATTTTCGCCGAGTGCAGCACAAGACTGCCACTATCACGATTTGATACATCC